GGTGACGCAGATATATTTCAGATACCTCAAGCTAGTGACCCCCCCGCACCCTCGGCTGAAGGTCAGAGACTTTTATCTTGTGACATCTACTTGGGCTATATCTCACGTCAGTCGTATCCTAGATGAGGACCAATCAGACTTCCTTTACAATTCGTTCGTCCGACCATACGTTGGGAAGGCTGTGGATGGTTTCTATGAGTACCTGAAAAATAACAACATGAAGTTCGCGGGAAGCGGCGACAAAGGACCATACTATGCGAAGTTCTGTTCAATCGTGCAAAGCTCGGGCACAGGAAAATCAAGACTAATGACTGAGGTCAGAATTATGAAGCGCATATTGATATCAGGTGGCTGAAGTATTTTTTTTAGCTCCGGAACAAAGGCGTTCTTGTTTTGTACATGAACCTTCGTGATCCGAGTGATCCAGGCTTCCCTATGCGAGACGTAGTGCCTGCGCGTATATTGACGGAAGATATGGGCTGCACTCAAGCCGAGTATACCGCTCGTTGTTGCGCCTTCTTTACGGCCATATTCCAGACGCTCCAGAAGTATCTGAGCGACGAGTTTCCTCGGCTGCGCTCTCAGGCTAGCGGTCCTGATGCTGCAATCAAATCGTGGAATGACGAAATGTGCGACATGCGCTCGGAAGCTCGTACCAAGTTCTTTCAGGAAGTTCAAGATCTCTATGAGAAGGTGACAAAATCACAGTCTCTTGAGAATCCGACTAAAGACGTTTGCGCAACAGATCCTTGATAAGATCAAATTATCGAAGCCCGAAGAGAAAACCGACTCCGCTGCGCCCACGGCGGAGGAGACCGCCGTAAAGTTAGGGAGTATGTCTCTCACAGGTAATTGATATATTTTACACAAGGCGGTCGCCTAAGGTCACACCGTGGGTGAACAGATGGGAAGATCATGGTGCCGAAACTAGAAGGCGAATCATTCGTCAAGACATCTTATAACAACATGCTGGAGGTTTTGAAACGTATATTCAATAAGAAGGACAGGGACATGGTTTTAAATCATGATCCTAAACTCGTGATAGCATTCGATGAGGCCCACCCTCTGAGTAACATGAGTATCAAGGGTTTTCGTCCATCACATATTGTTGGCAGGACGATCAATTGCTACTCCAAGAACTGCCACGCATCAGTCTGGGTCGTTTTTGCATCCACAACTTCACAAGTGGCGCATTTTTCAGCCCCTCAAATGATCCGTAAGTACCTGTTCTACGTTGCCTATTTTCAACCTTCACACAATCTGGCAGATGACTCTTTGCGCGTAGCGGTGGCTGGTCAACTGGTATACCCGCCTTATACACATCTTGGCTGGGACCAGCTTGCAGACCCTCTGTCTAACATATCGGCGAATGATGTCGCAAAGTTCAGTCATATCGTCGGATTCGGTCGTCCACTGTTCGTCCCTGCCTTTTTATCCTCATTTCCAGTTTCATTGACCACGATAAATAGGTGGAAATCGCTCGCGGGAAAATTTACTATCGCTGAGATTGTGATACTGGCTGCCCAGAAACTGTGCAAATCTATGACCTTTGACCTGACGGATACGAACCAGGCTCTCGCTATCCTGTCTCAGAGATTCGGTCTCGACATTTGCTTTGGTCACCCTGATGCTGTCTCTTATCTCGAGAAAGCGGTGGCTAGTCACCTGCGTATATGCTTCTCGACGACTGAAGATAGGACGTGGACCTTCACCGGTTATCCATCGGAGCCCTTTCTATCCTGCATTGCATCAATTCTGCTCCATAGGACGCCCGACAGTCTGGCGAACGCTTTGGCGGTCTTGAAAAGAAAGGCTGATGGTGGGATGGTCGAGATAGGACAGAGCGGAGAGTTGGCCAGCAGGCTTTTGCTGCTTCTCGCCAAGGATCTCTTTATCCGCAAGGACCCCTCCCAAGACGTGATCATGGATATACACCATGTCGGAAATAGTGATGCAGATCTGATAGACTGTCAGAAGGTCCCCGTCATCGATTTTTTGGAATATCTTTTTGGCGAGACTTTCTGGTCGGAGTTGGCTGAGGCTAAGGCAGCATTTCAGCATGCCTACATCAATTTCTCGCATTGGGTAGCAATGACAGAGTTCATCTCACCGCGAATTTCCGATCAGACTGACGCCGATCCATTGAGGTACGCTTTTAGAGGTTTTCAAACGATATGGTGTCTAAGATGATTATCACGGCTGTATAGCGCTAGATGCAGCGCCGAAGAGTGGACCTTGCGACACTGGCATCGGACGAGTGCGGTGCAATGCTGTCATCTGCAGCCGCTCGTTGACAAGATGATTCCTATATATTTTGACGATCCGGCCCTTGGCCCCAACGATCTCGACCGCGTATCACAGATATTCATTTCCGACAAGGCGGGGAAGAATTGCCATGAGCAAGACTTGAGGTTCGTCACTCGCAAGCATGATTCGATCCAGTGCCTATCGAATCTCCCCTACATCGCTCTCCTTCTCGACCTCAACGTGAAACCAAAGCTTGAGGTTACATTTCCGAAGAAGGAACCAAATCATGTTGAAACAGACCGATGTCTACGGATCTACGCTTCTGGAATCAGCGACATCACGTTTCCGGTCTTGGGCCAACATTCCGAAATTGCGACACAGCTGCGTGGGCTTGTCTCTCGGCAAAAGGAAGCACCGTCCCAAACAACTCTTGAAGCTCTCGTTAAATTTGGGAGTACTGCGAGGCTACGCAATTTGCAGTGGGAGGCACAAGATGCATGATAATCTAATTGAGCGTGTTGAAATGTTCGCCCGTCTTTGCATCCCAGATCTTTACTGCGTTGTATTTGAATCCAACATCGCAATCATGGCAAGCATGAAACATATAAAGAGCAGAAGATAGGGAGCAGGTGATAAAAATTCGACGAGGTGGACGCCCACCTCGCGGAGAGTCGGATAACTGTGGTGATAACGTTGTCCAAGATAGAGGTCACCCCATAGTACTAACGTTTTCGAGTGCTTCCTCGGATTGCGGCAAATTCTAATGGTCTTCAAGATTGGGATACCCCAGTTCACAACAACAGAGTGTCACCTCAGTAAGATAGAATGAGGCCATTGAATTGAAACAATGAAACAAATAAGCACGGATGGCTTGGTGCATCGTGACGTTCCATATTGCTGACAGCTGGAGTTTACTATGAGTGAATCATACCGGGTCCGTGTGTGAAGGTCAAGAAGGGCTTTTGCAGAGTATGTCCCTTCAAAAATCCAGAGACCGAGATAAGAGCAAAATCTGACGCAGAGACGCGCAGTAAGTTACATATAATAGACAGAGAATGTTAGATAGATGCATTGATGTTGTTTCTATGCTAGTGCTCGCCGCTTGTCTCAGTAACTTGAAGCATTTTCACGTTGCAAAGAGTGGACTTGGACTATGATGTTATACTTGCACATTTATTATTGCGCGGTGCGCGTTTCAAGTGACCCGGTTATTACCGCAACCTGCGCGCTGCCTTGAAGTCTGCGCGTTGCCCGTTCAAATTGATGACCTGGGGCTCTCGCCATGTGGATCACTTGCATCTTAATCATTAGGACAAACCTCCTGAAATTCGACTACTAGTAGTGAAAGGACATCAATTGTAAAATACATTGCACGGTACTATGCTTATAATGATGAATCAAAAATTAATTTTTCAGCGAGACGGTCACAAGCTTCTTCGACAAATTGCTCTGCGTGGTTAAATGCGGCTCCCTGCTCAATGATCTTGAACATCAGTTCCTTGCACCCTCCACTAACACGCCCGAACTGCAAATCTTTAAAGCGTTTGACGGCTTCACGATCACCTATTACTCCCACCTTTCCAATTTAGTAAAGCGGTACATAAGACGTCTGCTCACCCTTATATTAAGTCAAAAAGCCTTATTTGTGAGGACCAGCGGTCCAGACCAGCAAATCAAGGTCACTTAGAACATTTAATATTGTTAGCCTTAGGTAGCACACGGGAAAGCTGACACAAGCACTATATTCGGTAATAGCGCGCCACCACTGTTGCCTTCAACCTTGCGCTCATCATCACCCACAACGAGCTCAACAACGAGCTCAATGTTCCTACTTTTTGGCCATTTTCTCTCCAGCATACCGCTTATTCTTACTATGATGGCATCAACAGCTTGATGTACAAGCAACGTGGCGTATCATCGGCTTCCCAACATGCTTTAACCATGTGTCAGTCACATGTCACCACCATCAAGGTACCTTGCCTTCAACCACCACCATCGTCCATCCTGTGTTTCTGATGACGAAAGGCAACTTCAGCACACCTGGTACCTCACAAGCATCGCAAATATCTGTTGGAGGGAGGAGGAATAGGGTGGTCCGCAACCAGGACTGTGTCAAACGAGCAGCCCAGCTTCAAAGTAAGTTTTCTCTTTTGATTTCTATTGCTACCAGCTACTACTATCTACAGGCATGAATCTGCACCAGAGAGAACAGTTTCTTCAGGCCGAACATAGTGTCACTGCACCCTCATCTGACTTCGACTACGACAGAATCAACAATGAGATGGATCTTCCAAGTATCATCCCCCCCATTGGTGAGGAAGGTTTTGCAGTTAGTCATGATGGCGGGGAGATGGAGCTTTATGAGGAACTGGGCCATGCCTTATCATGCCAGCAGTGTGTAATTAGCTATTTTTTCTACTACCTTTCTCTGATGGGACTATCTAGAATTCATATTGATGATCGCGACCGTCAAGACCATACAGCCAGACTTGTATATGCATGGGCAGACCAGTACAAAGCCCTTGTCGATGCATATCTCCAGTTTCGTCACCAAAATCCTTCGTTAGCATCCCTCAACACAAGTATCCCAGCTTCCAAAGACACCTTTTCAATATGCGTTGTTGACATCTTCGGTGAGTGACTGTTATCTTCGCTGTGTGTATCTATCTCACATTTTCTTAGAACGACAGCAAGGTGTCTTTAGTCATTGCTCGCCACACATTAATGTGTCTCTCATGACATACAGGTGTATAGGCTCATCGCCTATTGCAGCCAACTGTGGCCATCACCATACGAACACTTGAGGCTTATCGTCAAACACATCGTGTATGCCCGAGGCTCAGTATTCATGCAGAGGCGAAGAAGTTATGTCACTTGCACGGTGTGAGTACATACATTCATTTAGTACATTAAAAACTGATGGAACGAGTCTTCTGATTCTAGGTTTGTTATGGTTGGTATTTAGCCAAACAATTTCGCGTTGCCTGTGACGTATATCTGGAACTTCTGTGGCAGGTGTCTCTTCGTGTCTCACAAGCCCTTGGACACACTGGTCCTAACTGGCATGCATGCAATTTGTGTCCCTGTTGCCACTACAAAGTCCAGGATGAACCCAAGCTGAGGTTTCCCTTTGAGATCGCACTGGACGGTAATAACTCGGCAAAGTTTGTAGACCCTGCATTACGTGGAGGAAGAGAGCGCCAAGACCCTCGCAATGGATGATCAGACATATGGATTGATGAGGAATACGTCGATTGATTCAAGGATGAAGTCAAGAACGCTCGACGCTCTCACTGTCCAAACACCTCGGCCCCTGCTGATATTGTGGATCCCGATGATCCCTGGATATATTGCGAGAATGAAGACCAGGATTCAAATGAACCAGTCGATGTTTGTGTTGATCGATGGCGTAATGCCGCAACCGAGGCCCGCAAGCGCATGTTCTCTGTTTTTCAGAAGTCTGGTATTTTTGTTGCAGTGTGCCGTCATGGATTCCTTTTGTCCATATGCGACATGGTCCGCAGTGGCGAGCTGTAAGTTTGAGTCTAGCTTCAACAATACCAATCTACTGACAGTTTCTCAGGATGAAATATCCGCTGGCGACAATCAACAAATTGATGGACATTTTTGCTGAGCAGTTCCTTTATGGCTATGATATCAAATGCGCATTCCATTCCATCCTTCAATGCTCATCCTTAGGACCTGCTGTACAAGACCTTGGTATTGAGGGTGTTGTGCCTGGATTCCATGGACACGCCCATAACCGTCTCTGTCAAGTCCAACATCACTCTAAGTTCATGCTTGGCACTGGCAAAGAGGACTTTGAGACTTGTGAACGAACGTTCTCAGAGTCGAACACCCTGGCACCTGAAATTTGAAACTCAACGGAGTTTCACAGGCATCAAGCCCTTGACAAGCATTTTTGATTCGCTGATCAAGACAAGTATGCTGCTCTCAGTACGTTCATTGCCACTGATCTTGTTGCCTGATACATACTGATGATAATTATTAGGCACTTTCATTTTTCGCAACTATGTGCAGGCATTAGAATGTATCCAAGCGCATGATGAGTTCCTCCACCTATTTGATCTCGCACCCGAAGATTTCAAGTCCAATTTGAATGATAAATGAGACTATCTTCAGAAGGCTGGTCGACAGCGACTTGGAGATAGTGTGGAGGTTGAGTACGTGAAGGCACTGAACGAGTTTGATGCGGTGCGGTAAGATTAAATTTTAATGTAAACTTAATAACTGATGTTTGTTTAGGTCTCAGTGGGAGACTGCTCAACACAAATTTAATCAACTCGACCTGCATGTCATACCAGATGGATTCACAAACAAGGATATTGCCAACATCCGCCGCCACCGCACCACAGCCCAGAACAAGATGGAGCTAAAAGGTCAAGTAGTTGATGATTTTGAAATTCGCATGGGGATCGAGGAGAGATGGATGACGACTCACCCTGAATGTGTGAGAGCGCAATCACGTATTGCTAACATGCAGTACCATAAAGCCCTCGATGACGTGGAGCGTCTCGTAGTAATGCGGTTGCTTGAACTTACGAAGCTTCAAATGAGCGGTTTGGGTAAGCTCTCAATATTACTGTATCACGCTCTAACATATGTTTTTCAGATTATAAACTACGAACACAGATTGCAAAAGCTCTGAAGACTCGCGCAACTGCAATCCAGAATGCACTGAACCGCTACAACAAGTACGCCGCTCAACTCGAGTCCCCCCGGCCACCAATCACTTGGGAACAGGTAGTTGAATTCTCACAGCTCACCGAATTCGATCTCCTTCGAGATATAGATAATCAGCTGCAAGATAAACATTGGGCAATTCCTTGTAATCGCCAAGCCTCTGCAAAATACTTTGACCTGCAATGATGCAAGAAGGAGATTGTGCGCTGCAATGTTGAGATCATACGACTTCACATGAAGATTCAAGACAATACCCTTAATTTCCCAGTGGTAATTGTGCAACTTCGTTTATCTGATCCCCCTCTTGCAGGGGAAGTTCAGCACCGCTGGGATCATATCTGCTCTGTGAATTATTTTCACTTGTCCCGCATTGCGCAGATAGAGGCACTTCCAGGATATTCAGGCGGCAGAGCTGCAGGAACACGAGTTGGTCGCATGGACAGCACTCCACTACAAGACCAACCTGAGGCTGATATCAATGAGCGAAATGTAGATGATGATGCATATGATGATCCTGACGGCGAGCAGCAGACTTTGATGGAAGACTTTTTTTGAGCAGCTTCATGATGGACCGGTAGACACAGATGAGGTATAGCTTAGCTTACAATTACATTGCATGTCGAGGTAGAATGTTGTGTATACAAGATGCGCTTTTATCATGGTGAATTAAATGGTGTTAACGAGAATGGTGTATATGACTCGGAGACATGTTTCCGATACAACAAGGTAGATCAAATGTGCATGTAACATATATGGCCAGACTTCTGACACAATGTGCAAGGCGAGAGACAGGAACTGAGACTCAGAGTACTGATTCTGATGAGTGGTGGGTGAAATTACTTTGAAGTTTGAATACTCATGTAAATTGCCGTATGTAGATGTACTGCATGCTCAGAGTTAACGTTCAGCCACTGCGTTGTTTTACATCCTGCCATGAACTGGTCAACAAGTGCCTTCAATCAGCCACCCACTATGGATGGCATAAGTACTCTACTCGAAACACTCTCTCGTCCTATAGAACTTGCTAACATTACAGACATGTCAGATTGCTGGCTCTCAGCTATAATTGCTATGTCAGCGCATGGAGCTCACAGCGACAATGATCATCTTTGATCAGACCAAGGCTTCCATCCTTTAACAGCAAAACACTTCCTGAGCAACACATTTGAGGGCATGACAAATGACGATAAACAAGCAGCCTCACGAGAGAGAGCTAATCATCTGTTTCGAGTGTGAAAATTAATATACGACCTGGTATGTTGTGTCTTCATTTACCTGTTCATCATTCAATGATTTTGTTTCAGTGCACCGTTCTTGACCGCCTGTCTGGTGGTGTTACTCTCTGCCTACACCACCCAGGTGCAACAGCACCATTAACAGATCTGCAACCTCAAGATCTTTCTGTGTCGCTTTATCTCAATCCGAGGCTGCTCGCCAATCCCTTACAATGTCATCAGCTGATTGCAGAAATCACACAGATGTTTGTTGAGGGGTGTGCTCTACCGGTGGCACAATCCTTCCGGGATGCTCGTCTCACTCATGGATGGAAGCAGGAGCTGAGACACAGCTCATCAGACATTCCAGACTATGATTCCCTTCCCCTTGTTCCATTACCTTCCAGCGGTACTGGCTCCTCTGATTTCAATATTCTAGAAAGGCCTTTTGGTTGCCTGGAGCATGTCATTTCCACTCAATGAACAACTGACTCAATGCTACCTTTCTTGTCTACCTCTACCTCTTCTGCAACTCCAACAATTCGGTGGACAAATCAGCAGATAACATTATCTAAGCACGCTCCATCAAGAGATCATGCTCTTGATCGTGACCTTGTAAGTGCAATCATTTTAAAGTTTATGTGTGATTAATGTCGGTTTTTAGGATGACTGGCTCCAACGCCTCATGCTCGGGGACAGTTCGCATCCCTATCCGATTCCTCCATTGGCTTATGAGGCTATGCATGTGAGGGTTGACCCTGATTCCCCTTCTGAACCTCCTACTCCTACTGTTACTCCAGCTCGTCCAACGTACACTACTACACCTACTGTTACTCCAGCTCGTTCGACATCCAGGACAGTTCATGTGGCTCGGACACCATCGAAGCTGCCGCAGTCACATGTGTCTTCAGGCATTTCACCACTGCCATCATGCATGTCTTCAGGCACTCCACCACTGCCGTTACGCACGCCTTTGGGTGCTTCATTAGCAAGCTTGCCAACTCGTTCAACAAAGCGTTCAGTGCCACTTGTCTCTTCATCATCACAGTCAGGGTCTATGTATTCAATTCCAAAGGAACTTCTTCTGCCATTCGGTCCAAACACTCACACCACACTGGAGGAATTGGGTTACAGTGACACCCTTCATAATACCTGCCATGAGGTTTTCAATTCATGTGTTCCTGATAGGTGGGCTTCTGAGCTAGCCAAGAGGGGCAATATTAGCTCTAAGCCTGAAGCTCTTCAAATATCGGCTGCAATGTGGGAGGACTGGAACATGTTGGGTGGCACTGTCAGGAACTGATCACTTCGCTTTGTTTTTTTTCGCAATGTAATACTTCGCTAACATGAATGAATTTCTGAGATTCCCCTCCTCTTCCACTATGGTTCGAGCAGTATTCCTGAGTAGCAAGCGGCGCATCATAGGCTGCAACCATGCACACAGGAAGGGTCCAAAATTGTCTCGAGAAACAAGACAAGCTTTGACGGCCCGACAGCGTGAAAAACGGGCAGATGAAGATGCTGCAGTGGACGACATACTTACATATATTGATGAACAGGCCACAGATTTGGCTCGTCGTTTTGGCAGAAGCCATTGACGTTACCTGGAAAAGCTTTACATTGGCTCGGCCTTATGGAGAGGGCACAGAAACATTAATTGTCACTGTGCGAAGTTCATCTAACATGCTACCAAAAGTACACCTTATGAGCGATGTAGTATCTCACTTTGTTCGTACACTTCTGTGGGAGGATCCAATGAAACTTGGCATTAAGATGGAGTCCACTGTGCTTGCTGGACTTGCGCCACGAAATGGTAAAATTTCAGTTTTCTGGATACTTTCTTGTTATTAATGCCAATTTCTCTCTCCCTCTTTAGTTCTGTCTATGAATTATTCAGACCACAAGTTGGCTGCCAAGCAAGGCATACGAAGCAGTCTAAATGAAAGTCTAGGTATAAAATTTGGTAGTCCTTGTCTATAGTCTGCTAATCTATTTAAATAGTCAAGGTTACCGAGAACACAAATGCCACACTAGAGTTTGTCCGCTATGAATGCATGGTTCAGGAGCATCTAGTCAAGCTGATCGGGTGGTGCCACAATGAATGGGGTAACCCCAGCAATCTGAAAGGCGGAGTTGGCCCACTAGAGGCTCTTGCACAGGCAGTTTCCGATAAGAAGTGCAAGTTTATTCGAATTACAAGACAGGAAGCTGATGAGCATATGAAACGCATCGAGGCGGGTGAGGTTTTGACCCCAAACAAGGTAGATCAAGGACCGGAGGAGAGCCCCATCGATGACGACAACACATACGAGGGCAACGACATTGGTGGTTCTGCTGACCAGACAGATCATCTTCCCCTCCCCACACCATCTTCTCCTACAACACCCACTCGCAACAATGACTTAGGTCCAGCCCCTCATACTAGCGAGATCACTGAAGATCTTATTGATCCTGCCCTTCTAGGTAGTTATTTTAACTGTGTACATTATTACTACTGACTTTCCACTATTTTTCAGCCCCTCCCATTCCGAACGTCTCCACGCCATCTCCTCCACTCGCCACAACACCTAGCAGGTCACACATGGAATCGCGTCTACCCAACACTCAGTTGCCAATTGCACAATGTGCCACAAATAGAGTGCCGTCGAAGCAGAAGAGGAAGCCCACTGAAAAAGCGGTGCTCTATGCAGCATCGAGGAAGTCTCGTAAGTTGAAAAGAGGGGTAAAGAGCACTGCGGTGGTAGATTCGGATGAGGAGAACGAGTGGGAGGACATGGATAATGTCTAATACACTGCATTACAATTTATTCGCCCGTTGTATAGGTCCTATATACTGTTTAAATGCATTATATTGAAAATAAAATTGTTATATAAAAAAACGCGCCCAAAATGGAGCAGAACTGAGCTCATTGTTGAGCTCGTTGTGCACAACGATGAGTGGAGCATTGGCGGCAACAGTGGTGGCGCGCTATTACCGAATATAGTGCTTGTGTCAGCTTTCCCGCGTGCTACCTAAGGCTAACAATATTAAATGTTCTAAGTGACCTTGATTTGCTGGTCTGGACCACTGGTCCTCACAAATAAGGCTTTTTGACTTAATATAAGGGTGAGCAGACGTCTTATGTACCGCTTTACTAAATTGGAAAGGTGGGAGTAATAGGTGCGTTTAGGAGACCTAGTCACAGGCATATGTCACAATCAGTGACAAAAAAACTTAAAAGCAAAGCGCGCAGACTTTGCAAAGGAGGACAACAAGCAGATATCAAGCAACGCGCAGACTTCAAGGCAGCGCGCAGGTTGCGGTAATAACCGGGTCACTTGAAACGCGCACCGCGCAGACTGCGCAACGCGCAATAATAAATGTGCAAGTATAACATCATATTGGACAGATATAAGCGCGCGGTGCGCAGACCGAAGATTGCCAAGCGCGTATAGGTCTGACGAATTACTCCCGCGGGATTATTATAAATGTTTCGACTTTCCATATCAGTCGCGCTTAAAATAAGAATAGATCGCCGATCTACTCAACCTTTGCGGTATCACAACAACTTTCTTCATCATGACAAAGCACACAGTACACAGTGCCGCCAAGACAAATAAAACAAAGTCAGAAACCCATTGGCAATATCCTAGCGTGATGACACATACTTCCGCATAAATTATATCGATATCGTCCCAATGTTAGCGACGTACACGACCAACTAGAACGCAGTGAGGGCGTGGAAGACTGCTTTGGGAGCAAAATATTAACAAGAAATGAATAAGAGGCCAGAAAACACCTAATGTTCGAATGATCCAGTGTAACGAACTCGAGCCAAATGTCAACATCGCAATCACGGCGAGCGTGAACCATATAAAGAGCAGAAGATAGGGAGCGAGTGATGAAAATTCAAAATAGGTTACAGGAGTTCTTGTAGTAACGATAACACCACCTATGATGAGGTGGACGGCTTCTAATGGTCTTCAAGATCGGGATGCCCCAGTTCATTAGAAGGGAGGTTCCTCTTCTGCAGGTATTCCTTGCTCGATTGTCACGTATAGCTTGAAAACCGGTCTAGTCCAGTTATACAGCTAGTCTTCTGAGTTTTCAGAGCGCACCGCAGTGAAATAGAACGAGGCCATTGAAATGAAATAAAGAAGCACAGATGGCTTGGTCCATGATGCTGAAGAAGTCTAAGCGCAACTCTGGCCCCAAGGCAACAAACTAGAAAATACAAATTGGGTGTACATTTTCAGATCAGTTAGCTTCAGCGAGGCAATAAAGTGGAAAATAAAAATTGAAGTCAAAATTATGTGTACATATCCGGTATACAGTCTCAAAGTCTGCAGTATCAAACCCCTTGGCAATTCACGGGTTGGGCATGGCTATGACTGGATGCTACATGCAAAGTCGTCAGAATGCTTTAATCAACAAGGTGGAAGGACACACGGAATTGATCATATGCCAATATGCAAGAACACTATGCGCTGGTCCAAGGGCATTATGATGTCCTCATCACAAGCCAACGATTGGACCGCTCGGTGCAGCGCCCAGGCGGCTCGTTTGGAATCCATTGGACCATCCCCGCATAAGTTTTTGTAGAATGCCTTGACTAAGTGCTGCACGGTACTATCGGTGACCTTCCACATTGTCCCCACGACGCTGTTAACCCCGGCAAATTGCAGGCCAGCCGCTAGGTGTATCACTTCGTCGGGCGTATCAAAGTCACCGACTGCGGTCTCACAGGCCGAAAGAAACGCAAATTCATGCCGAGACAGATCCGTTTGCATGATATCGAGGAGCGAAAGCGGCTGATCGCGCATAAGAAAGGCTGACTTGAAGGGTTCGTCAACTTTTTGTGTCCCGTGACACGCAAGATGGAGCCAAGTATTGTCCCGCAATGCACACAGCGCTCTTGATTTCGTGGCATCAACGCTGGTGACCTTGAAGAAGGAAACAGTAGGGGGAGGGGGCAAAAGTCCCCGCACCAACTCCAGCTCAGGCTCTACAGCATCCAAAGTGAATGAGGCACCAGCTGGACAATCCTGACCGATGGCAATGAAGGGCACCGACAAGGACCTTTCACGACTTCTGCGAGCCTTGATCAGCGCGGTGAGCGATGGCGTGTATGAAGAGATATACTGCTGCGAAAGGGACTTTCCCTTTGGCCTGTACTCGCCAGCAGCATGTAATGGCAAGAAATTGAAGAGAGACGTTGGGCACCACCATAGTCGGGAACCTGGTCGTGCGATTCCATCCAGACTTTCGACCACCGGGCCAACCACACCGTTCCACAACTCTCTCAAAGCTTTGATCAGCGCTGTTTGGTTCCCTTTAGGACCGGGCTCTTTTTCAACTGCCTCTCGGAGTGCTGGTACCAATTTGACGAGTTTCTGCCAATCGGTAGGGAGTTGAATGCTAGTCGGAGGTTGCTTGTGCGGGGTGATAATGGCGTGGCACGACGCCTCGCTTGTGATGAGCACGATAACAGGCCCATCACGAGCTGCATCTTGAAGATCAGAAAATAAGGGGGGAAGGAGGAAGCGGGAGAAGCTCTCAATCTTCCGGATCTCTTCTACAGCTCTATTACACTCCCCCACTAGGCATCTGTACCGGGTTTCCTCTGCTTCTATATCGACTCTTGAGTTTCCTTCTGAATAGTTTACAGGAGGTTTATCGAGGAGGGAGCTGAGGTCTCTGAATCTCTTCATCAGGACTACTGCATGATCGCCGTGAGTCTGAAGGCTATCAAGAGGGGTGCGGAGTCGTGTCATCTGGGTCCAGATGATAGTCCTGCCTTGTTCCAACAACTCGACAGCGCGATACACATCACCACTACGAAGAGCACAGCATGCAGCATCAACGGCAAGTGTACTTGGGAAGTCCTTCATGATATTGTGACGAGACGATACTGAGGACGTTGTAGACATATAAGCGTCCAGAAGTTGCATGGAAGTTGCATGGAAGTTGCATATGCCTCCAGTTCAGTAGGATGTGAGTATTGAGAAGCTTCACCAACCCAGAGCAGACTTGTTCGCAGGCGGGATAGCAAGCCTCCAGGGACAATATTTGCTGCTGCCTTGAGATGATGCATGACAGCATCCAGACTATCGGTGTCTTCACCTGGGCCGGTATCGCCAAGGCTTGAACGATGCGACGACAAACAAACACTAGCCAGCGCCCTATGGACTGGTAATTGACGAGGATCATGTTGCATCATCAGAGCCAATGCACAACGGAGGTTCTCTCGTGACTCCTCAAGGTCTTCTCTATTGTGTTGGTGGTGAAAGCGGACGGAGAGTTGAATCGCGAGGTCACCTAATGACGTGGACCGATCTGTGTGACCGACCGGGCGCAAGGCCAGCGCTTCCCTGTGAAGTGCGATAGCCTGATCCAAGTCTTCGTCGTTGCCTCGGTGCTCAAAGCGGTAGGAGAGTTCAGTCGCAAGGTTATTTAATGACGTGGACCGATCTGTGTGACCGACCGGGTGCAAGGCCAGCGCTTCCCTGTGAAGTGCGATAGCTTGATCCAAGTCTTCGTCGTTGCCTCGGTGATGAAAGCGGGAGGAGAGTTGGTTCGCGAGGTTACCTAATGACATAGACCGATTTCTGTGACCGACCGGGCGCAAGGCCAGCGCTTCCGTATGAAGCGTGATGGCCTGATCCAAGTCTTTACCATTGCCTCGACGCTGGAAGCGAGTTCCCAGCATTACAGCCAGATTGCATAGCAATTGCCCTCGGTAAGCATGTCCGGTATTGTAGTATCCCAATGCATCATAATGAAGGGATATCACTTCATCTAAGGCACAGGGTTCATTTCTCTCCAAACACCGCTGTGCTCGATGAAGAAACTGTTTTGGCGATAACAGAAGTATAGGTGCGGCAGGCCGCTCCTGCTGGAAATCGGTTGTGCGAATGGCTTGAGGGAAATCGTCCGAGCTGGATAGAGATAGATGATACATACAAGTAATGACGACTTGTTGCACTCCACTGAGGTGTATCTCTCCCGAGTCCTGTGTGTGGTGATTCTGAGTGGCTTGCCAGCTCCTCAAATATTGAGAGACGATACCACGCAGTCGTGCATGGTTCGATGGTCTAATGGTTATGATTTCTGTCTCACATTATTCTGTCCACAGAAGGTTCCCAGTTCGATCCTGGGTCGAGCCACTTTTGTTTCCTTTTTACGGCTTTTGAATCTCGGGTGCAATAACTAGCTGGTCGTGCGTTCGCTCGATTGTTGCCACGAAATGAAGCATGAGCCTCTCGCTATTGCGTATGTATTTTGTATCGAGAGAAACAAGTTCTAAACGCTACATCATTCAGGATGATATCAGATTTCTTCCACCCAAACGTGGGAGGAGTAGAAAATCACATTTTCATGCTCAGTGCAAATCTCATCCATCGTGGTCACAAGGCATGATTTTTCCAAACTTGCTTTGACGTTCTCTACAACAACTTTTATCTTGCATTCAACATTCGCAGGTGATCGTAATCACACACAGTCATCCTCCAGATAGAGTGGGCATTCGCTGGCTTTTGCCAGGCTTGAAAGTATACTACATCCCATTTCCTACCATCGCCTCCTCCGCAACTCTTCCGAATTATTTTACATTTTTGCCATATTTCCGCGTCATCATTGCACGCGAGCATATTCACTTGATTCATGCGCACGCGAGTTTATCGTCCCTGGGCCAGGAGGCTATTCTACACGCCCACCATCTTGGCGTCCGCACGGTGTTCACCGATCACAGTCTTTTTGGCTTTGAAGATGCAGCGAGCATATTGACCAACAAACTCCTTGCGGCCGCTCTCAAAAATGTCGACGCTGTGATTTGTGTCTCGCATACTGGGTAGGTGGTCAACTCTTACTACAATCGATATCGTCCTTATTTCATCGCGACCGTGAATTAGAAGAGAAAATACAGTCCTGCGTGGACAGTTGTTTGAAATGTCTGAAGATTCATCTGCACTCGTCGTCCGGCCAAATGTTTATGTGATTCCAAACGCTTTGGTTGCGGAGCAGTTTACTCCGGCTACCGAGCTGGTGTCGTCAGAAACTAGTAAGTACTTCCGTGCTGGAGGGTCGAAGGAGACAACTGATTTTTCTTCAGTATATATCGTTGTTTTGTCTCGTCTGGCGTATCGTAAAGGCATCGACTTACTGGTCGCCACTGCCCCCCGAATATGCTCAGCCTTTCCTAACGTCAACTTCATCATAGGTAAGTCTCTCCACCCCCAGTATCATCTAACCCTAATTCGCTGGCCTAGGTGGGGACGGACCCAAGCTGAACGACCTATTACAAGTAAGAGAACGACATCTCCTCCAAGACCGCATAGAACTCCTCGGTCCAGTCCGACATCGCGACGTGCGAGACGTAAGTAAACACGAGCGCATCTGACTCTCATGCATGATCACGATCCATACTCGTCTCTGCAGGTTCTTGTGCGAGGATCTATATTTCTGAACACCTCATTGACGGAATCGTTTGGGATCGCCATTTTGGAAGCCGCGTGCGCAGGTCTTTATGTGGTCTCGACGCGAGTAGGCGGAGTCCCGGAGATTCTCCCTCATGATATGATTTCGTTTGCGAAGCCAGAGGAGGATGGTACGTGTGGGACGTTCCGCAAGTCGCGCATATCATTTTGGATGGCTTTTTCACCATGATTTTTTTCTAAAGATTTGATCCGTGCCCTGTCTGAGGCGGTCGCGATTGTTTCGACAGGCCAGCATGACCCCATGGAAGCTCATCAGAAGGTAAAAAACTTCTACAACTGGGGGGAAGTTGCAGAACGAACCGAGATTGTGTACGATGCTGTCGTCAAGTCTGAGCAGAAGGATCTCTGGACTAGGATGCAAAGGTAACTTTGTACACGTTTGTGCAGATAGACCTGGTTAACATGTTTCAGAACTATGGAACTAGGGCCATTTGCAGGACCAATCTACACAATCATCCTTGTGGTGGATTGCCTGTTCTTCCTATTTCTGGAATGGTTCATGCCGCGACACGATCTGGACTTTGTTCAAATGCACTGGGAGCAGCACAATTTTAGCCAGGTAGAGTTTCATATCGACCAACTCATACGTATCTCATCGACATCTCTCGAGCATAGCTTGCAAAAGATACCGAACCAAGAGACAATTAAACATAATCACTAGACATAACGAGATTGTAATACTAATACTTTGTCCAATGGAAATGCATCATCAAAAGCAGACCAAAAGTTGAACAAAAGAACAGAATTGGATACTAGGATATCATGCCACACGCCTCGGCTTCTTAAGTTTTCCCCCTCGCCTCCTGCTCCGCTTGGAGCCTTCGTCTACATCCATGAACGCGTCATTCACAGTAAGGTCATCCGAAGACCGCTTCATAGGGACCTTCACGCGATCTCTCAATGACGAGGACGATTGCGCACCATCAACACCCAACCGATCAATTAGAGAGCTTCCGTGGTTGTTAGACTGTCGATCAAAGCGGTCTCCAGGGTAGGCAGTCTCCTCAAAGTGCTGATTGAAACGTGAACCGGAGGGCACCCAAGGCGCAGAGCCGTGACGGAGACGAGTTGAACGAGGACGTCTTGGTTCTGTGTCGGGGCGAGGAGGTAGAGAGTGCGGAAGAGCATTCTGCAGGAGCCGTGCGCGCTCTGGATGCATAGCGAGTGGAACGGATTGGTGCAACCCTTCGCCATTCGCAGTATGCTGGCCGGAAGGCAACGACTCTGCTTCCGCGTGGCGCGAGGACTCGTGTGGGGACAAATCTTGTGTTCTAGACCACTTCGAATTTCTTGAGTCATCTACACGCCATTCCTTGGCATGATCCAGTGAAGGGGGACCATGGTCATGACGATCATTGCGACCGCTGCTACGTGGGTATTCAGGAGGATCTTTTGCATCCTTTCTCTCAAGCGCATAGGACCGTGGTTCAGGCAGCCGTTGACCGCGAAGAGAGACATCCCCATCATGCCTGGATTGTTGTGACGGATGAGCGGCATCGCGTGCCGATGTCATGGAAGAGTCCCTGGAAAGAGGAGGAGGGGTAGCATGATCATCATAGTGATGGGAATGAGGACTCTCAGGCGTCTGGTCACGTCTGCCGTGAAGGTATGGTTTCCCCTCGACTTCCGGAACTGGAGGTCCAAAGCGAGTCTACAGTACAAAAGTCAGTCAAGCTCCAATGGTTGTGCTCAAAGGACCCACTCTTACCGCACGTGCACCTACTCGTGATGGCGAATCTGTATTGATAGGCGCATCCGCAGGTGGGTCAGGTACAGAGAGAGGCTTGCGCGGAAGGAGCTGTAACATAAACTTGTGAGGCCCCAATTTATTTCCACACAAGAGAGCGTACAGGTGAAACTATGCGCTCTGTTTGCTGACGTTGATCAGCGGAACTCTGGGTTAAACGCTCTCTGTCGTAGACAACATCCACATAGGGCTATGGTTGTAAGTAAGGAACAGCGGTTACAATGATATGCATGTAAAACATACTGGTCGATCAGAATTGTCCTTAGCACCAGTAGGAGGACGAACAGGGCGGGAAACCACAGGCTGCGCGTTACTTCCAGATACATGAGCGCCTCGCCGTGAAGCGGAATTCGCCGGAGGAAGGAAAGTCGAAGACAGGAGTGGTGGATGCGGTGAAATTGAAGTAGAATTACTAAAGCGGTTACCTCTACCACCAATTGGCATGCTGTTTGTTCCAGACAGTTTTGGCGTTGGAGCACTAGGAGGCAGCCTTGACACATCAACATGACGACGAGAAGTATCGCGCTATAAATTCAAATTTAACACCCCAACAGAAGTCATCGACAAAGTACAAACCGAAGTCCGAGTCAATGATTCAACAGGCGCACGTCTTTCATCCCGCGAGGGCGGAGCTCGAGAACTATCTTCATGTGCTGTGCGATGAGACTCTTTCCATTCAGAACGTGACATTTTGGGAGAGCGATCTATGTCCCATTTATCTCACATAAATGAATGAAGCAGTATAATGGGCCTACCTGGAGACCTCCGTCGTACGGGCATCTCGACATCGTCCATCATTGCCCGCGGGCGTTTAGGAGCGGAGCCGTCACGATCCTCTCGATAGCGCTGACTGTTCGCAAGCTGTCGAGAAGGTTCAGTGGACTTGGCGATACTGGCTGGAGGAGGGTCTTCAACGTCCATCTGATCTTGACCTCGTTTGTCCCTAGACTCGTTATGAGCATAGGTATCTATCTGAGAGTTTGAATGCGGCGCAGAACTGGAATGCGCTTGCCGAGAGCCTCTGGCATCGGAGGATCTGATGTCTCTTGAGGTCTCCAAAGGAGACAGGCGTGGGCCCGAAGGGATGCGTGTATCGTTGGTAATCAACCGAGAAACCGGAGCACTTTCACGAGTGGCAGACGGTGGCGAGCGGTACCCGACATCCAATCTGCCACGGGAGCCTTCCTGGAAACTGTCACGTTGCGGTGGCAAAGGCACCCGTTTTCGAGAGCCTGAACAAGCGAGAGATGCACGCGAATGGCAGACGACGTTGGCATGAGGAAGGAAGAGTGGATGGGTGAAGAATACGTACGTTCGATTGGGGGGGATGGGGTAGGGGGTACCAGCTGCTCCTGCGGAGCTTGGGGCAACGTCTGAGGCGCCACGACCGTGTTTTCGTGAGCTCTTGCATCAGGTTTGTGGCGATCACTTGTTCGATGACGAGTCCGAGTCCCATCTGCGCTAAGCGACCTAGCTTGACCGCGCAGTTCTTGCGAGGGCTTGTCAGGTAAATCTGGAAATCGTTGGTCCGTCTGAGAAGGCGCTTGAATCAAGCGACTATTCTGCCTTGCTGCGGACGACAATTCATTGCGCGAGATGTCGGGATCGTTCGAAGACGGCAATGTGGGCGGGTACTGAACGTCACGATTGTGGCTGACAGGCGATCTGGGTCCTAGAGAATAACAAAGGAGAAAAGAAAAACAAAGAGGATAGATACAAGGATAGGGGAAAAAGGAGGAAGAAGATAGGGATCCATGATGAGCGTCCGTGTGTCCATGCGAGGAAGAAGTCGAATACAAAAGAACGAAATATGGTACTGCGCAGCTCAACTCTCGAGGTTGTGCGGGACGCAGCAAAGGCCTTGCGTCCTGTACCCCAGGAGGAGCAGATACGCCGACGAGGGATGAGGATAGGGGATGATGTAGATAACGTACTTATTGTCGACATTCTGTCGGCATCGCGAGGGGTCTCGCGACGCTCGCGTTCTTTGTGAGGAGGTTGCTCGGCTTCACGGTGTTTTCTTTCATGTGACACTGACCGATCGACAGGTGACGGAACTCGAGGCGCTACCCAAATGCGGTCTACATCTGCTATAGGTGAGCTGGGGCGCACAGGGTCCTTTGTGGATGCCCTGCCCCTATTCTGGTCCCCATTGGCTGAAGGTGACCACTGGCGACGAGAAGACAGAACGCGATCATCTGCGCGGTGGCGTGGAGGCGGCGAAAGGGACCGTTCTCCATTGGCTCTATTGGATGCCAAGAAAGAATCATTTTGACTACCATAGGATTGCACTGGCAGTCGCTCATCCCTTCGATTACTTTCTCCAGGGCGGTAGTGGCGATCATCATAGGACAAAATGGCACCAACGTCTGACCGGCCTATACGGGAGGTCAGGGAATCATCAGTCTTGCTGATAACAACGATATCCCGACTTTCGTCAGAAACGCGCCGATCACGAACAAGCGGAGAGCTGCCAGGACGCGTCCAGGTCGATTCCTTGGTGCGAGAATTATAATAATAGACACCGCGGCCATTTCTCGGGTGTCTAACCTCCCAATCTGGGGGAAGTATATCCCCTGATTCAAATGTCGCAGGCTTGGAGATGACGACAGTGCTGTTTTTCTTGTCCCGGTCGACGCGAGCCGCCATGGCAGTAGCTTCAATGATGGACGGATGAGAAGGATGCATAAATGGAACTGAAGACACTATTGGTTTGGGAGGAAGAGCATGAGTAAGTTTCCCAAACGACAGCTGGCGATTGAGGGCTGGAGATAGTTCGGAAACCGTATGGGTTTCCTGAGGAGACCTTACTGGCGTTTTGGGCCTGTCATGTTCGAGAGACTTGCCCCGAGCATTGGCGCCAGAAACTGGTATCACCTGATTTTTTTCAGAGTGATTAACAGTCTTCAATGAAGGCTGTGTGCGCTGAGTACCGCCCTGTGAAACGCAAGACTGGTAGGTCAGAAATTCGTCGTCCTCGTCACCTCCAAGTGACACAGCATCTTCTGCATCCTCAGCAGCAAGGCTTGGATCTTGCTCCGAAGTTCCCCTGTCTTCCTCCTCATTTCCCCAATCTAGAACTTCAGTTTCATCTTCTACCATGGCGCGGACAAGAGGAGTGATAAACTGACGACAGAAATGCGTTCCCAAGTTGGCCGAGGAGAACTCCTAGCTCCGACCCAAATTTCAATTCCCGCCCGCTCCCTGCCGAGATCTGAGACCCCATCGTGTAAGTACATCCAGGATTTTACTGGCAATATCAATCATTCCATCATGCTAGCTCAGGTGTCGTGGCATACGAGTATCATTGTCCGAGCACCTGGAAAGTTTCCAGATACTTTCAACAAAAGTTGTTTAGCCTTTCATTGACATTGTTGATGTCATAATGGGTATACTTTCATTTGAAGTGCGGAGATTTGATGGCTCTTACTATACATCGCCGTCTTGTCCAGGTCGGACGTGCACAATTAATCACATCCTTGACCACTCAATTCAGGGAATTGACAAGCTGCAAGGTCTCATGGCGTGGCGGTTATTCTCGCATTGGAACTGGACGACTATGACGACTGCCTCACTAATGCAATCGATGCACATCACCAGAGCTATGATACACCCCGATCAATATACGGCTCGCAACGACCAGCAACATCCTGTATATGGCATCACGGAGCGCAATATTGATAACGTTCTCCACTACCGCTCGCTTGCCCACAAAGCAAGGGTAAAGGCCCCGAATACGAGGGCCTTGTAATCCTTGTTGATGTCGAGTTACTTTTGGATGCTTGTTACCATCAAAGAACTTGGTTGCGACTCGGATCTTGGAATTCGCGCTTGGCGCCGGGTGCCGCCGAGTGTTGAGAACTGGTAACTTAGTGAAGCCATTCCTGAAAAATATTGTTCCGTTCCATAAGCCCTTGACTGCTCAAGGTGCTCTGATCCTTCCATTCATCGTTTTGCCGTCGAATCAGCATCGATTCCATCAGATTAGAAGCAACTGACTGAAATCGGAATAACGTCGTCTCAGAGGGACCCTTCCCATGCGCAACATCCGTTCCTGTAACACTGATCTTCACTACCTGGCGGCCTAGCTGTCTACCTTTATGAAGACATCCAACATTGGTGTCCTGCTGAGACGGAGTAGCACAGCACAGTTCGATTTACTGTCTTGGAATAAATGCAAGACAGCAGTTTTTATCTTAAGCTTATGACTAGATACGTCGGTGTGTTGACAAGCATTGTAAACATATGACCTTGGTCTCTGCCGCACAAATAGTGCACTTGAAACACGCTTACAAATCATCAACGAGTCGTTATCCCGAACCCGATTCCGATCAGCCCTCTTGGTTGGTCATCATCTCAGTCGCCCTTCATCAAATTTTTGTTCAAAGTGTCTCCATCTCGCACTCTTTTCCGACGCCCTCGAGTAGGCACAGACATGCCCATGCCTATACTTCCCTTAACATCTCCATCATATCCTATTCACAATTTATCTGGCACTCCCATGTCTGTCTCCAATCGCGTGCCATTAATGTTTCGACGGTTGCATAGGTTCCAGCAAATGGTGTGAAGTGCATGCTGTTAAGCTCTGGGTAGACGTTCTGAGATAGACTGGCTGCGCAGGATTTTGAACTGGCCTTTTGGCAGCTGTCTTATCTCTGCCTAGCACCCAAGAGAGTGTGAGCCAACTCCCGAAATATCAACGCAATTATAGTCCGTTGACGCCTGACTATTAGTTATCGAAACGTATACTACCACAAGCGTATGTCAATGTATTTTGGTCTGGATCCATCATTTATGCGTTTACCGTAGAGACCAAGAACACCTGGGCGAGAGATGACCCAGCAATCTTAATTCTGCTATTTGCAAGCCTCTTTGGTGAGATTCATCCATCCAACCTGTATTCAGAAGTCATTTACAACGTATCCGATGTCCTTTAGTTGCTGCAGTAGCATGGTCTATTGTGTATTCGTATTCTCCACTGCAGGCTGTACGATTAGCCTTTATGATGATACTGCGAGATTACCTCCTTGTCGGTGCACTGAGTGCGACTCTTCTTTGGTTCGTCACTCCTCTTCTAGCTTGATGTTGACTCATCATTTTCCTTCATAGGTTCTTCGCCAACCGGGTGTTGGTATCACCTTCCTCTCATTCATCACCTACAGATTCTTCAGTCGAATGGGCATATGCTTTTGACGTTCACACGAACGCATTTTTCCCCTTGTATCTGACACTTTATTTAGCGCAACTGTTCCTCCTTCCCGTAGTCTCGAAGGATAACTGGGTTTGCCTCCTTGTTGGCAATACCTTATATCTTGCAGGGCAAGTATTGGACGTCACGCCACCTAAATTGTATCGACATTGATTTCGCCAACAGGTTTTCTCAGTACATCTACGGAGTGTACCTCGGGCTCAGTGGTATGCAAGACTTCTCTTCTATCGCGCCGCTAATTTTTTCTCCACACTCAGCTCTGCCATTCTTGATACGTTCCGAAATATTGCTGGCCCCACTATTACCGTTATTTGCGAGCTATGTTGTCTCGTTATTGGGTTTCCACGTTGCAAAACATGTTCTGAGCTTGTACTTCGGTTCATAATACACTGCACTGTACAGAAGCTAGACGATAGGCGTGAACTCCCATTGATTACCTATAACTATTTCCGCAGTAGTGTGCTGTGGCTTGGTCGCAATAATAATAGACACTTCGTGTTACAACTTTGAAGCTGTGGGCCCAGGGGTATTTTCTCCAGTCACCGCCACTGAGCGTCTCTTGCACTCCCTTCTATCCGTGTGCGACCGATCTTCTTCAATTACCGTCATCATGCACATCCCACAAGCCTTTGTCGAACGTGCAATTGAGCAGATCCAGCACAAGAAGCCGCTGCCCGATATCGACTTCACTCAGCATGTACTCGAAGATGGCAACACAATCAGCACACAAGAGCGGGTTGTCAAAGATGTACGCTCGCGTCATCGGTTACTCATTTTAACCGCCTGCTGAGCTCTCATTGCAGGTGCAAGCGCCAGCTATGAATGTCCCGACGGATGCCCAGTTTTTCTCCAGACAAGATCCCACGAAACCTGACGTAGCGTTCCTCAAGAACCACTTTTACCGCGAAGGCCGTGTTACCGAGGATCAGGCGATATGGATTTTGGAAAAGGCAACTGCGCTCCTTCGTGCGGAGCCTAACGTCTTGCAGGTCGACGCGCCAATCACAGGTGAGTGTGCTTGTCGTCTGCTGTGTCACACCATGCCAACACACCCATCTTCCCTAGTGTGTGGCGATATCCATGGCCAATATGTATGCGTCCTCAATTGTTCGTCAGGCTGATACCTTACTGATCATCTCTCCAGTACGACCTGATGAAACTGTTCGAAGTTGGCGGTAGTCCAGCGGATACACGGTACCTTTTCCTCGGAGATTACGTTGATCGGGGTTACTTCAGTATAGAGGTGTGTCTCGCATCAATGCTCTACCTTTTCCAACTCATCCCATTATACAGTGCGTTCTGTATCTGTGGTCCTTAAAGATCTGGTATCCCGACACCCTTTTCCTGCTCCGTGGCAACCATGAATGCCGGCATCTCACAGACTATTTCACTTTCAAGCTTGAATGTTTGTTTCAATCACTTCATCTCTAAATGGACCTGCAACTAACGTCACTCAGGTAAGCACAAATACTCGGAGCGCATCTATGACGCTTGCATGGACTCCTTTTGTGCGCTTCCCCTTGCTGCCATCATGAATAAGCAATTCCTGTGCATCCACGGCGGTCTTTCACCAGAGCTGAACACTTTGGATGATATTAGAGCAGTATGTTGATACGCGGATCTTCCATGATGCAACGTTCATCTATATTGTGTTTAGATCGACCGGTTCCGCGAGCCTCCGACACACGGGCTGATGTGCGATATTCTATGGTCGGATCCCGTCGAAGACTTTGGACAAGAGAAGATGAATGAAAGCTTTGTTCATAATCACGTTCGGGGTTGTTCTTACTTCTTCACGTGAGTTATTGTCTCAGGTGCTCGATGTATTGTGATTAATCGTCGACATGCAGTTATCAAGCTGCCTGTCAGTTCTTAGAGCGAAATAATCTTCTTTCGATCATTCGCGCACACGAAGCGCAAGATGCCGGGTATGTTTTGATTGCACAGCCGTTCATGTTACTCATGCAGTCGCTCAAAAGATATCGCATGTACCGGAAGACGAAAAGCACAGGCTTTCCTTCTGTCATGACGATCTTTTCTGCTCCAAACTACCTAGACGTCTACAACAACAAAGCGGCCGTATTGAAGTATGAGAGCAACGTGATGAACATTCGGCAGTTCAACTGCACGCCTCATCCGTACTGGCTACCTAACTTCATGGATGTGTTTACTTGGAGTTTACCCTTTGTGGGAGAGAAAAGTATGTTCACGAAGCTCGAAGCTTATTTGGAGTGTCTATCCAGAACTGAGCGACGCATATAGTCACAGACATGCTTGTCGCCGTGCTAAACACTTGCAGCAAAGAAGAGCTGGAGGAGTCTGACGAGGAACAGGTTGTTTCACGAGTAGCCCACCCCGAAGAGACTGTAGAGAGGCGAAAGATCATCAAAAACAAGATTCTTGCAGTTGGGCGGATGGCGCGTGTGTTTGCTCTGCTCCGGTACGCAATCCTTGTCTACACGTTGCGCTAGTTTGACAAATCTGTCACAGAGAGGAGTCGGAGAAAGTTTCAGAGCTCAAGAGCATATCTGGTTCTAGTAAGTTGCCATACGGCACGCTAGCATTGGGTACAGAGGGCATTAAAGATGCTATTTCTGGCTTCGAGGACGCGTACGTACAACGTTTTCCCCCTGCGTACGCTCTTGGTGTTCATTACATTTTCACACAGACGGAAGTCAGATATCGAAAACGAGCGTCTGCCTCCAGAACTTTTTGACGCCGAAGAGGCAAAAGCATACCTGGCTCAAGCACAAGCTGGGTCGTTACCGACGACCCCAGCAGACACGATCGATTCTCCTGTGTCCCCGGGTGTAGCCGGCGTTGGAGTGGACCCTTCCATGTCGTCGGGATCGCTGACGTCCTTACCGAGTCTCCCGAGCGGTGGACAGATGGGGTCTCCGCGCACGCCTTTCAAGGGTAGACATGGTCGGCAGGCTTCACTTGGGACGACGATGACGAGTCCCTCGACGAGGCGCCGGAGTTTGGAAAGCACGATTTCAATGATCCAGGAGGCGCTGGATGGGAAAGACTTGGAAACTCATGGACTTCCTGGAAATGGTTCGTCTTATGGGGGTGGGGGTGGTCATAGTTGATGGGCATCGAAGCGATACTGTGTATCCATAGTCTTTTTTTCTAGTCGCTTTGATGGATCGCAACTTTGTGATGAAAAGAACGAGTATGAGTATAATTATTAATGGACAACTTTATTGATGATTAGCAGCCTGTTGTCCACCGACCTGCCGCACATGTGGAGCTCTCTTGAGTCATACTATATAGATCAGAGGTAATCCTAGCAACGGATAACAAGCTCCAAGTCATTAGGCGCCAGGCCTCCTAGCAAATGAATCATTATAACCAGAGATTCCCACAGTTAGGCTCAAGGCAGGTTCGAAGTCATTGACCGTCCTCCGAAGCCCAAACTGCTTGATTATATCTGATCTTCATTCCCGACCAGGAAATAGCTTGTGGTCGTGCAATCTCATGACGGAGGACATCATATTCTCAAGATTACTGGCTAGAAGCCATGGACTCGGAATTTAAGAATGAGTGCAAATGTATGGATGGCAAGGGTGATTTCTGCTTGCTTTTGCGAAAAGCGTTTACACACTCACTTGAGATTTTCTACGAGCTTGCACATTGACACGATTCGACATGGTGTGATTCTGTGAAACACTTGAAAATTTGGTTTGCATAATTGAAAACTACCGACTGCATACATATACTCGGAGCACATTTGTGTCATATCAGGGACAGTATAAACCGTCGGTGAAAGAAGGAGGTAAGTAGAAACTACTGACGATATCCAGCGTGATTGAGGCTTGTCGCATACTTCCATCAGGGAAAACCTGCCGTGCAAACCTAGCTAAGTTTAGATCTAACTTCAATAATTACTGAAATTTTTTCCTAAATACAGTGTTTAGCAGATTATGGAGACTCTTTTACCCCCCCCCCCCCCCCCTTTAACTTTTTCAAAATTAGACGATATTTTTGCACATTGTACAGAACGTAGCATAAACTTAGCGCTAACGTTGCGAAGATTTTCTTGCATTCAGATTTATTATTGCTCACTAGAACTGACTTGTATACAAGAAAGAAATCAAGTTTTCATTAAAAAGAATGTAATAGTAAAGAGCGAGTATATAACGATTTCGAGAGGTAATACTATGGAGACTTAGTCCTCATCCATCCCGTCGAGGTCAAGGAATGCAAGCGCATCAGCTTCCGCATCAGTGGCGGAACTCTTGTGCTGCATGAGATCCCTTACAAAAGACTCGAGTGCATTTAAGGTGTACAAGAGAACAAGACTGGACATACTGTATTGCAGCGAAGATATCGGCCATCAACTTGTGGAATTTCTCGGGCGATTTTGCGCTAAAATCTTTCAGAAATTTGACATGGAAGAAATAGACCTCGCTAAATTGATTTCTGGTAAAGTTAAACTTGGCCGGAGCGCCATGTACCGTCCAGAAGAGCACTGCATACACCTATATAGCCATTTTCAACTAGTGGTGGCCAGGTCCGGTTCAAGGTTCGGGCAACAGGTGGAACCGGACCATTAGTCCAGTCCTCAGTTCGAGGACGATGCAGACTTACAGAACCAGTTCTGAACCGTTAGTAGTAAGTCTTTTGAATTAGTAAGAATAGATCAAGTGATCCGCACTTACTTTAACAGATTGTCGATATCATGGACTCATCTGCGACTCCGATGCCTTGACGACGACACTTCAAATCTTCAATCAATGAGTTCAAGGTAATTTATCAAACAAACTGACATTTTTTCAATCAATAATCATGGCGCTGGCTTAAAGCTGCAGGGCATGAGTTCTATGGTGAGCTTGACTACAGTTTCCCGCCCACAATCATGACTGACCAGTGTGCTGTTGGCGCTGACGGCAATCTCAAAGATGCTTCCGAAATCATGTGGCACAACAACCCAGATGACGAGTGCCCTCTACCTGCCCCTGGTCCCACCACCAAAAAATCTACTGCCCCAGTGCACCATTTCTTTACTGGTGCTCGACGTAGTGCGCACCAAGACCTTTGACGAAAATTGTTGACCCTGACAATGTTGCCTCGTCGAGTTCAGCTCAGAGCAAGTGAAAGGCTGTGGACAGTGGTCCAGGGACCAGCTGACAAGTTGTGTTGGAATCCGAAGCGCCAGAGTTGAAGAAGACCAAGAGACCCGATGGACAGGCACAAGATGACGAGTAGGAAATGACAAGCAGCAGGTACGAGCGCAAGTCATTGGTCGAGGGACGTCGGGAACGGAAGGAACAGGGAGTACCTGTTGACGTCGGGACTGAAATGGTCCAAAGTAAATTTCTACCTTCAAAATAATCGAGAGCGCTTACCGTATAAATACTAGCGCCCAATCATTACGAGCATCTCAGTTCTTTCCAGAGACTGAGATGTGAGTCTATACCTTTAACCGTTATCCTTACACCTAACTGACTTAGCGTAGTTACTCTTACCCGTTAGGTACATGCTTCGTCAATAAGAGTTCTTTCCAGAGACTGAGACTTACTCTTACCTGTTAGATCTTTTCTATCACGCTCTACCTCTAATCTCTAGAAGTTGCGTGCAAGGTAATTCCAGCTTCCAGTGCTTCTAGTGACGATGCAGGCAATCCAGATGGCAAAGACGATGCAGAGTGCACAGACAATGGTGCGGAGGCTTCATATGTGCAAACTAAAGCTATGAAGGATGTGGACCGTGAGGCAGGCAGGACTCGTCTCAAAAGCGAATGTACTGCAGACGTCCGCACCATCTTTGTCAAAAAGAATGATGTGTCCGAGCCTGGACATGTTTGTACCATCTGCGAGTGAGTTTTAGTAATCATACCAATATCACCTTTACTTAAGTAACTTAACTGACTTGGTTCTGTAGAAAGAACGGTGTCCTGGCTCACCATTGCTTCTTCAAAGGAGGTATGTCAACACTTCATACCCATATCGCTAGGCAAGTGCCGTATCTTCACTGACTAAGTACTATTGCTGACAGAGCAGTGTTGTAGGCATCCTGACCACTTTGCTGTTTATCAAGCACACTGCAAGAATCTGCAAATCCATATGCACGTGCAAGCATGTCCAAAGTCTGATGGGACTCTCCAAAGGTAAGTTTCCTCTGTAATCTACTTACTACATACTCATTATGTAATCCAGTCAAGGAAGTCTTGATGGCATTGTAGTTCATCAGCCTCGGGCACCCGTTTTCACTACCAGCGGTCTTCTTGACTACATTGTCGAGCTGGTTGTATGCGAAGACAAGGTAATTCAATTGTTCATAGTTCAAATAACAACACATGACTAACCAAATCATACAGGCATTCCAAGTGGTGGACAAGGCACCATTTCAGCGCTTGCTGAGATATGTCCGACCAACCTTGTCTGATGAGGATATTCTGCACCGAAAGGCCCTTTGCGAGGAAATCATCAAGAAAGCCAAAGCTACTGAAGTGCGTGTCAAGGAAATTCTCAAGGTGTGTACTTGTATTATTTCATGAGTTCTGAGTACTGATGCTGTGGTGCAGGATATACCTGGCAAAGTCTCATTCACCTTTGATGCTTGGACTTCGGATCCTGGTGACCCTTTTCTTTTGGTAACTGGCCATTATATACATGCACCACCTGAAAGTCCTAATGCCTGGAAACTCCGAACTGAACAACTTGCCTTTGCTCCAATGGAAGGACGGCATTCAGGAGCCAATATGGCCAACTTGCTCACACGAACTGTTGACTGCTATGGTCTTCACAAAAAGGTTGGTTGGTTCTCGTGTGATAATGCTGCCAGTAACAACACATGTCTCATGGTGTTTGCCGACACTGTCAACACCAACAAGAAGTCCAAGTCTGATGTGCAGAGGTGGGATCCAGTAGAAGGTCACATCAGGTATGATTTTGCCTCATCATTTGGTGCATTCATCACTCACTCAATACCAGATGCATGGAACACACTATCAACCTTGCTGCTGGACATTTTCTCATGGCCATCTCACCAACATCTAGCCGCAAACTTCTAAAGTAAATCAAGGCAGCAGTTAAACACTTGGATATTGATTTCGATGCTTTAGATGTCAGTTTGAATGGGATTGATTATGAGGGAGTGGATAAATGTGAAGAGGATGATGATGAGGATGATGAATTTGGAGTCGGTGATTCAATTGGTAAGGCTCTTGCGCTTGTGAAACAGGTTTGTTGACTTCCGTCTGACAACTTTTACATTCTACTAACTATTGATTATAGATCTGTGCATCACCTCAGCCCACACATTCTTTGCACAGTCATGTAAACAAGCAGATGTCCCTGTTCTGGAGCTTACACAATGGATACGGACTCAATGGGTGTCCATGCATAGTTTTATCACCCACATGTTGTTACTTCAAAAGGTACGTCTCTCATATGTTGCACGTCCATGAGCTCATTGTTCTTTATAGGGTGTCAATCTTTTTGTCGAGCTTGCAGATGACAGTGAGGCCGTTCCTGGCCTCAAAGGCAAATGTTATGCGGACTTTCGTCTTGACAAAAAGGACTGGGAGCAATTGGTGCACGAAGTTCTTCAGGTATGTGTATCTAGTTCTACCAACTGTACTTATTACTAATATTTGCACAGGAACAAGTGAGCGCCACGCAAACATTTTCCAGTTCGTCCGATCCTTCCGTCTGGTGGACAATTCCAGTTCTCGAGTTTTTGCAGAAGTCCTGGGAAAATATGGCAGCCCTTCCTCAATTCTCACAAGTCTGCAACACTATTCTCAAGGGATTGAACAATGTTGCAAAGTGGTATGACAAAACAAAAGCTACTAATGCATACTTTATTTGTCTAGCACTCAATCCTAATGTCAAGGTTGCCTATTTTGAGCATCAGTGGGATACGGAATCCTTCAAAATTGGTCTCAAAGATCTCGAACGAGTGGTATGTTTAATATTTGTTGACCATTGAAGCCAATATTTGCTGACATGTTTCGATAGTTTGATGAGTACTATACTATTGCCCCTGTCTCAGCTCCTGTGGATGCAGACATCAAACAAGCACCACCTGGACAAGCCCAATATGGCCATTCCTGGGTCCTTGCTGCTGTACATGCACATCAAGCATCTGATCGCACCCAGCTTAGGCCTCGTGCTGAACTTACTGCATACCTCCGGAGTCCTCTCGAGCAGATGGAGGATGTTGTGGGTTGGTGGGGTGTAAGTCTTTTTTTCTCATCATTGCGAGTTCATTTACATCAACTTCATACAGCACCATCAGTCACAATATCCGACACTTTCATGCATGGCCCGAGATTATTTAGCCATCCAGGGTAGTAGCACAGCATCGGAGCATGCCTTTTCAAGCGGTGGACTAATGGGAACCAAATGACGGAATCATCTCAACAAGGATGTATTCGAGAACTTGCAACTGTTGAAGAGTGCATACCACAATGGCCACATCTCTGCTGCTAGTGATGCCGAGCAACATCTGGATTCGTTGATTGCTGCACTCCATGACAATACAGATGACGAGGATGGTGAACTGGTCTAGTAGCATTTAGTATTAGTACTTCTGTTGTCAGGCATGTTTCATTTATATGATTTTTCTTGATGAAATTTTTATTATTTTGGATGGTTCGGTTCTCGGTTCGAACCCTTGCTGAACCAGAACCAGACCATTATTGGACCAAACCGATGGTCCAGTCCTTGGTTCTGCTCACTGGGAGAACCAAACCTATGGTCAGGTTTGTGGTTCTCAGAATTTGCCTGAGAACTGGACCAAACTGGACCTGTCCATCACTATTTTCAATGCAAATGAGCAAACAAACAAAATACAATAAATGAATGATGAATAAACAAGCAAAAACTTACCAATTGTGCAAGGCGCCAAGAATGAGTATGCGCAAGCAAAGAAGAACAAGTGCATGCAAATACGAGAGCAGCAAGAAATAATCCTATAAGTCTCCTAGAATAGTTTCGTGTAAATATAAAGAACAAGATTAGAATAAAATAAACATTGCACACCTTAATTGTATGTAGTGCATGAACACCAGGGAGAAAGACAAGAGTGAGAGTCGAAGAAGAAAAAGAAGACATGGCATGGTGCCACTTTGGCAATTTGCTCAACAAACAAGTCACATGATACAACCAAATACACACAAATGTTGGACTCGAGATATTTCGTTCAACAAACAAGTCGCATGATACAACTGAATACACACAAATGTTGGACTTGAGAGATATTTTAAAATTGCATACTCACATTGATCAATTCATCACTCAGTAGGATTCAGGTGTCAAATTTCTTGAATCTCCATACCTGCATGTCTTGTGACTGGAAGAGTAACAATGTTCTTGAGGAATGTGATACATTTTTGGTTAATTGTTACATAGATAGGCATAATTTTGTGACCCTTAGGTAGTACTCTATAACTTTGCAATAATTACATTGTGTATTATGAACAATATTGAGTTTATGTATATCTAGCTCTAATTTGTGATATTTTATCTGACTTAGACAAGTTAGATATATTTTGTCTATTGTATACCTAAGTTGGCATGGGAGGTTTTCCCTGATGTCCACATAGCTTCCATCAACATTGTCCCAATGTTGACGACATATGTGACCATCCAGATCGCAGTGATGGCACAGTAGATTATATCAGGAGAAGAAAAACCTGCTATCAACATTGCTGGGGGTGAAATCCATGAGGGACTAAGGAAAGCATGAAATGACGGAACAACTCACTGAATATGAAACAATTCAGGGACAAGACAACGAAAAATATAGGTGTGACTATTGACAACAGGTAGGACAGGACAAAGTAGCCGCCTGGCCTGAGTTGCTGATCATATTGAGTCAGCCGATACAATCAGCATGGCGAGAAATAAATTTACTTCTTGCATCCAGTGCCGATCAGTGTGCAGCCAACATGTCATACTCAAGCCAGATGTTAACATAGTGAGTACAGCGAGCATAAGGGATATAAAGAGGAGACAGAATTCAGCATGAAGCCAGAAGTGCATTCCCTATGCTGTAATATACCTGGGAGATTGAGTCCAAGAATCATAGGCAAAGTCGTTTCTCCTCCATCAAACGTGCAGCATCTCCAAGTTGAGTGCGAAGAGCAACAGAAACATGTTCCCCAAGAGTTAAAAAGGACTGATATGTATTTTGCACTACAATAGAGGCATTGTCAAGGTCATCAGCTGTTACAAGAACATCTAGACGCTTGAGCTCCTACCATTTTTCTCCTCATCCTTCTGGTATCAGCCCTCGCATCATACCCCTACCCCAACCTCACCCTTGTTATCCTTGTCATCCTCGCATTCCCGTTCGCCCTCTACCTGTCGCTTCAGCAAAGCCAGTACATCTGGCCGGATCCTTTCGCTGACGAAGCATACCCGTGCTCCGTTCCACCACCTGACTGATCCTGTGGACAGTCCCTTTGCCCTTACCGTCTGGACGGTAACCTATGATATGATGCATGACGCATCCCCTTTGCCCTTTTCCCTTTCTTGATCTTTGACTCAGTGCGCAGTCGCACATGCGACTTATACTTAGCTCCGCAGCTGCACGATCATGCCCCTGCATGTTTCACTTCTTATTTTCGACCTTTGACTCACTTTCTTATCAAGCACGTTCTAGCTCAACCCGAACGTGCTTTCCTTATATGGTTATACCCTTTACCATTTGCCTCTCTTGGTAGTACGAGTTATCACCCACTAATACGCCTCCTGTCCTCTATATAAACTCGCTACCATGTACTATATTCCCTAACTTGAATCTACTTGGTTCTTGACCTCCTACTCTCACCAGAGTGATCCTTTCTGCCTAGCCAGCAGTCTATATTCTATCTTCTTATCTGCTCTTCACGGATAAGTCCTTAGTCTCGATCTTTACTCATCGACTTCGTCAACAAGCAAAGCCCCTGTTAACTAGTCGGACTTCCGTCCTTCTAATTCATGACGATCTTACGATTAACCTTCGGGTGTCATAAGCCTTGGCAGATACAGCTCATCGTCTAGCACCCGCTTGACGTAAGCTACCTGATTTGGACATAGGCGTCAAATCTTACTTGCCAAAGCCTCGCCAAGTAAGACCCCTAACCTTGGGCTAGCCCAAGGACGTCCTTGACCGTTGACGACACACACTCTGTTTGAGCGTCGCCAACAGATACCATCCAAGTCGTAACATCAGCCATTAGATTCAGTGGTATCTATTCATACATGCGCAGTTAGCAAGCAGGATATATATATGATCAGATAATGGGATCCGCCAAACTCCAACTATGTGCCTGCAGACATTTCCTCTCCATAAGCGGAAATGTAGATGGACGAGTGAAAACGAGCCCTAAAAAACACACAAATGAATATAGGTACGCAGCAAGTAAGTCACTGAAGTAGCATAGGACAATAATTGTTACAATAACATTTACTCCTATTTCATTTTTCCTTTGTAACCATGCCGCCGATTCTAGACTCATCTAGACCCGGCTATTCTCTTTTCAAGCGGGCTGTCCGCACTTCTCTTCTTCTTGATTGTAACATAGATACTATCTTGCACCACATGGTGGTTTCACCTATCTTTGCTATCTTGATAGGTTGTACTCTTTTTCCTATCTTTGTTACCATTCCTGTCGCAGCTGCGCTGCTCCCTTTTACCTATATAAACCCCATGTACCATAGATGTATTCCTTAACTTAATCTACTGGGTTTTCCCCTTGAAACCTGATCTACAAGGTCTCCACCCTTGTAGCCTGAACTCTGATTCTAAGACAGTCACTCACTGTCTTAGCCTGAACCCTTGACTGCGGTAGAAGTGCTAAAACCACTCACCGCCTAGGCAGAAGTGCTAAAACCACTCGCCGCTGATCCTGCATAGAAGCCGCGGCTCGTGCAGCGTGAACCCTTGAACCAAGACACCTTCCTTGTACTAGGAAGGCCGACGAACTGTCGACTGAGTGATCTATCTTTGATCCTTGACAGCAGAACTATCCCAGTCGTAACAATAATGAGCGAAGAAATAAATTTCTATCCAATCACTTGCAACCTGCTGTAGAATGTTGTTGACAGACAAGTGATAGTACAAGCCTAAGGAGCAGCTGGTAAAGGATGTCCGTGTGTCACGCACACTCTTGTGCAGTAGTGAGAACATCTGCTTGGAAAGCAGATAGCTTTTTGGGTGGAAGGGGGCAACCTGGCCCCAGCGGTCGCCCCGACCTGTGAGAAAGTGAGCTGAGGTGAGCTGCAACTCCCACATTAGTAGGAGTGAATGTGACACAGCGAATTGAACCTCGGATTCCCAATTGTAGCTACAAGGTGACACATCCACATCGAGGTGAGGCTAGATGAGGAGACAGTTAGTAACAAAGGTGGTAAGAAGCACACAAGGATCTGAGGCTCCTACCTGTGGCCGGCTCCCCCGCCAGACTTGTCTTCATTGTATGTGGACGCACACAAGGATCTGAGCCATCGGAGCTCACTAAAGTTTGTAGCAGAAAATAATATCCGAAAGGCGGCAAGCGCTTCAGGGTAGAATTCCCATATCTAGTCCGGGATGTTCCGTGCTGTCTTCGAAATTGAATCATTTTTTGTGAAAGCGAAAGGGAAAGCGGAGGGTGAAATTTGAAAGCCAAAATGACAGGTAAAAGCGAAATTTAATCATTTTTTGCGAAAGCGAAAGCAGAAAGATGAAATTTTGAAAGCACTTAGCGAACTCACCTCATTTCAAAAGGTAACAAGGTTTTGTCCGCATTTGACCATCAAACTCACTCAAGGTTTTGTCTGCATTTGACCGTCAAACTCACTCATTTCAAAAGGTAACAAGGTTTTGTCCGCATTTGACCGTCAAAACTCTGTGGCCAAATTGGGTAAAAACGAGTGGGGACAATTCCCAGCGATTTCAATTCAGGGTTTCGAAGTTTCGTTTTGCTTTCAAACGCACGTGATACGTTTTCGCGGAATTTTCGAAAGTCCCGTTAGTAATATACGACGTTGTAGGTGACACTTCCGATCGTCCCGTGTTTTCATTGGCCGCCTACTTTCAACACTCGTTCAACTTCATTGGCCAACCATACACTTCAATCACAGCAATCGGTATCCGTCCCTTTAGTATAAATATTGCACCTCCTTGTTGTCAGTATGAGCATTAGTCCTTCTGTACTCTCACACCATGTCCTCATCCTGTTCCATTCAGGTGTGCTTTCAAAGTTAGGAATCCTTGACTTATGACCGAATGACGCCGACCCTTCCAGATTGCGGCTGATGGCAGAACATCTGCAGAAGAACTCCCCCTTCCAGAAGCCCTTTGTCCTACGTCCCTCGTAATGAGGGTGTTGTGTTTTTTGGCACTGGGACGCCCAAATCTTGATGATCATTGGAAGTCGCTCCAATCAGAGCAAGCCTTCGAAACCGTTAGGACCAGGTTGTGCTCCATCCTGGCCAGCACCATCACCACGGTAAGCTATCCAACTCTGCGCCCGTCGCGAACCAGAGCCGACGCTGACATGCTCTCATAACTTAAGGCAAGCGTCCTCCTCGCCATAAGCGGTGTCTTCGTCAGTACGGCCTCCCCCGTGTTATACTTCGACTATACGTCGCCCGTTTCCTACTGTCTCCTCTTTATATCCCTTATGTTCGCCGTGCTCGCTATGTTGACGTCTGGCTCGAGTATGATACGTTGGCTGCACACCGATCGCCACTGGACTCGAGAAGTAAGTCTCATTCTCGCCATGCTGATTATATTGGCTGACTTGATATAATCAGCAACTCAGGCCGGGCGGCTACTTTGTCTTGTCCTACCTGTTGTCGATAGTCACGCCTATATTCTTCGTTCTCTCGTCCCTGAATTGTTTCATATTCGGTGAGTTGTTCCCTCATTTCGTTCTTTTCGTGGTCCCTCATGCATTTCACTCCTAGCGATGTTGATAGCAGGTTTTTCTTCTCATAGCATGATCTGCCGCGCCGTCGCTGCGCTCTGGATGGTCACATACTGTCGTCAACGTTGGGACGATATTGATTGGAAGCTATGTGGAAGTATGCGACAAGCCTCAATCACGCTGGACATCGCCAGTAGTTCCCACTTACCTCCTTTCACCCACAGTTTGTACTAGTTATGCTGTATACGACGTCCCTGATATGACACAAATGTGCTTCGAGTATATGTATGCAGTCTGTAGTTTTCAATTATGCAAACCAAATTTTCAAGTATTTCACAGAATCACACCATGTCGAATCGTGTCAATGTCAACGCTCATATAAAGTCTCGATTGGAGGATGCTTTCGCAAGAGGGAATTAAGAACATTTCAATTCACATCATGAAACCTAATCGATGTTATACAATTTTTGACAAGTAACAATACAGAAAGCACGACGAAGGCTGTATCTAGAGGATGAAACATCAGATAAGATTCAACAACGAGATACGTTCCCTCAGGAAGAACAAATTGTCCATCATGAAAATCGGACATATGCTTGTATGTTATAGAGCATCTTGGGGAGTGAAGGGGAAGGGGATATAGCAAAATACTCACCAGTGCTCCATTATTATACAACCATCACAGGACGATCTGTCAAAAGAGAAAAGGAAAAGTAAGCAAGTGATGCAGATGAGCATGAAGCATGAAGATGAGAATCAGTTGGTGATGCATGTTACGAGTGATGGCTCATTGGAGACCGTCGCCGACTCGAGGATGGAAAGTATCGTCATTCGAGAGCATAAGTCGTGAGGCTTACCTTCGCCAGTATACATGTGTATCGCCGTGTGCGCAATGGTGAAAGTATGAAAAAAATAGGCTTCCTTGCCGAGCTTGATCCTGAAGCGGAGTCTGGCGGAGATTCAAAAACACCTATACAGTTTCTCTCGCGATTTTCTTATTCCATGTTCATGTTCCGCTCTCGCTCTGTCGTCTCCCAGTCGTATGGATCAACTGGATTAAGGTGAGCAGCAAAATTTCTCGATGTTGGAGCTTTAGTGCACTTTTTTTGTGATGATACAATCAGTTCTGCTTCCGAAAGAGACACAATCTCTTGTGGACAACCTTTTACCAAAAATTCTCAATCCTGATCCGCTTTTCTCTTGATTTACGGAGAGCACAACATGCTAACGCTACTGTTACAGTTGAATACACTGGTTCTTCCTCGATGTGCTCATTATGGTAGAGTGAGTATCCACTATGATTTTGTGCATTCATATTTGCAAGACGAAACCAAGTTCATCCATTCTTTGAGTCTCCCGTAGTTGCACGTTCGTTTGATCACTCTTGTTTGCAAGAGATACGTTTATGCCTCGTTTTGATTCATGTGCGTTGGTCCAGCGGGCGTTGCCTTGCGGGAGACAAGAAAACATCGGCTTTTCTGATTTATGTCGAGGTCCTGTTGAACACCTTGCTTACTGTCATGCTTTAGGTCAACTGTGATCCCAGATCTTTATATGTACTTGAACACGACCATGTTTGTGTCAATAAAATATGTTATGTTTTGCATATGACCGGGCACTGCGAGGCACGTTCTATGGTATGTAGTACAAGTCAAACGTAGAATTACAAGATATAAGTTCTATTTGAGATAGTCGAGTCCCCCATATCTGCGAAGAGCCAATTGAGAATAGCTGCAAGCCTAATACCACCCTGAGACATCAGCTTCTCAACAATCCATGCATCCTCGATTGCCCCGGAATACTCGGGCGTGTCGAGCTCGAGGTATGGATTCTTCCTCGGCCTGGTGAGCCAGTGGACTTCAAGAGTTTGATTGGATGAGTTGCAGGCATGATCGTGAGTACCCTCAGAGAAGGAAACACGGTTGTATGGTGGTTCATCTAAGGCCTTCGGGAACACGATCTGGCAGTTCAGAGCGTGAATGGGAGTTGCCCAATGGTATGGACACAAGGTTTCATCATCGGTGTTCAAACCTCCATCTGTAAGATGCGACCCCACAATCCAAGACCCTGTGCGACGCCCAAAAGTCCAAGATAACCATTGCTCCCAGTGAGTTTGGAGGAGTTGGACGGAGGGTTCGGCGGGACACGTAAGCCATGAGTCGAGCTCGTTCTCGTACTTGCCCATAATGCCTTCCCATACGATACGGCGAATATAGGGGTCGTAAATAGTACCCCGAAGGTGAGTCTCAACTTCGGGAAGTGGCAGATGGCGGGTATAATTGGATGGTATTGTGCGGATTCTTTTGGCTATGAGGAGGCCATCCCAGAGAGAGTGAAGGTCTATGGAAGATGATGATAAGAGCGAGGAAAGATAAGAGCGGGAACGACTGACTTGTTACACGACTGTCAAATGAGACTTTAATTCCGTTCCCTCCTCGATCACGTCCTGTGAGGTGCAATGGCATATGCATATCCCCGACGAAGTGAATGAGAAACTTGAGTGCGACTTGTGCTGCATCTTCATCGCTCGCAGTGGTCAAGCCAGCTTTGCGCAGGCCCATGTAACTCTCCAGAGTACTTGTGGTATTCCTTATGCCGCTAAGCACGTTGATATTCCTTCTACCCTCCCAGCCTTTCTCTCCCGGAAAAAGGCAAGTCTCGCTAGGATAGTCATCCGTTGCGCCAATATAGTGAAGGGGGCCTGTCCACCTATACTGTGGCAAACCACGGACCTTGTCCGCCCAGGCAGCAACCGGAGCGAGATGGCAGTCCCCTTTGTAGTTCAAGATGTCACACAGAATGGGCATGACTGAAGGATGCAGATGCATCTGAGCGACTGTCGCGACGACTTCATGACCTATAGAAAGATTAGACTCTTCAGAGGCGACGCTCCACCATACTCACCTACCGCTCCCCATGCACTGACGTATGGTATGATAGTGGACCCTGCGGCAAGAATGAGCGATACCCGCGAAAAGCGCATCGTGGTGGTGTAAAAACAAGCCGATACTGAAAGCGAATCTTCTTATATCCAGCGGAACGTGCAGTCGGAGGGGAACCAAATGGGCTTGCACAGATAAGGTGACAAGCGTAGTGGCAGACAAGAGGTCTGAGGATAAGGGAAATACAATAATAGCTTGTACACAGCCACATGCCATAGCAACTCGAACATATTACAGTCCTTCCGGAAAGTCTTGACTCACGTGTTCGAAACGGTTCAAAAATAGTGAAAATGTTGAAAATTCAATTAAATCACTTTCGAGTTTTGTATGCCTCTGAACGGCTTCAAAGATATCATATCTCACACGTTTGTCACTCAGACTCGTCATGGTCTACCAGAGTATCAGTCGCGATCGGAAAGAACGAGCCCTGTACCTGCTTTTGGAGGAAGGATGGGACATTGAGCACATTGCTGTTGCTCTCGGAGTATCGCCCAGAAGCATAGAGCGGTGGAAGGTAAATTATGATGAACATGGTCATGTTAACCCTCCTACACCAATCATGGGTCGCCCTCGCTTGCTGGATCAAGTTATGACAGACGAGATCCACGAGCTGCTAGCTGAAACCCCGTCACTGCTACTTGACGAGATCAGTGAATGGCTCGCCATATACCACGATCAGCCTATATCGACGTCAGCTCTCCACGAAAACCTCAGGGACCTTACACCTTCGTAGGTTGTTTACTTATATTTGTGCCGCCATACTCTCCAGATTTCAATCTGATCGAGGAGAGCTTCAGTTGCTGTACGTTCGACTACATTTCATTTTATTCTGTCGCTCACACTTCCGCTACAGTGAAGAAGTGGCTTCGACGGCATTGGAGAGATCTCCAACACAGCCAATTCCCTGAGCAGGACCTTCCTGAAGCTTGCTTCAGGGCCGTAAATGCCGAAAATGCTCGAGGCTGGTATATGCATAGTGGCTATCTGTAGCGCGGACAATATTACGCAAAGGGGAGTAGCTAATAGCTGCATTTACGGGGTAACAATATACAGGTATGAATATCTACGAAGTTTGTGTAAGATTATCAGAGTTTAACAAATGGTAGATGTGCGAAGGTATCTGCGGCACAGTCGGAATCATATTTCCGCTTCGATAGCTTACTACCAGGGATCCGAATCTTCAGTGCAGGCTGCTTGGCATAAATTGCATCTGCCTAGGTGTCAGTTTATTCCCGTCGAGTAACAAGGAGGTAGTCACGGTAACCTTTGATCGCTTGTAGCTCAGGAGCAAGCTCTAACTCCGAGTCATCGTCCCCATAGGTTTCATCACCATACTCGCCCGAGGAGTCTTCCATACCACCAAGATTACCATGTTCTTCGTCTAAAATGTTGCCAGATTCCATATGGATACCATCAACAGATTCATCATCAGAGTGTTGTGAATGAGAGGCATCCTCCTCGTCGGAGCATTCAGTTACTGTATTAGACATAATCTAACGTTCAAAAGAGTGACACTTATGCTTTTCTGCTTGACTTTGAAGGAGAGTGGTGCAAGTTTGCTGAATTTTCGATTTATTTGAATTTTCAACATTTCTACTATTTTTGAACCATTTCGAACACGTGAGTCAAGACTTTCCGGAAGGACTGTATTATCCATATCGCCGCTCACCCCCAGTGAAACTGGACATGGCCAGAACGGTTGAGATAGAGTAGAATATTGTTTAGACATATGATTTATATATCCTGTAATATGGTATCATCTTCAACAACATCATCATGGTCTGTGCATCACATCGTAAAAGCATCGCATCGCATCACGAAACGTTACTTAAGTGTAGCCCCCGGGGTAGTCGAATTAGAGATCCACCTCCGCCTGAACAGCAACTTAGGCAAACGCCCTCAGCGGCTGTACTCCGTAAAACAGCGATAGGCTGTCGGGGGTGTCTGCGTTGCAACGGACGAGTCAGGAGTAACCACCGTCGGACACTGTACATGGTAATTGCCGTTGTCTTACCTGCCAATGCATGCAGCTCACTGAGATTGACTACGACATTTCGATTCGCATGTCACATGCCAATATCAGAGAAAGCATGAGTCCTTGATTTTGTAGCCGTGGGAAAGTAAATGGTGTGCGATCGAGTTTCAGTCGCACCGTTGAGCTTCGATGGCGGTCCATCCCGAAGCCAGATCGGTTCACCGAACTGGAAGTCGGGGATTATTATGTCATTTGATCTCATCACTTGCTCATCACAATTAAAAATGTTCAAGTTCAACTTCGACGTGGAGGACGATACTGAACATTACAGTACAGCTGTAAATCACACAACACAGAACCAGGGGCACGCTTCCGTGGAGGCGGCAGTCGTTCCTGATGTATTCACGGAGCTTTTTCTCGCAGACGCAGTACGTATAGACGCTGCTCATCTTCGTTTTGTAAAACTGATCTGGGCGCGCAAGGATTAGTTAAACAGCCTACCGTCCAAAATATCTTACTCTCCAGTCACGATCCCACTTGCCAACGGAGGTGAACTTTCCCTTCCACGCCGTGATCTGTTCGATGCGAGGTTTCAATTGATCTCTCAAAATGTTGATGACCCGGATGCATTGGAGCAACCGTCCGTCAACGCACGGTCGGCGCTGCACTTTTTAGATACACCCTCTGACCTCGTGCCTCTCGTCTATGAGGGCGGCTTGAAGACTTGGGAATGCAGTCTTGATCTTGTCAGCTATCTAGACGGCATAAAGTCACAGTTTGATTTTAGCGGCAAGCGCGTGCTGGAGGTGAGCATCCATTCTCTTTGCTTTTATCGTAGCATGAAACTCATTCATCGCTTCACAGATCGGATGTGGCACCTCGATTCCATCGCTATACATCCTTCATCGAATATTCTCCTCCCCACCTTCTCAGAATCAGACACATATACACCTCCAGGACTATAACGCCTCCGTGTTGGAATTGGTGACTATTCCCAATATTATTCTGACCTGGTGTTCGTAACATTTGGTTATTTTCTTTCTTCACGTCTCACTCATGATACAGATCTGTCAGAGGCAGCAGAGACATACCGCAAATCAGAGGAGCGGGCAGACTCTCCTTTGGAATTGAACATCTCGGAAAGTCTTAAAGACGCGTTCCATCAATCCCTGGTGACCTATGGTGTCGATTTACGTTTTTTCTCTGGCTCATGGGATACATTCGACCTCCAAAAATCATGTGGGAGCTACAACCTGGTGTTAACATCTGAGACCATATACCGGATGGAGTCTCTTCCGAGCCTTACTGCTCTTATGCGTGGTGCTTGCAACGCCGAAGTCTCCCAAGCTGTGGACGATTACCTCTGTCTTGTAGCCGCAAAAGTGCTTTACTTTGGTGTGGGTGGCGGAGTAACAGAGTTTGTGCGATGTGTACGAGATTTGTATAAAGGAGGAACAGTTGAGACTGTATGGGAGAAAACACAGGGCGTCGAAAGGAGAGTAATGAGTGTCAGATGGAATTGACGATTTTATTTGATCCTTACTTGCGAGATGAAATGAAGCATAATCATGTCGATGAGAATAATATGACTAGGAGGGCCGGCCAATACAACAAAATCAGAATTGTTGTGAACAGCAAAAAATGTGGACAAATCCGGACTCGAACCGGAGACCCCCCGCAGTCAGCGCCATGCTAAGCGGATGTGATAACCAGCTACACCATATGCCCGACGAAATAAGCTCAATCATGTGCGTTCATAACCGTGATAGTGATCTAGATCTAGATTACATAAATGGGAGCCAAATCTGCAACGGAACGAAATATTGTCTTCATTTCCTTATACTAAGTTGTTTATTGTTGCGTGCAAAGGCTTGCCGGACGAGTTCATCGCCACCGATCTCAACTATTGTTTCAAAGAGAGAAATATCGATTATTTGTGGGCCGTCGGTACCGACCGTCCTCGAGGGAGCTTGCAGCCGGTCATCGTATTGGTTGATCCAAATTCTTGTTGTGGCTTGAATCATTGACTCAGATCACCGAATTGAGGTGTAAATTTGCAAGCACAAATGAAGGCGCCCAGGCAACATCAGTTGACGGCACCGGTATCGATGTAGCGGGCATTGACCACCACAGTATTTGTCGCCATGGGCTTGAACACTCAGGCTAATGTGCACCTGTCATTAGTGCTTCGTGTGACATGTGGACAATACTATATTTTAACGCAGCGCGCGTCGTGGGGTGCTAGTTCGGCAATCTCTGAGTAGAGTAAATCCTCTCGATCCTATCCGAATTCCGTGGCCTTGTACAGGTTGACGGCTGGCAGCTTTCATTGCGGAGATTAAACGTTGGAAGAACTTGGTTTTACCAGTGGACGATGTGAATCGTTATAACAATATGGGAAAAAGGCGTTGTTGCGGGGAGGATTATCGATGCGGAGGTGATTGGCTATTCTGGGTCTGCAGGTCTGTCTTGTTTGGCCCGTTTCGTTTGCAGGAGAAAAAGGGTTTTCAAGGAAAGGTTTTGGCGGTCACGAATGTCGTTAACATTAGATGGCCTGATGTGAATCACCGGGCTGAAAGCATCAAAGCGGATGGTTCGACGGTGTAAGGTTTGCGTTTGCTCCTGCGCCCACAACTGATGAACAGGTAGATTTAGACACGTCGGAATTTCTCCTCTGGAACCCTCGAGGTAAATATTGGCAGTCCGCCAACAACGCCCTCAGCCTCTAGTCGACCGAAAATCAGAAAACATACGAAAATTTAACACACTAATACACACAGGTGGACAATTCGCCATCCTTCTCCTTGAACTCCCAAAGTTGAAATTGGTACATAGTGCTCGTTGTTTGCACGTGACATTCTTGGTTGGTTCGAGTACGCCACCGACAGCTTCCACTTGAAAGCTCCAACTCATTCTTAAATTTCCTCTCATCTAACCAACTGCAGCCGTGGTGCGTTCGTACCGTCCCTTTCTATCTCAACATCCAAGGTTAACGTCCCTCCCACTAGTCACATGGTGTTCAAAATAGCTGGCTGGATAATCAGCTTCGAGCAAGTACGCACTTGATTTGACAGGCAGGGATACAAACACGACCATTTTGGCGATGATTTCGTTGGTATTGCACTCGATCGGTGGTTCAAAGAGAGGAACATCGATTATCTGTGGGCGGTTGGTACAGACTACCCTCGAGGGAGCCTGCAGCCAGTCATCGTCTTGGTTCGAAGGCGCAGGGAAGATCCCAAGTCGACGGTGTCCCATTACTATCGTGTCAGAGAGTTGGATGCGGACCGTGAAGTGAAGAAGCAGGTGATGGAGGAGACAGGACTGAGTGACGAGGATTTACCTTGGGTCACTGTTGCGGACCCGTTCTTCATGAGCTAGCAATGTTGTTGTACCGCCGTCTCGATGTGAATGAAATCGTAATAGAGAGGGATGGTTTACAGGTTGTTTTATATATGTGAAGTTGTAGGTCGAAGTTGGAGGAAGACTGCAATCGAGACTGGGGACGCACAACTTGGTCATTGGGCCTCAGAACTCTTGTACCGCGCCGGAGCTTAGGCTCGTGACTAGCCTGACATACACCATAGTCAAGTCAAGTGGTCAGAGAGATTTGGTAGGCAAAGCATGGCGGAGTTTGAATTTTAGCAGGTGTGCCAGTCGTGCCGACGGTAGTACTCCAGTAGCACAACGTATACGTGTAAACCTTGTGTAAACCGTATGCTATGACACTATCCAGCCTTCCTGAATTAAAATCAATTTGGAAAATCCACCCATCTGAACTCAATGGCTCTTACGAGACAATTCAATCGCCTTACTATCTAGCCTGTTCATCGCAATCAAATTCACCTTCCTAGACAATTTATCTTCAACCAACCACTCACAACTTACCCGAGCTCACAAGATCCAGTTTAGACTTATCAACGTCTTCATACGTTGCCCCAAAGCTCAACATAGCTATCGCTCATATAATTTCTTATCGCACTGTCGAGCCCAACAGTGACTACGTAGTACGTAGTACTTTCTTGAGTTGTCCCAGGCCCATTCTATCCATGTCGTGACTTATCACAACCTTTGTTAATGAGTGACTGGGATCAATTTCGGTATTTTGTTCTCCTAATCCACATCTTACTATCTGACCTCATTCAGTGTCTCGATCGTCTGAAAGAACTCGGGAGAAGTGAAAAAACATCCGTTGGAGTCGCTTCATGTTCTTCAGTATCTGTTATGGCTTCGACCAGGTTGTGGTTCGAGTTTGCAGTTTTATCTTTGTATGCTTGCGAACTTGAGGAGGGGAGATTGGTTGCAAATCTAGGAAGGGGAGAACTGGCTACCCATACGCAGGGGATAAGACTGGAGATCCAAGCTGGACGAACATAGCTGCAGATTGGGCAAGAGTGGCTGTGATCTCAGACCGCGGAACATCGCTGGAGACCAAGGATGGGGCTTGGAGCGTGCGAGAATGAGTTAAGGCCCAGAATGAACAAGGATAGCTGCGTACTGGGTGCGGTGAAAATCTTTGGGAGAGTTGTTCAGTGCCAAGCAGTGGGTGGTGTGTCAAAAATGCAAGGCAATGAATTTATATTGGGAACGATTGGAACCCCTGTTTCGTTTTCTTGAAGAACTTACCTCAGAATCAGAACTTTTAAAGGGCATGAGTGGGTGCATTCGCACATCAAGAGTTGAACGGTCACCGTTCAACTTTTCAACGTTCAGAACGTTCAACCATGCAACATCATTTGATATGACTTGTCGAAATAAAACTTGAACAGGTCGCACAGCCACAGGCGTTGTTTGACAACGGCCTTAGGAACAAACATGGCGCGTCTTCAACATCGTCCTTGATATTGCGTGGCAGGCACGCCAATTGACAGTATAATTTACTTTGAATAGACGTCGATCATCATGGCGGACGCAACAGCGTCCTTCAAAGACGTCCCAGAGTTGTTCGAGGTTGGCATAATTATCACGGCTGCGGACCAATGTCAGGCTTACTCTATTTCAGGTTGAACTTGGAGAATCTTTAACCGCAAGGACCGAAAGCCTTGGTCAGTCTAGCATGTTTAGACCTTATTTTTTAAAATATTGACGATGCATAATAGCAACATTCCGCGAACTTGGCCCCCCAGACCTCTGTCATATTGTGAAGAGTACAGGACGTACTGGACAACGCGATGTGAGTTCTAACATCTGGGATCTGCTGCGCGCATATTAACCATTGGTTAGATTGGCTCATATCATTTCGTGTCCGGAGTAGATGCGTCCTCTTCAGCATCCCTCGCCGCATACATCAATTCTCTCACATATTCTATCGAGGACAACTCCGCTTGGTTTTCGAAGAGTACGGCATGGAAAGTCAGGAATGGCTGTTACTGGTTTGTCCTAATTATATTGATACCTCTAGATATGCTAAATACTTTGTTGTTAAAGCTGCTTCAACGCGTTCTCTCGCGTCGATATCCGTGTAGATGTGAAGATCCCAGGAGGTGTCAATGCTTATGTCGTAGATCTTCGTGGCGAGCGGTGCGTATTCCATTATAACACGTATCGAGTCATTGATTGTGTTTGCGGGCTCTAGACACGAAGCGACTCCAGAAATATGGCAAGAAACATACCTCTCTGCGCTGCTTCGGGCTATCCTCTACTCTGACGACCCGACTTACTGGTTGGAAGCTTACCGCAAACTCGATCCCATCACTACAATTGAAGGCGAACTCCGATTTTTGCAGGCGGTTGAGGCCTTGTTTATGAAGGGTGAGCGCTTAACCTTTCGGCCTTGCTTGTTCAAGAAACTGAATGCAATGTAGGATGGCAGGTCGGGTCAGACCCGGAGATACAGGTTGCTACTGTGGTTTCAAACCACTTGACTGCTGGTGTAATGAAGTACTTCGGCAACAGTGGTCGCTGTCAGCCAGCGGCCAACCTATTCGAGAAACTGGCTGCACGAGAGCCGGAAATTGCCTCGCTCCTGGCAAAAAGTTACATTGGAATGAGTGCGCTGGTTTCTCCCTCTTTTCAAGACACCATCCCATCTGACATTTTTTATGACCAGATGAAGAAGTAAAGGCAGTTCAGATCATGTCTGCTGCCATGAAGCATACTCCACACTCATACACTCTTCTTCACGTACAAAGTGATTTCCTTCGTTCTAAGGGCAGGCCTGACTGGGCATTAAAACTCGCGAAAGAGGCTGTTAACTGTGCACCGAGTGAATTTGTTACTTGGGAGAAACTCACCGAGTTATACATCGATATAAAAGACTACGAATCGGTATGCAACTTTCTGGAGTGCAGTCAATCTCACTGACCGCCACTACAGGCACTTTTAACGCTGAACTCATGTCCAATGTTCACTTTCAATGGACGTGATGCTCACCGTGCTCTTGTACCTGCAAAGGTCCACTTGCCCTTCCAGCGCCAGATCGGTGACATCCTCCCTGAAAAAACGAAAAGTGATGATGATGTGGTTCGTGGGATTATTATATCACTATTTCCCATCTTATGTCTCTTCAGGCCGATCCTGCCCTCCTTCGCCTTCCTGCGCCGGGTCTTCGTGGAACGTGGGCTAGGGCCTATTCCTTGCTTACACGTCTTGTCTCTGATATAGGCTGGGACGAGTTGCTGAAGACGCGGAGTGTAGTGTTTGTTATGGAAGAAGAGTACCGGATGCAAAAGGCCCAGGCAGACATCCAAAAAGTGGCGACCAGTTACAGTGCTGGAGATGTGAACGAAAATGTCGCAGTGATCCACGAGGATGGCTCTGTAACCGCGGGGAGTGCAACGCTCGCAGACGATGACGCGTCTACACGAGGGATGTCCAGCCCTCTCTCGGAATCAGATAGCAAAACTGAAATTGAGAATGGTCTGAATGTTTCCGCCATCCCGATTATCCGTGTATCTTCGGAATCTGACACTGAACGCGAAATTGCAGAGTCCATCCGTAATGGCATTGCGGAACAGAACGAGCAAAGCATGACGCTCGAGAAGCCAGTACAAGCTGCTGCCGGGGAAGAGTCTGAGCCATCGCAGGCGTCAAACTCCTATCAGGAGGCATTCTCATTCACAAACAAGCGCCTGTGTGAGCGGTGGCTAGATAATCTGTTTATGGTCCTTTACGAGGTAAGAATCACTCCGCAATGGGCAAGTTGTGCTTTGAATACATCATTTCTTCCCAGGACTTGCGGGTGTGGACTATCTTCCGAGCAGAAGTCGCACATTTCAAAACACAGCACGTTGCGTACCGGAAAACTGGCCTTGAATGGGAGATCCTCGGAGACCTAGGCATGCGGTTACACCACAAAGAAGAGGCCAAAGAAGCTTATCAGCGATGCCTGGATACTTCGCGTTACTCCCAAAAACCATGGGCGAAGCTTTTAGAAATGTATGCCGAGGAGGGAGACATCACACGCACAATCCAGGCTGCGATACGAGTAGCCGCATACCAATATGCTGATTACACAGAGATGACCGTACGTGATTTCCCCCCTTTGCATAGGGAGCTAGCTCACACTGCCCAAAGTATCCAACGCTGATTGCGCGGAGCTTCTTCAAGCTTGGCCAGATCCATGGCCATGCCAAGATCTCGTATACTGTTCTGAGCATGGGTTTACCTGACCCGATCCTGAAAATCATGGATAGCTACCTTCAATATGGGAAGACTTTTAAGGTGGAGGGATACGACTTTTAATCACTAGTTTTGTTCTTTGTCCGTACCGTTCTGATACCTACATTGTGATTCATGTGAATACTTCGCTTCGCTTGGGATTAATGGCCTCCATATGATTGGGGCGAAAAGTGGCGGATCATGATTCCCTTTCTAAGCATCCGGCCTTTTAAGTTGTCAATCCACAAACGTTTCTTTCCGTTTCCTTAGTCGACGCCCGCAATCTCATCATACTTATTTGAAAAGGTGCAGTACCAGGGACTTCAGTGGTTAGGAGATGTACAGCGAGCTTGACATCATGGGGGACTCTCCTATCCGACGACTGTCTACCACCAGCTCAAACAACAGCCTGAAGCGAGAAGAAAATCTCATCAATGCCTATGAAGCAGAGGAAGAACGGATCATCAACGTATTGTCTCGCAAACTTGAGCAGGTATGTAAGGAGTCAATTCTCTATTTGAAAGTGACTTATTTCACACTGTATCGTGTAAAGCTTCGTGAGGAGAAGATTCAACTCGAAAACGCGCTCGAAGCAGAGTCGGAATCTCATGTGAACAGGCTTGGTCGGGAATTGTCTGCGCTTCGACTTCAGCAGCAACAGCAACAGCAACAGCCACCTGGGACAAATGGGATCATCGCTTCCCCAGATAAGAGGGTGGGAGTTCCGACGTTTATGGCTGGTCGAGATCCTATGATCCCAAGTGCAGAAGTCATGCTGGAAGCCATGAGACGGGAAAACGAGCAATTGCGCAACCGCCTAGTTGATACTGAAAGAGATTATGTGCGAGTATCGCGGTTAAACGAAGTGTATCGCGAAGAGCTCCTTGAACACAGGAGACGGGTGAGCACCGGCTTTTGATTTGTCTTGTGTGTCTTTAACCATGCCCTCTTATATTCAAGCTCGGTCTGTCAGTCGACAGCCTTGTCGGCCTGTCCTCGGCAGACCCGTATTCGCAGCCTACGCATCGGCGATCTGTGTCCAATCTATCATCGCCCAGTACATCTGTGACACAGCCTTCACAAGCAATCCACGGCGTCCCTATCCCCCGACCTTCCTCCTCAATACGGCGCCCAACGAACAACATGTCAGAAAGCAATACACCATTATCGCATTCTCCCTCCTCGACAGAGTCACCATTCCCATTTTCGCCTATTGTTGGAACAAATCCTACAAGTTTTGTCAGTAATGGGACGCCCATGACGACGCCGCCATCGTCTGCTTCGTTGACGTCAAATCCTCCATCGACATTCACTATTCCTCATATGTTATCCTATCCTTCGGTGCCTCCACCATCACTGTCTTCTTCGTACGGGTCGCCTGTGGTATCGCACATACGCGACCACTCACTGTCACCTGGGATCCCTCCAAGTAGGCGCGGTTCGAACGCACGAGGAAACATTGAGCGTCGCTTCGCAGACACAGTAGGTATCAGGAATAACAGGAGTCCGAGCAGACACGAAAGTGTTGAGAGGGGTGCACGCGTTGCGGAGACAGGACAATTGATTCCTCGCTCTCGCCGTGAGAGTCAAAGCGTTTCAGCTACATCACCGGAAGTATCTGCGACAGTGGATGGTTGACTGAAACAAGTCCAGATGAAAGTTTGTGACTTCACTTTCTGATTTTTATCGTTACCATACATTGTTTTGTGCTATCTTCGCTACTGGAAGACTCGTGTATGTAATAAGTTAATGTTCGGTCCCGTTCCAAGCGAACAATGTGCTATTATGTACCAACGGAATTTGTACCCCGTGGTAGACCCCGCACACCGCTGGAGATGAGCATCACTTCAAGTTGTGTTTGAAGACTTACAAAGGCCTAAGTGAAAAATTCGACCACATTTTTATTTTTCTGTCACTCAGAAACCTCTCATTTCAGTGGTTGGGTAGGCAGCAGAGGCCTATCTTCATCAAAATATTGATAAGGTGTAACATTGTCGGCAGGTTTCCGGGGTCCTCCCAACACTTCGGATCCACGGAAGCTTTTGAGTCACGCTTTGGTATAAGAACGCGTCGGGGGGGGCATCGCCCCTTTTTTCCATGTCTTACCAATACCCATACACCCAAGGAAATATGTCTATGCCCCCAACGCCAACAACACCATATTCATGGGAGACGACAGAGCTCGACAACAACATTCCAGAGCAACTTGATCATCATCAGCCTGCTCAACACGCTTTGAATCCACAGCAACGACAACCTCAAAATGTATACGCCACGTCACAACATATGATTGAGCTTCAAGAGCACGTACCCATTGTTCCAAGTCAACACCGAAGTGATGTCCCACAGCATCTGCATCATGTATCATCAGCACCAGGGTCTTCTTCAAGAAGACAGAATGTCGTGTCCCAAGATATGAGACCTCATATATATGTTGATACGACGCGTCATATGGCAGCTAGCACTAGTCCGCCCTCCGGCCCACCATCTGCTGGTGGTTTACATTCAGTGGGACCAGTACGAGCGAAAGTATCGCCCGCACACAATATGGTGCATCCATATCGTCGCCCACAGAGTGTAAACCCAAGACAAGAGAATGAATCAAACCCATCTGTGAGACATACAAGTAGCAGTTACGCACCAGGTCCGTCGATGCTAGCAGCCCGAACACCCACTCCTGCCTCATTACACAGGTGAGTGATCACGCATTTGCCATCCGCTCAAGGGATGTATTCCTGATCTTATTGTAGGACCGGCATCATCAACCCATCCCACGCTATTCCGCCCATACCATCCAACACAACTTTTATACCCAGAGCCGATTACTTCTTTTGCAACGAGAGTAGAGTAACCACAGCAATGTTTGAACTTCCAGGAGTGAAGAAGAGCGACCTGAAGATCGAATTATCAAGATGCCAGAACGGTGTGAAACAAGTATCAATCACAGGAGAATCCCGACAACCACTTCCAGACGGTCTGATAGCACTCAAAGAACGCAAGTATGGCAAGTTTCGCAGGGTGCTCCCTGTTCGTCATGATACTAAGGCGAGTAGGCTAAATTACCCTACGATATTGTGGCTCAAGTGCGCACTCTTTATCAGAAGGAAGACGTCTCCGTCGCTTTAGAGAACGGTGTTCTCATTCTTCGCATACACTTGGGACCACCGCTCGAGCCTGAGGAGTCAGAAATAATCCCTATACCATGAGTGAGCCTGACTTCAAGTTTCCAAAATTGTCCATCGTGCGCCAACTGTTCCAGCAAGAGCAACTTAACGTCTGATACCTTGTTTTCTTCTGCCTCGCTAACCATCTAGCTTTCAAAAAATATGCATACCCTTGCACTGTCGACTTGCTTTGATCATTTTGCTGTCATCGTTCGGCCTTGAATTTCTTAGATCCGTGACGATTCTTGCATCTTGGTTTCCATAGTCTAGTATAATATATAAATACATATACACGCCCATTGTAGCAACATAGTAGTATGTTCTTTGCGATACCATCTTGATATCAGTATTTTATGTACATTCACCGCTGTTGTGCAAAAATATAACGTTGTTGATACGAAACTTGACCCAGAGATTGCGAGAGCACTTCGTTGTTATGTATGAGACTCGCAAATCTTGGACTTCAGTGTTTTGTCGGGTGAACGGGAGTCTCGACAGCCTAGTGCCAACCTCTTCACGAGTGTGTATGTGAGCATGTCGTCAGCGGGTGGCCTGCCCTCTAAGAAGATTATCACAGCAAAGACTTTGAATGGGTGAATTTTGAAATCGATGCGAATGTTTTTCCACCATGAAGGGCCGTCTGCGCTTTGGCCACCAAGTCGGGTTTCGTGCTGCGATTCAACAAGTCTATGAGCTGCCAGTGGCCCATGGACGTGCTTTCACGGTCATCTGCCCGCGTTGTGGGTGTATAGGATATGGATATAATATGAGGATATCATGGCTGTCGACGATAACAGCTGTAGGTTTAGATGTATCAATACTGGTCTCTTATCTTGCTTACCGTGACTGCATCTAATTTTTACAGGGTGGGTCTGACATGTGGATCAATCAACATCGTTCGTTGGTCTGGGTATTAGCTGACAGGAGAAATGAAGACTAACAGTGTTGGAATAGATTTAAATTGAGTGATCTATGCATTTTGGCGCATGCATTGGCCATAGCCGTTGTGTTAACTTTTAAGACTTGTAACTAGCTCATCCGAGTCTATGGCCGTCTCTTGACCTAATTAGGAAATTAGAGACCAGACGTAGGACTCGGCCTAAGCCGATGCGTGACCGTTGATTCAACTTGTTTAAACCTATTCAAACTCGATGAAAAAAATCGGTACTACTACTAATACTGCGGTACCCGCCGTAGTAAGACTCTTCAAGTTGCTACATAGCTCATGTACCAGGACGAGAGAAAGGGCTGACTAAGTAACGTCACTTGCACGTACCAGTAGGGGACTGATGTATTTCGGAACAGCAACAGGGCACCTATTACACCTCCCCCGCAGTGGAACCGCGGCTCCTAGTACACGAATGCGAAGCCTTTCAAGTTATTCACACTTCCCGGTCACGGCCCACGTAAACCCCGGGTACTGCAATACCCGAACGCATCGAAAAGCTCGCGGCGAAGATCGGATTCTTGCGTGTCTTCAGAGATATGACGACACGGCATATTGATGATGTAGTGCATTATGGGATAGCCTACTATCGGCATACACGTTCCATCCACGTTCACGTTTCGTTCTCCGTTCCAACAATTTTTTAATATTCAGTCTATAACATTCCTTTCCCTCAGTCTTTCCAACCAAGATTGACCTTTCTCTTCCTCGTTTCCAGTTTGAGCCTCCATTTCTTCAGGATACAATCAACGCTACTCATAATGTCGCAATCTAACCTTGCACCATATGACAACAATGTTACAGATCCTCTGCATTCCTTGTCCCCTGAACTCTCTCAGCGGCTTAAGGATCTCCTGGATCGAGCCTTGCTCGGGTTCATACGTCCAAATTCCATGTCTCAGTTTGCTCAACATGCTCCTGAGTTGGCAAACTTCCGCGAGGCCATGGCACAAGGAAATCCGGATGATGATGTAGAATTTCTGCGTCGCTTCCGAGAATTCATTCCAACCACAGACTACGAACCTTACAGGTCGTACATAGCAAAGTTTTTTGCGACCCCTTGCAAGAAGTCTGACGTAGAGAACTTGCTCGCCCCAGGATTACCCTACTGCTTAGTCGTTTCCAGCGCGACATCTGGAAAAGCATCCAAGGCATTCCCGGTATACCGACCTGCACCGCACCTTTTGCGTCCTCCTCCACACTTGTCGCTTCGCCACTCAGAGGGTAATACCTTTTCACTGTCTTCTTTGAGTGTCGGGCAAGCCCTGAAGATGGATCTTGAGGACGGTCAGACCTCTAAGATATTACCGGTCTGCCCTATAACTGCCGGGTTTCTGCGAATGGAGATGGACTGGGATGTCGAGCATGATATGGACAGACTCGACTTATGGGGTAAGTCCGTTGTGCTGATTTTCCTTGCACTTGCTGATATCTAGCCAACTTTTAGTTCCGGGGAAAGCGGATCCTTACGCGATTTCCTTGGTGAAGGATTATCGTTCTTTCTTCATTTTGAATGCGCTATTTGCACTATCAGTCCGTCGGGTGACAACCATCCGCTTTGTCTATGCCAGTGTGTTCGTCAATCTTTTGCAATACATAGAGGATGAGTGGACTTTACTCATCGACTGCATCGCGAAAGGTAACATCCCAGAGATGGACAAAATAGACCACGTGCGAGAACCTTTGGAGGTTGTGTTTGTTTCGATTGTTACATCTCGTTCAACTCACAATTTCTTCAGAAACATTTTACTCCAAACCCTATTCGTGCTGCTGAACTTCGCGAAATTGGCCCCCCTGTAATCCAGGGCTGGGCGGTCCGTGTGTGGCCTGACTTGAAAAATTTTATTGGGATCACTGGAGGCCCCGCTGCTGCATCCGTTCCAAAGGTACGTTGAGTGTGGAAATTTTACTATGCAACTAACTGTGAGCAACACAAGGTCACCCACATCCTCGGGCCTTCTGTTACAATGCAGGCTTTTTCTTACGGTAGCTCAGAATGTTATCATATCGCCTTCCCGTATTTCAACGGCAACCCTAATACCGACTTCAAGATAACACCCATACATGGAGTCACCGAGTATCTCGACGTGCGTTGCAAAGAGCCTTCAGAGCGTGTATTGTCCGCTGTAAGAACCGTTCACTCCATTCCATCTTTATCTGCTCATCACTGCTGCAGTGGGAGCTTGAGACAGGAGGGCATTACGAGGTCGTCTTGACGACCCGCAATGGCTTGTGGAGATACCGCCTTGGCGATGTCGTTGCTATTAAAGGCTTTGCGCCGGACGATGGATTGCCTGTCATCAACTACCTTCATAGGCGAGAGTGAGTTATGATATTATGGATTTGCGATTTAGCAGCTGAGATGCCCGCTAAAGTAGTGCCTCACTTGGACTAGCGTGTGGATCAACATGTACGGAGTCGCAACTGACGAACGCGATCGTATCTGCCTCTGAACGATGGATCGGCCAAATCATAGGTTTCACCGTTGTGGCAGACGACCGAGACACACCAGTTACCTATGGGTACTTGGTAGAGATTGAAGGGGAAATAGGTTCGTGCTTGCTTCGAAGCTCTTACGCATGATTGTCCGAATTATATTCACAGGAAAGGACGCCAAAATGGCGACACAGTACATTTTTGAAGAACTGATGGCAAACAACGACTATCACATGGCTTTTTGGCAAGGGAGAGGAAGGAAGCCAACCATTCGTCTCGTGGAGAAAGGCACGTTCACAGAGTATCGCAGTCAGAAATGCAACAAGACAAACGTCTCGATGAGCCAGGTGAAGGTTCCAACCGTCTTGTCCGATCCATCATTTAGGGAATGGATCCTGCAGAAAGTTATCATGGAGTTGTAAGATATTGTACAAGCTGGCTAGAATCGTCGAAGAGGGGTCAGTAAATTGACAGGTCTCTCTTCTTACCTTTCCACACTTACGTGTGGTGACCAGGCAGACCACAGGGTATTTGGACTGAATTTTGACGGACGATTGATATTTGACGACACCACGGATGGGATCCACTATGTATATCAAACTCTTCCGCCCCATATCTAGAAGATCCTTTTGGAGTCCTCATCCACGCATGAAAAGGAGATCGACCGCCATATGGGAATCATACTTCGCATGTATCCAAAACCTTTGCTTTCACCGAAGCCCCGATTGAGCTGCGATTCTCACATTAGCAGGGAAGTGAACATCGTATCCCCAAATTGTAGGAGGCTATACGAGGAGATAGCTAGTAGCATAAGGAGCGTGAAGACATCCACGTGAGCATATGCATCTATGTCAATACAGGCATCCAGGCATCCACGTCAGACTTCAGTGTGGGTATCCGCATCAACGAAAGTGCATAAAACTACATGCGCACAACAGCAGGTGTTGGCAAGGACGAGACTTCTCGCTCACCACTGGCAAAAGCATCACGGCGACTTACTCTAGTTTCACAGACTTTTGGTGTGAGATAGTACACACGATGCTGTGAACTTTCTGATCAGTCGCAACGGGTAAAGCCGTTAGCCGTTGGAGGAAGAACTCAAGCTTGTTACTCCAGTTATCAGTATATAGCATCGATCCAAAATACGAGGCAATAACATATGATGTACGATCACTCCTCCAGATAGAGAAAACAGGACAGCGAAATGGCAAGAATTTTATCTTCGTGCCTTTAGTAGTTAGCATCCTGCTGGATGAGTTCAATGGCTTTTGCTGAGCGGGCTTTGATAGAACACCTGAAGGGCTTTGGGTGGCTACGAGTGTCCATTCATACCAACACCTTACGCAATAGGATGAGCGGCATACCTGATCGTGACTGATGAAGGGTCAACCTCGGGGGTGATCTCAACACCGTTCTCGACGACCTTTGAGATATCAAACACAGCCAATGACATTGCGGCGGATATCCAAACGGAGGCTTCAGCGAGGAGGAGACCTGTAAATGAAAAAGAGCAGAAAAGAAACCAGCAACGTCAGAATGCTTTGTTTTGGATGATTTTGTGCGTTGGGCATACCCGGACAGATACTGGAGAGAAGAAAGTTAGCACTAGTATTCCTCTCAAGATAAACTTCATGTTTACCGTCTTCCAAAACCGAAGCACATCGTACGGGGCTCTGGTTCTGACTTCTTTCCGTCATTGACCAAAAAGCGTTCAGGTTTGAATTGCGAGGGATCAGCATAGGTCTCCGGGTTGTGGAGCATGAACCTGTCATTATATTTCGTGAGCATATCGAACACAGAATGAGGGAGATATCAACCATTGGTTAGGTATGATAAGGGAACCTTTTGGAATATAGTACCCGTCGTGGATGTCATCCTCAGTTACACAGTGGACAAAACCTGACATAGAGATACCGCTCGGCAACTAACGAATATGATGAACGATATGCACAGACCGGTAGGCGCAACAACATTCCAGCGCAATACTTCTTTGGCAAGCGCCTCGATATAGGGGAGGGAGGCGCGGTCAGCAAAGGAGGGAAGACGATCAGGGCCAACAACAGCATCTATTTCAGCCTGAGCTTTCTTCTGCACATCAGGAAAAAGCGTCATAGCGAGAAAAAGCGAATATATTGCGGATACAGTCTGAGAAAGGAGGTGTCAGTCTCATTGACACAACGATAGTTGAAATATGTAAGGAGGGACCAACTGTGTCAGAACCACCGCCGTATAGAGATAGAGCGGACCATTTTGCCATTTCGTTCTCTGCCGAACTCAGATCTTGGCCTTCCAACAGAGCTGAGGTGAAAGACTTCGGGGCAATACCCGCAGCCTGCAACATTCAACTTCAACGCAAGATATCTAAACTACGAATGTTGGTCACCATCTGATCCCTGACGAAATTGTAGGGTGCAGAAGCCATCTCTTCGACGTTCTTGTGCCACTCACGCGCTAGGCGCTTGAAGCCAGCACCAGGAAACCACTCGGGGACCTTGGCCACTAGAAATTATAACGCTAGTACAAGAAAGCGTCTGAATATTATATGTGCACTTACGGAGTGGTATCATGTCAACCATGAAGGCACCGTGAGCAGTAGCCAGCGAGAATTGCTCCAGAGCGCGGTCTGCAATATCGACAAAGGGATCGTTGCTCTCCTTGACTTCGTATCCATATGAGATTCGCAAAATGATAGCGCCAGCGGTGCTGTAAAAATTCAATATCAAGCTGATGCAAGGATGACTCGGATTCATACATACTGTCGAACATGTTTTTCTAATTGGTCAGGTTTCATGAGCACACGCTTGAGGAATCGGCGAGTCTCAATATCTTCAACCGGGTTATAGGCGTCCATTGCAGCTCGGGTGCCAATGGCGCGGTGAAAGTCCTTGCGGTACCGGCGAAACCGGTCGCCGTAAGGAGAAAAACCCAGCATATGCTTCCAACCAACAAGTTCCCCAGCCATTGGCAAGACAGGACGGTCGGAGTAAATCGAGCTCTTCTTGTCCAGCATGTCCATCGCAATCTTCGAAGAATTCACCACCATGAAGTGCTGACCTAGAACCTCGATATGCGAGATATCGCCTGCGCGCATGACGTGAAAAATCAAGATTGGAAAGATACTTGTGACTCACCATACTTCCTGCCCCACTCTGCGAAGGTGAGCCAGGGCCTGATGTTAGGCATGTCTAGGACATTCCCGATAAGGGGCAACCCTGGAGGACCAGGGGGATATGGTGCAGGGTTCTTTCTGAACACCTGCTTTACCAGGTAGACTCCTACAGCAGCAAGACATAGCAGATGCGGCCAAGTAACTTTTGTGAGTGCCGACATGATCTACTAGCAGAAGGTGAACACCGAAGGACGACGTTGTGTGATGAGCAATCAGGTAAGGGGAGTCCCTTCTTAAATGGTCGCCCACTATGATATGCCCAGCGTGGCACTGGCCTTCAAGTTCCATCCTAGGTGTATTATATACGGATTAGTGGAAGTAATCACCCAAATCCTCCTGAACCGTTGATCGGTGGGCGGTTGAATACTTACCCATAGCGACATTTGAGTTTGTATTTGGAAATATTACCGACTTGATATTGGTCATGGAGACCCCAAAGCCGACTCGGAAGCGACACGAACGTCCAAAAGGGTCGAAGAACGGATGGGACTCATCGGTACATCATGATGTAGGTGAAGTTGATTGAATCTTCACGAAATCCCCATTCACGACTCACCAGTCGACGTCGAACCAATGTTGTTCAGCAAGAGCTTATTCTCAAGCGAGTTTCGAGATTTTTGTTTGAAATTTATTTCAAGCTCTAGATTCTATTTAAAACACGATAGCATATCGAAAATGGAGATGCTCACCGGTATGGACTTTCGGGAGCTTCTCGATAACACTTGACCAACGAGATGATCTGATTTGCACGACATAGGAACAATCTTGGCCCAAACACCAAACACTTTCCCGGAACCACAAACTGCAAGTAATTGTTCTTGGCGTGGAGAGAGACAATCCTGCTGAAAATGGACTTGCAGCGGTTACGGCTCCAAGTGTCTCTCCATAAGCAACAGAGGGCATGTGAGCAAGTGGGAGAAGGAGATGGCGGCTAAAGAGGGTTCGGAGGTGTAATGATAGCAGAAGAGTCTCATATGTATCGAGCATGGGGGCCATGCTGTGCAAAATATATCCATTTCGCACTACAAGTCTACAACTTATAGCAAGAGTCAGCAATGCCTAAAATCGAACACCAAACGCACAAGTGCAATGCGAGTAACAATCGCAGGCCAGGAATTGGACACCATAAACAGCAGAAAAGCAAAGAAGAAGAATGTTGACAAAACCCGGGGTGCGGTGGACGAATCAACGAAAAGAACGGCAGAGGACAAATGTCCATAAGCGTGCCACGTCAACAAATGTATGTGAGGGACCTGCAGAGATCATATTAGTACTACCAGAATGCAACCCAGAAAGGTATGAAAGTGCTCACTTTGTCACGGGGGCATGCCGCATCAGCCGCTCGGGCTCATTTCCATCGGAGTTTTATTCATGGCACGTGCATGAACGTTTGAACCATGCATGATTCATCATGTACTTCCACTGTGCTACAGCCCCCACGCTCCTAGGACAACATCATGCAACCTCTTGCTATTCTGGCATACCAACACGGACACTTTCCATGAACCTGGTGTTGCACACCCGACTATGAGCTACTGCCAATTTGGCGCTGCCGTCGCGACCTACAGCGGTCTCCTGCTGCTCACAGCCTCACTCCGACCTCCCGCACCTCGTCATTCTGATATGCCATTCTCTCCCTGGTTGGCATTATGGTTCTGCGCTCTTCATCTTACCCTCGCCGATTTAGTCTATTTTATTGCATATTGTATTTCATATGGTTCGACATTCTTTTTTGAATATAATGATATTGTTAACTCGAGCATTGACTGGAGGAACGTGCACAGTCAGTGACCCATACAATACCTCCGGGGTCCGTGACAGAGTTATCTCCAGAGGGTCCATTTCCTGTACGTTCTCCGTGCTATGGTGCAGTTCACTTGCAAGCGCCAAATCGAGTCCATATGATTACAGGTATAACCCTAACCCCAATATGAGACGTGACTCCTATGTAAGTATTCATTTCAGCGGTTTTGCTGATGTACTGTTAATATTAGCGGGTCTCGTCACAACGTTCTTTAGTTATCTTCCCAAAATAGCTGATCTTAACCATCTGTAATGCACCCATGGCTGGCGTCTTCGACCATTTTAACATATTTGTAGAGTGTTCCTTGGGTAACTTTGATTGGTGGCGCAACCCAGACTTTCCGACGACGTTCAATCTCCTCCGAGGAGACGTGTAATTTGATAGTGTTAGCCACAGCATCGATGGAAATGGTGTCGCCATCCTCTACAAGCGCAATAAGCCCACCGTCCTGAGCCTCAGGGACGACGTGACCTATGCAGAACCCATGGGATCTGATGGATATCACATCAGTCTACAAATCATGTTGAATCGAAATATCACAAACCCTCCGCTAAACCGTCCGTCTGTGAGGCACGCGACGTCCTGACCTAGACCAGCGCCCATGATCAAGCTAGTGAGTTTCAGCATCTCACGCATACCTGCATAGTCCGTGCATTTATGTTACCGCTCGGATCAAAGACACTATTCGCTTACCAGGGCCACCCTTAGGGCCGACGTAGCGCATAACAACGACGGTTTTTTCATTCTTTTTAATTGAGCCAGACTCCACGGCGGAGACAAAGGCCTCTTCTGAGTCAAAAGTGTGGGCTTTTCCGGTAAACCCAAGACCTTCCTTGCCGGTAATCTTGGCAACAGCACCTCCAGGAGCCAAATTACCACGCAGAATTCTAAGGTAATTTGAGAAAAAGAGCTATCGAAAGATGGCAATGACGAACCTGATGTGTCCGGTAGCTTTAATGGGCTTGTCGAGGGGACGGATTACATCCTGACTAGCGGGGAGTTCCCCATGTTTATGCACCCAACGCTCCAAGTTCTCGCCCAAAGTAGCGCCAGTGACCGTCATGTTGTTGCCGTCAATGTAATTATTTTTCATTAAGAAATGAAGTATAGCTGGAGTTGAAAAAAATCGGTGAACGCAGAAATCATCACAGTAGCTGAATCACTGACTGGGTATGCCCCCGATTTTATAGATGTCCTCCATGACATACTTGCCGCTTGGTTTGAGGTCGGCGAGAAAGGGTGTTGACTCAGACACTCGTGCAAAATCATCGATGGTTAGCTTGATGCCAACAGCATGTGCCATAGCAATAAGATGCAGTACGGCATTCGTCGACCCTCCTAGGATCATGGTAAGGACCTGAAATTTCGTATGAGTGACCGTAAATTTTGAAAAAAAGCATGGCACACCATAGCGTTCTCGAATGCCGAACGCGTCATGATGTCGCGGGGCAGAATGTTTTTCTCAATAAGATTTCGCATGGCGGGACCAGCGGCCTTACATTCATGGTGTTTTCCTTGAGATTCGGCTGGATACGACGAAGAACCAGGAAGAGTCATTCCAAGGACCTCAGCTGCACAGGCCATAGTGTTCGCCGTGTACATCTGCCAATATATGAATACACTATTGCTGAATTGGGTACAGTGGTACTAACGCCTCCGCAAGCACCTGGGCCAGGGCATGCATGTCGCACTGTCTCATATCTGAAGGCTTCTGCTTCTGGTGTCATTCCGTCTTGTAGGTATTTTCCGTATGCCTGGAATGCGGAAACAATATCTAGCTGAGGTTGACCCGTGCATGAATTCGAACGAATTGTGCCTCCATACACCATAAGACCTGGACGGTTGAGTCGTCCGACTATACAAGTATGATAATATGTCAGTGCGTATAGTGGATCTAGACAAGTACCCCACTCACGAGCCATCAGTACACCTGGCATATTCTTGTCACATCCTGGTACTACAACCATTCCATCCAACCAGTGTGCGCCAGCGGCTGTCTCTACCTGATCTGCAATAAGGTCGCGCGACTGCAGAGAGTATGACTGTCCCGCGGTGCCCATACTGATCCCATCGCTAACACCAACTGTACCAAACTGGTAACCGATGAGGCCAGACTCCACCAAGGAACCCTTGATTTCCTGCCCCAAGCCAAGCAAGTGTCGGTTGCATCTAAAAGCACCTTAAGTATTAATACATCTATGGCATACGTTCTTCCTTACGGGTTGCCCTCATACCTTAACCGTAGTCAATGGAATGGCCACAGAAGAATTCGATTGCCTCGACACTCACCATACACTAGCGACACCGACCATGGCCTTTTGAAAGTCCTCGTCATCTTTAATACCTTCAGTAGCATACAGCATAGCCTACGAATATCAGTTTCTCCACATTCTTCGCCCGACTCAAATGACTCACTTGGCTTGCACCTTGATCTTTTGATTGCGTGACAGTCCTGCTATAGCGGTTCATGATGGGCTTGTCCTCGCATCTCGTAGAGGATGACCACAGTGATCTAGTTTGCCTTGCAAGGCTTCTGCTAGCTGAAAGTCTCAAATGCATCATTCGATCTGCTAGCGACAACTCGACTCGGGTCAACATTGGTGCGAAGTTGGAATGTGATATTATATAGTGCGGAGGCTTGTATGACCTGGTGAGATCAGCCTGCAACATCTCACGTGAACCTTACTACGTATTTCTTAGGGCCATTTGAGCCCAAGTTGTGTGCTGGCATTTACACAACAGGGATATCAAAAGAAGCCACCATGTATCGTGCATGTACTACTTACCCGAGAATATGGGAGATCACCGTCAACCAGTATACCGGTACAAAATCCCTTAGACATTCAAGTCTTCCGAGTCTGTAGGACATCGCATCATATTTGAATCGAATCGCCTATAAACAAAGCTTCCTCTGATGAGCCTGAGTATAGTAAATAAATGGCTTACTGCTAGATGTCCTGCGTTTCCCAGTAAAGAACTCAATTGTGACTAGCCAATTTCACATGGAGGTCCCCATTGGATCAAGCGATGGTATGATTCTGACCGTTGCTGCCTTTACTTGGGAATGAAGCGGCCAAGATGCTTAAACGCACCATTTGAAAAGTTGTGACGTGAAACCCACGGTCCTACCCGCTTTTAGTTTCCTGTGAGATGGTTAAAGCGTGAATGAAGACGGTCGGATGTTAAGTAATGGCATTGAATCGTGACTCGTACTGTGTGTATGGTGATATGGAATCAATGCAGGTTAGCAGCATGTTCTAACGGTGAGAATTATTTATATAATTACAGTCCCTTTTTTTTTCTTGCTCAACCTGCATTGATTCCACTAAGTTGGTTTTCTCAATGTTTTTTTTCATTGCTTAACACCCGACCGTCTTCATTTACATTTTAACGATCTCACAGGAAACTAAGAATGTGTAGGACCGTGGGCTTTAGTGCGTTGTTGTACTTTTCAAATGGTGTGTTCAGGCACCTTCTTCCCCAAGTAAAGGCAGCAACGGTCAGAATCATACCATCGCTTGATCCAATGGGGACCTCCATGTGAAATTGGCTAGTCACAATTGAGTTCTTTACTGGGAAACGCAGGACATCTAGCAGTAAGCCATTTATTTACTATACTCAGGCTCATCAGAGGAAGCTTTGTCTATAGGCGATTCGATTCAAATATGATGCGATGTCCTACAGACTCGGAAGACTTGAATGTCTAAGGGATTTTGTACCGGTATACTGGTTGACGGTGATCCCCCGTATCCTCGGGTAAGTAGTACATGCACGATGCATGGTGACCCCTTTTGATATCCCTGTTGTGTAAATGCCAGCACAACACTACACTCCTTGGGCTCACATGGCCCTAAGAAGTACGTGGTAAGTTTCATGCGAGATGTTGCAGGCTGATCCCACCGAGTCATACAAGTCTCCACACTATATAATATCGCATTCCAACTTCACATTATATTGAACAAATGTCTCGTCCTGACACTGATTTACTGGATTCCTTGTCCGCCGAGCTCACTCAGCAACTCAAGGAGCTCATGGACCAAGCCCTGCTTGAGTTTATACGACCGAATTCCGCATCTCAGTTTGCTCAACATGCTCCTGAGTTGGCAAACTTCCGCGAGACCATCGCACACAGCGATCCGAAGGACGATATTGATTTTCTACGCAGCTTCCGAGACTTTGTTCCCACCACAAGCTATGAGCCTTATAAGCCATACATAGCAAAGTTTTTCGCGACTCCTTGCAAGGAGTCCGACGTAACGAACCTGTTCGCCCCAGGACTGCCCTACTGCTTAGCCATGTCCAGCATGACATCTGGCAAATCATCAAAGACGTTTCCAACATACCGGCCTGCTCCGCACTTGTTACACCACCCTATATATCTCTCGCTTCCTCATTCAGAGGGTAGTACCTTATCACCATCTTCGTTGAGTTTCGGGCAAGTCCTGAAATTGTATGGCGAGGATGGTCAGAGCTCCAAGACGTTGCCGGTCTGTTCTTTAACCGTCGGTTTTCTGCGAATGCAAAAGAACTGGGACGTCGAGCATGACATGGACAGACTCGACTTGTGGGGCAAGTCCGTTGTGCTGATTTTCCTTGCACCTGCTGATATCTAACCAACTTTCAGTTCCGGGGAAAACGGATCCTTACGCGATTTCCTTGGTGAAGAGCTTTCGTGCTTTCTTCGTTTTGAATGCGCTATTCGCACTTGCAGACCGCCGGGTGACAACCATCCGCTTCCTCTTCGCCAATGTATTTGTCAATCTTCTGCAATACATAGAGGATGAATGGACTCTACTCATCGACTGTATCGCGAAAGGAATAATCCCAGACATTGAAAAAATGGACCACGTGCGAGAACCTTTGGAGGTTATATCAGCGTTGATTGTTACATTTCATTCAACTCACAATTTCTCTTAGAAACATTTTACTCCAAATCCTATTCGTGCTGCTGAACTGCGCGAAATTGGGCCCCCTGTAATCCGGGGATGGGCGGTTCGTGTGTGGCCTGACTTGAAAAAGTTCATCGGAATCACTGGAGGCCCCGCTGCTGCATCCGTTCCAAAGGTACGTCCAGTGTGGAAGGTTTACTGTGCAACTAACTGTGATTGACACAAGGTTACTCACATCCTCGGGCCTTCTGTTACGATGCAGGCTCCTTGTTACGGCAGTTCAGAATGTTTTGTCGCCGTACCATATCTCAACGGCAACCCTAATATCGACTTCAAGGTAGTGCCTATAGATGGAGTCACCGAGTATCTGGACGTGCGTTCCAAAGAGCCTTCGGAGCGTGTATTGTCCGCTGTGAGAGCCGTTCACTACATCTCGGCTTTATCTGCTAATCACTGCGGCAGTGGGAACTTGAGACCGGAGGGCATTACGAGCCCGTCTTGACGACCCGCAACGGCATGTGGAGATACCGCCTTGGCGATGTCGTCGCCGTTAAAGGCTTTGCGCCGGACGACGGATTACCTGTCATCAATTACCTTCATAGGCGAGAGTGAGTTATGATATTACTGGTTTGCGGCTTAGCGACTGAGATGCCTGCTGAGGAAGTGGCTCGTTTAATCTGGCGTATGGATCAACATGTACAGAGTCGCAACTGACGAAAGCGATCGTATCTGCATCTGAACGATGGATCGGCCAAATCATAGATTTCACTATTGTACCCGACGACCGAGACACGCAAGTTACTTATGGGTACTTGGTAGAAATTGAAGGAGAAATAGGTTGCTTCACTGGAGCTCTTATGCGTGACTGCGCTCATTATATTCACAGGAAAGGACGCGACAAGGGCGGTAGAGCATACTTTTGAAGACCTCTCGGCAAATACTGAGTATCATCTCGCGTTTTTGCAAGGGAGAGGAAGGAAGCCAAGCATCCGTCTCGTGAAGAGAGGCACGTTTACAGAATATCGCAGGCAGAAATGCGACAAGACGAACATCTCGATAGGCCAAGTGAAGGTTCCCATCGTCCTATCCGACGAAACGTTTAAGGAATGGTTCCTGCAGAGAGTCATCATGGAGCTGTAAGATATTACGCAAGGGTCTGGTTGAAAGGAATGATTTTGTTGAGATTACCGCTTTTGAATGTGCAGTCTTTGAAATTGTTGTCGAGATCTCTTGCCCTGATATATTAAACGCTTTGTATATCGAATTTTTTGATCCAAATTGTGAGAACTGAGGAGAAAAATGGATAAGCTTAACTGCTGAAGATCTACACTCGTGTCATCCGACACAAGCCAACGTTCAACGTTCCGTACTCAGTACCAGGAAAGTTGCAATCAACACTGGGAAATGAAAAAAAGTGATAGTACTGGCTAGTACACCAGATGATGCGATTTTTGTAAATATAACAGTACAATGGTCAGGCATGTGCACGTCAGACTAAGAAATACATCTGTGCATGATTCGGGCTCGGAAATTCGAGTGACAATGCTGCTTCTAACCACAAACAAGCCCAGCTAGCTAGCTGCAATAGCAGATACCAAATAGCATGTAGCATAGGCTAGCGCGAACGCTCGCTTAAGAGGATCTCTCTGGCTCAGACATCATATCCCAGTCGCTGCTATCCGGACCGTCACCAGCAGACGCGTCCGACCAGGACTCACTAGAAATCCCACTAGCACTTCTAGGCCGACTGATCGGGATCAGAGGGCGCTGGGTCCACGATAGCCGACTGCTCGAGGAACTTGAATCTGCATCAGGGATCCTGCGTATCGCCTGGAACCGTGAAGGCGCTCCGTCGCTCTCATCATCCTCGTATTCAAATTCAAAGATGCTCGGAGAAACCGAAGGCGAACGAGGCGGTTCAGGGTTTGGCGTCGAAGGCACGGAAAAGTTAAAGGTGGAAGAAGGCGAAGGCGAGGGCTCTCGCGAGACATCATCTCCCTCTTGCAACGGGCTCCACCTCGAGCGGCTCTCCCCAAAATCAAGATATCCTCGCATAGCTTTGGAGATATCAGATGCGCCCGGGTTTGGCGAAGGCGGTACCGATCCATAGCAGGAAGATTCGCACGAGGAGGAAGAAGACGACAGATCTGAGACCCACGGGTCGATGATCGTGGGTTGGCGCGGATTGTTCCCCTCGCGCAATGTTTCCGTGCTCGATGTCTTCCTGATCCTATGATGCTCCTCGTCCCACCTCACCATCTCCTCTCTCTCCCTCGCATGTCGCGCGAACATCTCATCCCACAACGTCGGCACCGAAACTCTATGCTTCACCATACCCCTAAGCGCCCACTCCGTATCAAGCATCGCAAGGTACGTGACGTCTTTCCAGACACCGACCACACCCAGTCTCTCCTGCTTTAATACCGCACGCCGTCGAGTACCTTCGTGCGTAAACCCCTGTCCCACGAAAAGACGCATTATGCGGTCTTTCTGGGCGTCATTCATGAGCGCTGCTTGGATACGATGGAACTTGAGGTCTTCAAAAGCCCATTTAAGCGCAAGCTCCAAGGCTTCGCGAGCGAACCCCTTGTGTTGATGGCATTCAGAGATGATGAGCCCGACATTGGCTTCTTGGGCTGCGCTCTGTGCAGGGGCAGCAGTGACGTACACGAGGCCAATCGGTTCCCCTTCATAGGTGGCTTCTTGCTCTAACGATACAGGGAAATCATCATCAGATGCTAGGTCCTCTGGATCGTACTTGCTCCGCAGCATCACGATGGCGCAAAGCAAGCAATCTTCCGCGAAATTGATCAGGTATGGCACCGGCGCTTGCATTGGTTCTACCGCGCTCTCCATGAGTTTGTTCCATAGAACCTCAAGAATAGCATTCTGGTAGTTGTTGAAGTTGAGGGGCCACAGTGCCACATTTTGCGCGCAACTTAGCATGACAGGCGAGCGATAGGGAATGAGTAGTGGGGTTGCTGCGGCAATGTTGTGATTCAAAGATATATATTGACTTCGAAGACGCCCACAGCAATCAACCAGGTGTTGCACAGCTAGCACAGATCACTGCTAAATTTGGTTTGTGAAGATGTAACAAACCTTGCATTTAAACTTGGGCGCAGCGTATTTGTACCGTCCAAGGTCCATCGAGGTGCTGAAGACAGGGGTTGGTTCTCACGACCAGACCACGAGGAGCAGGTGAGACCAATTGAAATGACGTTCTAGACGAACATTCCTAGTGGCTAGTGAGAAGGTTTGCCTTTAGCGGTTCAATTAAGTCCTAGCGTCAAGTGCACACAAGTGCGATAAGAAAGGCCCATTATATAAGTAATGATACAAGGCGTGTCTGTGAAACGAATCAATTTATATTCCTCCAAAGGGTACGAGAGGCACTGCCTCCGTAATGTCGAGTGTGAGCGGGATATCCATAATCCACCTCGTCATCATGTCCTGAATACAGCATGAGCGAACGAAACCTCAACACTTGAATTCTATCACTCACCAAGGCGGCTTCAGGTTGGTCATAAGGAACCATGTGCCTGGAAAGATAAGTGGTAAATTATCAAGACATGATAGAACGGATAGGTTTCCTGACCCAGATTCGTAAACAGTAACAAAAGTGACGTTCCCAGCGCCAGAACCACCGCCACCGGCAGACCGGACAGTACCAGCGACCTTTCCAGAACGCATCGTTACCCACTGCTCAGTCGGAGCCGTAGAGAACTCATCCAAAAAGATAGTATCGAGTTGTTCGACCCAACGTTCGTTACCCTGAATCGATACATCATCACACGCCGCCAAACCTGAATGATGACAATACGCACCATATAATTGCACATCATATCTGATAATTGGGATCAGAAAAGCACTGCCAGGATAGAAGGTCTAGCCTCACCCGCGTTACCAGCATAGATCAACAGTCTAACGCCGTCATTGACCATATCCGTCAACAATAGCGGCGTATTACGCATCGAATCGCCCTGAAGCATAAACGCCTGATTGACAGCCATGTTGCAGGACTCGAACTTGCGCTGCGGATTCACACCAAGGGCAGCTTTGACCTCAGGATCGTTCATGAAAGTCTCGATCCACCCCATCTGACGGTAGCACAGAGGGCCGTCTTTCTCACGATCGCATTTGATACGCGCATCGTAAGGGTTGAGGCCGGATTCTGAAGGGCGAGTTCAGGTATGGTTACTTGTATCTCGTAAGATTGCCACATACGTTGAATGGGGGCGTAAAGTTGAGAGTTGCAATATAGCGCAGCAGGTACGCAAGTTAAACGAGAGTTAAAATCACGACAAGATTTGATCAGTCTCTGGCAAGTCGGCACTTTGCTCCTCAAAGCAGCGCATTGCGGAGCACTGGGATCATCATAGATCGGGTACGGTCCTTCACAGAGATAGTCAGGTATCGACGCCATTTGGACATAGTTGTCGGTCATTCCATTGCCTATCATAACAGAGGCGAGGTTGATCCTGATAAGTCCGACATCAGGCGAAAGAGGAACCAGTTTATTCTCGGTGTAGATAACGTTTGCGATGTTCGGAACATACGTGCCTCCGTAACTCTCGGCGGCGAGATGGAAAGGCTGAGTGGAATATTCGGGGAAACGGCCGAGGAAGAGTTCCATGAAAGCGTAAACGTCCTTTCCAGCGACGGGGCTCGAATCGACGGTACTGCCATCTTCAGAGTACGAATATCCAACGTTGATGGGTTGGTCTAGGAAGATTACGTTCGCGTGGATGTTCCAGCTGTGGGGGTTAAACGTCGTGTTGGCGCCTTCATCGGCGATGTTGCATGGACCAAGTTCGAACAACAGGCCTGTAGACGAGCTACATCCTGGGCCGCCGTTGAGCCACATCACAAGGGGCGCATCTTCGGGAGAGGTGCGTGACTCAAAGAACCTACATAGAAACAAAATAAGTATAATAAGATTACGACAGATGAAGAAAAAAAAAAGATGGGATCAACAGACCAGAAGAACAAATGCTTGTCATCGGTGATATCAAGATAACCGGAGTACTGTTTCACCGAAGGGTCACATAGCTTAGGCTCCGTGACCCTGAGCTTATAATCCCCAAAATGAGGGTGCTGAACTAGCTCATCTGAGAACGTTTATTTCAGCGAGAAGGGAAATCGGAGCAGGGTGGACGGACTTACAGGTTAAGCCGTGTTGTTTGATGAATTGCTTCCCGTCTTCGAACCATTCATGCACTCTCTCGGTGTCTGGTAGGTGGAAGGGAATATTCTGAACGTGGCTAGTCCCTTCAAGAACGACTTGTGCGTCCTGGGCTGGTACGGCGAGGACTGCTGGCAGGATGAGAGCTAGCGGGAGGAGACTGAGGACCTTCTTCATGTTGAAGGTAATAATGAAAGAACGACAGCTATCACTGTCTTTCGTATGGGAGATGCCGCGAGTTGAACAAGTTGTGGGACGCTATGTACTTCAGCGCGGACCGTGTGCAAATTTGTTTGGCAGCGGCTGGCTGGACAAACAATCCATGTAACGCATGTCTTGCCAATGCGTGTGACCCTCGAAATATCGGCCGTTCGGGATAAATAATCTTAATTTACCACAAGCTGTATTTAAGAGGTTAGGCTGATCAACATATGCAACCTGCCGAAAAAGTTACTGCACCCATGACTGTTCCCGCGAAGCCTTCCCATCAAATCCCACCAATTATATTCAGATTATTCGTAGACGTAAGTATCGGTCCAATTCGACAAATGCGTATGTTATCACAAGCGAACTCGAGAGTAGGTGTACAGCGCCCTGCACTAATATCCCCTGCACCATGACTACAGGCTGCGAAGAGCAGCGAGTAGAAGGGGACGAATCTAGAGTGTCCCTGAGGTATATAAGTTTGTTTGCAATAAATAAAGCCGATGACAACGGCTGATGATACAACATAGTCATAGGCATAGGTGAGTGGGCTGCTGGGAGGTCGCGGTGCAGATATGATGCACGAACAGAATATCAGATATTAGGTTACAAGCGCGCTTCTCCTCAGGTTATCTCGGACGAGAACATCTTGCACTGGATCGAGTCAGTCATGGAAGATCGAAGCAAGACATGCACGCACCGTTCTCGAGGATGTATGCTGTTGATTTCGTGTCCTGAAAGTCAAGCTCGGTTACCAGGAACGCCTATAAGAAATGGCTAAATAACTTACTGTTACAGATGTAAGATGGAAGTAGTATAGTCGCTCAGGAGAATGCTCTTTTAGGAGGCCGGCGAATTTCTTCTTGAGGTCTGAGTATGGGTCAGAAAGCAAGTCGACAGCAAATGGACGTGACTTGCATTGACTAGCGCTTTCAAAGTCATTCGGCCGACTGCCATAGCTGACGATGTAATCAGCCAACCGGATTCCTGATGCGAGCTTCGCACGGAGGATGTCGCATTTATTTAGAAAGAGTATGAGCTCCGTCTTCTTCAACAGGGGATTAGATACAATGGCCTTCCAAAGAAGGAAAGAATCGGCCTGCCACAAAGAATGAGCAACAAAAAGACAGGGGGAGGGGGAGGGGGAGATAAGGCGCACCAATCTATTTACAGATGGATCTTCTTGGAGAACCTGATCAAAGCAACTTATTGGTGCTAGGAAAATGATGGCATTCATGTCATCAAAGTATGGGACCCACGCGGCCCTCTACAAAAAAGGCAGCTGAGCTAAGTCCTCGTCGTCAGGACATAACTCACCAGTGATCTCTGACCACCAACATCGAACACACGCCAGTCATGATTCATGGGCGCTCCCATGGGACCTAGTCCATGTTCAGTCAAAACCCAATAGAAATCTTGTCGAGACACGAACCTGTTTTCATAGTAAATCGATGTTCTGACACTCCAAGTGTCTTTAGCCGCGCGCGCAGAACGTCATCTAAATTTCAAATAAAGCGTGTGCTATTAAAAGTCGAGTCAGCTCACCATCAGTGGGCACATATCGCGGTGAAGTCACGCGATCCAGTGCATCGAGGAAGCTGAGAAACCATGAGGGGCGAGATACGAAACCATCATTCAGAAACGTACAACCCAGCCATCTCTTCCGGTCTCATCTTCTCGATCTCCATCATCTTCCGAATGGTAGGATCCGTCCAAAGTCGTTTCATGTCTTCTGCGCAAGCGTTTAGAACTACGCCAGGGTCATCCGGGTCGGACCAGTCGATTAGATCTGCACTGTCGCAACTGTTTCGACCTATGAGGCGATTGAACGTGTTCTTCCAGCCTGCAGATGAGTTGACGCTGATCTCTTGTTGAAGAGCAAGGGATTGAGCGGGATTAGCTAATTTGGAGAGCTGGGCGTGACCATTGGGGAGAAGTTTATTTATCAAGGTAGCTTCTACTTGTAGCAATGGAGCTAAGCGCATCTTGAGCTTCAAGTGTTCTGGGCTGAGTGGAGGATATTCCCTGAGGGATGTATTGGGTGCGGTGTGATGCGCTGAGGAATGGGCCCTTGACATCAAGTCCAAGATAGCGTGAATAGATTGAACGACATTGAGTTGAATGACCGCTCTCCAAGAAGCACGCTCTGAGCGAAAGGCCTAAACGGAGGAGATCAGTGACCGGAGATTAATCCGTTGTGAAGCGCACTTTAGGAGAATTCATGAGCTGGAAGTCTGTAATGTACCCAAATGAAGGTAAATTGTAGTTTGACCATAAATAGAATTGGGCTTACTTTTCAGCGTTGTCGATTTGCCTGGAAGCTATCGGGTGAGGAAGCGAGGGAAAGCTATGCTCTGGGTGCTCACCTGATTCACTTTGACCTGGTGTTCGTCGACGATTAGGATGAGTGGAGGAGTTGAAAGGAATGAGCGCACCTAGGAGGAGTATCTTGATTGCTTTAGGACCTTTTTTCTCTGAGATACGTTGTTTTGTGAGCTCCTCGTCGATTGCGTCAGACACGCGCTTTGCTTCTTGTTCCGCAGCAAGTCGTTCATCACGTTCTGCGGGAGTTTCGTAAGGAGGAGGTGCGATTGCTTGAGTGAGAGGATCATCTTCTGAGACTCGTTGTCGTTTTGGGGTTGGCATGATAGTGAGAGGAGAGGATGGAAGAAGAGGAGGAGGAGTGGGGTACTAGTATTTGACGAAAGCAGTACTAGACTAAAAGGTACATGTGGATGGATCGGCGGTAGTCCCCATGTTGGATCCGGAACCCTTGTGACTTGATCTTAACCTGTTCCTGTCAAAAAAGACTGACTGGCATCAAAGACCAACTCAGATGCACTTCTTACTTCCTTTCGACATGTGCCTCGGTCCACACGCATTTCCGTTTCCATCTTCAGCGTCTACCCTCTCCTTCCCGTGAGGCATTACTCACCCATTGACGGCCGTGTGAGGTTGGTCTGGGCGAGGCCTTAGGTTTAGCATGAAATGGACCCGTTGCCAAAGATGGGCGGCCCTATATCAACCTTCTTCAATGTAGCCAAAAACATGTTTCTGATACAGGCAAAATATATTATCTCCCCATTTTTAAGGAGCAGCGGCCAATATTTTTGATATTTTTTTTCTGTTTTTTCGATTCCGCGATTCTCCTTTAAATTTGCCTCCGTCATGGTATCTGCCGAAATCTCGCTCTCCGCCGAAAAGTGGAGTCTGATTCGCCATGGGTACAAACATCAAAAAAGTTGTATCCAAGGTCGGGATCGGTTCCGACACCTCTGGCAATACCATTCAACCTCTTCCTCAAAAGACAGACTTCCGGATTCACGACGACGGAGATCGTATGCCAATCACTTTTCCTCCTACTTTTATTTTGCCTGATCAATCAACCGCCGCTAGTTTCACTCGCTCTAGCGCTTCAAGTAGCGGCGTTTGCGAGCTTTGTTCTCGACTCACTAGCTGCTGTGCAGACGATGTCATCTGCCGTGGCCGCCGGCATTCGTCAGAGAGAACTTGAACGGCTTCAGTCCTCCGTTCGTCCCTCATTTGATAGTACGATGTGCTTGGCCATGACGTCCTGTTCCTCGGAGGCAACAGCGACCATCACTGGATCTCTCTTCGACTCTAGCAACACGTTCATCGTCATGTTGTGTCGAACAAGTATTTCGAAGCTCATTACGTTTGTCAACAGGTAGCCTTACTGCATCAGTAGAATGTCTTTTGACTCCGCTGCCTCGGGAGCACTCCGGGCCAAGCATAGTAGACTATTGCGCTGGCTCTTGTCATCATTCTTGTGCTGTCGCCTTCCGTTCTCGCCCCTGCCTCGCCCTCGTACTGAACATGACAGTGAACGTTTGGCACAGGTCGTGCTAGAGGGGAACATATATTAAGGCGGGAGCTTGCCCTGGATTGGAGAGCTATGTCTATGATAACGCAGGTTATTAACTGTGGGGCAAAAGCTTTGGGCCCCTTTAGCCTGTTTTCAGTTTAATTGCTGTCGAGTCACATGTTATCTACTTTCATGTCACATGCAGTGACAGGAAAGTCGAATGCCCTCTTGACCTTGTCGTGGAAAATGACGAACGATATGACGTGTGCTTTTGAATAAGCTACGTACTCTTCATGATCCAGGAAGTACTATGATAGCCATGTGAAGCTACAATTCCGACGGTCTTCCACTCGGCTTCGTCGGAGTCCATCCTCACTCCACTATCTCACAGAGTGTATTCCGAGTCAGATAACAATAATCAGCTCCTCATATACAAGCGTGATATGAGCCCACAATTGCTTGGACTTAGTCACCAGGTCCTCCGGGGAACAAACCGTGAATTAAATACAAGGCCAGGGGGCAGTACGCACGGAAGCAAAGCTTGAAGCTTAAATCATGATGGTTTCCGCCCACTCCGTCATGTGAAAGCCAAGCCATTTCCTGTAGAACGTTATGGAACGCTGGCACTTTTCCACAAAAACTCATTAATTTCATCCAATTTTAGTCCAAACCTGGGAATGTTGACAAATACCCCCTCCCCAATGAGTTGGCGAATGAGGCCAATCCCAGAGTGCCCATCACTCCGACAGCTTGGATGTCGTCCTTTGACGTGTCGTGTTCTCTGCCATGAAACTTGACACAGAAAAAGAGACAAAAATTGGCACAAATTGATATACCTTTTAGGCTTATTCGTGCTCAATATTTTGGCGCTTGCGCTGGCCTTACGCAATCAATTTATCACCAACCCCAAAGAATTTGGTGCGAAATAAATGCTCATTGGTCACTTCCACTTTTTCTGCTTCTTGACCACCTTCTTTCATGTCGCCTGTCCCTCCAGTTCGCTCGACGCCTCCGTCGATGGAGACTCTTACTCCCCCAATAACTCCGAAGCTCAATGGCGAAGCTCCCCCAACAAAGTTCATCGATGATCCCGAGCACGTCCCTGCCGACGCCAACATTCCAGACAACTACGTGTCATACACTCTCAAGCACCAAAAATCCCTTCCTCCCATCACTTGGGACAACTGGTACACGGAACTAAACTGGTTACACGTTGCAATTCTCGCCGGCACGCCTGTCGTTGGTCTCGTCGGCGCGTACTACACTCGCCTTCAATGGGCAACTGCCATTTGGTCAGTGGTATACTATTACATGACTGGTCTCGGTAAGCTTTCTCATTTACCTTCAAACACGTTGTCCTTGACATCTTTTCAGGCATCACTGCTGGGTACCACAGACTATGGGCACACCGTTCATACAACGCGTCGAAGCCCCTTCAGTACGTTCTTGCATTCCTCGGCGCAGGTGCAGTCGAAGGCTCTATCAAATGGTGGTCACGAGGGCACCGTGCCCACCACCGCTACACTGACACCGACCTTGACCCGTACAACGCACACCGCGGTCTCTTATGGTCACACATTGGGTGGATGGTTGTCAAGCCCCGTCGCAAGCCCGGTGTTGCAGATGTCAGTGACTTGACAAAGAACGAGATTGTAAGGTGGCAGCATAAATACTACCTGACTCTTGTCGTCGTTATGGGCTTCTTATTCCCCACTGTTGTGGCTGGCCTTGGCTGGGGTGACTGGCAGGGTGGCTACATATATGCTGCTCTCCTCCGTCTTTGCTTTGTTCACCATGTGCGTTTCTTGCCATTTTATCTCCATAAGTCGTTGACCTCGCGCATATAGTCCACGTTCTGCGTTAACTCGCTCGCTCATTGGTTGGGTGAAACTCCATTCGATGACAAACACAGTCCTCGCGACCACCTCGTAACTGCCCTCGTCACAATTGGTGAAGGATACCACAACTTCCACCACCAGTTCCCTATGGACTACCGCAATGCCATCAAGTGGTACCAATACGACCCTACAAAGTGGTTCATCTGGTCGTGCCAGAAGCTTGGATTCGCAAGCCATCTCAAGGTGTGTCTGTCGCAGATTCGCTAGGATATTTTACTCATCCAGATTCATTAGTCCTTCCCTGACAACGAGGTCCGCAAAGGTCAGCTTACCATGCAACTGAAGCGTCTTCGTGAGACCCAGGAGACCCTGGCATGGCCTTCCGATAATAGCGACTTGCCCGTCATTTCCTGGGAGAGCTGTATGTATTTATCCGCCTGTGCCATATGTATTTTCTAATACGTTTTTGCGTAGACCATGAACAAGCCAAGACTCGTCCGGTCATCTGTATTGCCGGCTTCATTCACGACGTGTCAGACTTCCTCGACGACCACCCAGGAGGTCGTCACTTGTTGACAAAGCACATTGGCCGAGATGCTACTACCGCATTTTTCGGAGGTGTTTATGACCATAGTAACGCCGCACATAACGTGAGGCATTTTTTACTTGTCGCGCAACCATATATTGATCAATACCTTATGCAGCTCCTTGCGATGAAACGTGTCGGTGTTCTTCACGGTGGAGCCCCCCATGGCCTCGAAGATAAAGTTATCCCACCAAGCCAGCGTCTTCGCATTGCACGATACAACGAGATTGGTGGCAGCGGTTACAGCTCCGCAGCCCTCTCTGATGGCGAAGGTCTCCTCGGATGATATCCTTTTCGGTCCTAGATGCACGTCCATTCAGGACAGAACCTTTAGACTTCTATTACAATTCGACACTCCCGCGATTATTGACTTTGCATATAGTCGTTTGCTGGCAATACCGGCTGTGCTATAAAAAGCATGTTGACCTTTTTCTCACTATTTCTCTTCATACGATACGCACGGCTTGCTGTTACGCCTTGTCATGTTTGCGATGGTAATGCGAAGGGAAAATGTACGATATACATACTTTGGTGTTACGCCTGTATGGTTGCAACTGGGCTGTTAGCATAATTAACTGATCCGCTGAGAGTTGCTGACTAAGCTGCATAAGTTATATTTCTGTCCAGTCTGTCAGACTCGTGAAATGAAGGCATGATCCTTTCAAGTTTCTGTTCCTGACTCAGTCACATCATGAGACCAGTTCACGAACATCCTCAATAGAGAGAATCGTTTTGACGTGTCCATGGAGTTGATGCATTGATCGTTGTGCGTGCTGCGGCCACGGTCCGACCGTGTGCACAGTGCATGCGACTAGTGCTGGTCTGCCCACGGGTGATCACGGCTGATTCGGAGTGCACGCAGCAGCACATCAAACCATTGCAATAGACTGGAATCAACTCTGAGCATCACAGGGGATGAGAAAAAAGGGCAGCGCTGGGCGCATATATGTATTCCACATCAGCCGACCTCTGACCGAAAACGGTGTGCAAGCCACTCTGTTCAAAATCCTGTCGTTCGTCGAAGCGTACTAGCTTGATCAAATTAGCACGTACGTCGACACGATATACTAATACACATCATCGAGCCTAGAATTCAACTCGCACTCGAGTTTGGACGTCGCCAGAATAGCAATCTGCGTCGGACTGCTGGAAGATGGCCTTGTGAAAATGAAACATGGTGAGTCATGTCGTCTTCACGAAAGTAGCAGCGTAAACCGACCAAACACGATCGACGGTCCCCATCCCACCAGTACCAACGCTACGTGCTGCGTCCCAAAAGGCGATGGGTATTGTCGATGGGTCGCTACATCGATAATAGTCGAAAGCGCAGCTAGAAATTGGGTGATGAAGAACGCCCTAAGGGGTTCACGATTAACACCTCTCCCCGAGGGACGACGACCCTACACTTTTTTTGACGCGCGTACATTTGGAAAAGAATGAGCCTCCATATCGCAGGTGCAAGACTCTGTGTAGGCTGTTCGTGATCATGATAGCCTTGAGGGTGAGGGAAAAAAAGTATGTGAATACGAATACGTACTGCAGCTACCAGCAAAACGACTCACTTGATATCGGAAGAGTAGTCGTGCATTCTTCAATGGGCACGGAAATACACGCTCGCTCGTCGCGTATCTGAGATTCATCCCATTGCGATCCTTCCGAAGAACGCTTTGGCGAAGTCGGTGAGGATAAGGAAGAGGGAAAACTTTTAGCCCGCGGGGAATAAATCTCGTTTGACTCAACCGCGGTGTTATCCATGTCGTCAACACGAGGCATGATATCCTGTCTTGGCATCACACCAATTTCTCGATCATGGTCGTCCATTAAATGGTTCCCAAGTTCCGCGGATTTGGAGCCCACATCCGAGTCGGGTATACGCGGCAAACTCGCAGTTTTTGAGGGTTCAATGATCGTGACCTCCCTTTCAGCAGACAGGGAGTGTAGATATGGAGCGGTGAGGTTGAATAGCTCTCGATGCACCGTGTGCACTTTGAATACGTGGTGGGCTGCTGCTGCAGACAGGAAGAAACATGGAATCGTAAGGATCATGGATGTGCCCGCGTAGCCTAGAAAACGTCCCCTGCGCTTGTGAGCTATACCATATCGTCGGTAATGCAAGTGACACACCATATGGGATGGCTAGCGTCGCAGTGAAAATCGTCCGTGGGTTGGATTGCATGAAGGGATAGTAGGACGGGAATAGTGACACCAAGTGCACCGAGCGGAAACACGACGATGGGCAAGAGATAATGGTTTCGCCATACCAACGTCCTGCTCGCGTGTAAGTACCCAAAAGCAAATTGCTGCGGTAATGCAAACCACATACGAAGAAGCGGTCATTATAACAGAGGATGGCCACACCACAGCACGTGTCGTAGCCATTGTAAACGCGGCACACACTCCCGTCACTGAGTGAGCGGAGTAGTATATGATGAACGTCTGAGCTGCTCGAGACATTAGGGCAACAGAATAAAGTCGCACATTATAAGAAGCTTGCCTTTGCAAAATGCTGGTGGCATGTCGAACGGGTTCATGTTATATATCATGCCTTCAAAAAGTCAGCAAAGCTTCCCCGACTCTCACCTGTTTCGCATAAGAACGCAGACGCACCCAGGCAAAAAATTCCCTGGAGCATCGTCGCAAAGACACAGTACAATATTGGGCCCCAGTAGCTCCGGATCGCGCGAGCGAACACTATTAGGACTATCCAGCACGCAAAGATACCTGTATCGCTGCAATGTCAGCCCGGAAAGTTTGTGATTTCAGGATCTGCTTACCAGAGAACGACAGTGCAAACCACACGACTTTCAGCGTGAATGGTAGCATGGGGGCCAGTTTCAACAGGCAATACTTGACTCAGGCCACGGTACTGGGATGAGATGCATGACCCAGGCTCATGCCTAGTAGTTGAAAATAGCCCGGAAACAATTCGCTTCTAGATTTTATCTTTTCTCACTGTCAAAGTCCGGGACCGTAACAGCGTGGCGCAGCGGGGGTGATTGCGATTTGATACGCTTTGATAAACCTACGAGGTTAGCTCTGGTTAATATAAAACAACTGCGCATGCCGTTCTTTTCGCGTGACCCGGAGCACTGATGCCCTTCTCATTTCAGGACAATCGGAATCACGATGAAGGAACATCGGATAAGGAGCACATAAAGAAGGCATAGTGTTAGGCTACATTGTCCTATATTACACCATCCATTCATAACATGATGGCAGTCGGCGCAAGGATAATCAGGACACAAGCATGCGACGAAGGAAATTGTTAACTTGATGAGGAGAAAGTGATGATGAAAATAACTTAGTCCACGAGGACCCCAGATCTACCGAGGGCAAGACGGCCGCCGCCATCTGATGTGTAAAAGTGCCGCAGTACGAATTGTCGATCTCCTTATCTTTCGACAGCTTGGCCAACCTCAACGCCACCAGCGAGGCTGGCCACAACAGTCTCCACCCCAGAGGAAGGCGGGTCTGTCTGGCCAGTATCCACTGGCATATCATTGACTTCGTCTTGGCACCATTCCATTTTTAACTCCACATCTATGATATCCTTGCCTATCCCAATTGGGAAATCAAGGTCATGTCGAGGCAATATGAACGACGAGGATGGCGTCTCAGGAGCGATATGAAATGCTGGGATGAACCACAACCATGCCATAAATACCTGCCAACCATTGGTGTAAGAGATGACATGTAGAAAACATAAGCACACACCCGTCCCGTGTAGAATTTAATCCGCAGCTCTCGGTCGGCGTCAACTACTATTCCACTGCGATTGATCCTAGTTTTCGTCACCGGCTGGGATATAGAATAGATAGAAGTCATCTCTGATTTGACTGAAGGCTCTGAGCTGTGATTTTTCTCATGTCGAAGTGGTGCTTTGGAAACGTTTACCCAACGCTCCTCAGTCAGCGGACTGAGCGAATAACTATAAACCTTGATGCTCTGTTATTTGTGAGTTCTCTAGGTAGTGCGACTAGCTTGTCAGAAAGTTAACCAACCTCGTCTGCGCTATTCATTTCAGAAGGTCGCTTTCCATCATCTCCCATCCGAGCGAAAGTTCGTACCATCTTTTCTTTGTCCCATTTGTCGCTGTCAAAGATACCACTGACAAATTCGGACGACTCGCATTTCCGCCTTCCCAAGTTATTGATATCCCGAGTACTTTGCTCCCAACGCTCTAAAGCGTCAACCAAGTCATCGTCATAACGTGCTAGCGACGCCCACACACGGTTGTCGCCAAGACTAATGAGACCATGTTCGTCCTTTCCGCGATCCCTTAGCAAGCTAGCTACACGAACGAGACCTGCTTTGATTCCAGAGAGCTCACGCAGTCGAAGCGAAATTTCGGTGATGCGCACTTTCCTCCGGAGAATCGATGGTGACATGGAACCATTGTGCAAGTCCGATTTCACGTCCGACAGTCCCCATAGGCCACGTGGACCCTGGCCAGCAAGAAGTCGCGACCAGTATAAAAGCCAGCGTCGTTGACTAGGAATACTAACACCTGCTCTCGGCTTCGTGCTCGACGTGTTATTTGAAGTGGACGGAGCTTTCATGCGGCGCGAGGTGTGCAAGTCTAAAACCTGTTGTAACGTAGGAGCAGAGGGTTTGGAGACCATAGTTGGGCTTTCATACTGAGTCTCCGGGAATCTTTCTTCCACGATGGATGATGTGGAGGAGACAGCTGCTTCCCCTAGTTCTTCAAGGACAGCATCATTGGGGATTACTTGCATGCAATCATCAACGCGTACAGTTACCCAGTCCTTTGCAAGGTGACTGTCTTCCGGAAAAGGAGGAGAGAAGTTGTCCAGCGAGAGAAGATAAGCACAAACTAGTGTGCCCGACCTTCCCTTCCCAGCTGTATGAGACTTAAGTTAGTAGATGTGCAGAGCGGATGGAGGACACGCTGTACCTTTGCAGTGCAAAGCAGCTACTCGTTCCTTTGAAACTGTTACCCAGGCATGTATCTCTCTCGAAACCAAGGGGAGAATGGCAAGGGGAGGCGCACTGGATTTAGCGATTAGCGATTGCAAACCAATGATGTATGACTGTTTCTCACTGATGATCTGGAAAAGGGTAGCGACTCACTCGTCCTCCAAAAACGCTCTTGTCATAAAAGTTCTCTTTAACTGGACAGAAGTTGAATACCCAAAAGTCGTTACCGTGCCGAGCAGTAAGAAAACGCTGAGCATCCTCGCGGCGGTTTCGGTAGAGGCCCTCAATACCAGCAGCCGGATAGCCCATAACGATGACTTGATCGGTTACATACGCAAGGTCTATAAGAGTACGAAGAAAGTGTGTCACAGTGAGCTCAACAATCGATGAAACATATGATACAGCATACCTAGCTCAAGGTCAAGATTTGGATCCTTAAACCTAGCTTTGCCACCCGAAACAAGACGCCGCAAAAATTCGGCCATAAGACGATCAGATGTTTGAAGAATCGAACTGGAGCATATAGGGCGCAGAACAACACCAAGGCGAGGTGGTCATTGGAGTAGCAATGGCCCGGGAAGTCAAAGCTTCCCAGCTTGGGCTGGACCGCATTTGAAGTGGTGCCTGGCTGCCTGATAAGGCAGGTCACCATCCCAGATTCTGTCCTCACACAGCACTTCAAGGCCTCAAGCTTTATAAATAAGGAGTCTTGGAAGCGGCGAACTGCACAATCCCATTCCCAACGGCATTGCAAACTCTGTACTATTCCTTTTCAGTGAACCCCAGGTTTCCCTCTACAACTAAATGTGACCGCTCGTTTCCTGACTGAATTTCGAGAGCAAAATATTCCGCAGTAACCTCAATTGTCGGTCACATTCTGCATGATCGTCAATTGAAGTGCTGCTGCGAATGATACAGCCCTCGAGCCAAATCCTGACGCACTTGGATAACCTGATGCTCTTCTCTTGAAGGATGATCAATGTTGCGTACTTGTCTTATCATCGATATCCTAGATTTTGGAAGTCAGACATAGTGAGAAGCCAAGTCCTTTATGAAGGTACGTGTCGAAGCCCGATTTGATGAAGATATTATTCCCTGAAACATGAGCTATCATCCAATCCCATTCAAGTTTAAGCAAGACCTCAACTAAAAGGCGGGTAACTTGTTAAACCTATTCTGATTTCCAGGAATACAAGGAGTCCAGATTGATACCCGAACATTCCCATGTCAGGTACACAATTTGAGGACATGTTTCAAACCCTTGATAACGAGGTCAGAAGGCTGTCGTGAGAGACGCTGAGGGAGCAGAGACGGGACTGGTTCCAGTAAGGATCGTTCTATTTTTTGCAGAAGTTGTAAATCTCTCGCGTTGTTTCGACCTGATCTTGGGAGTTCTCGACATTTTCTCGCCCGCGCTAGTTAGTAAAATAGTTAGGTGATTGCCCATGCTGCTAGTGCCGATGAATACGATCTGCTTCACTCCCAGATATATGAACCTAGACGTCGCCAACACCACCACCACGGAAAATGACTTGAGATTCAGCGAGGGGAATGTTGCCTTCTATGAATACAGGTAGCGCCGTAGTTGAAAATGCGAGGTATATGAATTGAATACAAGAAATCAAGCCATGAGATCCACGAGAATGGTGATAATGCCAAGTACTAGATCGCATCAATATGAGCTCAACAAACAAGAAAAATGATGAAATTACCGATTTCAATCCCAATAAGAGCAACGACAATCTGCTCAAGTCGTTCTGCATGCCTACTTGATACAGACTCCTTGAGAAGTTGAAGCATGTCTTGAAGAACCTGTCCATGAAGTCAGCGAATGAAAGCAAGCCGCATGAACCAAACCAACCTCGACTCGTGTATTTAGAAGATTGATTCGCTGAGGAATCTCTAGATAACTGCGCGCGGCATCATACAACGGTTGAAGATCGGGAAAGCTCTGAAAAGGTGTCAAAAATGCTGAAACTTGACGTGGACAACCCAGCTCACCCAGAATACTTCCTAGAATAGGGCAGGGGTGAATTCCATATACTCCAAACAAATATTTTCTTACCGGCGAGTCTAAGACAGAGCCTACAGAGTTGATGTTAGTCCGTAATATGAATAACTCCCCAGTTTTGCGCATGATTTCTAGTAAGTATGTATGAGATGATTTACAATGCGAGATCTTCTTGACCGACCTTTATGGGGCATGCCGATCTTCCCTGTCTCTGACAATGTTTCGGGTATATCTTTCGTGTCTTCGATGGTATTTGAGATAAGTTCCTCAAACTGAGCAACTATCAGTAAAATATTATGCCACAGGTTCAATTCAGCGCACCAAGGATATCTTGACGGACTGAGACAGTGCATGCGATAAAGAGAGCTTTGTCCTTGATGTGTTTAAGTATCATGGAGACTCCTTTTATATTCGACTCACATGTAACCAGATCCCTTGCGCAAAGTGATGACATCGTTGTATATCCTGTGTCATGAGTAAAAATCAGCAATTTCAACAAGTAACGAAACATACCGACTGTAGTTTGCATAGTAATAATTCAGATCCTCCATTTCAATGTCGTCTGGTGCTGCCAGCGATTCAGAGTCCTGCAGGAAATACAAACACTCTCACATACCCAATCTTTCAACCTCAAAACGCTTGCTACGAGCAGTTCGTTAAGGCTGATTGTAAGAAAAGAAGATACTCACATGGACGACAAAAACCGTTTCTCTTGGGCTTCACTCATTCCCCATATGACGACTGTTCCGTAGGCAAAAATGAATATCTCAGCCTCAGTTGGAACGGTGTGGAATTTGCTGATTTTCTTGCGGTTAGATGAGCGTCCATTGTCTTCCGCTTCAGATATGAGGGGATTTAGTTCTGGGATTCCCAACAAATCCCCACTCGCTGGCTGAGATTTCGCATTTGCTTCTTGGTTGACTTGGGGTTCATATGCATAAGAAGTATACAAAACTTCATCGATAATCTTGGGGTCTGCATGATAGGATTCCCTCCGGGCATTGAAAAACTTTGAAAGTTCATGCAGACGATAGGAACTGAAACGAGACAAAGCCTGTCAGTCAAATAGTCAAACAGGAAACCAACAAAGAGTTACCTTGCCGTCGCATATGCCGTTACACGGGGCAGTGACTTCGCCTTTTTCTTTGTCAACCTCAGTGCATCTCTTCGGGCCGTTCCCTGAGGAATCTGGGAGATTTGACGTAACCGTACTTCGACATCCTCGCCTTCATCCTCATCTGACTCATCCTCGTCCTCATCATCCCCGTCATCCGTATCTCCTGTTGTTCCTAGACTTTCCTCAGCATCTGGACGTGGCAAAATTTTGCCTTGGGTAGTAGATGATGTTGGTTGGTCCGGTAGGACTTTGAGTTTGCCAGCGACCTTCGTGGACCTGTTTGCACCGCGAGTTTTTGGTTCGGGCTCCCTAGAAACGCCTACTATAGACTTTGGTAAAAGCGGGTTTTTAGGCATGATGGGACTGGATGTTATGAGACTCGAGAGTTCCTCTCTCAATTGTTTCCGGTTCGGACTGGGTTATAACTTCGATCGTGGGCACTGTACTGGGTGGGTCACATGACCGCTGGTCACGTTGTTGCAGTAGGGATTTTTGCGATCATGGTGATGGTGACTCGTGAGTCACTGCCGTAGATTTTCAGCGTACGTCTAGCCGCGCGGATTCCAATCGAGTCGCCATGCTGGATTGATCAGGCGCGTACATGCAGGTTTGAAGCTTGCGATCTACACAGAACTTCAGAAGTTGCTTTTACACACAGCCCTCTTCTCGGTCACTGGTTCAGGCTGCCCTGACTTTGACATCATCACGTCTACCTCGCCTACTGTGTATACTAGGTCAACGCAGGGCGAGCTGCTAGCAAGCGCACATATGTAAAACGCCGTTCAGGGTTGACCTGGAGTGTTTTGCGGTATGTGACAGCATCATACAGGATTGAAAGCTTACTGAGACGAGCAGGACTTGAACGCTCAATGTTCAAACGCCAGCATGCAGGCACTGCTGATGTCGATATACGATATGCACAGCGGCGCTATCAACTGCGCTGCTCAGACTCATCCGATTAGATCTCCCCCACCGCTAATATTGGTGTCATATCGCTGGTGTCATACAACCTCGCCGGGTCCCAATCTTCCAAACTCAGACCATCGTATGATATAATTGTCCACTTACATAAAGCTTAAAGTCAAGGTTTGTGCCTTTACGTTTACTTTATGCTTCAGCACTGGGGAAGGCCTCACGTCACGATGAATGGAAGAACTTTGCTAATCGGAGGATGCTCATTGGTGGAGAGGACTACCGTGATGCCGCTATGTGCTATTGTATGTATACCTAGATGCGACATACTATGCCAGTCAACTTGTTCTGATTTCGCCAGTCTTCTTTGATTCAAGATCACGCGACAATCCCGAAGTCGTCGGACTGGAAGCCTCATTCCTTGCCTCCGCGGAGCCGTTTTGGGCCGCAGGGTTTATTGCCGTACAGTAAACCCTCTTTTCTTCTGGTGGTGGAAGCAAGTAATTTGTGCGAATGCCCTACAGGGGAAGTTGCAGCAACTTTGTCGCGATGACTCATTATTTTCCAGTGATCGATCCAATCCATGATGCTATTCGATTGATATATTGATATTTCCTCGAACTATTATCCTGTAGCTTCCTCGACCTTTCAGATTCTTTCTCAGGTACGATTGAACTCTGTATATTGTTCCGAGTTGGTGACACATGGAAACTAGCCATTGGCGATAATCCCTCTCAAACGATTTGCAATGTCCTTACGTCCAAAGACTCTTGGCCAGATCGCCAGTAGTATTACTATGGCTGAACGCAGGTGTGTGGAAGTGCATGCACTCTACCAAGCAAGGAAAATTCACTATCACTATCGTTTAGGGTTTGGCACGCAAATTCACCAATCCTCCCTCTTGTACGAGGGAACGACTTGAAAGTCGGTCGCGCTGATTCATCGGGGGTAAGACTTACCTAAAGCACATATTCTATCTCAGGACTAACTTCAATACTCCCATTTTCCGTTAATACGCTCCAACTGAGCATACTGATACCTGCTCAAGCAACGAATAGATCCCTAGTTCGGACCGAGACGGCGATTAAGCATCAACAGGGTGGTTGCCTACATGTGACATTTCCGCGGAATGGCCAGTAAAACGCCCCTGAACAGACTGCGCCAGCAGTACTGTGCTGTGCCAACATGCTCTTAATCGGATATATGTGCCGTCACCCAGTCTGGCGCACTCAAATAATTCACAAGTGCTGGATACGAACTAGAAATCAGCGTCAGGTAACGTCTATCACTTTACGGAACCGCAAACGGGAAGAAGTATCACAAATGGAGAATTAAAAGAGGAAGATGATGTTGTATGCGGATATATGCGAATATGTCCCCGAGGGCAAGTCTACGGTACGTACCTAGGCTTGGCATCATGGTCACAGTACGTCCTGCGTGAGAGGAACATGTAAATTTTCAGGCGTGGATATTGGTAACGCTCCCCACCAACAGCTGCCTACCCGAGACGGGATGTTCAGCAAAACCCCTATCCCAGCTCAGCAACAATGACCCTTCGCGACGGAAAACCTCTCACGGCCTCGATTCCTCCGCTGATCGTATTGACGTTCGATGATCGGCGTCTCGGATCAATTGGGTGTGCCATCAAACAGTATACATATTTCACAGTCTATAATAATAGACAACCAAGACCACACCCACTACTTCACTGCAGCTTGTAAACAGACATAACACATTAACGTGACGACGGGGTTTGACAAATTCGGAAGCCCACAGATTCGTGCGGTTACTGTGCGGTACAAAATATATTATCTGCCTATGAATCCGAGGCTTACGCGCGAACTAATACAAGCTTAATGGACAACACTTAGACTACAATACAAGCTCACCCTTATCAGAATGACAATAAGGTACCTGTGTACGTTCGGCGTCGTCAGTAAAAACAAGTAATAATATGTAAGTTTAACAAGATATGCGTGAGGATTATAAATGTATAATTGACAAAAAAAAGGGCTGTCCACGCCTGGAAGTTGAGGTATATTAAAATAAGTAGAAGGGAAAGTCGCAGAATATTTCGAGAGATTAGATCGGCTTCAATGAATTATCAGGCATACGAGGACCCTATCGATTCGGGGTGTACTGCAGAATGTCCCTTTGAAGGGGGATGCTTTCGGTCTCCTCCCTTTGAGACGAAACCTGGGGAGACCTGAGTTGAAAAACGCTGAAGAAATTGTTCATCGATGGGTTCGCGCCTTGGATATGCAAGCCCTTGTAGGTATTCGAGAGGCACCAGCTGTTCCGAGAGATGGGAAGGGCTGATGCGCGGACTTGGAGTGGCAGGTCCTGAAGAAGAAGATGAGGGTGGAGAAGGACACGCCGAGCGACTTTGGAATGGCACAGCATCACGAAATTGTGATTGCATCTGAGTAGGAACCACATTGGGAGCCGAATAAGCCGTCTGGCGGACGTTGGAGGAGTGATGCCTAGACGATCCTTCTGCGGAAGAGGGAAATGAATAAGCGGTTTTACGTCCGCTTGAAGTCTCTACTTCCAGCAGATCAAGCTGTGAAGAATTTCTTGAAGTGGGAAAATGTGTAAACGCGGTAAACGGTGAAGGATTTGAATTTGAAGCATGGAATGATGACTGAAATCCGGATTGAACCGAATTAATCTTGGGTAGTACGCCCTCCATGGGAAACTGTGGGAGTTGCTTTGCAAGGGCAGATTTTGGTAGATCATCGTCTCGTCTTGTCTTAGCATCTCTACGAGCACTCCGGAACCATCCGTCTGGAACCGGGACATCACCGACCCCTGGTATATTATCGATTGTGTTAAGCCGATCAAGCTTCTGTTGACTGAAGTAGGCAGCTGATGAAACGAAGGGATGATTAGACTTCCGAGGCGGCGGAGATAGCTAAGAAACGTACTTAGGTGCCACTTCCTAGTAATACCTCGTGTGCGATCATCAGGTAACGAGACACGCACACTATAAGTTTGCTTGATCAAGCGTTCAGAGTCCCCCGTAGCACGTGCTCGCGAAGAAGGGTACATGCTGTAAAACAAGTAAATTTGTCGTTCCACGGTGTAGGGACTTTGGGCGCCAAGATTGACGTGACCTACCTGATCATCTGGGCCCATGGAGTGCCGGAGCTACCTGGATCATCGTTCACATCACACTCCTTCTGTTGATAGAACAGAAATTCCTGTGGAAAAATAAGTCCGGATGGGATTTGACGATTGAGGATTACTTACATCGCGAACTCTACTTGGTCCCCAGCCCATGCCATCCGTCCTAGCAATATAAATAATATTGAATTATTATGCTTATATCCCCAGCCACATGTGGACAGACCATCGTTCCATGCCGAGACCTGTAGCCTCAGAATTTGCACTGCGTTCCTCCCAAACATAAACGTTTCCGGGGGCGATAGCCCTTCGTTCCTCAGCGTCCAATCGGCGTGTTGTAAGTGGGAGGGTATTCCTGGCAACAGCATGAAAGATGTGAAGGGCATCCCTCGTTGAGCGTATGCGAACATTTTGGAGGGAAGGTTGTTGCATATTGAGGGAAAACGCCAGTGGGACTTAAGATCAACGGGACTTTAGAGCACAGGTTATATATTCTTGGATTCGTAAGGGAACTGTGAACCACGGATAAAATTAAAATTATTCTAAGTTTGAATTGAGTTAACTCACATGCTGGATTTTGAAAAAGCGCCCTGTGATCGGACTCTTGAGATTCGACTTGAGAGTATTTCCGAGACGTGGGGACGCCGCTAGCTACTCCACTAGCCAAATCCATAACGATAACGCAGCATAAAGTGCGAAGAACGTGGGTATAAGATTACAAGTCGTACATCTCCCAATATAGACGTTCCGGCGCAACGCAAGATACCGACCAAGTTGCCAGTGAACACAAGAAACCTAACAGTACAGGTTGACTACAGGGTTGCATTAATTTATCACATCCGGCTGACAACAACCGCTGTAGACGCGCCCTTGAAAAATCTTTGTGCCAGTGCTAGCGCTAGCACCAGTCTAATCAACGATCCAGGTTACATTTCAAAGATCCTTGATGCCTTTCTGCATAGCTCTTTGATGGCGGGCCCGCGCACATTCGCCAGAGGTACCTGGGATTGGTCAGTCTCGCTTTAACGTTCCACAATCCTAACAAGGTTTGATTTCAGAACTGGACACTGTGTGACGATATGCTATGATCGTCGCCATAAATTAGCAAAACTTTTTGACGAGAAGAACTTATCATTGTAGCCAAGCAATATCGCCGGGGGCGGCGCATTTGAAAAGCCTAATCCAAAAGCCATGCAGGTGATCACCGTCCAACGGGCGGTTGTTTCAAATTGTTTGCATTTAAACGTGAGCGCAGCTTGGCTATGCTGACTCTAGGAGCAGCTCGGATAAAGCCTAATTCAATCGTATGACAAGATCACTTCATGCTGAACGTTGCCCCGGTCACATTTGCGCCAGGCAGCTCAATCTGGAATCGTATCTCTAACTTAGTAGGGGCCGACATTGATGATCAGCGGGCTTTTGTCAACATACAGTTTTAACATGTAAGCCCACTGCGTCGAAGCCAAATTTCCCCTTTCGTGAGGTCAGCAGGGGGCCTGCGTTATTCGGTGGACATTGTCGGTGTAGGAGAACACTTCCCACCTTGGAAGTTGTGATTGATCACATCTTCATAGTACGTTCCAGAACAAGAAGGCATGGTGAAAAAAGGTTTTCAGATGGCAATGACCGACGCGCCTTACGAGTTGTCATGGTGTGGTGGCCGGCGTCTATATGATATGGATATGTGCGTCTCAATAGCGGCACAGAACCTTTCAGGCGTGTCGAATCCCGATTTCCATGAATATTTGGGCAAACAAAGAAAGCACTGCAAGCGGTTAATGAATTGAGCGAAAGGGTCAAATCACAGTGAATACGAGGCAAATTGAAACTGGGACTGAGGCGCTGAGCGTGAAGATCACCCGAAAATTGAACGGTTGCTTGGGAAAGTTTGCAGGGCAAGACAGGGCAAGCTAAAGTCTAGACACGGCTGATTCCGAGCGGACAAACACCGGGCCCATTGCAACCGTGACAAGCCTAGTAGGGGAAATAGCGCAGCTCATTGTGCGATGTGTACTTGTACCGCGAAGGTTTGACCCTTACCTCAGTGGCAACGCTGGCACCACAAGCATGTTGCAGGGCAAGGTGAGCGGGGGAGTCCGGACCCAATCCATCGTTGGTTAACACGTAGACTTAAAGTTTCGTCAGTTTCAACTACGTGCAAGTGCTTAACGACAGATCGGCGCTTAAAATATTGAATTCCGCGGCTGCTCAAGCTCTCCGCATTGCATTGCAGATGTGTGCAGTCAGGCAAGCAGTATAATCTCATCATACATTGGAAATGTGAGCTGAGGGGGGACTGGTTGCAGCATGTTCATCGATTTGCTCATGCCCAGCGGATTTTTCCGTCCGGGTTCACATTTGATACTTGTTACAGCCTGCAGTCCGGGAACTTGGATCGTCACAAACAATGACATAGCCATGAGCGAGCGAAGCCGGAGGATCGCAAGTGCACCCCCATGGACACCTCAGCAGACCCATCGGCTCGTTTTTGTGGAGCAACTGTATACGGCACGCCGGATGTAATAATGCGGGCTGAGTTGTTGTCAATTTCGCTCTCTCCCGGTTGGCTGTTGTGGTAAAAGGTTGATACGCATTGATGAAGGCCATATTTCAAATCTCAAGCGTCAATAGTTATCCACATCGACATTAGACATGGGTATAAGAGGGATACTGGGTGGGAGTGATGCTAGGTTTGTAGCAACTAGAAGCCAATCAATTTACGATATGATCTTGACCGGAAAAACATCGTCAAGCGCGAATACCATAAACGAGTACAATGGACGCACCTGACAAAGGCAACACGACCGGGATATAGTCGGGAATCTCTGCGTAATGTTGTCGATCACGAAAAAGATAACGTACGCGAAGTGATTTAGGGGATGCGGGGGCGGGATCATAGAAACCTTGAATGCCGGCCTGTAACATGCCACGTGAACCGAGGTTCGAGGAGAAGATATGAACATGACTACCTTTGTGCGATGACCGGGAATGTGAAGCTGACTGTTGTGCACCAAGGCTTGTACAGGCACAGTTACATCTATCGTAAGGTTCTCGGCGTCCGTTTCGGGCCCGTACGTCGCACTTAGGATGACAAGACCTTGACGCGACGTGAGAACCACGTGCCCGGATATGTGGGGATGTCGTACCTCCTCTGGACCTCTCCGTCTGCACGTGACGTTTGGCAGTGTCGCTCAACAACCCCGCGGTGTCATCAATGCGCCTCCTTAGCTGAGAATTTTCCTCTTTAAGGAGGCGCTCAGCCTTGCGGAAATATCTTTTTAATGAAAAAAAAAAACGAAAATGTTAATCTGACAGTCGAAGGAAGTTGGAGATAAGACTGACAATGTCCGTTGTAACTGCCTACGAGGCTTTAAGACAAAGTGATATCCGAGGAGGAGAACTGTTGAAGGCAAAACAGCCGAAAAGAACTCCAATGTTTGATTTCTTACGGTCGACAAAGTAATTGGCAATATCCACTTCTGATGGAGATATTCCAACCTGGTATCGACGCGTGAGTCTGGAGAATATTTGAGGACGAAGTGGCGCACTCAAAGCGCATGATTAGCCCCTTGGTGCTCACACCAAAGCTAGTTGATATAGCAGTATTCGTGTTAGTCCACGTCGCGGTGACCAAATAGGCTAATTGCTGAAACCCAATCTCTAAGCCTGCCTTGAACCTCAGAGATAGTTCGAAAAACCAGATAGACCATTCTGTCCTGATACATGAGTTGAGGCCAGATAACTGTAATCCACATGACCAAGACCGCAGCCCAACCCCAAAACCACTGACGGAGCCAGGCTTATTTGTAAAGTCGGCGTTCATACGGTCCGTATGGTGAACGTAATTTTCAGGTGACGAGAAGTCAAAAGGTTGAGGGGAGTGTATATCAAATTCGAAGCTTCCCGTGGACAACGGGGAGAATGTCCACGCTACCGAGCCCACCGTTGAAGCATGTCGGAAAAGTCGACGACTGAAGGAAACGGTACTAGCCGGAGGAAGAAGGTTCCAGAACGCAGGAATGAAATGCACACGACAATTTAGGGTATTGTCATTGTCTTCGTAGCTCGCTTTTGCAACAACAAGGTGAGGGTCTAAGAGATGTGCTGTAGCCTTTTCAGACGACGGTCATGCCCTGGGTGATATATTTGATGTAATAATAAGACATACCTCCAAAGCGAGCCGAGGGGAGAATTGATGGTGTATTGTGCCCATGAGATTATTTCTACTCAGCAAGGCATTTCGAGGGCCTAGTCCCAGGTGACTTGTGAATTTAAGATTAGTCTTTTCACTCAACACCTTCTGCACAAATTGAAGCGGACATGAATGTCAGGTGAGAACGAAAAGGTATGGAGCTCACCGTGATAGAATGACGAATGGCAAATTGCGAGACCCAGACACCACGAAGGCGGGCGAGGATGCCTCTCGAATCATAATCTAGGTCATCACCATGTGCGAATAACGTTGATGCGTCAATTCCACACGTTATCATGCCTCTTGGACGAATGAGGTGATCAAACACTTCGTGATTACGATCAATCCTCCAACGTCGAAGGTGCGCGCGTATCTGTCAAGTGGAGTGAGTCAGCGTTGAGTGTTGGGCAAAAATGCCGCACCTGTTCAACACTCTGAGACCTCAGCTCTGTTGGCCATGAGTTTTTTAAAGCATCTTCACCTAGTGCCGGTAAGGTATAAGTACGTCCTGAGGATGGAATGCGGATGCGCTTACCTAGGAAATCATACACTTCCCTAGTAGAGTTAGACCGCATGTAGAGAATGGCATATTGCAACACGAACTCACCGAAGAAATGGGTCTGACAAAACTTTAAAGCGTTGTTAGATATTGTATTGAGACTGGACTAAAAACTTTCACCTTCGTAAGCCTTCTGAATTTCAAGAAATTCCACAGCTGCAGTGTCCTTTGTGTGTTCCCCGCGTTGCTTGTCAGGGTGAAATATTATGGACAATGCTCTGTAGCGTTCCCGTATCTCGTTTGCGGAAGCAGTCGTTGGCACGTTTAACACTGAACTTTTCTATACGGTCAGCAGCGACTTTGAAGGTTCTGCGAACGACGTACTAAAGGTATTCATTTCGTACCGGATTTACGCGTGATTTATTCATGCTGTTGCCAAAAGAAATTGCGCGTACGTGGTACCAATGTCGACAATGGTCAACGAACGTTAAACCGCGACTATTCTCGGTTCCCCCTATGATGCAAAAAACCTTAATCGGCTTTCGGGTAACAAAATTCCCACGACACGTGAATCGCCACGTCGGTTGTTGCAAGTTGGCACGAAAGCTCAACTTCTTCCTCATCTTGATCGTTCAACATGACCTCCCGCATAAACATTGGTCGTCCGGCTTCAACAAGCTATCATAGCCCAGATCCTCATGGATTTGCAAACTCAAACTCTTCTACAGGTTACAGAGCAGCTAACCCAGACCATCCTCTCGAGAAGATTCGAGCAGCTGCTAAACAGGTCGAAGACGCTATCGAGATATATTCTCAGCCTTTGAAACCCCATTTGCCTACTATCGGCCGGTTCTTGATCATCGTCACATTCTACGAGGATGCTCTGAGGATTATGACACAGTGGAATGACCAACTTTGGTACCTCCAAACGTCAGTTACAACCGTTCATAGCAGGGAGGCGTTTTGTTTAAATTTCATTGGTTACAGACATAGATATTTCTACCCGGGAATCTCTCACCTCTTCCTACTGCTTAACGTCATCGTGAGCCCTCGTTCTAAGTCTCACAAATTCTGGATTTAATTCCCTTGTCCTAGACAATGCTTGTTGCTTCCTCAGCCGTCATCATGAAAAGGTACACGGAATATGCGGTCATCGGTCTCCTCAGTGTAGTCATCATCCAAGGCTTTGGATATGGCCTCATGTTCGACCCCGTTTTCTTCCTTCGTAACTTGAGCGTCATAGGCGGTCTCATCATGGTATTCAGCGAAACCATGTTCAACAAAAAGAAAAGCTTTGCTGGTATTCCGTCTATGAGCGAAACAGACCGCAAAAAATAGTGCGTGTTCTTCCTCACGCTTCTCCCGCGACTCACATTTATTCATCCACCATTATAGCTTCCTCCTCGCAGGTCGCGTCCTCCTAATCTTCCTCTTCTTTGGCTTCATTTTCCGAGGACACTGGAACATAGGCCGCATACTCATTTGCATGGTCGGTCTCGCAGCATGCACGATGGTAGCCATCGGCTTCAAAGCAAAATGGTCCGCGACCTTCCTCGTCATCTTGCTGAGTGTCTTCAACGTCTTTGCGAACAACTGGTGGAGCGTGAATAGTGCGCACCCTCAGCGTGATTTTCTCAAGTACGTGTGTGAAGTATATTTTAGAGCGTTGTGCTGATGCGCCTTTCTAGGTATGATTTCTTTCAGACGCTCTGTAAGCCACTATTTTCTGCCACAGTAGTGAAACACTAATCAATCACAGCTATCGTCGGAGGCCTCATCCTTCTTGTAAATATGGGACCCGGTACGTCCATCTCACCCCTTCCTGCTGCGTTCGTTCGTTCGCGACTGACGTTCATGCAGGTGGTCTCTCGGTGGATGAGAAGAAAAAGACATACTAGAGCAATGACTACTTGTTTTCTCATTGGCATCATAACAACAGTATCATCCTTATCCCGCAGAACATGCTTCGGATCGTTTGAATGCTTGTCGTATCGGACGCCTTGGTACTTATTCATAGTACATATATCCCATATCGCACTGTCAATGAATATGGCATCGTCGATTTGTTGCCACCGCATAGATACCAGTCCCCACCCAAAGTTTTTTGTATCTATAGATGCGCATGACGTGAGGATGTGCGATTCTGAGGCGCAGGAGGTAACACCTCGTCGAAGTCAAACTGTTACCCTAACTGCCTAAACACATTCTTACTCCCACTCCTCATCCCCTTCCTCCGCTGCTTCCTCCCTGTCCGTTCACTCTCACTCAACACAGTCGTCCTTTCCCCATCACCACCCCCACGCTCCATACCAGCTCCAAACACCTCCACGCCCTTCCTTGTATTTCTGTCTTTTCTGCTCCCCCGGTCTCTTGAGGGATCCTTTGTGGAAGAAGGAACCCAGCTCATTTCAAACCCTCCTGTATTTTCGGCGCGGAGTGCTGTAGCGTGGGAGGAAGCACGCGCAGGGGCATTCCTGCGCTGTCCAAACGTAGCAGTCTTATCATCCGTCTTCCTCGCGCTCGTACTAGTTTCAGTGTGCGGGACAAGAGGGACGAAATTGACATTGACATTGGCATTGGCTTGTCTGTTGTGTTGGCGCGTCCGCGTGTATGCTTGGTGTGCGCGTTCATTCTTTTGACCTGGACGAGCGCGTGGGTCAAAGTTGTTGAGTTCTGGGGGGTTATGTGAGTATGCAATCGTGAGTTTTGAGTAGAGGACGCTGGATGTGATAATACAGATGATGGGGGATTGGAAGGAATATGGATGGAAACGAAACCGAAAACTCACCACCAGCATCGCTACTATCATCGCTATCGCTTCCCTCACCACCATCGCTCTCACTCTCGCTCTCATCCTCACTTCCAGTAGCTGAATCCCTCTCACTCTCCTCTTCTTCCTCCTCAACAGCAGTCTTCCCTCTTCCCTTCTGCTTAGAAGCCGAAGCTGAAGGATGCAAAAGCGCATACTCCCTCGTGGTCTCGTCCACTGCGAACTCGGGATTCAAGAATAAGTCTTTGAAACGGGGGTCGTTGAGAAGGGTTGGTTTTTCGAGTTCGGTTGGAGTTTGTTCTGCCTCTCCAGCATCGGCATCGGCATCAACATCCATATCCTCTTCATCCTCCCCACCCTCCTCACCCTTGACACCCCTCTTCTTCTTCCTCTCCTCCTTCTTCCTCTCCTTCTCAAGCCCCCTCTCAATCCTCTCCGCCAATGCTTTATTAACCTTGAATTCTTCACCTCCTACCCCAGTTCCAGCACCAGAACCCTTCTTCGTACGTATCCTCGTCTCCGCCATCTTCTCCATCCGCTCCTTAACGAGTTTCTCACGATGCTCAGCATATGCGAAGGGGTTAGCGATAACGCGCGCGGTGTCGTAGAGGTGGAGGGAGAGGAAGTAGCCGTGCATGTAGGGTTTAAGAGCGGGGGTCCCTATTAGGTGGTCAAGGCCAAGTCTGTGGAGGGTGCGTGAGTTGTGAGTTTTGGGCGAATGGGCAATACAGCGCGGGATCAAGATGGTAGCGAAAGCGAAAAAAAAGATAACGCACATCTTCAGCTCACTCCTCTCTACAAACTTGAAATCCTCATACACGCTCCTGGTCGTAGAATCTTCCATTTCCTCCGTAATATTTTCCAGAAAACTAGCCCAGCGTGGTGCGGGACCAAGCGCAGGGACATAATATGTGCCCATTTGAATGCCTTCGTTTGCGGTGAGGAAGAGGCCACTGCCTGGGACATGGTGGATGTGATTGAGGTCGTTTGCGGGTGTTATGGATACGAAGTTGGATGAGGGCTGTCGTGCGTCGGTGTTAGTGTCGCCATCAGCATTAGTACTATCACGAAAAGTAAGATGGGCGCACAGAATTACGATCCCATATCTTGACGACTTTTTTATCTGCACTCAATACCATACCATCCCCTGCGAGTCGACCGCCCTCTATCCATGTTAGATTGCGTATTGGGAGGCCGTAGCCTTGGTCTTTTAGTGCAAAGTGCCGGTTGGATCGGATATCGTATAGAAGGGTGTGTCCTGTGGATGTCCCTACAGCGTATGATAGGCCGTCTGATCTGGAAGCGATTGCTGTAACGCCTATACTAAGTGCACCTGTATCGTCGACGCCTGGCATGGTACTTCGCGCTGTGGGGCGTAGCAGTCGACTGGTCGGTATCCGAAGCACACCAACCGATGATCTAGAACGAAGATCCCAGAATTGAACTGTCCCGTTCCCATCGACGCCAAATGCGAGGAGGTTATGCGCGGGGTTGATGTCAATACAGTTCACGCCTTGGATGTCGTCATCTTGAAGAACTAAAGGATTGAGAAAACGTCCTTGTTCGAGGTTAAGTCGATATATCTCGTTTCCTGAAGCTGAGAAGAGCGCGGTGCATGATGGAAAGTGATATGCCAGTGACCGACCGAAGCGCGGTATACGAGTCCTATAATGAAACCCTCCCTGAGTATGCAGCTCGATAGTACGATCATTTTGCAAGTGCATGATTTTTGTCCAATCATCTGATAAAATCTTGAATCCGAATCGTCGTGAGCTTGCATGAGGATGAGGAATATGAGACTGACTATGAAATCGACGTTCTCTGCATCTGAATGTCTTTCGAATTTTAGATTGAGCTCATCTAGATCCCAGACTCTTGTCTGAGGTTTATAAGTGCCAGTAGCTATGGCATGATGACCGTCTCTTGTGGTTTTTATTTTGTTGCTGGCCTCGGGGAATTCGAATCCTTGGATGAGCTCGACAGCGCCTTGGACATGTTCTTTTGAGACCCGCTTTCCTCTTCCTTTCGCTGCTCGTTTTTTTATAAGCCAATCTGGAATAGATGATGATGAGCCTGCTACTGCGCCATTGACAGTATAAACTTTCACATCCATCCTAGCCAGTGCGTCAGAAAAAAGAAAATGCAAGTATATTTGAGCGTCCTGATTTGGATATGTCGGACTCGGAACGGTAGTTCTCGATATTTCTCTCAAACTGCATCTCCATGCCAGACCAAAGTGAGTAGCTTTGATGTTCATTTCCCTGAACGGCTGATGTTTTATTTGAAGCAGCTGAGTCGCAATACGCAGCAGCAGCGCACGTTCCGCTCATCAAATCACCAGGTCTTCGAGTTCCTCCACCTGTAATTCGGAAGCATGTCCTCGTCGATTACACTGACTTTCTCCCAGGTACATCTACCACCAGACATTCACCCTCTCCCTGATAGCGTCACTCCATATGCATGTGCTTCTAAATCTCAAAAAACTCACTCATTGACAAGTCTGCAGTTCGTCTATCCATACACACTAGAACCTCACATACTCACGGTCGAGTCTTCTCGGCGCATGACACTCGCGGCACATACGGCGAGGAGGGAGACATATCTTCGCGTGAGAGAGGATGAACGTGAACGTCGGAGAAAGGAGGCACTCAGGCGTGTCGCACCGGGTTTTGATCCTGCAGCGACCCTTGTGCCTGTTCGTGCTGAAACTAGTGAGATTAAGACGGATGTGATGGATCAGCTTGTGGACCAGCTGGCTAGGATGGAGAATAGCAGTTGAGTTGCTGTGCATATTAAGTCTTTCGTCGGAAAGGTCACTTTCACTCAGGTCGCCGTGATTTGCGATCATGACACTCCTCAAGGTCTCGTAATCTAATTTTTCTTCTAGTAAAACCACACTTCATTCGAGTATTGGATGCGATTATTCGGCCTCCCAAACTGACGGATCAGCATAACATTCATTTACCTCCAGCATCGATCATAGTGATCGAAAGGTACAGACTGGTCTCCAGGCTTTTATACTTCAATTTCTGCTTCCGCACTTGTATTTCCCCATCCCTTCCTCTGGTTCCTAGACACTAGCGCCGTGATATCAGGGGACAAATGAATATTAACCAAAACTCTCAAGCTTGGTACATCCTATGTGACAGTACTCAACACCTTCAAAGCATCGGCAACCCCCTCTTCTAGCTCTAAATCTCGTAAGTATCTCCAGTCCTTCGAGAACACGACCCAAATTTCTGACGAGCCGCTCGAGACTAGATTTCCAAATAATCTGCATACACTTCTTTTCGCCTTCCGACAATGGATCCATTCTCTTCTCAACATTTTCCACCCCTGTCGATCTGCGATAGAAGCGAACGATATGGCAGACATCTGATCAGGTGCGATCCGGGAGCAGCTGTGTAATAGGGATGCTCCATGGATGATTCGCAGCACCTACAATCATACTAACAATCTATATGACAAGTCTCAGACAACGTTAACTATCCTAGCTTTGGACGATCGGTTTTCACTCGATTTTCACCGCCAACTATTTGTTCAATTTTGTCCAGCGGTGTTCCTCATAGACTTCGTTCTCGCGGAAACATTCGAATTCCTACGACACTACAGTAACTTAAAGCTGCCTACAAAAGTTGAAAATCTCTGAGGAACAAAAAATCCTTCCGTTATACGAAACCTACTTTGTGGTGGCAGGGATTGATAGCCCGTCATCGGCATGTATGCCGCTTCACTCCTATCACCACCGTGGATCTAGAGGTTGCGGTAACCTCACATGCATTCATTTGATATATTCCTTGGAGCCATGTACATAGTCTCTGGCACAATGCATGGCCAATCGCGCGCACGGTCACTGTCGATCTGCTGACTCCGAATAATACTTTCCATCTTGGCAGTCCTTCTCATTGCCTTATGACGTTCTGACTTTGCAAGCAACTCTTGGCTCAGTGAGTTCATGATTGGATCACCATACTCATAACTCAGTACTTTCATGAGGAAATGGTCAACTGCAAAATGGTCAGACGGCACAATATGATGATATGCGAGATATACATCTGCAATATGAACAGGCCCACTTGCCACAAGAAAAGCCACGCGCCTGCGGAGGCAATCGAGCACACTATTACAAGACTTTTGCGGCGATCTCTTGTTCAGCGAAGGACGACAATCAACAGGAAGGTGCGTGATGGACTCCATAAGATCATGGTTCGATAGGCGTAAGGGAGTCGGGGATGGATTTGGATGTCGACTACCTTACGAAACCTACTTTGTGGTGGCGGGAATCGATAGCCCGTCATCAGCATTAATGCCGCTTCATTCCTATCACCACGTGGATCTACTAAGGGTTGCGGTAACCTCATGTGCATTCAGTTGATATATTCTAGATTGCTTATCCGTGGACTATGTGATTCTAGCTATGCAAATCTGCCAGCCACAACCATTCAGGCTGACAGTGGACCTACTGAGCCTGAGCTTCCAAAAAGCACGTTTTATGGGATATATAATCAAGCTGTTGACTCTTAGAATTATCAATTGGGATCCCTCGACGCATCCTAGATTACCTAGCAAGAGGCATGCGTTTTTCATTCATTCTTGCTGCTGCTGCTGCTTTGACGACATCTATGTCCGTCAGTGCCAACATCGCCCGCTTTCCTCCTCCTCCTCCCCCGAATTGCCTCGCAGATACCATGTTGTGCGGCAAGGACCAGGTTGACAAAAAACGCCCAATGGAATGCTGCCCCAAATATGCTTGCGTTTTGGATGTGAGTATTCATCGGCTTTGAATCCGGGATTCAACTTCATGACTTACCCCTTGCGCCTTCTATCAATAGATATAAGCTATTATATTGCCTGTTCTAGTCATCAAATTCGAGTTCACAAGGAGGATAAGTCAGATGACGCACCTGAATGGTCATAGCAGGGTATGAGGTCCCCAAAACTCGGCAGTGAACCCGGCCGATCTGGATAATTTTGATTTTCTGTCTCGTTGGGATAGAAATAGTTGAATATATGCTTGATTAATTCCTAAAGGATGGTTATAAGAAGTGCACTCCGTATTTCAAAGGACTCACAAAGGTCATGATACGATTTACAAAAGCGCGATAAGGGTTTTTTTTCTCTAGGCCATAGGAGACAAAACATAAAATATTTTCATTGCTGTCTATGGACAATTACAGTGTACCGATGCGGCATGAATGAAGTTTGACAGTGACGCGCATGTGACGCGACACTGACGCGGCATGAATAAAGTTTGACGCGGCAGGGACGAGATTTGACGCGGCACTGATAGTGGGCCTTGACGCGGCATAGAGTGTGAATATTGATATCAGTACAGAGAGTGCGAAGATGTTTGGGAGAACTTGTCGTGGTGTGAGTGGTACTCGGCCCAGCCTAAACGAGGCTTCTGACATGCCGTGTTGGGGGTTGACACTTGACGTGGTGTTGCAGAGTATAGAGAGTGGATCGAGCTTGACGCAGTGAGACAATACTTGATACTGTGTCTGAAAGCCAACATAGATGAACAAATTAGAGGTAATATGACATTGATACAGGACTGACGTGCAAGATGTATACTAGTAGTGTAAGCACTCACTGAGGACAAGAGCTGTAAATTTAGTGAGAAGTGAATACAACACTATAGAGCCTGTACGCAGGCAGACACTCATCTATTGATTAAGCTTAAGGATAATATTAATGGGAGGATTGAAAGCAAGATTGAAAGATATCTGTACCCAGACTCCTACCCATCGGCAGTGTGTTGAGTCTACATCCGAGTGCCGCCACACAAACCAAATACTAACAACAAAAATTCAAAGACCGCAACTTTGGACTCTAACACACTTGGCCGACTGGCACAAGTTGTTGTGGCGCAAAGGTTGCAACTGTTTGTCCCTCCAAAAAATACCTTCGAAATAGTCGCCTAGTGTTTCATTTAACAGTGTGACCTTCTGTGACACAACACATATCCGAGTCCATTTTAGTTCTTTTGAGTTAACCCTTAAGCATTACGATGTCGGCCCGTGAATTCAAAGTACCAAATTTGAATGATGTGAAGATGATCGTTCACAGTAAATTCGGTATCACCCCCTGTGCTACTTGGCAACTTCAGTCGGCTTTGCATCAGCTTGAGAAGAAGAATGTCTTTACTATTTCTCCAACTGGCTCAGGCAAAACGTTCATGTTCTGGATCCCCCTTCTATTCAACAACAACGGAATTATCCTCATAGTGACACCTCTGAATATTCTTGGTGAGAAAACTCATAACGAAGCAAAAACGCTGGGCTTCCCGGCCTACAATCTTTCTACAGAAAATGCTACCGATGAAGCTTTCAATGTGGGTACATATTATTTGAATCTAGCTGCGCTGATGCTTGTTAATGGGTAGGAGTCTGATCTGTACCCTAGAATTTGTTACAGTGCCGCGTCACGGTCGCGTCACGGCCGCGTCAATTTCACCTGGCCCTACAGTAATTATTAGGCACAATTAATAGCCTGCCTCCGACTCCGACGACACAACTTGAAGTTGCACATGATCTAACACTTTTGAAATGCCATGCAATTTCATTTTCCAAATCCGAGTCTCACGTCCTTTCATCCATCTCCAGGATGAATACAGAGAAGAACGAGCAAGGAGGTTTCTATCAGCAAAGTTCTAAGGGGCTGCTTCCGCACCCTCTAGGTCTAGTTCAAGCCCGGAGGCATTCAAGGGGGCCTGCCTTTCGCAAGTTTCTCGTTTTTGGAAGCTTCACCCTTATCTGTTTTCTACTCTACAAGGCTCACTCTATCTCTTGCTTCCATGGTTTGAAGAAAGACAAGAAGTACCTTGAATCCTATGACAGTTATGTAAAGCGTATCGAGGAGGACTATCTGTGAGTACGAACTTCATGCTGCGCACTGCACATCCGGGTCTTTGTTTATCATGATATGCAGTGCCGTTCCATCCACGGAGTCTGCACTCGCAGCCTCGCGCGACTACGCCACACACCCACATTTAGCTGGCGCAGTGGAAGACTTCCAAGACGCAAAAGATATCCTTGCGCTCTTCCAGTCCGAGTTTGGTATCCCTACGCCTCCTACTGAGCCCATCTACCCAGCAGGCTCCCCTGAGTCCCGCGAGGCAACTCTCGGCACAACCTCTAAGCTTACCAAACCAGCCGCATGGGTTGATATTTATTACCCAATTATGAACACAGGGAATGCGGATGGCATGGCTCTCGAACTGCTTGGTGAGAGCGACCAGCCCATCTGGAAAGCCGACTTACTTGAGGATGGTGACCCTCGTGACGAGACCGCTGCCAAGTACAAGCATTCCGTTCCACCCTTCCACGGCTTCAGTGCTGCTGGAGAGGCTATCGGTCAACTGGTGTACGCCAACTACGGCACCCATGATGACTATAACAAGCTCATTAGCGCCGGAGTTAACCTCACAGGAAAGATCATCCTAGCTCGCTATGGTGCTAATTTACGTGGTCTTAAGGTGAGCTGTGTGGTATATCCAATGACAACGAATTACTTATCTCAGTCAACAAGGTGAAAGGCGCAGCAGAGCGCGGGGTAGCTGGTGTCCTGATTTACTCTGACCCTCGAGACGACGGTAGTGTCACCGTCGAGAACGGATATGAGCCGTACCCCGCTGGTCCTGCCAGAAATCCCACATCAATCCAGCGTGGCACAGTCATGTACCTCTCGATCTACGCTGGTGACCCCACCACGCCAGGCTATCCTGCATATGAGAATGCAACTCGTGCTGAGGCAACTAACATTCCAAACATTCCAAGCTTGCCGCTTTCCTGGGCCAACGCCAAACTTCTTTTTGAAGAGGAGCTCGGTGGTATCCCTGAGGGTATCAAGTTAAACGGAAGAGTTGGAAGCAGAAAAATCAGGATGGTTAATGATGGCATGCGATTACAGTTGCAATCACCAGTCAGATTGTCGCTAAGCATAGTCGTGCAGTGGACAACAAGATCACACCTATCTGGAACACCATGGTTGCAATTCCTGGTCACATCAAAGACGAAGTCGTCCTCCTTGGGTGCCACCGTGATGGTTAGTTTGTGCGAGCTTCTCATGTAGTGTGTACCTTATACTTTGACGTAGCTTGGGTTATGGGCGCCGCAGATCCCACATCGGGCACTGTCTCTCTCCACGAAGTTGTTCGCGGCCTCGGGGCTCTTTACAAGCGTGGATGGAAGCCATTGCGTACCATTGTCATTGCTAGCTGGGATGCTGAAGAGGTCAGTGTGATTATCCATTATCAGCAGCTCTCCTTATCCATAGATGCCACAGTACGGTCTCATTGGAAGCACTGAATGGGGCGAGGATTTTGCCGACTGGATACAGGAGCATGTAGTCTCCTACATCAATGTCGGTATGTTCGTCTGTTTTGTGTCTGTACTGTGTGCTTAAAGTTGACGACAGACGTATCGGTTTCTGGTTCTCGCTGGGAAGCATCTGCTTCCCCTTCTCTGGTCCACCTTATCCAGCATTCCGCCCAAGACGTCCCTCACCCTACTGATGCTCACAAGACCCTATGGGATGCCTATTTTGATGTTGGTCCTTACGAAGGCCCTGTGGATGCCGATTTTGCTCGCATGTGGGATAAAAAAACCTCCAAAGAACCACGAATTGGCCCACTGGGATCAAGAAGCGATTACACAGTCTTCCTGCAGAGACTTGGTGTTCGTCTCTTATCTTATACCCCTGCTGCACACTTTATCAATCATGTCATTGTAGGTTGCCAGCTCCGACCAGAGCTTCGGTGGTACTCTGACAGATGCGCCTTACCACTATCACTCTATCTATGACTCGCAGATGTGGCAAGAGGTGTACGCAGACCCTGGTTTCCATAAGCATGTGTGTTGTCACACGTCATCCTCGCGTTTGCTGATCTCACCTGCGACTAGGTTGCTGTTGCGCAGAATTTGGGTCTGTTGACATTGCGTCTTACAGATTCCATAATCCTCCCTCTTAACACCACTCAGTATGCGCTTGAGCTTGACTCCCACGTCGACATGTGAGTGTCAGAAAATGCAGTCGCATTATATGCCTTGCTAATTCTTTCCAGCGTCATCGAGTCTACTCGCCGCGAAGAGATTCTGCCGGATCTTTTCCCTCTTAGGAGGGCCATTGCATTGCTGCAGGACGCAAGCTTTAAGCTTGACGAGGAGAAAGTTGCTGCCGAAGAGGCTTTTTATAAGGCTTTGAAGAAAGTCAGTCGTGTCCGGAACCCTCGCGTTGTTCGGCGGATCATCCAATGGATCAAGGAGCATCTCGGTATTGGTGCACAGGAGGTCCAAGACTTGAGGTTTGGCGCACTCGAATGGATATCGTCTGTAACAGAGACGAGTATCTCGGAAGCATATATCTGCCGGTCGCGTGGCAAAGGCCCGCTATGCGAATTCATACGGGCAGCTAAGAGAGTCAGAGCCGCCAATCAGAAACTCATGGCGTTTGAACGTGGGTTTCTCTCTGAGGATGGCATTAAGGATAGGGAATGGTATAGACATTTGGGTGTTGCTCCCGGGAAACACCTTGGTAAGCCGCTTTGTGGTATTGTTATGCAGTGTGGTTAATGATTTTTAACAGGGTATGAGCCAACTACACTGCCAGGCCTAACGGAAGCTATTGTCTATGACGAGGATCGCGAACTCGCCGAGTATGAGGTTGGTCGACTGGCCACACTCATTGAGAACCTCGCAGACTTCCTTGAGGTCTAAATCACAGAGTATACTACCGCTTGTAGGCTTCCAGGCGAGCAAACACGAAGTTCAATATGAACCTGCTTTCTTAGACACTATTCAGTGTCAGTCTAGTGAGTCCGAGCGAATTGGTAGCGGCAATCGAAAGATGCATACGTGATTCTCAGCCTTGTCAACCATTCAGACGATGGAGCAGCATATTATGCGGGAAGAAAAATCCCGCGGAAAACGCCCTTTTTGTCGACGCGTAAAATTCAGATCTCAATTGGGGTTTCCGCTGCTCGCATCATCGGAAGCGATCATTGACACGTACGACGAGCCTACTCTTCATCTTGTTGCTTACTATAGTCCATTGACAAACTGACTGGATCAGCTGCATTGCACATTTACTTCTGCACAGAATGAAATGATTCGGACCTCCAAGATGATGGTCTCTGACGGCATGAATGCTTTCCAGGTCCTGAAATGACTTTCCAGTGACATCGGTGAGACTCTTGTACTAATTGTGCTGAACGATAAAGTTATGCGGTTGTAATGATATACATTGAATTGCAAATCCTTGATAGACATATACCAGGACTCGCCTTCGATCGGCTGGAGGCCCTCGTCCTGTGTTCATGGAGTTGCAAAGGTGTAGATGCCATTTCAATGTATTTACAGTAGCAGGTACAATATGTGCACAGTTTTGATCTTCGTTCGCCTCTGAAAATAAGCAGTGTGTCTCTTCGCGTCCTTACTTTCGATAACGCTGTATACAGTTGACTGTGAGCAAAAGGATCTGTTCGCAAATCGAGCACGGTTCGTGCTAGCGTCAGTCCTTGACAATCATTAACTTGGTTGCATATGCGAGTCACAGATGGAACTGTCTTCGATTACTGTCCACCGCGCGATGAATAACTCAGATGGAAAGCAAAGTTGACTCGGACGCAGGGAATGTATTGAATAGTTGGATTTCGACGAATCTGCGATGCAGTGCAATCACGCGTTTCGCACTAATCCCTTCTCTACCGAGAGGTTTCGTTGAATGGCGCAAATGCAGTTTATTCATCGAACCGGACGTGCTGAAAAGGAGACACGCACAACACAGCATGACGCAAAAAACGGATAGAGCCGCGAAAAAGAGAGTGAATTCAACGACGTGGTGGACAACATGCCGGCGGTTATGCGTGCTTAGATACGCGAATGGATGTTAATCATACTGGACTCCGTGACATCCCCAGCACCCGCTTCAGCGTCAAACTGATTCAATTAGATGTTTGTTTCTTTGCCTACCCCAGACGGTCCATGGGTGCTCCATGTTTTCGACAAGACATTATTTTGAAGCGTGTAGGTAATATTATACATCATCTGAGGGCCCCGCCCCAACGGACAATAATCGAAAAAACCATTCCTTTGTCTGTCACCTGCACGACGCGAGTTATCCAAATCCAAATTTTCTGTGCCAACTTGTTGTTGTCCGCGCCGAAAAGTACTGGGCTCTCATCAGTGAGGCTGCAGCTTGTTGCGATGAGCATGTCGGCTGGCTGAGGAAAAGAAGTTTGAACCCGTTCAACATCAAGCACATATTTGACTTGCCCAAAGCTATACAACGAATACCACACTCCACACCAATATTTTCATCACCCGCCACCCCTCGAAAACGTCCCAACAGGCCTCTGGATTGGCGCAATACCAGGTGAAGGCTTCAACGGCGGAAACGAAGACCTAAACCCGCGCGCCGGCTCGAAAGGCGGTGCCTTGCTCGACAAGGTCGACGTCCCAGGCGCGGAACTAGTAGGAAGCATACTACCACCATGCGACGATGTAGAACTCGTTGAATGGGATAATATTGATACATTCGGATGCGACAACGATGAACTTGTAGAATGCGACAACCAAGAACTGGATGCATGACAGCTCGAATATGGATTAGCGGATCCCAGTCCAGGAGGCGCGCCATCCCCGATTCGATATGCTGAGGTCCGTGGCTGATGTCTCCGATACTGAGGAGGGGATACAGGGGGTTGCATCTGCATTGATCTCCCGATGGTCGTATTATACGCCACAGCCGCGTCAGCCTCCGCTTCAGCCTCCTGTATCTCCTTCTCAACCTCATTAAGCGTCTTCTCCAAATCAATCAACACCGTGCCCTCCAACTTCTCCTGTCTCGCATAGAGCCTCTCCAGCCTATGCTCGACGCTCCCAATCTCATTTTTAACACCCTCGATGCGTCTTCTCCTCACTTCCTCCGTTCCCTCGCGTTCCTTACGCACTTTAGCAGCCTCCTTGTTAAGAACTTCACATTCCCCCTCCTTCTCGCGTACTTGTTTCTTCAAAGAAGGGTTAGAGCCTTCAAGTTCACTTCTCACCCTCTCAGCATCCTCTTTCCCCTCATTAGCCCTCCTAACAGCATCCTCAAGCGCCCTGATGCGCTGTCTCGCCTTACTCTCAGCAGCACTGGCTTTTTCAGAAGCCCGATTTAGAGCTTCAATCTCATTTTTGAGCACAGAGTCTGCTTTTTGACTGTCTCTGCGTGTAGATTTGAGGGTGGTGGTCAGCTCGGAGATGTGCGTTTGGAGGGACGCGAGAGTAGATTGCAGTTTGGGGAGACGATCTTCTTGGGTGGGTGTTGTGGAGCGAGATGTGGAGCGCGCTTGGGGATGGGTGAGGGGGACTGGATCAGTTGCTGCGGTTGATATTGATAGGCTTTGGGATGATGATGATGCGGAGGAGGACGAGGATGAGGGTGGGAGGAGGAAACTAGTACTTGTCCCTTCATCCAACCTTCCATTCTCAATCGCACCTTCCGCTTCTACGTGCAAACCGAACAAAACTCATAAGTCCCCGTACCATCACCAATTAGATCAAAGTACACACACACCTTCAGTGACAACTTGCCTCCTAATAGAACTTGCCAATCCACCTTGTACAAGTCCCAGATCAATATCATACTGCCGTCCAGGCATGAGCCCGTATATTATTATAACAGCCTCGTCTGCGGGCTCGAGGAGGCGTATGAGGACGCGCTGCCATGGGGACCCGTTGACAGATACTGAGAGACCTGCTGAGAGTGCTTCGGAGATAATTCCTCTGGCAGAGTCTCCTATGCTGTCCCCTTCTGTTTCTCCTCCTAGTTCCTCGTCGACTCCTACTTCTAGTTCTGTTTCTAGTTCTCGTTCCATGTCTGCGTCGGTGACTGGGTTTGCATTCGTGTTTGTCGTTGCGGGTATCGATGATTCATGATCTACGTTCGAAACAGATTCAGACAGTGGAGAGAGAGTTGAGGAGAGAATAAAAGTCGCTGATACAGATGTGATTTCACGGACCGAGAGGATGAGGTGAGGCGTCCAGGGACGGATGGAGTGCCATGGGCTTGTGTTTGATGGTTGATCTGTGGTGTTCATCGTCATCTATAGTTCATTCGTTAACTGGTCGTTGCTATTGTTGAGCTGATCGTCGTTGGCAGTGAACTGATTGTTGTCGGACGCGCGTTGGGTCGAGGATAACGAGGTTTTACATAACGACTTTGTTGTCACTGGTTTATAAATTACAATTTTCACTGACTCGCCCTGATCACAAACTGTATACTTCAAACCGACAAAACGTCTAGTGCTGCCTTAAGCTTCTTTCAAGGTCTGACCCAAGCCTAACTATGACAATAAACCTGTCTGGAGACATGGTATCATTCTCACAGGTGCTGGTAGACTTTCAAGGCGTCATGTTTCACAGACATCAGCCTCATAACGGTCACCTTTCTCCTTAATACTAGGCTTGATCTGCCAGCTAATAACAATAATCATAGCTTCAATATTTAGAAGGAACGGGTTTTGCTACTTGATGCTGTCTTTCGAGGTCTGACTATGTTTGTGGTTCCATATGATCACGATGGTATTACAGTCATGGGCAGACCTTGGCGTCATGTTATACAGAACTCAGACACGTCTGTCCTTCGAGTTAGATGTGGCTAGCGTCAACGATTCCAAGACCTACAAATGCTCGCATGCTATAATGCAACACAAGATACTTGGTACGCCGGATCTTGCGCTGGATGACTCCATCACACTCATATCGTTCTTCGCACCGTGACGCAGCTCCATGATACCGACAGTCTGAATCTGGCGAATGCCTTGAATCAACTTTTACTGGGGACGAGCGCTCGAAGAGGGTGTTGAGGGCGAACTGGGCCCTCCAGCTCAATGTCCGAAGGACCCGCGATCGATTCTATCACCGAGTACCGACACATGTTCGGGATTCTGGGATTCACTCAGGTTATCATATGGCGGCATTCTATTACATTGCAGTGTGAGCGCAATTTTAACGTTTTTTCGTCTGCTGAAGTTCCGTTTACGCCAGTACCAATGTTACTGTATTTGGCCAGTTCTGACCTTACTGCGTCTCATCTTTCGGTAGTATTGTGATGTTAAGCTTTGAACCATCTCTGCTGGAACTAATGGCAATGATTACAGTGGCTTCCGAGTCCGCAGGTCGCAGTGTGCATCACGGGACAAGATTCAGGGATTCGATCAACACTTTTCCGTTACTCTACGGGGAACATATCGACTTGTAATCATTGATCGTGCCGATCCAGCGTCCAAATGGTTTTTGAAATCGGTTGCAGATTCCAAATTTGATTACTCATTGAGCTCCTATGCAGTGCACAGCATTTATAAGCTATAGCGATTGCCTAGATTATTGTATTATCTCCATTCAGTGCCGTCAGCCTTCAAAGCTTACCAGATACACACCTGGTGTTTATTGCCCGATATTCGCGATCATCGCGCACCTACCATCATGTATGTTATGATTTCCTGGGTTGACAAGCCAAGGGCTAAACCCTCACATATACATACCTAGATGCATCTCGTCATCTGCTACAAAGATATGATCGCTTACCACGCAAGATCATCGGCCACGCATCGAAACAGAGTTTTGAGCGGCCGGGCCGACGGGTCGTGAAGGATGTCGGCACCATTGCAAGATTGTATCCAACCAGCTCGAGAAACGTCGCATGGAATAAATCAGGCTATAAGTCGACCACTATATAAAGTTGCACTCCAACTCTGCACCAGAAAACGTAGCAATGTCTCGTCTTGAAACAGATCTCCTGGACTCCTTGTCCGCTGAACTATCTCAGCAATTGAAGGATCGCGTAGATCGAGCTTTGCTCGAGTTTATACGACCGAATTCTGCGTCTCAGTTTGCGCAGGAAGCTCCCGAACTGGCTAAATTCCGTGAGGCCATTGCACAGAACGATGCTATAGATGATAGGGAATTCCTACGCATCTTCCGAGAATTCGTACCCACCACAAACTACGAAGCTTACCGGCCATTCATAGCAAAGTTTTTTGTGACCCCTTGCAAGGAAGCCGACGTCAAGGACATGTTCGCCCCAGGACTGCCCTACTTCCTCGCCATGTCCAGTATGACATCTGGCAAATCAGTAAAGATATTTCCAAAATATCGGCCTCCCGCATACCTGTTGCAACATCCTCTTTATCTGGCGCTTCCTCCGTCAGTGGGAATTACCTTATCACCTTCTTCTCTGAGGTATTCGCAAATCTTAACAATAGATTGCGAGAACGGTCAGTCCAAGCAGGTAACAGTCTGCTCGTTGAGCATCGGCTTTCTGCGAATGGCAATGAACTGGGATGTCGAGCATGACAACGAGAGGCTCGACTTATGGCGTAAGCCCGTCGCGTCACTGTCCCTTGTGCATGCTAATTCTTAGCTAACTTCCAGTGCCGGGACAAACAGATCCATATGCGATTTCCTTTGTCAAGAGCTATCGGGCATTCTTCGTTCTAAATGCTCTGTTTGCACTGGCAGACCGTCGGTTGACAATCATTCGTTTCTTCTTCGCCAATGTATTCGTCACCTTTTTGCAGTATATAGAGGATGAGTGGTCTCTACTCATCGACTGCATCGAGAAGGGTGTCATCCCGGATGTCGAAAACCTAGACAATCTGCGAGAACCTTTGGAGGTCAGATGTTATTGTTCGTTACATTCCACTCGGCTCACAAGGTCTCTCAGAAATTGTTCAAGCCAAATCCTCTTCGTGCTGCCGAACTTCGGGAAATAGGTCCTCCTGGAATCCAGGGTTGGGCAGTGCGCGTATGGCCTGACTTGACAAAGTTCGTTGGAATCACTGGAGGTCCTGCTGCTGCCTCTGTTCCCAAGGCATGTCAAGTGCAGAAGGTTACTACCCAACTAACAGTCATTGATACCAGATTACACACGCCCTCGGACCTTCTATCCTCACCCAGTCTCCTGCTTATGGCAGCTCAGAGGGTGGCGTCGCCATAACATACCACAAAGGCGACCCTAACACTGACTACATGGTGGTGTTTGTGGATGTTGTCACCGAGTTTCTGGACGTCCATTCTAACGAGCCTTCGGAGCGCGTACTGTCTGTAGTAAGAAACATTTACTGCGTCTCATTTTCGTCTATACTCATCCCTACCGTAGCATGAACTTGAAGCTGGAGGACATTACGAGCCCGTCTTGACGACTCGCAATGGCTTGTGGAGATACCGGCTTGGGGATGTCGTCACCGTTAAAGGCTTCGCTCCAGATGACGGATTGCCTGTTATCAGTTACCTTCACAGGCGAGAGTGAGTTGCAGCATTATCAAGTTTAGGAGCTGAACTAACTTTCATCCGTTTTTGAAGAGGCGGGATTGTGATGGCATTTGGCACGACGTGCACTGAGTCGCAATTGACGAATGCGATCGTTTCCGCTGCCAATCGATGGATCGGCCAAATTATGGATTTTACCATTGTATGCGACGACCGAGACACTCCCATTACTTATGGGTATTTGGTTGAAATTGGAGGAGTAATAGGTTCGTGCTTACCACGCGAAGAACTGAGCTAAACTAAGCTACACGATGATCGCAGGGAATGACGCGAGAATGGCGACGCAGCAAACCTTTGAACATCTCGTGGCAAACAACGAGTTTCGCACTGCTTTCTGGCAAGGCCGAGCAAGAAAGCCAACTATTCGTCTCTTGGAGAAAGGCACCTTTGCAGAATATCGCAGGCAGAAATGCGATAAAACGAACATCTCGATATCGCAAGTGAAGGTTCCCGTCGTCCTATCCGACCAAAAGTTTAGGGAATGGTTCCTGGAAAGAGTTACAATTGAACTGTAAGAGAGTCTGGTCGACAGTTGTTCATCCCACGCAGTACAAATATCTCCAGCTTTGATCGCTAGACCCTATCTCGTTGAGGAGGGAATGCATGTATGTTGAGACCGCGATCGCAGCACTCACTACATCGATTGCAGACTTGAGTTTATGATGATCCAGGGTCTTTAGCTGATTTATTTTATCCCAGTACCACATTCGCTCACCCTGTTCTGTTTCTCAGGATACCAATGTTCCATGCAGTTGCATACCAATGATACCAAGGACGAACAGAAAAACCGAGTGACCCTTCCTAGACTGTGGCTGACTCGGAGTGTTCATTGGTATATGTATCAGACGGCCTCTGTACTCGCAAAAAGATTATGGTAAGAGTGTCGATCAAAGGCAGCAGCAAATACAAGAATGATGGCCCTGGGGGCCTTTGACATGGCACTATGGAAAGAGAACACAATTGAAATATGACCACAGCATCATGACGGAACGTACCGTGCCGTTGTTTGCATTCAACCGCATTAGGATTCCGGCACGCCGCCGACTTGGAGTTGGAACTCCTCAGAAGCGCATCCATCCATGCTTGCAATGGATTTGCGCGTAGGATGGACTTCTGATTGGACTCAGCCTGCTGCGGTCTATCGAACCTGACCGAACCGAAGTATGATTCTCGGTCCATTTTGTCTAGGTTGGTTCTCCATTGCAATTCTTGAACCGTTCTGAACGGTTCCGAACCATTCATTTGGACCTATCTCGCCGCTAATCACGACGTCGATGTTCGACTCGTGCGACGCCACGTCAAACGGTATTATCTTCGTTCCTTTTCATCATATTCTTACTACTTACTACTACAGAACTTTTCTCCCTTTACTTTGTACTGTCATTCGACACTTGCTATCACTTAACTTCCATCACTGTCGTGTGCTTCCTCCCAATGTCTCCTGTTACCTTTTCGGAAATTTTGGGTTCGGCTTACGTTCGAACTGAAAAAAACCGAACCTGAGTCGGATAGCTGCGAACCATCCACAAAGGTTTGGCCCATGGTTCTCTAATACAGGTAGAACCGAACCTTGGTTCCACCTCTGAACCGGACCGATGCCCTTCGTGTGCAGTGATGAGACGCCAGGGTCCGTCTGGTCTGCCTGCAAGATGCCGCATCACCCTTACCTTGGGAGTTCAAGTTCACGCCATCTTTCGAGGGGCATTTTACCAAAAATACAAGTAACAACATACAGTACGTACCAGGACATATGCATATGTACCTGTGCCAAATATGATTTATTTTTTATATCAGATTCACGATGATGATCCTGCAATATGTGGCGCCTGAGCAAAAGACCACTCCTTTGGTACCGATCCCATGCCTCGAGGTGTCTTTCCTAGTAATTTCATCCAAAGTTATCTCCCTGAAAAAAACGACTACTCCTATTGCGGTATGATATATTTTCGTGGTGAGTGAGATCCCAATGTCATGTTCGTGATCTGCCGATGAGAAGAACATACTAATTATACGAGGTCCGGGATCTTGGCCAATCTCACGTTGCTGTGCGTCACCGCATCTAGCATCAGTTATCATATATACTAGTCCAAGCACCGCGGTCCCGACGGAACACGGAACGCTGAACGCCGCACGCAACACCGCTACTATAAAAGCATCACTAAGGGTATTGAAAAATACTACCGATAGGCTACAGCCCACAACGCTGAGATATAGAACAGTCATGAGAAGACTGTTCTGTATCTCAATGTAAGTGGCGCATTCAATTTCTTGTGTCACGACTGGACTGACCCAGCACAAGTAGAACTAGAGTCTTTGTCAGTGAGAACGCTGCTCTGGTACTGACATCTTAGTCGTTCCCTTTCTGTATCTCTAGGGAAGAATTGGCATCGAAAGCAGAGGCTGAATTAGTTCGATACATAAATTTCGATCAGACTTTATTACAGCTCAATTACAACTTGTTGCAGGATCCATTCTCTAAATGTCGGGTCAGAAAGGACGACAGGAACCTTCACTTGGGATATCGAGACATTCGTCTTGTTACACTTCTGTTGACGGTATTCTGTAAATGTGCCTTTCTCCACGAGACGAATGGTCGGCTTTCTTGCTCGACCTTGCCAGAAAGCAGTGCGAAACTCGTCGTTTGCCGCCATGAGGTCTTCAAAAGTTTGCTGCTTTGCCATCTTCGCGTCTTTTCCTGTAAACGCCAATTAGCTCAGTCCCGTCGCATGAAAGAGTTCCAACGTAAGAACGCACCTATTTCACCTCCAATTTCAATCAAATACCCGTAAGTGATAGGAGTGTCACGATCATCGCCTACAATAGTGAAGTCTATGATTTGGCCGATCCATCGATTGGCGGCAGAGACGATCGCATTCGTCAATTGCGACTCAGTGCACGTCGTGCCAAATGCCATCACAATCCCGCCTCTTCCAAAGCGGGCAAAGTTAGTTCAGCTCCTAAAACCGATAAAGCCACAACTCACTCTCGCCTGTGAAGGTAACTGATAACAGGCAATCCGTCATCTGGAGCGAAGCCTTTAACTGTGACGACATCACCAATGCGATATCTCCACAAGCCATTGCGAGTCGTCAAGACGGGCTCGTAATGTCCTCCAGTCACAAGTTCATGCTACGGCAGTGATGAGTATAGACAAGAGACACAGATGATGACTCTTACAATGGACAATACACGCTCCGAAGACTCGTTGGAATGGACGTCCAGAAACTCGGTCAACACATCCACAAACATCACCTTGTAGTCAGTATTAGGGTTGCTTTTGTGGTATGGTAGGGCCATGCTACCCTCTGAGCTGCCATAACCAGTAGCCTGCGTGGGGATGGAAGGCCCGAGGACGTGAGTAAGCTTGTGGGTGGTTAGCTATCAGTTGGGCTATAAACCTGCAATACTCGACATGCCTGAGAAGCGGCTGTAGCAGCCGGGCCTCCAGTAATCCCAAGGAACCTTTCCAAGTGAGGCCACACGCGCACTGCCCAACCCTGGATGCCAGGGGGTCCGATTTCCCGAAGTTCGGCAGCACGAAGAGGATTTGGCTTGAACAATTTCTGAGAGACCTTGTGAACCGAATGGAATGGAGCAAGCAAGAAAATAATACTACCTCCAAAGGTGCTCGTAGATGACCTAGGTTTTCGACATCCGGGATGATACCCTTCTCGATGCAGTCGATGAGCAGAGACCACTCATCCTCTATATACTGCAAAAAAATGACGAATACATTGGCGAAGAAGAAGCGGATGGTCGTCACCCGACAGTCTGCCAGTGCAAACAGAGCATTTAGGACAAAGAATGCGCGATAGCTCTTGACCAAGGAGATCGCGTATGGATCTGTTTGCCCCGGCACTGAAAGTCAGCTGGGAATCAGCATGCGCAAGGGGCAGTCACACGACGGGCTTACGCCATAAGTCGAGCCTCTCGTTGTCGTGCTCGGCGTCCCAGTTCAGCGCCATCCTCAGAAAGCCGATGCTCAACGAGCAGACTGTCACCTGCTTGGACTGACCGTCCTCGCAATCTATTGTTAAGAGTTGTGAATATCTCATGGAAGCTGGCGATAAGGTGGTTCCCTCTGATGGGGGAAGCGCCAGATAAAGAGGGTTTTGCAACAAGTGCGGGGGAGGCCGATATCTTGGAAATGTCTTTACTGATTTGCCGGATGTCATACTAGACATGGCAAAGAAGTAGGGCAGTCCTGGGGCGAACATGTTCTTGACGTCGGCCTCCTTGCAAGGGGTCACAAAAAACTTTGCTATAAACGGCCTGTAAACTTCATAGTTTGTGATAGGAATGAATTCTCGGAAGATGCGTAGGAATTCCCTATCATCCATTGAATTGTTCTGCGCCATGGCCTCTCGGAATCTGGCCAACTCGGGAGCTTCCTGCGCAAACTGAGACGCAAGATTCGGCCTTATCATCTCGAGCAAGGCTTGATCTTCATAATCCTTCAGCCGCTGAGAGAGCTCAGAGGTCAGCGATTCTAGTAGATCTGTTTCAGGATGAGACATTGTTGCGATGTGATGAATGTGGAATGTGGTTTTATGTAGCGCGATCGCTTGACGAGCAGCTTGTGAGATTGACCCACTTTGAGCCGGTCGGGTACGAGCTTCACGTGACGCTACATCCTCCAGGAGCAATCCTGCGTGGCGGCTCATGATTTTGCAATTTGGCCCGTGAGTCCACGTGGTAAGTAGTTACCCCATGATATTATAGCGGATAACGAGGTGTACCTGGGTGTTGCAGATGAATGCATCAAGGGTTTAGCCCTTGACTCACGGGATCAGTATCAGTGGACGATATGAATGCACGTACATTAATGGCAGATGCGCGCGACAATCGCGGTGTACAAATCATGATGGAATCATGCTTTGATGAGTGGCGGAGCGCAGCAACAAGGAACTTTGTATCAGATAGCGATAATTGTGTACTTATCTAAGAACCTTGATAGGCCGTGTCAACGGCACCAGATGTGCATGATCTTCTATGCATATAAGTAGAAGGAAGGCTCTGACAAGGCGGCCCTTCTTTATAGATGCCTGTGACGGATGAACAATCCAATTTGAAAATATGCAACCGGTCATACCGTCCGACATCTTTGCTTCTCCAGGCGGCACTGCTGTTTATAGACATCAGTATCAAGGCTTTTGCTGGCATCACATCGAGCCTCGTGGTTACTAAGGCTTTTCCGAGTCGTGAAAGCTTTTGAAGTTTGAACAGCCGAGGCAGGTAAGGTCGTCCATGGGATGCAAACTCGAGCATAGCCTTATGAACATGAGGATTTATATTGCAGCATACAGTCAACATATGTCATAACAAATTCAAGGACTTAGCGAGAATAGGAATATCTAAAACACTGCGACTCTTCTCCAGAATGTCCTACTCCTTCCCTGCAATGTTGGATCGCATGTCCAAGCAATGACTGCCTGTAAAGTCGTGACCCTCATCAGCTAGAACAGGAAAAAATCTGCCTTATATCAGAATAGACACCTATTACAATCTGTGAATTGAGGGAATTAGTTCCATATAGAATTGTAGATAGTGCACGATCAAGATCATTGACTCGGAATATGATGAAGAAGTTTGAAATCATTACCACATAATCATCATGTATCATTGAGGGACGTTCGCAGTAGCGTTTTCGAGTCGTTTTCGTCGTTGTTTTCGTGTTCCCGTGGAAAACCGGAGTTGTCCGTTCGTCGTTTCTGTTCGGCATGAACGGCACAGCATCGGAATGTGAAATTCGACGGTGTAATCCGAGCCACAGCGAGTCCGAGTCAGACAGATCTGACATAGACCCATGGCTGCGAGCAATGATGATCAGAGAAGCTGGAATGCAGATGATTGTTGTACCAGTCCTCATCATCATCCAGTTGAGCTGCCTCAGTGGTTTGTCTACAACACTGAGGACTGAGGTACAGTTTAATTTTCTCCTAATCGCCGTCTCTTATATTATCTTGTTTCTAGACTCGTCCCTTAGGTATAGTTAAGGGTGACATGGTCACACCCCAAAGTGAAGGTATGATCATAACTCTACAGTATGCTCAACTCCTTTGCTCATTTGGAGGATAAACACTGATCCCAGAGGTCCAAGTAGCTAACCATCACTACAACTACTGGCAGTGGGTGCGTTCATTTTACATTGGGTGTGCTGTCTACCTTCCTTTTCATAGCGACAGGGGCTTGTCGTGGATTTTGGTACTAGCCAAGGGCCTGAAGGGACCAGTATTGGACTGCGAAGGTATATTTACATGCGGCCCTGCTTTCTTCGAATGGGACAAATGCTAATAGCAGCGCAGTTTATTCTGAGAGAACGAGTGACTTTCAAGTTGAACTGCGGGTGCACATTGCGTTGATCTACTCCGAGTCTACAAATCACTAGTAACTCGCGCGTCGGTGTCAACGGCCATACTCTACCAATGTGAAAGCAAAAATGTGACTCACTGTGCAGAAAAACCCTGGAAGGTGCTGTCATGCAGGTGAGTCATGTTATCAGGTGCAAGAAAATGCTGATACTCGCGCATCTTTTCTGAGAGCATGCTGAAACTTGGCAGTCCGACTAACCTACACAATACATGGGACATAGTCCCCAGGCCTGATCGTGACTGCTAGCTGCATCACTAGTAGTGGGCATGGCAAAGCTTGATGATACTAAAGCAGCAATGACGGCGAGGACAATTGCAGAGGAGAAATGCATTGTTTGCGACTCGTGTATGTGGGATCAGGTAATTCTGAATGCAATAGTAGGAAGATGGCTGGCTTTTATATTGTGCTCTGGAATTGCTGTTGTGTGGATGTGCCTTCAAATGGATACATATAGCAAAGTTACAACACCGTTAGTATTGTGTGCAGAACCTGCAGTCGCACTGCCAGGCCAATGGCAGAACGTTTCCGGCGGAATGTGGCGGGACTCCCGTACATGTCAGGTTCTGCCGGTATAGAATAGTTCTGCCCCTCGGCGCCATTACTAAACCTCACATTTACTTCACCGTTTATATGACATCTCAAAATTCTCTGGAAGAGAGAGACGCACCGTAAATACAAAGATGACTGCTATTGAGACAAGTCGAAAGTTATAGAATGTCACTCCGCTAGCCATGGACACTGGCTATGGAATTCCCTTTGTACTCACTTACATACAAATAACAGTCCTTACTCCCCGACTCCCACTTTAGTGGGAGCTTCTGGAAGATCTGGGTTTTATTCAAATGTCATCAGGAAATCGGGAAGAACATGCTTTTTGTAGATATTATCGACAAAATCTGACCAAATTTTTATCATGCTATGTCCAATTATATGATAATATAAAATAATGTACAGGCATGAGCGAAGTTGCGTGACATGATAAGGTATCACAAGAAAGCTGCAATTCTGACAGGAATTCCTCAACATGATCAACTAGTGACACAAGACTGTAAAACAATATAAAAACATTGGCAAAGTGGTGTGATGGCATAAGGTATTGCAAGACAACTGCAATTCTGACAGCAATGTGTATTAACTCTACAGTATGATCAACCTCCGGCAAATTAATATAAAGTAATAGATGAGCAGCAACAAAGTTGTGTGACAGGATAAGGTATCATAAGAAAGCCGCAATTCTGATAGGAATTCCTCAACATGATCATCCTATGACAAGATACTGTAAAACAATATAAAAGCATTGGCAAAGTGGTGTGATGGTATAAGGTGTTGCAAGAAAACCGCAATTCTACTAGAAATTTGTATTGCATGGGGGATACTCTCTTTAGTTTTATCAATGTAAGCTGCTCAGGTAATTACAACAATAATGGTATGATCCGCCGGACTGCGGATATATCCGCCATAGCACCGTACTTTGTGCTGGACAGGTTTTAGCTGGAGGGTTGGTTTCAGTGACCTTTTCAAAGCTGGTGGTACAATCAAACACTTACATAATGAGTGCACTGCGAAGTTGCCTGAATTGAAACTCCCAGGCAGATATAAGTCCGCTTGCCTCACAGATCTGAATTCAAGTCCTATCTACTACAACATTTCAATGGAACACAGCAAGCTCAGCCTGCAACAAGAGATCAACGAGTTCGATTATCTTCAAGTGCAAGCAGTACATAGATCTTCTAACTATATCTACTCGTCTGACCCCAACACTAGCCACTACTAGTCCCAGACCTGCTGATGAGCATCCCAGGACCACTGGTCATCAGCGATTCGGTGATCGTATGTGGCACTCACTACGAAACATATCCAGCACTTATATTTTTCAGGCAAAATGGAACACCGCAATGCAAATGGCTCAGGATCACGTCCAAAATCGCTGTTCTGCATTGCAGCATGAACCCATTCCAACCACAGAACAAGATAGATGCTGGCTTACTCTATTGGCGTTACAGAAGGAGCAGGAGCTGGAGGACACGATCAAATGGGTGGAAAACGCCTGGAAGGAATTGATGGAGGTTAGGAGGCTGCTGGGGATCAGAAGGAACCAGTAGGTACCTTGAAGTGTGCAGTGTACATTAAATTGGTGGATTTGAATGTGCTGTCAAGCCTTTTGCTCGTCTGAACATACGTCCAAAGCACAGCAGATCAGACCTACGCTCTCTCTTCCTCTGGAGTATGAAACCTTGCTCCAGAAAGCTTGACCTGGATACCCAGGGCCATCATCCCATCTGTATCGCCAAACTTTCCACTTGTAAGTGCAAACAGCTCTTCAATCTGATGAAACACCTCAGAACGGGCAGCCTGGAGCCCACAGCTGTGAGATATGCAATGTGAACGCACATCCTCGATGCCAATCATAGCTGTGACGGCCTCAACGACATTCAAGGAGAACTGTGAACCTTGGGCGATGATGTGGCCAGTCATGGCGATCATGGCACAACCATCATAATACAACCGATTGTTACGACTTGGATGGTATCTGTTGGCGACGCTCAAATAGAGCTTGTGTCGTCAACGGTCTGTGGACGTCCTTGGGCTAGCCCAAGGTTAGGGGTCGTACTTGGCGTGTCTTCGGCAAGTACAATTTGATGCCTATGTCCAAATCGGGTAGCTTATGTCACGCAGGTGCGAGACGATAAGCTATATCGGCCTAGGCTTACGACACCCGAAGGTTAATCGTAAGGATCGTCGTTAATTAGAAGGACAGAAGTCCGACTAGTTAACAGGGGCTTTGCTCGTCGACGAAGTCGATGAGCAGAGGTCGAGACTATAGGCTTATCCGCGATGAGCAGATAAGAAGATAGAATATAGACTGCTGGTGAGGCAGAAAGGATCACTCAGTTAAGAGTAGGAGGTCAAGAACCAAGTAGATTCAAGTTAGGGAATATAGTACACGGTAGCGAGTTTATATAGAGGACAGGAGACGTATTAGTGGGTGATAACTTGTACTACCGGGAGAGGCAATCGGTAAAGGGTATAACTATAACAGGAAAGCACGTTCGGTCGAGGTAGAACGTGCTAGATAAGAAAGTGAGTCAAAGATTGAAATAAGAAGTGAAACATGCAGGGGCACAATCGTGCAGCTGCGGATCTAAGTATAAGTCGCATGTGCGACTGCGCACCGAGTCAGAGATCAAGAAAGGGAATAGGGCAAAGGGGATGCGTTGTGCATCGTATCATAGGTTACCGTCCAGACGGTAAGGGCAAGGGGGACTGTCCACAGGATCAGTCAGGTGGTGAAACGGAGCATGGGTATGCTTCGTCAGCGAAAGGGTCCGGCCAGATGTACTGGCTTTGCTGAAGCGACAGGTAGAGGGCGAAAGGGAATGCGAGGATGACAAGGATGACAAGGGTAAGGTCGGGGTAAGGGTATGACGCGAGGGCTGATACGAGGAGTATTAGGAGAAAAATGGTAGGGGCCCAAGCGTCTAGATGTTCTTGTAACACCGATCGCCGTCACAGCCCTGTTGGTTTGCATAGAGATAGACACCACCAAGCTAGAAGGTGAGTTAGCTGGCAGAGTCTATACTGGGGCACGCCTGTTACCTTGAGTGTCGCTTCCTTTATTAGCTCGACGGGTGTAATGTTTTCGTAACTCATGATGGCTTCCACTGGAATTAGTGAATATTTCGATGCCGTCGAGTCCTGTTGAAATATGCAGACTTGAAGGAGAGTATGAGTGGACGTGCTCAGGCAAGATGAAAACACGTACCTTGGTGGCGTGAAGAGCTCTTCACAGAGTTTGACACCTATGCATCACTTCGCTCAATTTCTTCGTTCCGTTCACACCAAAGGGGTACAGCACAATCTCACAATCAACCCATTTGATTGTGGGCCATACACAGTGTCGCCAAAACCCATGTCAATTAACCCCATGGCTTCAGCAGCTTCCGCTTCGCTTTCTGCTGCAGCCTGAGCAGCTGCCTGTCATGCCAAGTATTGTTTAGTGTTTTGTCAAATATGTTTGTACTTCATGTTGAAAGGGACTTCAAAGTGCTTGAAGGGTGAGTGAATGTCTAAAACGTACTCATATGGAGTGCCATCTGCCTCATGTATCCGGACAGTCATTTGGCCCTTTAAAAGGCTGGTAAGGGGGGTTTGATCAGAATGCAACCGTTCGTAAACATACCTCAAAGGACACGGGCTTGTGCAGCAGTTTCGATATGTCGTTATGTTCAAGCACCTTGTATGCTGGTGAATCTTGTCGCATGGTGATCTTGACTGCCATCTTCTTCCTATCAAATGAAGCAGAGAACCCAAAGGCTGGACAACCACTACCGTAAATCCACTGCTCAGCGAATGACCAAAGATCAATTCTGCTGACATTTCTGCATGTATGCAGGAACGAATGCATCGAAAGAGCATTATTTGGCAACTCTCCGCTCATTGCAGATAAGAAAATCTTTGGCAGAACGCGATGGAGACCGAGCAAGGTACCAGACTTGCCAAGATGTCAATCCAGAATGTGCAGTACCAGGGGCGCCTTCAAGTTGACAAAAGGTAATGTCATGGAATCTGGAGGATCATTGTGCTGTGGTTGGCAGATGGGGGGCATTGATCTGTTGTCCCACTCGACAACTCATTGCATGTCCCGCTTGAGCCTGTAAACTCGTTATTTCCCAGGAGCTTGCGGACGAATAGGCCAGTGATATACAGCATAAGACCATTCACAAGCCAAATGTCTGACCATGTCTTCTGTTGGATGTTAATTCCCGTCCACTGATAGGCTAGGGCGTGACTAAGTGCTTGCTGAGTCTCAAGTACCTGTTCAATCGAGTCCTCACCATGAAGGAGATCCAGTGATTATGGAAAATGTCGAGCTGTCAAAGTGCTGAACAGGCATCTCGTCCACTGCAACCACTTTGTATGACCTGAATAGGTAGGAGCTGAACTCTGTACTGTAGAAGTTCATCGCCAAATGCAGGAATGAAATTGACGAATGAGCATAGCTTTGTGACCAGGCAAGCAAAATGCATGCATCAGAGGTTGTGATATGCCAGACATATCCTCTGATGTAAGCTCTGTTGGGATGGGATGCACATGAAATGGGCCAGCGGCAAAGGCGACATGCTGTACGGACGTCAACACTGCTTGAGAAAACAAAAAGATGGTTTTGTTCGAGTTGTTAGGATGTGCAACCTGTGTGGCCGTTGTTAGCCCGCCCAAAGAGAAATATGTGGGTGACATGCCTGTTCCACAAGGTCGCCACTGCAGATAACTACCGTCGAGATAGACTCCTGGGACTCTTCAAAATCACCTTTCTCTCCGCAGTGACCAGGATCAGGCTCTTCGAGATAGCGAGGAACAACAAATTTGAACTCCCAAGTGCACTTCTCCCACAGATTGTCGATGCATGGAACCCAACATCTCGCAGCACCAGGAGATGATGATGATGTATATGCATGCAGTACACGCTGGAAAATATCAGAACTTCTTTATCATAAACACAGTAGTTGCTTACATATGGGTAAGAGTCGGTAGGTAGCACGAACTGGATGCCATCCACGGACTTCTCATGCTAAAATCAATGTGAACCATAACGGGCATGAATTCAGGTCTGGTTTCAGGTGTGTGGGAAGAGAGGGGGGTATGAGGCTCAGGCGTAGCAGCTAATACGGTAAAAAATGAATGTGTGACACATAATCCTCGAGCACCGAAATTTACCTTCACTGAAATGACGGTTCAAAAGCAAGTGGTTTGCATGGCCGGTTTGTCAAAGCGAAACTTCCTTCGGAATTGCAATCAAATGTTCACCCTCATTGCCTTCGGCCAATGCGGAATATATTTTCCGCTTCAGCTCTGGATAAGTACGGCAATCCTGAAGATTTGATATGTTGATCTGAGCGAGAGCATCATAGTGAACAAAGTCTGCTGGGTGTGACGTGACAGAAACAGAAAGAATCGTTGCAGAAAACACGTTAGACAAGCCATCAGGAATTCAAGCGCAGCACATACTGCATTCTCTAGAGTGCAAATGAATAGTCTTCAGGCTGGGATTAGTTGGAAGGAGGGTGATTTTTGTGCAGCCCTGTTCAAAATGTTGTTATATGAGCGCCCACCATGGATGGCAATTGTTACAAGAACATCTAGACGCTTGGGCCCCTACCATTTTTCTCCTAATCCTCCTCATATCAGCCCTCGCGTCATACCCTTACCCCGACCTTACCCTTGTCATCCTTGTCATCCTCGCATTCCCTTTCGCTCTCTACCTGTCGCTTCAGCAGAGCCAGTACATCTGGCCGGATCCTTTCACTGACGAAGCATACCCATGCTCCGTTCCACCACCTGACTGATCCTGTGGACAGTCCCCTTGCCCTTACCGTCGGGACGGTAACCTGTGATATGATGCATGACGCATCCCCTTTGCCCTTTTCCCTTTCTTGATCTCTGACTCAGTGCGCAGTTGCACATGCGACTTATAGATAGCTCCGCAGCTGCACGATCGTGCCCCTGCGTGTTTCACTTCTTATTCCAACCGTTGACTCACTTTCTTATCTAGCACGTTCTGCCTCGCCCGTGTCTCAACGCGAACGTGCTTCCCTTTTATGGTTATGCCCTTTACCGATTGCCTCTCTTGGTAGTACGAGTTATCACCCACTAATACGTCTCCTGTCCTCTATATAAACTCGCTACCATGTACTATATTCCCTAACTTGAATCTACTTGGTTCTTGACCTCCTACTCTCACCAGAGTGATCTTTTCTGCCTCGCCAGCAGTCTATATTCTATCTTCTTATCTGCTCTTCGCGGATAAGCCTATAGTCTCGATCTTTACTCATCGACTTTGTCGACGAGCAAAGTCCCTGTTAACTAGTCGGACTTCTGTCCTTCTAATTAAACGATGATCTTATGATTAACCTTCGGGTGTCGTAAGCTCTGGCTGATAACGCTTATCGTTGAGCATCCACTTGACATAAGCTACCCGATTTGGACATAGGCGTCAAATCTTACTTGCCGAAGCCTCGCCAAGTAAGACCCCTAACCTTGGGCCAGCCCAAGGACGTCCTCGACCGTTGACGACACACGCTCTGTTTGAGCGTCGCCAACAGATACCATCCAAGTCGTAACAGCAATGAATTGAGATTATTACATGCCAAGGACAGACAGACGGGGCAGATAAGGTCGCTAGGAGCAGTCACTCGTATCCCGCTCAGGAGATGAGGGAGGTAATCATATGATATTGTCTCGCGCTGCAATGATTGCTTCAGCGGAGCCGGAGCTTTTGTGAGGTTGTGTGCATTGTCCAACAGCTTGTTGCAGTGTGCAGCTTAAGAAGTTCGTCTTTTCGACGATGTTTGAGCGGACCCAAGGATGCTTACTTTATCAGCAAACCATCATCAAAGGTCACAATGCACAAGTACTTACATGTTTCTTTGTTGCAGTCAATCTCAGAAGTGCTGGACAGATTCCGGCGACCATGAATGTCAACTTCCATAGGTCTCATCAATTCCGAGGACCACAATGCCTATGTGCATTCATCCGAGCGTGAGTGCAGTAATATGGGTTGTGGTGGAGGATATCAGCTGCATTGGAGCATCAGCAACAGTAGCAGTGACGTGCCTGCCCGTTCACGGTGAAAATTACAGTCGACTTTCACGTTAACGAAATTTTGTCCCTTTGGGGTAACCTGATCAATTGAAGGCATCATATCATCATCTCTTGATCCAGATGCACCTTTGGAGCTAAAATCAGTGACCGGTGTTAGAGGTAAAGTAAGGAAAGCTTGGGGCAATTGTTTTCTGGCTTCCCTAATACAGCAGGTACCAGGTATAGGGTCCAATTGGTAGTCAAGTGTGCTAGAAGGAACGTACTGGGATCATACAAGTGGGGATGTGATGGATTATCTACATCCTTGTAGTCTAGTACCACTTTGAAGTGCAAAAGTGGGGTGTTGAGTCCTATAGAGTAAGGCATAATGTGCTAGCCACGGTATACCCTGTAGCAGGCGCCTGAATCCAATCCCAAAGGTTGACCAAGTGCCTCTCGAATGCGTCAAATGTGCCGGATGAAATTTTGCTACCTGTCGGGTATCGGAGAAGTTGACGCCTGAAGAAAATGGTGTACTGTAGACAGGATAAGAGTTGGCTTTCAAGTTGCAAATGTCACACACCATCCCACATGCACCGGCGATCAGATGCTCTGGGAGCTTCTCGTATTGGGTGGGGAACAGATCTAATAGCGAGTGGTGTTGCAACCTGAGCGGCTGCAAAATTCAAAGTGCCAGGATTACCAGGATTGGCATCCGACGATAATATTTCTGTAAGATACAAATTAATATCGCAAAATTGAGAGCCATTGACGGAGGAGCGATGATCGATGAGAGCGATGTGGTGCCCTGGCTCCATGTCTTTCTGTCAAAAAGTCAATAACTCAACCTCAGTGCGATATATTGCATATGCACTTGAATTACAGGCCTTGTTATGAGATTGTTGTCTTTATATACCCAGAGTTGCTTCCAGCCGTTTGGGATGGTGAATGGCTAGTAAAATACAGGGGTGATCAACGAACCCATCTGAATTCTCGATAAAAGCACTTACTGTCACATTGGCTTGCTGGCGCATATCCTGTAGACGAATCTCGATAATCTGGCAGATGACAAGTTGGTTCGATGGTTAGTACTATACTGACAGTCTTTTAAAACCCACCTACTAAAGCTTACACGTCATATCATATCACTTTAATTTTTGATATCCCTTCCATCCAAGTCAGTGCAACCTTTATCGACTCGAGGTGAACTCGTGCATGAATACCAACCCCATTTTTGCAGAGTGATTCATTCTGAACAGCTCTATGTCAGTGAATAACCTTCGCAGATTCAATCTATAACAATGAATCAATATGGCCGTCAATGTTTCAACATTGATTCCCAATCAACGTAAATATGTCACTGACCTATCCACTTAATCAATATCAAGTGAGAGAAAATGACTCGGTAACCTTTGCAGATTCAATCTATAGCGATGAATCAATGTGGCCATCAATGTTTCAGTGTTGACTCACCATCAACATAAATATGTCACTGACCTATCCTGGGTATCCAAAGCTGTTGCGGTAGAGTATGTGACTAACTGTAGCAGGTTTTTGAAATCCAATCACAAACACTGATATCAAGATCGTTGTCCATGTATACCCAGAGTTGCCTCAAGCTGCTTGGGATGGTGAATGACTAGTGAAATATAAGTGGTGATTAACAATAGAAAATAACGATGAAATAATGAGTGCTCACAAAGAGTAATGGGTATTGAAGGACTCCTACTGATAGCGAGAGGTTTCGAAGTTGAATGTTCTAAAGGATGTGTTCGAGTTCAGCTCTTATCAATCTGTCGGATTGCTATGATAAGCCTGTTTGAATTGGAACAACTTGAGCAACACTCCCCTGCACCAGAGACGTCCCCAGTCTGCACGAAAGGCTGAGTGTTGCTGCTGCTGTTGGTAGTCAGCGCCAGAGCCCAAAATCAACAATTATCAACAAGTTTGAGCCATTGATAAGCAATTGATAAGCGTCATCATTACTAGCGGATTCTTCCGATGGTTTCCCGAAACCTCACGATGACATTGACAAAAAAAAATAGTACTACTAGTATAGTACATGACCCAAAACCTAGTCAAGCTCCCTTGTCCTGCCTTCCTACTAATGACCGATCTAGTTTTCATAGTCAAGGATAGAATCATCATCACTACACTCGTCTTCAGAGTCTTCACCTGAATCGGATCCCAAACTCGAATGATCCGAGTCAGAGTCACATATACCCTGATCCTGAATTTCCTCTTCTTCAAGATCCTCAAAATTTGCAGTGGTGTCGGCAGCTTTGTGACTAGTATGGGTGTATGTGTGCCCAACTCCTAAACCCCATTGATAACACATGAACATGTCACGGTCTACAAAACTAAGCTGCTGTGTCAGTGAAACCTCATTTAGGTAGAGATGTTAGATGCACTGATTGATATAATAGTACCGCCAGTCAAGCTTATCTTGAGCACAATGGGAAACGCTCCTGCCGTCCAAACACCGCAGGCCTTGAGTGAATTGCGGAATAACATGGCAACATCTAAGAATGTCATTAGGGTCAACAAACCCAAACATGTCTGGTTCTGCCATAGGAGGGAAGAAAATGTGATCTAAAGGTGTGTGCCAGCTCGAGCCTTCATCAACATCTACATGTTGATACCAGCGCACCCAAAGGAAGTCGATTCATTGTGAGTTGTAGTTAATCATGCCAGAACCAATGTAAGTGACATTGACATGATAAATGCCAAGCACACGAGCATATGAATAAGGATGTTGTTCACCATCAGTTGAGTCCCCGTTGGCTTGGCCCAGAAGCATGACATTGCAGTGTGATGTTGATGGATTGATGATGTCCTGCGCTCGGCGGACATCGTATGTTGTGTAGTTAAGACGCATCAAGTTATGTCTGTACATGCGATCAGCCTTGATGAAGATACGGACTTCTGAGTCTGAGCATGGTGGGGAAACCCCTGGTACCGTGATAGCAGTGGAACTGTTGGTGTGTGAAGGGCCATTTTCTTTGGTTAAGATGTCTTTGATCTTAGTGAGGAGGAACTGCTGAAGCTTGGGTGAAAAGTCCTGTTACTCAGGATCAGTGCCATATTGCATTCAAACTGTCTTCATGATTATGTGGCACTTACTTTGATTGCAGGATCGCCCAGGTGCCTTTGGAGGAATAGTGGGATGTTCTCGGGATTGTTTTGAGATTTCCCGATGTGGAAACGAACCTCAGGTGACGTAGTGACTTCTTCATCAATCACTGTACCATGTGGCGACTGCCTGTCACAAATGCGATGTATGCGGGCTTTGCGCCGTTCGATACTGGTAATCTGTTTGACGAATCCTTTTTTGTCTGTTCGATGATACCTTGCTTTTGACGTTCGGTGTTCTAGCTCTCCCTATAATGCATAAGTAGTTTTTACATTATCAATGATATGGTCACGATGTACTCACTGGTTCAGTGCTATATGAATCTGTTGTGCCAAAGTTGTGTATTGAAGTGGAATAATCACCCAGGGCATGTAACTTATACATTTGAAGATTAAAAGTCTTCATTTGCCGGGATGTCTGATATGTCGATGTCATCACCTCTCTATTGCCAACACCATCACGTAACTCCCGGCATTGGCGACGTTCCACTTCTCGTTTTAGTTCCCGGGTCTGGAACGCCACACAAGTATGTTTCTGAAAATGGCGAAGCTGCTTTCCAAGCGTAACAGTTGCAGTGTCGAGGAGGTCAAGGGTCTCGTTGGTGTGCATGCGCAGTTTTGCGAGAGTGTGCCAGTGTGCACAGGCACAAATCAGAGCCAAAACATTTGTATTGTGCAGCTCTGGAAGGAGGGCGTCAAATACGGGGATGGCGCACTGATTAGATAGGTATGAGTAATATAAAGTGGTTAGGACAATATAGAACCTGACCTAAAGAAGGTCTTTGAAGTCTCCAGCAGCCATCTTCTTCATTTCGGAAGCATTTGAAGCAAATTTTCGGATAGTGTCACGGCCAAAGGTAGGAGTGAGTCTGTAGCTTGTGTTTTCCATCAATCAAACAACCTATGTCGAGTTTATTTAACAAAACATACCAACAATCGAGTTCATGCAACAATTCATCACCTGCGCAAACAGAACTGAGAATACACAGTAGATGGACAAACAGCGCTTTCCAGACACCAAGTTCAAACTCATGCATGAGGTCTACGACCAACATGCAGAATAGATTGAAGCCGAGGGATTTGAGTTTCTCTGAAAATGCATTCTGAAAGATCATGGTCAATACTCAGACAAATTCAGTGACAACAAAACAAACATACAGTGGTTGGCACCAATGAGTGTTCTTTCAGTAGATTTTCAACAGCAGTACTTCGAATACCATAACCAAGATCATAAATATGTGAATGCGTGACTGTGACTTTACTTTTCTGAGCATTGTTGTCTATGTGCGCAAGGGTCTGGCATTGCTTCATGTCGAGGGACAAGCCCAGATTCTGAATGCGGGATTTCGGGATGAGGCACCGAGGGCATGGACACCCACCAAGATTCCGTATCGTAGCCAGCAATGCCCTAACAATAGGATAGATAATAATATCAAGTTCTAGGTGTGAACTTTGACTCACTTTTCTGGATAATCAGCAGAATACGTGAGTATCCAAGGGTAAAATCGACAATCAATACCGTCACAACAGCGTATCACGATCCCATGTTTATAGGCTTCTATAAACTCCTCGTCGAGAAGAATCTTCCACTGCATGTGATAGAGTTCCCTATGGCAATGCGCAAGAAAGTCAGCACTGGGACCTTTCCCACCAAAGTGCTTCATAGCAAAATCCTTGAAACTATCTGGAAGCTTAAAGACAATGACTGCATGAGTATGAAAAAATCGGAACTGGGCACATACATGATTGAAGTAGGAGACATGACTACATAGATGACAAGAAGGCTTGCATCGTCGATATTTAGATTTGTTTCCAAAAAACATGTAGCAAGGCCAGAGTTTGGAATTACCAAAGGAAGTCAGATGGGTTGAATCTGACCAAAACATAAGAGCGACAACGACATGTTCTAGATCACACCCAGGCTCTGCTGGAGACTCTTGGACTTCACGGTGTGCTCCAATAAAAGCCTCAGAGTTGTACAGTTCCCCATGAACACAAGTGGATCTTTCAGACCCTCTGCGATTCCAGAGTAGTTCATAGGGCTGATAATGGAATAGTTTGTCGTGCTTTTTGTTTGCAAGCTTCTCCTGGATGACAGATACGAGTGGTCGATGATATAAATCAGTGATGAGATAGTCGTAAATGCCTGGGTTTTCTGTGCGCTTGTGAACGGGTATCTTGATGTTGATTGCAGTCTTCTTCCACCCAGCACCTTCGAAGGTCACATCATCATGCACCTCTGCATCGTCTGCGCTAGATCCAAGTCGATTGTTGATTAAATTCCAGCGCGTAGCACGAATGTCTTCAGATCGAAACTCGCTGTCACTAATTATCTGTAATAGTTCCTTGAAACTCTTGTGTGACTTCTGGATACCTCCGTTCCAAAACCAATCGCCAAGGAGAAACAATGATTTGTTTGGATATGGATGGAAAGCATCTGGAGCTTCTATGCTGCTATTATGTGTTATAGGAGCAGGCATACTGAAATCTTGGTCTGACTCGGAGTGTGTCAGAGTGAGGTTTTCTAGAGTTGTAAGCTCTTCTGGATCGTGAGTTGGCGAGTGATCGCTGTAATATCGACGCGAAAGTCCGAAAACACTGAGAAGTGTGCGTGACAACGGTGCACTTGTCTCCGAAGCGGGCGAGAGGTCTGCGGTTGGTGGCAGGGCTGGCTCGGTAATAGGTGGGGGTTGAGGAAGTACATCTCGAAACCGTACAGGAAGACAACGATTGATGTGTCATGGACGACGCTCAGCGAGCGACCGTGGATCATCGACCACATGCAAAGACTCTGAAGGACTACACCATTCCTAACAGACTGTTCAGGGATCAATAATAATCATTAAATATCTGATACTCACATCGCGTTCAGTTTCGATGCCTGATCGTGATGCCGAATTGAATTCTTCTCCGCTGATGATAGCCTGATCAGAAGCGAATTCTGAGCTGGCAAACCCATGATCCAATTGTGGGTGTGCCCCGCTTTCCCCTGTTTGCGAAGTTCAAGTCTCTGCACTATGGGCAATGGTCGGAAGACTCAGAGTAGACCCAGCTAACTTGTCACATTTATCTTCTTCTCTACACAGTCTTTTTTTAGGGCTCCATAACTCTTTGGCCTTTGATAGCGCATTCGAAAGGTGCTTCTTCCGCTTTTTACATGTCCTTTGATGGTTCGCGTACACATTGAGTTGTGTGAAGCTTCGTCCGCAAGTGCACTGGCAAACAGTCGAGTATCCTGTCAAGTTCATAGAGGGCAACTCGGAAGCTGGCAATAATCTGTTCGTTCTCAGGTGAGCAGGTGTGAGTTATGAACGTGCAATACCCACAGGTCAAAGCCATCCACCGCAACTGCCGATTGCAACGGTGACTGTAGTAGTTAGCCTGGAACCTAAAAGCTTAAATTAAACAGCGCTTACCGAGTGACATTGTGCGCCAGCTCGTTGAATATACAGAAGCGAGCCCACCGACCTGAAGGGTTCAAACTGTCAACGTAAATGGAGGACTAGGAATGGAAACAAACTAAATGGCGCACATGTGTAATGAAAGCAATGCCACAGTTTGTCACGAGTACCTTTAACAAACCATTATTCTTTCCTGAATCTTCCTAAGCGCCAATACACAGCGCCTAAGTCAAACCCTAACCCTACCTTGAAAGCGTCTATCATTCCTGAAATACCTTTAGCGCCTACGACACGTGTCTTCGATGTGACTGATGAAGAAGACGAGTTCTTTGATTGTGAATAGATTAGATAAGATAAGATATGGTCACGTGATGCTTCTTTAATATTCTACGATGTTCTATGGTACGATTCCCTTTCTCTTTTTATGATTGGCTAGTAGTTGTAACTCAGTTTCAATCTCCATTTCAATAGTTGTATATAGGTAGCATGTCTTGGTCAATAGTTCCTTAGTTCAAACCTCTTGTATCTACACTGTAGCAATCCAAGACGTACTTGCTCATTATCCTCTTGTCCGATAACCTTCGTTTGAGTCCTAGTCTCTGCCCAGCGTTAATTCGTTATTGGGTTGTGACACAGTTGTGTGACTAGTACCACCCAGTTGCTGAAGGCATGGAATTACATAAAAAAAATGGACCCAGCAGGCAAGTACTCACATGACGGAAATTGGTATAGAAGGACGGTATATCCAGTTACACAAGGGAAATCAGCTCGTATAGCATGGCTCCTGATCGCTTACAAACCCAGGCCAACGTTACAACCGACAGACTTCGACGAGAGTGTCAGCGGGCAAAGTTTGCAGCATGCGCCAGTGACAGGAAAACAGTAGTGCTCGAATTAGACAAGGCCAGAGAAACACTGTGCATCTGGTATTGGTACATTAGCCAACTTAAGTACATGATTATCGAAGATCTTAACCTTGTTTGGACACAGGCCAGTTAACGACGATGGAGAGCATGTGGTTCCTTCTGACCTCACATCACATCGAAAGTCTCATCAATTCTGAGGACCACGATGCCTATGTGCATTCATAGACGATGATGAGAATTCCAGTTGCCATCGTGAGGCAGCGATAGTCGTGTTGACACGGGGACCACATGCAGGGGAGTACGTGGCCTGTTGCGCATCGAGTAAATGCGGTTATATTGGTGAGCTACCCTTGACTATGTAGCCGCAACTTCGAGTTGGTCGATGCTGATGAATCACTGGGGCAGTTTTCATCGAACAAATACACCAATCGTCCGGGTTACCCATCAAGAATTACCCAAGACACAGTGAGATCTGTTCTGTTATTGTGATGACCGTTAGTCACATATATTGATGAGCCTGATAACAGACCCTGATGAGGCCAGGCCACATGAAATTGTATTTCTTGACAGAAATGGTACATACTTCAACAAGAACTGTGTATGGCAAAGTGATACCATAGAATTTGTCCAATAGACATCGAACTACAGGATCTTATTGAAGGGCGCCAGCTTCGACGACATGAAACTCACCTAGTCTTCGACAAGCTTCTGAAACTGGACTCCTTCTCCCGGCCTGGCCTCACACAAGCCGAATTCCATCATTTTCTCACGCGGTGCAACGGTTGTGACTTGATCATGATGAGGCGAATGTTCGAACATCATGACTGTGTAGGAAGCACAAGAAGAGGAAACTCAGAAGAGACAGAGGTCATTGATCTGACTACAGAAGACGATGAATAGTAGTATCACCAACCTACTAGTGTGCTTTTGGGCCCCAGCAATTTTGTCATTTCAATATTACTAGTGAAACAAAACTAGTATAAAGGAAATCAGTGTTACAAGAACATCTGGATGCTTGGGCCCCTACCATTTTTCTCCTCATTCTCCTCGTCTCAGCCCTTGCATCACACCCTTATCCCAATCTCGCCCTTGTTATCCTAGTCATCCTCACATTCCCCTTCGCCCTCTACCTGTCACTTCAACAGAGCCAGTATATTTGCCAGACCCTTTTGCTGACAAAGCATACCCATGCTCCGTCCCACCACCCGACTAATCCTGTGGATAGTCCCTTTGCCCTTACTGTCTGGATGGTAACCTATGATACAACGCATGCTGCGTCCCCTTTACCCAGTCTTCTTTTTCGATCTATGACTCGGTGCGCAGTCGCACATGTGTACTTATATTTAGCTCCGCAGTTGCATGATCGTGCCTCTGTGCGTTTCACTTCTTATTTCGATCTTTGACTCACTTTCTTATCTGCACGTTCATGTTCACCCGTGTCTCACCTCAAACATGCTTTCCTTTCATAGTCTTACCCTTTATCGGTTACCTCTCTTGGTAGTACAAGTTATCATCCACTAATATGCTCCCTGTCCTCTATATAAACTCACTACCATGTACTATATTCCTTAACTTGAATCTACTTGGTTCTTGACCTCCTACTCTCACAAGAGTGACTCCTTCTGCCTAGCCAGCAGTCTATATTCTATCTTCTCATCTGCTCATTGCAGATAAGTCCTTAGTCTCAATCTTTACTCATCGACTTCGTCGACGAGCAAAGCCCCTGTTAATTAGTCAGACTTCTGTCCTTCTAATTAAACGATGATCTTATGATTAACCTTCGGGTGTCGTAAGCTCTGGCTGATAACGCTTATCGTTGAGCATCCACTTGACATAAGCTACCTGATTTGGACATAGGCATCAAATCTTACTTGCCGAAGCCTCGCCAAGTAAGACCCCTAACCTTGGGCTAGCCCAAGGACGTCCTCGACCGTTGACGACACACGCTCTGTTTGAGCATCGCCAACAGATACTATCCAAGTCGTAACAAGCAGCATAATATATAGAGATATATATGTCACTTCAAGGAGGCAAAAGAAAGCTACCCGTACAACACGTAGAGTCATAAGTCGGTGGGAGCCCTGATTGTACATATCTAACATATATAGAACAAGAATGGTGGAACTGACCAGGCATGCTAAAAATCTCAAAGGGGGCTATTCTGCATCTGATTCATGTACACTTGAAATGTCGCTATCCGCAACATCAAGTGTGTCGCTTGTAAGGCCAGATACATGCAACACACCATGTGAAACACCGACACTGATGTCAGCTTTCTGGAGTCTTCGTCCTGCATGTTGATTTATATGATAGTATAATTTGTGTTCAATCATTACGCGTTTCAGGCGTTTCTGGATAAGTTGGCTTTCTGCCCGACGCTCTGAGCGTTGAGCACTGATGAGGCAAACAGTGAGATCACTATCGTGAGTGGTCTCCCAGAATGGGGGTATACAGAAGGTATCCATCTAGTTTGGTGATTAGTCACATTTCATGATATTTAATGATGCCACCTACAGATGATGGCTCTTGCAAAGCAGTTTCAGGGTATGGGTCCTGAGGTCGTTGTGGGACACTGCCGCGCCAGGCCGCACAGCGATCCAAGAAATCATCTCTTTGTTCGTTGGGGTGAAGCTTGAGAGTATGTGAGTTGGCCTGATGGCAATCAGGGATGAGAGTGGCAAGAGCAGGCTTCATAGTGGAGGACATGGTTCAATGGAAAATTTCTATTGATTTTGGTTGACTATTGCTCTTTTAGTATCAATACAGTAACTCCTGGATCAAACGGACCATTCCGAAACTCGCACACATTGACATCAATGACGACAGATACTTCAAGTTACACCGCAGAGCCTTCAAGCCTCAAGTTTCAAATGAACTAAAGGCTGTAGTCCTTCGTCAACACGCTGGGTGTAGTTCTCAAATCCAGTATTCACTGACCATGATTCGTTCTCACCTGCAAATGAGGGTTTTCATTTGCGTTGATGTTGAATCAATGTGCATATTTCATGCCTGTATTCACCGTCTTGATCTGACAATTATTTGTTAGATGTGGCCTCTCTGGCCCAACTTCGGCTTGGAAACTTTCATTTCCACTGACGTTGAATATAACACCGCTGATCTTTGGTGCAACAGCTTTGGGATATCCAGTCATTTCCTCTCACTTGGTATTGATTAAGTGTATAGGTCAGTGACATATTTACGTTGATTGGGAATCAACGTTGAAACATTGACGGCCATATTGACTCATCATTATAGATTGAGTCTGTGAAGGTTATCCACCGACGTAAAACTGTTCAGAATGAAAGAGTCACTTTGCAAAAATGGGGTTAGTATTCATGCACGAGTTCGCCTCGAGTTGATAAAAGTCACCCTAGACTTTGATGCAGTGGATATTGAAAATTGAAGCGATATGACGTGTAAGCTTCAGGTGGGTTTTAAAAGACCATCAGCATAGTACTAACCATCGCACTGACTCATCATCTGAAAGATTATCGCTGCCATCCCCCATTATGTCCTCACAGCTCAGGGTTGGCCATATCTACAGTCCTCCCACAGCTGGGAAGGATGCAACTATCTTTGACTGGTTTAGTCACTCAGTAAGTTCTCAACTTTTGATGTATTTTAGGTTGACTCAGATGTATGACTATTCTAGCAACACATAGTTGAAACCCTCAAGGGGTCTTTCCTCAAGGTGGCTCACGTCTTACCTTTGGAAGCAAGTGTGTTGGCCGTGGACGCAGAGAATTGCTATGAGTCTGTATATGTGGTAGGTCATATTCCGACTCTGTCAAAGTACCACTAAATTCATTTACAGGATATGCGCCAGCAAGCAGATCTAACAGTAAGTGCCTTTATCGAGGGTTCAGATGGGCTCATTGATCACCACTTACATTTCACTAGCCATTCACCATCCCAAACGGCTGGAAGCAACTCTGGGTATATACGGACAACGACCTCATTACAAGGCCTGTAATTCAAGTGCGTACGCAGTATATTGCACCGAGGATGAGTTGTTGACTTTTTGACAGAAAGACATGGAGCCAGGGCACTACATCGCCCTCATTGATCATTGTTCCTCTGTCAATGGCTCTCAGTACAGTGACATTCCAAGCCAGATTGACACTGGGTTTGATGGAACATTTTTGGATGACGACTTTTTGTCTGCAATCAGTTTGTTCAAGGGCGAATGGCCATCCGCAGATACATCAACGTATGGGGTTGGATTCCCAACATCTACTACAGGAAATCACATGCTCCCTTCAACCTCTTCCGCAGTGAACATGGAGTTACCCACTCCAGTTCCTGTAAGGACTGAGGCAGAATATAATGCAACACCTCCTGATTCGTTGACTTTCCTTTCAGCACCGACTACTGATATCGCTTTGGCGAGCAGCACCGTGCCAACCTCACAATATGTTATGTGTGATCTGGATGTCTTTGCAAGAGGTATCAGTTACACCACCGAGAGCCTCCAAAGTACCTTCCCTAAGGCTTCTGCGTGCATCCGTGATGCCAGTATCCTCGCTAAGCAGCAGTTAACTATTAATGGGTCACACCAAACTTCATTCTGCACGGATTGTAAAGATTTCATCGTTGAAATGGTAACAGTCGCAAAACATGCTGGCCATTCAGTCAAAAAGGTAGGAATAAACAAGAGTAGTATTTATCTTAATTTGATTACCTTTGACAGGCATCAAGTGTTGGGTTACTAACAAGACCATCGCCTTAGATATGGTGTGTAAACAAATCATTGATATTGTATGTTTTGGCCCTATTGGAGTTGCACTGACATGGCTAACGCACACCTACAGGTTCATAACGAAAGATACAAATTCGTGAAGTTCCTAAAGGAAAACTGCTTTACTTACGCTGAGGATCTACGGAAGAAGGCTCTGGGTGGCTATTGTTTGGGTGACTACCACGACGGGACAGTCGGACCGTATATCACTCAGCTTACCGGTATGACGGCTTGGGATGATGAGGTGACAAACCTTAGCTTTGCCTGCTCTTCTGGGGTATGAATTTCACTTGAAATCATATAATTGCGATATTAATTTGTATCCTACAGAAATACTATCATCGGATGCCAATCCTGGTAATCCTGGCACTTCGTATTTTGCAGCCGCTCAGGTCTCAACACTGCTCGCTATTAGATCCGTTCCCCGCCCAATACAAGAAGCTCCCAGAGCATCTGATCGCCGGTGCATGCGGGATGGTGCTGACATTTGCAACTTGAAAGCCAACTCTTATCCTGTCTACAGTACACCATTTTCTTCAGGCGTCGACTTCCCGGATACCCGTGTGCCAAAATTTCATCCGAAGCATTTGAGAGGGAGGCAGCCCATCACCTGGAGCTCCTAAGGTCTATCCGCTGGAACACAGACGATGAGGCCCATAGGCTGAATATATGGATCAATACCCAGGAGGGCCCGAATGGATGGTTGCAAGACCTGTAAGTAGACTTGATTCCATTGTTTTGAATACTTGGTCTCAAGCGCACAGTGTGCATGCACTGCACATGGTCAACCAACAACGCGGCCCCAGCTAAGAGCAGATAAACTCTGATTGTATCTTTGTCAAATAGTCATTTTTGATGTTGCTTGTTGCTATACATGTACTACCACAATTCAACCAATCTCAGGCTGCTTCATTGACCGTCATTCCTCCCTCCATTTATGCTATCTAAGAGTTTGGCCCATCCGAGTCTGTTACAACCAAGCCTCCAACGGTGTCGGTTGCTGTATAATACTATAGACTCGCGACCAGATTGAGCCTAGTGGCTGACACACCCGCCAGATAATGTTTCCCACTGGTCGCTGAATTGTGTAACATTCAACAAATACCCTCACTTGAGCGCTCTGGTTAGAGGCTGTACTTCTGTAATTGACAGTAGCTCCCTAAAACTAATTTGCAGTCGCTCACAAACTGCAGCAAATATCACGGGCCAAGGGATTTAGAGTCGCAGTGATGTGGCAGACAATTTTCTCATCCTAACTAACCTTGCAGTTATTCCGCCTGCCATGTCTGAGTCTGAGGACCAGCAGTCTTGCAGCCAACGTCGTAAACCAGTTGATGCCCTACAACTGGGGCCCAGGAAACGGCCGTGAGTTGATATATATTTGGGAAGTAATCCACCTACTGACGCCCATTACAATAGCAGTGCGACGGATCCATTGGTTCATTATGTCGTCATTTCAGGCGAACGGTCCACACTCTTTGCAACTTCCAAGCCCTTCTGACAAACGGGATTCTACAGATGGGAGAATTAGCCGACACTCCAGAAGAAAATTTTACAGCCGAGTGAGTATCTTACTTTCCTGCAGAGTTATTCACAGCCCGTCTAATTGTGTGTATATTCTAAGGGAACGACACGAGCATCGCGTTTTCCAAGAACTTCTCAAATCTGTGGCAGGCTTGGAAGAGTGTTTGATGCAAGGTGGAGATGATGAGGTTGATGCCATTGCGGAGCTGGCAAGTATCCCATTTTTCTGTGTCTGCAAAGTTATCCGTTTATATCACATATCGTGTCAGCTCACCAAAGGCGCATCTGGAGCAAGAGGTGATGATACAAAAAGTCTCAAAGGCAGTGTCCTCAATTGGATTACCCCAAAGGGACAAAATCTTGTTCCTCCTCTCGCTCGCAACATCAAAGTTGACCACGGTTTTCACCATGAACGGACAGGTGCACTACTTTGTCCTGCTGGCCTCAACTGGTCCAACTCCAAGTGTGTGGCATCATTTCCTTGACATCTTTACTAATGGACTGTAGGACGAAAGCTAAACTTAAGAGCAGCGAGATCATTGTGACTGGAGATCAATGGCTGCTGTTCTTGTACGCAGACTACCATTACGATCCCGAGGATCCATGGAATGGCCTCTTTCGAAGCACCTTGCTTGTTTGTGTAAGATATATGTTTTTCGTTGCTTCCAAATTTCTTTGCTTTTAACTAGACTCTTAGGCATATAGACATGTCTTCACGTCCCCCAGTTCTGTGGACAGAGAGCCAAAGGCAACCTGTTATGACTTGGATGGTATCTGTTGGTGACGCTCAAACAGAGCGTGTGTCGTCAACAGTCGAGGACGTCCTTGGGCTAGCCCAAGGTTAGGGGTCTTACTTGGCGAGGCTTCGGCAAGTAGGATTTGACGCCTATGTCCAAATCGGGTAGCTTACGTCAAGCGGGTGCTAGATGATAAGCTGTATCTGCCAAGGCTTACGACACCCGAAGGTTAATTGTAAGATCGTCATTAATTAGAAGGACAGAAGTCCGACTAGTTAACAGGGGCTTTGCTCGTCGACGAAGTCGATGAGTAAAGATCGAGACTAAGGACTTATCCGCAAAGAGCAGATAAGAAGATAGAATATAGACTGCTGGCTAGGCAGAAGGGATCACTCTTGTGAAAGTAGGAGGTCAAGAACCAAGTAGATTCAAGTTAAGGAATATGGTACATGGTAGCGAGTTTATATAGAGGACAAGAAGCATATTAGTAGGTGATAACTCGTACTACCAAGAGAAGTAAGCGGTAAAGGGTAAAACTATAAAAGGAAAGCACGTTCAAGGTAAGACACAAGTGAACATGAACGTGCAGATAAGAAAGTGAGTCAGAGATCGAAATAAGAAGTGAAACACACAGGGGCACGATCATGCAACTGCAGAGCTAAGTATAAGTACACATGTGCGACTGCGCACCGAGTCATAGATCAAGAAAGGGAACTGGGTAGAGGGGATGCAGCATGCGTCATATCATAGGTTACTGTCCAGACGGTAAGGGTAAAGGGACTGTCCACAGGATCAGTCAGGTGGTGGGACGGAGCATGGGTATGCTTCATCAGCAAAAGGATCCAGCCAGATGTACTGGCTTTGCTGCAGTGACAGGTAGAGGGCGAAGGGGAATGCGAGGATGACCAGTATGACGAGAGTAAGGTTGGGGTAAGGGTGTGATGCGAGGGCTGATATGAGGATGAGGAGAAAAATGGTAGGGGCCCAAGCATCAAGATGTTCTTGTAACAGAGCCAAAGGCAACCCGCTCAGGTAACACTCGAATCCATGGAATGACTCGAGTCACTCTACCCTCCATCGCATATATTGCAATGCAGGTCTGTCTGTGCTTCGGATCTATAGACTTATACTCAATGTTGAATATTTGTTCCAGATCAGATTTTCCCTCACCTCATCTCCTGTGTTTTCGCGCACAGACACAGTCACCGACTCGGAAAGGTTCTACAATTCTGTTTTAGATATTTTTGAAGACCCGGACAAGAAACAAGAAGTGAATGACCTTACTGTATGGTGGAACAGGTGATTGATATCTCGTTTTATTCTACTGATTCTCACATTTTTCTAGACAAATTTTCCCGTTGTACTCGACCGCTCAACGACCGCAGGTGAAGAATAGTGCACTAGCGAGAATCCGGGAGAAGCGAGCACGAATGAAGGAAGTTTCAGCGGGTGATGGTGATGGTGGCAGTGTGTAGCATACTGTCGGCACATCATAGTTCATTGTACCTTGCTACTAGATAATGTGATGTGACACCACTATGATGCATGCAAGCTGCTTGTGACGCCAAGATTATACCCAACCTCCAGGCTGAAATTGAGTTATAGTATATGCTTCATCTTTGTATTTTTTGCCAATGGTAGCAATCAAGGTATTCACGTTGTGATGATAGCATAATTGTATTTTTTTGCCAATGGTAGCAATCAAGGTATTCACGTTGTGATGATAGCATCTTTGTCAACAATGTCATCAGTCTGCCACTAAAGTATCATTTTGAGATCCTCGCTCCAAATTCACATAAATTACTTTGCTGATCACATGTGTATTTGTGACTGATACTTGCAAGAATGACATCAACTGGACACACCTATCTAATACTCATCTTTCTGATGAGTATTCATATGATACATAAAAGCAAGCATTCATTATATACTTAGTCATAAGCGTTGATAAAGCATCACAATTGTGAAGCTTGCCTGTCTTGCCATCTAGATGCACCCCTATAATCCCTATCACCATGATGACATTTGTGAGTTCTGCCAGGGCAAGCATCCATTATAATCGAAGGGAGCACAGTCCATGAATGTGTCATAAATGTAATGCTAGATCTTATATCACCCATCTTTGTTCCTTTGATCGGCGAATGTAAGAGGGCTCATTCTTGCATATCTGGCAAGTCCTGCCATGTCTATCCTCCAATGTAAGGCTTGGTAATTTCACATATCATTATTAGATTGATTGTAGAAATTTAACACATTATGATTCTTTATATACCCATATCATTTTATCGTTGAACATCTGATGGTTCAGGCACCTATACGCCGATGCGTGGGAACCTAAAACTGGTTTATTATTAAAACCGCGAGAGATCTTCTTGGCAATGAGATTACTGATTGCCTGAGGTGCGTGCTCGGCCTTGACTTAGAGAGAGAATTCAATCAGATATATCGACCCTCTGGACGTCCGGGACTTTGGTTTGCATCTGGTCCATTCTGATACAAAGGCATCCATGTTGGTGGAGGGCTTTTGTCGAACTCAAATATGTTCCCAACTCCTAAAATCTCTGCCAACTCGCGGCGGGAACGTCAAACTGGATCTAGGCAGACACTTGAATTCGAACATAATCGGTAGTATGATTATGTATGTCTATTTGACCTGTGTGGCTTACATGCGTGTTTTGTGCTAATGGAGAGACATTGGTTTAATGCTTGCACACAGCTGGCCACACACATCGACAGTCAAAAGGAAACTGCATAGAGCACTCTCCGAGATCGACTAGTCTGCCCATGGCAGAAATCACAACATCTCAACATACGCATGTAGATAGAATAGTTATGGTTCTGACCGAGTCAACAGCTGGTTGGAGCTGGTTGGAAATGCGAATGGTCAGTAGTTCCAAACATGCTAATAGACCTAGCTGGCGATATGCTGGCATTATACATATGCCATCCATTTGGAGACACATCCGCTGTGATCCACGCAACAGTGATTCCAGAGAACAATATAAAAACCAGCCGTCTTCCTAGTGTTGCCTTCAAAATTACCTGATCCCATATCACACGAGTCACAAACAATGCATTTCCCCTCTGCAATTGTCCTCGCCGTCATTACTTCCTTAGCATCATCAATCTCTGCCATGCCCGCTACCGCGAACACTGCCGCCGACACATGTTTCAGGTTTTGCGTTCACCGCTCACAATGCACAAATGCAGGATGCGGTTGGCTGGGATGCGTGCGTATCAGCATTTTCCTGGAATTGAAAACATGACACTGATATACATGGCAGACCTTTTTCATCTGCACAGTGAGTCGTGTTTTTGCTTTTACATCGGTACAGTATGGCCGTTGACGCTGATGCACGAGTTATTAGTGATTTGTAGAGTCGATCAACGTTCAACGCGTATCAAAAAACATATGTCCACTTACTACATGGCTCTTTGCATATTGAAGTGCGCGTGAAATTTTCGTGAAATATAGGATAAATATTCATGATCTCTCGATGCCAGAGTTACCTTGATGGAATTGAACGAGAAGATTGTTGCTTATGCAAAAAAGCATGGCTTTTAATCAAGTAATTGAGCTCACCGTCATTCACAACGACTCGGAGCACGAGCCTCCACGCGGTAACGCTTGTGACTGATTTCTTGGCCTTACCTCATCTGGGCATATATCGCAACAATCAGACCCAGCCCTCAGATAATGAAAACCAGTCCTATCTTGACTCTGCCTTCGACGATTAGTTTACCACAGCCAATGTCAAGCACTGTGTGGTGTTTAAAATGTCACTCGTCTCAAGAACAAATCCAAACCTACTAGTTCCTGACGACAGGAGTCTGAACAAAAAAAAATTCCGGACCAACCTCGCCACTACCTGGCGAAAGTTCCCAAATTAAGTCGAATCTAGCCTTGCGCAAACCGTCGTTGAGTTCCTTTTTTGTAAAGAAAAAATCCATTTTTATGTCCATTGAGGATGCTCTCCTATGTAGGACAATACTTTCTAATCTATTGGTCGAGTTCCTTATCGAACATCTTCATGTGTTGGGTCCCACCTGAAATTTGCAGTTGCAGGAGAAGGGCCAGAGGCATTGTATTATTGCTGAAATCCAGCCCCTCGATAGGAGTGCCGTCAGGGAAAGGCGACTTGAAGTGGGTTTTCTCTATGGCAGCCCGGAAGCTATGTATACAACATGTTGATGTAGCGCTTCCTTGGACCATTAGGCGAGTTCAAAGCTGGATTTCGAGGCCGATTTGAACGTGGATTTGGACGTGAATTTTGGCTGGTCAAGCGGCAACATTCGGCAAGGTGAGTTGGAAGACTTTGAGATAGTTCAATTCATACACGCACGAGGCTCAGCGGCACGATCACCACGAAACAACAATCATTTTCATTTTCCCAGGTACACTGCATCATCTCTTCTGAGAATCTCAAAGAGGGGAGCGTGCCAACTCTGAGAAACTCACCGTGATCTGATTCTGAATTATGCAGCGAGGTGGTTGTCCAGGCACGCGGTCACGGTGCTCCACAATGATCGCCATATAATTAAGTAATCATAGCGTTAAGTTTAATTATAAATTAAATTTTCAATTCCATAAATATTATGAAACGTCATGCATCGCCGAGTTTAAGGGACAGGTTTATTGTCGCGACGTCGTGCCACTGCGTTGCCAGCTGTACCCTATTGCGTTAATCGCGCATGACTCCGACATGATCGTTCGCAGACTCAGACCTGTACTAATCCGAGTGATGAATCAAGAAAGAGATATAAAACGTCCCTCTGGTTTACAGGTTCTCGGGCACTTCACTTGGCATCTCTTGCTTGGTGACCACACCACCCTCAGGCTTGCTTATTTCTTACTCGTCTTCTGCGAATAGCTGTCCATGTCAACACTCACCGTTGTTACTTTGCTGTACCTTTGTCTTGCTGGCGTCGGAGTGTATCTGACGAAGCAGGTATTCACCAAAAATCGTGCACCATATCCTCCTGGTCCTCGGGGCCTGCCTCTAGTTGGGAATATTCAAGACATACCTTATGTCAAGCCCTGGCTCACCTTTGCTGAATGGGGCAAGAAATATGGTAAAAGTCTTCCGGTTTTTTCGGAATCATACATTTTAATGTCCTTACGCGCAGGTGATATTTCGCACGTCAGTGCTCTGGGTATGCACATCTTCGTGCTGAACTCCGTCAAAACTGCAGTGGAAATGCTAGACAAGAAGAGCTCTATATACTCTGACCGTCCGGTTGTCCCTATGGGTGGCGAACTTATAGGCTATGAGCAAAGTCTGGCTTATATGCCCTATGGTAAACGCTTTCGCTCGTCCCGCAAGTATATACATCGCGTTTTTGGCAGTCGCGCTGCCTTGGTTGTCTACCAACCCATCGAGGAGATGGAGACCCGCCGATTCCTGAAACGTGTATTCGCGAAACCCGACCAACTGCGAGTACATATTCGACAGTATGTATTTTGTAGCATTACCATTGGATTGACCCTGAAGTTTTATAGCACTGCTGGCACTATCATTCTACGCATCTGTTATGGTTATGAAGTCAAAGAGAATGATGATCCTCTCGTTGACATTGCAGAACGTGTCTTAGACCAATTCTCGCGGTACGGCTTTATCGGTGAATTTATGGTCGACTTCCTGCCATCCTGTAAGGCTATAGCATTTCGACATTTTGTCTCAATTGCCTGACTATATTCTAGTGGCAAAGGTCCCGGAGTGGTTCCCTGGTGCTGGCTTCAAACGCATAGCCCGTGAGTGCCGTGTGACCCTCGAAGAGATGGCTGCTACACCCTACAAGTTTGTCAAGGATCAGATGGTCACTAATATTTGTAGTTTTCCGCTATGAGCTATTGATTGGATTTTACAGGCTGCTGGCATTGCTCCAAAGTCTTTTTCCTCAGAGCTGTTGAAGGACCGTACTTTGACTGTGGAAGAGGATGACATTGTGAAGTGGTCTGCTTTATCCGTATTCAGCGGTGGTGCCGACACAGTTCGTCCATCTGGAACTATCATATTTTTGGACTAACGCATGTTCGCTCAGACTGTTTCTGCGATCTACTCATTTTTTCTGGCTATGACACTTTACCCTGATGTGCAGAAGAAGGCTCAGGCTGAAATTGATGCTGTTGTTGGCCCAGATCGTCTTCCCTCCTTCGCCGATCGCGCCTCCCTCCCCTACATCGAGGCGCTGACCAAGGAGATCCTCCGCTGGCATGTTATCATACCTACTGGTATGTGCTTTTCGTTTATTGTAATCTTTAGTTGACCAACAGTGCCCAATGTCAGCTGATCACTGCGTTACTGAGGACGACATTCACGATGGGTATTACATTCCAAAAGGCTCCGTGGTAATCCCTAACATATGGTCGGTATTTTCCTTGTTATGTATCCAATATTAACGCTTTGAATTGTGATAGGTCCATGCTCAATGATCCACAGACATATGCCAACCCTTCGGAATTCAATCCTGAGCGCTTTTTGTCCAAGGATGGAAAAGAACCTGAGACCGATTCTCGCACGTTTTGCTTTGGTTTTGGCAGACGGTAAGGATCAGTCGCTGGTGTATTTTGAGTGAAACACTAAGGTTCTGTTCCGCAGGCTCTGCCCAGGTATGCACACAACTGACGGGGCGCTGACTAAGGAGACAGTTTTCTGACCTTGGTTCCTTTTGACTGTACAGGTCTGCATCTCGCTGATGCATCCATCTGGATATCCACCGCAATGTCACTTGCGGTGTTCAACGTTTCCAAGGTTGTCGAGAATGGCGTTGAAATCACCCCTGAAGTTGATCCCTCATCTGGACTGATCAGGTATGTCGCATATATCTTAATACGACTCGGTGCACTGGACATACATGATCGCAGCCACCCCAAGCCCTTTAAGTGTTCGATCAAGGCTCGCTCTGAAAAAGCCATTTCACTCATTCAACAAGATGCTTATTAAGTCCTAACCAGCGGCTGTTTCACACAGTAGCATTCGCACTGTTCCTTTTCGTATGCTTGCAAGGCTCGAAACTGCGTTATAATTTATTTCACAAGTTCTTCTGCTTGATTAGACGTGGAAACTTACGGGGTGCGAACGCTTTATTCCTCTGCAGTTCAGTTGATTGTGCGCCAGATAACACTGCCATCAGAGGACCAAAATTGAGACGAAGTTTTCGGGCCTTTGTCCCTGTTATGTTGTCTCGTGTATGAGTCTATGACTAACCTTGTTGTCTGCTAGGTCATCATTATACACCATATAATCAGGAAACATGTGAGATCGTTGAACAAAGACCTTGAGAAAAACGAGATTGACAGCACAAGGCCAGTACACGTGAACTTGTTTACTTCTCAGCGGCCCTGCGAAATCGACCGATCCACGGAAATGGCTCCATATCGAGAAAGTGCAGTTCTTACTTAATACTCAGGAAATTGCGTTCAAATTGTGGACTTGATCACGAGTTGATGTCGAGCCTCGGAGATGAATATGCAAATGATAATCGAAATGCTCGTAGTGCCGCTGCCACCAGAGTACACTACCATAAGTTAGCATGTTTTAGGTGCCAATTCGTTGGGACCTGTAAGCATTACAGCATCGCTAATTGCAATCCATTAGTCTACGCAACGAGTACTGAGTGCCTCCTTGTACGGATGTTCAAGCTATTGAACATTTTATGCTTTGAAAGATGATCCTTTTATATACTGTAGAACCAATACTCAGCCCGCATCATCAATTGCTTGATGGTTTCCCTTGTTTTTCCAGTATTTATCACCGTACCACAAAAGAAGTTCCTTTCCACTAGCCACTGCTTTGCCTTCAGATAATACAATTAGTCGAACGATTCGGTGCGTCATCTGGAAATCTTACTGGTATAAAATCCGATGTGATGTTCCCCATTGACAAGAAGAACTCGAGTGCATGTCATTCAGCTGACGGCATAAATAGCTCCGTGTTGGGACTTACCTCGTGCTTCACAATTAGCCAGTTCCGCGGTCGCGTGGTTCAGGAAACGAGTAGCATTTCCGACCGGAGCAGCATCGATCATTTCCGTATTGACTTGTGAGAATTCGAAAAAATAATTGCGACCGCTATATTCCGCAACATGACTGCATGAAGAAAAGATGTTTCAGTCGATGTTCAATAATAATGTGAAGGCGTACTGTAGACTATCAACATCTTCATTCGTCAGAATGTTGCCGACATAGTCTAAGTAGAAACATGAGCCGTTAGATGCCAATGTCCCAAGAAACGCATTACCTCCGATATAGTCGCCAGACTTCATGTCTTGCACCGCGAAAGCTCCTAGGCCATATTTAGCCCGCTTGATCTCGACCGGCTGACCAGTGGTGAGTATAATTTGTAGACGACGGGCATCCTTACCTCAGCATCATTTCGCTGAAGCCTTGTGTTTATACATGGGATGTCAGTTGCACCTGATCAAAGTTCATTTGCACTGAGTCACGCGCGTAAACGTGATAATAACGTAGTCTGACCTCTAAACTGGAATTCAGTCCACCTCACTGATTGTTTAAATGCTGTACCCTACCTTGCATCACATTTATGACATATCCCGGGCAAACATTCTCGGAAATTTCTATAGCACGGGCAATTTGAAACGCAGCGTTTGCACTCGCAACCGCGATACTGACGATCACCTGAAGTCGTTTAGAACCTGACCCGTATCACAAATTGAGTCGTGATGATACGGACAATTTATACCACACCGGCAAGCCAGTTGACAGTGTCGCCTCTGACGGTAGCATTCGCACCGTTCTTTTTCACATGGACCCTTATGCTGGCAAGGCTCGAGGCTGCGTTATGAAGTACATAATCTCCATCTGTTCGATGATACAAGGGAGCTTACGGGACGAAATCCGCATGTTCAGGATCTTCTTCTACAATCGATGGCGAGTCAGAACCCATGGTCACCCAATAGAAACGTGATTGATGTACCAAAAATGAGACGAGGCTTTCGGGCCTTTTTCTTTGTTTTGTTGTTCTTTGCATGACTTTCCATGTCGCCTGCAGGGTCATCATCATATAGCATATGATCAGGAAACATGTGAGATCGCTGAACAAAAACCTTGAGAGAAGTGAGATTGACAGCGTGGGGTACATGCGGATGTGTTTACTTCTCGGCAAGGCTTGAAGCAGAGATCTGCAAGCTGACAAGGAAATAGATCAGGTGAGATTGATAAGATTGTTTTCAACGTCTCTAGATCAGATTCATTCTCCCAGTAGACTTTATCCTAAGGACCACACGAATCAGGAATGAATGTTGTGGGGTGCTCAACGACAATGACTACCATGTAAGATTCGTCTGTCAGACGGAAGCATTCTTCACCGCAGGACTCTCCTTCGCTAAGTCGCATACTTTGATTCGTCACCTTGGGCCTACCACCTCCGAACAATCCGAACTGAGGATGCACTAGCAGACCCATGCGAATTAAATAGATTTAAAAATACAGTGGAGCTTACCATGGGTCGTACACAGAGTTCGCAGACAATTGAGATTTGGACAAAATGTCGCAAGAACTGATGACAGCCTCTCACGGAGATTATCAGTTGCAGGCTTAGAGCAAGCTCCTTCCATATCATCATCAGTTCCACCAGGCCAACGAAGAAAATCTCTGCATAAAAAATGAGAACGTCGTCACGAGAACATGAATCAAGTGAGCTGACCGCTGAAACCTCTGCCATATAAGACCCGCTTTGTGCGATTCACCGAATAATTGGGGGAGGATGCGCATCCGATCAATGTTCTTTATCGAGATATCCCAAGTATTGTGTAGTCGACGGACAGTTTCGATCTGGATCATTTCCGCTAAGGATGCAATCTCTAGTGGCGGTTTCAGCATGTCCAGCTGATCGTGGCTTACAATCTGGATCAAAGTCTTCTTCCCATGCGAACGACTCAAAGTTATCTAGATGTGCCATGACAGGGAATTCCTCCTCATCACCATACGGAATGAATCCAATTGTATCGCGCACTCTCGAGGGCCGAATGCTCTGATTGATTGGTGGACAAGACTCGTAAGGAGGGTGGGCCTCAAAAGTAGGATCGACAAATATCCCCTCCATCTCTAATGAGTATGATACGCCTCGACCCTCGGCGTCGAACTGGGTCACTACTGGTAAAGGTTGGTTAGAGTTCTCTGAGTCAATCCGCATCTCCGAATCTTGAAGGGACCTGGGGTCAAATAGCTGATCTATCGTCTTATTGTATTTTTCCCTTTCTCCGGGAATCCGTCGGCCGGCCAAAGCCTGGATGATTTGTCGGCACTCCCCTGGTTCCCATTCGTAAAATTGTTTCCAGACTTCTTTGTAGATTTGCAAGCCCAGCTCGCGCAATTCGGTATATGTGTATTCGGATGACTGAGGATTGAGGTTGGATAGATCGCCCTCTTCCGTTCCATCGATCAACAAAATCGGCTCCATATCGAAAGAGTGCAAAATTTGGGGACGTGTTAGAACTTACTTGTGTTACGGCCCAGTGGATTTCGTCACACAATGTTTATAGTTGTTTGAAACGTCACTGCCACCAAAGCGCATTACGCCTCATTCCGCTACCATGGCAGAGAAGTTGAACGCCAATATGCTCTTCGCTAACTTCAACCAAGATTTCTCGTGAGTTTTAGGCCTATCAAGAAGCGCTTTCTCGAATCGCGTTTTAGATGCATATCTGTTGGAACTCGAAAGGGTTACAGCATAACTAATTGTGATCCGTTTGGGAGAGTCTACACGATGAGTGCGTCTTTGTCATGTCTTGTACGGGTTTTGTGGACACTTGAGTGACAGGAACATCTTATGCTTAGATGACGGAGCACGTGGCATTGTTGAAATGCTCTTCTGCACTTCACTCATTGCGCTAGTCGGTGCCGCTGATCAACCCCAGTCTAGCCCACGAAAACTACAGATTGTCAATACAAAGGTGCATATTCTTCAAACTGTTTGTGTATCTGAATGTCATCTCTTTACACTGACAGCGACAATCCATGATCTGTGAACTGCTGTTCCCGTCCTCCATCCTTGCTGTCAAACTGAACAGGAAAACCCTTGTCATCGTGTTGGAAGTCGAAATATACATTTATGACATATCCAACATGCGTCTTCTACACATCATAGAAACTACGCCCAACCCAGAAGGTGAGCACGCTACTTACCGCTCACCAACAATCTACATCTGAGCTGTGCCAGCAACATGTGCCCTTTCACCATCCGCTGACAATTCCTACCTTGCATATCCTTCCCCTGTCCCTTCTCCTGCCACTCAATCGCCTAGTCAGGCTTCTACGTCACAGGCTCCATCGGCCAGTCACCAATCTGGCGACGTTCTCCTATTCTCCACACGCACATTGACGCTCGCTAATGTAATCCAGGCGCACAAATCACCAATCTCTTTCCTTTCTATCAATTCGACAGGTACCATGCTTGCGACTGCATCCGACAAGGGCACTGTCATCCGGGTTTGGAGCATCCCTGGAGCAGAGAAATTGTACCAATTTCGTCGGGGGACCCGTGAGGCACGGATATATTCGATTAACTTCAACGTTGTGTCATCTTTGCTTGCTGTCAGCTCGGCACATGACACGGTGCACATCTTCAAACTTGGCCATCAAAAAGCTCAGTCGTTCAGTAAGAAGAATGATGCCCTGTCTAGCCCGCCCGAGTCCGTTGACAGCAGGGAGGGGTCTACAGGGATGGATGGAGGGTATGAAGCATTCGCAGACGAACGCAAGAAGAGCGGTGTTTCGTACGTTAATTCTGTTCTTTCGCGGTCTAAAATTTCTTTCTGACGTCGTCCAGCTTGAGTCTTCGTCGCAAGTCGCTGCAAATGACAAAGAGTCTGTCGCATTCAGTTGGGGGCTATCTCCCTAATACATTGACCGAGATGTGGGAACCATCGCGTGACTTTGCGTTCTTGCGATTGCCAACAAGTGGTGCAAGATGCATTGTTGCGCTCAGTGGGTATGATTACATGCAATTCTATGCTCCTGCCCTAGTTTTCTCATGTCTGGTTCAGAACGCTACCGCAGGTTATGGTCATCTCGTCCGAGGGCTACTTCTACTCGTATAACATTGATTTGGAGAACGGTGGTGAGTGTTCCCTAATGAAACAGTATAGGTGAGCTTTTCGTGTGCGTTTCATTCACAAAGCTAATCCTGTAACAGCTTGCTCGACCCAGATTCGACTGGTATGGAGTGATGTTTCTTTTCTGCTCTCTTCATGTGGATGGCTTGAAGTTCGCACTCGCCTTGTATAATGTACTCACAGTTTAGTCGAATGAGAAGTACTTACTATACAAGAGCAGTTGTATTTTTTTCAACCCAACTTAATTTGAAGTTAACTGCTGGCTTGCCAGCGGTGTTCACTTTCTTAGTAAATTCTTACCAATCAATGAGGATGGGTCACGTACGTACACGTGTTTGTACTGCTCCGAGCCTGTGGCAGGCCGCAGCCCAATACGACCTCTCGGCAGAACTCATTTCTTGACCTACACAATTTGCGCTAGCTTTGTACTGGAAATCACAAGCTCACACTAGTACTGTCACTGCAACTACTGGATCAAACTCATGGCTGTAGACAATTTCTCCTACAAAGACAGCATACAAGCTGTTTTGGCCTCGTGCATGCCATGCTTTAGCGGCATAGCGCCTGTCAATTCCAATGATGATGCCCGCAGCGATGTCAGAACCCACAGGTCGCCATCAAATGAGCTCGAAGGGCTCTTGCGTGACACAAACACAGAAACGCTCTCGCTGCACTCAAACATCGGTGCTGGTCGGAGAAAGCCTCGAAAGCGACCTGCATTCTCTCTGACACTTTTTGGGTACACGTTATTCGGCCGCCCACCGATTTACCTCTCGGACGATGAAGACGAACGAGGATGGAGGAGGAGAGCACTTGGTACTGCATCATCATCCACACTAGACTCGGATGCAGCACCACTAGATGCGTCGATTATTGCTCGCATGTCGTCTCCAGACCGGGCAGAGGCTGAGCAGCGCAGACGTGACGAGGAAGCACAGCGGAAGGCAGAGAGGAAGGCACGACGCAGGGAGCGCAGGGAGCGAGAGCGTATGTCTACTCTGCTCTCACTCGACGGTGGCTCTCTTGTAAAAGACAGTGGTTTTGAGGGATTCCAAGGTAGTGGGGAATCCGCAATACCTTCGCTTCCAGCCCATGAATTTGGGCCGTTTGTACGGGGGCAAGAAGAATTGTCAGTCATAGGAGGAGAGGAAGAAGGTTCCGAGGATGTCGACGATGCTGACCTCGGCGGGGAGTCATATACCCGCAAGAAACGCCAATCTGTTTGGAGTGGTTCGGGTTCAGACTCTCGTTCTCGGACGTCTGCTTCGGTCTCCAATGGAGATGCAAATTTACATTACAACCATCACCGGCTGGCACAAGCTGTTCCACCCTCATACTACCCGCAGACCGAGATGCAGTTGCCTATCCCAGTCAAAACAGCAAAACCCCGCACGTCAAAACGCTTCTCACATCGCTCGTCTTCAACAGCGTCGCAGTCCACAGCACCTTATACTCCCGCACCTTCCATTTCTGTGTCTCCAGCTGTTGCTGCATTCCCTGTCCCCCATGAGCGCATGGAGCACGCCATTGAAGGAGAGGATGTACGAGGATTTCCGAGCGTTGGACTTTCAGGCGCAAGGGGGAAAACGAGAGACATGGGTGTGTTCCTCGCCAGTCGGGAGGCCCGGTCGTGAGTGGGAGTGTAAACAATATCGTGCTTTATTTTTTTTGTGGTATGCACATCTACATCATCATGTATGAATACTTATATTGTTCCGTGAATGGGGTTCATCGGTGATTTTCAGATACCTTCAAGATTGCATCTTGGTCCGAGAGGACACTTGACAGCTCGGTAATAAGTTGCAAGAGCATTGTCTCATTTACCTCATGTTCGTGAAAGGGAAGTTGGGTTTGTGCTGTTTGTGGCATTTGCTAAGAACACTTGTCATATGTTAAGGACCCAAACTCAGTTTCATGAACCATCTTCACATCCCTCTCGTAATCGCTACCATACAGTTCCCAGCGCAGATCTCAAAACGACTAGCTCATATTTGACACGTTTTAGGGTTCGTGCCCAAAGTTATAGGAGATCTGGGGCATAACCGCATCTGGCGGTGAGGCAGTGACTTCTAAGGTGCGTTGCAATGTGACGATCATTGAAGGATGTAACTTGGTTCCAGACTAACATGTACTGCTGAGGGCTATCTGCGCAATCCCCTATTCCTGTAATGTGCAGCTTAAAGGTTTTGGATAAAGTTTCAAGTGGGCACCTTCGAAGCGCACCGCAATAAGCAAATATTTGAAACTCAACGCGATCCCCAAGCGATGCTGCAGCATGGCATGTCATCACAGGTTTAGGGTCATGGTTTGGGCTACACAGGATCGCAGACCTCCTGTATTATATAACAAGGAGCGCAACCTCCTCCGGCGACGTGGTCGTCGTTTCCTTTCTTTCTTAGAATCTTCACGAGACTGTTCGCTTCGGTTTAATTGAAATGGGTAACTTCTTTGAAGACCTTGTGCACCAGGTAATGGATATCACCATGGAGGACGATGACCAAAGGGCACTCACGGTGAGTGGTAACGTTGCCAAAGTGGAAATTACACCGTCTTATGAAGGAATGTGTCTTGAAAGGCAAAGTTCCACAAGTTGAAACGAGAGGTCATCGACGATGTCCGCGAGATTTTCCCCCATGGACAGATAACTGTGCGAGGTTGTATCGACTGGTGTTACATATCTAATTTTCTGCTAGCCGGCGACGCTGGGCATCAAAGGCCTTAGAGTCAAACTTCCGCCCAAAGATCCCAACGACACGAGTGGCCCGGATCTTCCGGTTAGTGCTGCTTCTTACTTTGTTACACCTGGCTCATGGTTCATGACAGGGCTCTTCCGTGACCGCAATTCCCGAGGTTATAAGCATATTCAATGCATATGTGCAAAACGAACTGCCCACGTACCTCATGTACGTGCCAGATAAAAGGCTTGTCGGCCGCAATGAGGTCAAGAGGATATTCCGCAAGGAGATCGCTTTGGTCACGGAGGAGGCTATCCACAGCCGTCTTGTCGAATTGAAGGAATCATGCCCTACAGCAGAGAGGGAGGACGCGATCAGAGATATCGTCAAGGATACTGTGAAGTTCGCTGTCTTCTCACACCGTTGGCTGGACAGCGGCGAACCCACCTTCTACGACATCCTGAAATCTTTTAAACCCTACGGTTATGAAAAACTCATGCAATTTTGCGAGAAAGCCAAGGAGTTCGGGTGCCGATTGGCATGGTCTGATACGTGTTGCATCAACAAGGACAGCAGCACAGAGCTCGAAGAAGCCATCCGGTCGATGTTCAAGTGGTATCGTGATGCCTATGTATGCATCGCATACCTCTCTGATAGCACGTCGTTGGATGATCTCCACGAAGATGTATGGTTCACCCGCGGGTGGACTCTGCAAGAGCTCCTTGCACCATGGAGGATGAAGTTTTACGTCAGAGAGTGGCAGCCGCTTACCAGCGACCTCAATGACAAGGAAAATTTAGAGGTCATGGCTGCTCTCTCGCGCGCCACGAGGATACCTCTCGACGACCTACGTCATTTCCAACCAGGCACACGCAACGTCCATCAGAAAATGATGTGGGCCTCTACTCGGACAACTACACGCATCGAGGATGTCGCTTACTCCCTCATCGGAATCTTCGACGTGAGCATGATGGTAGCATATGGAGAGGGAAAACGGGCGTTTTACAGGCTGATGGAGGCGATCATCCACAAGTGCGATGAATGGCAGATCTTTGCTTGGGCAGGAACAAGTTCGTCCGACAGTGCCGCATTCCCAGAATCGCCGAGAGGTTACCGTCCCCTCAATCCAGTAGACAGCAACAACGCCCTTCTGCCATCCACAGTGTGGCGCGGTGATCAGAACATCGTCATGACCAAGCGCGGGTTGCAAATTCAAGTGCTCCTTATTGACTTGTCACAACAGGAGGTGACTGTTCACGAGAAGATTGGGACTAATGACGTCCAAACCGATGCGTACTCCGACTATTCTGCGGGAGTCGTGGACTACTGGTGCTACGACGCCAGTGGAGATGGCATTCTTCAGCCAGAGCAGGAGCATCTCTGCGTGTTGCTTCGCCCTGACCCTCGTAACCCATATGCTGGTTGGCGCAAGGTTACGACACCTAACCTTGTGACAATACGCACAAAGAGCAAGCTGCGGAAGACTCTGACGCCGGTTTGGCTGTAGGACAAGTCCATGGCATCACGGATAGATGATCAACCTGTTTCCTGTACTACGGGCTACTCAGGGGGTACGACATGACGGATGCTGACAGTAGGACTTTGACCTGCAGAAATAGAGCAAATAGCTTTATTCCTTTATGTCTTCACGTCATCGAAGTACATTATGGATACATTTCTTTTGAATTCTCTTTTTGATTTTACTAATCACTTCGATCTAACTATTTACCATCTCTTCTCGTTGCGTGACATGGGGCCTCAGGCCGTTTTGTTATATTTCGAAAAACGTTTGAACCCTTATATCGATCTGAACAGTCTTCGTCGAGCTTGTCAATCCCGTCTGTGACAAATATCTCAGCATCATTCGGCAGTCACATCAGTCCGAACATGATATTAAGTCGAACAATGCGGGTGTCAAGGGTATTCTTGCAATGTACGTATTTTTACAAAAAGGGGCGCGGTCACGAGACAGTACTAGTCAGAGGGACTGGATTATACACGGCAAGAGAAAGAGCAGAAAACAAAGATTCGCAGCGACAGTCTTGCTTTGAGGTAATCAGGCGGGTAAGGTAAGTGTTCAGGAGAAGTACATCAAGCTTGCCATGTTGGCATGCAAAGGCTTGAATCCACGTTTGTACGCCTCCAAGGCGCCCTCAGCCTGGGCTGCGTCGAGCTGAGTCGCGGAGTCAGAGAAATCAACATTCCCTTGAGGGTCATAGTGATTCTTGGCGCGGGAGCAGACGATATCCGCATCTGATGAGTAGTTCAGTCACGTCGTTGGCGGTAAGCATCTTGAACATAGACTCACAGTATACAGGCGCGGGGATTGAAACAGATCGAGTCGACCGTGCATAGACATGACACAAAGCGAAAGAAAGGGATTGAAGACCATCAGCACTAGATGTATAATCATTGTCAGCATACAATCCACAACATAGGAACATGAAGGGGAGTTCACCTAAATGCGTTCTCATCGTAGAGAACATTGTAGTGCGCGGGGCGACTCGTGCCGAGCAGACCGCCATGGCTCTGCAGATACCAGTCGAACTCCGTGGGGTGGGCAACGACCTGGTCAACTACAGTGCCTGCAAGGCAATTGCCGCTCTTATCTTGTTCATTTGATCCTGAGCCACTTGGGAAGAAGCGAACATGGTGACGCTTGGCAACCACGATGATGGTGATCTTCGGGTTGATCTTCAGCTCTGCGCAAGCATCTGGATAGGTTGTCAGATTCCGACGGTCCATAGAGTAACACGAACGTGCCTTTGATCGACTTAAGTTCGGAATCGAGAACTTGCTTGAACTGTCCTTCAGAAACACCATCTACATTGTATGCTCAGCAAATGGAAAGGGTATGAATGACTTCTGCAACGAACCTCTGTAAAAGATAAGACGCGCAGGGGCAAGATTACCCGTCTTCTTCTCCGCAAACTGCCGATATTTCATGTACATACTCAAAACGTGCTAAGAGTGCGCAATTAGTGCAGGCAATTCGTACGGAAAAAACCGCTTACCTTCGCCATGTCTTGAAGGTCTTCGATGATCTCGACACGAGAGGCTTGAACACGACTTGTAGCGATGTATTTAGCAGTATCAGAATCAACATTGCCAACAAGTGCCGTGAATGAAGGACGGCCATCAGAGCCAGGGGCAGGATGAATGACATCGGCACCTAGTGGACTATTTGACTCCAAAAATAGAGAAAAGCAACAATGATGCTTACCCATGACGATGGTAGGGTTACGAGGATCGGTCAGTACTGAGACGGACTGGGGATCGGGGATAGTGTTAATACCACCCAGCTTGACATTGACCCTGTGAGGAGTAAATATCAAAACGAAATTTAGAATTCGATGAATAACTACACACTTCAGGCAGACATTCGCGTAATATTGAGGTTTTGCGCGGAAGCATTTCTGACTCTTCAGGCATTGAGTTGCAACACCAACCTAAAATCATAATTCAGAGGTCATTCAGCGAGCCCATCAAGCAGACGTACTGTGATGTCCCCAAAACTTTACAAAAGGCCATGAGTCATTGATACAATACAATGCCAAGGAACTTACTGTTTAACTGCTGTGTAGATGTCATTGCCGTTCTCGGGAAGAACTACAACAATGAGCTGTGGACGTTGCTTCGTCCTTTGGAAACACTCAGTGCCAGCAGCACGCAGTTGCTGAAGTATGCGCTCGAGTCAGATTCGAACAATCTTCGCAAATTACCACTTACGTCCGCAATCCGGCCTTGACCATTTTGCCAAGTAACTATCGGCTTATCGTCGGTGATACGGATACCTGTTCGAATGTGTCAAAATTTGACCTGATATATTGTCATAAGCCACTAACCAACGTCTTTGAAACTCCTCAGCATGCCGTCGATCATGTCTTGTGCAGCCTGTGGGGTGAACCGCTGCTGCCTCTCATAGACTACGACGATCCACTTGTCAATAGCCGCCGGTCTAAAGAATCGCTTGTCGATCCTGGAAACCCATGAGGAACGAAAATGTATTGTATAACAACACTTACATATTCCACGCGCCGTTACTTGGTGTCTAAGGAACAGGAAAATATCAGTACGCAGCAAGGCAAACGAACTATGATACTGACAATGGTCGGCTGCGCACTGCCCGGACCGTACTTCAATTTTGGTGGTTGCAAGACACGGGCTGTTACTGTAAGCGGTCCAGTAGTATCTTCGACGTGCATGCCGAACTGGCGCACATATTCCGACTGGCCGTATTGGAGGACCTAACGAGATCGCTGAGTATAGCGTATCGTAAAGGACGAAAGTCATACCGAAAGACCGTTTGTGATACTAGCAAGGCGATGCTCAGGTCGCTTTGTAGCGAATTCCAGAACGTCCTTCGTTTTCTCAGGGGGAACCTGCTTTCGCATGATTTGACCCGGTGGAACCGTGCATAGTTCCAAAGGAATTAAGGCACCGCTGCCAACCTACGAAACCTGATAAGATGTTTCGAGACTTACTACGAACCCGACTTACCTCGATACAGAGGTTGTTTGGGAACCTCAAAGGACGGTTCAGGATCGTCTGGAAATATTGAGCCACAGTCCTACTAGTTCCATCCCGCAAGGTGAAACTTAAGTCCGCAGCGCCTGCACTACTCAATTTCTTTACAACGCGAGGGGTCCTGTTTTCTCCAGCGTATGTCGTTTTGACTCGGATGCCTGAAATAAAACGTTGTAAACGGATTCGCTCACGATCGGGCAAGCCGCTTCGTGGGCTGAGCAATGCGTGTTGCCCAGGTCTACCAAGGAACTCGAGACAGACATCCATCAGTGCACCAGACTTGTACATTGTTCCAGTCGAGATGTCGACATTGACGAGGAGCTGCCCGATTGCGGGTCTCACTGACTGGAAGTATCCACGCCATAAGACAAGGCCGGAACCGATATCCTTAGTTTCCCGATCGGTAAAGAAAGATCGGACATTGAAGGGGTACTTCATTGTCGGTTCCATGCGAACAACAACATTCAACGCCTGTTGTAACGTCAATCATCGATTGAAGCATCCCTTTCAAAAAGACCTACCGTCAAGGCGGTCAAAACACTGTTATCATGTGACTGCTGTCCTAGAATGAAGCGTTGCAGGACTCTAACGAAGACATTCCAGCAAGATGACGTTTAGAAAGGTAAGATAACCTACTCAGGGTTGATCTGTGCTACTTTTGTCAGTCTGATTTTGTACACCTTAGGACCGCGGCCTCCCGTGTTCTCCCCTGGGCTTCCGCGATTAGGATCATCTGAGAGGCAGACATCAAACTACATAGATGTAAGTGATGAGTTTAGTAGCAGATTACATAAGCACACCTCTTGACTGTTGTGCGGACCAAAAGGCAGCTCCCTGGGGGCGAAGAGGTTCTTTCGCCCATCGTAAACGGCCCGAGGAGTAAAGACATCGACGGCGTCGATAGTTTGAAGGTGGTGGATTAAATCCATGTTGAGGCGTGCAGGAAGTACTTTCTCATCAGGCGAGATAACTGATCACATAGATTGACGCGATGATCAACAAGCAAGTCACACGGAGGATCATTAACTTCAGCACTTACCCACTACATCGCAAGAAAGGGAAATGGATAAAATCAGACAAAAGGGCAAGATTTGAAAAGAGCCAATACCAACCGTCGTAGTGATGGATAACGCTCTCTGGGAGACTTATCTTGAAAAAATTGGAATATACGGTCACAGCTCTGCCTGCCGTTCCATATCCAGGTCGTTTTACCCCTACGGCCTGAACATGGCTTTCAGGCAGAGCGGCAGGACCAGTGGGAGCGTGAACTGCTCCTCCCCCAGCTGGGCCGCCGCGAGGAGGTGGTCCACCGCGAGGGCCGCCGCGACCACCGCCACGACCACCTCTGCCGCCGCCGCCTCCACCGCCTCCACGAGCTTGTCCAGGTGCTGCACGGGGTGGCATAGTCGAAGTAGAAGGAAAAGAAACTGATAATTAAACAATAAAGCGTGAAACCTTGAAGTAGCAGTAAGTCCCTTTGTTTGTTCGACTTTAGTCGCTTGGACCTTGGTTCTATACAAAGGCTCCGTTTCAAATATATCATACATTAGCATCGGCATGGAACCTGGGGCAGACACGTTGCCTCGTGCCGGCCTCATGATGCAACTCTCTCAGCTCCTTCTGTGTTATCGCCGACTATGAACCGGGTCATGGGAGGACAACTACTTAGATTGAACACAAGCAGGTCATGTGGAGTTTGCTTTTGGAAACGACGATCTACTCTTAACATCGTACGTAGCAGGGGCGCAGCATTATGCGACTTCTGCAGATTATCATTTTCTCCACACTTCATATCGACGTCCAGGGCAAAACTCTTTGCCTAGTGACCTCTCAAAGCTCGAGGGTGCACGATCCTATGACCGAATGAAACATGACGTGACGTTGAGGCATTGTCTTTGGAACTTACTGTCAAAGATGTGCATAGCGATACACCATAGACCTGTAACGGCCCGTGCATGGTGAAATTGGCATCATAGCCTGAAGCAGCTGGAGCTCTAGACTGCTGATCGCATTTCTGAATCTGTCGTCATGCGACGACGCTGGGCGTGAAATGTATTCTTGTATACGATGCTGAGCAAGTCCTCCGTCCGTTGGGCAAAGAGAAGTCGTACTAGCTACATACTTGAACCAAAATGTTGAAAGATTCATTTACGCAACCGTGACGTCCACCGCTGAGCATAAATTTCTCACGCGCAGGCTCCCCTTAACTCCTCTTCAACCAGGGATTGCTCCAGATGTCTTTCGAAGAAGACTGCAACGACACGGACAGAGACGTGTCCGGTACAAAGAAATTTCAAGAATCTATTGCCAAGTTTACATTCTCAACCCCACACCAAATACAGCTCGATCCAGCAGTCACTACGGTCCATAGTTCCGAGCTCCCAACCTTGAAGTTGCGACGTTCCTTCAGAGTCGCTGCGGCCGTGAAATCTCGGAAGCTCGAAATAAAATGCCACGTCGATTCAGATGCCTTGAGTTCAACATCACCTGGAAAGGGTAAGCGCAAGGCACCCAACGCAATTTTGTCCAAGAACGCCACCAAAAAGCTCAAGCGTGGATATGCCCCACCAGAAGCGTATGCCCATCTATCACCCCTCACAGATTATCTAGCCTACGGCCTTGATGGTGTGTAATAGCCTCATCATTCCAGTTTTGTCTAAGGTACTTTGTGCAGTCGTTTTCTGTGGAATCAAGTGAGTCGATAATCTTTTGCATCATTTACAAAGTCGTCATTTTTAGTCCAGGTCGTGAGTCCGCTAAGAGAGGACACCACTTTGCCCACCCGTCAAATCACTTCTGGAAGTGCCTTCACCAATCTGGTATGTCGTCTTCATCGATAAGCAAGAGTTTCGCCCTTGACCGTAGACTTCTTAGGGTTTACACCTAGGTTGTTGCCACCCTCGGAGGATTCTTCTTTGCCAAATACATTCAACATTGGTTTAGTCAGCTTAAAATATTTATTATGTTTACTGCCCAAACTGACGTGTTCCAATCGGTAGACGGATCTAGTTGACAGACCATCCTCGGAGGTTGTCATAGTACTCGTCTTTTAACTGTGTGCTAACGTGCAAATCTCAGGCATCAGAACTGTCCTCCTCAGAGCGTGTCTCGTCTGTACCTATCCTGCTCAACAAGCTCGCCCTCCACCGCCCGAGATTTCTCTGTCTCGTCGGTATATCTAACTGGGAGATACTCCAAAAGGTGCTTTTGCAGATGACCACTGGACCATCTAAGGCCTCTGGATCACCGGGCACGTCAAAAGCACCCCAGGCGTCGGCTAAGAACATTGGATTACAGCCATTCAAACTATGCTATTCGACTATCGCAGATCCTCTCAGCGATACCTCCTCGAACATAAACGAGACGTTATTATTTGTGGTTCCTAGCACGTCGGGCCTTGTGACACAATATCAGGTCAGGATTACAATATTACTTTCATAAATTTACTAGACTCTTGACACTTGGTACAGCTCCCTGACAAAGTCAAGCTTTTTGCTCAATTGAAGAGCTTGGTCGATCAGCCACCATCGGAATTGGATACATCAGAGATGAAATGTATCGCCGTTTCGCATGATCCATAATCTATGAAAGCCATCTTGAGCATCCGATCATCACCGTGTACACCACTTTTATTTTCAGCGGCAGCCAATCACCGCTTACTACGATGGATGGCCTATAATTAGCCGCTAGCGTTATTTTACAGCCCTGACAGGTACTCATGGACCCATATCTACCTGCACAATATTTGTCCCCAAAATGTAATACTTTGTCAGTGTCGCGGTGTTTGCCCACTCCGATTACAGGGATGCCATCACCACGCTTTGTGAGACTTGGAGCCTATGCGGGCACACTGATCAGCGCGATGGCAGTATCGTTATGACACGTGCACCAATGACAGTCTGCGTCTTATCGCCGAAGGGACGCACCAGCTCGCACGAATAACCAGAAGATCCATCGATCTTCTTCTCGAGTACGTGTTTGTAAACTTGGGCCTGGTCTGGAGCTGCTTACCGCGTTATCCGATACGGAAGGACCTTATGACGAATTTTTGGTATCCATGCACCAAGTTAATGCGGCGATTGGGGTTTCGAATGTTATACTCACCACTTTGTCCGTGACTCCGCGCCAGGTCACTAAGAACTCAGGGTGCTCCAGTCGAAGACTTTCATCATGCCAGTAACTTCATCCTGGAATGGCCGAGGCCTGATTCCTTGCGTTTCAGTCAGAGATAGTGCAACGGCCTAGTGATGATCCAGCTATGCCTTGTGCTCGCCGATGTGACCGAGGAAGATCTATCTATGCGCTTGTGACTTGCACTGACGTTACCGAAGTAGAGCTGGTCACGGTCCAGCACGGGCGAAGAAATTTTATCCATGTGTCTACGATCTTCCGAGCTAACTGCGTGTCTCGGACAGTCCGGAGTTTGCATACATCAACGTTATATATAATCCTGGATGCTGCCTCGGGCATCGTCCACGCCCTTTGTTTGCCGCATAGCATGGATACTACCGAAAGAAAGCAGTTGTGAGTGATACACGTACATATCCTAATCGTGACTCAATACATTTCATTTTCAATGTACCAGGGTGATACACTCGTACGTTATCCTTGTGGCAAACAGTACTGGAGTTTTTTTTATCTTTGTTTTCAGAACGATAATACATGATTCTAGGCATTATGGTATACGACTATATGGCGACCCTCACAGACGAAATCACTTTTATTTGGCATCGTCCGAAAGCATTGTCTGCAATGGCATATCTTGTCAACCGCTATTTCGCGCTGCTCGCCAATATCTATGGCCTATTTGTTGATTTCATGCCACTTCCAGATCAGGTTCAATCATCTCATTAAATACGTGGCAGGCTCATAACTTATTTCCACAGAGGTTTGAGCTCTTGACTCTTGAATTTTTGTTATTTTGTTCAAAAAAAACACAGCTGTTCGAAATACGTGTCAACCAGACAGTTGTTTATTTTCTTTCAACAATTCATCGTTTGCGGCAAGTTTGAGTTCTCTTTTCACTAGTAGAATTCATAGACTGAACAATTTTCAGTCATATTAATCATTCGCACTTATGCTCTCTACAATCGTAGCAAACGCCTAATTATTTGGCTTACAATCGTCCTCGTTGTCCTTGCGGCAGGTGCATCTGTACGTGTTTGATAGACTTTCGGACTCTGCTATTCTACTAAACGTTTCTAGGCGGGAAGCTTTGGACAGTATGCAAGGAATATAACGAGCTCGCCAGGATTTGGCTGTTTCGAAACTTATACAGCGAAGGCGTACGTCATCATCCTCGCCGTTCTCCGAGTCTACTCAAAAATCGCTGCAGATCTGATCGTCAGTGATTTAAATTCACACAACTTGAAGTCATAACTTGATCCATCTGCAGGTTTGGGGCTAGCATGGCTGGCCATACTGGCCTTCGAATTACTCATATTTGTCCTCACGGTTTATAGGACTTGTAAATCTAGAGGTTTGCCGCGGTTACGTCAGGTCACCAAGAGAAATATTCTTGATGTTATGTTTCATGATGGTAAATCGTTCGTTACATTTGTATTATAAATACTGAATCGACCGAACATAGGTGCGATGTATTTTGCGTGAGGCTGTCAGTAAACCCGTGATTTGAGTGGATCTAATTGGCAAATATTCCTTCAGAGCCATGACAGTCTGTAATATACCGAACATTACTATGTACTATGTGAGTCGACATCCTGGTAAAGTTACAAAACGCTCACGACTTTGATCAGTCCGGATCAGTGAGCGCACAACCTGCATCTTGTGTGTAGGTTCAAGGATTCCTAACGTTAGCCAGGGGGTCGTCAGGGGTAGTCTTGGTCTGGCTACATTCACTAGCTGGTGAGTGGTTTGTGCGATAAACAGAAATTAGGTTTTGATCATACGCTCTAGCATGTCCGTCACTCTCATTTCTCGGTTGATGCTGAACCTGCACAAATCTCTCGACTCTGGCATTTTCTCTGTCCCTGTGCAGGAACACGACTACCGCCTCGCAGTCCTTACCACTAGGATCAACTTATAGCCTGCGATTGCCTAAATCTCGCCTTTGCGATTTATGTATACCAAGGTGCAGATATTCCTGTTTTGTAGACAACAAGATTACACCAATTATTCTAACATATTCTAACATATATAAGCACGAGATACGGTATACCGTCGGCTCGACGAATTGTGTCCACCCCGTCATGCTGTGCAGCGCTGATGCACGCACTCATCGTTCTGTCAATGTTACGTTTTCTTGCCATCCTTTTTTGTTTCACTACTATGGCGACCAGCTGAAGTCTTTTGAAGTATACAATGAAGAACTGAAGTGAAGCTGCATTTCGCGCTGAAAGCGAAAACATGTATGATCAGCTCTTAATGCTGATCAAAGGCGCATTTTCGACGAGATTTATCAGCATATGTCCAATTTTCATGATGGACAAATTGTTCTTCCTGAGGGAACGTATCTCATCATTGTTGAATCTTATCTGATGTTTCATCTTCTAGGTACAGCCTTCGATGTGCTTTCTGTACTGTTACTTGTCAAAAATTGTGCAACATCGATTAGGTTTACTTCATGAAGTAAATTGATGTTCTGTGTCTTGCCTTGTGATTGCCTCTTGCTCTTGCGAAAGCATCCTCCAATCGAGACTTTGTATGAGGGTTGGCGATTCGACGTGGTGTGAAACGCTGTTGAAAAATTGATTTGCATAATTGAAAACTACAGACTGCATACATATACTCGGAGCACATTTGTGTCATATCAGGGACGTGACATACAACATGACTAGTACAGACTGTGAGTGAAACAAGGAGCAAAATGGAAACTACTGGCGACGTCCAGCATGATTGAGGCTTGTCGCATACTTCCAGATACCTTCCATCAACATTGTCCCAACGTTGACGACGTATATGACCATCCAGATCGCAGTGACAGCGCGGCAGATCATGTCACGAGAAGAAAAGCCTGCTATCAACATCGCTAGGAGTGAGATGCATGAGTGACCACGAAAAGCACCAGATGACTAAACAACTCACCGAATATGAAACAATTCAGGGACCAGACAACGAAAAATATAGGCGTGACTATTGACAACAGGTAGGACAGGACAAAGTAGCCGCCCGGCCTGAGTTGCTGATCATATCGAGTCAGCCGATACAATCAGCATGGCGAGAAATAAATTTACTTCTTGCGTCCAATGCTGATCGGTGTGCAGCCAACGTATCATGCTCGAGCCAGACGTCAACATGGCGAGCATGGCGAGCATAAGGGATATAAAGAGGAGACAGTAGGGGACGGGCGACGTATAGTCGAAGTATGACACGAGGGAGGCCGTACTGACGAAGACACCACTTATGGCGAGGAGGACGCTTGCCTTTGAGAGCATGTCAGCGTCGGCTCCTGTTCGCGACGGGCGCTGAGTCGGATAGCTTACCGTGGTGATGGTGCTGGCCAGGATGGAGCACAACCTGGTTCTAACGGTTTCGAAGGCTTGCTAATTGGAGCGACTTCCAATGATCTTCAAGATTTGGGCGTCCCAGTGCCAAAAAACACAGTACCCTCATTACGAGAGACGTAGGACGAAGGGCTTCTGGGAAGGGGAATTCCTCTGTGGATGTTCCGCCATCAGCAGTCTGGAAGGGTCGGCGTCATTCAGTCAGAAGTCAAGGATTCCTAAGTTTGAAAGCACACCTGAATGGAAAAGGATGAGGACATGGCGTGAAAGGGAAAAGTGAAGAGAGACTAGTGCTCATACTGACAACAGGGAGGTGCAATCTTTATACTAAAGGGATGGATATCGGAATTCAGGATGCAGTGGACTTGAAGATGATTGGACCCGCTGTTAATCATGATGTGGGCCATCATGCAGTGGCATATTAACATACATCCAGTAATACTTTTCCTCATTTGGCCACAGACTCCCATGATGCCCAGTTAAAACTTGCTGTGACGGGCTCGAGTGGGCAAAATACTATGTTGACGACTTCTAAATTTGGTCAACCACTATAGCTAGAAATTTACGAAAGTGGTTGGAATCATAATGTTCTGACTTGACTGCACAGCAGTTTGACACCTCTTTTTGGTATTTGAGCACCGAAACAAGGATCCCGTACTGCAGCTACTGCCATCATTTTTCTACCCAGCGAGGAGACTTATCATGATGATGTTCCTTTAATTATAAAAACCAGTTGGACCTCCCTGTTGTCAGTATGAGCACTTCTGTACTCTCACGCAATGACTTCCAGTCAGGTGGGTTTTCAAACTTAGGAATCCTTGCCTTATGACTGAATGACGCTGACCCTTACAGACTGCTGATGCCAGAACATCCACAGAGGAATTCCCCCTCCCAGAAGCCCTTCATCCTACGTCCCTTGTAATGAGGGTACTGTGTTTTTTGGCACTGGGACGCCCAAATCTTGATGATCATTGGAAGTCGCTCCAATCAGAGCAAGCCTTCAAGACCATTAGGACCAGGTTGTGCTCCATCCTGGCCAGCACTATCACCATGGTAAGCTATTCAACTCTGTGCACATCGCGAACCAGAGCCGACGCTGACATTCCCTCACAAAGGCAAGTGTCCTCCTCGCCACAAGTGGTGTTTTTGTCAGTACAGCCTCTCCCGTGTCGTACTTTGACTATATGTTGCCTGTTCCCTACTGTCTGGTCTTGATATCACTCATGCTTGCCATGATTGCAATGTTGACATCCAGCTCAAGCATGATACGTTGGCTGCACACTGATCGGCACTGGATGCAAGAAGTAAGTTTATTTCTCGCCATGCTGATTGTATTGGCTGACTCAATATAATCAGCAACTCAAGCTGGGCGGCTACTTTGTCCTGTCCTACCTGTTCTCGATAGTCACACCTATATTCTTCGTTCTCTCATCCCTGAATTGTTTTATATTCGGTGAGTTGTTTAGTCATCTCGCTCTTTTCGTGGTCACTCATTTATCTCACTCCTAGCGATGTTGATAACAGGTTTTTTTTCTCGTGACATGATCTGCTGTGTAGTCACTGCGCTCTGGATGGTCACATACATTGTCAACGTTGGGACAATGTTGATGGAAGCTATGTGGAAGTATGCGACAAGCCTCAATCACGCTGGACGTCGCCAGTAGTATCCACTTTCCTCCTTGCACCTACAGTTTATACTGTTCCTCATACAGTATAGGACCGGTCCTTTACCCACCTCAGGTAAAACTTTTGATTTCTTCATTTTTTTGTATTGACATATAGAGAGTGATTGAGGATGAGGCCTCAATGAACATTGACATTGCTATAGTATATGATGGACACTTGATGTCTGCGATGTTGTGCACAACACAAATTACTTGTTTTTTTCTTCCTCAGTGAATTCTATTCGGAGCAATAGTAGATCAATGATTTTTTTAAAGAAAAAGTGGCTGGTAGGATACAAAGTATATACTTCAAACATCATTTCCACCTGCAATAGATTTGTGCAAGTCTCCTTTGTTCCTTCTACAGCAATTCTACAGAGTGGATAGATTGAACACAGGTAGTTTTTGAAGGTCATATCTTACTGAGTTTGTCACATGTAGCCGTCACGCTGTTTGGCTTCCAAAAAGAAAGCCACTGTAAAGTGGGATGCATTTCAAAATGTGGTGGGTAAAGGACCAGTCCTATTTGGGTCCTATACTGTATAACACAAGTGTGCTTCGAGTATGTGCATGCAGTCTGTAGTTTTCAATTATGCAAACCAATTTTTCAACAGCCTTTGACACCACGTCTAATCGTGTCAATGTTAGTGCTGCTGAAGTTCAGTTCTGTCCAGTTTTTTCAAAATAATTGAGGACCGAGAACTGAACCTCAGTCAAGTTTACCAAGGTAGGGTGGACTCTGGGCCAGACCACTTCAAATGGGTTCACAATGGTCGGGTTCGAGTTCGAACCAGTTCGAACCACTGAACGCAACATGAAATTAGCAAAATTTTCTAAGTATGAACAATTGTAGTAGGCTAGACTATTCAACAATAAACATTTGAGGAGCAATGAGCTCAGCCTGCACCATTGCTGAGACATGGCCTTGATGGTATGCACTTTTTAACAGTTGAAGTGCCTCAAATGTCTCTGGAAGCAAGCAGTTGTGACGTGTGGTGCCGGTGATGACACCACTTGAGAATGCCTGTTCAGATGCTACTGCAGACCCCTGAATAGTGAGGTAGTCTTTTGCAATGCGAGCAACATTGGGATACTGAACCGAGTGATGCTTTAAAAAAATAATTGTCAGCTTCAAGTTACATGGAATATTAAGGATATGAGGGAAGTGAACTTACACCCCACCACACAACTACATTCTCAACATCCTCCAGTGGTGCAGCTAAGTAATCCTCCAATTCCCGATGAGGCCTTTGATGAGCTGCATCGTGTGAGATGTAAGCTTTGATTTCATTGTGCATCTAGCTCTGGCCATAGGAACCTTGGTGTGAGAGGGATGGTGTAGCAGAATGTGTTGTCGCGGCAGATGAAGGAGGGGCACAATAATACTGATCAAACTAGATACTAAGTTAGTGTGCAGACAATTTATTGAGATACCCATGGACTTACCACATCTTTGAGCTGTTTCACTCCATCAGCAAAGTCTTGAGATGCCCATTTTGCCTTAGCATAGGCAACTTTGTAGTTAGGGTCGAGGGCTGCATGAAAGTAAGAGTGTCATCAAAATGAGAATGTGTGAATTAAGAATGGGGAACGTACCAAGGCAGATGAAGTAGACATCTGTGTCATTTGTCTTGCGGTACCACTTAGCCAGATTGTCCAGGCCAGATGTGATAGATGCTGAAAGTACATCGAATGTTGAAGTGCCAGCCATGTGTTCCCACGTCTGTTGAAGATATATTCGAGGACAGGAATGGTGCGCCAGACTGTAGGTTCCCGAGTAGCCGAGAAAGTCTGTTGAGCATTAGCAGGCTCCTGTGCAGTGTAGTGCTAGTTAATACAGAAGGTGAAAAAAAGACAGTTGAAGGAACTGACCTGTAGCATGTCTTGAATCAATTCCAACTTTGCCCACTCCTGTTGTGTGAGCTTGAATGCCAAATATGTTTTCCCTTGTAAGTTGGGGACTTCTTCGCTGTCGTCAGCAAGTTGTGTGAACCTGTTCACCCCCTTAAATTCAAATAAATTAGATAGAACATAACACTCAATATAAAACAAACCTTGCATCAGGTAGAAATGCTGCCTTTGAAGAAGCAGTTTTGAAGAGGCACATTTGCTTCCCTATGAGACGGAAGGCAAGTTGGTAAAAAGACGCTTGAAAACGGAGAGCAAAACATACTTGCAAACATTACACCACCATCCATCCTCACTTTCACTGGTGTGTGTTCTTGTGGCCTTTTTCCTCGGTAAAGATCAACCGGAGATCTGCCATCCACTCATCTTTCTTTAGACTTTTGCGAACCTGGAGGTCTGATATGAGGAAAGCAGGAGAGAGTCTGAAAATACACTTACATCTCGGTTGGCATCTCCAAATGCTTTAATTTGCTGGTAAGCTTCTTCAGCTTCCTTGGCTTCTTCGTCACCTGAATCCGCAACAAATGACTCATCCTTGTCACTGTCATTGTTGTCGTCATCACTGCCACCATCATTGTTGCCAATTGTAGAAGAGCTGGTTGCAGAGACAAGCGGGCGCTTGGTGGCAGGGGGCATGGTGGTAGTACCTGAACTTTTGGCAGGAATGGCACTGCTTGCTGCTTCTTGCACCTTTGCAGAAGGCTTGATAGGCCGGCCAGAGCGATGAGAACCAGCAACAACTGTTGCAGGCATTTGGTGAGAGCCTACGAAAGAGTCCAGGGTATGAGGTGCACCCTTGGCAGCACTTTAGCACCCATCTCAGGATCTATCAGGTGGGGTTTCTATGTTGCAGCAAACCTACCTGTGAGGTATGCCTCTCCACAGAGGCTCCCTGTAATTGCCACAAGAGGTCCCTGCCCTTTCCTTAGTGTACTGCCTCTGTACTCCCAGAGGTTCGCGAGGGTAGGTATCAACTGCGTGAGGCCGTGCAGCACCCTCACTGTTTAAAATAGTTGGTTCATATGTTTTACAATACATGTTTCAAACACGGTGAATTCTCAATACTATCATGATGGTGCAACAGACAGTATATTTGGTATGAATAGGACAGAGACACTAACAACTCGAAGAAGCCATGAACGTGAAAGGGATACGATAAGACATTCAAACCATGAAGAAAATACACACTCGTTGTCCCTCTCTAACTAGTAACAGGCCATCTACACTCATCATCACCCCATGCCGGTCCTGATATTCACAAATATGAAACAAGGTTGTATTGTGATCGAGCGCGTAGGCAGGTGAAAGAGCGTGACAGTGGTGAAGGGACAGAGTAAGGATAGAAGGCAATATGATGCTGCACTTGAATCAACGGGATCACGTGTACGAATGCTGTGCCAATTAGTATATGCCATGACGGGAGGCTCGCGAGGATGAAACGGAGGTTCAAGAGGGTTGAATAGAGGCTCTCGAGGGTCATATTAATTGCGTGAACATGAGAGAGAGGCACGAGCGGCTCACAGATCAAGTTCTCTCCTACAGGCTGCGAACTGACAAGCTGATTGATTTCTCCTTCGTCCTCGGTAGTGGGATTGCTGACTCCTGTGTCTTCATTGTTGATAGTGGCAATCTGTGGGATGAGGTTGCTATGACTGGGTCCAGCAACTGGCGAATGTTGCTGAATCGCCTTCAACCTCCAGGAGGGCAGCACCAGTGGTACCTCTACGAACATACAGAGTCTGCGCGAATTAGATGATGTGACAGTGGGGCCAGAAGTTGAAGGAAAAGTGTTGTGCAGACGGGTCAGGCCACGCCTATCTATGCATCCATTCGCAAACATTTGTTGCCCACGAGTGTGAAGTGAATTAATGGGCGCTTCTCCAATGATGACAGGGACACGTGAGGTCATAAGACCTTTGCGAGCATCTGTCGCAACAGATTTGACGGTGAGGGCATTTTTCTTGAGGGCATCCGCAAGTTTGAAGCGCTCATACATTGTGAGGTCGTGTATGCCCTTGCTCTTTGCCAGTGTTGAACGTCTCTCGCCAGACAGAAGGATGTTGTCAGGGTAGTTTTCGAGGATACACCCACGATGGGCTAGAACGGTAGGTAGTGTCTTCCATGGGAAGTTTCCCCCTCGTCCTTCTAGGGTCCCTGTAAAATACTTAGCTGCTCTATACTATGATGTGAATGACACTTACCAAGAAGTGCTGTCAACCCACCAATGATGCAAGGTATTCCATCAAGGAGCCTCCATCCCTCAGGATCACGGACCTGTCGCGACTCCAACCATTTGTCCAACACCTCCTGGGCATCCACCTTGTAGCGTGATGCCAAGCGTTTGAGAGTATGATCGAGCTGATTGAGATCCATGAAGAAGAAAAAGCAAGAGGGAGGAGTGTATAGGAACAACATAACTTCCATCAATAATCGATTCCCTTGTTGTCATCGATGATCAATAGAAGCGACACATGAGAGCGACACACCGGACAAAGTAATTTGAATGCCAAATGACTTCATATATTATGTGCACGCCTGCATGGTCAGAGCTATGGTGGTCAAGTTGTTAGTGCTGTAGTGATTTTCGCAGACTCTTATGTTTGATCCTCTGACTATGCATTTTTCGATTTCTTATTTATTTTTTTTGCGGCAGTGACATGGATCATGTGTGAAATGCAAAAGAAAATTAGTTTATTCAGAAGGAGGCACTACATTCAACTTGAGACAGGAAAGCATGGGGTAACAAAATGACAGTCACTACACTAAAAAGGTGAAAGGAAAGGTATCAGCAGGAGTCTGCCTACTACAGGGCACAAGAGAAATGTTGGTAAAAGCAAGCACAAGAAAAAAGGCATCAGCAGCGGTCTGCCCATCTATTAGTATCTCCATAGTACCTCCCATCCTGACCGTGCATGTCTTGATAGTAGAGGTCTGATGGATGCCTGCGGTCATCATAGCGGTCGTTGTAACCTTCACCGGTGAGTCATAACGAGGATAATGGTTGTATCCCATAGGTACACCGTGATGAGCATACCGAGCTTCTTCAAGATTATGGGTGCGTGAAAGGCCATGGGGATTGAGGCTGCTAGTAGGATGGGGATAGGTGCGAATGGTATTGTTCTGATCATAAAGTGAGTCGTGCGCCTCACGATAGTGACTGGCATCGTGTGGGTAGGACAGTCCCTCCTGAGAGTGTACCGAGGGATCACGAGAATGATGCAGATGATCACACAATGGCACAGAAGCCTCGTGAGGGTGAAGCAGAGGTCCATGTAATGGGTACAGAAGGCTCTCAAGGATGGAGCATAGGCTCTCGCAATGGCACAGAAGGCTCTCGAGAATGATGCAGATGGTCGCGTGACGGCACAGAAGCCTTGCGAGGGTGAAGCAGAGGCCCACGTAACGGCACAGAAGGCTCTCGAGGATGAAGTAGAGGCTCTTGCAACGGCACAGAAGGCTCACGAGGATGTCTAGGGGGCTCATGCATGTGTGAAAGAGCCTCACATGTGATGGGGGCATTGCAGTTGAGGCAATGGAGAATGGGGAGAATGTGCATAGCGGTTGACTGCCTCAATGTGAGCGTGAGGAGGCTCAAGTTGCGGAAGGGGCCTCTCCCCAGCAGGATGTGAAGATGGATGGTCCATGGATTGAGCTTGGGGGTTTCCATTCTCGTCATTGCCAGGTGTTGAAGAAGAGGAAGATGTGGTCTGGAGTGTACCATTCGAGGGTTGGGGTTGCTCAGAGCCCTCATGTTGTGAAGCCACGCTGGGTGTGATTCCTGGTGGCGAAAATGGGGCGACCATAGTAGCTGGCAGTTCAATTGGGGTGGGGTTTGCCGGCTGAGCCGCGGGCTCAGGCTGAGGGTCTGCAAGCACACCACCACCTTTTTCCACATCCTCCACTTCCAAATCGACTGCAGTACATCATCTGGTGTACACGGCGCATGGCTGCCTGCGATGCTTTTGTAACATGTTTTGGTTTGGGGAGCGCTGGAGCAAATAAGTTAACAATATGTAGATACCAAAATGTATATACTACGTACCCTTGGATTTTGGCTGTGCATTGGGAGGACCATCCTGGATGCGAGCTGCAGGTTTAACAGGCTGGGAAACTGAATAAGATGGTTAGCGAGTAAAGACAAATGACGTATGTAGCACAAACCTTCATTGCCAGATGAGTCATTGCCAACAGAAGATGACCCCACAGTTAGTGGTGATAGCGGACCCCCTTTCAATACAGAGGCATCGGATGGTGATGGCTTCGCCTTGGAATGCACACCTTCCTTCTTCGGTTCAATGATGACCTCTGCAGACACGCGCTTCTTGGACACCCGAGAAGAACTTCCTGACTTCAATTTCTATTTCTTTCCACGTGAATCATCTTCATATTCAGTATCCACCTCCGCTGTCACATCCCTTGAGCCCTCCGAAGTGGAAGTGAGTTCAATGATGTCCTGCACAGAAGCCTTGGGAGCCATTGGCGCAGTTGGCTTAGCAACAGCCTGAAAGGGATGAGCGGGAGGAGGGGTGAGGGGCTTGAAAGACACGGGCTTGGCGACAACTCTGAAGGGACGAGCAGGGGGAGGAGACATGACAGGCGGGGGAGACATGACAGCCTCTCGTTCCTCGGGATCATGAGCTCTATTCTTTCCTTTCTTGACTCTGGTCTGTGCGACACTAGACCTCACACGTTCTGGGCCTCCATAGTCTGTATGCCGATCAGCGAACATGCGACGAGCAGACGCATGCTCCCATGTGGAAGGAGGAGCCTCTCCGATGATGACCGGCTCTGTTGATTCGATCAACGATGCTGCAGAAATTGATTAGAATTAGACTATTAAACGGAGACAAAGCTTACTGGGTGTATTGGAAGACTTGACCATGCGCATGGTGCCAGTCTTGAAAGCATCAACAAGCGCTGCAACCTCTTTGAACGTCAATACACCTATCCCCTTGTTGTTCTTCGAAGTTGGATCATGGGATTCACCCGGCATGAGACACTTGTGGGCGGGATACCCTTCTATGTTCAGGCCACCAGAGGCTAAGGCGCTGGGCATCGTTTTCCAGGGGAAATTCTTGTCAGATGCAAACTTCCCACCAAGTTTAGCTATATGGGCATGTCAGGCTGAACTGAAGAACAACTCGAATAGCTACTTACTGACTTGTGTCGCGATTGCTTTCTTGAGCCACCGGAGAGATTCATCGCGACCCTCAACTTCAGTGGAAGGAATTGAGTCAGCATCCTGAGAAGAGGCGTCTTCATCATCTTCAGGCAAGTCATTGATGGCATCATCAACTACTGCCAGTGAGGTTTTATTGCTATTTTCAAAGTTGAATCAGGAAGAGATAGTAAGACGCTGATTGAGACTTACTATACATGAGCTTTGAGGTGACCGATGATAGTGTCATCATCAGCTCGGCATCGTGTACTCCAGAACTAGCAGACCAGAATCAGTGATCATCTCAGTATTGAATACCACTCTCAAGATACTTACCTCTGCGGCACCTGGTGTAGTATGAACTTGACTGAGGGAGGTGTCTTGATTGACGATTTTGCCACAGACGACCATCGCAGTCTCAAAGCTGAATTTAGCAGCAGCACTATCAGCCTATAATGAAGATGGTCAGGGCACAGCAAGCAGTGAGGCGTGGAGGAAGTATACTTACAATACTAAACATCCTTCGGTAGTATTTTGAAACTCTTGTGCACGTTGAGAGACAGTTTGAGGGGAAGCAGATAGCATTTTCACTTCATCGTGGATGGTCAGAATGTCTTTGTATGTGTCTGGAAAGGCCTCTTTGAAGAGGTCATAACATTTTGTCCGAATCAACATACCTAACATCCACGATGGAACTGTAAGTACAACATCAACAAATATAGTAGGGACTTACCCAGAGAGCCTCCGTCTGCAGGAACCTTATGCCCAACACGCACAAGTTCTTGCTCTGTGTGATCCTTGAAGTAACTGCGAGCATATATGTTCCAGAAGTTAGTGCTGACTGTTGTCTGACCTCGACTTTTCAAGAACCAGTTAATGACTTGCTGCACCGGAACTGATGTCAACTGAGAGAGCTCAAGGAACGATTGCTCAATTTTGATGAAAGCAGCTTTGAGGATCGCATTGTTGTTGGTAGACTTCCATCCAGGAACAAATGACTGTCCTGACGTCAAGGAAGGTGCGTCTTTGCTGCTCTGAGGATCAGAGAACACTGTGTCTCCATGAGCAGTGCCATGAACGATGCATCATCCATCTGTTCAAAATTGGAGTCCTGCAGCAACCATCTGCTTGGTTGTGCCTCCATAGGATTGTAAAACATATCCTGTAGAGCTGCAGGATGGGGAGGGTCGGGATCATGGAGATGTGGAGATGTGTGACGAGCCTGAGCAGATGACACATCACCTCCCATGACACCATTATCATGTGTAGGATGTGCTGGTGCTGGTGCTGGGGGAACGGCTAGAGCGTCGGGTGGGAACGAGTTTTCCTGACGCCGGATGGCAGCCTCTTTGACAAACTTAATAATTCGTGGACTGAATCCATACAAGTAGATATCTATGTGATATTGATGTTCTAGAGGCACGGTACAGAAAGAATGAGAGCTCGTAGATAATGCCGCAAGTGGTGCATATCATCCTCACAGAGTCCTGTTACATGACGTCCTCGTAAGACAGCAGCAACTGCTGCCAATACCCATACTCCACAGTCATAACCATTGGTCTGTACAGGCGTGGTCTCAGAAGAAAGTTTAGATGCATGTAACCAAAGACTCAAATTATTACTCACTTTCAATGGCCGTGTTGTCCATCCGTCAAGTTCAGTGGTGACGTGATGATGTCGTTGGCGTGCGATAGCAAGGAGACGAGCAATAAGCTTCATGATATCCTTAGAGTACATAAGCCTCATGTGAAATCCTCAACACAAGTAAACTTACCTTAACATCATTTTTCCAAGGTTTTTTCTCAGCCAGACTATCAAACAGATGCAATTCTTTGTTGGAGAACCGAATAACGCACAGCACCCAATGGCCAATATTGGAGGGACGATGGATCGGAAGAATCCAAATATCTTTCTCCCAGTAACGTGTGTATGATACATTACGCCAGAGAATATCATCAGATGCATTGTATTGAATGCGAGGGAGGTCGTGGGTTGTTAATAAAGCGCAACAACCAGTGGAGACACTTTTTAGTTCGGAAAATAGCAAAACGGTGCACCCATTAATACAAGTATTGTTAAGAAATGCTGTGGGTGAGGTAAGCAAGGCAATGTCCTTTGGCTCGAAAATTTGATGAGGGTATCCATCTCGTGAAGGTAGTTCTCTTCCGGTAACTGTCCCTGGAACAATGACATGCTCCTCCTTACGTGGGACGTAGGAGTCATCTATCAGCACAGACTAAAACCCAGTTAACATTCAAATAATTCCTAAAGGACTGACGCACCTCGGGAGCCTCCCACAAGATGACAGCATGAGCGTCATTAACATGATCCATCGAATCGAAGTCTCGAACCTCCTCTCGACCCAAATCATCCTCTATAACATCAGCGAGAGCGGCATGTTCAAATTCAACTATTGGCAGGTCAAGAGGCTCAGCAAACTCAACATCACTGAGTTCTCCCTCAGGATCAGGTACTTCCAGTAACGTAGTGCTGAGCCAGTGCACATTTGGTGATTGGACACCACCTGAAAGGGTGATGGCAATCTCCAGTGCATCCTTGGCACGGGATGTGAAGCGAAGCGAAGAGGCTAATGGGTTTGCCCAGCGGGTTTGAAGTCTGAGTAATTGATTGCGGTGCTGCCTCAGCAAGACAGATATAAGTTCACCTGTCTATGCATTAAAAACAATTCATACAATAATAAGAAACCTACATCCTGGTGTGCGGAGTGCAAGCTCGAGTGCAGCAAGTTCTTCCCCAAAGAAACGACATAGATTGTTGGCCTCGATACCGAGCCACTTCTGTTCTTCTCAGCAGCACTCTCATTTCAGAAGTGCATGGATGCCATCTCTGACATCAGCATCTTCTAACCACTGAGGAACTTGTCCTGTCGATGGCGTAATCCACACATCTTCCATTAGAGTGGGATCACTGCGCAGCTCTGCAAGCTTGGTCGGGAGAGGATTAGGTAAAGGAATCCCCCAAGAAGGGTCATATAACACTTCTAAGTGCTCACAGTAAGCATTAAACTTCCTGAGTGCTGTCAACAGAGCGGGTTGGCGCTTAGCAATAGCTTTGCGGGTTTGTTGATGTAATTTTGTGCCTAACGACTATCAGTTGATAGCAAATCACAGGTATGAATGATTTACCTAATGCCTGCTGAGCTCCGCCAACGGCACGGTCAAGTTTATCCCATTCAAAAAAACTTGTGATTGCCCATTTGCGAATGTTCATTTTCAAGTCACGCGCCATCAGAAGAAGCTGAACGAAGTCCAAATTGATGCCTTCTAGTTCGGGGAATTGGTCGTGAATATTGAGGGATGCGTATAAAATTTTGACTTTGGCCATAAGATGATTGTGTCCTCTCTCAAGAACCTCCAGAGCCTCCAGAGTGTCTTGCGAGGCAGTTCCTTTCTCGAGCATGAGCCTGGTGGATTGTAGTGCTGTATCGGAGGTATCAAGGTCAGCCTGTAGGGTCAATACAGTGTCTAACCCCTTTTTAAGGCGAGCAGGGGCATCTATAAACAAATGTAACTCATATTGTATTCAATATCAACTAAAAACACTTATGTGCGCGGACTGAGAGCTGCGAGCTTCGTTGCTGAGACCATTCTGACTCGAGATCATTGACAGATAGTTCGCATTGATCGAGCACCTCTTGGGCAGCAGTTCCCTGGTCATTAACACCACATTTGAGGCATTGTTGAATCCAATCACCTAAGTCACTTTGCATTTCGGATTCTATAGCTGCGGCCTGACGGTTGATCAGCCAGAGATGGCGCTGACGCTGACGTTATGCAATAAGACTTGAATCAACGACAAGATTTAAGAAGGTGTACCGATGACGACCTTTCAACACCAATTAGGTGCACCAAGAAAGACCAGAGCCTCTCGGTTCCTTTGCCATCTGAAAGACCCAGCCCAATGCACATGCGTGGGTTGTACACTAGCTGACATGCCCACTCATGCCCATAGGCATGCATGGCAGTGGTTGCAAAGTGCAAACGTGAGACGATACTGCCAGGGAGAATGTCATACTAAAGATGATGAGTGGATGAACCTAAATGGAGACCAGATGAACTTACCTTGCTAAGGGATCGGGCAAGGACACACCCGACATCATACAAAGCTACAACTGTAGCATAAGGTGGGATCAACGAGAACAAATGTTCCAGGAGGGCCACCAAATATTTCTGCTGTTCTCCCGGAGAGTCGATATTAGCAAAAAAAAGAGGGATATCATGACGACATATGAGTGCCATGATGCCAGTATCATCAAAGCTATCCATTGCTGCCTTCTGTTTCTTCCCATCGGCTGCTTCATAAGCAGTTTCACATTGGTCGATAGCCTCGTCAGGAACGAGGGGTACAGCCGACTTGGCAGGCCTCTTACGTTGAGCCTCTATACGGCGGCCAACATCATCAACAAACTGCTTTGGAATGAAATAAGTGGGGTCATAAAAGCGGGGCAATCCCCTGCCGCACGCCAATGGTGGTGGTGGAAGTTGCCATCTGTGGCAGTGTGAATATCTCCTCCATCAGCAGTAGATTTCCCAAACATTGTCCCTCCAAAACATGCAGGACACCGTTGAATAAGTATGGGTGCACAGCGGCCTCTACATAGGGTAGACAAAGGTGACGAGGTTGAGACGTGATCCTCTGTTTGAGGATGAAGGGTTGCCACCCGGTCATGGCTATTCTGCAAAGCTTCTTCGACTTGACGTTGTCTTAATAACTGAGGGTCTTATATAAAGTTGTGTAAATGTAATGACACCACAATTACACTTTGGATAAGACTGCTTGCCAGTCCTCGATTAACACGGTCTACGACTTTTCCTATTTCGTGGTAGATAACGTGTGAGTTCTTGGGAGGCTCGCTAAACTAATCTTTTTATAAAGATCAACCTAGCCGGAGCTTTACTTTTCTTTATTGAAACTCAAATCTCTTGTCTAGGAATAAGCTTCTAGACACGTAATTCGGTTTCTGGAATGTATTTGCCTAGGAAATCTCCTTCTAGGCTCTGGACTTGGATACTGGAACTAGTGAGACATGGTCTCAAATATACAAAATATGACCAAGATCGCTTGGTCTATGGACACCTGACTGTGAGACAATGGTCTCAAATATACGATATATGTTCAAGATCGCTTGAACAAAGGGGACTATAACTTGACCAAGATCGCTTGGTCTATGGGACAACTAGTGAGACGTGGTCTCAACAATATGATAGATGACTAAGATCGCTTAGTCAAAGGGCACAGAGCAATGAGACAAAGGGGTCTCAAAGACAATATATGTGACCAAGAACGCTTGGTCTATAGCACTAAATAAGTTTCTAAGGTAAGAAACTTATAATCTCAAGAGAATTCTTTTCCCTGCACTTGTCTCACTTCAAAGGGACTAACTTTGCAAGTGAAATATCTGATAGGCAGATTGCTACAAATGGGAGATCATATTTTTTTTGGGGGGAGAATGGGCTCTCCTTATATACATTTTGTGTGGGAAAGTAACCTAGGTTCACAAACAATAAAAAATAAGGAGGACCAATCAAAATATTGGGTCAAACCCAATAAAAGAATAAAATACAAGTGAAAGATGGAGCTATGACATCATTGTGGAGCAGAACATTCTGGAATGTGGAGTAATGACATCATAATGACATCAAGAGTGACATCATTGTGGAGCAAAAGATTCCAGAACCTTCCATGAGTGAGTCAGAGTGAGTCATTGTGGAGCAGAATATTCTAGAAGGAAATGACATCATGAATGATGTCATTGTAGAGTAGAATAATCTAGAGCTTGATGACATAATATCTTTCAACAGAATACCTGCAGGAGTATCTGTGGAGTCTTATGACATCATAATGACATCATACCCTATGGGTACAATTTTATGAAGTGTCAGGTGAGTCAAAGCATCCTAATGAAAAAGTAAAGTAAAGAAACACTAGAGAAAAGTAGGTAGCAAAAATAAGACAGTTGGCAGGAATTGAAACACAGTCAAAAAAAATAATGCAGTTGGCAGGAATTGAAATGCAGTCAAAATAATACAGTTGGCAGGAATTGAAACACGGTCTTTTTGGATAGGTTTTTTTATAGGCTTTGTACTTTTCTCTATGGTTTTCTCTAGCCAAAGTGAATAAGCCAAAGGCAAGGCTATACCTTAACCTCCATTTCTCTTCTCACATCAACTAGGTCTAAATGTGATTCCCATCTCACATTAGACTTTTTCCGTCAAAACGTATTCAGATCATGAAACTTGGGGAAAACTGGAAATATGAACCATGGTTTGAAACCAAGGTATGGGTTGACTAGTCTGAGGACTAAGCTAACAGACTTTGTCTTTTGAGGGTCACCTAGTATTCATGTCCATGCATGATTCCCACATCATGCAGGACAACGTTCGATTTGGACTTGAAGAATGTAGTACCATTGTACAGCATAGCCCAGGCCTCGACGAAAAGGATCCTGAATAATTTCCCCCTAGTGTAACTAATCAGTTTAAACATATGCCACATAATTAATAACTTACTCGTTTATCTGTCATGACGAAACCTCTGCAAGAGTAGTGCGTTTTTAGAGCTGACGCTAAGACATTGATGGCATCACAGGACCATTCGAAAAGTGCCTGATAAAATGATAGAAGTTTGATTGAGACAGCCATATGAGGTTGTGAGGGAGCGGTTGGAAATAAACCATGGTAAAGGAGGACTTGGGGAAGCATGGAGCATCTACAACTGAGGACATCGATAGTCGTAAATCCTGAATGTGTTCATTTGTCAACATGGTGTAAAGGAGTCGTAGATAAGAAACCTACTGTCAAAGAATAAACACGCGATTGATGTTCGCTTTTGAGGGCACTGAAAGTGTTGCACATGCAGAGATAACCCTGGGGGTGATCTCCAGTGCTGTCACTAGCGTTCGTGCCGAATATTTGAGATGAGGTTCGATAAGGAAGGGTATTAGTGTTTTCCAGCTGATATACGACGAATCCATAGCCTTGTCTGGCAAAATGTGGTGTTTGACTGGAGATTTTTCTACAAGTATGTCGGAAGGAGGTTCTGATGGGATTTCGAAGTCTGGATCAGGAATTTCGGCAAAAGTGTCAGTCTGGCTGGTGTCAGAGACAGTCTCAACTGCATCTACAGCATGAACTTCACTCCCCCCAGGCTCGGGGTTCATCAGTTGCTGCATACGAACTAGCAGTTGACGGTGTTTAACTTGCACACCAGGTAACTCGACATGTTTCTGAGTCTTTTTCTTGTCTCTGGGTTTCTTCGGGCTAACGAAGTGGTGGCCTAATCCAGAAGACACACATTGAGCTCCATGAGTAGGAGCGTGAGCACTGGTTGAGACCATGGTGAAAGGGAGAGTGTGAGGGAAAATTATGACTCACTAACTCCTCAAACTTAGCGGACAATATAGACATCAGAGGCTCTGATTCCTGTGACGCAAGAGCCCCGAGAGCATATAGAGATCACCCTGCTCGAGGCGAGCGAGGATTGCTGGAGGTGTGCAATAATGAAAGGAGGGTAGTTTCAGGTAGCACGAGCGCCACGCAAGCCACACCAGGAGGTGCTGGATGAAATGAATGAGGCATGTTATTAATAGAACGGTGGGAGGGCGCACCTCAGAGGTAAGTTTCCCACAACATAAAAACCCTACCTCAAAGGTCTATAATGATACCGAGAAGTAATGCCTGAGGTGTATGAGGGCCAGGGGGCAAAGCCTTAGACGAGGATTCAGGATGGGGCGAGATGGGCATGTCGTCATCAGGATCATGATACCATTCGATTTTGGATGCATCCTTCAAAATGCCATTAGCATTAACTGCAGAGTTAGACATGTTTTGATAATTAAACTTACCTTGCATATACCCCACCCTTTTATTCTTGGCTGATGTTCTGCGCAAGGCCAGAACGAGATGTGAATATTCATTTCCATCGATCATGTTGGTGATGCAATGTCTATTCCGATCGATTGTGTTGGTGATGATGGCACCAGTGAGGATTACGCCAGTGATGATTTCACCGGCAAACTTACTGATGTGTCGACAGTAAGTATCCTTCGAACTTGAGGAGTCGCAGAACAGAAGCAACAGAATAGGGTTCAGGATAAAAGTATTTCAGTAATTATTAGCAAGCTTTTTAGCCAGGTAGGTCTGGGGGAGTTATTAACTAGCAGATTATTAGCTGCTTTTTAGCCAATCACATGATGTTGATTTTTAGCAGGCGAAAAACTCGCTAATAATCCTAGCTAATTAGCCAATGCAAAAAACACTCATTCCCATACCTCCGGCCACTTGTCATCGCTTCCATCGATATCCTCAGCCTCAGCCTTGCCCTTGCCCTTCCCTGTGCTGTCCACATTAGGCCGTGATTCTGCCAACACTGCCAACAAACCATCTGCACTCAAATCTACCTTGGATTCAACGTCGAAGTCAGCGTTTGTCACCATGGCTGCCGCAGAACTCGTTTGAGCGTGATCAATTGGGCTGGAGTGTGGAGGTTCCAAGCAGAAATATTGGTGAACACTTGGCAAAGCAGCCTGATGGGTGGAAGTGACGGACGGAATGGCAAACTTGACGAATGCAGAGATGGGAATGTCTGAGGTGGGGAAAAGAGTTATGGCCAGATATTCTGGAATCGAGTACATCTGCGTGAATCCAACATCAGCGTGACCGTGATGCTCGACGTCGTCGTGAACCTCGATGGTATTCATAAGGGTGATCTTTTGGTGTGGGTGTGGTTGGTTGAAATGATTCGCAACGTTGAACGGCACGCACAGCGTGGCTCGTACCGGAAAATTTTAAAACCATTATCTATGGTAACTATTCGATCATATGTCAGTAGTAGAAGCTAGCCGGTCGTATTCCTGACCTGATCGCTCGATATCTGAGGCACAGCCAGTCGTAGGGAGTTATTAGCATTATTAGCCTCGTGAATTTTGCGACGAGATATTAGTGTGTTAATAGCTAGTTATTAACAGGCTAATTAGCATGCTGCTAATAAGCAGGAAGTTTTCTCCCGAACCCTACAACAGAAGCAACAAACCTGCAACTCTAATTATGGGTTCGGACCGGTTCAGACTCGTCCGAACGGGTCCGGCATCCATCCGAGACCACCCGAACGAAGAACTTATGTAAGGTTCAGTCCTGCATTGTACGTCGAACCCCTGACTGAACGGTGGTTCCGTTCGCAAAAGTTCAGGTTCGGGACTGAACTGCGGCAGCACTAGTCAATGTGCAAGCTCGTAGAAAATCTCAAGTGTCAGAGTGTGTACGCGCCTTTCGCAGCAGAAAGCACCCTTGCCATCCATACATCTGCACTCATTCTTACATTCCGAGTCCAAGGCTTCTAGCCAGTAATCTTGAGAATATGATGTCCTCCGTAATGTGATTGCACGACCACAAGCTATTTAAATTTCATGGTCGGGAATGAAGATCAGAGTCATCAGACCAAGCAGCTTGGGCCTTCCGAGGACGATCAATGACTTTGAACCTGTCTTGGAATCTCAGGTTATGATTATTCGTTTGCTAGGAGGCCTGACGGCTAATGACGTCGAGCTTGACATCCGTTCCTAGGATTACCTCTGATCTATGTAGTGCACAACATACCGCTCTAATATCATCCAAAGTGTTCAGCTCTGGTGAAAGACCGCCGTGGGTGCATAGGAATTGCTTGTTCATGATAGCAGCAAGGGGAAGCGCACAAAAGGATCCCATACAAGCGTCATAGATGCGCCCCGAGTATTTATGCTTACCTGAGTGGCCACGGTTAGTTGCAGATTCATTTAGAGATGGAGTGATTGAAACAAACATTCAAGCTTGAAAGTGAAATAGTCTGTGAGATGCCGGCATTCATGGTTGCCACGGAGCAGGAAAAGGTGTCGGGATACCAGATCTTTAGGGACCACAGATACAGAACGCACTGTATGATGGGATGAGTTGGAAAAGGTAGAGTATTGATGCGAGACACACCTGAAGTAACCCCGATCAACGTAATCTCCGAGGAAAAGGTAACGTGTATCCGGTGGACTATCGCCAACTTCAAACAGTTTCATCAGGTCGTACTGGAGAGATGATCAGTAAGGTATCAGCCTGACGAACAATCGAGGACGCATACATATTGGCATGTATGTGTTGAACTAAGTAGACCCGTAGCTGGACATTAGCAATGGTCATGTCATGCATGATAGACCACCCCCTACAGCAATATGACTATTCATTCTGACGATATAAGAATGGTTCTGTGTGGTTTTGAACCCGCTACACAAACTCGTACACAATAAGAAAAACATGTCAACAAGTGACACCATGATCATGACCGATAAGGAGTCCGAGTACATGTTGCCTTCCTTTCCGCATGCCATAAAAACATCTGACACTCTCGTGCTCCAGAAAAGTTCCAAATAATAGTCCTATATTAGAATCCATAAACCCCTACCGTAAATACTGAAGAATAGCTGATTCCACAAGGTCTCGTGCACGTACATATGATTACAACCCAAGAACCTCCCTAACAGTCAGCCAGTGGTGACCCTCCCACAGTGAATTGCCCTTGCTCGCTAATTCCGCGTCATCGGTCTGTGTATCGGGGTTCCAGCCGCAACTTGCTGCTCCGATGTCAAAACGCTGCTGGTAGCTCGTACAGACATCCGCGGCGGGTACACCTTCTGTAGGAAGGGCATCACAGTGTACCACAGTTACGCTTCCTTTGTATAGGGCACTGATCTCAGAGAGCGTTGCACGTTGTCCCTCGATGCGGAGTTCAACATCAAGTAGATGAGATGGCGGTTGAGTGGTAAGAACGTGAGCCACATATCCTGCGACGTCGGATATCGCAGTGAAGGATCCTGGCTTATCTCCTTTGCCCACGATATGAAACTTGCCAGTTTCAGTTAGTGCAGTGAGCCAGGGCACGAAGTCATTAAATAATCCATTCTAATGGATGTATCGTGTTCAGCGCGTTATACTTGGAGCAATACCAACAAATAAACACTTACATAGATGCGGAGAGTCGGCAATCCAATCGATTTTGCATAGACTGTGAACGGAGGATGAGTCTACACTGTAAAGTGTTACTATCGGTTGTAATCATTCACCTGCAAAAGCATGCTTTTCATGAGCTAGACCGACTGCTCCTGGCGGTACGCCGAACTCGCTGGGTACAAAGAGCTTTACACCCGCCTCCTTCGCAGCGTCCGCGAGAACGTGTTGTACAACTACCCCTCCGAAAACAAATGTAACTGTAGAAATGAGGACGTCCACTTTGTTTTCACGAAGAATTGCTGAGACCTCAAATGCAGATGTATAATCTGCGCGCACAACTTTTAGGTTAGGATCATTGCCAGGGAGTGCAGAGGTGTTTGTTGAAGTCGGCCGGGCAATGACGAGAATTGGCGCGCCAATGGCCAGGAATGCCTGACAGGAATCATTAACTAAGGATTACACTCGAAAATAATATCGTAATTGATGCTTACCTTCACGATAGGAATCCCGATGTGAGGGCCTGCACCGACAATAGCAAAGGACTTGAAAAGCGCTTCAGACATGATGGTGTTGTGTTACTGGATGTTGTATTTTGCGATCTCAGATGTTATCGGTTTATATATCGTTTACCACTTTCATTTCAAAACGCGCCGTAATCCAGGCCAGTTACGTTGACCGAGTCCTTCGGTATTTAATGAGGAGTTTGACAAAGCTGCACGCTTATTAGTACACATGATATAGACTATGACGGTGTGTGAGTAAAAATGTGTACGTGAACAAGAACATGAAGGAACCTGACAACTTACAAGTACTACCGAGTCATTGAGTCACTTGCTCCTGAGGCGGGTGGCGCTCGCCTTCAAGAATACTGCTAGTATTGTCATTCTCCAACATTTTAGACGATGAGACTCAGAGACAGTCTCGAAGATCGAGAGCATTACATACTTCAACGAAGTTCAACCTGCAATACTAGTCACGGATGCCGTGAAGGCTGAACATAGCGACGTGACGACTCCGCCATCGGTAGAGAGAGGCTGGGTACAATTGACCATGTGCATAATGTGTTGAGAATGTCGAGTACACTGGTTAGAGAGTGAGACCTTGTGAGGCACGAATTCGTCCATCTTCCAGAACCACTTCTTGTCAAGAGCATAGATGCATTTTGAATTCCAATAATGAGCCAAGAGGATGATATCCTATAGGAAAATGGGTGTCCCAAAAGCGGAGTCGGGATACCCCGAGAATCCTGCTGAATCAGCCAATGAGTTGTCAGTCAGTATCGTTCCTGCTCTGTCGTATTATGTATAGGCTTCAAGTTAAAACCTCCCCGGCCCCCGAACTCAGTGAGTCAGCTTCACGAGGTTTCTCGTGGGTACCTTTCAAGTGCATTCGTAAGGCTTATTCACATGAATGGTAAGCAAGACCGCCTGTGATGAAGTTCATAATATTGACGGCAGATTTCAGTCAGCAACTGACTGCAAGCGATGTGATGCTCTGATGTCGCAGAGAGCGACTTGTCTCACACATAAATATGAGCATTCTTTCGCCTTGAAGTCACCCAAGTTTCTATTCAATCATCACCATCACCATCATCATGCTTGAACAGCTGACTCTATACCTTCACAAGGTGAGAAATAATAGAAATCGAAAAGAAGGACTTGGCTGACGCATAGCCCTATAGCTCTCGCCCTATAGTCAAAAGGTGAAATGACTGCTGACACCATTTCAAAAATTTCTGACGCGTTTCGACAGGCCGAATTAGCTCTTATCGAAGCTAATGCACCCTACAAAGGCTACCAAATAGACGTATTCAATAAACCAGAGTGGTTTGTTAGCAAAGTGAATCCTGTCGGCAAGGTATGTCTGATGATGCCCTGTGTCTATTGCGGAAATATTGATATGATACCACATAGGTGCCCACTGTGGCATATGGAGGACCCAATGTCGCCCCCGATGATCCTTCGCCCTCGTCCACTAAAATCGCAGAATCCAATGTCATCCTTGAATTCTTGGCGGACCTCTATCCAGACTCTGGCCTTTTGCCAAAGGATCCTGTTTCGCGTGCAAAAGTCCGTTCCTTCGTTGATGCGAACACTAAACACTTCGAGGACCCGCTTTATGGCTTCATCGCAGGGCGTGGGTCATACGAGGATGTCTTGAATGGCGTTGAATTTATCCAAGGACTTCTCGGGGAGGGCGGAGATTTCGCAGTCGGAGACCATTACACCATTGCAGATGCTTGCATCTCTCCGCACCTGGCAAGGCTCATGGTCATCACTGAGGCTGACTCAGGTAGAGCACTCACATTTGTATCTTTTCGAAGAAATTGATGCTGATTAATGGAATCAGGTAAATTTGCTGTCGGTATGGGGTCTAAGCTGGGTGAGGAGCTAAAGGCACCCAAGTTCGCTAAATTCATGAAATACGCCGACCGAGTACTGGAGCGCCCAAGTCTCAAGCAAACCTTTGATAAAGTGTGTATTTTTCCGCTGCTGGCTGTAGGCCAATGACTAATTGCTGCACTACGTTTAGGAGGGTGTGACCACATTCTTCAAGACGTTCTACGCGCGCACGTAGTGAACATATACCTGCTAAAATACAATGAGCTTCGTACGACATACCCTACTCACTGTTAGAGATTTGCAGTACATCCAGACAAATATTAATAGATAAATCATACAATTAACAATCGGCAAAGAAAGCTGTGCGACAAAGACGGTAGAGATACATCGAGATCTTACATGAGCATACCAACTACTCCTCCATCTCATCTCCGCTCTCATCATCGCTGTCGCTGTCCTCGCCCTCAGCAACATCAATAGGTTCCACATTGAGATCGTGATCTGCGCCAAAGTACGCGTCGCAGATGACATAGAGTTTTAAGGCGTGGTTGCCTTTTGGCAGCGTGAACTCCAATTTCACCGAGAGATTCTTGGTGACGGTGACGCGCTTGATTGATAGTAGCTGCTTTGTGCTCGGCTCCCCGACTACGAGCCACCAGTTTGCTATCTTTTTCGTCGGGTAGAAAGGTGCGACGACAGTCTGGTCATCAGAATCCTCCTCATCTGCGTCACGGGCAAGAGAAACCTGCATGGTGATGGGTGCACCAGCAGTATATTCTCCCTTCTCAAGTTGGAAGGACACGTCGAGGGTCGGGTATGAGTTGACAAATGTCGCTACATCGCGCCTAGACACACTGTTAGAAGCGGTTAAAATGATTACATATGATAGAACTCACATTTGACGACCATCCATTTGCAAAAGTTCGTTGCGTTTATCATCATCCATCTCCATGACGTCGTAAACAGACTCAATGCCAGCATCCTTGCAACGTTTGATGATCTTTTGAAATTGGATCAGTAGTGAAGAGTGCCGAGAAGAATAGACATACCTCTGGCTCAAAGTGGGGGATTTGCTTGAGGGGCGAATCAGTCTCCCACATCGCCTGTACACACATCTGCGACAAATCCATTGCTCCCAGGGCATTCAGCCATGCATTCGAAGACATAACATCCACACATGCCGATAGCAGGTTCAAAACCTTCTCCAGAACTAGAACCTGGTCCGCCGCCAAATCTGGTGGCAGCTGGATACGAGAGAAATGAGCTTGAAGCAGAAGGAAGGTCTTGAAGTGAGGGGCTTCGAAATCCGCACGATCGAGCTTGACGGGAACACGGTCGTAGATGCGGCGAAGTATGTTGTCTTCGTGACGCCTGATAGGAATCGACTCGAACTCCGCGGAAGAGGAAACAACTTCCAGAAGACCTTTGAGTTTCGTCCGTTCCTTCAGCGACAGCGTGTACACCTCCACAGTGACGTATGAGATATTATAGTACGCCGCTATCATCCCGAGGTTCAGTGCCGAAACGTCCATCTCATCTTCGATCGAAATGCACTTCGAGTTCACCAGGTCTTGCAAGGTATTCTCCACGAGTTCCGACAGGTGATCTGACAAATGCTGATGGCTGACATTGTGGAGATTGTAGTAGTTGGGGTTTTGAGTCATCCTGCGGTAGAAGTACGTCCATGTCAAGATATCCATCGCATCTTGCTTGTTTTCAATCGTCTTGACAGCGATTTCTGCGAGGAAATAGTCGTGCAATAGATGGGTAGGTAGGTGGGACTCGATGGGCAGACCCTCTGCAAGGAACTTCTTGTAAAAGTCCTTGCGCGTCTGCTGGCACATGAGGACACATCGGCTGCGATCATCTTCCATCGGCCTACAAGCACGACCTATCATCTGTAGGACGTCCATGACTGGGTAGTCAACATATCGATGTTCTTTGCCCTCGTAGTATTGCACGCCCATTATGATCACCATATAGCTTGCGACGGGTAGACTCCATGCAGTGTCCTGCAGACGCTCAGATGCTGGTGAGTAGGAGGGTCGTGGATTACACACCTTAGATGCCACCAAAACCTGGATTGCTCCAGACTGGAACAAGCGTTCGACAATGCGCTTGTCTTGCTTATCGAGCGCCTCGTGATAATACCCAATGCCATGTTTCAGGCATTCAACAAGACCTTTTTCACTGATGTGGTCGAGGTGGGGCTGCAAGTCAGCTTCTTCTATATTCAAGAAGCGATCAGGGTTACTATCTGCTCCGCAGTGTATTAACAAGTCGTCAACCGTTAGCCGGCACTGGCGTCTTGATGGAACGAATATGATGACGGGTTTGGTGGGTGAATGCTCAATGATAGATAGATAAGCGGGCTTAGACATGGCAATCATCAACGAAGGGAAGTGAGGGATAGTAAAGCTTTGGAGATGGATATCCATATCCAGCGGTCTCGAGCTACAAAGCATCATTTAGTAGGTTGAATATTGATTACAGGTCGCAAAATGTACCTAGGTGAGAAGTTGAAAATTGCATGTGATGGTGCGCCCATCCATTCACCAAGATCTCTGGCATTAGCGAGCGAGACACCACAGGCGACGATGCGAGTCTTGACCTCCGTTTGCGCAGAGACGTAGCGGGTCCTAGATATCACCACTTCGTACGTCGGACCGACTTCTCCACCTACTAGTTGGATTTCATCAGCAATCAGTAGACCAATGTTCTGCACATTCTTGCGCTGTCGCCACCTTCGAGATAGGATATCCCACTAAAAATATCGGTTGAGTGAGAGATTCACAACACGATTAGAGAAACTTACTTGGGATGGGGTGCAAACAATAACATCCCCCTTCTCAAGAAGTCGAAGATCAGCACTGGTGTCTCCTGTAAGGCTTACTATCTCTTTGCCGCCTTGCAGGCCGCTAAACTTCCGACGCCACTCTGCGACACGCTGGTCGACCATCTCCTGGTAGGGTTCAATACAGACCGCCCTGGGCTGCTCGCGTTTGCTCCAAAGGCGGAGCAGAGCAAATTCAGCACAGATAGTCTTGCCGCTTCCAGTAGGTGCGCCAATAAAGACATTCTCATCAGATGTGTAGAGAGCCTGGAAGACCTGCGTCTGTATCTTGTTGAATGTCTGAATGGTGGATGAGTAGATGCTCTCGAATTCCTTGTTGTGTAGGGCAGATAGCGGGAGTGGCTGGAGTTCGAGAAGAGGGGTAGGAGGTGGGAACTTCTCTGGAAGAATTAAGTGTTTGAAGGATATGGGTAGTCTGGTCTCGGCGTGCAACCATCGGTCGGAGACAACGGATATGTAGTAGTTCGGGGGAACGGGCTCAAACATCGGAACCGTGATAGTGACGTTATGTTCATCCTCTGCATAGCGCTGGCGCAAGACAAATGAGTCGTGAAAAAGAACAATCTCTCCATCGACGTCTTCAACCATGATGAGGAATGTCTCAGCTGTTCCATGGGTCTTCTCGTCCCATCGGAAGTCAGGAACAATAGACAAGTCGATACGAAGAAGGGAGCGGGTGATGGGCTGCACTTGTGCTTGCAGCTGCAGCTTGGGGAAGCTGTGTACCAATCGGTGTACGAGCCTGCCGGCGTTTGGAATGCCGATGAGCTCACCAATTTCAGGAGGGTCGAGATCGAAGTAGCGATACCATGGCTTGTGAAAAATATATTAGCATGTGCCTTACTTGAGCTGATGTAAACTTACGAATTGTTTACCCTCTGCTTTTCGGATGACCTCCTGTGGAACACCCTTGAATTGGCGAAGCGGTGTCATGGAGCCCCACCTAAAGACCAAACAATAAGTTGACAATCAACAACCTTATCAAAAGCCACCAACATTCGTCGCTCAACCATCTTACATAGGTCAAGACATGCACGTGCTGGTACTGCCCACCCTCTCTTCAGGCAGATCTCAAATATAGCACGAAGAATACTGTGAGATGCGTGAGCTTGGGTAAACTAAGTTGAGACACACATACCGGCCGGCAGATTGTTGAACAAAGACCATATCGGCCACGAGAGCAAAACCTAATTATCAAATTAGCACAATATGATAGATGGCTGAATCGTCACCAACCATCAAGTTTAAGTTGTGATATATACGCTTGTAGAAGGACGTTGATCTTCGCTGCGGGTTCATCGACGCTTTCCTTCACAGGAATAGGCACACGTTCCAACAATTTACCAAGCTCAAGCTTCTCTTCTTGACGTACCTACACAAATGAATGTAAATGTTGAGACGTGCATTACAGCCAGAAAATGTGGGACATACCGGCAAAAGCTTGAACTCGTTCGAGAGCGCAAACACCCGGAAGAGTTCCAATGTCGACATGGTTGGTCTCAGATGCTGGTTGTACGTAGCCATCGAATTGTGTGTAACATAATAGTGAGATGCGATGCGTCCAAGCTCGGTGCTCTGAAAACGACCAGATGCACGTTCGTACTTGATAAGGTGACATTTCTCCAGCAGAACGGCGGCAGAATGGGCAATGTCGGCGCGTTTCTGGATGAGACCATTGTCGTCGTCCTGGTAATCGACGCCAACACCATACAGTCCTGGGGACTTTAGCATGCGAACATAGCTGTGGGACACATCAGTATTTTGACTACTGTGAAAACAAGTGAGCTTACAGATAAGTGTACCCTAACCACTGGACGGCTTCGTCACGGTTGCGAACAGTTCCAAGAACGATCTCTGCGTTCAGGTTGTCTGCAAGTTTTGACACAAACTGAGACTCGATCGGTAATTGCTGGTTCAGCAAGCTGAGGTAGTACTGCAGTTCGGCATGGTTCGTTATAATGATGCCCTCACCATACGTATCATATTGCGGACGACCAGCACGACCGAGCATCTGCAACACATCCTGGGAAGAGAGTTCAACCCACCGTCCTTTCTCGGGATTATAGATCTGCGTGCCCTTGATGATGACGGTGTGTGCCGGGAGGTTGACACCCCATGCGAGCGTTGCCGTGCATACAAGAACCTGAACTGAACCCTCTGCGAAAAGCTCCTCGACACTATTCCTATCTTCTCTAGTCATACCGGCGTGGTGAATAGCGAACCCAAACGGTAAGAGGTCGCGCAGATTGGCATCTTTGACATTGCCTACTTCTTCCTGGAGGATCTCACGCGTCGCTGAGTCGGGACGAACAAATTGCGTTATTGTCTCCTTCTCCATAGCCATGTCGCGGATGAACTTGGCGGTCTTGGCGGTCTCCTTGCGAGAGTGCACGAAGACAAGGGTCTGATTCTTGCCCGCTTGGTCAAGGACCTTCTCGTAGCAAACCTCATTCATGACCTGGAAACGCTTGATAGCCTTTTTCTCTGTGACACCAATGAACTGCTGCTGAAGCGCACACGGACGGTACGAGGCATCGAAATAGAATAGGCCTTTCGATTCGTCCACGCGGAGGAATGTCGCAACATCTTGGTAGTTCGGAAGCGTAGCTGAGAGACCAACTAGGCGAACGTACTCTCCTGTTTGCTCCATCCTCCGTATCGTACGTGCCACAACACTCTCAAGCACGGGTCCACGCTCGTCGTGCAGCAGGTGAATTTCATCAATAATCATGAGCCGAACGAGGTTTGTATAGCTTGTGTCGGTACTCTTGCGCGTGATGACATCCCACTTCTCGGGTGTGGTGACGATGATCTGGGTCTCCGAGATCTGCTGTTTTGTCATTTGAGAGTCTCCCGTGAGCTCGCCAACCTTAATCCCGAAATCATTCAACCGCGCGTTAAAGTTTCCGACCATTTCTTGGACAAGGGCCTTCATAGGTGCGATATAGACAATTTTGAAATCGTCGAGGGCAAATTCGCCTGTAGCCTCGTCGCGATATTTTGATAACTCATTAAGGATAGTAAGCATGGCGACATTGGTCTGCAAGGTCAACTTAGTGTCTAAAAGATGAAAAATATAACGGAACGCAGCTCACCTTACCAGCACCGGTAGGCGCACAGAGTAAGATAGGCTCGTCCGTCCCGAAGGCAATTGGGTAAAGCTTGCTCTGAACTCGATTGAGCTTGGGCACGGTGAATGCTTTTCTTGCCCACTCCGGCAGTGCAGTGACAGGTACAAGTTCTTCCTCGCCGCCTTGCTTTTTCTGGGGTGCAGGAACATGAATCTCCTCATATCCCTTACGTGCCCGCTTGAATGAGCCCTCAGGAAGCTTGCACTTCTTGTTGGACATCAGATGCCCCCCCTGGCTGAATGCCATACTCTCTAGGTCGACCGTGCGCTTTGGTTGCACTGTAGAGCCTGGTGCAAGAGTTGCTGTTTTTGGTACCGATAGCTTTGTCTCGTCCACATCCATGGCATCATCCTGCGCCTTCTTGGTCTGGCGGTCTCCAGCGAGCTCTCGCAAGATCCAACCAACACCCTTCTCTCGCATAGCAACCTCGACATTGATCCGCTCGTCTGCGTCGCTCCGCATGAGCTTCGTACACCATACGACCACATCCCGATTTTTGAGGAACTTGGTGATCACGTGGAAGCTCTGGAACTCGAACAGCTCCATCAACTGGTTCTCGCAATCACGCAAGCCTGATTCCGAGCCAAGAATAGAGAGGACAGAGGCTGCCTTATCCGCTGCAGTAACTGGATCCGAGTAAACTTCCGATATCTGACGTTGCACCCAGAAACCATCGATCGCGTGCGGCGAGACGATATCTTTATCTGCTTTGGCTTTTCCAGTTCCATGGGTTGACGAGCCTCCGATGACAAGTTCCTCATCACCTGCTTCCTCAGGCACTGAAGCGGATTCATCTACTTCATCCTCCTCTTCGTCACCTTCCTCGTCTGAACCATCCCGAATTTCGTAGCCTTCTTCATCTTCATCCTCCTGTTCCTCGTCGTCGAATACGACTGCAACTCCAACTTCGTCGTCAATTTCGGCGTCCTTACGCTCCATATCTGGGTCTGCCATTGTCTCGTCCTCGGCGCCATAGTCGGTGATTTTTTGCGCTCGGGCCACGAGCTGAGAAAACACGTCGCTGGAAATGGGACCCAACACCTCCTGAACCTCTTTCTTCTTGTCAAAGTCCTTCATGGACTCATTCTTGAGTATTTCAAGAACGGCATCGGTTGCGCTCCGGACAATGTCTTGTGCTTGGTCGCCCAGCACGTGGTGCACCGTAGATAGCATGACTTCATATACCTCACGGGTTTCGGCAGTACGGGGACGGTACGAAAGTCCTTCGACATCTTGTGTCGCGTCGATAATATCTGTGTATCCAAAACCAGCTTCTGCACGTCGCTTCACAACCTTTTCTGGGGCGTCCTGCTTGCCCGCGTCTCCTGCTTTTTTCTTCTTTTTCTCCACATCTTTGGGTGCTTGACGTTGGACGCGTGAGCCCATCTCACGTGGGTCAATCCGCCCTGCGAGGGAAGTAGGGGCGCCATCGGGCTCTCTGTCTCTCCTTGGCAGAGCAGACCTGTCAGCGGTCAAGACAAGGGATGAAATGGCACCATAGTTGTAGCCAGAAAGATCTGGTTTGCCTGCTGGTCTCCCGGACATTAGATGATTTTTGTCAGGGATGGAAAAGGTTGAGAAAATCACGAACAACAATCGACTGTCGTCGTCGTTGACCCTAAAGACGAGCAGACCTAAATTTCCAGTTTGTGTTGAGTAAGCAGTTGATTACGTGAGCAAGTGGCTGTGTCGACCAGCACTAGTCTTGTCAACTTGAAGATGCCTTTTTACTTTTTTTAAAAAAAAATCTAATTCTGCTTGCACGACCCCTGCTGCCAGATGCATAATTGAGTACTCGGTGTTGGGATCAGCTCCTGCAGGACATGCCCAGTGCTTGTCCTCATGACCAGTACGTTTCATTACCCCCTAGTACTTACTCTAGCAGGCTTTACAGTAATTGTGCACTCTGCAAGCATATATAAAATCCAGCGAACTGCGACTCGCACAGTCCTAGCCGCCATCTTCTGTCATGTCTAGCGCATCTAAATTCTACACTGTCGAAGTTATCCAGTTTTGGTGAGACGAGGAAGAGCCTCAACGACCTCATCCAGATAATCCCTTTCACTGGGTTATTTATGTCGAAATCGATCCTGGCGTAGGGAATACCTACCAGATCATAGGGAACTCGGACAACTTAGCCATCGATATCAGACACAACCGACCTCTCAAAAACGACAAGAACTGCTGGAAGGTTAATCGTTGGAACAGTCACCTAAGTGGAACTCGGCGGAATCCTCGCAACAGTTGATATCATGCACGATGTACCCATTTGGAACAACCATCATTGGATTGTCTCTGCTCTGATTTATTTCTCGGGATCGGGGCTATCAGGCATCATAATCATGTCGGAAAGCAGGTTGCGCGATCTGCATGGCAACTTGTCCTGGCTGTTGGGGAATCGGCCAGGATTGAGAATGTTGAGGAACTTGTATGTCACGGTGGCAAAGATCTGACATGTGTGGCGGGCTGCCGTAGTAAGCAACAAGAAAACGCATGGGTGGCACTGGAGTGTACCTGATCATCAATGTGATGGGTTGTGCGAGTTATTGAAAGAATTCGTCAATGATACTTGTGTCAATCTTGATGGAGTCTTTCGTTCTTCACTAGTAATTTTGTGTCACCATATTGATTATCTGTTCACCGATCCAGTGAAAAAAGTTCACCGTCTAGTTCAGGCGATAGAGAATCACTCCTAAGCAGGCAAATGTTAATAACACGTAATCGTTGTATGTTACATATGTTAATATTCTCTTATCCTATCATGTGCTTATTTAGCCAAGCCGAACCTTTTCGTGAAACCCTCTTCCACGACGTCCTATTGAAAAGTTGTTATAATAGCAGCAATCACCGGAAGATTAACGGACGCACCGGGTGGAATGTGGATTTGAAGCTCTGCCTTGCTAGCAATCTTTGCACATAACTGTTGAGTTTCGCATACTTGGGGTCCTCCAAACCCTTCAAAAAGTTCTTCCTGTCTTCATCTTTGTAGGCACCAATTCCTTTCTGCACCAACACGTTCAATCTTGCCCAGAATGGTGCCAATGCAATGTCTGCAATGGTGTACTGGTCGCTAACAGCATATTTCACCCCGTCAGGTAGAATGTCCTGAATGGCTTCCACGGCGGCCAGGAGAGCGGTATGTGTGCCTTCCGGGCTGCCGGTTATAAACTTCATGAAATTGGGACCGAATTTAGTGGACACCACCTCGATGAAGAAGCGGGCCTGGGCGCGCAGCACAGGGTCCGCAGGTACGATACCGGAGGAGGGGTACAAATCACCGATGAACTCAACAAGAATCAGCGACTCTGCCAATTTGACAGACTCGGGAGAAGGGTTTTCTGGGGGAGCATCGGGACCACCATAAGCGATAGCCGGCACCTACGACGAATCCACTTCAAGATGTGATCACTTCGCAAGCATGAATGGGGCGCATACCTTGCTGGCAGGGTTCACCTTTGGTGCGTACCACTCTGGCTTATTCCCTAAATCGATTTCGTATCTTTTGAATGGAGCGCCAACCTCGGCGAGAGCGATTTCAGTCTGAATGGGTTGAGTTATCGCGACAGGCACAATTGTCAACGCTAACAAAGACATACCCTTTGAGCGTAAGGACATATCTAATTATATGCATGGACCATTATCAGTGTACAGACTCATAGCATGTTACACATATGCAATACCTTTGCGGTGTAAAGGGTGATCTGTGCTTGAGGCATGTTGAGCTAGTCGTCCAGGTGGGAGATTGGATAAATTGGATATACTTAGTTTCAAGCTGATATACTTATACTTCAGGGGGTCGCGCTGGCGCATGACTAAATGATCTCAGGCCGGGAATAGGTGATGAATCTGACGCAATCATGCTTTATCAGCGCTGACTCAGTACCGGACTGGTTCAGAGTTCCAAATCACCTGTGTGCAGGCTGCGGCGATTATCCTTCTTGAGTTCAAGTGCACTCACTTGTTTAGCTCGTGTATTGTTTCGAGAATGCGACTCGAAGCCTATCCCTGACAAATGGCCCATCACCTTCCTGTGGCGGTAGGTGTGCGAGCATTGAGAATCGAGACTCCTTCAAGTTTGGATAGAAATGATATCAAGCGGTCCAGCCTACACAAAGTTCGAGGATCCTTCAATTGACTTGATGCCGCGTTGGAAGTAGTTGTGACGTCTTGGTGACGTTTGCCTCTGACTGTTCTCAGTGGCAGCCACGCAAGACGCACCGTGAGACTCTGCATTTCCAGGAAAAGACATTACACCCACAGTGTGCTCGTGTCCAAGTACTTGCTCTTATCCAATGCTCTGCATGGTTACCTGGACAATAATTTCGCCGTAAACCATTTGAAGGGGCATTCAATGTGTACCGGGGATGAAAGTTAAATGAACCTGACTCATCAGGGCATCAGGGACGTCACTTTAGTAAGCTGCCTTTGGTTACGTCAGACACAAAGCTTTCAAGTTCCCGCTATGCCATTCGGTGAAGTGGTGTGTGGAGCACCAGGAAGTGGTAAATCGACGTACTGCTATGGCAAGTACCAGCTATTTACTGCTTTGAATCGCCCAATTTCCATTGTGAACCTCGACCCAGCTAATGACAACATTCCTTATCCATGTGCGATTGACATTACTTCTTTAATCACCCTCCAGGATGTCATGGACGAACACGGCCTTGGCCCAAACGGAGGCATGCTTTATTGTATGGAGTACTTAGAAGCCAACTTCGATTGGCTTGAGGTGCGGTTGAAAGAGCTAGGATCCGACGCATATGTGTTATTCGACGTACCTGGTCAGGTCGAGCTTAGCACGAATCATGAATCACTAAAACACATAGTGCAACGATTGACAAAGATCGGATTCAGGGTACGTTATATAATGTTGGTTCTGTCGTTGGGATTCGTTGAACAATGCTAGTTAGCTGCCGTTCATCTCTGTGATGCGCACTATGTCACCGATGCCGCGAAATATGTTTCCGTACTTCTCCTGTCCCTCCGGACTATGCTACAGTTGGAACTGCCACATGTCAATGTTTTGTCGAAGGTTGATTTAATAGTTCAATACGGAGACCTAGGTGCGTGTTGGTGACTACGCAACACATCAGCGTTACTTCACTCTTCTCGTAGATTTCAATCTCGATTTCTACACGGAGGTTCAGGATCTTTCCTATTTGGAGAACGCACTGAATACTTCTTCACCCCGGTACACTGCTCTCAACATTGCGTTATGCTTCTGTAATCGAGGATTACAGTCTCGTCGGTTTCGAAACGCTAGCGGTAGAGGTACAACGACTGGGATTTCTTACTACGTGGACCGAATACTGAATTACTTGTTCGCGCAGGATAAAGCTTCGATGCTTCACCTGAACACGCGCTATCGATCGAGCTACAGGATTCGTTTTCGTACCACCGCACGACGCCCCGGCACCAGAAGGAACACTCGAAGCTTCGTCCGTCCCTGCATCGACCAGGCCCAACACATTTTCACTGTTCTCCACTGCTGCAGGCGCGATGTCAGGTAGCGTAGGGGATGTGCAAGAACGTTGGATTGATGCTCGTGAGCAATGGGATGCATTTGAGCGTAAAGAGTGGAGACAAGAAGGGGAGATGATCAGGGAAGCGAAGGAACGGGAGAAGGCAATGCAAGGTGAACGGAGGGGGAAGAGTGGAATCAGGGAGCGGAAATAGTGAACGCAGGTCCCTGAGACTCGAGTATCCATCATGCATTATTACATAACCGAATAACAAGACGTTGTTTGGCAAGACCTTTAGAAACAAACAAATGTACAATTTTAGCGAGAAACCCAAGTGCACTTGTCGCTGAGGGAGAAATGCATGCCTTGAGACAAGACATACTCCCCCCTAGTGGTGTGGAGTTCGCAACGACACTCAAACTAACGCCCTCAACTATCACTGGATCTTCCAGCCAAGAAAAGTTACCTCGCGTTCTTACCAATGTCGTTGTCTCAAGATCCAACCTTTTGCGCATTTTCGAAGTGTGGGAACAACCTCCGCAAATCTCAACTTATATTGAAAATGAGCGAGAGCGAAGGGCTCATGTACGAAAAGGCACCGAAGCTGTGGAGGGTGAAGTAGAGATGGATGAAGGTGGAGAAGGGTGGGTTAACATGGGCTCTGTAAAGGTGAATTCCTAGCCCGAGTATGGGGAGGGTAGCTTAGTTGTGTTACAGGCTACTGCAAAGAAAGATCCTTCAATGGTGTCACGCTTTCACTTTGTGCGAGAGCATACTCTGCATGGCACTGTCACTGGCATGGAAAGCGTGCGCATTATGTCAACCTATGAGGACCAACTAGATCGCCTGTTAGTATCCTTTAAGGACGCCAAGGTACGATGTCATGTATTCTGCGTCTAATGGTAGGTTCTTGATCGTGATTACAGATAGCTCTTCTTGAGTGGTCGGACGCTGCGCACGACCTTGTTACCGTTTCGATACATACGTATGAGCGAGCGCCTCAGATGGTTGGTGTCTGTCTTCATCGCTGCTCGCATATGTGACCAGTTTGCAGGTTTCGTTGGACAGTCCCCTTTTCAAAACAGAATTGCGTGCAGACCCCTTGTCACGATGTGCTGCACTGTCTCTTCCAAAGGACGCATTCGCCATCCTTCCATTCTTCCAGACTCAAGCAGAACTCGACGTAATGGAACAGGAACAAAACCATACAAGGTGTGCATTCTTCTGAATTCCATTTCCAGCTCGATACAAATTGGAATAACCAACAGGGATGTACCATACTCTCCAAGTTTCGTGCTAGACCTCGTCAACGATGTCGATGAGCGCATTCGAAACGTCATAGATTTTGTTTTCCTTCCTGGATACAACAACCCAACAGTTGCAGTGCTTTGCCAATCTGAGCAAACGTGGGCTGGGTATGTGGCATGATTCGCTTTAGTTTCCACACAATGACACGTTCCATATAGGCGCCTCAAAGAGTACCGTGACACGGCTCGCCTCTACATATTTACCTTGGATCTCATGAGTCGAAATTACCCCATTATTACGGCTGTCGACGGTCTTCCTTACGACAGCGTGTCTCTCCTCCCCTGCGCAACTTCACTTGGAGGTGTCATCGTCCTCACAAGTAATTCCATCATTTATGTCGATCAAGCAGCCCGCCGCGTGTCCCTTCCTGTTAATGGCTGGGCCGCACGCGTCAGCGATATGCCAATGCCTCCAGCAGACAAAGACCTTGGCCTGTGTCTCGAAGGTAGTCGGCTCGTATTTGTCGATGAAAAAACTTTCTTTGTTATTCGAAAGGATGGCATGATACACCCCATTGAGATTATCCTTGACGGGAGGACTGTATCCAAACTAGTGCTATTACCCGTTATTGCTCAAACGACTATACCAGCTGTCGCCAGACTACTGAATGATGACCTCCTTTTCATAGGCAGCATGGTTGGACCGTCGGTATTGATGAAGAACACTAGAGAAGAGGTACCTCTCGAGCTTCCTGCGCAGCAAACTGGCGCAGCCACCACTATCGATCTTTCTGATAGTATGGATCTAGACGATGACGATGGTTGGTTGCGTGTCCACAGGCCTTCGAAACTTTACTAATGTGTCACAGATCTATATGGCGATTCACAGACAGCCGCACAGGTAGCTGTTGGAGCAACACCGGGGGCCAGTGCTACAACAAAGACTCGTTCTATCATTCACCTTTCATTATGCGACTCGTTACCTGCATATGGGCCAATCGCCGACATGGCATTCTCTCTTGCTAAGAATGGAGTAAGCATATGGTTTCTGATGGGTTTAACTCTGCTTAAATTTTCTAGGAGCGTTTTGTGCCGGAACTTGTTGCTGCCACAGGAGCAGGTCATCTAGGCGGTTTTACCCTTTTCCAGGTGAGTTAATGTGATATTGCAGACTGTCACTTTAACTGACAATCGAGCCCAGCGTGACCTTCCGACGCGCACGAAGCGGAAACTGCATGTACTTGGAGGGGCACGAGGAATCTGGTCTCTTCCCGTTCGCCAGTCCCAACGTGTCAATGGTCTCTCTTATGAGAAGGCTATGGGCCCATTTTCAGCTGAAATTGACACGATAATAATTAGCACAGACGCTAACCCTACACCAGGTGTTTCGCGGGTATATAATCTTTTTTTCGGTATGTTCTATTCGCTAAGCCCTCACAGATAGCAACCCGAACAGCAAAAACCGATGTCGCTATTCCGACTCGCATACCCGGGACGACTATAAGCGCCGCCCCATTCTTCCAGCGCACCACCATATTGCATGTGATGACGAATTCTATTCGCGTGTTGGAGCCCGGTACGATATTTCTGTAAACTTTTGCGTTGGTGACTAATGAGGCGGAATCAAGATGGTAATGAGAGACAAGTTATCAAAGATATGGATGGTAGCTTGCCTCGGGCAAAAATTAAATCATGCAGTATCTGCGATCCCTTTGTGCTTATCCTGCGAGAAGACGAGTCTATTGGTCTTTTCATCGGCGAAACGGAGCGAGGGAAGATTCGACGCAAAGATATGTCTCCAATGGGTGACAAGGTATTTCTGATTTTGTTTGCCCTATTCCACACTATTTATTGCTTTGATGTAGACATCTCGTTATATCGCCGGCTGTTTCTTCACGGATACTATCGGTCTCTTCGACGTAGAGGCGAGCGAAAACGCTGCAGCATCATACACAGATAAGAATACGTCTACACTGCAGGCGGCTGTAGCAGCTGGCAACAGAAGTCAGTGGCTCGTACTCGTGCGACCGCAGGGCGTCATGGAGGTTGGCCTCACATCGATCGTTTAGGACGAAGCTAGCTAATCTCGATTTCTATAGATCTGGTCACTCCCGAAGTTGACTCTTGTATTCTCAACCGCTGCTATCTCCACGTTGGAGAATATATTGATGGACTCTTGCTCTCCTGCCGCGTTGTCTTTACCACAAGACCCCCCTAGAAAGCCCCAGGATCTTGACGTCGATCAAATTCTTGTTGCACCCTTAGGCGAAACGTCGTTGGTTCCTCATCTGTTTGTAAGTAATTTTACAGTTCTGTGCTTCGTTCCTTACGACTTATGACAGGTTTTCTCGCGTTCGGGAAATATGGCCATCTATGAAGCCTTGCCGGCGCCTGCTCCTACCGAAAAAAAGGCAGATCCTCCTTTAATCCAATCCACGAACTGCGTTTTTGAAGGTCAAGTTCCACAAAGTCGTTTCCAAAACCTTTGAAATCCAGAGAGTTGAGGAGACGGAGAAAACTGTGCTTGCAGAGCACAAGAGAATCTCGCGGATGTTTGTTCCATTTGTGACTTCCCCAAACATGGAGTGTACCCTTGCTGGCGTTTTCTTCACGGGTGATAGGCCATGCTGGATTGTAGCCACTGATAAGGGTGGAATAAGGGTGGTACCCTCGGGGCATACTGTCGTTTACGCATTCACTGCGTGTTCTCTTTGGGAGTCCAAGGGAGATTTTCTTCTGTATTCTGACGAGGTTCGTGTGCGGTATGCTGAAAAGTCAATACACTCACTCGTCCATGCACTTAGGGTCCTACTCTTCTTGAATGGGCTCCAGAAGTCCAACTTGACAGTTGTCTACCGTACCGCAGTGTTCCTCGATCTCGCACATACTCCAACGTCATATTCGAACATTCGGCTTCATTGATAGTGGCTGCTTCCTCACTACAAGCTCGTTTTGCCTCCTATGATGAAGACGGTAACATTATTTGGGAGCCTGATGGTTTGTGTCCCGGACTCATACCTGAGGTATCTTTATCTGACAATCATTCAGGGAATGGCGTTTCCTTCCCTTATGCTGACTGCTCAACGCTCGAGCTAATTTCGCCGGAACATTGGGTTACAATGGATGGGTGCGTTTACTCTTGTTTGTAACCGGCAGCGGCATTTATGTATTTTCCAGTTACGAATTCGCATCCAATGAATTTGTCAACACCCTGGCTTGTGTTTCTCTTGAAACAACAAGCACGGAAAGTGGGAGTAAGGATTTCATTGCTGTGGGAACAACAATCAACCGGGGAGAAGATTTGGCTGTAAAGGGAGCGGTATGTTTTGTTGCTACTTTGCTCTTCGACCAATTCATTCATGAAACCAGACATACATTTTCGAGGTTGTTGAGGTTGTTTCCGATCCTAATTGGACACCCAAAAGATGGTACAAATTGAAGCTGCGAGTGAAGGACGATGCGAAAGGCCCCGTAACAGCCGTGTGTGGCATAAATGGATATCTTGTGTCATCCATGGGCCAGAAGGTAAACGGACTGCTCTGTATGCAATATTATATTGACAATCCCTACAGATTTTTGTTCGTGCTCTTGATCTGGATGAACGCCTAGTTGGCATTGCCTTCCTAGATGTTGGCGTCTACGTTATATCACTGCGCTCAATGAAGAATCTTCTCTTGATCGGAGATGCCATGAAAAGTGTCTGGCTAGTGGCTTTCCAAGTGCGTCGTTTGCGTTTATTCCAAGTTTCTCTTATGAACAAAGCGTTTTACAGGAGGATCCGTACAAACTTGTTATACTCGCCAAGGACGTGCGAAAGAGACATGCCACAACTGTGGACTTTTTCTTTGCTGGGGGAGAATTGGCCATCGCTAGCGAAGACGAAGAGGGTGTCCTAAGATTGTTTGCATATGACCCTTCCGGTGAGTTACCCCCTAGTCATGGCGCGACAAAACTGTAATCTGAGAATTCCGGTTTTTGATTGAAAGATCCCGAGTCTCGAGGAGGTCAGCATTTATTGTGCCATACAGAGTTCCACGGTCATAAAGAGTGCCGCTCAACCATTATGATTGCTCGGCGCACGAAAGACGAACAACTCATTCCTCAAGCAAAATTGGTGTCTGGTGGGGCTCGTATTCTATCTGCATCAATAGTGTATCTTATTCGATCGACAGGCTTTACAGATGGATCCCTATCAACCCTCACACCTGTAGATGAAGCTGTTTTCAAACGACTACAACTTTTGCAAGGGCAATTGACACGAAATGTGCAGCACACTGCCGGATTGAATCCAAAAGCCCACCGGTGAGTTTTTGTGTTTGCACTGGGCTCTTCATTGATGACTCTGTTAGAATTGTGCGAAATGACGCTGTGTCCAAGCCTTTGTCGAAAAATGTGCTTGATGGCCAACTCCTTAGCGAATTTCAAGTCTTGGGTATCAGTCGCCAGAATGAAATCACGCGACAGATTGGCACAGAGAAAGCTCTTGTTTTGCATGACTGGTCTTCTCTTATTGTTCCGTGGTAGCGAGAATTTCAGTATCTGTTATTCTGACCTGCAATATATCATGTACAACAGCAATCGTCCCTTTATCATGCTATACCGAGCTCTCGCGCCAAGATCTGGAGACCCTGTATCACATCGTTTGTCAAGTATATACAAAGACCAGCAGAGAAGTTAGCTCACCAGGTGTTTGCTTAAAAACCGCGCGGTTCCAAATGGACCCATCGCGAACCAAAGTCCCGGATGTCCAGAGGGTCGGAATACCTGATTAAGTTCTCCCTCGGAGTCAAGGCCCCACACCTCAGGCGGAAGAAGTCGATCAGTAATCTCGTCGCCAAGAAGAGCTCTCGCGGTCTTCATGACGGGTTCATTTCCTGTGCTGCAACGTGCGTGAGAAAGATCGACGAGAAACTACCAGTCAAACCATACGCTAGGACGATGACATCTGCTGAAAGCTTAGAGCCGTCTTTGAACGTGATCCCGTCTTTGTCGAAGTGACCGATGTCTTGGCCTTGCTTTACCTACGCGCATGTCGCAACCGTCAGCTACAGCCCTCCAAAAGTAGGAGTCATACCTTGACTCTGCCCTCGATGATTAGCTCACCACAGCCAATGTCAAGCACTGTATGGTATTTGCAATGTTACCAGTCTCGGGAACCAATCCGGACGCACTAGTTCTTGACCCAAAGCGGCTAAACAAAAATCCTTCTATCCCAACTTCGCCACTACCAGGCGAAACTTCCCAAGTCAAGTTAAATCCAGCCTTGCGCAGACCGTCGTGGAGTTCCTTATCCAACATCTTCATGTGTTCAATCCCACCTGATTTTGTCACTTGCAACAGGAAGGCTAGAGGCATTGAATTGCTGCGGAAATCCACTTCCTCGATAGGGGTGTTATTGGGGTAAAGCGGCCTAAAGCGGGTTTTCTCCATGGCAGCAGAGGATACAACGCATGTAGCGTTTCTTTGGACCAACGTTACCTTTTTTTGTTCATGAAACTATGACTTCAGTGTATTCCAATTCATAAACGTACCTCAGCGGCACCATGTGCTACGAAATCTTGACATATATCCCCACTAGCATTGCCCTGACGGTCTCGTGAGTACGTGCACAGTATAAAGTGCATGTATATGACTCACCGCACCCACGACGATGACACGCTTGCCTCGGAACTGTTCGGCATCTTTATGGAAGTCGGAATGATACAAAGCTCCTTGGAATCCATCCATTCCACTCCAGGTAGGAATGTGAGGACCCCCGCTTCCTGTGGCAAGGACCAGATGCTTTGGATTGAGAATTACTTTCTGTTCTCCACGCTGTACTTCTACGGTCCATGTTGCGGATGATGACTCGTATATTGGAATTGAGGTTATGGTGCTGGAGAGCCAGATACACAATTCCTGATCAACAGCGTATGACTCCAGGAAATTTGCAAATTTCCCCTTAGGAATGTATTTCGGGAAATTTGTCCTAACATCATTCAGATATGCGATATCTTTAGAATGCGGAAGGCACATACGGATAGGGACTGTAAAGTACTGTGTATTCATGAGCACCAAGCCTGTGGAAATGTAATAAGACATAACATACTGGAGCTTTGATACGCGGGAGTATGCAGCGTAAGGTTTGGGTACCTGCGTTTCACATTATTTGATAACGAAAAAATGTACTGATGTTTGCGCATACCGTTGTCGCCAGCAGTCTCCAACACGTGCATCCTTCTCAATTACAAGTGTACGAATCCCCAGCATACGCAGCCGCGCTGCACACATAAGGCCAGTTTGTCCACCCCCAACTTTTCATGACCCGTCAAGACATCACGATTTATAAAAAAATGACACACTGATTAAAACAGTGGGATCCGCCTCGATAGCACGGAATTTTGCGTCGACATCCTCCTCCCAAGTTATTTTTCGGCCCTCATATAAGCCGTGTTGGTTTCCGAGAGACTCCTCGTACCCGATGAGGTCCTGCATGTTTGTGAAAAGAGTTAAAGCCTTCCACTTCCCATCGGAATCTTGCGCCAAACGGAAGAATCCTCGTCCGAGTGCAGCTGGATTCGTAATGCTAAAGGTGAAAGCACCTTGTATTCCTTCAATGCCTTGTGAACCTGGTAATTTGAATGGTGAAGGTGCATTGATGGTGTGATCGTCTATCTTGAAGTCACGAAGACTAGAATACTCAAGTCGCGACTTCCCATCAACAACCTCCGAGAGAAATCTGCGTATGTTTTCTAGACCTGACAGTGTTCTGTGATCCCAAGAAAAACATAGAAGATCTGAGATACTAATTAGCGTGCGTCACTTGCTTGGGCAAAGCAATGACCTCTGAACCACCCGTCCGAAAGGAAATGGTCCACAAATGACATGACGTCTCCCATGGATGATGCAACCTCTATGCCTTTAAGCCAATCCGTGGAAATTGCCTGAATGTCCTCTGGGGCCATGTCCGCACACCAGCAGATAGTGACTAGTAGATGTCGAGTCGAGTATAGCCTATGCCGTGGGTGTATAAGATGACCTTCAAGAAAAACACTAAACGAAGAAGAGAATTCTCCAACTTACACCACACGATGCTATCATTGTAACGCCACGACATGGATACTCAATTGGTCGCACCACTGGCGTCACGGTCGTTTCGCTAATAAGGTATATGCCCACTTTGCTTGCCAAGTGTTTTCTCGCCAGCATCAATAACTTGGCCAGTCTGAGTGGCATGACAGTGCCCAAATGGGTGGTGCTAGGTCACTAGGATGCATTTAGTCCCTGGCTGATCTTGAAGATTCCCGGAATGAAGATAAACAGAGCTAGCTGACTTGATCAGTACTCGAGCTATACAGTAACAAACCAGTGACCGCTGGCAATCAAATTTGCCAACAAATAGTCGAAGCGAACAAATTTTTGGATGATTTTCAGGAAAGCTGCTTTCTGAAGATATGGTATGTACCTAGTGGGCATTTGCAAGGAGACGATGGAATGGAAGGGGTTGAATGTCGGACTCGAAGACAGCAGGTGCATCGGGGTTTCAACATTTTACCTCTTGCAATATTTCAATCAAAGCAAATCTGAACTGGCTAGAGCATTACAGACCTAGCCTATAGCATTTTAAAATACTCTAGAATACCTTTCGAATGTAATTTTACTAGGTGGGTTTCCCCGAGGTGCCACATGATTTATTTAATTATTATGTATGATAAAAATTATATAATCATGTACATCGGACACCGAATGCCACCCAAACTTAGATGAGGGGCCCATACCCATCCTCATTGATCTACACATAGGTCATAGCGTCATCGGACTCCCTCCTCTTCTGCGAATCTACTTGCGCACGTCATCTACATTTCATCGCTATTCCATTACACTCGCTTCAATACAAATCGAGCAGCCAAATTTCAGCAACGCCCAAGCCGGTCTATCTTCTCTCATTGTGGTCCTCATATTGTCGAAGTCGCTACAGTACGGGATAGAAAGGGATGTCTTCGCATGCGTTTCCAACTGTGGTCTCTGGTTAGGCACTGGTTATTGCTAGGCAAGCCAGAATATCACAACTGAAACAAGCACAGCAACATTGCAGTCAATCGAACTGCAAAGCCCAGGCGCCTTCATCGCAATATCAGCCTGCCCCCCCCCCCCCCTCGAGTCTCGACGTCTGCGGAGTCTCCTGCTCACAATACTGGGACAACAACTCGCAACAAAAGAACAAAATGTCCCAGTACAAGGCAACGAGACAGCAAGACCAATACTGTGAAACCCGTTATCTGACCCTCATAATGGACGTCACTCAGAGATTTCAGAAGTGACGACGAGCTTCCGCATTATGACCACCTTCGCTTCATCATTGATAAAGATGGAACTTCGGACGAAACAAACAGGAGATGAAGGTGAAAGGTTTCGCAAAGTATTTTTTTTGGCAACACCGACTCTTATTTCTCAAAAATGTTTTGCAACAGATTCTAGGCCAGAGATTGGCCAGAGATATTAGGATAAATGTAGGGCACGAAGGTTTTCCTCATGAGGTTTGACCCTGGAAAGCGTTCGTACCGGTTCCCGAGGAAAAGAGCATAGGCTTTCTGGTCTCAGGGCTCATAAAATCATGATGATGGGCGGCCGAAAAAAGGAAAAAATATTCCGGAGGCTAATCCTGCACGCGTATCGTCCAACAGATTCGTATACCGCGCAGAAAAGATGAGATATATTCAGTGCCAGAAATGCAGGAAGTATATATGGTTACGACTTTAATTGAAGACATCATGAATCATGACTCGATCGACCTTGGAAGAGGGGGTTAACTTATAGAGAGCGCACTGTTTGCGGACAGTACTAGCGGACCTTCAATCTGTGATTGTCCTCGCTACCACCGCAGTAAATCTATTTCGTTTCTTTCTTGAACTTTGCCGAAACTCTCACTGTCAGGTCTAACTCGGGGTGTCGCTGACACTTTTGCGCGCTGCCATATCAAAACATGTGCTTGTAGACTTACCAGCAATCCCTGCTAGACAACCCTTCTCATTCGATTATTTTGTGGGCTTCGCTCTGAGTCGCAGTCAAGATCTGCGAATGCCGACTGCCAAGCAAGAGTCGACGTGTTATGCACCTGCCTGGCGGACGGCTCATAATATCACTCCCTCCCGGCGAATGTGGGATGTAAAGAGCGGAGATGACGCTGTAGCCGGAGATTTATGCGTGGGGGTGATCTATCCCCGCAGTAACATAAATTTGCGTCGAGCGGACACCATGAGAATGCACCAAAGATATGTAATGCAAACTTGAAGCTGCTTGTTATGTTCAAACACAATGCTCCGATGCATGTCCCTTGCCTGGTATTACGTCCTTTCCACATTTTGTGTATGTCTTCTCCTTTTACAGTCATAATATCCTCCCTATAATTTTCCCATCTGATCAGGTCATCATCAACCGTCGCTGCACATACCTAGTCAACGTGTTTTGAGCCAGAAGCAATATACATATATAGCCATAAGGGACATATCACCAAGTTGCATAATCGACGGCCATTTACTGCTTCCCCCGTAGTTATAAGGACAGTTGCATAACGTGCCGTTCGCTGACCCACCGCTTGAATCATGGCCCCTGCAGTTGATAGTCGCCTTGCTATCCTCGCCGGCATTCTGCTTTTCTTTGGCGCCGTCAAGGCGCTTAGCAAGTCCACGAGGCGACGGAATAAACTTTCTCTTCCTCCTGGCCCTGTGCCGCTCCCAGTATTAGGGAACATCTTGTCAGTTGACTCTCGGGAGCCTTGGCTGACCTATACCGATTTGGGTGCTGCGTATGGTACGTGAACAGATAGTATGGAGCATACGTACTACAAATTATTACATCAGGAGACTTGGTCTTCCTGCGAATGATAGACGAGTCCATTGTCGTGGTCAATTCTCAGCACGTTGCAGAAGCCTTATTGGACAAGCGTTCTCGGATTTACTCCAATCGACCATACCTCGCCACAGTCGAGCCGTGCGTTCTTTCAGTATTCTTCTATTCAACCAGTCTGAGGCTCTTGTAGATATGGTTTTTCAATCAGTTTTGGATTTATGAATTATGGCTATGAATGGCGTCTCTGCCGACGAATCTTCCACCAAACTTTCCGTCCCGAGCTTGCAGTACAATATCGCCCAACGCACATCAGGCGGGCTCGTGAGATGATCGTCAACCTAGTCGATGACCCTCAACATTATCATGATCACTTCGCAACGTCAGAAAATGATTTTTTTTTACAAATTGGACGATTATTTACCTATTCACAGGTTCTCGTTATCAATTGTGATGTCAGCTATATATGGCTACGATATCAGTGCTCGTGATGATCCTTTGGTGGAGAATGTGGTAAAGGCTCTGGTTCCGGGCGTGAGCGTATTAACCCCACAGAGATCATTGATACTCAAGAAGTTCCCCTTCTGTGAGCTTTACCTTTTTCAAATAAAAAGGTATTAACATGACATGCACTTTGGTGAAATGTAGTACTTAAGTTACCTGACTGGTGCTGGGGATCCTCGATGAAGCGTGTTGCTCGAGTATCGACCGAGCGCCTCAATGAAATGGCCGACAGGCCAATTCGACATGTCCGACAGCACATGGTGGGTAATTTTTTTTCTCTTGGTTGTAGACCTTGGTTCGACGCTTGCCAAGGCAGACAGCTCGTTCCTCGCTCGATCTTCTATGGTCGCAGAAAATTTGCGACAGATAGAAACACAAGAGGATGCATTCAATCCTGTATTCGAGAGTGCCTTGAGGAAAACAGCTTCTACTGCTGTCATGGGTAAGTAAGCTTTTTTACAAGCAACGTTGTGCTCTTGGCATACACTAATATTACACAGCTGCATATGAGGCGGTAAGTGGGCAACTCCATCATGTTATTTGCTCCTCATCCTCGTTACAGACTGCGACAGTTTTAAAGGTTTTTTTTCTGGCTATGGTATTGCATCCAGACGTTCAGAAACGTGCGCAAGAGGAAATCGACTCAGTGGTTGGAAAAGAACGGCTGCCAACATTCGAGGACAGAGCATCACTACCCTACATTGATGCAATTGTACGAGAGACTTTCCGATGGGAGCCCGTTGCACCCCTTGGTATTCTTCCCTGCTAAGTGATCTGGTCTGTACTGAAGATGATCTCATAGGCATATCACATGCTACCTCGAGTGACGACGTATACGATGGTTATTTCATTCCAAAAGGTCTGATGTTTTTGTCCCATTCGATTATCATTGACAATATCGTACTCATCAGGCGCAATCGTCACATACAATACATGGTCCGATATATTCCTCCCAGCTTTCGTGACACTGACTTGATTTTAGGGCTATTACACGGGATGAAAAGCGGTACCCCGACGCATCTCGTTTTATGCCAGAGAGGTTTATCGACGTCAACGGTGCGTTGACAAGTGATGACCCCGCACAATACTTTTTTGGTTTTGGTCGGCGTAGATGTCCAGGTTCGTTATTTTAATCCTATAGAAGTATCGCTGACGTAATTAGGAGTGTATACTGCTGATTCCTCCGTGTGGTCGGCCGTTGTGACTGTGTTGGCCACATTGGATATTTCTTCTGGCAAAGATGATCAAGGCAAAGTGATCACATTCACTCCCACGTTCAACCCAGGAGTAATTCGGTACTTGACTTTCTCGTGCATTCTATCACTTTCTCGTCACTAACAGTTTCGTTGCTCCAGCTCTCCTGCGGACTTTCCTTGCTGTATCTCGGCACGATCTCACATTCATTCGGGCCGTGTGGACAGTTGGCGAACTGCCGAGTCTTGAAAGAAGGGATGACAGTTCGCCCCATTGGGGCATTGGGGGACTCATCAATCAATTATGCATTTCGAGTGTACACTAGGTCAGTAGTTGCGATGGAACAGAAATGTGTCATATGGGTCTCAGTCACCCGGCATGTCTAGCTGTTGGGTCAAGGGCGTTGTGCCAGAATAGTTTTCAAAAAGATCAATTAGAAATTATAGTAGATGGGAGTTCTGATCAAGCTGGCCTTCTTCACCCCTGGAGTTTACCCGTGCAATTCCCTAGTCCCACAACAGGAAAGCGTCACCCGTCGAACCGTGAGTTTGCAGTTGAGCGCTTGAGCGCTCGATGCGGATGGAGTCAATTGACTGTAGAGATAACATCAATGTGTTTCACAGGAACAGGTTCCTGGTGGCAAAGGCAACAGCTTTCTGAAAGCGCCCTATACGCGCCTCCAATCTTATCCACACCGCATCAGCTGCGCTGCCTGGCACGTTGCATCGTGCGACTGCCGTGGATCTTCCGAACCCTCGCACACGCAGTGCATCACGAAGTGCTACGTCTCTCATGCTTCGAGCATCAGGATTCTAAGCGACTGAAGCAGTGGCGCTGCGCGAAGGATAAGTTCTTATGTACTAGTCGTCCCGTCGGCATTTTGGAGTTCAATCCTTTCTTACCGGGACGCCAGAGCGATGTCAGGAGGTCCGCCAGCCCTCGGCTTGCAAGGGTAAGCCCTTTCGTGAGTGACGGTAGGCCATTATGAGCTCCAATAGGTCATTCTGGGAGTGTACAAGCAGTGGCGTGATGTGTCTATGCGAAAGGGTGTGGGCTTGCGACCTCTGTACGGTGCGGGAAGAGGTCTTCATCCAATTCCCATACTGCAACGAAACCATTCTGCATCGCTTGCTGATATATTGACAAATACATGCACTGAAGAAGCGCCAGATGCAGACGAGGTAATGCTGGCTGCGATTGCCCCGTCATACGAGAGCTGCGGTGAGGTGTGCGGAGGCGTAGGATTTATTCATGGGAGTGGAGATAAATATTTAACTCAAGTTCAGACCGAGGGTCCCAGCCGGAGGCCACGCAAGACTCAATGCGTTCGCTAAATCGCTTTATATGAACGGGAAAACTGATTAGATTTATCCAGGGTTCCGATGTATGTTGCCCATAGTGTAGTGATCTAAGCTCGTGACGCAAAACCAGAGCCAGCAGTTTGTCTGGTTCTTTCCTCATGATTAAAACATCGCGTCGAAGTTCGACACGGAACGAGTTCGAGGGAAACGGTGTACCTTGATAGGGTCTTCATACTGATATTTGACATGAGCGCAGAACAGGAGCATTGCTATGACACCCACCACCCAGAATGGCATATCTGATACGATAACCTCTGCACCCTTCATTCTGCATTTCGCCTTCAATATCTCGTAATCTCCGACCAGCTGCTCTATGTTCTTGTCACACGTCAGGACTTTAAGGCTTGGAAGCGCGTCCACTGCTTCGATGATAGGCTGGAGCGTGTTGCGGTACATGTGATTGGGATTTCTGAAAGAGAGGTGTTCGATAGTGGGTGGGAGGTCGGGTACTAGTGGAAAATGTGTGGGCACGTGATAAATTACTAGCTCTTCGAGCGCAGTACACATGCGTAGGAAAGCGGCAGAATTACAATTGTAGTTTGTGAGACGGAGGGAACGAAGTCGCGGGGCATGAAGAGAAAGAATAGTTCGATGCGTGGGTCCTGGTATATCTCGCAGCTCTAGGATGCGGAGGGAGTCGACAGATGATTCAAGCAACCAGGTTAAAACATCTGATGTTGGAAACCTAGACAGGGCAAGCTCATACAAGTGAACCTCTGCGCCAGGTCGTTGTGCCAACTCGTCAGGGTCAATATTTTTCCGTAACACCGGCGTGGTATCAGTGCGCCATGGCCACGCAGCAATCTCCTTTTCAATTTTGAGAAATTGGATGTTATTCCATATCTTGAGCAGTTGGAAAAGGATGGGCGATTGGAGTCCACACTGCACCAGTGTGAGCGCTTTCAGTTTCCTCCCTACATCCCCCAGCTTCTTCAGTATCTCCTCCTCGAATTCGTGTACTCCAGTGATGCTCAGCGCGAGCTCATACAACTGAGGACAAGCCTGCAGAAGGATTACAAAGTCATCTGGACTGCATCCGCGTCCCCCATTCGAGGTTTTTCCGACTGATATTTCGAGGATTCGTATACATTCACCCAAGGCTTTTCCCCGGCTCGCCGAAGAGAGTAGTGCTGCACGGAATATAGGGATATTGTGCTGCTCAAGTTTGGTGGCGCAGCGAAAGAGCAGGGTTTGTGCAGGTCCTGACCAGGTCTTACACACCAGCGCAGCAGCTTTAAGGAGGCTATAGTTCGGGGTGCATAGCGAGGTGTAGTACCCGTGTTCTAAGATACATAGAACAAGTTCAGGAGGAACGAAAGACATCTGGAGAGTTTATCAGCTGAGATCTGAATTGCGAGACTCCGATTTGAAGTAACGGCACCCACCACTTGCCAGATTCAATCGTTCAAATCAGATGATTATTCGATGATTGGATTGCGGATTTCTGTATATCTGTGACGGTGATGGACCAATGCTTGTTGTACTGGCAGTCAGAGGTTCAGAGGACGCGCACTGGCAGTCAATAATACCCGGTTATCCGCCGTACAGTCATCCGATGATTACTACGATTACCACAAGCCTGACACAACTCATCTGAAGCTTGAAGCCTTTCTTGCAACAATGAAGATGATTTGGTTTCAAGGGCAACATTCTCAAGTTTTTAGCGCAAATGAATAAGAAATTATCTACACGTTCGGGGATGTCTATACCAACACTCACTGGGAGACTCAACATTACTGATTTAGCATTTTCCAATACCATCAATCTAAATATTCATGTGGATAGTAAAAAGCGAACAACACATCTCTCCTAACAAACTTTTACATGCGAATAATGAGCTGCTTGATTGCCGACATCCATAAGCCAATGTCATCTGTCTGCGAGCCACGAGTGAGAAGGTCGACGTGGATAGACAATGCAGCATCTCGGTCATGCGCCTCCATAGCTGTCAAGCAATCCTCGAATCAGGATTCTCCAAACGTATCGACGAAAGACACGTACCTCTTGCCAAAACAAGCAACTGGTCAGCCACAGGCTTGGACAACGTCTCACAATTCAAAGCATCAAATAGAGAGTTGATTCGGCGCTCAAGGTCATCGGCCATTCGTCGTTGTTGGGGCTATGAGATGGATGGTCACAGAACAGTTTTGATCACAAAAGGCAATCACGTACTTGCGTCGTCTGCTTCATTCGTGTGAGTTGCTCGTTGATGATATTGAAGATGGGCAACACAGGCTCAGGGATATGAGTCCGGTCTCCCGGGGCTAGAATCACTATTCAGTCATGTACCTACTACATCATTAAGAAGACATACGATATTTTGGTGGCGGTGGACCTTGTCGAGAACGCGCAGGCTGCGTGTTGCTGGCACTTCCGGCTGGCGCAACTCCGGAAGGTCCCTGCTGAGGAGGAAGACCAGCGAGCGGATGTGGTGCGGGGGCCACTCGCGGTGGACCTTGTGGAATTCCACGGGGTTGCTGCTGGACTTGGCCAGGAGGGAGCGCGTATGGGCCCGGTGGTGGTTGCTGAGCTTGGCCTGGAGGAGGCGCATAGGGACCTGGCGGCGGTACCGGAGGACCAGCCTGTCCCGGCGAAGGCGTTGCGTATGGTCCAGGTGGGCCACGTAGAGGTCCAGGTGGAGGAGTAGCACGCGCATACGGTCCAGGAGGTTGTAACTGAGCGGGCTGCGTGGACGGCGAGTATGGACCAGGAACAGAAGGAAGAGGTGCATGCTGTTGGGCGGGAGACATTAGTCGGTTTGAGGGTGGTTGCATGCCCTGTGGATGAGTAGGAGGCCCAGAGGGAGGTCGAGCCTGAGAGGGAGGTGGCTGCATCATCCGCTGTGCCACCCGACCCTGCACGCTTGTCGGCCGTGGCGGAGGGGGAAGTGGAGCGTTCTGACCATGCCCGGCGGTGATTGGAGTGCCAAGAGCGGGGGGTGACGCAATTCTGGGAGAAGGAGCATTGGGGAAGGGGGACACTATAGCCACAGGCTTCTGAAGATTCAATGATGATGGGGCGCGACGATCATTAGTCATAACGGGAGCATCGTTCCAGCCGCCATTTGGCATGCGTTTCGGCGGTGCAGAGGAAGGCACAGGACCACGGGACGATGGTAGAGGTTGATGTTGGGTTGGCTGCGGAACGGACGTGGGGTGAATCGGCCTGGCAGGAGCAGGTACAGCATATGGATCATATGATGGTTGAAAGTTGGATTGAACTGGCGCATATGTCTGAGCAGGGACAGATGGCGGGTAGCTAGAGTAGCCAAATGACATGGGGGGGATAGTAGGTGCAGGGTCAGCAGCAAGGCTCGTGCCTGTTACAGGAGCAGTTGGGGTCACCCTACGCTCTCCGGAAGTAATCAGTAGACGCTCCCTGATTCCTGCACAATCCAACGCAGACCCTATGTAATCTGCCGGCGTTAACTTCAAAAAGGCAACAGCCTCCTTCACCAAACCCTGAGTACTGAGCACGTCTGCATACTCAAAGTATCGATCGTACAACGCGGCGAGCTTGTACGTTTTCGCACCGGCGTCTTCACCTGATACCTGTGCCAGATCGCCGTCCACATACTTAGTGGCATCGCGGAATACGGTCACCTTCTCTATGAAAGTGTGCAGAGCATGGGCATGGGCTGCATACCGCGAATTGCTCAGTTGATCTTGATCATCCAATAACAAAATCTCCTCTTCGGCGAGCTCCTCGATCCAGATGTTCAAGAGTCTCTCCAGCCTTCCTGCGGCTAGATATGTCAAGGTCGCCGTCTTCCTCAACTCAAGGGCATCCTCCTCGTTCCCTGCACTGCCCTCACGCATCAGACTGCTCTGGAATTCTAGCCTGCTCCCAAGTTGCTCCGCAAGGTTCGAGAACTCCTCCTGGCTCGCGAAGGTGCACAGCACCACAAATATCTCCTGCCATTCTTGAAGATCGGCGTTCTGTACGATGTCCGAGAGATCATTGGTGACAATGCTCTGGAATAGACGAAGATAGGGATACGAAGTGGTGCGCCGTTCGAAGTAAGCCTTCTGGGTGCGTTGAAGGAGATCTTCGCCACCCTTGATCGCGAGCAAGATAGCGTCCGCGTAGCGTTCGGCAGACAGACACAACGAAACAGCAGACTCGAAGTCACCAAGTACCAGTGCTTTCGTCACCAGCCCATCCGTCTCACTCTCGTCAGATGGATAGATCTTGAACGTGTTGTTCTTCAGGTTCTCGCTTGCTATACTCGAGGGACCAGACCCAATGGTGGCAGCGACACTTGAATCGAGACCGTAGTTATGATGAGGCACCTCGAGTTCGGGCGCAGCACCAATTGTGCTGAAGAAATCAGCACCCGCATCCATCTGGGGTGTACCAAGGGCGCCTTCATCACCAAAGAGACTCGGAGCAGTAGTCGTGGATTCGCCATCTGTGACCTGAACGGCGTCGGATGCAACGCTGGCGCTTACCTCCGAAGGCGTCTTTTCAGCACCCATCGTCGACAAATCTTCTTCACTGCCATCGTATTGTGCTTCTGGTTCTGCAAAGGACACCACTGGCTCGTGGGGTTTCACCGGGTCCGCGCCTGCTTCATCTACGCTATAGCTGGATGCGTTGACTGATACAATCTCCTTCAGCTTCGCAACCGCTTCCTCGACACGCCCCTTGACCTCCTCTTTAGAGTAACCTAACAGCGTGACAAGTTCGTCCCTCGAATTCGCACGGAACAAACTAAGAAGGGCCTTCCAGCCATCTTCACCAGCTTTTTCTGAGCTTACCCGTTCTTCTGCGAATGTGCTCAAGGTATTGGTATCCACAGCTTGTTGCAACCTTTGCGCCCGGTCGACAATGTCTGTCTCTGCAATAACTTTTCGGATGTGCACCACGCTGCTCTGGTTTTTCCCTGAGGCTGCAGGTAAATTACCAACGCTGATGAGCTGTCCGCCAAACCCGAACGAGCAGGAAGATGGGCGGCGAAGCCACTTGGGTGGTTGTTTAAGACTGAGCGTCGGAGCTGTGGTATGGGAGTAACCTGGCACATCAAACACATCTGCACCATCGGTTTTTGGGGTCACAGGGGGAACTGTAGCATCATTCGTAGACTGGATAGAGTGAATCCCAACCGTGCCATCGAAGAAAGCGGTAGCTAGGAGATCAGGATTTCGTGGGCACCATTCCACTTGAAAAGCCCAGTTACCCGCAGAAGGAAGCTGTTTAAAGACGAAGTCAGAACATTATGATTCGATGAATCAAGCCATACCTCGCCGATGATCTCAGATGTCTGCGGGTTCCAACAGAGGGCGCGGTTGTCCTTTCCGCAGGAAAGCAGAAGGTCTGCATCATGTTTACACCACGAGAGCGACAGAACACCCTTCTCGTGCCCCGTAAGGATCTAGGAACGACAACATGGGGCGCATTAGCAATGGACGAATGAATATATTAAAAGCGTACTTTTTCCGGTGCGCGTGCATTTCGAAGATCCCAAACCATGATTACGGGAGACAGGTCGTCCTCGGAAGCAGTAACAAGACGGGTTGCCTGAATTGAAATCCCAATTAGTCCCATGGTATAACGGTTTGAATTGTGGATTCCTACATTGTCAGGGTGCCACGCAATCGCACTCATACCGCGTCTGCCGCCAACAGCCATTCCACTACCAACACCACTTTGGCCTGCAAGCGTGCCCGCACCACCACCGTAAGCGAGGGCGACTACCTCACGTTTCCCTCGCAGATCCCATACCACAGTATATCCCGTACTGCTAGCGCCTGCAAGCACGTATTGCACTTGTTGGTTCCAAGCAACAGAAGTGATTTCATCAAGCTTTGTGCTCCGTGTGCCTGGTGTAGGAGAGTACGGCTTCGACGGGTCATTGAGATCCCAGATATAGACCTATATTGCGACAAACGTGTCAGGAGGATAATTTGCGATTTGCAAAAGAAAATCTGCGCACCTCGCCGTTAATGGCACCAGAAGCCAGAAGGTTTGTTTGTATGGGGTTGAAATCGAGGCCACGGACGGGACCAGTATGACTGGTGTTGCGCAGAATCAAAGATTCTGCGACACTGGGTACCCTAGTCAGCTGATGAAACCTAGTAATAAAATGTACGTACTCGGCATTAACGATGATCTTTGCTGGGTCCCACAAAGCAAGTTCGCCGTTCTCCATACCAGCTGCAATGACACCACGTGAACGGTCTCTATGCACTTGACCCCATGCAAGACGGTTGAACCTATGACGATCATTTTCATGGACTTCTATTTTTGCACGCGACTAGCACGCTCACCTTGAGCTGTCGGTGACCGCGCCCTTTGGGGCAGGCAAACCATCTCCTCCGAGATCATATTCGTTCTTGTCCATGAAATCAGGTTGCCATATCTCGAGCTGAGATTCGTTCGAGAAAGACTCATCGAGTGCGCCAGCAACCGAGCCAGTCGCGATGAGGGGGAGCGACGCGGTCGGTGACCACGCAAAAGTGGACGTCCTGTAGATTTCTTTAAGCTTCATGGCGAATGTTTGGGTTAAGGCCTTCAAGACGTGTCAATATCTACCAAAACTTGTCCGCAGTTTTTGGTACAAAGCCTAAACGTGGTCCTTTATCTACCAAATATGTATATAACAGTTTGTGCTAAATTTGTCAGTCTTCATGCACTCTTCGACCTGACCCGTAGTGCCTCGGAGGATGGGCAGGTCAATATAACAATATTCACCAGCATGGACACTACTTCCTGGCTTGCATACAAAATTTCGACTCGTGGAGGATGATGCTGTACTTGTGACAACATACTTTTCCTCGGGACTTTCAAGTTAGCTCGTTCAAGTACACCCATTGGTGTAATTGGGATAAAACCACTCCCGAAAATCACTGTTATCATTCACGGAATTCATACTGCCTCGCGCCACCCTTGCCCTCCGTAGTCAACGGATAACCACTTCGCTGTGCATCGAACATGCCCAAGGCTGACCGCCTTCATCTGCTGTGCTTCCGGCTTGCCCCCCAATACGAGGTGTGGTCAGTTTGCAGAGGATTTCTATTGATAATTTCATCGTGTCGGTCTTCTATCGCGCTAACTTGCATTCTGAGTCATCTCGATCAGCACTCTGCGATGCTGGTTCATTTGTTCGATCGCGAGGAGATTGACTAAGATGCTGTGTGTTATCACTCTGATTCGTCGCCAACGTCGCCCTTTGACCCTGTAGTGGTTCTGTTAGGTCCTGCCCTGTTTCAAAATTTCACTGGTGATTAGTGAAGATGGTGAGAACCATGGAGAAGTTCGGGAGCATTCGCTTAATCGACACCGAAGTCCCTCCGCAAGTTTAGAACATTCAGGTTTGTTTCCTCCTTCGCTTCGTTTTCATAGTATGGTGATTTCTTCAGTCATTTAATCAATCATTGATTTGACGTCTTACCTCAAAGACATGCTTTGCTCAAAATGACGATCAACTCCCCGAAACACTGGCCTCTACCCTGGCACTAGAATAAGGTTTACATGCTCCCAAGCTCCGGAGCAAAGCAAAGTCATGAGCAAGGCAAGGCCATGAGAGCATATGACTCAAAGTGCGCCGTACATCTGTCTACTTCCACGTTTATACGAGCGTCAAGGATCATTGGGCTTGCTTTTGCTTCTGGCTAAACTGCCGCTCAATCACCAGCCACCCTGTATTCGCCAACTATATGCTTACACTCATACTATGTATTGTGCCCACCATCTACAGGTAAACTGGATCTCATTTCTCGCGTACGCATCAGACCGCGTGTTTTACAACCTGTTTGTCTCGTGTACCGTGCCTCATGGTCGCCAATGGTCCTCTTATGTGTTCCCTCAGTTTAAAAGCTGCGTTCACAAATCACCCATGTAAGAGCCTCACCCGCTCACAATGTTTGCTTCCTCTTTCAATCCCGCTGTCCGACCTCCCCCCCGTGGAGCAGCCAAAGTGCGAAATGTATTTATTACCCGTATGCCTCACGCTGATCACGTTGTGCTGTGCAGAATTATTTCCTACCGGTACCGTCGGGCTTCTCTCTCCAGGTTTTCAAGGCTCCGACTATGTCTGCACGTCCATATGCAGCGAAAGTGGACTTAGACTACCGCCCCATGACACGAGCGGACTCTCAGTCCAGACAACAGTCCGGACACGTTCCTCGCCAGCAGGAACCCACGAGGAAGCTATTAAAGGCTCCTCCGCCCGAGGAGCCAGGCTTTGCTAAGCGATCGTACGAGCACAAGCCTAACCCCGGGAGATACGCTATTCATGCCGGACCTGTGCCCGACACATACATTTATGAGCGTTCAATATCGTCCAAGGCTGAATACCTTTACTCGCCTTCTGACGTAACGAGCGAATGCGACTCTATCTTCTCAGTCAACACACAGATCTCCTCCGGCTCATCGAGCAGCAGTGTCACGGATAGCCCCCCAAACACACGGATGCTTCAGATCAGAGCTGCCTCGCCAAACCCTGAGCAATCACATTCGCGTTCGCCCCCTTCGTACCACCCCAGAGGTGTGTCAAATTTTCCACAGGGGCATTCGTGCCCTTCATGCGGTGAGGCGAGTCCTGCGCAAAGAACATCATCCATGACTGCCAATAAGGGAAACTACGCCCCTTATCCTTCACGTCCACTCCCTACGCCCCCAGTGAGCGCCAGAGTACGTAAGGACAGCATTCTCCTAGCAAGCGAGCGCTCCATTATGTCATATGACACCCGCCAGCACTCAACATCACTCAAGCATGGTGAACGCGTGCCATTCCCGGCTCCACCGGTGGTTGAGCAAGGGAGAAATCACTTGGGCATGCAGCTGTCGCGCTCATCGTCCCTTAAAGGGAACCTCTCTATTACCATCCCACCACCTCCGGGCTTGGATTTGGTCCCCGGTGGTCATTACGAGTACCCTCCTGTTCAGGGACCCGTGCAGGACACCGAACCAATTTGTCGACCACCTAGCGCACCACATCGCCGGAATTTTGATGGTGACCATACACAAGCCTTGCTACAGCAGCCGGGGTGCGCCGCACGGTCTGTGCGGTGGTGCGATGACTTGATATGTCCATCGCCTATATTCCCAAATCAGAGAAGGAAGGGATGGTTTAATCGCAGAGGGTTTGTCATACTTTGTTGATGTGTATGAAGGCTGACCCGTAGTTCTTCAGAGACCAACTCTGGCGAAATGATGGTTCCTACCGGGCACCAGCACCAGGAGATGCGTACCCTCCTGAGCTTGAGGGCTATCCAGAGCCCGGAAGTGGGTGGCAGAATGAGGAGGGAACTCGCATTGACATCCATCATCGTTTGATACCCAAACCTCCACTGCGCTCTGTATTGAAGCCAACGAATTATAAGTGTCAGGATGGTATTATCGCCGGTTACCTCACCGCTGTCCCCTCGCCGACATCTGACGACGAGTGACAATCGGATGCATCATGAGTCCGTTCCCTGCTTCATCATTATCTAACACGGACACTCTCCGATCAACTTTTCGTTTTCGATGTTTTATTCGTTCAGGTGTTCTCCGCCACGTTTTATCGGAGCTGGTATACTGTCTCTAGCATTATGACGGTGATAAGTTACATCCTTGCATGTTTGTACATTAGTCTGACGAAAGAGATATAACCTCATGTTCATCCCCGCTCGTCCTTCTATTTAATCTGGCGAGAATTTCCTTCGTCTTCTTTTCACTCTTTCGCCGCTTCTTGGTTGGCTGGGGCGGTCTAAGTGAGTAAGCCCAGTCTGCACCGTCATCATCGTCATCGTCCGACTCCTCGGCATCGACCATCCTTATCTGGCTCGTAAAGTCTTCCCCGTCAATTTCGTCCGGGTCCGATACATCTTCATATACCCTTTTCTTTCTTGATGGGGCTGGTTGCCGAATTCGTGACGGGCCAGCAGTCGTGTTTTCTTGAAGATCGGGAATGTCAGGAGATTGCCTGTCAGTGGCAGCCTTCTTGCTCTTCACTTTACGCCCATGTCTCCTGAAGGAGCATTGGATTCTAGGTCCGCCTCCGTTGACGATATCTTCACGAATGAAGCGAGTGAGCCGGAGTGCTTGGTTACCGGGTGCGACGTAAACGTTCACAGTATATGCCGTCGACGAAAAGGCCTCCTCGAGGTACCGCAACACAAGCATCTGCACAATTAGCGACTCCATATCCTTTTACATCATCTCAGATCAAATCAAACTTGACATGGGAAATAAGAACTCACGTCCTTTGATAGCCTCACTTTGCCGCCAGCTACGGAATCATAATCAATCTGTATCTTCTCTTTGGCATTTCGGCGTTTTCCGCTGCCACCAGTTTCGAATGAACCACCACCTAGACCGCGCGCCAGGTCACTAAGGCCAGAAATAGTCAGCCGTCCGCCACTACCCTCTACAGCTTCAAGTATCTTTAGAATCTGCCACGCTTCAACTGTGGCATCTTTGTGTTCTACGTTGGCAGGAGGTCTCGTACAGTTATCGCAATGGCCACATCGGTCCATTGCATCTGACTCGTTCGTGGTCCATGAGGCCATAGAGAGATCGGATGATTCCGAAAAGTACCTATAACGATCACCAAACGTACTTGTGAGAAGGTAGACACTAGCACGAATTAGGCTTACCTTGCAAATAAGATCTTGCGGCATTCTTGCATATCTTGCGCGAAACGTAAGATGTCATGCACTGCGGCGGACACGAGAAAGTATTGCGTGATAGTTCATATTCAAATATGGAGATGGCTCACATTTCACCACGCCATCCTGGTCACTGCACGTAATGGAAGCCTGACGAGTAGCATCCTGTGGACGATAATACAATACGCAGTCTGCATCTTGACCATCTCGCCCAGCACGGCCAGACTCCTGATAGTATCCGTCAAGAGACTTCTGTGAAATGGCAAGCACTCGATGAATACGCAGAACACTGCCAGTACTTTGAGGCTCCACAAACCGATATCTGAGATGGCATATTTCAACATCTTCATTGCATAAAACATCTGAAATGAAAGACGCACTGTATGGTGGAGCACAAATCGAACGTTGCCCTTGTCAATCCCTAGGCCGAAAGCTACCCCGAAGGTCATCAGGACCCGAAGTCCATGTGATGTGACACATGAGGCGGACCTATTGTGGCGCAGACAACCTGAACTTTCCCTTCCCTCCATTGCATGTGAAGCCTTTCTTTCTGCCCATCCTCGACATCCGCGTGATAGACGCCCGTTTTGATGCGGCCGTTGCTCACCGCTTGTATACTTTCAGCAACTGACTCTGCATCCTTCAAAATGTGAAGTCGACGCCCGCAGATGACTTGGCCAAAAATACCTTCTTGGTGAGACAATATATAATGCCACTATCATTTCTGTGATTTTGCAAAATGTAGTCCGACATGGTCGCAATGAGTTCTTTTGCAGAAGATGGCTTTGACAAGACAGTGTAATGCAGATTTTTGCGATACAGAGGCGCAGAAAAATACACCGTGCCATCTGGTGGAGCAGCTGTGCGCAATAGTATGTTGTTTTAGTTGTCCGCACATTCAAAAAGCATACACACCTTTCCCATCTACTACCGGTTTCATTTTGAGAATCTTAAGAATATCTTGGAGAACTCTTGGGGGACAGGTTGCAGACAATGCGAGAATGGGCACATGAGGAAAGAACTGGCGAAGGGTGCTTAATTTTTTGTAGTCTGGGCTGGAGCGCGATTGGTGAGATGGCTGTATGCCTGTAAAGACAAAAATCGTACCGAAAATCATGACCCATTTGAGAAGCGCAATGAGCTTCATCGATAACGATCCGAGCTTGTGCAAATCAATCATAGGATTTCAATATTACGGACTCGGAACCTACCAAGCTTTCCACCTTCCACAAGCTTGCGCAAAAGAGACATAAATGGCTTGCTTTTAGCTATCTTCTCCGGCTGATGCATAAATCAGCATGAGATCATTTTGTCGGTTGCTGTATTACCGTGACGTAGCATAATTTAATGTCCCGACCTTGATGTCCTTGCGCCTGAGACGATGCCATGGATGTTAGCCTTTGCTGAATCTCGTTAAGTAGAGGACGCGGAGTTCCCCCCGTCAACATTACAGCTTCCACTGGGAGGACTTTAGTATTGAAGACAGGAAATTTCAGATAAAAGCGAACATACCTCCTGACTCTCTCAGATGTAGAATCTGATCCGTCATCAGGGAAATGAGGGGAGATATCACCAGTGTGCACCCTGGCGTCAGGAGAGCAGGAAGTTGATAGGTTAACGACTTGCCACCTCCTGCAACAGCACGTTAGCAGTGGAAAAAAGGCATCACCTATCGCCCTACCGGTGGGCATGACACAGACAATATCTCGGCCATCCATATTAGCGTTGCAGACTCTGTTATGAGTCCTTTAAGATTCAGGAAGGAAGTGGAGCACCGCACTGACCCTTTCTGGCACAGTCGAAAGTCACCGATATCGAAAACCTTCTTCATTGTTAACTGCAGCTGTGTTGACCAGTCAAAACTAACAGTGTAGTCGACTGTAGCCGCTTTTCCCTTGTCCTTAGTCCGACCAGCGTCATTGGACCCCCTTGGCGGTGACACCATGTTGATACGGCTGCGCTCTCGAGTGAGGTCATCTTTTTCAGCAATTAAGGTCTCCCGTAGAGCAGTCAACTTCTTGATCTGTTCGTCTATCCCTTGTATCTCAACCTCTAGAGAAGACAATCGGGTGTTGACATCATGTCTTTGAAGATACGACGGCGTCGTCTTTACAGATTTGGATGGATTTGCAATATTAACAGGTGAACCGGGAAGTTGGTCCATGAGGGTCATTTCAAGAATCTCTTCCATCTGCGAGTATAAACGTCAACAAAGTCCACCTGAAATTAGATCCTAGTACCCACCTCATCTGATCCGACATGATCTGAAAGGTAGCTCAACTTATTGCCAATCATGTATCGTCGCGAACCGTTCCGTACTTTATTCTGTGTCTAGATCAAGTCAGCGCGGCGAAAAATAGACAAAGCGCAGTCACGTTCGCGACGGAGACTCTGAGTGGTGTACACGGGTGGGTGATTAAGGCAGTGAAAACAAGCGGCACGTGAGAAACGCGACGCGTCTATTTGGTTCGATTGGTCCACTGCCACCAGCCAGGCTGGACCGTCGAATTCAACCGACAAAACCCTTCTCCCTTTAAGTTATGTCGAGGATAGCAATCACAGCTGGCAATAGTATTCTCCTTAATACATCCCCTTCTGGCTCATCTTATTTCCTTCTCTCGTATTTCATGACATTCCGTACCCCACAGCATATAAACTCGCGATAGAGTCATGTCTACTTTTCTGCCCGAACTGAATATAAGTATCTTAGTCCGGACAGATCTATCGTTTGAATCCTTAGTCCATACTATTGATTCTATCCATATCGACTCTCTCAAGTGTAAACACTTTCTATCAAGTGCCACACAGTCACCGTTTCAGACTGCCATGTCAGCGCAAATTCATCTAGCATTCGCGACTACAGCCGTTGGGATAACGTCTGTTATCCAAGTCCCTACACCATCTCCTGGACCCGATGAGGTGATAGTAAAAGTAGCATTCAGTGCAGTGATACATACATGGCGCATTATGGTCGAGTCATAGATGACCCGAGCGAATACCCAGTCATATTAGGCCTCAATCTCAGCGGGGTTGTAGAAGCCGTGGGCTTCGGCGTGGACGGGAGACAAGGTGAACATATTGAATATTTGTTCGAGACAAATGAACAAGTCTAATGCTCATCTTGTCTTCTAGGTTGGCGCTTTTACAACGGCGGGATCCAAGGGAAAAGGTTTACAAGAGCGTGCAAACATAAACAGTTCCAGCTGCGCCAAGGTTTGAAATGATTCACGCTTTCAATGCAAGTGCTAACTAGACTCGTAGCTCCCCGATGATTACTCGCTGGAAGCAGCTGCAACAATTCCCGACAACTTCGTAACTACATTTTACTCGTTGTCTAATTGTTTGAAACTTGCTCTGCCAACGTTCCCCGCCTTTGTACTGCCTCCTCATGAAGAGACTCCGATCCTCATTTATGGTGCGGGAGCTACCTCGGGGGTCCATACGCTGTTCAGCTGTTGGCCCTTGCTGGGTACAAGCGAGTCATTGCAACCGCGTCCCCTCGCCACCATTCTTACCTCAAGTCTCTTGGCACCGCCAATGTCATAGACTACAACGCTGACGACATGCCCGACCCCAAAACACTAATATGAAGCAAAAAAAAAAATCAACACAGATACCAGCCCTTCCTTCTTTGCACAGCTTCCTCGAATGCAATCCCTTCCAATCTAGCAACCTCTTCAATACATTTACGGCCGAGGCCCTCTACTGAATTTTTCGCCTCCATATCCATGTTCTTTTTCTCTTTGATTAACATCCTCACCGAAGCTCAGGGCTGTAGATAAAACGAGACTGCACAATGCTATAATCATGAATTGATGGTATCGAGAATTCCACGAAGCATTCCAGACATACAAGCCCATTCTATGAAATCTTGAAAGCCGGCATTGCACTGACTAATAGAGGGCTCACATAATATCGAGGTTTCCGAATCCATTGACAAGTCCCATGGCTACGGAGCGTTTTTCCGGTGGACGAGGAATGGTGTTTGCAACCCAGGGCAATGTCAAGGCAAACCCTTTCGAAAATGTATCAACCGTACGCTCAGCGTTCTAATCAGAAGTTACCGCAATATTCTGTGGTCACGAGGAACAAGGAAAAGTATCGCCCGTCCGTAGCCATGGCGCATAGAGAGATGATATACCCGAGGATGCTATCCACCACCAGCTAGAAAGTCATCATTGCCATTCGACACTGACAACATTTTCTGCCAAAGATTCAGACATCTTTTCCTCGACGGACATGTTAGATACTGTCAACGAAACGCTACGCCAACTTAGCGCGGTGATCCAGCCACCCAAACGGATGCCTTCTATACTAGGGTGACTGGAGGCGTTATCGTGATGCCTATAAATTGTCATGAACTCAGTAACCCCACTCAATCTAGAAGACCGCTGAACAGAGAAACGGAATTTATTATTGATTTAATTGCTGCGATGACGCGGCGATTAATTTCGTGGTCCTTTGTTTCTGATAAGGAGCAGTACCTAATACAGGCGTTAACAAACAAACAAACGATTGAAACGAGTACAACAGTGAGAAGGCAATTTAAGCTATTCAAGGGAGCTTACCACAATGATAGAGTCAAACTGCCAAAACAAGCATCCATATCGTCAGCCTACGTCGTGCCGGAGATATCATCCACACAAGCTCATAGTATCATAGACCACTGAGTGTGATATTTTATTTCTAATAAGCAGTACATCAGCGCACAACACAGTGCGAACAGTGAAACAATCACCAAAACATGCGGTAGGACGCTACAGGAAGCTGAGCTACTCGGAGCTTTCCACGACGACGTAAGGCGGCAAAACTTTGCCAAATGCTTGCTGCGTTACGTAGTGGTAGAAATATCATGGAGAGAAGGCGGTTCGAGTCGTTCAGGCACGCAGTGCGATGTGCACCTCGAAGACATCTCGAAATGGGCAACGTGGTGAGAAGCTGGGATGCCTGTAATCAGGAATAAAATTTTGAGCATATGACATTTGGAGGATAAATGAAGCGTGGTTTGTGCGCTGGCAACTCGGTGATATATAGTCACGTGCAAGAAACAATGAGTGTAAACAATAATTTAAAGTCAGCGGTATTCTAAATTTAATAGGCAAGTGTTGTTGATTTACGAAAAGAGGACAATGGTTAGAAAGACAAAAGACATGCAAGTTATTATCCGAGGTTAGATATATACTAGACATGTACTCCAGACTTTTCATCAGTTCACCTAGTACATCATGAATATACGTGAGTTCTATCTCCTTGACTTTGACCACCAAGTAACTAACCTCCATACAGTTCTCAATCGTGCATCATTGAAGCGTAGCTCCCGTACTCGCACTAGAAAGACTTCAGACGCTGGCTGTCAATCAACTCTCCAAATAATACCAGAGTGCTCAGAAACTCACGATGACTCGCGCCTCACTCTATCCGAATTTGCATTCTCAATCGACGATGCCCTGCTCATGCTCAATGACCGCGACACTCCTCGCTCACCTGCTCTCTCTGCGTCCTCTTCCACAGACGACAGCATGCCTGCTACTCCATATGCATCAGACGATGAAGATTTTACTCTTCCAACTCCCCGTATAACACCCAAGCGCGTCACCATTCGCCCTCTATGTATAAACAAGACCCGTTCTATCGTCTGCGAGCACGTCACCAATCCTCATGGAGAGGAAGACGAGTACGATTTCTACACACGCCAATTCGAGGACTTTATTTCCCTATACTCGCCTATGCCCTCTGCACCAGTACCCGCCCGTCCAGAATCTATCACTCTCTCACCCGACGTAGCATCCCGGCCACCAATACCACGCGGACGCAGTCGTTTCTCAAAAGCTCTCCCACTCCTTCCTCTCCCTACTCCGCCTTCAACGCCTATTCCACCCGTTCCACACCTCCCAGCCTCAGCCATCCGAAGAAAACGCGTCCTTCCACCCTTGCCCATATATCCGCCACCCCCGCCCCCAGTCGAAAATCGTCCCCCTCCTCGTATGGCTGTCCCCTCTGATATCGGAGAGCCTGATATCCTTGAACAAGAGGAGCAACAGCCAGCTCGTCCAATCGTGATCGAACAAGTGTGGTTCGACGATGAGGAAGAATCCATATATTCCCAGCCTTCCTTCGCACCACCTCAAGGCATCCATCCCATCACACCAACAGTCCCAGAAACACTCAGTCCCCCACGCGCAAGCACCGACTCTGACGCCTCCCGGTCGTCTCTGGATTCGTTTTCAAGCAGCCAATCGCACTCCTCCTTCTCATCCTTGGACTCATATGAAGAAACCGCCCCCATCTCCCCTTTCTCCTTCCCTCCCACTCCAGGACCCGAACCCCACCAACTCAGTAGTAGATGGAGCTGTTCTACGATATCCTCACACGCTGCTGAACCTCCACGCACAATTCTGAGTCCCTTGCGTGGGGTGTTTGTGTCGAAATCGAAGGCAAAGTCGGGATCGGGGTCATGGCGCGCCGCTCCTCCATTACTTCCGATCTTGTCTACCCCTCCTCGTTCTCGTGCATCACACAGTTCATCGCCTTCACAAACGCGGACCAACACCCACAATCAGACCCACACACAGAGTCCCTATCAAATGCCCCTGACACGAATGCTATTCCCTGCGACGCCTTCCCCACCCAGTACACCCACTCCCACCAGGCACATCCGCCGCCAACACTCACGCTCCTCGACGTCTTCTGGTTCGTCTGAAAGCGGGAGCTGTAAGAGCGGGGGGAGTGCGGGGTTGAGGAGGAAGCCGATCCCTATTGAAATGTTTCTGAGGGCTTGATCGGTGAGCGTGGGTGGGGTTTCGATTTTCCTGTCTATTGTCTTTGCCGTTTTGTTCTTTTTGTTGCACCTTTTTGCTCTCGTTCACTATGACGACGATCCATAATTATTGTATCTATTATCATCACTCACAGTTCGCTCATTCACGCATATCAATATTCATAATGTACCTGGACATTCTTTCACTTTGCATTTTTCGTTGACACATCACGTCTCTCGTTTGGCTTTTGCATGTCTTTCCATTTCGTCAGGGTTTTAGACGCCCTCTGTCTCTATAGCATAGTCCACTTGTAGCCTAGTCCATACTACGATGAAATGATATTCGATGTTTTGATGTTTCATTGCATGGTTTCTTAAAAATCATTCGTCTAGGGGAACAGGTGATGCTCGTTACAATCAGTCAACGCATTGGGGTGCCCACAGGATTACGAGCCGGGACTCCCGAAGACCTGCGCCAGGATCCTTCAGGCCGGTCCCCCCACTACTCCCCCCACTACAAGAGTTGCACCCTTCGAATGTTCCTGACGAGTGAGTCTTGTACTAACATGAAGAGAAATAGACCCCCGCAAGTTTTCCGCGGACAAGCTAATAAGTCTGCCGGAAGTCCAATAGCGATAACCCGCTAACACATTCAGAACAGGATTCCATAACCATCAAAAAAATCGTCCAGATCCAGGTAAGTCGTGTGAGAAGTACGAGACAATGAGCAGCGGAATAGATTCTTGTCGACAGTCGATACAAATTTCATACACGAAGTAGACTATTGCATCTAAGTGAGTATATAAGCTAACTACCTCGTGTACTATGCGGATGTTCGCTTGAATATTGGACAATCGAGGGCTTACAAAAGAGTGACATAATTGACGATGATAAACGAGCTCTAGATATTATTGCAGGTATGATTATATCTACGACTACGAGCGAGGCGACGTTAGTGACGAGTCAAAGATCGTCAAGTAGAGTAGCAATGCTCACCAGCCATTGCCAGAACGCTTCCATCTTATTCTTTGGCGCGGGTTCCTCATACGAGTCCGCCACGATCCCCGCTATGTCGCTCTTGAAGTCCATGTCCTTTGCAGCAACGGGCTTGGTACCATAGTAGAACCGAGCGCCATAGTACATGATTGGATAGGCGATGAATACGCTGTAATTGGTGATGAAAGTTGCAGTGTTCCACTTTCCTTTGAGAAAGACGTTCCATCCGCTGAGCTAGAGAGTAGAAGGATAGTCGGTCTAAACAGTGTTTTATCGGATACAAAAGTTGACATACGAGACAGATGACGACCGTTGAAGTTGCTCCCCACCACGCTGCGTATGGCTGGAGATTTGTGTAGTAAGGGAGCGTCTTACGGTCGATGCCTTGGACCTGCATGCCCTTGTAGAAGCGGAGGTACGTCACCGAAATACCAAACCACGTTAAAAGGCCAGCGATGGCTGTCATGTTGGTAAGCCAGATGAACACCGAACCCGCACCCGTGGATATAGCCATGAAAGCAAGAAGGGAGAAAGCGGCGGAGAAGAGGACAGCAACGTAAGGCAACCCGTTGCGTGTTGTTTTTAGGAAGTACTTGGGAGCATTTCCTGAGGCTGCAAGACCATCTACGAAGTTCGTCAATTTCGACGAGTTGGCTCCCATAAGTACTATACGCACAAACCGCACGAGACGCAGTGTACAAGTCACTAGATGAGGCAGACCATGCAGAAGTCAACAAACAAGCATTGATGAGCTATTTTGGATAATTAATATCAAATTTCTAGGTTTAAAGGGAAGGCAATGTGCGGCCTACCGAGGGAAAAGACTTAATTCCGGCTGTTTCAATAGCAATGACGAATGGAGACTTTGCGGCGGTTGCATTGGTCAATTGGAGATTTGGGTTGTTTGATGGTACAAGCAGACCGATGACGAATGTTCCACCGACGTAGAAAAGCAATATACGGATGTAAACCCTACGAATGGCTTTGGGCAAGGTACGACGAGGATTCTTTGCTTCTCCAGCAGCAATCTAGGTGAGATTCGTAAGCAATACATTCATTGACAAGCCCAGAATATAGCGTACAGCAACAATCTCAGTTCCAATGAACGAGAAAGCAGCCTGCGTCAAAACAGCCCACCAGCCAAGGAATCGTCCTGTGACACCTTCGATGCCATCATACTGAGCGAATGGTCCAGGATTTTTCCAGTAGCGGAATCCAATGCGGTCATGGTTTGGGCCACCTCCCAGGTCGATGACTATACCGAGAATAATAAGACTAGTGATTGTGATGACCTTGATGGATCTGTAGTACTCTCAGAAAACGAGATCGAGATATAGTATTCAGTACGCACGCAAATATGAATTCCGCCTCGCCGTAAGCGCTAGCACCGAACATATTGATGGTGAGAACGACGGCAATACACATGACGACCCATACTGAATTATTGACACTGTGAGTCCAAAAGTTTATCAATACTACAGCGGCAGAAATCTCGGCTTAGATGATAAAAAATGTCAGCAGGCACGTTAAGAAAACAAATTCGACTCAAGTACCAGGTGCTAAAAAGTAAAAGGTCAATAATTGTGAGAAATGAACGAGGACGAATGGGGACGTACAAGTAATCGACCAGTTGAACCAGTAATTCCAACCCATAGCAAAAGAGAACGCAGGGTCAACGAAGCGCTCGGCCAGTTTGATGTGACCACCAGGTATAGGCAGGTAAGCAACCTACGGAAATGAACATCAGGTATATGATCTACGTCTGGGACGTGCAGCAAGCGTGCCATTTCTCCCAAAGTGATCATGACGCAATAGACAATGGAGCCCATGACCGTGTAGCCCAGCAATAGACCGACGGGGCCTCCATTCGCTAAGGAGTCTGCAGTTCCAACAAAAAGACCAGTACCGATGACACCGCCAATACTTGACGCAGGTGAGAATTCGCCAGAGCAAAACATGGAATCCAACAGACCTGATCATGGATATGTGACGATTCTTGAGTTTACGTTGCAGGGTGTGGCGCGAGGGCCCCTGAATAGATTCTCCATCATGGTCTGAGACGTCAGAGAATTCGCCTCTTTTAGTGTGATAAGCAGCAGTGATCTTTTCGGCATGCATTATGGCGAGCGCCCCTGAGCGAGAAGGTAGGAGGGAAAAGATATGACTTCAACTCAATCACGACTCATACTAAATATATGAGGGTCTAGGAGGCTGTGGTAGTGTCTTCTTTATGGACATTAACCAATAAAGGCGCCACGTCTGATTAGGCGAACGGGGTTAGGCAGCTCCTTCCCGGACCTCCCGTGAATCTGCTCGAGCAGATCCGAGGATTTTTCTGGAAGGGGTATTAATATAATGGCATCTAGCTCCTATACAATATTGCACAGCATCAACACTTGATTTGAGTGATACGGTCGTCGGTCAATCATGTGTAGGTAGAACATAGCCTCCCGGTGTTGTGAGCCTATATCAGCATTTCAACAAAGCATACATGCACGACGTATATTATCGGTGTCACTCACGGAACGGAGGAGGTAATATGATGCGTGATAGGGCGCCATCTCTGAATCACAACACCTCGCCGTCATTTTTAATACCGTACATTTTACCTTTGTGAACACACCATACAACCAGCAAACGACCTTCATATTGGCGTCAGTTGCTTGTATCTATGGACAGGGAACGTGGCTGGCAGTCTGTAAAAGTATACCTCTAAAGTATGTATGTCTATAGACGTTAAAGCCAGTTGTTGTATCTGCATCAAAAACAAATAAGTTCCTTGAATAGTGTACCAGAAAGTGGGCTGGTCAGAAACCTACTATGGGGACTGCCAATGATCGAATCCAATTTGCCCTTGGCGGCCGATTCTACTCCGAATCATGATGTTCACCGATGACAAATCACGTGTTGTATCAGCTGGTGGTAATTGGTTTTTACAGGGCTCAGAGAGGCCAAGATTTGCCAGCAGATGGCACGTCTTCGAATTCATGCGTATCCTCGCACGACTGAGATCGATGGATCTTGTGATGTGGAGGCTCGTGCGCATGGAAACCTGCTTATATCATAGGAAGAAACCAGCAGCCTACAGCCTCCTACAGCTGGTCTCAAGTATCAGACGTTCGAATGAAAAATTGATGTGGGTGAGATCCGCAGTCCGAGATTGATGATTGCAGTCCCAGGAGATGGTGAATATATGAAGCATCTACTGCAGGAGGATGTGTCTATAACAATCAGAATGAGCAGGAGTGACTAGAATATCATAATGCACGATAAGCAGCAGTGACTTGCCAGAATAGCCTGAGTTGTAGGGCCTGACATGGGTTGACCCGGATGTTAACTGCGGGTAAGTTGAGAAATATGATCATGACCGTACCCATCAAGTGGTACGGATGCGAATCTACCCGTAGGTGTGCGGGTCACCCGCGGGTACTACATGATATATCTACCCCTTAACAAGTAGCGATAATGAAATTGGGCGAGTTAGTCGTTATCGATTTCTATGACATCGTGCATCCTGACGAGCTTGATCCTTTCCCTTGTTTCTTTGATGCTCTTACCAAGTATTTGAAAATCAAGCATTTGATTGGCGATTTCATCGTCTAAAAGGGGGTCTTGTACCACGAATCGATAACCGCATCTGAGCTTTGAAGACTTGTGAATTGATGCCGTGTTAAAAGTGATTGACCTGCAAACGACCGCAGGAAAATGCTTGTTCTGCGTCCACAAAGGATCAGAATGCATCAAAATATAAGAGTCATTCAGATCACATACCTGTCGCAGATAAGAAGTCCAACTTGAACGACATTTGAGCCAGACAAGGTCTCTTTTAATGATTAATCAAATCAACGACTGCAATGCGGTAGACTGACCTAACGGATCAGATTGGTCTGTTTGGAAGGAGTGCGAATTCGGGTAGACTATGACCCGTGCCACGACGCCTGCATGTTGATGCCCGTGGGTTCCACCCGGGCCGCACCTCTACCCATGTCAGGCCCTACTGACTTACCGTGATTCAGAAATTATGGCTGCCGACATTAGGACGAACGAAGCTGGGATCATTTCAATTCTCGCGGAGAACGGCAAATTTCATCAGCCAGTTCAAGGGAAAATTGATGGTCTAGCCCGAAGCTTGGGCAGGATACCCCCGTGCGAAACCAATGCTTTACATAATCAGGAAAAGTTTTCCGTTTACGAGACGACGGCCCGGACCCGAATGGACATTTTTTTAATTGACCAGGTCCAGTTCAACTCATGTTCACTTTCATTGTGCTTGCGGGGTTCCACTGCTTGAAGGCCTTACTCCACTATCGTCCCAGTCATTAGGCGAGTCCCTGACAAAAATCATCGATGGTTACACCATGCGTGGTCATAGCATGCTATTGGACACCAAAAATCGGCTTGTCATGTGGATGCATCAACGTGGACTTCTCACCGAACCAAGCAGAAGGTACCAATGGCTTGGAGAGTAGTTACATCAAGAGGTATACTTGACAACTCCTCAAGCGCGCGATCACTGTTGTACATAGATGGCGGAGCGTCAAGGCCGTCACTTGAGACGCTGGAACACGTGCGCTTTTGGACCGAGGCTTTGCGCATGAATGTTGTCGCAACCTAGAGACCCTGCAGAACTCGAATTGTATTCCCGCTACACGTCGATCGGACCATCAGGAAACTGGTGAGTTCTTGCTGGGGATTATGCTGATTATGGTGCTTTTACATAGTCATATTCCAATGTGACGAAAACCTTTCCTATACATTACGATATATGACTGATATCTTCTTCTCACAGCACAGAATCTGATTTTCAAAATTCGCTATGACCGTTCACATCCATATGAGGGGATGTGCACTCAAATCTGGATCAAAGTTTAGCCTTGCTTTAACCCCAGTTTTTCAACTGCGGGTATGTTTAACTATTTTGCTGACACTTCCAAGTTCGGCTGAAATTTTGATCAAGACAGAACACGACGACACCTACACAAATTGAGTAGTCTGATAAAATATTAAATGGGAACCTCCATCCCGCCCCATTCTAACACCCTGAACAAAGTCACATCACTAGCTCTTGCAGGGTCAACTCCAACTACATCTACCCACCAGTCAACGTCTTTCTCGGCTCGCATTTGTGCATTAGCCCAATTTGCCAAGTGCTCCTGACGGATACCTTTGAACAACATGCATACGCGAGTCACGACGTCAGGCTGCGGAGAAATGTGTAAAGAAGCGGTACGTTCGTATGCCGCTTGACGGACAAATCGGAGGGCGATGTATTCGTGCTTAAGGATGTATGGTAGCCAGTAGCTACCATGGCAGTTTTAGTGACGTGTTTATGAGATAGCGCATATTTACGCACGTTATGAATGATGTTCTAGCTTCGGTGTGAAGTCCCAAAACCTTGAGTGATTTATCGAGGTAAACTGTTACTTTGTCCGCTGGAATAACAATTGAATCCGTATCATAGAGAGTGCTGGAGATTGGATTGAATGTATCCACTAGTTGCGGTTTGGATGCTGATGATTGGGGAAATGCTTGCAAATTTAGCCTGCGAAGAAGAATACAAGTTAGAATAGTGGTTTTTATATCACCAGAGGACTTACTCTGCCTCCCAGAACAAGTACGACACATCTAAACCAGAATAATGTTCAGTCAGACTCCCATCTTGATGGGTGCGAACGTTCCATTCTAAACGTTGTCCGTGGTCTTCTATGGCAACAACGGGATAGATGACAGAGAGGCTCCACTCAGGAATGAGGGAGAGTGTGACAGAAACATCGATTTCGGAAGGCGAGTATAAATAAATGACTGGCTTTCTGACAAACGGCCCATCTTCATAGACTGGAAAACAGTCACAATCCTCCATGGTGTACGATCTGATACGCCGATTCGCATGCATTATTACCCCACATAAACCCATCAAACACCCTAACCAAAACTGCCCTGACAGGAGTGGGACGTTGTCCCAATACTTAATTAGCATCAGCAACAAGTTTGGCCACCTCGAGATTTTAGCGGTCTGGATCTCGCCAGATGGAAAAACAAGTTTGATTGTGACGTTGCCATCGTTCCTGCTATGGGGTCAACTTCAGTACTGAAAATATCTGGAGAATATTTGGCGTACGAGCTATACTGTTCGTTAAACTGACTTGGCCCCGGTTGATTGTTAGGCAATGAAATATTAGGCAGTGGGACGGATGATATGCTTTCCGCACGTCGAGTCACCTCAACAATGTTAAGCAAGTCGACGGCATCGTCCCATATTTCAGCCGTGATGTCCACATAGTGGCCATCGCAAACATCAAGTTGATTGGTCTGAAACGTGACCTCATCTCTCGAAATGCTTGGGAAATGTTTACAGGCGGAGTCAAGCACGAGCTAATACATGAAATATCTTGTGTGAGGTATGAAGGATTTGAATAATTGTTCCACTCACATTATACGACCTTTGCCGTTTAACTATGACCCGTTTTTGACCATGTTTCAAAACAAGATGTTGCGAAATTTGTTTCTCTTCAGTCTGAGCCTTCATACTTGAAGCTTTCAAGCAGAGGGTGATGACGCTGTCTATGAACTATGGCATGCTGGCACTTGATCCTTTAATAACAGCGGCGACTAGATGACTATCTGCTATATTGCTGCGCTGTTGGTCTGTGGCAGACGTTTTGAATTCGATACGTGCATGAGTAGGATTGGGCAAAATACATAATTGTCATGTATGGCGAGACTCACCAACTGCATCCTGGACTTGGCTGTAGCATAAATACATCGTCACTCGCTGAGACCGACGAACCTGTTCGAAATGTCATTCATATGATTTTCTCACCATGTGTTGCCGACCAGTTCAATACATGACTATTCGATCTATCGCACGAAGTGTGTGGATGCGAAGATGTTGGGGAGAACTTATCGTGATATGAGTAGTGCAGTGCTTGACCCAGCCTGACTGAAGCCATGGCATGGTTGAGGCTTGACGTGGTTGTAAAATTGGTGAGAGGCGAATACAGCACTCCAGGGGCTGTATGTAGATGAACATTCATATGATGATCATTAGCGCTAGCGAGGGTTCAAAGTGTTTAAAATTCATTTTGAGCGACATAAGATAGTATTTGAACTTTGAACATAATCTGTACCTGAGGATGAAATAAATTTATGGCGGTGCCGGGGCTGCCTCACATATTTATTTATTTTAAAAATTGAGGGGTTCGATTCTGAGTCTTGGCCGTACCTGGGACCGGACCATGAGTACGGTTCCGAAAGTTTCCTGTTCGAACCAAGATTCGGAACGGCAGGAGCACTAGCGTGGCCATGGACGATGATGATTCGTAGTTCTGTATGTCCTGGTTGCCTCTGGTAACGTGCTCATCTCTCGTTGATTGGTTGCTATAAATACGCACAATGTATACCCAAACTTTGTAAACAACTTGAATGTTCAAACCATGATCGTCAAGCATGCTTGCAACGTTGTAAGTTTGCTTGAAGTCGAATGTAATTTAGCATGCATGAAGAATTCCTTGTGGGGCAGTAAAAGGTCTCCTTAAACCGCTAAGTTGTCTTTAGAGAAAGTTTGATGTACTACTGAAGCACTTTTAGTACCAGCAAAGTCGACGACAGGATACCCTGCTGGCATTGCATCTGTTCGAAGGCTCGACAAGATGAATTTCAAAGAACAATATCTTTCAGCACATAAAAGCCAGCACATCTTACTTATTTTCTTCAAAAAATCCTGCAGCTGATCCCACCCACATCAGACGAAACTCAAACAATGCGTGTCTCCTCTGCAACTGTCCTTGCCGTCATTACGTCATTAGCATCATCAATTTCCGCCGCGCCCGCTGACGTGGCTGTTACGAGGCGACAATGTGCCAACTATTGCTTCCAGGACACAGATTGCACTATATGCGGTATGAAATATTGTGTGAGTATCAATAGCTTTCCTGGATTTGATAACACGACTCACCTGCATGGCAGGGCTTCTTCTGGTTCTGTAGTGACTAGTATACTGAGTGGGTCATGTTTCTGCTTTCAAATCGGTGCACTATGGCCATTGGCACTAACGTACGATTTATTTGTAGAGTCGACCAACGCGCCGTCAGTAAAAGAATCGGTAGAATTAGCGTGATTTTCTGTCGATCAGGAAATTAGAACTTGAGCTTCAAATTGACGGTTGTAAATACTAAATGTTCTCATTTATCATGGTCACTTCGAGAGTAATTGACTTTGAATCAATGACGAATGATTTTATTATACATGTCAGAACCTGGTAATGAAACTTATAAATTTCATCAAAGCATGAACCAGGATACAAGGGGAGTATGCCATAGAGAGTGTAGAAACATGTCAGAGACTGAAGAAATGTCAGAGGACTGGAATGACATGGAACGAAAGACGTGTAAATGAAAAAGAAAAACAGATGCAAAGTCGGAGGGTTCAATATGGATATGAGCGAGCGGTCACGACAATAGATACAATAATTATGAATTGTCGTCGTTAACGAGAGAGAAGTGATATCGAATACAGAACAGAACAGAGGGTATATATACTCGTCTGTACCTTTACCCTAATCCCAATCTTAACTTCAACGTCTATTTTGACACCCCCAGCAAGGGACTCGCAATCGCACGTGGAGGTTCAGTGACAAGTGAGGATACCGTGGAGCTGCTCCATATGTGGGTTGCCGTCTTGGAGTGATAGGAAAGGAAACTGCAGAGATGGGAATACTTTCTTCAGAGCTCGAGCTCAAGGAATGGGACTGGCTGCTTGAAAATAATCGACAGACGACTGGAGGTGTCAAAGTCAGTGCTTGCGCGGAGGGCTTCTCGGGAACTATTGGAGAGATGGGGTGGATATCTCGGGCCAACGCTAAGAAAGGCTGGGAATAGATCAATTCACCCTCATAGTCGAACGATACGTTTCGAATAGGTAAGGTAGATTCTTACTCCTCTTTTTTGATATTGCTTTGAAGACGCCGGGAGAGCGACTGTGTCATCAACGTGGCAACACAGCAGCAAAACGCGTACCTCTGCTTAGATTTGGCTTAGATTAGGGGAAGTTCAGTAAAGTTTTGATGCGTGCTTGCGCAGATTTTGCTAAAATCAGCGTTATGAATCATATAAATGCAGAGCCAGTACTATGTATGAACGAGGACGATCTTACCAAAGTTCGATTCATCAACAGAATTTTGTCGGCGGGCGGCCCGAGAGGAGTTTTTATCACTCTACACCAATTTTACAACGGACCTTACATGGCGATCTGCTGGTATTGCAGATATCAATGCGGCACAACTACAAGAAGAATTCCAGGGACATTCAGAGTTTGAACATCAGATGACCTGACGTTCAAGTTATAGAAGATTATTTGACATATAAGCAAGGTGTTCACTGACCCCCTTCAGATCGATTTGATCCCATACCACATCTTCATTCACAATGCGTTTCTGCTCTGCAATGGTCCTCGCCGTCGGTACTGCTTTAGTCTCTGCCACGGCCATTGGCGCTGTCGCTGAGGAATGTAACTTATTTTGCTGGTCTGATGATCAATGCGACACATGTCCGCTGTCTGGATATTTCCGGGTTTGCGTGAGTATCAGTAGTTTTCCTAGACTTTATAGCCTGACTCACCTGCATGGCAGATCATTCCTTTCTGCTTTGTGAGTCATGTTTCACGTTGATGCAGTATATAGCGGTTGGCACTGACGCGCGAGTTACTGTTACTAGTGATTGGTCGACTCAATGTGCATCAGGACATCATCGGTCCACTTCCAAACTCGGTGTGATGATGAGTAGGTACAGATGGCATGTGCGCTGCCAGTGAGTTTGATGACTAAGCCCACGGAATCGTCCGTGGGGAACCTCTTTGCTTCGCCTCCACCATCAGTAAATTTAGACCAATCTTTATAAACTGCCTTTTACACCACTTGTATCTTATTTGAGTTTCATTCTGTCACAAGTGCCTACAACGTATATCCGCAAAATGGTATGTTTCATATAAATCTTGAGCAGCCGCTATCCCAATAGTAATAAGCTCTTCGCAGAAGTTCAAAACACCGATCTCAAATGGTTTTAATCAATGACGTGCGAGCTTGCGCATACTGACTCTGACTTGAATGTTCGTATATATTATTATTATAGGTAATCTTGCACTTTGTCCTGTCATTGGCGTGCTGGGGCGATCATCTTACGGTGGAATCAATAGACTCAGATGCTCACGATTTAGCCGGTGAAGCAGTTTGAGCTTTTCCGCCATTAGACCTTGTCGAACATTCTCGAAACTATCAAAGTCGAAAGTCGGATGTACGCAGTGTACGGTACGGGACCCGGTGTGTTTTTATCGAGTCCGACATCGTGCACGTTTAATTGTACTATTTAAAAGGTCGTATAAGTAACATTGACGGTGCTAGACTGCGCCGTAAGTGACTTGCACCCTACTTGGAGCTGGAAGTGGACCGATGATACCCTGATGCAAATTGATGAACTCCGAGTCGACCAATCACTAGTAACAGTAACTCGCGCGTCAGTGCCAACTGCTATATACTGCCCCAACGTGAAATATGACTCACAGTGCAGAAAGGAACGATCTGCCATGCAGGTGAGTTAGGCTATCAAATCTAGGAAAACTACTGATACTCACGCAAATCCCCAGATAATAATCTGGACAGGTGTTGCATTGGTGATCAAAAAGGCAAAAGACTCTACATTGCTCAGCGACAGCGCCTATGGCCGTGGCAGAGACTAAAGCAGTACCGACAGCGAGGACCATTGCAGAGCAGAAACGCATTGTGAATGAGGATGGGATATGGGATCAAATCAATCTGAAGAGGGTTGGTGGACATGTTGCTTATATGTCAAATAATCTTCCATAAAGTCAGGTTATCTAATGTCCAAACTCTGAATGTCCCTGGAATTTTTCTTGTAGTTATGCCGCATTGATATCTGCAATACCAGCAGATCGCCATGTAAGGTCTGTTGGAAATTTGGTGTAGAGTGATAAAAATTCCTCCCGGACCGCCGACAAAATTCTGTTGATGAATCGAACTTTGGTAAGATCGTCCTCGTTCATACATAGTACTGGCTCTGCATTTGTATGATTCATAACGCTGATTTTAGCAAAATCTGCGCAATCGCGCATCAAAACTGTACTGAACTTCCGCCAATCTAAGCATCGGTAAGCATTTTGCTGCTGTGTTGCCACGATGCGGTGGGCCATTGCATGACTTGCGTTGATGACACAGTCGCACCTTCTCCCGGCGGGCGTCTCCCAAGCAACATACAAGAAGAGGAGCAAGAACTTAACTTACCTATCCGAAAAGTATGATTCGACCACGAGGACGAATTGATCTATTCCCGGCCTTTCCTAGCGTTGGCCTGAGATATCCACCCCATCTCTCCAATAGTCCCCGAAAAGTCCTCCGCGCAAGCACTGACTTTCACACCTCCGGTCATCTCTCGATTATTTTCAAGCAGCCAGCCCCACTCCTTGAGCTCGAGCTCTGAAGGAAATATTCCCATCTCTTCGATTTCCCTTCCTATTACTCCAAGACCGGAAACCCACATATAGAGCTGCTCCACGATATCGTCGCTTGTTGCTGAACCTCCACGTGCAATTGTGAGTCCCTTGCGAGGGGTGTCAAAATCGAAGTTGAAGTTAAGATTGGGATTAGGGTAAGAATACAGACGAGTATCGCCTCTGCTCTGTTCTGTATTTGATTGACTTTGGTGAAGGTTTTCGATATCACTTTTCTCTCGTCGACGACGATTCATTGTATCTATCATCATGATCGCTTGCTCATATTCATATTGTACCCTCTGACTTTGCATCTCTTTTTCTTTTTCGTCAACACGTCTTTCGTTCCATCTTGGAGCACATGCTGAAGGTGTGCGAACTTCGAAGATAATTAATTCTCGTCACATTCGAGCTCGCGGCCAGTACTCTTTCTAGCTACGACGTATGTCAATTCGTTCCTCTTCTCTTCTCGCAACACGTATACATGCACCTATCAACACTTTCAGCAAATCAGTTCCCTGCGGATACCATCGATTTCATCAAGTCTTACGATCCTTGGAATTATAGGACTCTCGAAAACCTCATTATTATCATTTGATACATCCGTTTCTGGACGTTTCCTTCCTGCCCGCTCACCAAGGACTCCCAACGCGTTCATATGGCCCTCCAAGCGTTTCAAACTGTCCTCATCCCAAGCTGCTCTCTCTGGCCTGCGTGCTACAATCAAGCCCATCAAACGTGCCTCCAAGCATCGCAAGATTAATGTCGTTTCAAGCACCTTCTACGGGACGTATGCGATGGCATAATCGAACTTCGTGATACTCTATACGATTTTGAAGACATGATAGACGCGGATGTCCGTGCGTATGGCTGTTCTACCAGTCTGAAAGTTGAGTGGAAGTACTGGGTACAATAGTTGGATCGAACGGTGCGTGTCTGTGTTCTGTGTTCGTTACTCGCGCGCGCGCTGAATGACCTTTGATGCACTCATCAGTGACCCGTGGGTCGTGAATGTCTCAGGTGAGTACATGCGCTCTTTCCCTTGCCGATACTTTTACTCTTACACATATCGAAAAGATGAAGAACTGCGACTGTGTTGATTCTCGAATTTCGCAGTCACTAGCGCACAACATATCGATGGACGGATTCATAACAGCACCTCCGCCGACCATGTGGTTCTCACCAATCTCAACAGCCACCCGCTCACGCACATCGCTACTAGCTATCTTCCCAGATGTTTCCGCACCACGTCGGAGTTCACCTCCTTTCCAACCACATCTCCAGCACAAAGCGCATTCTCTCTCTCATTCCCTTTTTGGCCCACCGTCTCCCCCACCTCTCCCTGATATCCGTCACAACAACAAATGATACTTTGCACTTCAAACTATCAACCCTCACCGACCCATCAGCAGTATACGCTAAAACGCTCTCTGAACCATCAAGGTTCAACCAGCTTAAATGTGGTCCTGTAGCAAGACAACGGTGCGTTTACTTACTGAGCATCAAGGAAGGGCATAGACGGGATCAGTTCGAAGCTGCCCTTGTGCACAGGTATTGGCTGAAGCGCTGGAACGTAGTCTTAGAGGCTCGTTGACTACTTGTGTAGATTTACTTCTTCTTGCACAAATACATAATCTCCGTTTCTCGTCGCTTTGCAGGCACTCATTTCAACACAAATCTTGTTGCACCAGGAGCTTACTTCGAAGCCACAAAATTTCTACGTCTCCTAAATGTTGTGATATTCAGCGTGTATAAGCCCATTGAGCACGGCCAGTGGGGTGTCAATAAATGTCGAACATCATGCAAAGGTTGCTTATTTGAGTATCAAGCTGGCGAAGGGCTATGTGTTTGACATCCAGCTCATCCAAAAATTGCAAATATAGAATTTGAATCAAACTCGAGTCCGTCGGAAGTTGGTTCAAAGAGATACGGAAGCATTGCCTATATATGGTACTTCTAGCTGAGTAATTGAGCACGAGTATCCGGGCTTCCATAGAATCGTCCATGGGGAACCGGTGAAGCGGTTTGAGCTTTTCCACCATTAGACCTTGTCGAACATTCTCGAAACCATCAAAGTCGAAAGTCAGATGTACGCAGTGTACGGTATGGGACAGCACTAGACTGCGCCGTGAGTGACCTGCACCCTACTTTGAGCTGGAAAGTGGAGTGATGATGTCCTGACGCACATTGATCAACTCCGAGTCAACCAATCACTAGTAACAGTAACTCGTGCGTCAGTGCCAACCGCTATATACTGCATCAACGTGAAACATGACTCGCCCAGCAGAAAGGAAAGATCTGTCATGCAGGTGAGTCAGGCTATCAAATCTAGGAAAACTACTGATATTCACGCAGATCCCCTGATATGTAGGTTGCGGACAGGTGCTGCATTGGTAATCATGCACGCAAAATAAACATTGCTCAGCGACAGCGCCTACGGCCGTGGCAGACACTAAAGCAGTACCAACGGCGAGGACCGTTGCAGAGCAGAAACGCATTGTGAATGAGGATGAGATATGGGATCAAATCAATCTGAAGGGGGGGTTAGTGAACAATAAACATCTTGCTTATACGTCAAATGATAAGTCAGGTCATCTGATTTCCAAGCTCTGAATATCCCCTTCTTGTAGGTGTGCCGCAATGATATCTGCAATACCAGCAGATTGCCATGTAATGTCTGTTGGAAATTTGATGTAGAGTGATAAAAATTCCTCCCGGACCTGCGTTGATGACACAGTCGCGCCTTCTCCCGGCGGGCGTCTCCCAAGCAACATAAAAGAAGAGGAGCAAGAACTTACCTTACCTATCCGAAAAGTATGATTCGACCACGAGGACGAATTGATCTATTCCCGGCCTTTTCTAGCGTTGGCCCGAGATATCCACCCCATTTGATTGACTTTGCTGAAGGTTTTCGATATCACTTTTCTCTCGTCGATGACGATTCGTTGTATCTATCATCATGATCGCTTGCTCATATTCATATTGTACCCTCTGACTTTGCATCTCTTTTTCTTTTTCGTCAACACGTCTTTCGTTCCATGTAATTCCAGTCTTCTGAGTCTCTTATACATTTCTTCAATCTCCGACACGTATCTGCACTCTCTATAGCATACTCCCTTGTATCCTGGTTCATGCTACGATGAAATTTATATGTTTCATTACCAGGTTCTGACATGGATGATAAAATCATTCATCATTGATTCAAAGTCAATTATTCTCGAAGTGACCATGATGAACGAAAACATCTAGTATTTACAACCGTCAATCCGAAGCTCAAGTACTTATTTCCTGATCGACCGAAAATCAAGCAGGCTCCGCCAATGCTTTTCCTGACGGCGTGTTGGTCGACTTTACAAATAAATCGTATGTTAGTGCCAATGGCCATATTGCACCAATTTGAAAGCAGAAACGCGACTCACTACATATTATAGGTAACAGATGCCGAAAGCGCTCTGCAATGCAGGTGAGTCATGTTATCAAATCCAAGAAAGCTGTTGATACTCACACATTGCGTCTTACCGCATTCATGGCAATTGTAGTCATTGTGGCAAAAATCGGGACAATCCGCAGCGGCGTCGGTGGGCATGGCGGAAATTGATGATACTAAAGACGCAACGACGGCAAGGACAATTGCAGAGGAGCAATGCATTGTTTGAGTCTGGTGTGATGTGAATGGCCCGAAGAAAATCGTAGGAAGATGGCGGGATTTTATGTACTGGGTGTTTTTCTTTGAAATTCATCTTGTTGTGCCCTCATACAGATGTATCTGTAATGCCAGCAGGATATCTTGTCAGTCTTTAAGATCATAATCAGCAATGTGACGTGGTCGACTGGCCATCGGTACCAAAAGAGCTTTAAGTAGTACTTTCTCCATTTACTGGGAGACACTGGGCCCGACCTAGTGCTGTCGCGGTTCAATCCATGGTTGCACCAGCCAGAACCGGACCGGAAAACAGTTCTCAGTTCTGGGACATCCCGAACGGTTCTGTTTTGGTTCGGGAAGGATGAACCATTCTGAACCTGGCTCAGCAGTATCAATTTCGAGTCTTCGGGATTTGCACCCTTGGTCAATCAGTTTACCTTCAGCCATTTGAAGGTAAGTGCTAATTAATCAAACTCTCAATTCTCTCACCCTAAGTTTGGCTCACGGCTCAGCCTGAGGTTTTGCAAAGCCCAAGCCCTCCAAAGCTGAAGCTCAGGCCGAACTGGGCGCGCACAGCACTAGAACTCTGGATGTGAACATTAGCGATCTGAGAATAGCAGGACAACAGTAGTTGGCTTACCCTCGGTTTGAGAGAAGAGACTCTGATCACAAACATACCCAAATAACCGAGGTCAGTCCAGTCTGGGTACCGATCATAAGAGGAGCAAGATCGGCAAGGGGAGCTTGCGTAAAGCGCAACAGTTCCATCGGGGTTGTTGGGTTCGTTTACCCTGTCGATCATCTAAATGGACCTTCTTAGCGAGTTTGACTGCAGCTGCGGAACAGGCAGTGTGTTTATTATTATACTCTCGAGTGGGAGGATAGCAACTAGATACAACAGGTTCAAAGTTTCGCATGACTAGTCACGTACGTCTGTCTACCGCTAGCCACGATGTCGGGGATTAATCGTAGCCTGAATGATGGTAGATGGGACAAGGCACTTCGAGAGCACAGAGGCGCGCCTCGTGGGACCCGCAGAACAAGACCGTGTGATCCGATACATGCGTGATTTCAAGTGAAACTGATATTTGTGCGACCTGGGTATGGGCTGCGCCAGACTACCGACTGAGCGCCAAAGCTCCTGCCACTAAGCCAGGATCCCTCAGGCTGGTCTCTGCACAGTCTGAGAAAGGCCCCATGGGGTACAATGGCTGACTCGGCAGAACATTCCTGTACGGTCATCTTACGATAAATCGAGGTACGCGATCCTCGGAGGCGAGTTGGTTGTCCTGGAAGTGTGGTAAAATGGTTCAGCTCAACGCCTGAAACCATCAATCCTTGTGAATAGAAATGCCAGGGCTGTGCGGACAGCAGCACGTCTGATGGAAGGACGTGGAATTGCGACGAGTTCGGATTTAGTCAGCTTGTTACGCAGCATGATGCCGATTCGGCACCGGGTAAATCCGTGGTGTAACTACTAACACGCCTCCTCAACGAAGGGAGATAACACTTGACCACATCGACCAATATGTTGACCGATGCGATAACACCCTCGTTCTCAACAGTAGACGACTTTTTCAACCTCGACATCTTAAACTCAGCACCTTCAGCCTTTACAGCTTCATCCTCATCTTCGTCTCCACGAAGTCCTTTCACTTTCTCAACTACAAACGGCGCAGACGATGACTTCTTCGCCCAATTCTTAGACACTGATGAGTTAACAAAGGGTCAATCCCTATCATCACTCTCAGTCCCTTCATATGACTTTTTTGGCGCAACTGAAGGTAGCGCCAGTACAAGTGACTCAAGTCCTGAGAGCATCGACGCAAATACTCCCATGTTCGCAATAGACCCACAACTAGTCGGAACTCCTGCTACTTCGAACGACCATTCAGATCAAGACTCCAGCTCTGACCAGGAACTAGAACCAGAGCTCGCTCCGCCTAAACGTTCTCGCCGCGGTGCTGTCACTTCTGGTGGCATAAAGAAGTCGTATCCTCCTTCTGAGAAGGACCTGAACTCGGGCGCCGGAAAATCAAAGTCCTCCAAGGACCCCGCCCCCCTCAAGATCCTCGAACCCGAAGACTGGCGCCCAAGTCCTGAAGAATACAAGAAGATGAGCAGCAGGGAGAAACGCCAGCTCCGAAACAAGATCAGCGCACGAAACTTTAGAGTAAGGCGAAAGGGTCAGTATCCTCTCTACCTCCCTTTCCATTTCACTTACCCCTCAAATCAGAATACATCACAACCCTCGAAGGCGACATCGCAGAACGCGACCGCCTAATCGACGCAATCCGTTCGGAACTTGGCAGCTCCCGCTCAGAAAACACTGCCCTCCGTCAAGAAATATCAGCCCTCAAGCGATGCCTCCTTGAAGCTCGCCATCCCCCCGACCTCCCACCCCCAGCAGAACTCCAAACAGGCGCACCCCTCTCTCCACCCGGTTCACCCGTGCCCACACCTGTATCCGCCCCATCAACAACCCCACTCATCACTCCAAACACCCAAAAAGACCTTCCTACGTCTCCACGGCTGGGTGCAAGGCCGTTTTGGGGAGGATTTGGCGGTATGGGCATTACACCTGTACATACTACCCTCATTCCGCCCGTCGGCGTCAAAGCCGTCCTTCAAGAGAACATCAATCCTGCATTACACCGCCCAAGCTCAATCGTCGAGAAGACGAACAGCCAACTCAATGGCCTCGGTATGGGAATGGGAATGGGCATGGGCGCATTCGATGCCTTTGCGGATACAAATCCGTTCACGCTCAAGACCCTCGATGCGTATCGGATGCAGTTATGGGGGAAGATGGCTGCGCAGCATGCTCATGCCCACGGGAACACAAATGGGATGGGATATACACCACATGGATTGGCATCAGGCCTCAAACCTGCATATTTCACATCACCGTCTTCTTCGAAATCGCAGTCGCAAGCACTCAGCGGGAAGAACGCGTATCCTTCGCCTCCTTCGTCCCCTGTACTCAAATCAGCGCCGGTGCCTACGAAGGAACAGGCTGCGCTTGCTGCTATTGCGTCGCAGACCCTGCTTGGGAAGCTTGGAAGTGCGTTTTGGGAGGCGTTTTCTGGGTCTGGGTCGGGTGCAGGCTCCGGTGTAGGTGGAAGTGGAAGTGTGATGAGAAAGGAGTGGGACGCAGAAAAAGTGCGCAAGGTCCTTGAAGGCCGGGCAGTCGTCCGAGTCGTTGATCTCGATGAGCCCGTTCCCAACAAATCTTCTCCCTCTTCCTTGATGGTGCCTTCGAGTATGGTGGAGAGGAAGGCGTCCTCACCTCTTGGTATGGCGGAGAAGACACAACCGAGTGGGAGTGGGACAATGAATGGACCGAGTGCATGTCCGTACAAGACGAATGTGTGCGATATTTTGGAGGAGAGTATGAGGAGCTTGACGATTTCGAAGAAGTAGAAGCAGGCTGGTTTGGTTTCTGTGCTCTCCTGATTCCTTTCATCTTTGTGCAGCCAATGGTTTGCTTTCCTTCCCTTTTGTCTCGACTCGCAATAACAGCATCGCATCTGAATACTTTCCTCGTTCTTCGTAGTCTAATCCAACCCCCGCTCCGCCTTCGCTCTCTCGTTCTGCGCCTTCAGTGGCTTGATCATCTGATGATCATTTTCCTGCCGCTATTATCGAATTTGCTCCAACGGCTATTTCCGAACGTTCCGAAATCTTTCAACTATTTCGTCCCAACGAATTGAATTGTTTCATCTCCAAACGACAAACGACTATGTTGTTTCCAACGAATTATCTGTTTCCATACGTCTGCAGTTTCATTGTATATGTTTGATGTGCGCGGACGTTCGCCAAGATCACGGTCTTTATCTTCCCCAGGCCCCATCTTCTCATCTCCCTTTGCGCTCTCCCCATTCTCCTATCGCACTCCCTACAATATGCCTTGTTCTGGTCGTATCGCGTATCCCGCTTCATACTTACCCCGTCCAAATACTTAGTAGTCTCTTATATAACTTGTTTGCTGTTCGTTTTTGTACGTATGAGATGTGAATGGAATTGAAATCTTATTATATTATAATCGGAGGATCTCGTTCATCTCATCTCTCGGATCCTAAGCCAATGTCGTTCTGCAAACTGGATAAGCCATTCTCGAGAGACTCCATATCCATAGAACTGCAGATGAAATTGCTTTCTTGGACAAACGAGTTGATATTTGGTAGAGTGCCCAGTTTGCTGTGGCGTCGCAATCATATGACCGTTAGAGAGAAATAAATGATGGGAGAAGAAATCTACCTTTAGTGCCTCGAACAATTTCGATAGGAGAGAAGACATGTTCTTGCTTGAAAGGCAAGGACAACTACGTCTGCCCAGCGAGTGGCTCCAAAGAATTTCAGTTGTTCAAAGTCACCTTCGCTTCCGGAGGCGAGTCCTGCCAACCTTACATATAAATGTGCATATCCCCATGATGTGGCGAATGGCGTCTTTACAACCAGCGAATCATCCTCTACATGTCGCGAGTGAGATTCGTGCCGCTATTCAGAGGAACATTCAGTTCAGTTTGTTAAAACTAGAAGAGAAGTACGAGTCAAGATTCGATGGCGCACTTGCGAGTCGCCAGACTAAGTTGCAAGTTTGATTCATCATGATTATACCATCGTGTTTTGATGACATGGCTTACAAGTAGTACCACACATAATTGACATACGAAAGCTCGACGACGTATCTTGTTCGAGTGCTAACTCTTCGCCACTCGCACTCAATACACACTCCTGCAACCCATCCACCACTACGGTCCATGTCCGACCAGCTCCAGCTTGGCGATGTAGTTCATCTGTTCTTGACTGAGACGCTCTTCGAAGGAGTCCTCTTCATCCGAGCACACAGTGAGTACGTAAACTGTCTGAAATTGAAAGGCCAAAAGTTCCTCGTCGGAGAGCACGTCGTCGTAGTCGCAGCGATCCACTCGAACACAGCAACAGTGGCGTGCAAATCTGGCACCACAATACGCCCTGGAGTACACTCCTAAATCCGGTGTGCCGTCCCCTGGATCGACCCCTGGGTTTGTGCCAAAACCAAGAAAAATATGGGTCGTTCCCGATTTTTCTCAGGTCCTGCAGTACGTGCAGACGTCAAGCAACGATTCCCGCATCCGACACGTTGAAAGGGTGGTTCTATTAGTGGAGAACAAACCAAAAATGACTAAACAGGAGATTGTCGATGGGCTGTCGCCTTCCAGGTCGGCATAAAACAAATTTACAGGTAAGCAGTTTACGCGTTCTTGGCCGACCCCGGGCTTCATGTAAACGGTGTTATTCTCGTATGGTGCACGTTGGAGGTATATCGAGATGCGCCGACCATTGGATGCTATTCTACAAGCATGGATGGAGACTGAGGATATGACGTACCGTCAACACAAGGGACGAATAGTGGACGTGCCAGCTAAATTAGAGCAACCGAGTAGTATGGCAGAGCAATCTTCTAAGTTGCTAGACAATACAGCACGGTCAGCACGGACTTTTGAGATTATAGCACGCCGAATAAAGGCCTGGAGACGAAGATGTGGAATCTGATATCTAAATGTTTTGCTCGCTGTAATCAGTAGTGAGCGTCATGGTACTACTTGCCTGTCACTGTGGGAAGTAGAAACAATGAATTTCGGTGGTTCGCCGAGCACTGAAGGTACTGAACCATTGAATGAGCGTTGTACTTAGTAAGGTGTGATTTTAGATACACGTGATCAATCGCGTTCATATTCAAAAGAAAAGATTCTGATCCATTCATAGTAATGAGATTCGCTGGTACATCCTGTAATTTGAAGGTCGCGATAGGTGGGGTTAAAGGTAGTACATACATACAATAGATACAAATGTGATATAAACAACAATACTTTCCAGTCCCACCTGTAATTGTAATATCTATTGTTCAGATCGGTTCTGGAGATGGACTGGGACCGATACTGAAATCCGACAATGTCAACGAGATGCGAGCGCGCGGCATCGGAGAATAGCTGTGGGTCGATGTGGACAGTGGAGAGACTGGAGAGTATTGACGGAGGTTGGAAGGAGTCCGGGGTGGGAGCGGGGAGCTGAGAGGGCTGACCACATATGGGGATGACGCCCGCATGGAGATCGGTGATGAGTCGATCGAAGATGAGTTCCGTGAACTCGCCGGAGAATTTGGAGTTGCTGGACTTGGAAGGTGGGAGTGCACTGCAGTGCATAAGACCTGCATGCTCAAAAAATGTTAGGTCATCAAGATACAGCGAGGCGGGAATTCCTACCTCTGGCTCCACAAATTGAATGGATGGATAAGGTGCTGCGGCGTCTCGGCGAGCGCCTTTTCCGTTGTCGCGAATGCGACGCGCCTTGGGCTTGTAGGCATGTTCTGACTTGCGGTGGCGTGTCAGAGCGCCTGGGTCGGTTGTAGAAAATGGGCATTGAGGGCACTTTTTTGAGCGTTCGCCGGTGTGCGTCCTGATGTGCGTCTGGAGGTTAGACCTTTGGAGGGTCTTGTAATCGCAGCCATCATATGGGCATGCGTGCATACTGGTGAAGATAGTCAACAGGTCAGAAACCATCTGATTTGATAGAAGGTAAGCACTTACAGTTCTTCCTTGTTTGCAGCATGCGTACGCATGTGTCTAGGAAGATCAGCCTTGCGGCTAATGACTCTGTGGCAAACAGAGCATTGTACAGAAAGCTGTAGAGAAAGTTCCATGAGTACAAGACACGTGAAGTGTGGTAGGCTGCAAGCGTACCGTGTTACGTCTGGTAGCAGGCATTCTGCGATAGTGTCTGAGAGGAGAGTAACGGCTGTGAATGATCTGCGAGGTTGGTTTAGATTCCTGGAATGAATCGATGGCGCGCGTGTTGTGGCAAGTCCACACATTTCCCCCCCTTCTTTTAAACCACTGGGCGTGCTGGGAACTTCGAGTGCGATTGTTTTTTCTGCAGCGCGCATTTCTGCCTTTAGAGGAGAAAAAATGCGAAGCAATCGTGTGCGATGGTCTGAGCATATGGGACGAGCCACTCGGCTAGCGGGGAAGGCAAAAGAGTGGGAGGAGGCTCGATTGCGTCTTGACACGTTTTATTGTTTTTTCCTTGTAAGGGAATTTGTAGTTACCTGCTCGATCTGGGGATGAGTGGCTCAGTACTCAGGCATGATGAATGGGGAAAATATTAGGGGGCCGCGGTCCATGGGCCTGCCTAACGGCGAACTCTTGAGCGCTCCACCTTACCAAGGCACGTCCAAAATCATCGATGCCGCTACCAAATTTAATTCCAGTATCATTCTCTAGATGGCGAAAGCCATCACCACCGGTGGTCAATCGAGCTTTCGAAGACTCGGAGGACGATAAAAACAAGACCAGTTTAGAGCAACATCGCCTACGTTATCCATGCAGGCGTTATCATCAAGTCTTTATGTACTTTCAGTCACCTTGTTTCCGCCATCTTCGCCAACATGACCAGTGGATCAGATGCAGCACAGGCGCTATCATTCGAACCAACCGTATAATAAAACCTGCCTTAGCCTCTGACGTGTGGCCGAGGACCAAGCAAAGTGATTGTGCAGACTAAACATGTCTATGGGCGTGTGGTCATGACCTCGGGGAACTTGCCTACATTTTAAAAGAAAGTCAAGAGATACTGCACCTAACCTTGACATACGTCAGTAAGTAAATACCTCCTTTCTCACCTTCCCGACCACACCCTGGGTAACCTCTCGCTCGAATATTTCTGGGCCGCAAACATACACACATTCGGTGTCGAAGTTAGAGATAAACGAGGAAGTGACCCGTCCAGAATGACGATGAAGCGATACAGAAGGAGGCAAGGAGTTCTCGAACTGTTCAGTGGATGAGAAGACATGAACGACTAGTTTGACTTCGTGGGCAGCGGCTCCGATAGCATTGGAAAGAAGAGAGAGCATCACATCTGACTCGCGCGTAGACAACATGAACGTTATTTCATACTCGACGGTGTATAAGGAAATTCCGGAGAGCATAGCGAGGAGAGGTGTTATTCCAACGCCGCCGGCTATCCAAAGAAGCTTCCTTGAGTAATTTCACGGACAGGCATATGTTCTTCCTCACGTGTAGCCGCGATGTTAGCACCCTCGAAAGGGTCTGTGGACTGGAGCACGCAGTCCCTGCTATTCCAACCAGCCTAACGTCCAATCCAAGCGGACGTGAGTCCTCGAGCAACTCCGGGCTGACTGCTAAGAGTTTGTTGGCGATGTTCAATAGTGCCCCAGTAACAGTACCGCCAGGCTTCAGGCGCATTGTCTAGGATAATGTTGTGCCTATCCGCAGCCGAAGCCCATGAGCTGCACCACGAAATAGTCCACGTCCTTATACGATCGTCATTCACTAAATTTGGATTCTCCAATGACATATGCCTGTATGGCGATGCACCGAGGAAAGATGTGAATTCAAAGATAGCGGCTTGGCCAGGATGATAGTAAATTTGTGAGGACATTCAAATGTGAATGTGGCAAGATCTGAAGAGTGAAGCGCAATACGGAAAAGCGTCGCATGTATCGTGTCTTCAGTGCTGAAGTACGTGGAAGAAACTTGTTCTTCTCTGAGCAGCTTCACAGGAGGGGCATACTGACTCCTCTGCGGCCCTGTCCCTTCACGCTGACGGACACGATCGGATGAATGGATAAATGAGATGATATCTGGAGAAAGGCAGCCTGTCGGGGAAATATTAAGTTCTTGATGGGTAACTCGAGGTTTCGTGTGTGGAAATGGAACAAGATTGCGGATTGTGATGTATTTCGAGCAATTTCTGCAGCCTTGACCGACCCTGGGAACCTATTCCTGCGCCTAGTTGAAAACTCCAATACCAGAAATTAGCACCTTCCTCTGAGATCCAGCTGTAGAATCAGCACGATAGTCCGCATTCACCTTGAGCGGATCGCCATCCCAGACCTTCGCCCGCATAGACAATTGATCATACGTCTCGCTAGAAGCCCAGACCATCTCTCCATCTGGACCTGCGAGTATTGAAAGCAAGGACGACCCATAGAATCAAGAGTGGTGACAGGAATAAATGGAGACATGTGGAGTAGAAACTCCAGTGCTGCTCAGGAAGTTCTCCTTCGATTTGAGTCCAAGACAGATATAGCTTCATGGAATCCGAGTTTCTGCTGGATGTCACGTTCACCCTTATGCCAACCATTGATAGGACTCATTATGAGATGCAGTACGGATGGTTATTAGAAAGCGAGAAGACACCAACATTAATTCCACCCCCACCCGGGCCGCTTATGAGTCATGTGACATTTGGTGCCAGTGAACTTTGCTTTGGCGAAGATTTGCAACAGTCTTGTGACTCTTGTCTGTAAAGAGCGAGACAACTATGACTGAGATGATGCATTAATTGCAGGCAAAGTCAGAGTTATGCAAATTGGGTAGAGCGGGATGGTACGGGATTGACGCGGTACTGCAATGTTCGAACGAAGGAGTGAAGAAAGCGGAGATTGAACCTTGAAAGCTTGAGGCATCAAAGCGATTACAACATCGTCTCCTGCATGAATTACTGAATATTAATGTAGTATCAATTTGAAAGGCTAGAAGTTGTATTTTTCATCGGGGAGTACGTCTCACCGTGGCACACAACGATCCACTCCAGAGGTACCAAGTACCAACACATCCTTGGGATTGAAGCTTTGCGGTCTAAAGTATACATGAATGTTATAATGCAATGAGTTCGTACGTGTACATCTTGGCAACATCCTCAAAGTCTACCTCACCGCGCTTGAGTAACGCTTCTAGCTAACGTTATTGACGAGACTATATATTTGTAGAACTGTAGATGGAACTGCCTTTTCGGGACGGACAAGTTCAAACAGTTGAGGCCGTCAGAAAGTAGTACGATGAGGGAGGAGTTTTACCTTTAGGGTATCAAATGGGTTCGATAGAAGAGAAGACATGTAGAGGTGCAAATCCGTTTCGATTGTGTATTATTCACGGTGGGAGAGACGAAGCTGGGGTTCGTGATATTTACATATGTGGTTTGTATTACACGGCAGCACAGCGAGTTGTGAACTGACAGTGGCAATATCGTAAGACAATTGTACATGAATTTAACCAATGGAAGTCTGGTTATCTTGGCAGTTAGGTGTTGTCACGCGGAATTTTGATAGATTGTATCGTTGATTCTCGCAACTGCAAATTCTTCCATTGACATTGTGACCATCGTCGTTCCCACTTGACGGCGGTCGACTTTCCAAAGATCAAGTTGCATGCGTGTTGCGAGCAATCCCTGGAAGAGAATCTGTGCTCTGTATCATCGTTAGCCAAAGCTCTATTCGATGGTTATCATCCTGACATTTCCATGACACCAGTAGGCCATGTTGCAATCGGAATAAGCAAGATGCCAACAATATTAAGGATGTTCAGAGCTTCTCGAATGTTATTCATTTCATCAGGGAATGGGTATACCACCTACCCACGCTGGCTCCGAAATACACGATATTGTTCCGCACCAACGATTTGAGCAGTTGTCCTGAAGCGGCGCGATATTGCCTTAGAACCCGATACATGCTCATCCCAAACAATCCTGTAATTTCACGACAACAGGATAAACTGTTAGCTCAAGATGGTGCTTGGGAAAATGTTGCAGACCTATTTCCAGGCTAATCAAAGTCACAAAGTTCGTAAGGAGCCACGATACGCCCGGGTTAGCTTGTCCATAACATGCATCTGTATGACTGTGAGCGAACACATGATAAAACGAGGGGTTTGACCTGCCGGCAGGGAAAGCCCCAATATACATTTGGAGGGAGGTGATACATGTTACACATTTAACCTGGCCACGGCGTCAATAGTGATAAGACCAGTTGACTTGAGATTTCACCAGATCCGCAGCTAAGAGACAGAAAAGGACTCGTTTACTGCAACCCCATAGAGCGTAGGTTCGCAAACTAAAAATGACTAAACTTGTATTTAGTAGCCCATCGACAAACCAGCATGATGGAGAATACCTTCGACACAAACCATCTGCAGAAAAGAGACCCCTATGCTGCATGTGAGAGATGGCTTCTACCAGTCACAGATTTGACATACAGACGCTTATGCGACATAACACCAGGCACAACTAAACGACGATCAGCGGACGAAGCAATCAAGTTGCAATCCAATACATCATCGTCGATATAATCTTCCCCAACGACATTAACTAGAGTGAGGTATTGTGAGCCGTCTTTCCTTTTATTGCACACAACGATCTCGAGTTCTTACAAATTCGCGAAGCCCCAATGACGAAAGGAAGGTAGCGACACAAGATAAATATAGTCTTGACGAAAGTAGACCTTGATCTCACGATATAGTCGATCTGTCGGATTGAGATTCAAGAGACTCGGGAAATGTGTTTCTCCTACCTCTTCATCCAGATGGGTGATAACATCATAAACCTAAACAGTCATTTTTCAGAATCAAAAACATATGATAGACAAAGCAAACCAACCACAATCGTGAGTGCCGACACTGAAATATATATCAGTTCAAACAGTCGCAAGGCGTCTAGTAACCAAACTATAAGCTCACATAGGATATACTAATAATTCCAGTCTATATTCAGTGAGCGATCTGTACAAGGATGATATGACTTACTCCACCAGTATTATTGATCATAGTGAAGACTTTTGATCGGGCGTAGAAGATGAATGGCAAGAAACGCATTCGAGTAGCAGATAATGCACGCTTTATCTTGATGACATCCTGTACAGAATGCCTAACAACAGGCCAATGCCGAATGATGAGTTGGAAGGTTCAGTCAACCATTATGTACTAATGGACTGGACTGGGCATATTTCCAGCGTCAAAACTTTGAACTTGCCATCGCGTGCCAGTTGTGTGCTGCCATGGCATGAAAAATGTTTGTCAAGACATAGAAGATGCTTACATGTGCCTATCAGGACGTTGCGTGCTAAATGCTGCAGGATGAGTGAATTGACTCGGGATCCAACGACAGACGCAGCGAGCGGCTAATTGCTGCAGATAAAAATAGAAAGACGATCTGGCCAAGGCCTCTCGCCTTGGCCCTTGATTGCTTCGGACATCGACGGCAGTCTTACATAATCCAAACTCTCGCTTTCGTTCCACACCTCAATACACCCAACTTCCGCACAACCCAAAAACATGGTGAGGTTATCCCAACGTGCATGATACCTTACATTGAAATGCATTTAGGGAGGTGGTGCTAGATATCCATACCCAAAGCACGTGTGGTCCCCCGCTGGTATGTCCAAGCGGCTAGTTCCGAGCTACTCAACTGATGATGCCTCAGGTGGCTGGTGGGCCCGTCCTGCGAAATTGGCGGAGTAATACTGTCATAACCTTTGCTGGTATGTTTGCCATTGCATATGGAGTTTGGACTGTCAGCGCAGACCGTGAGGTACGGAACTTGATTCCTCGTTTGGTACAGTCGTCCTTATTTCGTTTTGCTTGAGCAGGTCAGACACGTTCAACCCGACCGACCGATCCCGTCCATGATGGTACGTTTTTTCACCTCGTGTTTTCCTAGTCTTTCTTACCCTTTTTAGTGGGCAAAAGAGTACAAGGACCAGTCTCGGCAGAATTGAGACAGCTGGGAGTGTATGCTTAAATAACATGGAATCGTCTTGTCCCAGTCAGTTATATCCCTCATCATATATCGATATTTTGCCACCACCGCGTGAATGTCTTGATTGAATTGACCAGGAAGAGCATGAGACGGTGTCGAAAGGGTAGGTTCCTGTATCCCAGAACTTGTTCAGAATCCCATTGCACATATTCACATACGCCAGAATCGTTATGCTGCTACTAGTATAAACAGAAGATATGTCAGATTATATATAACGCCAATGTCCCCATAATCCATAATGAACAACTCAAATAACCGACATGAGCAAAACTTCATATTTCAGCTTCGTCAGGCCCAAAAGGATCCCAGTCACTTGGTTTTTCTTCTGCTGCAGGATCATCATCATCATCGTCAAGCTCATCGACCTCTTCTTCGTTATTGCCTTCTCCGCTGTCCCAGTCATTCGGAGTTTTGCTCACCTTCTTCGTCAACTCGAGCATGCGTTTGTTTGCGTAGTCAACACGGCGCTTCCTTGATGGCGAGGCGGGGAATGGGGTGATAGCTGAAGAGGCAGAGGATGAATAGGCGAAGGAGAACATCGATGAAGACAGCGACGAGGGCGATGAAAAACCGATAGATGAGTACATGGGAAGAGTTGACGATGACTACGAAAATTTGGTCAGCATATTTGCATGTCAAGGCGCAGAAGGGAACATACGATATCAGGGTCAAGTTCCCCATCTGCGTCAACATCCAGAACCTCTTTCCCTACCCCACGTTCTAGGCGCTCCTGCTCTTCCTCGGCCTTCAAGAATTTCTCAAACGCGAATATACCATTCCACCGGGTTACTGCAATACCAGTAAGGATAATGGAAGAAATTGCTGAAGGTGGTGCGAATAGGTCTATGGAACCCCATGCCATGAAGAGGAAAGGCTTATTGCCAACGCCCTTGCGACCTGGGATCTTCTTAGTGTTCAATGTTATGTGAATTTGGGTCGTAGAGTCGTGATGCTATTCATGAATATAAGATCTGTCCAGGAGCATAAAAAACAAAAGACGTACATATATGATACCTTTCTCAAGGTCCCCGCCCGGAGCCCAGAGCTGCAAAAGCTGGAAGTCCTCTTCCGCTTCCCACCGCCAAATGTCATCTTCGCCATCTTCAGCGTCAAGCAAGCTGCCCTCTGAGCCATTGCCAGGATAGTGGTACGGGTCTCTGGCGGTTGATGCTTTGACCGTTGTCATCCCGCTTGTTATCTCCCCAGAACGCGAAATCTCTATATCTTTTTGCACCTCGAACAAATGTCCTGGCTCAGGATCGAAGTCTAGAGCTGGTTGTTTACCCTTGGACGAAGAGGGCACTGGGTGCCTTGCGTATCGTGGGATGGTGGCGTGCCGTGCCGTGCGTCGAAAGTGGTATGATCCGCCCATCTCGCTTTCCTTTGCTGGCTGGAAGACAAACTTGATAAGCTTCCGCAGGTGACCGAGTGTGTAGTTCAATGGGACTTGAACAACTCTGTAGACCCCATCTTTGTTTATGTGGCTTCTGCCGTCACCGTCTGGGCGGATAAGCTGGAAGCGGAGCGGTAAGTGCTTCGCATACGAAGAAGGGCGGGGAAGTGTGGTGCTCGTTGTTAGCCGCCGAGCGCGACCAAACGGGTTAGTTGGAGAGTCAGAGGGCACTTTCCAGTTTCTGAGACTACAAGGCGTTCTGGGTGTTGCATACAATGAAGAAGCTGAGGTGAAAGGAGACGACGGCGGTAAAGAACGCGATAGTTGACGACGTTTTGGACCACGGGGTGATGCAGAAGGGCTTTCATAGACGTCTAACGGTCGTTTAGAGACCATCATTCTCCGCAGAACTAGAGTGATCAAGCAAGTTTGAGGCTGGAAGAGGATCCTTTATGTAAAACCGTCTCCAATCGTCGCTTTCATCAAGACTTAGACCACAACAATATTTGTCCATGCTTGTCAAACGCGTCGCGTAATTTTCAACAGCTACACTATCACGTGATCGACGCGTTTGATGCACAAGTTGATGCTCCTCTTCCCAATCACCCGATGACTGTGAATACGTTTGCAGAAGAATAGTTTCGCCTCCGAGGGGACACCAGGGTATCGCAGAGTCTCTGGTCAACGAGATTTATTTTAACAAAACCCTCAAATCTCGACTTTCGGTAGCCATGACTACTCGCGGTCACGGTGGTACCAGTCAAGAAACTTGCTTTAACGATCTTTGATCTGGGTCCATTCTACATCAGTATAATTTCCGTCATGGTCAAAGATTATCCATCACTTCACCTACGAATGGCGGGAACCTGGAAGCTTGCACCATGGGTGAATCCGATTTGGATTCCCTATCGTGAGTGCCAGCTCGCTCGAACCAATGGATGATGGCTCATTTCGCTTGTCGCATCAATTCCCTGTTCCATGATGCGGATGAACCCCATATATTTCTTGCGCCTACGTCCCACTTTTTGTTCCTCCGCCATATTCAGAGAGCTGGCATGTGTTAACGAGTCGGTGTCAACAAGATCACCGCGGTCCGAAGCGAGCTATTTAAGCTTCAAGTCGATTTGAAATAACAAATATACCTGCGGGGCAAGGAGCACCAACAAGTGGTACACGATACTAAGGACCTCATCTTCCACGTCCTGCTAGACATCGGAGATAATCATGCCCGTACCTGTGCTGATGCACCGAAAACTGGTTGCTCTACTAGTACTGTTATGATGGGCCAAATACACTAATACCACATCGCGCTTACTCTCTGCGATTCGTAGGACGTCTTCTATCCAAAGGTTTAGCCGGTAGCGCCGCCGAAGTAAACCAAGTCATCAGATCGAGCATCTTTTTGGAGATCAGGTATCTGCTGGCATTGCCACAACAAGCGTGAAAGCAAGGCATCTTCGAGTTATCACTACGTAGCTGATTTTTCTTCAGATTTTTTCACATCCTCACCAAAACAATGCGGTTCTCGTCGTCATTGCTGCTTTGATAGCATCAGTATCTGCCAGTGACGCTGCGGTAACTGCGAATTGTCATATCTTTTGCGCTAGTCTGGAGTCAACCACATCAGTCACCGGCTTGGCCTTTTGCTGTGGAATAATGTGTTTGCCTCTGAACAAATTTACTGCTGCTCGAGCGATGGAGGTTTTGGAAGAGAGGAAATCTGTGGTGCCTGCCGTTGCCACCAAGCTATACTGATTAGCATTACTGCTAATGTTCAGCACATGTTGTGTCCGATACTGACTACCTTGCATCGTGTATTCGTTTGTATTTCTGGTCGAGATCGCGCGAGGGTGGTTTCAGTTGGCGGTGCATGGCGCGGCACTCTGCAGATGAGACTCTCTCGCACTGTTTGATATTTAGCGTGATAACACAGCTCCGGAGGCATCGGGTTGTTATTGCTTCGTGAACATACATTACATAGAGGATGCGAGCAGGGATGAATGGATTAAAGTAAATAGGAGCAACCCTAGATTCCTGTTCTGAATCAAGGTAAGTGAAATTAAGATTTCTCTTAGCAAGACACTACACGTTCCTGGCGTATCGCACATCTAACTTACAACTAACTCGTGTGCTTAATATTGGATATTCTGGTATTTAATCTCGAGCTTTCGAAGTGGGATATAAAGTAGGGCTGCAAGAGGGAACGCAACCTCGAAACTGATATCGCCAGAGATGACGCCGATAGGGCCCTGGTACCACGCCTGGTTCATGCAAGGTATAATCAGGGCGCAAGACAGTATGCCAGCTGTGACGGCAGCTGCCCCCCAGGGAAGACGCTCCGGAACATTCCATATGGCATGGTCATAGGTGCTGAAGTCACCTTTGCGGAAGTAGTGGTGTTCGACAAGGAGGATGGCGCCGTACGTACTTGCCCAGTAACCGATTAGCGAAAGGAAATTGGTTAACGCCGTATAGAATCTGTGAGCTCCTACAATGGATAGAGGCAATGCGCTGTCAGCGTCCAGGGGAAAAATTTAGATCAGCTGATGATAGGAAAGATAGTACAAATGGAAATACGGACATCACCGTGCCGATGATCGAAAAGACATATCTTGGGACTCTTGACATGGCCGGAACCACCACTTGGAAATTAAAACAGATAGAATAAAGCGTGCACGCGATGTTGCTGGTTACGCTCAGGCTGAGAAGGACGGTGAGGAACTTCCCGAAGTTACCGACTGGCCTGAGCATCGCCTCCAAGAGGCCGCCGACGTTATCTTCCGTTCCATAACCATCTTTCCAGCTAGGAATGTTTGGTGCAGCAAGAACTGCTGCGGCTCCAAGGCACTCAAGAAGGACCTGGTGATAGATCAGAAGACACTCAGGGGGTACCAGATGAAGAGGCTGACGTACGATAGGTACGAGATACCCCAGATATGCATACCAAAAGATCTTGGACCTGAAAAACCATACCTAAGCGTAACGTCACAGAGCATGACATTGAACTTACCGGGGAACGGTGGGTGAATAGTACATTGTGAAATCAGATGCGACTGAAGAGTAGGTGATAACAAAACCAGCGATAACAGATGCGAAGCTGATAATAGTGGAAGCAGATGCCGGTTCCGCTGGTTGAGCGTTGTACAATTTCTTGCCACCCAGGCCGAGTGCGACCAAGAATGCGATAAGGACTGGGAACCACGAAACACGTTCGTACCTAGATACTATAAAACTAAGATTTTGATGAATAGAGGATGCCGCCTACCAGTTGATTACTCTGTAGCCCATGAAGGAGATCTGGAGGTGTGAACATTGTGAAGACGAAGCATTTCAAGAGTCACGGAGAAAAACGTACGAAGAGCGCAATGACGAAGATAATGACAATGCCTACACTAATACGGGTTAGGCCAGATAGCCGATTGTGCGGGACGCATACGTACTCCCAGCTCATATTATCAGATACGCTAGCCAGTGCCTGTCCACCGACTATACCATTGAGGATATTGAAGCCACACATGCCGATCAAGTTAAGGATAGCGGGTATAATGATGCCAAAGTATCTTGAAAGAGAGTCAGGCAGTAATAAATAAAGTATAGAAAACAAGCACACATACCCAAAGCTGTACCTAGTTTGAATCATCTGACGCATACCGGTTCGAGGACCCCAAGTATTTCTGTGGAAGAGAGGTCAATTAATGACCCAGTATCCTGATTAAAGCAAGTATACAAACAAATATGCAGGTAATGCGCATGACAAGATATTGAAGAATAAGATAACGAGACAAGAATCACGAAGTCCGAGTCTGAAAGCGATTGGACCGAGGGTTCCGGCGGAGAAGCTAATTTATCTTTAAAAAGGAGTCGACGGTCGAAATGTTATAAAACCTCACGAGAGGATGTTAAAGCTCATTGAGAACCAAACGAAGAAAATTTTATAATATTGGGTATCCATCCGCTCCTCTTCAGGAACTGGAATAGTACCTATGAACGAAGATTAGATGAGTATTTAGTTGTAATGGAAACCAACCTCGTTCCTCCACGCCCCAGCTAATAAGAGTCTTTGCTAACGGATGGGAGAGCCATCCGTGTTTGTCCCCGGGGATGATCACAGAGAGACCATCCCTACACGCGGAATCCTTCTCAAGGTCGGTGACTGAGTTCTTCTCACGTGGATGATTGTTGGACATCGTGGAGATGAACAGGGAATATAAATCGCAAAGCTTCGCCCTAAATATAAGGATTATCATTCGATTCATGATTGCTTCGATGTGTCCAAATAAGCCCGGAGAAGAAGAGATGCAGTACCACTTCAATCAGGTACTATCTATAGGATCATCACGGAATCAAGCAGATGATTTTGGTAAACTCAAATTGAATACTACAAAAGTGACATACAACGTCTGAGTGGGTTGTTCGTGTTCGACGAGGACTGGCGCGCGCGATCGATGCAAGCGGTCAAGGTAGTACTAGTAGTGTTCCATGACTTATGTAATGTCAAATTTCGTACGAGGATAAAGGGCTTGGCAAAATTAAGACTCGGTCTAGCTGGCATCTATTCTAGGCTCTCGACTACAATCAGTGCGTTACTTTTACCGTCATCCCTGAAATTGGACATCCCTGCCTCGCACCCCTCCACAAAAGATAACTTTTCGATAGTCCCTGGAATCATTGATCATAGTTGCTCTCCGTAACTTTATTTTCCTCGTGATCACCTTGCGTTGATTCGGGCGATATAACCGGTCCCATAAGTTGTGTTCCGTATTGGTCGTTGCGACGGCACGCCTTTCAATGCCCGCTCACCCAATTGTATGATACCACCAACTGGGACCATTTAAAATTCAAGACTACGGTCGGAATCCGTCGGATGGATGTAAGCGAGCGGGGGGTATTTGTGGTGTATAAAGACAGCGTTCATGCTAGACCCTTGATTAATGGGTGGAAGCAAAAAGTGGAAGCCCCGATGATCGCAATAGAGTTTGATTTGCAAACCGGTTTTATGCACGCGGTCGCCAGAAGGTTCCAGTCGTTGACACGTCGTTGGTGATAGGTCGGCAACTTATTTCCAACGCCATTTTGGAGAAAAATTATCGACCCAACACAGATATAAGCGTGGTGTGGTGCAAGAAGCATCTGAACATATCTGCCCCGCTGTCCATCAGCGAACCCGTGACTCCTTGATATTGTGGGCGTGGCAATTATAGATAGTATCAATTATGCTCCCACAAAACATGACCTTATATACTACGAGAAAATTGATTTGCTCATGCATAGCCATAGACAGTTGCTAATGCAGATAGGCAAGAGGAGTTCATGACAACGTTTCGAGGTGCCGCCATCATAGCTAGCAAGGGACGGGAGCGCGCTTGTGTTGATGTTGTCAAGTGTTCTCATGTGCCGTAATTTGTGCTTCAAGTTACAATACCATTCAAGACATTCTGAAGGACAGTAACTTTGGCACAGGTCGACAGATATACATGAACCTGACATTCCGAAAGATAATCATGGCATCTTGCCATCACAGCTGGCAAGGGACATTAGCGCATTCACGTTGGACGTCATCGAGTGTTCTCATGTTTCATAATTTATATCCGAAGTTACAATGTCATTCAAGACATACTGCCTCGTGCAAATTGTTATGTAATCAGGTATGGCGTACTACCGTTTACCTCAGGCTTATCAGATTAGTGATTTACACGATTTGCGAAGGCAATAAATAATTCACGAGAACGTACCCTTCTGTCCGAGTCTATGTGTGTGAGATTAGCTAGTGACGACTACCTTCATGTTGTTCTTGGAGCAGTACGAAAATTGAACGAGTAAGAACTACTTAGTGCTGCCGCAGTTCGGTCCAGAACCTAGGTTCGAACCCGAACCTTTGCGGACCAGACCCATGGTTCGGTCACAGGTCCAGACTTTCTGTTGGACCGAACCCCTTGGTAAGTTCGGGGTTCGGTGTGTCGTCGATAAATCCAGACCGGTTCTGAACACATCCGGACCAGTTCGAACCTCATGACTTTTCGAAGTCAAAGCCTCATGTTTTTGGTGAGGCTTTCTGTTTAAGTATCGTCCTTGCCCTTCTGTTCACCGTCTTCTCCTACTTCTCCTGTGTTCTAGTAGGCAAGGCGATTTCTCAGCGACTTCGGTAATGCAGCAACTCATTCAGGTGCCAGTGAGTTCGCAGCAATTCTACTGTCTGTCCCAATTAACTTATAATGCAATTTATTTCAGAACATACCTACTGTTGTGATTCACCATACTCGCCATCTGCCATTGTTACAAGAACATCTAGATGCTTGGGCCCCTACTATTTTTCTCCTCATCCTCCTCATATCAGCCCTCGCATCATACCCTTACCCTGACCTCACCCTCGTTATCCTTGTCATCCTCGCATTCCCTTTCGCCCTCTACTTGTCGCTCCAGCAAAGCCAGTACATCTGGCCGGACCCTTTCGCTGACGAAGCATACCCATGCTCCGTTCCACCACCTGACTGATCCTGTGGACAGTCCCTTTGCCCTTACCGTCCGGATGGTAACCTATGATCTGATGCACGATGCATCCCCTTTGCCCTTTTCCCTTTTCTGATCTCTGACTCGGTGCACAGTCGCACATGCGACTTATACTTAGATCCGCAGCTGCATGATCATGCCCCTGCGCGTTTCACTTCTTATTTTGATCTTTGACTCACTTTCTTATCTAGCACGTTCTACCTCGACCGAACGTGCCTCCCTGTTATGGTTATACCCTTTACCGATTGCCTCTCCCGGTAGTACGAGTTATCACCCACTAATACGTCTCCTGTCCTCTATATAAACTCGCTACCATGTAACATATTCCCTAACTTGAATCTACTTGGTTCTTGACCTCCTACTCTCACCAGAGTGATCCTTTCTGCCTTGCCAGCAGTCTATATTCTATCTTCTTATCTGCTCCTCGCGGATAAGCCTATAGTCTCGATCTTTACTCATCGACTTTGTCGACGAGCAAAGCCCCTGTTAACTAGTCGGACTTCTGTCCTTCTAATTAACGACGATCTTATGATTAACCTTCGGGTGTCGTAAGCCTAGGCCAATATAGCTTATCGTCTCGCACCTGCTTGACATAAGCTACCCGATTTGGACATAGGCATCAAATCTTACTTGCCGAAGCCTTGCCAAGTAAGACCCCTAACCTTGGGCAAGCCCAAGGACGTCCTCGACCGTTGACGACACACGCTCTGTTTGAGCGTCGCCAACAGATACCATCCAAGTCGTAACAGCCATGGGTTCTCGTTTTGGTGGTTCATGGTGCGCAACAGTTTTAAAACTAGTTTTAAATATATTCACTTGGTACCTAGGGACATTTATGCCTCCTGCTGCTATGTCCGAGTCCTCTGCACGTCGTGCTGACAGTTCGTTGAAAGACGCCAGTGAAATTCAGTGGTACAATGATGCTGAAGACGACACCCCAATGGTTCCTCCCCCTGCTCCCGCCAACAATGGCACTCTCAACTCATTTGTCCATCGTTCTGGTCGCGCTGTCAAACCCACAGAGAAGATACACGAGACTCTGGTTGCCAGCAGTACCTCAGCCAAACGGTTAGCTCCAGAACCTCCCCAAGGTGTCCCTGCACCCAAACGAGTGTTTGTTAGCCAAGAGGATGACTATGATGACAATGAAGACGCACCCGCACTCGAAGATGTTACAGATGATGAGGAAGAGGATGCTGAGAGTGCTGAGAAAGAAGAGGCTTACCAATGGATGAAGAAGCTTGGCGACCAGGATCACGAAGACCGCAAATCTCTCAAGAAGGACGAACGCAGCGCTGACTTAAGGACAGTCTTCACTTTTGAGAAAGGCCGTCTTAATCCCCACACCCAGGAGCTTGAAAACAGGTGGTGATGTGAGGTGTGCAAGGCCAACAATGTCATTCTACACCAGTGTTTCTTTAAAGGCGGTATCTCGACTCGACGCACGCACATTGCGCACAATCCCAAGTGCCACTTCCCAGTTTATCGGGACCGCTGCAAACAATGTGGTCTTGTCATGCACAATCGTGCAATACCTCAAAACTGCAAGACAACTGATATAGCATATGTTATTTTTCTTGTTGTTTTCTTCTCCTTTCATTGACCTTTACAACCAGTCAGGAAACCTTGGACACATCTCTCCCTCCCAAGATACCAGTATTCACGAAGTCTGGACTTATGGACTACATTGTTGAACTTATTGTTGCCGAGGACGAGGTGAGTGACTTTCATTCTTAATATCATTTTAAGACACTTATACATGCAGGCCTTTCAACTTGTAGACAAGGGTCCATTCCACCGCCTTCTTCAGTATCTCCGGCCATCACTTTCAGACCGAGATATCCCCCACCACACAAAAACTCGGGACGAAATACTCAAACACGCAACTCTGGCAGTTGAGTGCGTGAAAGAGAAGCTCAAGCTTATTGATAGCAGAATCTCAATGACATTCGACTCGTGGACGTCTTTGCCTGGTCACCCTTTCCTGTCCCTTTCTGCGCATTATATAGATTCCCCGGCTGACAAGCCTCGAGAATGGGAACTCAAGACCGAGCAGCTTGCATTCACGCCCATTCACGGCAATCACAGTGGCGCAAACATCGGCCAGATTCTAATTGAGAATATCGACAAATATGGGATCCACACAAAGCTTGGGTGGTTTACGGCTGACAATGCCACTAACAATGATACTGCCATCGAGACTGTCGCTGACTCTATCGACCCATCTGGTGAGAAGTGGAATCCAATTGAGCATCATGTGCAGGTAAGTCTGTCTAGTATTAGATACTTCCGTTGAGATTACTGACAAGTATTTCAGTTGCATGGAGCACGCACTCCATTTAGCAGCAAAACACTTTGTTGAGGAGGTGGCTCCTACACCAGCAAGTGTATTGCACAAGAAGGCGGCTCAAGCAGAGGCGGAAGAAGACTGAAGACGAGGAAAGTGTCGAGTTTGAAGTCGGTGACACTGTCGGCAAGGGCACTCGCATTTGTTGCACAGGTAAGCTCTTAATTAATCTGTCCACTATTATATACTGACTGTGTTTAGGTACGGAAATCTCCTCAAGCTCAGCGTCTTTCTTCAAAAGTGTTGTGCAGAGGTGAACTGAGCCTCCATTGGAGCTGTTGAGATGGGTCCGCACACGTTGGGCATCTCTGTACAATATGTTGGAGCGTGTCTTTCAGTTGCGCAAAGTAAGTCGTCTGCTACTAACTACATGAATATGTCACTGATTCAGACTTGATTCATCAGGGAGTGAACCGGTTCATCCTAGCTCGCTGATGACAGTGACGAGGTCCCGAAGTTGAAGGGGAAATCATATGCCAATTTCAGGCTTTTGGCGCAAGAATGGACAGAGTTGGACTTGATGCGCGAAGTCCTTCAGGTTTGTCATTTTCCTCTATCTTTTACATGTAATTATGCTCATGTGCTGCACACCAAGGAACCTGCAGATGCTCAGCAGAGTTTCTCGGCAACTCGTGAGCCAACTGTATGGCGAACTATTCCGGTGCTTGAGTATCTTCAAGGAACATTGCAAACATGGCCAACTCATCAAAATTCAGCCACTTCTCAACAGCCATTGAAGCTGGCGTTAGTAATCTCAGCAAGTGGTATGGTAAGACCGACGACACAGATGTGTATTTTATTTGCCTTGGTATGTCTTATATTTATTTTAATGCCTTCGAATGATATTGACCATTTTGGTGTAGCACTCGACCCCAACTACAAGGTCACATATGCCAAAGACAAATGGGCCCATTGTTTTTTCGAAACAGGGATGTGATCCCTCGAGAGAGTTGTATGTCACTCATCATCACTCACTGTCAATTGTATACTAACATTACATAGTTTGATAGATATCATCATCACAGTACTTCCTCACAGGCTCCTGCAGAGCCGTCTGTCACTGAGCCACCTGCACTTGCTCGCCAAGGCTCATACAGCCATAGTTGGATGTGCAGCTCTGTCAAATCACGCGTTGTCAATGACGCAGCCACACAAAGGCCTCGTCAAGAGCTTGAGGACTACCTAGATGCACCGCTCGAGGACGTTGACAACATAGTGGGCTGGTGGGGGGTATGTATCATTGTTTGATTGTTGTTACTTGCATACTAATATTTTCCAGCACCATTCTATCCAGTACCCAACCATCTCTCGCATCACCAAGGACTACCTCACTATTCAAGGTTTGGCTGTTGCATCTGAGCGTGCATTTTCAAGTGGCGGCATTACTGGCACGGCACGTCATAGCTGTTTGCAACCAGCAACATTCGAAGCTCTTCAGTTACTCAAAAGTGCGTACCGTCAAGGCCATATCTCTGCAACTGTCCAGGCCAAATTTTCGGCTCCTTATGATAACCATGTCATTGTGCACAATGAGTAAATTTGGTAGCTATTTGTACAGTACAATGCTGTTGTCATTTTCTAATAATTGAAACAATGGTTCGAGGGTTCGAACCCGTTCTGAACCTGGACCGAACTCTTGTGAACGCGTTCGAAGGCGTCTGGTTCGAGGTTCAGCCATCTTGCCTGAACCTGACCACTGGTCGAGTTCGGGGTTCGCAGATATGAGGTGACAAACCCGACCAAACCGGACTTCGGCAGCACTAGAACTACTACTAGTAGGGAAAAGGACATGCAAATTGTAAGAACCAAGAACCAGCAACTACTACTCGTAGGGTAAAGAAATCCAAATTTCAAGTTGTCCGATGCAGTACCATGACGCAAAGATGTGACGTAAGAAAATGCAACAAAAACACACCACAGAATGGATGCCAATCCTTCTACAAGGCATGTTTCGACTTGCGAGAAGGGGGAAGAGATGTGCTTGTGCGCTTGCGCTTGGGGCGTCCACAAGAGAGTTCCAAACCACCCGCCAGTCGATCTTTGATGATCTTTTTGTGCCAAGCCCTGTACCTCCTCCAGGCAGTCACATCCGCACCATTGTTCAATGCTATAACAAAATCCTTCCACCTGATGACAAGTGCAATGATGGATTCTTCGAGTTCCGTACAGTCAATTTCGGGGTTGAGCTGTTTAGAGAATGCGATGAGACTATCTCTGATCTTCCCTAATCCCTGCTTCAACATCAATTTGACGGCATCCATGTTGATATCTGGCAATAACGTCTGGGTGGAGATGGGGGATTCAGTCAAATACTTCAATTAAAATGTACAAACTCACTCCATGTGCCATATTGTCTTTGTTGTCAAGATCGATAGCCGATCCATCATCTCCCCGAACCCAGACGAAAACCTCTACCGTGTGGATGTGACACCAAACATGTTGAGTGACCATGATGGGCATGCAGGGCAGGTGGTGTTCGGTGATGAAATCAGCAAGTGAAAGTGTCTTATTGGGTTTGCTTAAGGTCTTCCATGCGATAGAACCTTTGACGGGGCTGCTGTAGGGTCATGCTTCATGAATCAGCCCAAGAACGGCCATCTGCGTGTCATGATGAGTGGCGATGGTGTCTTTGAGTTTGCCAATGGCATGGGCCTTGTCTTCACTGCATGTGCACTCCCCAACGAATGGAACTAGTACGATCTTGGTAGGGCCTACTGCTGGTGTGACAGTGATGCAGATATCTGGCGTAACTGATTTCTCTTTGACGCTCAACAAAGAATTCATATGAACCATCGGGAATATGAGATCATTGTCATAGGGCATTGCTGCGATGGAGTTTCCTAGGGAGAGTTTCAGGCAGTCAAAAGGTGCTTCATGGATGGCACTTGGCATCTCGACAAGGAGAGAGGTTTTCTCGTAATCATAAGTCAGCCTGGCCCAGTTAGTTAATTTACTAAAGGCGGATAGAAGAATCATTTGACGCACCTGGGCTTGGATGTCCAGCCCATCTCTCCTAGTACGTCTTCTATTGCTTCATATTCCCGCGCACCAACATCGTGGAATTCCTGGGTATTTGGTAAGCATGGGAATCTCCCTGACAGTGTTAGTACATACCATGGTGCGACCTGTCTCTGGAGGCAGCTTACTTATTTTTTTCACAACTTTTCGCCCATCTTCAAAATATGAATTAAATAAGTCAACTCCTTGCTTCTCATAAGACATACTTGAGGTAAGATGATGATAACAATGAAATTGTTGGGAATCATCATCATCATTATCACTATCGTCGTCGTCGTCGTCATCATCATCATCCGCCAAGTCATCATACAAAGGGTTTGGACTAGGATTTTCTGTGATAATATTCACAGATGCCTTGTGGGCTTCTTGAGCTTCTTGTAGAGGGGTTGAGGATGTCTTTCTGCATGCCGCAGACTCAGTTTTACTCAATTGTAAAACTGGTGTAAGTGGTTTTGGTGTCAAATTGAACTTTTGAACACTCCCAGTAGATTTCACAGATGTTCGAGAGGTTGCTTGTAGAGCAGAGTTGCTTCTGGTTTGATAAGATTTGTAGAGCTTAGAGCCAGTGCTGGCTACAGTAATAGTAGACACTGGCATGGCTGTGCGATGGAGCAATGGGTCGTAGCAGAGGTTTGGAGGAATCAGGATAGATGTTCCGTCATAAGGAAATCATTTGTTCGGGAAATGCCAGGGTTCCAAAAGTGGACTTTTCAAGTTAGGGTTACTTAATAAGACACCTTGATAGGGGTGGTCACAATGGTGACAGCTTCAAACCAGAAGTTCAAACCACATGATGAACAATTAAAATATTGATTGAGCATGATGTGATGGACCACGAGATTGAGCTTTGGGTCAGGGAAGCACTAGTAGTACTATTCCTAGTAGTGACTGATAGCCTGCCAGTGATAGGACAGGCTTGGAAGAAATAAATGTCACTGCAAAGAACAGCGATTAGATTGACTCTTGAAGAAATGGGATCGACCATGGATTATTGAACTTTCATCCATAGTATCTGTCAGAAGCTTGCCAGTAGTACTAGGTCATGATAAAGTAGTATGCTTTGTTGCAAAGTTTATATAATTTTAGATTCGTGGAGTCTGTCACACACTGATGTCACGAGCGTGGACTTCAGAAGAACCTGGGCTGAGAAGGTAGTTGGAAAGCTTGCCATTGCCACATGTGTATCTTCATGAAAAGTAGTAATACCCCGATCAATCATAACCTTCACCGGATCCGACACAACCAGGCCCTACTAGTAAATCACAGTGCTCCGAGTCTGACTATCATTATGCATGCCCAGGCCATCATATCATCATGATCGTCATGACTGGCAAGCAGGCTAACTTCAACTTGAAGTTGTGGTACTCCGAGTCACACTGGCAGTAACTCGAACCTTGACTCGGAATGCCAGTCACTACTAGGCTCTCACTGTGAAGGTGCATTATCACTATCATTGCCGCTCATCCTGATGATGAAATCAGTACTGACGACCATACCATTCATTAATAGAACGGTGGCAGTACTAAGTACTTTGCAATGTCACGGTCGTCACTTGGACTGGTAGGCGCTTACTCGCACTTTAATTTGGATTAGGAATTCTTGTTGGACTTGGACTCCGGACTCAAGTGCTGTGACAAGATTGTATGTGACACATACTGTACTCAGTATTTACTAGTTAGCCACCATGACCCCATCACTGCATCATCCTCATGGCGGCATGCAGTGCGGTTATTACCACAGAACTTTAGTCATGAGGCTTCATGTTCGACTTGAGCCCACCCACCTCTCTTTGAACTTGTTGTGCTTGCTACTGACACTAACTTGAAGTTGCGATGCTGGGTAGGTGATTTTTTATCATCCCGGGCTAATGGCTGTGGCAGTAAAACATCGATTGACCATTGTTACGACTTGGATGGTATCTGTTGGCGACGCTCAAACAGAGCTTGTGTCGTCAACGGTCTGTGGACGTCCTTGGGCTAGCCCAAGGTTAGGGGTCGTACTTGGCGTGTCTTCGGCAAGTACGATTTAACGCCTATGTCCAAATCGGGTAGCTTATGTCACGCGGGTGCGAGACGATAAGCTATATCGGCCTAGGCTTACGACACCCGAAGGTTAATCGTAAGGATCGTCGTTAATTAGAAGGACAGAAGTCCGACTAGTTAACAGGGGCTTTGCTCGTCGACGAAGTCGATGAGTAAAGGTCGAGACTATAGGCTTATCCGCGAAGAGCAGATAAGAAGATAGAATATAGACTGCTGGCGAGGCAGAAGGATCACTCTGGTGAGAGTAGGAGGTCAAGAACCAAGTAGATTCAAGTTAGGGAATATGGTACATGGTAGCGAGTTTATATAGAGGACAGGAGACGTATTAGTGGGTGATAACTCGTACTACCGGGAGAGGCAATCGGTAAAGGGTATGACTATAACAGGAAGGCACGTTCGGTCGAGGTAGAACGTGCTAGATAAGAAAGTGAGTCAAAGATCGAAATAAGAAGTGAAACGCACAGGGGCACGATCGTGCAGCTGCAGATCTAAGTATAAGTCGCATGTGCAACTGCATACCGAGTCAGAGATTAGAAAAGGGAATAGGGTAAAGGGGATGCATCATGCATCATCTCATAGGTTACCGTCCAGATGGTAAGGGCAAGGGGACTGTCCACAGGATCAGTCAGGTGGTGAAACAGAGCATGGGTATGCTTCGTCAGCGAAAGGATCCGGCCAAATGTACTGGCTTTGCTGAAGCGACAGGTAGAGGGCGAAAGGGAATGCGAGGATGACGAGGATGACAAGGGTAAGGTCGGGGTAAGGGTATGATGCGAGGGCTGATACGAGGAGGATTAGGAGAAAAATAGTAGGGGCCCAAGCGTCTAGATGTTCTTGTAACAACCATGATCGTGATAGACCGTAACTCTAACAGCACAGACAAACCGTTGTGATATTGGTATTACACCCCACCACAGAGTATCCGATCAAGGCTCCATTCGGGCGTCAGGCTTACTGCTGGTGGACACTTTGTTCACCACCATTTTCAAGCTGCAGAGCCCATCAAGGTCGAGACAGTTACTGACCATCGTAATGGTGACGGCAGATGTAAGTGTGATAGCAAAGATTTCTAGCAAGCTGAAGCTTACTAGTGGCTGCAACCACCATAGGTAACCGCAACTGCTTTGTGGCAGTTGTTAATGAACATACCAGTCTTGAGATGGGCTGCACCACCGCAACAGGTCCAGGCCGCCGTGATATTGACCATTCTGACACAGTCACTAACAACCGTGACACTCAACAGTCCAACTTCCCCCAGGCCGACCTTTTCCCGCACTCCTCTGTGACCACCTCGTCGGTCAACATGATTCAGGCAACCCATCACATCTGCGCACAAGAGCAACATGACGAATTAGAGGGTACAGACGTATCAGATGAAGTTGTGTGTGATGCAGATGCACTCTCTCCACTGGACTCAGATGTCAACCATGCGGCGGCTATGATGTGGGGAAACTCCTGCTTGGGAGCTCCCTTCGTTGTGGTGAACGGCATGACGGTCATCCCAAACAGGGTTGATGAACCGGTCCATGGGTCGGAATTGTCGCCTAGTTGCATGGAAGACGAGATAGAATGGTATCACATCTCACAAGCTGTTGTCGCGGCAGCCAAAGCGGCTTCTCAACTTGAACATGCGGCAGCAGAATCGCAGTCGTCAGCACTTGCCACCACAATGGATACTTACATAGAATGGCCAGAAGAAGACTCGGAAGTGGAATAGTTTAGGATTTGATGTGACTACCACCTCAGGCTGGTCAGTGACAAGCTGGTCAAATATCAGTTCCAGACATTTTTCACTAGCTACTTACATGAAATCACGCTTCTCTGACTTCCAAAAGACAGCTCGTTATAGTAAATTTCCTTGCAGAGCAAATCTCAGAGTCAGAGGTAAAACAACGCAACAACAACGCGTGATCTGTGTGACTAACCACGTGATATGAATGTTCTATTAACATCACGTGATTTAATTCTGCTCATCCGTGTGATTCGTCGATAGGTCTCTCTGTGCACATGCAGTGTCATGCACACGAACGAGTGTCATTGATTCATCAAGAAATATGCCCAGGATGCTGCACATCGTTATGTCAGCAAATGGGGGATTCACAGGGTAGGAGAGAGCACCAGGCTATGGATTCAAATATGGTGCCTATCCTAGATAGTATTTGGAATGTGATATTTCTGTAGTCTCAAGTGAAATACAAGTACTATCTAAACAGCCAGTGAGTTGAAACATACCTGAGATCATGATATAATGGTAAAGAACAAAACACAAAAAAAACCATTTGAAGGGACTCGGACTGGTAGCATATTCAAAAAGATAGATGTTTGTTGTCATAGTCCTCTTCCTCCTCCTCCATCTCCAAGTTGTCTCCGAGTCCGTCTTCATCAATTTTACTTTCAGCCTCGCTTTCTTGGGTATCCTCCGAGTCGCTCTCGCAGCCCATCTCTTCAACATCCTCACTGTCGGAGTCTAAGTCCCAGTCTGGGCTGTCTGCCAACTCCGCATCGAGACAATCTCTTGTCATTTCCTGCAGGATGGTAGGATGGCCAATACCATATGGGGTATAACACACAAACATGTCTCGATCAGTGAATCTGAGTTATCATCAGCTGGAGTCATGGTAAAATTGAGACAGGAAACTGTACTTACATACCAATGTAATACGCTTCCCAATCATCTAATTTGTCACCTTGACGTGCGAAGGACTTGCCATGATGCAGGGATCTTGTTCCGCGCCCAGATGCAAAGGCCGGAATTAAATGTGCGCTTCGGATGACCTGGCTAGGGTCTAGAAACCCAAAAGTGTCACGGTCAGACTCCTCAACAAAGGCAACCTTCGGAAGTCGAGTGCAGCTCATCCCAGAGTGATGGCCGATCAAGAGTGCCAGCCATCGAACATAGAGAACCTCGACTTGGCGAACCTTCAATGTTGAACTGTACATCCATATGGTAGATCAGAATGCGAGCATACCAGTATGGATGTTGGGGTTTTGATTCCCCTGATAAGACCATGATATCAGAATGGGTCCGAGGGTTTATTGTATCATACTCTCGTCAAAGGTCGTAGGTTGTGTAGTGTACCTGTAAAGTTCGAGAATCACATCCTGGCAAAGCTAATAATATACGCATACCTGCATTGTTTGAACCGAATAAATCCTGTTGTCAGGGATGACAACCGAACTGCACTCGTCATCCGTAAACATATGGTCACAATAACTAACGTCCAACCCTCGGAAGCGATATAACAAGTGATCTTTCAGTTTTGGAATGAATCCCTGAGTACTTGTAAGTGAGATGAACCTTGAAGAAAGAGGTACCTACTGCCACAGCCGGATCATTATCATGTTGGCGAAGAAATTGAAAAATATCCAATGGATGGTTGCGGCTAAGCGTCGGTATATGGTGATGATGCTTGAGGTTGAATGCCAAAGGCGCATCGACCGTTGTATCCTTATCATCCTGAGCATACAAACTTTGTCCAGATTCTGCTATGCGCCGAAGGAAGCGTCAATGACATTCATGTGTAGCGAGTTGAGTTGGGGTGTCTAGTTTATTGGTCAAAGGATAAAATGCCTTCAATGCTCTATGCACCAACTCTCCCTGGTACAAAAATAAACAGAGTTGAAGAGTATGACAAAAATTTACTTACAATTTGTGTGGTAAAAGAGTCTGTAGTTCCAAAGAGTCGGATTGATCGCACATAGTCTCCCATGGCGTGAAATTTATAAGTATTTAGATTAAATTTCTTTACCTTTTGGCTACTAACGCCAGGGTCCGGATTGTTGGGGCACAAGTGTTCATGTGTAGCCTTACACTCGCAAGCAGCTCTTTCTTTCGGTAACTCCGTTGTGGTGAAAGCAGCACACGTGAAATCACAGAACTTGCGCAACTGATGTGAGAGCTTCTTGAATGTCTCATCCAGCACCAATAATGTGCTTTCAGTATGCACCCTGAGTTTTGTGAGTGCGTGCCAGTGCACAAACTTATACAGAAGTGATTGCACAATCACATCATGCTCTGCTGGAAAGAGTCCTTCAAAGACCGGCATAGCACACTAAGATAAATATGAATCAATGTCATAACACAACACATGGAGTAACAAAACAAACCTGCAAGATGTTTTCAAAGTCCCGTGCAGCAAGCTTTTTCATTTCTGATGTATTATTTGCGAATCTACGAATAACACCATTCCCGTATGATGGAACCTGGCGAAATCTAAGCTGAACGCCGTCAGTTTGATACCAGAAAAAAGGGTACAATATACCTGTTGTCAAGATGTGCAACCAAACCATCACCTCCAGGAAGTGCATAAAGTAAACGGATGAGATGAACGAATAGCGCCTTCCATGTGCCAAGCTCACATTCATGCATAAAATCAACAACGAGGATGCGAAAAGCATCAAATCCTAGCGGGCCAAGCTTGTCTATGAATGCATTCTCATCGAGAATTAGGTGCCGATTAATTTGATTCATTATGAAGTCAGACTCACCACGGTTGGCACCCACGACCCTTGCCTGAGTGTCATCTGTACTTTCGAGCCATCAACTGTATTTCCCCATTTATATATGAAATCGCGGGCTTCGTTCACCCTTGCGAGAGAGTAAGCTCTAAGGCTTGCTACTCAATCTCGCATATCTTTGAAGAGGCCTAAAAAACCAAATGAAACTTTCGGAACCAAACAGCATGGACATGGGCAAGAGCCCATGTCTTTGATTGTAGCGATCAAAACCCTGAAACAGTTGTTAAGATTTCCACAAAGATTGGAGACAAAGAAGAAAATGCACTTTTCTGGGTAATCAGCCGAATAGGTAAAGATTCGTGGAAAGACCCTCCTTGATATTCCATCCGGACACCGGAGAACTAATCTGTGATGATATGTGCTAATAAACTCAGCACCCAGCAAGATGTTCCAACACCCCTGGAACAACTCTTGCCGACAATGTGTCTGTAGGGCTGAGATACCGGTTTTTGATATGCGAGGTAGATTGCTTAAAACGTCCTTGATGGAATCTGGAAGCTGGTCAAAATGAACATCAAATTGGGTCACACAGCGCAAGATATTAATGCCATACTGAAGGGAAAAATCCTACAAGATGGCACGCACCAGATGTGGGAGATGAACGTGTGTACTTGCTCAGATTTCCAAAGTATAGGTAGAGAGGCCAGGCTTTAGCTGTTCCAAAGTTTGCAAGGTGAGTTGCATCTGAAAAAAACATGAGCCCCGCGATAACACGTTCAAGTGAGCAACCTGGTTCTTTTGGCTGCTGCTGCAGGTCGTCCTGAGCTTCAAGCCATGACTCAGAGGTATATAGTTCATCAAACACGGGTTGTTCTTGGTTGTCGATAGGATCTTTCCACAAGTGTTTGAACGGAAAAAGATGAAAAGCATTGGCTTGGATGTCGGCAAATGCGGAATGGATGACTGCTGTGAGGGGCCGATAATGAAAACCCGGGACGCTGAATGTTTGAGACTGTTCATCCTTTGTCTTCATAGGGATGTCAATGTTGATACCTGCCTCAACCCAATCATCAGGAAATACAGCGGACTCCTTGTTTGTAGCATGATTGTCCAGTGCTTGTAGACATTGTCTGACTGAAAACCTGTCCAAGTCCTTCTGATTGAAGTCCTTGGCTTGAATCACATCCTGAACAAGACACATCACTTCTGTTTGCGACTTTTGGTGGCTCCCAGAATTTATCCATGTCATGAGACGATAGACAGTCATGTTCGGGAAGGGGTATGGTGGCGGTTCAGAGACAGATGGATCAGGTCCTTGAGTATCGTGCACCTCGATAGGTATGGGTGAGGATTTTGCTAGCAGCGAAGATGGGACGAATTTATCAGGTTCAAAAGATGGTCGTCAAGGATATTGTCAAGAGAGTCCGAACATGTTTAATGCTGTTTGAAGCGTGTCATGCAATGTGAGCAGCACTCTGCAAATTCTGCGATGCGGTGGAACAACAGGCAGAACAATCCCGCCAACATCCGAAGGATTGATGTCTTCGTCTTCGGGGAGAGAATCACCGAAATTCCTTGGTATGAATGTACATTGCGATGGATGTTGATGTGGAGCTGCTGGTGATTCATGAGTACCTGTAGTACACCAAGAGATGAAGATTGAGAGGGTGCTGCATACCTGGAATATGATGGTGTCCTTTGGCAATCCTATCATCCTCCATAGAGATATACAAGTCCTGTGATACTGATACAGGGGCTGATGAACCAATGAGAGCGTTGCTCTCATCAGGATTGATCCTCTCATGTAGTTGGCCCTCTGAGTCTGGGCCAGGCTTTTCAGTGAACACATAAGCTCCCTGACAACGCACTATGGGTATTGAACAGCGGTGGTTGACAAACCGTATCGGTTCAAGAGGAGAGGTCTATTAGTACATCAGTCTACATGGCTGCAGTTCTCAAGCGATATGGAAAACACTTACAGCAATAACACCACAACTAACCTGAGGCGGCTGGTCGCGGTGTGCGCTAAGTCCGAGTCTGACCGAATCCCTTGCCTGTTCCCACCTTTTGTTGCTAGCTAATGTGCTTGCCCTTTGGTAGTGCTTGCAATCAGCACGATGTCTAGAAAGTCCACAATAGTCAGTGTCCTTTGCCCATGGGCAACCCATTACCACCGAATTGCTGCAGCGTAAGATCATGACGAGAGTTGATAGTACAAGACACAGACCGACCCAAGTCGGTCGAGATATATGCATTCGTTCTAGTACAGTCTGAGCAGGAACGAGACTGCGGCTAGCAGACCTGACTCGGAAATGAAGGACTCAGACTCACAACAGATATGGATGACTCAGAAAATCAATAAACAATATTGACACAACTCGATTTTAATTGGATGGACTCATTGCAAACTCATTGTCGCTACAAAAGGAGATTTTCCAAACCTGATCCTTTTGAACCCCCATAGCTCCAATTGAATGACCAGATCCAAGAGCAGAGACGACTAACATTACTTAACTTAACAGATTTGACTCTGTTTGAACCACTCACACTCAAATACTCAAATTTCGAATATGTCTCAACAAGTGTTACAAGAACATCTAGACGCTTGGGCCCCTACCATTTTTCTCCTCATCCTTCTGGTATCAGCCCTCGCATCATACCCTTACCCCAACCTCACCCTTGTCATCCTTGTCATCCTCGCATTCCCTTTCGCCCTCTACCTGTCGCTTCAGCAGAGCCAGTACATCTGGCCAGATCCTTTCGCTGACGAAGCATACCCATGCTCCATTCCACCACCTGACTGATCCTGTGGACAGTCCCCTTACCCTTACCGTCCGGACAGTAACCTATGATATGATGCACGACGCATCCCCTTTGCCCTGTTTCCTTTCTTGATCTCTGACTCGGTGCGCAGTCGCACATGCCACCTATACTTAGCTCCGCAGCTGCACGATCGTGCCCCTGCGTGTTTCACTTCTTATTCTGATCTTTGACTCACTTTCTTATCCGCACGTTCAGGACTCACCCATGTCTCACCTCGAACGTGCCTTCCTTTTATGGTCATACCCTTTACCGTTTACTTCTCTTGGTAGTACGAGTTATCATCCACTAATACACTTCCTATCCTCTATATAAACTCGCTACCATGTAACACATTCCCTAACTTGAATCTACTTGGTTCTTGACCTCCTACTCTCACCAGAGTGATCCTTTCTGCCTTGCCAGCAGTCTATATTCTATCTTCTTATCTGCTCCTCGCGGATAAGCCTATAGTCTCGATCTTTACTCATCGACTTTGTCGACGAGCAAAGCCCCTGTTAACTAGTCGGACTTCTGTCCTTCTAATTAACGACGATCTTACAATTAACCTTCGGGTGTTGTAAGCCTAGGCCGATATAGCTTATTGTCTCACACCCGCTTGACATAAGCTACCTGATTTGGACATAGGCGTCAAATCTTACTTGCCAAAGCCTTGCCAAGTAAGACCCCTAACCTTGGGCTAGCCCAAGGACGTCCTCGACCGTTGACGACACACGCTCTGTTTGAGCGTCGCCAACAGATACCATCCAAGTCGTAACAACAAGGAAATGCAGCTTTGACAATCACTATCAAAGTACCTCTCCCAGACTCTTCTAAGTCGACGTCCTCTCAATATAATGGTGCGCCGTGGGTCTGCTCAAGCCCTCGAGAGATGCAGTTGTGTTTGGTATGCAGTTACACCTCCTTACATAGTAAGATGCAAAGCACACATACTAATTTGAATAAAGATGACATTAGATGAAATGGATATCCAAGGAGCTGAAGAGCAAACTCAGATATTTACTTGGCACACCATTGATGCAGTCTATGCAAGTTATGCCGCGGCGCAACACCGTGTATGCCAGTACACACAACTTGCGAAAATTTATCAACTAGAGGCAGATGACTGGGCCGTCAAAATTGAGAAGGCCAATCATCTCATGCCTGACTATAAGCCTGTATGGGGGACTGTCATGTTTGAGCTAGCCATCAACAAGCAATTGCTCTTGGTTAGTACCAGTTGGACTTTTCTTCGTGATGTAGGCTTGTTCGCTTAATATGCTTGTACAACTAGCCATTACTTACCATTATCCATATTGTGTGCATATTTTGGAGTTGCTCGTGGTACGACAAGTCGGCCTTACTTCATACCTGGTTACAGTGTACTTTATTTTACCTCTATTTGTCGTTTGCATAGTATCCGAAATTCAACGCTCACATCACTTCATATTGTCGACCTTCAAAGTTTCAAGTTTCCCAACAATGACTGCTGTAATTGTGCTGTAAGTAGTGTTTGGCAGTCACGTGACAAAGTCAGCGTCTGCGCAGAGTCAAAGTGATTGGAGCAGAGTTTAGATGCTAAAGCTGCCTGCTTTCTGCTACACCACGCTGTCACTGTCCAGTGCCGCCTGAAGTGCCCGCCACACGAGCAATGCTCATTCAGTCTTTGTCATACTTCACAATGTCTACCGACTCCTTTCTTATCTCTTCCAACTTGCCTGCCTTAGCCTCTTCTCATTGCTCACCGCTGATCCTCAATGTTTTCACGATTAGATCCAAAGGCACTCCCGGGCCAGTAGTACCTACCATAAGGCCCGAATTTTGAGATGATCGGCATATGCGAACTTGTAAGCTTTCAATTGATGATTTAGGTCCTATGATTAATCTTCTTTAATTCAAGTTGCTCTTAGCTGATTTTGATGGTCACAGTGATGGTGCGCATACTGATTTGAAGCTCCAAGTCAATATGATTCAGTACCTGGTCCCGATGTTTTGTAGACGCTTGCACGACCTCATCTATGACCGCATTGCTGAAGCCAGGATCCCCTGATGCGACAACTTCCTGGGAGGAGTGCTTGGGCCAGAGTACTCCATCCTGAAGATGAGTGGATCGTCTAGCACGATCTGCCTGGGCCCAAACCTCTGACTTACCAGTCATGCACATCCAAGCACACTAATCCAAGTTGATTTGATGGCCATCACCCATTACTAAATCTGAGTCGAATCCTAGTCTCGTCGCGACTCGGACCTGAGTAGGTGTCCATGTTTTTTGCTGCTTGTCGGTATATACTTATAATATCAACCATTTTTTTCAAAGTTATTTGGCAAGTGGTGCCAGCTTTATATATGTGTGAACTTGCTGGAGCCAAATACTCCAAGCTGCAGTTCCTGAGCTCTTGTTTGCATCCGCACACTGACAATTATGGTAATATTCCTTTTTGGATGTAGCTTGTGAATCTCAATATTTAAAGGCGCAACATTTTGTGAGGCTCTACCCTACTACCTCTCACTCAATTCACTCTTTTTCTGTTTCACTTTTTCTCTCTATCTAATTCCACCTCACATTCTTTACCTCCCCTCTCACTTCAATTCGCCCACCGGGTCCTTCCTTTGTCAACCCTCTTTCAAGTTTACTCTACCTCGTGATGACACGAGTAGCTAATCGTGGCTCTTCCGAGCCAGTCGAGAACAAGGCCTTCGAGAACAAGGCCTTCAAGTTGTCTGATGATGAGGCCGATAATCTACCCCCTTCATCTTTGATCGCACCAGATCCATCTCAAGCCTTGCCCACCTCTTCTAAGGCAAGGGCTAAATGTCGCATTGCTGCCTTAGAAGACGAGCTAGAGATGATGAGGCAAGAGAGAGGAGGCAAACAGCGGTAAGCATGTTGTGTTGCTCATTACGCTTCTACTTGCATTAATTCTTCATTTGTTTGCAGGAAGACAACCTTCTACGTCGCACAGGGCAGAGCAATTCATCAACTCGTTATTCTTTACAATAGTTTGGAAGACTTAATTGCTGAGAACAACCGTAGATACGAGTTCCACGCATCATTGGAATTAACCGTGGAGTAAGTCGTCGATTTTTTATGTGATCAATTCTAATTCTACAATGCAGACAAAATCACTTACAACGTGGCTATATTGAACTCGCACGTATGTGATCAATTCTAATTCTACGACGCAGACAAAATCGCTTACAACATGGCTATATTGAACTCGCATGGGTGCTACCATTGGTGCATGTGAAGCTTGGCGACCTTGACTATGAAGAATCGGTAGATATGTTGAAGAAGGCACGTGGTTCACAAAGTTCATGTGCTATATACTAATCATGTTATAGCTTGAGAAAGGAGCGGATGCGGCTCGCGGTGACGATACCTCCAGTCTCAAGGAGCTCGTCGCCGCCTGGGTTAACCAAGAGTTTCATCCATCTCCTCTTATCAAGCCAAACGACAAACATTCGCGTGGCTTCACAAGTGATGTCTGTGGGAAGCTACTCTGCCCTGCTGAGTGGGATTGGGATCAAAGCATGTGAGGGCCAACTCTTCTCAACTGTAATGAATATTGATGCAGGTGCAGTGTCAGAGCTGGCATTCGCGACAGAACATCGGAATATATTGTATCTGAAAATTCTTGGCCTTTGCTCGTTTACGAGAACTATTGGGTTAATAAGGACGACCTTGAGGAAGGTTTTCTCAAATTGAAGCTTCTCATCCTTGTAAGTGTTTTGGTCACAGTATATTTGCCTATGTTTTTGCTCATTACATTCTAGGCCTTCAAAGCCATCTTCACGTCGCCTTCCTCTGCTAGGGAAGCCGATGGTGACGGAGATGGAGCTGATATCCTGGAGAATGACAGGCGTGCCCACCAGAGATCTGAACAAGCGAAGGTCAAGACATGTGTCGCTTCGATCATTAATATGAAAAAAGTCACTCCTCGAGCTATTGCATATGTCGTTTGTCACGTGAGTAAATTTAGTTGTTGTCGCGTCCAGAATCTAATGTTTCAATGGCAGGTCCATTTCGCTCTATCAAGCGTCTCATCCTGGTGCACCATGGATGGCGACTTCAACTACAAAGTGTTTTGGAACAACATTGTGGACTTTTTTGAAGAAGTCCCTGGCCCTGTCACACGATGTAAAGTGGAAAAACTTCTCGAATGGTGGACCAGGTAAGTACTTTTCGAATCTTCAGCTAACTAGATAAATGATAATGCTGTGTAGGAAGATTGTTGGGACGAGTCATCATGACGACCTGACCGCAGAGGTTGTGTCCCAGATGTCTGTCAATGCATTGGCCGAACAGAGGAAGAAGCTGGAGGATGCAATTTTTGACTCGGACTGATGAAGTACTATTTGTCTTTCTCTTCCTGCCGCTGTTCTTTGTCTGTTATTCCTCTGCCTTTACCCGTCACTCACTACAGTCTATTAATCATTATGTGTACTAATCCGAGAGTTTTATATTCATGTCTACAAATACCACATAGTTGCAAATATATTACATTGTTGAATTGCGAGTTGATTGGGGGACAATTGTCAGCTATATTGCATACCGTTGCAAATGCCAATCACTACTGATTTTTTCCCAATGTGTGATGCTACCAATTGACATGAAATTTTCCCTTGTGTCTGACTCTAGTGATGATTGAGCAAATGAAAAAATCTTATGTAGCTTCGTGATCGGCCACGAAAAGGTACTTGTTTATAATGTCCTTCGTCAAGGAGGTCATGTGGGGTCTCTGACTGGAGGGGCTTGATTGGCAGTATAAAATCCCATACCATTCAACATGTCCACTACTACGAGAATGATCACAATGTACATTGCTGCCCAAAAAACAAGGACATTTTTAAATTCCTCAACCATAGTGATGACCGGGCAAATGAAAATATGCTATGTGGCTTGGTGATATGCTATCAAAAGTTTTCTATTTATCATTCCCTTCGTCAAGTAGGTCATTCACCATCTCTGACTGGAGGAGGTTGATTGCAAATCGAAGTCTCCAAGCATTCAACATACTAACTACTATAAGACTTATTACAATGTACAATACGGTCTAAGCAAGAAAGAAATCATCGATTTATGTTACTGTGGTATAGAGCGCACCAATAAAAATATCTTACATGGATGTGCGATCACACCAGGGACGGACATTGAATGCAATGCGCTTCAGCCAAGAAGGTTAACAACAATGTGAGACCAGGTAAGTTTGGTTGACATACCTTACGAAAAGCAGTGGATCAGGGTAAGTGAAGAAACTGTGGCGGTGATCGGAATTTGAAAATATAATTCAGTAGATAGCTGGAATCGACGCAAAAAAATCCCACTCTGGTACCACATGTTCTCATGGTGGACATTGGCAATGTGTTCAAGATGTGACCTGTCTAAGCAGCAGCCCAGCGTGAGTGCTAAATTCGACTATAGATACTCTTTGTGATCACCCTAAAATTCTGTGATTATACTCCTCAGTGTCCACGTTGTAAATCATCATGTGCATGCCAATTCGTTGAGTTTGCAATGCTGGTGGCACACATCATGTGTCTTTACCAAAGCTGATCAGGATGTTTCGACTTGCATCTTAGACACAACTTGTCAATCAAGTTTGATGATGTAAATTTTCAGAGGCTTTGACGGTAGCAGAATTTTTTTGTAGTGCGTAGAGCCTAGCACTAAGTTGAAAGTCTTGCGCAGCATAACAATGTGTCATGCAATATGGCACTTTGAACTATTAGTTTTTGAGGGTCCAGTTGCGATATGAATGCGAGAATCAAGCATCACAACCTAGATGATTTGAAACTTCAAGTGTCTTATTAAAGCTGCACTCGTTCATGCAAGACATAATTTTAAAAATTTCAGCATCACGCAAGTGAGATACGCCTATGCGAGTGGGACATTAGTGCTTTGTCTCGACCATCACGAGCCAAAGTTCAAAGCATTGACTTGTGTCACATCTTTCATCCATTGGCCAGTGCACACATAAGCCAGTGCATTGAGGGCAAGATACCATGGCTGGTTGACTTAAAACATTCATCTTTCCTTCACAAGGCAAGGTAAACCCCCCCACCAGATTTCCAGAAAATTTAGTAATTGTTAGCTATATATGGTTATTTATGACTTTCTAGTCTGTTCACCAGTTCACTGATGTCCAAGCTCAAAGTGTTCCCCCGATTGCAAAGGTTGCATTCTGTGGCATAACACAATGTTAGACAAGAAAATAGCAACACACCACATTCGATACATCTAACAGTGCACTTGATGCTATTTGAGTTAGACATCCTGAATCCGTCTGATGTCATGATGGCTTGGACGTTTTAATTTTCAAAAGCAAGCAGTAGTACCACTGCAATCAGATTTAGAACAAAATTGAAGCCAACCTTGTAAAGGACATCCGGAAAATGGAAACTCTAGGTCGTCCTGGTTCAATCTATGAGATAGACTCAGTGTCTGAGTCCAGCCTGGGGGTGTGCTGGCTAGTTCCGAGCGGAGTTGAATTCTTATTCAGCTTCATGACAACAGCTGTTGGAGATTAGAGAAACGAGGGGGTGTGTTGGAGATCGAAGAGTTGAAGGGCATTTGTTCTTGGTCATTGTTTCTCTACTTTTGGACTGATTAACATTATGATAGAGTCGAGGGTGCAACCTCGCCACTTTGTACCATATGGCTGTTACTTCGCACCACATGGCTACTACTTCGTATCATATTCAAGCTCTGTTGTCATTTGCATAAGTATCTTGCATCCTCATTGTCCGTGTACCTCAGTTGTTGTTCACCAACACTGAGGTACATATTTTTGTCTTTCTTGCACACAGTTCTTGTACTCATTTAAAATACTCTAGCGTACTTCCTACAGGTACTTTGAACATATTAATATAGTTGTTGTTCACCAATGCTGAGCGTACTTCCTACAGGTTATGAGCCCTGTGTCTTAAACAGACACAGAAACCGTAAATATACGAACTCCCTCTCATTGTAGCAACTCAAGTCTTTCTCTTTGTTCGCTCAAACTCACTCTGACGCATCGTCTCAACTATGGGAAAATACTGATCATATACCAGAGTTAACTGGGGCAGACAATTACATTTCCTGGGAAACGCAGGCACAGCTTGTCTTAACGAACGACGATCTTTGGTGTCATGTCACCGAAAACGCTGGACCAGGTGACATTCTCGGAGCAGCTTCAGTCTTGCCCATAGCAGGCCAATCCAGCAACTCCCACTGATGATGAGAAGGCGGCTATATGATCCTGGCTTATCAACAACTCCAAGGCCAAAACCATTATCCTCTGCAAACTTGCACCAAGTATTCACCTTCTTATCCCCTGTAACATGTCAATCACAGCGCGCAAAGCATGGAAAATCCTTAAAGATCACTTCCATCATAACGACATCAGCTCCCAGTTCGTCATTCGCAGGAAGATTCAGACACTTCGCATGAAGGACGCACATGACGCAAGTAACTATGTCGGTCAGCATATTAGTTGCCGTGACCATCTCATTGGCATGGGTGCTACTTATTCTGATGAGGAAGCCGTGTTTAATCTTCTTTCCGGGCTACCCACATCCCCTACCTGGCAGCTCTTTCGCACGCAGCTCAAACAACGTATGCACAACAGTTTTTCTGCTACCGTCGTCAGTTCTGCACTTAGCAGTGGACTTCCCATTTCTGCTTCATTCCAAATGAATGGACTGACCTTTGAGAGTTGCACGGCATGGATCACAGCAGAGGCCTCACGTATGGTCAACACTCACCCAACCAGTACACCTGGTCCTGGATCCGAATATGCCAATTCTGCGTCCACTCCCTCTGCGTCCAACGTCAACTCCATCACCGGTCTGAGGAAACACAAGAATAATCCCAATGGCATCTTCTGCCTGACAACCGGGTGCGGACGTGGTGATCATGACAAGGAACATTGTTTCTGGGATGGCAGGGGGATGGCAGGACAGGCGCCTTGGCAAAAGAGGAAGAAGGAGACTGCAGCGGTCACATCAGGGACTTCTCATACTCCCTCCACGCTGTTATCAGACTCACCACCTGTCGCTACAGCCACCACAGCGCTGGCCACACACACACATGATCTTTCATGCACAAGCATCGAGCACCTCGATGACGTCTCAGCTCACGCCCATGCATTGTCCACCATCCTGGACTCCGGCACTACCAGCACCCTTGTCAGCGACCGCAGCATGTTTTGGACATATTCCACTCAGGACCCCATTATCGTCAAAACGGCAAACCACAGGTCCCTTCATACTTCCGGTCATGGTGATTGCGTTGCATGGCTCAAAATTGGCGGTACCCGACATCGTGTGCAATTTTCAAACTGCCTTCATGTGCCCGGGGCAATGCTGAATCTTCTCTCCGTCAGCTGGATGCTAGCTAAAGGATGGGAGTGCAATTTTCGGGGTGAGCCTCCTTGTTGCAAGCTCGTATATAAAGGAGGATTGCTTGGGGCAGTGCCCATGTCAGGGCACCTTTTCTATATGGATCTCAAGTTTATCCCTCCTCAAGAGTCAGTACCTCTGGTCACTGAACCATCAGAGGTGTCTGCCTTTGCATGCATCCCACTGACATACAATCTCTGGCATGCTCGTATGGGTCATGCTGGAGGAGAGTCCGTCTGCCGCCTTGCTCACACTGCTCATGGCTTCTCCTTAGATGCTAACAAAGCCATGTCACGCTGCGAGTCATGCATCATAGGGAAACACCCACATCAGCCCCATCCTACATCCCCTTCCCCTCCTGCCTCTCGCTTTCTTGAGTTGATTCACTCAGACGTGTGCAGTCCCATTCTGGTCGTCACTCCTCACCATAAGCGCTACTTCATCGTTTTTCTCAACTGATCACACCGTAATCCTGGATCTTCAGCTCCTGGCCACCAAGGATCAAGCCTTGGATGCATGGAGGAGCATTCGTGCAAGGTGGGAAACTCGCTCTGGTTTGCGCATTGTTGCTTTCTGTTCGGACAATGGTGGGGAATTCCTCAGTGACACATTCAGTACCGAACTACAAGCAGCCAAGATCGAGCGCCAACTCTCCACACCATACTCACATCAACAAAATGGGAGAGCCAAACATGTCATTTGTATGATCGAAGGGCAGGATGTATGCCATGCTGAATCATGCACGCCTCCCACGCAACCTATGGGGAGAAGCAGCCCTGACTGCAGCATACTTATTCAACCGCACAGAATCTTGTGCTCTACCTGCTGGGAAAACACCCTATGAAATGCTGCACAACACTAAACCCGATCTCTCTCACATTCGCGTTTTTGGTGCACGCTGCTTTGCTCGCATTCCCAGTGAGCTCCAGGAAAAGTTAGGTCCTAAATCACGTGAGGCTTACTTTATAGGTTATGCTCCAAGTGGTTGTGCTTGGCACTGTAGCGATAAGGCAACGAGGACTTTCTTCAACTCTCGTGACGTCATTTTTGATGAAATGTTCTCTGGCAGACCTTTCCCATCAGACAGCGACGATTCTGATGAAGAAGACACAACATTGACCCCCACCACTGCACCCGCAACCTCCTCACTGAACATAAGCACCCCTGCACCAATACCCTCCACCACGCGTCATTCTGAGCGTGCACGCTTGCCCACTGCACGTGGACAGATCTTCCAAGAGAAACTGGCCTCTGACCATGACCGGTTGGCTCGTCAGTGTGAGCTATGTCAGGCTCATGTTCAGGGAGTGCCCCTTGAAGGAGTGAATGTTGCGCCTAACCCTTCTGAGCCCTCTCTCCAAGATGTCATCGCCAACACAGACACTGATGCCATTGTTCCAGATGAGGACAAGGTCGGCTTTCCCCGTGTGCTCGCCAATCTCATTGCCACTGAGTTTGCTTGTATCTCCATTTGTAGTGATACACGACGCAATCCACTCACCACAGACTACAACATGAGAATTCCACCCTCCACTTTTGATGAAGCTATGCAGCGTTCAGATCAAGATGACTGGCTCAATGCCATGCGCAAGGAAATCAACCTGATGTCAGAGATGGGGGTTTACGAGCTAAAGGAGCTTCCAGAGGGACGTAGGGCGATAGGATGCAGATGGGTTTTGGAGTTTAAAGAGGACGAGAAAGGTGGGCCCATTCACAAAGTGCGCCTGGTGGCGCAGGGATTCTCGCAGGTGCCGGGTGTCGACTTCGGCAAAACATTTGCACCCGTCGCAAGGCCATCCTCCATCCGACTTCTTTCTGCACATGCAATGGCTTACAACTGGGAGATCGACAGCTTTGATGCCAAACGCGCATTCCTGTGGGGCAAGCTATGCGAAGACGTGTACATGCGGCAACCACCTGGCTTCGAACGCGGAGCAAACCTTGTATGCCACCTCTTGTCTTCACTGTATGGATTAAAGCAAGCTGTGTATGATTGGTATGAGCTCTTGCGTGCCATTCTCACACGTTTAGCATTCCTCCATTGCGAAGCCGACTATGCTGTCTTTGTATATGATCACGTCAATAGCGAGGGGGTGCACATCATCTGCATCATCACGTGGCACGTCGACAATGGCCTTGCAGGCTGCAACAATAGGAAGTTCCTCGATTGGGTTAAGGGTTGCATTGCGGAACACTTTGGCATTGCAGACTTAGGGCCAGTTGTCAAGCACCTGGGTGTTCAGTACGTTCACTTGTGTGCTACACGAGAGCTGTGGATGCATCAACAAGACTATATAATTTATCTCCTCGAAGAGCATGGTCTTCGTCAATGCAATCCGGTATCACTGCCAATGGACCCCATGTTCCCTTTTGGACGAGACACGGACATTCATCCTCAGATCGACAATCTTCAGTCAGAGTACTGTAAGCTCGTTGGAGAATTGCTTTACCTTGCGATGTACACACATCCTGACATTGCCCTTGCCGTCATGAAGCTTGCACAACATAATTCCAACCCGGAGCTTCATCATTATGCCGCTGCAAAGCGCATCCTTCGCTATCTTTCCGGGACACTATCCTATCGGGTCCACTATGGAGGGAAGAACGTGGACAGCACCATCCATGGGTTCAGCAATGCTGATTGGGCAATGTCTCCTGAGGATCGCATCTCCATTACAGGATATGTTTGGTACTATCACGGTGGCCCTATCTCACATGCAGCAAAGAAACAGACCACCCAGGCATTGTCTTCCGTAGAATTGGAGTACATGGCATTGACGGGGGCGATCCAGGACGGACTCTGGATCAAATCTTTCTGTGAATGCCTGAAGATCGCCTTCACTCTTCCTCTCAAGCTCTATGCAGACAACACGGGTGCCATCACACTATCTGCAGAGGCCACTAATCACTCCAGAACGAAGCACATTGACTTGCACTATCACTTTATCAGACAGCACATTGATGCCGGCATCTTCTTACCTATCTGGGTTTCTACCCACCACAACAGCGCCGACATTTTTACTACAGTCCTCCCGTGTCCTGCATTCATGGCTCACTGTTCGGGTCTGTCCCTTGTGGCGGGTTGAGGGGGTGTGTTGGAGATTAGAGAAACGAGGGGGTGTGTTGGAGATCGAAGAGTTGAAGGGTATTTGTTCTTGGTCATTGTTTCTCTACTTTTGGACTGATTAACATTATGATAGAGTCGAGGGTGCAACCTCGCCACTTTGTACCATATGGCTGTTACTTCGCACCGCATGGCTACTACTTCATATCATATTCAAGCTCCATCGTCATTTGCATAAGTATCTTGCGTCCTCATTGTCCATGTACCTCAGTTGTTGTTCACCAACACTGAGGTACATATTTTTGTCTTTCTTGCACACAGTTCTTGTACTCATTTAAAATACTCTAGCGTACTTCCTACAGGTACTTTGAACATATTAATATAGTTGTTGTTCACCAACGCTGAGCGTACTTCCTACAACAGCGTCGGCCTATGCGGTCCACATAGTCACCGCCTACTTCGTGCAAAGTTCGTGCCACCTTTAAAACTTTTTCAAAAACACTGGAGCCAACTCAGCCAACATGTAGAGTTTCCATAAGCCCCACTGTTTACGAGGGACTTGTAATTTTGATGACCCGATTTAGAAGGTGATACTTATAAAGTAATGTTCTCACGGGAAGGTTATTAGCTTTTGCTACACTTTCAACTGAACCCCGCTTGCCCAGATTGGCTCATGTCGACCCAGGCGTCCAACGCACATGCGCTATCCTCTGTCACTTTTCACGACCATAATAAAATACCCATCCTCATCTCTCAATCTGACAAACTAGAACATTCCCAGCTAGACACCGATGCACCGTATGTTGAGGATGTGTACGAAACATTACTTCCAAGGTGGAGAGCAACTATACGATCCCGAATTCTCACTTCGGTGAAACGAGAAAGTCAAATATTGGCCCGGATGCAGGCTCGTGTTGTTTTATTTCAACATGTTCATGTATTTCATCACTTTCTATAGGAATGCATGCGACACCCCTGGTTGGACTTGTATTTCCTCTATAGTTCAACTCTTGGCACCCACACCTTCTTCATGATTGGCCTTCCCTTGACATTTTTCTTTGGCTACGAGGAGCTCGGACGAGGGTACGATCCACTTGTCCACCAATTATTGCAACTCAAATCGCAAGCAGCTTAGTGACTGTCTTGGCTTCCGGAGTCTACATTGTTTCGTTTTTGAAGGACCTTATTTGTTCACCTCGTCCATTGGCCCCTCCTGTAACGCGATTGAGTAAGTGAATGGGATTACTTTATAGTAGAATTCGTTGACCGCGTTTTCTCAGCCATCGGGACGCATCATCTTGAATACGGGTTTCCCTCAACGCATTCTACCAACAGCGTATCCATGGCACTTTTTATCTTTGGCTATGTTAGACACGCCTACATTCAATCAGCCGCAATCTCATCGTCGATTTACTATGCATCATGCGCCATTCTCGTGATATATGCCGTGACTGTGGTCTTCGGCCGCTTGTACACAGGCATGCATTCCTTCACCGACTGCACGGTCGGTGTCTTTCTTGGAATCATAATCTGGGGGGCCTATGTGATTATGAAAGAGTCGTTTGGAATTTGGCTGGCGACTACTCACTGGACAGGTGATACCTTCCATCCTTGCTGGTATTCCTACTCATTTTTTTTTCAGTTCCGCTGACGATGATTCCTATCTGTCTACTTCTTGTGCATTACCACCCACATCCTGTCGATGACTGTCCTTGCTTTGAGGATGCCATCGCGTTTGTCTCTAGCCTCCTTGGCATTGCACTATCCCGGTGGCACAGCGTGTACTCTGGTGTTGACGAGCGCTTATTGAGTTCTGTGATGCCCGGACCTGAAGGAACCCTGTGGACTTGGGAGGATACAGCTTTGTGGTGTACTCTGGCTTGTGTCAAGGTCGTTATCGGTCCGTCTCTGTTGCTTTTTCCACCTTGTGTTCATTCTTACATGTCTCTGTAGGCATCCTCGTAATTTTTGTATGGCGAATTTTCGCCAAATCGCTCCTGCACCTCGTTCTTCCTCCACTTTTCCGGTTTCTTGCATCCTCCTTCGACCTGCCACACCGACGCTTCTATACCCCTGCGACAGATTACCAACACATGCCAGTTGAAAGCAGTTTGCGCGCGATTCCGAGTGTTATCGACCTTCCTGGCGTCCTAGAGGTCAGCGCAATGAAGGAGAGATCAGCGTTGGGAAGAACAAGTGAGGTCAAGAGAAGAGGTGCAAAATTGAATAACGCTTCACCATTAGCCAATGGGGAAATCTACGGCGGATCCGAGCTCGAGAACAGTAACGGGCCGATTCAACGCAAAGAAGTGAAGCACTATGATGCTGATGGTTAGTGCATCGTCCGTCTCTTTGATAGGTGTCGAAGTCTAAGACAAACTTTTATCATTATTCAGTGTTGACCAAAGTAGTGGTCTATGCTGGAATGGCAATGTTGGCTGGCGAAGGTTTGCCCGTCACATTTGCCCTTTTGGGCTGGGGCGTCAGGCCGTGGTGATAGCTTTACTGGCGATGAATTATGTATGCAGTGAGTAATTCAGGATCTCTGGGAAAAGTGATATGTGAGCCGTCTTTGATTTTTTTAGATGAAAGTTAAAGTGGTACTTGATAGGAAGGAGTGACTGTATAGGACATTAAAATTATTGGCATATACACGTTGCCTGTGAGCAGAAGGAATCTGCAGTACTGCATCTACATGAGGGATCTTTCATTGCGGCATTAAGAATATTCACATTACGTGGGTGTACTGACTTTTACCTTTGAGATCAGGGTCTCAGGTAAAACACTTTGGACGGTGCTCCGACTTTTGCAATGGCTCTGCGTTTACCGGTTTTCTTCGTGAATAATTGGAATTTGAAACCGTCCTCCCTAGCAATCCTGTATGCAGTCGATGGAATTGTTCCACGATGTCTTCACTCACTGCTGATCTTCTACAGGCGATTCGAGATCGGAATCAAGGCGGGCCCCTCCTCCTCGTTCTCGTGTATTACATAGTTCATGAGAAGGTGGATTTGTAACATCCAATTTCACTCGATGTTTATCGTCTCTACTATGGCAGTGAAACAATCCATGCATGTGAGTCGTGTATAAAATCCGGGATAACTACTAATACTCGCGCAAACCCCAGAAGGGCGGTCTTGGCATGTTGAGTTAGAACGGCCGAGGGACAGTCACTACGACTCACTAGTATCGGCGCCAGTCGCGTCAGCGGGCATGGCAGAGGTGGATGATGCCAAAGCACCAACGACGGCGAGGACAATTGCAGAGGAGAGACGTATTTTGCAAGTGACTCGTGTGACATAGCTTTTATGTGCGTGGTCGTACTACCTTCATATGATACTGCAATGCCAGCATCTTTTGGCAGTTGAAGTCTATCAGCAATCTGGTGTGGAGCTACTGAACATTCACGTTTTTCAACCAGCTGTTGAATCTGTACCAAAAGCGCTCAACGTCTCTGATTGCCAGCCAAGGTGTGTTTGGAATTTGGTGTGGAACTTCTACTGAACATTGACGAGTCATTGCTTTGGATTGGAATTCCTCATCGCATGATTACTGTGACAGCTGTACATCAGTTGGTGTGCTGAGCGAGAATCCATTGTGCTCACCTGCATACTTGGTAGGACTGGAAGCAACACTTGATAATTGTACAATCTACAGGCTCGTCTACGGCGATTCTGCAAGAGTGACAGTCACTAATTCATTGACAGTGCACGCTCCTCGATGGTATTTTTTGTGTCCTCGCATGTCTTCTCTAATGTGCATGTTGGTCAATTCCACTACTGGTGCTTGGGCCCAGGTATGAAGTTTTCAAAGTGCGATGATTAAAAGCCTACCAGTAACGTACATAGCCCCGAGCACCGATTTATTTCGGTTTAACTAGAATTTGGAGCCTTGATATCTGCGAGAGTCGCTCTATGCCAATACCATTTTGGCAGCATTTAATGCGACGGAGATTGACACCTAGTACGAGAGCTCTCGGGCTTCGGCTTGGTTTATGTAAATGGAACTCCACGAATCACAGTCGTCATAGATTTGTGGTTGTTTGGTTGCTATCTACGTTGTGTCTAAAAATAGAGCTTCGATGATATCGAAGGTGTTTTTAATCTTAATGACGAGTGTGAAAAATTACCAAAGTCATACTTCGACAAAACTTGCTTTCAAACAAACTGCCAATTGTTACCCTGGGGGCTCCACAAAGCTCCCGAAGAAACAAAGGGCAAGATGACAAGACTTGGAAGCCCTCGAAAACCTCAGCTGAAATTTGCCTCTGACTTGCCCGACTAGTAGGAACAGCGGCGGCAAAAACCTCTTGACCACGAATAAGACAATTTACTTTCTGGTGGGGCAACGATGATCCGTCTACACGAAAAGCGTCATCTAAACTTGAACCTACAATTCGGGTCAACCCATATCTCTACTTTGTTTTCTTTGTGGAGCCGAAGTACTTCGGAAGAACCTAGTACTAGTGGCCACTCGTCTCCACGCAGGGTCATAGTGAACCCGCTCCCATGCAAGCTCGGGGATCCCTCGGCGAGCGCCTAGTAACAAGTCAATCAAATTTAACTTTCAACTTACTTTACTGGTATCACCGACAGGTTCGCGGCGGCATGGAAGCGTTCACGCGAGGCCGACACGTTTATAAGGTCGTATCTGCCCATGGAACGGCACTCCCTTAGATTTGAACCTCGACATGTCTGCTCGCATCTTTAGAATTTCTATCATTTTCCTTCTCCTTTCCCAAGCCTATGTTATGGCCGCTGTTATGAGGGCCTCACCCGAGTCAAATTCGACCAGTTGTGGTGACGGTGAACTTCGTTGCTGCGAGGAGGTGAGAGAAATCCATACGTATAGAAAGATATCTGTGCTTACCCGTACTGCTAAGGGCTCGTCGGGGTATGTTAATGATGAGCAGTGCCAATGCTACTCAGGCAGTTGTTCGAGTGGCTACGTGACATCTTGTTGCTACACCGTGACCGTCGCAGTAAGCTCCACCACTCGATTCAACCGTGCAGTCAATAACACCTTGCAATAGGACTATTATTACTGCAACATGACTACGTCCAGTTAATGGTAGGGTTGCGCAATTGCGAGTTATTTTGAAGCACGGTACCTGAAGGATATTCCTTGGGTTGGACTTTTAAACGGATTATACCATAATTTTGTCTTGTATGCATAGTACTTGTGCAAAATATTTCGGACCTTGCTCGTTATCCAGGTCCACACTCCACCAGTAAGCACAACACGTAGCAAGATGATGACTCGCGATATGGACGAACTTCTAGCTTGTGTGACGTAGGATATGTCGAGCCCTGGTGGGAACCGAGCTGACACGACAAAAACGCATTGACAGACATTATTTACGGCGGCAGCACCCTTGCCGTAACAGCTCCTTCCAAAACATGGACGAGTACCCCATGACAAGCTTTATTTGCGAGCCAGAATGGTCGGGCCTTCATAACGAGCATAAGCTTTGGAGTGGAGACATTCACCTTCGTTCTCACCTCCGGCTTCGCGAAACATTGGATTCATACACCTGTTCCTTGTAACGACACTAGTCAACAGATTCATTGGTCCTCGTAAGTGGTACAGAAGGATCAGGCTGCGAGACCTGCGATGAATGTGCAACAGTCTTTGCAATCCTGGAGTGTGGTTGCCATGTCCCAAGTTTGGTCGTAAGTGGATAGATTGCCAGCGCCGCCGTAGTACAATTTAGTCACGAGTATAGAACTTCGATCAAGTGTAGTGGTATCAGAAAGAGACAGGACGGAAATCAACGAATGCTTACCCTGTACTCCTCGAAAGTATCTTCTCTAGGCCAGGAGTCTGACAGTTGTCAGCCGTCATTGTTCTAGACTTTCAAGCCAATATTGTAAATGCGGAAAAGGATCCTGATATGGTTGCTGTCCACTGTGACAGACTGACAGTCCACAAATACAAAAAGCAGGGTTAGGAATATCAATTTCTGGACGTCAGTTGTCAGTCGTATGTTGGAATTGTAAAATAAGGAGGCACTGCAGTCCCTTGACGAGCGCTGGCAAAAATTTCTCGAGGGGACTTTCAGATTGGACGCCAGAGGCTCGTCTGTTGTACGTTAGTGTTAAAACGTAAGGCCTGAGGGACCGCTGTTCCTTGGCGTGTCCAAACCAGTGCCTTTAGGTGTCCGTGAAGTCGGAGCGGTAGTATCTATACGCGCTAGCTGTCGAACAGAAAGATACGACGCTAGGACATGAGTGTGAAAGAATTTCTACAGACCTCGGTAAGTCGCGTACTATGTAGTAGAACATGAACCCGCTCACCTTCCTAATGCGTGAGATTATACCCTACGGCAAATACCGGCGACTTGAAAATGTGGTCCTGCGGTACCCCCGATGCCTCGATCGTCATGGCATGGGACCACACACTCCGCTGTTCCAAGCTTGATCGTACAGCTTAATTCCTTGCGAAATCTCAAAGCTGTCCGAAATTCGGTTCGACATGGTTAAGCTCTGCCCTTCGGCAACTTTGTAACCCAAGTTCAGGTCACACAATCCGCCGGCGTTCTCCCAGTTTTTGTGCGTCGATTTAGATCAGTCTTGCTCTTCCACAGCAGCGCACGCATACACACACTATCTCATAAAGGAGATATAATATTCAGGCTTGAACCAGCCAGGTTTAGATCACGACCTTTGGCTCAGCTGACCTTCAGGGACCAGGGTCTCAGACGTGATGCATGATGCATGACATAGCATGTGGCACAACGCTAGCATTGTAGCCCTGTGCGCCATTAGGGTATATGAGCATACTTTGCTCGCCTACCGGTCTCCTATGCTTCCGGCGCCGAGTATACAGCCCCATCGGCCCGATTGTGCCATTGTTGAGAAACTACCCGATACACGACACAATTTGGGTACAACTCAGATTCATACGCCCCACGCACGGTACTCTTGGCCGCCGTGGTTTGTCAACTGATTCATCGTTCCTGTTGTGGTTCAGTACAGTGGGAACGAAATCAGCTCTGTTTACGCATATTGTCATATCTTGCTGACGATGTTTGGCGTATAGGGTAATTTGGGCTTTCATTTCAAGCATTTTGGAGTCCTTTGATTATAAACTTGGGCTGTGACCAAAGTGAGTGCCGGTCGCAAAAGGCTCAGAGTTACTGCAACGATATTACGTCTGGTTACACGCTCTCGCTACTCGTGACTCGAGGGAGGTCAGGGTCAATGTACTTATATATGCAGTTGCGACTGTCAGTTATCCCAACTTTGAATGGCGTCTGAATTCGAACCTCAATCACTGTATACAGGAGTCCCTTATCTCGAGGATAAGCAGGACTCGGGCATACTAGTGGAAGTATATCCAGACACCAAGGTCTCGGATATCAAGGTCTCCGACCCTCCCTCACTGTCGGACGAGTTCCCTGAAGGTGGCCTGGCAGCTTGGGCAACTGTTTTTGGAGCGTAAGAGTTGTTATTTGGACAAGCAAATCAGGTCTTAATCGATTTGTCTAGGTTTCTTGTGCAGTTCAGCGGCTACGGGTGAGTCGATTACTGGTGCTGGCTAAGAACGGTGTATGACCATACGTGTCAAGTTATGCCACTGCATTTGGTGTATACCAAGGTAATATTGATTTGCATGATAGGAAAGATGAATGCTTAACTCTTACCCTCCAGATTTTTATACCCAACACTACCTTACGAAAGAAACATCGTCATCTATATCGTGAGCTTCTACTTCGGTCTCCATGGCGGGTATCCTCAAGGTCTCTTGTAGATGGATAGGGAGCTTGAACATGTTTTTAGTCACCTCTGTAGGCCTTCTATCAGGTTCATTGTATGACCGAGGATATTTGTGAGTGTAATTTTGTTGGAGGTACTCGACGATACTCAGCATTCTGGACTAGCTACCATCTCATGATTGTCGGATCACTCCTACAGAGCTTCTGTCTCTTCATGTTATCATTGGCAAAACCTGATCAGTATTACCAGGTAACGTAACTTTCCTTAGCTATATGGTTTCATCTTCTGATCTTGTATAGATATTCCTTGCTCAAGGATTAGGTTCAGGTATTGCGGCGGGGCTCATGTTTGTCCCGAGCACGGCTGTCGTTTCCCATTATTTCCGACGAAAACGCACGCTGGTTTTGACCTTCGTCGCTTCAGGATCTTCGTTGGGCGCTACCATCCATCCGATTATGCTCAATAACCTTTTGAATGGTCCTCTCGGCTTTGCCAATGCTGTCCGTGCTAGCGCAGGGTTGATCAGCGGGCTCCTTCTAATCGCATGTCTATGCATGCGAACTCGCCTTGATCCACCAACGACACCGGTGAACTACATTGTGGCAGCTAAAAAGTGTATTCGCGATGTACCGTTTAGTCTCATGATAGCAGGGTGAGGCCTCCAACGCACCTTTTGTCGATTTCCTCCAAATAACCATCCTGTAGGGGCTTTCTTTTCCAGACTGGCTTCTACTACCCGATGTTCTTCTTCCAACTCGACACTATCAAGCACGGTATTGGCGCCACATTCTCGTTCTACTCTGTATGATCTAACGCTATGCAAGTTTTGTATCTACTAACAATGCCGCTAGCTGGTGGTTTTAAATGCTTCCAATTGTGTGGGACGAGTCACATCAGGTTTCATCGCAGCCCTCACAGGAGTCCCGAATGTGACCATAGTCGCGACGGTTTCATGCAGTATACTCAACTTGGGCTTGATTGGATTGAGTAACCTGGGCAGCGCCATAGCGCTTGGTGTATTGTATGGCTACTTTGCAGGGCTATGTAAGTAGTTTTCTTTCCACTCCGTTGTATCGAAGTTGATGGGTGGTGCAGACATCGGGGCATGGGTCCCACTTATGGCTGATTTAACTCCTGACCTATCTGAGCTTGGGTGAGTGACGGTTTAATTTTATGAACGAATCATCTAAAATGCATCATAGCGCACGGATGGGTATCTGCTTTTGTTTGAGCGGTGAGTCTTGGCAAATTATAATCACTCTGAAGTTCTTACGAATTTGCACGCGCTCACTACAGGATTTGGAAGTCTGATTGGTACGTGAATTTCTGACATTACTTGCGTCAAATTCTAAGTTTCATCGCACATAGGAACACCCATATCCGGCGCTCTGCTGACATCGAACTATACATGGTGGATACCCGCGCTGTTCTCCGGGGTGAGTCATGCCGTTTTCCTCCATCAAAGTTCGACTCTGATTCACTGGATCATAGGTCCATTTCGCTAGCTGGTAGCGCGTTGTATATTATCATGCGGGTAATGTTGTCAGAAGGCAGATTGAAGAAGAAACAGCGTCGTGCTCAACTCGAAGTATTAGAAAGTTGTCCTTGAGGAATACGTTTTTTGAATTAATTAATTGTACTTTTTCTGGTGCTCTAGCGCGTTAACTACTGCGCAGAGGGTTCGCTCCATGTGCAATAGTTCATGCGTGCGAGAGAATTCATCGGTTGTAATACTAAACGCTACACAAGTACCCACCGCATATTCCTACACATATTCATTGTCGACGTGCTTCATTTCCGCGATCGTCATCGATCATTTTGACTCCTACAAATGTACAACTTAGTGCTTGTCCAAGTCATTTCTTGAACCGCTCTGACTGGCGGCACGCTCGCGACATGTACGTGGTGCATGACTCGGTAGGTATCATATGGCTGCAATGCAGGCTATTAGCCCATTTTATAAGGTTAGTACAGCTAGAGTTCATTTGAACTCATTGGCAATTTTACCACCAAGTTGGTCGGGCTTGGACCGCAGTGGTTGCAGGAGTGTATATCGAGCACGAGAAGCGAAAGGTTACGTCCTCGAGCTTCCACATGTATCAAACTGTATGTTGTGCTTACTATGGTAAGCCAGGCGTCAACATAGCATCATATCGTTACGTACTACGTGACTCGGTATAATATGCAACTTCATCACAAGACCAGGTGGAAAATGGACCTGAACGACGACGTACCCACCTTCCGGTGACTTTAGATTAACAGACAGAGCAAGCAGGCAAATCAGTCATCAGGGAGATTAAACTGATGGTTCTGTGCTGGAATCGTTGGTCTTGAATTCGGCAATAGGGTTTGACGTTTGCGGTGGGTCGCCGCAACGACACCTAAATTGAGGGATAACCGAAGATTCTGAACAGATGTCAAACTGGCGAGGACTCACTCTAAGAGAGCTTGCGAATTCCTTCAGTCAAGCGAACTTTGATAGAACTCGATAGCTGTGTTAGCAGTTACGGTAGTCCAAACGTTTACGAAATAGTGGAACTCGCCTGGCCAGGTCTTGTATGCAGAAATTTAAGCCAATCACTACACCATCACCTTCCTATTTTCTGACGATGCCAAAATATCGCAAATTGGTGGGACTGCAGACAATCGAAGGGAAAGTTTTTGAAGATTGACAAGCAGCGAGTCCCTGAAACGATGTCAAAACTTGAATGCGGTGTTGATGTTATTGTTGTCGGTTGATTGATTTGGAGTTATCGCTGACTTGAGTCTAACAACCATGTCTAGTCCACCAAACTCGCTGCAAGCGTCTATGCACGCTCCAAAGCCAGAGCGAGCATCCGTTCGGCCGCCATCCTTGAACCAGCTCGCTGCTCGTATCAATCTTGGCAACGGTACAAACACGCCGTCATCATCCCCAGCTCGCCCACGTCTCGCTGCTTCACTCCTGCGCACAGGATCGCAAACCTCACTATGTACTACGTCCACGAACGACTCAGTAGCCGTTAATGCTCCTTCCACTCGCTCGGTGTCTCCGGCGCTCACCGCTATAACTGCTGCTACACCACCGAAATCCACAACTCCATCGATACCAGAGGATGCTCCACTCGCCATTTCAGAACCGTTGACTCAGGAGAATCTTAAAGAGCTTAATCAGGAGTTGAAAACTGAGAAGAAGGTGAAGGGGTACAAGAATATTCCATCTCTTGATGCGATCACAGCGCACTTGGCTAAAGCGAGATCGCTGAGCGTCGACGGGTCTGCCCGTCCACCGGAAGCTGAGATGGTAGAGGATCCGAAGACACCAGGAGCTACCATGAAAGCGCCAGAGCATCCACTACAGTTTCCTTGGTGAAGATTTCTATTATTTGTCTACTGCATTATCCATCTAATTGCACGTGTAGGACGGTCTACCATGACACGAAATCCAAAGCACCTTTTACTCATCAAAAGGGAGCTACTGAAGAGGGCGGCACACCCTTCCTTTCCGCTCCACCTGAGACAGAAGACTATGAAGCTGGTCTGACTGTCATCGGAGAATTCAATACGGTGGAGTCATTTTGTCGGTACTTCAATTGGCTGAAACCACCCTCCAAACTGGAGCGTAATTCCAACTACCACATTTTTAAATCGGGAATTAAACCGATGTGGGAGGATCCAGCAAACACCAACGGCGGCAAGTGGGTTCTGACAATGAAGAATAATTCTGCACTTCTAGACCGTTGTTGGCAATGGCTTGCGATGGCGCTGGTTGGTGAAGAGCTTGAGGAAGGGGACGAGATTTGTGGTGCGGTGGTTAGTCTTCGGAGCAAGGTCGACAGGATTCAAGTATGGACGAGGAGCAAAGATGACGTCGAGAGGCTAAATGGGATAGGTAGAAAGCTGGTAAAGCTTTTAGACGTTTCCGAGGCGGATAATATTGGTCTCGAATTTCAGGTTAGTTCCTAGCCACCTCACAGGAACACAACTGATAACGGTTCCTTATCAGTACAACACCGATGACCGACCGCTACCCAACAAATTCCTCTCCATACAGTCGGCTCCAGCGTCTTCCTTCCGCTCCTCATTTGGCGTTGCAGCTCATGGACATAAAGGATCGTCTGGAGGCATCACTAGTCCAACGAGCGATGTTGGAACTCCGCCAAGCGCTGCTGCATCTTTTGGGAGCTTCAGCATACCCATCGGGGGTACATCTGCGTGGAGAGGAAAGCGATAATTCTATGCGGATTTGTCGTATTGGAGCCAGTTCTTAATGGAGCAACGTTGACAAGAAGAACCAAGGAAGAAGTCTTGACAAAGATGTATATTGTATCCAAGCTCACTTTTCAGCAGTAGCCTTTATGGTTACTCTCGTGTGTTGATTTATATCTTGTTCGTGTACAAAATTCGTTGCAATCACACATCATGCGCTAAGATGTAAATTAATCACTGGACCTGTTTTGGGATTTATCATTTGGCAGTGGCGGGCGAAGATGCAAATCGCAAGTCTGAAACATCGGGGTCGTATTGCCACACAGTTGGCGAGCTCTTACCCGACGCAGCGGACTGAGAACCGTTCATCGAGGTTACTTCCACCGTACCACAACTTTTAATCAAAACTTTCGAAGCAGTCAAACGTTATCATATTGCGAACACCACTACGAGCAAGCACCCTACTCATACTTTAAGATCCCTATCATTCGACTGCAGCGGCAGGAAAATTTGTTTAGAAGCCAACTCTGCAAATTACTAACTCGCGCGTCAGTACCAAAATCATGCTGCAGGACTGGTATCAACGCTGAAACGCGACTCACTTGACAGAAGAGGGGGGTCTGTCATGCCAGTAAGTATGTGGTTAAATCCAGGACACGAACTGCTGATACTCACGCAGTATCCCCCAGGGCAGCCTTGACACTGTGAATCTCTCACGCAAAACGTGGAGCACTGTGCCTTCCTAGCGAGCAGAGTGCCATCGTCGTGGGGCATGGCAGATGTCAAAGCAGCAACGACGAAGAGGACGATCGCAGAGGAGAAACGCATTGTTTGTGATGATATGATATGCAGGGAAATAAATTTCTGAAGAGGAGAGTAGGAAGACGGCTTGCTTTTATATGCTGACAATCGTTCTTCAGGGCGATAGGGCAAGCACATGTCCGCCGGAATCCCCTCGATAGTAGCCTGACTGCGTCGAACGAACGACCGAGCCCAAAAAGTCTGAAATTCGTCTTCTGTAGTGATATTTTTGGATGAATACTACAACCCAATATAATGCCAGATCACCATGCGAGATCCATTGTGTGGAAAGATTGAAAATCCGTTGCTATGAGTTGGCGAATATCTGGATCATCACTAGTGGGAACCAGTGTTAGAATCTGATGACCTGTAGAATGGGACTTATCGTAGATTTCGGGTTTCCTAGTAGCCCCGCTATTTCGACAGAAATATCATCATGATGTTATGCTGGTTCTGCCAGCGCACACGAATTTCCTGTATGACGGTTAAGACGGTGCAATTAATTTAGAAAGATGGACGATGTGCCAATATGGTACTCGCCCGACACATGAACCATGAAATTGCGACGTTACCGTCTTTGAGGCTTATTTTTAGCCATATGATGTTATGCTGGTTCTGCCAGCGCACACGAATTTCCTGTATGACGGTTAAGACGGTGCAATTAATTTAGAAAAATGGACGATATGTGCCAGTATGGTACTCGACCGACACATGAACCATAAAATTGCGACGTTACCGTCTTTGAGGCTTATTTTTAGCCATACCCACACTACGTACCTCTGAATTTGTTGCCTTTAATCCTTTGACATACATACTGTCGGGATTGACTGCAAATTCATGCGGAAACCGTCTCGAGGCCCCTTGGACTTGTGACACCATGGTCAGTTTTCCCATGTAAATTTTATGAGGCAAGGTCGAGCAACGCCAGCTCATAGGTAATAGCTTGTAGTCGTATGATAAGCTTAAGAGTAGTAGTGCGCAAGAGGCATGCGACGGCGAAATCCGAAACACTGACTACTTGCTTACCGTAAGCAAAAACTTTAATTTCAGCCACTTTGGCGTTATCTCACGTTGTCATCCGAACTTCTCTCCAGCGCCTTCGGATCTCAACAAAATCTTTCCACAACTTGGGGGAGGTGGTGGTTATAGGTACCTTAGAGTAGTTCTAAGTATGTAGATTAATAAATTCCTTGTGTTATAGCTGATTTCCTCTGCAAAATGAATGCTTTGGTTTTTTTTTCACCACACGTGAGTTTAGTGGTGCCGAAGTCCGGTTCGGTTCGGTTCTTAGGCCTCTAAATGCGAACGCCGAACTGGACCATCGGTCGCGTTCAGGCAAGGAGGACGAACGCTGGACCGGACGCTGATGAACGCGTTCACAAGCGTTCGGTTCGAGTTCAGAACGCGTTCGAACGCTCGAACGCTACATATAAATTGACAAAAATTGCAAGAAATACATGAACAGTAAATGAGTAGCTAAATTTCGTCCATGGCAGAGTGTTCGTGAGCAGCAGCAAACTCAGCTTGAACCGTTGCGGAAATATGGCCTTGACGGTACCCACTTTTCAACAGCTGTAGGGCCTCAAATGTTGTTGGCAACAACCGATTACGGTGTGTGGTCCCAGTGATGCTGCCACTCGAAAACGCTCGTTCAGATGCGACGGCAGAGCCTTGAATAGCGAGGTAATCCTTTGCAATGCGAGAGATGGTGGGATATTGAATGGAATGGTGCTAAAGGCATTTTAAGTCAACTTGCAAGGAAACACGATGCGAAAAAACTCACGCCCCACCACGCCACTATATTCTCAACATCTTCTAATGGGGCAGCAAGGTACTCGTCGAGCTCCTGGTGAGGTCTTCGATTTGCGGTGTCATTTGCAACACGAGTTTTGACAGCATCGCGCATCCAGCTATGGCCGTATGACCCCTGGCGAGCAAGCAAGGAAGGAGCCACAGCAGCTGGCTCTGCAGTGGCGGGCGAGACATTGCAATGATAATATTTGTCGAAAACCTTCCGCAAGCTTCTCATGCCCTCGTCAAAGTCGCGAGGCTCCCATTTACCCTTCGCATATGCCACCTTATAGTTAGGATCGAGCACTACATTGTACATTAGATAGGGCATCATAATAAATAAAATACATACTGAGGCAAACGAAATAAACATCAGTTTCGTCGATTTTGTGGTACCATTTGCAAATATTGTCGAGGCCAGAGTTGATCGCGGATGAAAAGTCGTCAAACTTTGACGAACCAGCCATGTTTTGCCAAGTTTGTTGGAGATACTCGAGGACTGGAATCACGCGCCATATGGTAGGTTCGCGAGTCGCCGAAAACGATTGTTGAGCATTGGCAGGTTCCTGGTTATACAGTAGGTTAATACAACATTTGAGACTCGACTGGACACTCGCACATACCTGAAGCACGTCATGCATCAGTTCCAACTTCTTCCATTCTTCAGGCTGAAAGCTTGAACACTCCATATGACTTGCCCTGCAACTTTGGGACTTCAGTCACTGTCATCCGCCAGTTGTATGAATCTATTCACCCCCTGCCAGCAGATAAAATTGAGTTAGTATTGTGCATAGGGATGGTAATAGAAACCAACTGACTTTGCGTAGCTTAAGGGTGCGCTCCAACATACCAAAGAGCGAGGCCCATCGCGTGCGAATCCATTTCAAAAGCTCCAGCTTCGGCTCGTTGACCTCGACACAGCACTGTTGGAAGAAGGTGCGTGCTTGGGGAGATTTCCGAATCTAAAAAAAGGGTTCATTAAATAGTGTTAGTCAGACGAGGGTACACACATACCTGCGTAACAAGCGCAAGGGCTTTTCCTGCAGTGTCGGCAACCTCGAAATCAGTTGATTCTTCGTCTTCGTCTTCATCGGCCATGTTCTTGAGGAGAACGCTTGCTGGTGTAGGTGCGACCTCCTCGACAAAGTGTTTGGCGGCTAAGTGCAAGGCGTGCTCCATACAGCTGAATAGACATCAACATATATAGATCACGATATTAAATAGTTCACTTACCGCACGCGGTGCTCACCAGCAATCCATTTCTTGCCGGAAGGGTCGATAGCAAGAGCAACGGTCTGAATTGCTGTGTCGTTATTTGTAGCATTGTCAGCCGTAAACCATCCAACCTTAGTGCGGATGCCATAGTTATTGATAGTTTGAATCAGGATTCTTCCGATGTTGCTCCCGCTGTGATTGCCAGTTGATGATGGTGAATGCAAGTTGCTCTGTCTTCAATTCCCACTCGTGAGGTTTCCCGGCTGGGGAGTCAATGTAATGTGCGGTGACGGAGAGGAAAGGTACACCAGGTTTGGATGTCCATGAGTCGAACGTGATCGAAATTTTGCTATCAACTTCCTTAAGCTTCTCCTTCACACGTTGAACGGCAAGCTGCGCCCGTTCAAGAATTTCGTCTCGAGTTTTTGTGCGATGAGGAATGTCCCTGTCTGAAAGGGAAGGCCGGAGGTATTGAAGCAGCCGACAAAAGGGTCCCTTGTCAACGAGTTGGAACACCTATCTATGGCATGAATATCCTAAGTCACAATTACAAAAAAAAAAAACACTCACCTCGTCCTCAGACACGATAAGCTCGACAATGTAATCCATTAGACTGGTCTTGGTGAATTCAGGAATTTTAGCCGTAAGGGAGGCATCTAATGTTTGCTGCGCTTCGTCAGTTGCTTTGCAGTTAGGAGGTATTGCCCAATCATGCATCTTGATACCTCGTTCATTGCAGCGGTTGCGGTATATTGGAAAGTGACACTTCGCGTTTCGAGCGATATGGGTGTGGCGAGTCGAAACACTGCCTTTGAAAAAGCAGTGATTGGTGGGTACATCATTGGCTCTTAAATTGACATTAGTTATGCGTGTGACATTCAAAGTAAAAGTAAAAACGTACCTGCAGATCTCGCACCACCAGCCGTCTTCGGGTTCTTGGGTGTGCGGATTGATGCGTCCCTTCTCCTGAGTAAATACTACCTTCAAATCCACACTGTGCTCCTCTTTCTTCTTATGCTTGCGATCCTCACGATCCTTGTCTCCAAATACCTTGGTCCGCTCGTAAGCTTCTTTGGCCTCTTCTTCATCATCTGAGCAATCTTCTAGTGCAGGGGGTTCGTCGTCATCGTCATTGTGGGACCCACATTGCACTCGCTTGGGTGCGGGCTGTCCTTGGGGAGGCACTGGAGCCACTCGTTTGGCAGCTTTGGCTGGAGCTGTGTTGCCAGCATTGCGGATTTTTTCTGTCGGTTTAACAGCTCGGCCTGAGCGAGACACGAAGGCAGTTAGCTTGCCATTGGATGCAGGAGGCGGAGGTGGAGCAAGCATGGGGGTGTCATTGTCGGGATCATTGTACCAATCGATGGCGCTAGCGTCTTTGAGTTGGCCATTGGATCCAAGTGCGCAAGACATTCTCGCAGCCAGAAGGGTGAATATTATACCTGTAGTAGCTCATTTATACCAAAATTTGTGGTTAGAGATTAGAAAAATGCGACGCACCTTGAACATATTGTTGCCATGCAATGACTGCAACAGTTGATTGATGTTGAAGCAAAAGCAAGTACCTGAACGAGCATCCCAAAGATATGTTCTGAACATAGATTAAATTATAATCCTAATAACGATTAACATAGGGCTTACCAAAACATTGAATAGATCACAGAGGAAGTCAGACGTCACTAACAGAAATGCATTCAGTCTTTTGGTTGTGAAGTAAGAGCCGTTCTGGAGATCAATGCTCCCAGAACTGCCAATGGCCATATGAGTTTGTTGCCAGGTGATCAGAAAAAATATTAGGATAGATGGATAGCAATAAGCTGAGGACCTCAAGTGGATCATAGACAGAAGGAAAGAACCGTTCGAACGCGTTCGAACGGGTCCAGATGGGTTCACAAATCTGAGGCATCAGCCGAACGCTGAACCTAATAATAGGTTCGGTTCTTACCGTAGGCTGAACCTCGGACCGAACGGACAGTCCGGTTCAGAAGGGTTCGCGTTCGAACCGAAGTTCCGAACCGGACTCCGGCATCACTACATGAGTTGCGATTGCATGTGATCAATGAATGAAACGACGTCATGGACATCAATTACTGTCAAATCTGTTCTCCATGTCCCTCCTCCTTCTGATCCGTCTGTTTTTCCTTATGCTCTTCCTGATGGTAAGTTTATCATTTCCAGCTACTACTCAAATAAAGCTTTCTGACATTGTAATACTACTATACTAGGCTCTACAGGTATCATATGCGCTGAAGCAAGCCAGCAACTTGCTGCCACAGAATCAGGAGCTCTGATGGAATGTCCGCTGTGCGGGGCAAAAACGGACTCCATGCGCGCACATGTCAGCCGTCATATTCTGAGAGCAAGGCATGGTCTCGTCGAGGAGAATCTGAAAGAGCACATCAGGAAAAAACCAAAATGGTGGGAGTACTAGTGACAGTTACATAGTCCTACATAGCTACAGTAGTGATATATAGTCAACCGAGTTACTCTATAGTCCTATGTAGCCGAAGTGAGGGCTATGCAGAGCTACCAGAGGTGCTGTGAGTGACTTGTAGTCCAGTAGCAACAGTAGCAGATCATAGTATCATGGAGCAGTGTAGTACTAAGTAATAGCGGAAATACAAAAAGTATCTAAGTCAATGAATGTATTCAGATAAAAATCAGTTGCCAACTTATAGGCGTTTGCGCTTGTCCACCCGGAGTTGATGGATTGTCCCATCCTTGGTATCAAGTGACATGGATGAAGAATTTTGTCGACATGAATCACAGCTGCGTTTTGATGCAGTTGTCGAGTCGAACGAGATACCTGAAGCAGGCCAGAGAAAGGGTCTGGCTCCCTAAATGGCATGAACCATTCAATGTAAGCCAAAGCTCGAGAATACGTCCCGAACTGACGAGGCAGTGTGAAAATGACACGGACTTGTGCCACTTGTGCACCTACAGCTTCCATATGAATTTTGCAATGGCGAAATAGTAACAATCACTTACCATCTAATGTCTGTAAATTTGTGGTCCGAGCACCATTGTTGATCAGCGCCATATTGAATTTGGCAGGGGATCCTGGCTTCCGGCCAGGACCAGGAGATACTTCGGGGGTTGCTCTAATGCGCCATCGCCTTGGTGATTCACCTACCCGCGGATCCAGCGGAGCAACAATGACAACTTGCCGGAAAATGTCAAAATGATCTTGTGGACCAGGGACAATGCGATTTTTTGGCATATGCTTGTGTAAGAAGAGTTTGAGGGCTGGAAGAAATGAGACTGCGCCATGTGCAGTGATGAGCTGCTGAACGGATGTCCGAGGGTGCGCAGGTGCCTTGGCGAGAACATGGAGTACACATTGTCCAATGACAGGAGGTGCTTTGGCGGGGGCAGCACGAGACTCAAATTGCAAGTCTTCCATCTCAGAATCCGAGTCTGAATCAATGTTGTGATTATAGTCAGCATGACCGGCTATGGTGGCCGACTGAGACTGCACAGACAGCCATTCGAGATAGGAACTGTGCAAGAACACGGCTTCCTGGCATTGAAGCCACAGAGCCATTTGTTCCTCATAATCCCGCTTGTTGCTAGCCTGGTAGGCTTCCTTAGCGAAGTCGATATGGAGGCATTCTGGAAGTTCGGTGTTGAAACCGTCAGTGGTACCATACAACGAGATTGATTGGACATAGTGCGAGAGTTGGTGTAGTTTAGGAATATTAAAATGTTCACGTACTCCAAGCTCGTGCAGAATATCTTTGTTGGCGTGAAATACCGCAAGGGCGTTCTCGAGAAATTGGAGGGTGTCGGATGTGTGTGTTCACAGCTGTGCAAAGTAAGAAAATTCCAAGATAGCTCGTGCGACTACCAGCACTTGACTGGCAAATGAAAATTGATTATGTTAGCACAAAGTTCAAGCCACAAGTGACATCAAGCATACCTTGGGACAGCACCGGCAAGTAACCCTATGAAAACATGTTGCATTTGTTTGTGTTCCATGCCTGTCCATTGTTTGACTGCTGATATTCCTTTTTTGAAGTGCTGAAGACCTGGAAAGTCTGGTATTGCCTTGAAGCATGCATCCATCTCAGCTTCACCAACGATTTCAAGACACCACTTGACCAAGTGATCTTTGAAGATGCCCTTGTGGAGCTGGTGTAGGAGGTCAGGCGTAAAAGCAAGGAATATGTCTGTGTGTGGGAGATTGGCCCAGAAAGGACTGTAGACGGTGCGTAATCCAAAGTCTTTGAATTCAGTTGGATGTTGACCCTTTTTTCGCTTCTCTAAGATCTCTTTTATCAACTCGGGGTCCCGCATTGGCGAACTCAGTGGATCGCCTCTTTCATCCGCCGCGACCAGGCACTTTGGGCAGCGATTCTCTTTGCAACATGCCACAAGACATTGTTCTGGAAAATCCACCACATAAGCCGCAAGGATCAGGTATATTCAACGGACCATTGAGTCGGCACAGACCATTTCAACACCATCTCGTCCTGTGGCAATGAGTGGTTGAAGCAGGAGAGACATACAATGGTGGAAGAGTCTGTAACTAGCAAGGGATTGTGAATCCGATGTGAAACAACTGAGCTTGCCTGCCGGTAAGTACCCAATTAAAACTGTTGCTCGCGCTGACATTTCCCTTCGTTTTTCTTTCGCGATGTTCCCTATCGAAAGATACACAGGCCACACAGATTTGTCACCTCGGAACTGCGACAGACATGTCTTGTCTGACACGAGAATGACAGGTGCAATAGTTGCACCTTTCAGCAGTTGTTTCTGAACATTGCAGGTCAGTGCTTATTTTTTTCACTCAATTTTTTGGATCAGATACTTACTTGTTTGTCGCACCACCAGTCCACCGTCCACATGTCATTGATGATGCAGTGAAGTCCTTCATGGTCGGTGTATGCTCGTGCGAGTGCGTATACCATGTGTTCCTTAAATAAAGGATTACCGATGAGATCTCTGATGCACTCTACAGGGTCCCGTGTCCAAAGCTCGACATCCTCGTGCAATAACTGGCCATTCTCATTGGTGTGGTTTCCCTGAATGCTGACCTTCTTGCAACTCCACGCAGGTCCATGAGGAAGCTCGTCAACTTTTTGCAGGAAGGATCAGTTATTGTGAAAGGATGGCTGTGTTCGGTTTCAAGTCTGTCGCTATGGTAAGCACATTTTTTCAGTGGTCACCAATGAGCTTACTATTGGTAACTTCAGGAACTCGTCTGTACGAGTCTGCCCAAGGCTTCTGATAAGCCATTCCGCAAGTTCCCATTCCTCCCTATCACAAAAAGGTGCCCATTCATCTTCTCCCTCATCCTCCTTATCCTGCTGATACTTTTCAAACTTCGTTTGCCCCTCCCGCAATGTCCAGCTGGCATCAGGGCACTGCTCGAAATATCGCCTGTTGACTATGAAATTTCCGTCATCTTCATTGGCAACATCTTCCACAGTCACCCGCCGAGTTTTTGAGGCTGCTGGGTTGTCATCAGGATCAAAAGATGTTGAGCGTGAGCGGCGAAGCGGAGATGAATGATCCACTGGTAGGCCACCTTCACTGTCTGTGTCTTCCACCATTGACTCCCATTTTTCTTTACATTCAGGGCGAATAGCTATATGCTTCTTGACGCTTCCCTTTGAAGGGAACATCTTGCCACAGAAACCGCAGCTGTGCGGCATTGTTGGTGAGTGATCAAAGTTCGTTTTTCTTGTTTCAGCTTCAAGATCATTTCTGACATGTATCATAATTTTTTAGGTCATCTGAATGGTCCAGCAGGGTCACCCACAACCCCCACTGCCCTCACAAAGTGCAATCTGATCAGTAAGTTCCACAATTTTCGGACTCATTGAAAATTTGCAGTCAGGGTTGGGTTAACGGCACTACAACGACACTACACTAGTCTGGATATACCATGGGCAGCCAGGAGGAATTCCAATAATTGTGCCCGCTTTGCCTCCTCGCAACACTTCACCTCTGCATCCCAGCGCTCAATAACGAGCCTTCTCACACTTGCTTGTATGATGGTAACAGCTGGGCCTGGTGCGATTTCTAACAGTCGCAATTGTTTTGATTTCTCACAGGCTTTCGCTTCCGCCTCCCAACGCTCCACAATGAGTCTTTGCAGGTATGTTTGAGATACCGTGACAGGGCCAGGAGTTTGACGAAATGGCGGGAGTGGGACCATGGGCTCAGTGGGCTCCGTCATATGACGCTTGACGTTAGGTGTTTCAACCTTTGGCCTGCACTGAGTCGGTGAGTATTTTGGGGAACCGAGAAGGGTTAACATGCCTTTTTATAATGATTTTTCTGTCTTTACAGGTGGCCTCAGTGGATGGCGATACAGGACTGTAATATTCGTTAGAGCATGGCAAGTGTTTGAAGTGAGTTCTATACCGTTTTTTCAGTGAGCCGCTCACTGAGGTGTCCATGACAGTTAAAATATTTTGTAAAGGTACGTTCATACCTTTTTATCATTCCAAAATTTAACACAGCTTTTTACCCTGCATTTCACGAATCAACAATGATTCAAGGTTTGGATTGTAAGTGTTTATTTCCTGCACGGCACTATAAAAACTACTGAGTCCCAGGTCCAACAATCATGGCTCCTCGCAAGGCCACCTCTAAGCAAGCAAAATCGGGTGCTCCAGGTTCGCCACCAGAAATGGAACCACTTGTGTGCACCACGAGCGGTCGTCAACGATGTAGTGATGCGGAGGTTCGGTTCTGAACCGCGGTTCGAACCGGACCTTTTGTGGACTGGACCACGGTCCAGTTCAACGTTCAGAGTATAGGCTGAACTGGACCGATGGTCCAGTCCAGCGTTCAGCATTCCTTGAACACGTTGAACGCGTCCAAACGCGTCCAAACCTTTTTGAACTGCTTCCATTTTAGGCTACTCACACATACGAGATGACATCACCCACACACACAATACACTGAACATGACATGATTACTCGCGACTTTTTCGCTTGGAATCAGATTCACAAGGACCATGCCACACTGGCAAGGTCCGTGAAGGTTTGTTTGCCTACCACTAACCCAAACATTACAAAGGAAGAACCTGATAAGGTATGGAGACTTTGGTTAATTTGGTTTAGTGCTAATGTATTTGTTAACGGGTCGTTTTTTTTCTAGGGTAGCTACATGAATTGTTTGGCACTCATGAACTTGGTGGAAGTTAAAATGGATCAAATTCAAGGTAAGCTCAACTCTCTTCAAGCTTTCCCCCTCACAACATGGCTGACCAGTGTGGTCTGGGTGCAGATGGAACTCTCCTCGACGCCAGTCAAATCCGATGGTACAATGATCCCGACGACGATACTCCACTGCCTGTGCTTCCCGCTCAGGCACGTCGCTCGACTCGTATCCCACGCCCTGCACCCAAGCTTGTTGACCCCAACAACGCTGTCTTGCGCAAACACAAGGCTAGCAGGTCAGTGGTCACGAGTGAGGGCTCTGAGGAGGAAAGTGACTGTGAAGGAGACCAGGATAACGGGGTAACTACGGATGCAGCTACTGACATGGATCATGAGACAGATATCGACGGCATCACCCCCTCCGAGTCTGCTTCACAGTAGTGTACCAGTACTCCTTACTACTAGCTATAGTACAATCGAGTATATTTACAATGTGTTGTCCTGCATGATGTGGGAATCATGCATGGACATGAATACTAGGTGACCCTCAAAAGATAAAGTCTGTTAGCTTAGTCCTCAGACTAGTCAACCCATACCTTGGTTTCAAACCATGGTCCATATTTCCAGTTTTCCCCAAGTTTCATGATCTGAATATGTTTTGACGGAAAAAGTCTAATGTGAGATGGGAATCACATTTAGACCTAGTTGATGTGAGAAGAGAAATGAAGGTTAAGGTATAGCCTTGCCTTTGGCTTATTCACTTTGGCTAGAGAAAACCATAGAGAAAAGTACAAAGCGTATAAAAAACCTATCCAAAAAGACCGTGTTTCAATTCCTGCCAACTGCATTATTTTTTTCAACTGTGTTTCAATTCCTGCCAACTGTCTTATTTTTGTTACCTACTTTTCTCTAGTGTTTCTTTACTTTACTTTTTCATTAGGATGCTTTGACTCACCTGACACTTCATAAAATTGTACCCATAGGGTATGATGTCATTATGATGTCATAAGACTCCACAGATACTCCTGCAGGTATTCTGTTGAAAGATATTATGTCATCAAGCTCTAGATTATTCTACTCTACAATGACATCATTCATGATGTCATTTCCTTCTAGAATATTCTGCTCCACAATGACTCACTCTGACTCACTCATGGAAGGTTCTGGAATCTTTTGCTCCACAATGATGTCACTCTTGATGTCATTATGATGTCATTACTCCACATTCCAGAATGTTCTGCTCCACAATGATGTCATAGCTCCATCTTTCACTTGTATTTTATTCTTTTATTGGGTTTGACCCAATATTTTGATTGGTCCTCCTTATTTTTTATTGTTTGTGAACCTAGGTTACTTTCCCACACAAAATGTATATAAGGAGAGCCCATTCTCCCCCAAAAAAAATATGATCTCCCATTTGTAGCAATCTGCCTCTCAGATATTTCACTTGCAAAGTTAGTCCCTTTGAAGTGAGACAAGTGCAGGGAAAAGAATTCCCTTGAGATTATAAGTTTCTTACCTTAGAAACTTATTTAGTGCTATAGACCAAGCGTTCTTGGTCACATATATTGTCTTTGAGACCCCTTTGTCTCATTGCTCTGTGCCCTTTGACTAAGCGATCTTAGTCATCTATCATATTGTTGAGACCACGTCTCACTAGTTGTCCCATAGACCAAGCGATCTTGAACATATATCGTATATTTGAGACCATTGTCTCACAGTCAGGTGTCCATAGACCAAGCGATCTTGGTCATATTTTGTATATTTGAGACCACGTCTCACTAGTTCCAGTATCCAAGTCCAGAGCCTAGAAGGAGATTTCCTAGGCAAATACATTCCAGAAACCGAATTACGTGTCTAGAAGCTTATTCCTAGACAAGAGATTTGAGTTTCAATTAAGAAAAGTAAAGCTCCAGCTAGGTTGATCTTAATAAAAGATTAGTTTAGCGAGCCTCCCAAGAACTCACACGTTATCTACCACGAAATAGGAAAAGTCGTAGACCGTGTTAATCGAGGACTGGCAAGCAGTCTTATCCAAAGTGTAATTGTGGTGTCATTACATTTACACAACTTTATATAAGACCCTCGGTTATTAAGACACCCGGATGTGAGGTCCGGTTCAGTGTTCGCAAAATTTGTTGCTGAACCAGACCAAACCGGACTTCCGCAACACTACAACGATGACCAACTGAAAAAGCAAGCTACAAAGGTAAGTTGCTGCTACGATGTTATATTTTGCTCACTAGTGACATGGCCTCCCTCCAGGGTTGGAATTGCAACAGGCCACCCACCATCAAGCAAGAAAGCAAGATAAGTTAGAAAAATGACAAAAAAAGGGGCTGAAGACAGCCTATCAAAATGATCCCTACCATTTTGAAAAAGAGCCGTCAGTACTGCTTAGCAACATCGACAAGGAGGAGGACATCATGGTTTGATCATTCATTTATTTTCCGTCGACTCAATCAACAACTGATTGTTTTTATTTAGTTCTCAGATCACAGTGTGCAGACGAAGCTATCGAAACCCAAGCTTCTGACTTTCAGTATGGGGAAGATTCCCATAGTGTCACGCACCGCCACTCTCACAACCAGTGCGTGCAAGTCGACAAAGGGTCTGAAAGGTATGTAATTGCTGCCTGCAAATTATAGAGAAACTAATACATTTCTATCTAAGCTAAAAGAGTAGTTCCACCAAGTGATAGGGACTCAGGACGGCACTTCGGACGGCACTTCCACTACCTCAGATGGTACCAGTGATGAGTCTGGTAACGACTCTGAACCCGAGGCTGACCAGACCGACAATTGTGCAGAGGATGGCAACACTGCCACGGAATCATCGATGGCTACTCGGGGGACAAAACAACGTCTCGACACCACGCCTGTTACAAGAACATCTAGATGCTTGGGGCCCCTACCATTTTTCTCCTGATCCTCCTTGTATCAGCCCTTGCATCACACCCTTACCCTGACCTTACCCTGGTCATCCTTGTCATTTTCGCATTCCCTTTCGCTCTCTACCTGTCGCTTCAGCAAGCCAGTAGTACATCTGGCCGGATCCTTTCGCTGACGAAGCATATCCATGCTCCGTTCCACCACCTGACTGATCCTGCGGACAGTCCCCTTGCCCTTACCATCTGGACGGTAACCTATGATACGATGCACAACGCATCCCCTTTACCCTGTTTCCTTTCCTGATCTCTGACCGATGCGCAGTCGCACATGCGACTTATACTTAGCTCCGCAGCTGCACGATCGTGCCCCTGCATGTTTCACTTCTTATTCTGATCTTTGACTCACTTTCTTATCCGCACGTTCAGAGCTCACCCGTGTCTCACCTCGAACGTGCCTTCCTTTTATGGTCATACCCTTTACCGTTTGCTTCTCTTGGTAGTACGAGTTATCATCCACTAATACGCTTCCTGTCCTCGATATAAACTCGCTACCATGTACTATATTCCCTAACTTGAATCTACTTGGTTCTTGACCTCCTACTCTCACCAGAGTGATCCTTCTGCCTCGCCAGCAGTCTATATTCTATCTTCTTATCTGCTCTTCGCGGATAAGCCTATAGTCTCGACCTTTACTCAGCGACTTCGTCGACGAGCAAAGCCCCTGTTAACTAGTCGGACTTCTGTCCTTCTAATTAACGACGATCTTACGATTAACCTTCGGGTGTCGTAAGCCTAGGCCGATATAGCTTATCGTCTCACACCCGCGTGACATAAGCTACCCGATTTGGACATAGGCGTTAAATCGTACTTGCCAAAGACACGCCAAGTACGACCCCTAACCTTGGGCTAGCCCAAGGACGTCCACAGACCGTTGACGACACAAGCTCTGTTTGAGCGTCGCCAACAGATACCATCCAAGTCGTAACAGTACATCTGGCCAGATCCTTTCGCTGACGAAGCATATCCATGCTCCGTTTCACCACCTGACTGATCCTGCGGATAGTCCCCTTGCCTTTACCGTCTGGACGGTAGCCTATGACACAATGCACGACGCATCCCTCTTTGCCCTATTTCCTTTCTTGATCTCTGACTCGGTGCGCAGTCGCACATGCAACTTATACTTAGATCCGCAGCTGCACAATCGTGCCTCTGCGCGTTTCACTTCTTATTTCGATCTTTGACTCACTTTCTTATCTAGCACGTTCTACCTCGACCGAACGTGCCTTCCTTTTATAGTTATACCCTTTACCGATTGCCTCTCCCGGTAGTACGAGTTATCACCCACTAATACGTCTCCTGTCCTCTATATAAACTCGCTACCATGTACCATATTCCCTAACTTGAATCTACTTGGTTCTTGACCTCCTACTCTCACCAGAGTGATCCTTCTGCCTCGCCAGCAGTCTATATTCTATCTTCTTATCTGCTCATTGCGGATAAGCCTATAGTCTCGATCTTTACTCATCAACTTCGTCGACAAGCAAAGCCCCTGTTAACTAGTCGGACTTCTGTCCTTCTAATTAACGACGATCTTACGATTAACCTTCGGGTGTCGTAAGCCTTGGCAGATACAGCTCGTCGTCTAGCATCCCGCTTGACATAAGCTACCCGATTCGGACATAGGCGTCAAATCTTACTTGCCGACGTGTCGCCAAGTAAGACCCCTAACCTTGGGCTAGCCCAAGGACGTCCTCAGACCGTTGACGACACACGCTCTGTTTGAGCATCGCCAACAGATACCATCCAAGTCGTAACAACGCCAGAAGACGCTATGATAAGGCCGAAAATCAAGAAAGAATCGGACAGTTCCCATCTGAAAGTCAGTGACTTTGATGACATCTCGAAAGAAGTTCTCGTAACAGGCAGTGTCCATTTTCCGGTGCCTACTCGTCACGCATGCTCCATTTCCTGACACCATAGCTGTTGAGATGAAACTCGCAAAGGAGGCTTGGAATGAGTTGTGCAAAATAAAAGACACCAACATCAAATTGACTCCTTCGGCAATGAAAATGGTAAGCCTTATGTTCTGTGTGCGTTTTCAGTCTGAGAAATATTATTATGAAGATCTTGAAGCGCACATCACACGTCCGCGGTGAACTCAAAACAAAAATGCGATCGCTGACTTGTTCATATTTTGGGTTCCGCTCAAGTGATTCAAAGGAGGTTATAAGGCACAACCGTGATCAGGCCGAATCCTTGAAAGACGGTTCCTCATTTGTTTTCAAGGTATGCAGTTCATTGTCTTAAATGACCTTTCTGAATGTTAGGCATAGGATTGGACATTGAAGACTGGTATCTACAAGACCGAATTGCTGCAAGAAGGCATCAACATCATGTGGTTCGCAAACCGAAACGACGAAGGTATTATATACCACAAGTATTTCAACCCCATACCTCCCGAAGTCATTGCACTCGTTCTGACAGCCGCGAGTCACATCCTGTATTCTTACATTGAAGTCAATGGCGCTGAAGATGCCTCATCATTGATAGATTGAGTGTTGTATTGACGAGTGGGCTCAAGGTCTTAAGGAAGATATCAAATTTACATCAGCTACGTACGGTTCTGTCTACAAAGGTCATTTGGCCTCATTGCAGCGCTTTCAACAACACACAGCGCCTTATAAACTTCTCGAGAAGATTTGTGACAATCTCCATGACACGGCTCGGTATGTTTCACTTCAATCTTATAAGCCCTAGCCTAACATTTGTGCTTTCGAGCTTCCATGCTGGTGTCCAGCCACTTGCTATGATATCGGCTGCACCCCACCGGATTAACGACGACGCATTTGAAGATGTGATTCGAGAATACCAACTTGAAGAGCAGGATAATGTGGAGGATGACGAGAGTTGAGGGGCAGGATGATGATGTGGGGGCTATCGAGAGTAGCAGGCGAGGATTGAGGTATTAATTGAATCTGCTACTAGCTTATTTGACGCGTTTGAATTCATTTATTTCCGTGCTATTTTGTGTGCTACTATCCCTACAGTGTGCTATATAACTCCTTAGAGCGGCTGGTAGCTGCCTGTAGGAGCATTCCTATGAACTACAGGCTACTACAAGCTACTACAGTATTGCCTCGTAGTACTATGTAATACTACGTAGTTGCCTTACTGGCTATATACAAGGCAGGTAGCTCCCGAGCTCCGCTGACTATGCTGACTATATAGCACTATATAGTCAGCTTGCTTTTTCCTGATGCAGGTGTGGATTGAGTGGTTCTTCCCGCTGATCAAGACTTACAATTTATAGGTTGGTCTTGTACAACCACGCGGGTCCTGTGGGCGATCTGGACTCGAAGGATGCAAAATTCAGGTCAAAATTAGCGCCACTGGCGTCATTTCTGTCGCAACACGCTGCCCATACCACACTTACTTCAGGTGGGCGAGCGCCGATGCTGGATCAAAGAATCGACCATCTCGCAACGTGCCTATCAAGTGCGAGTTGTGTCACCCTACTCTTGCGCCCGTTACAGGCAAGAAATCCCGCGCTGGTGCGCCATATGTGGACGCGATATGGCGTTACAATATGATCGATCATCTCAATGAGACCCACCCACAGTATGCACATCCCAAGAACACCCACGGCCATCCTCTCCCACCAGACATTCTAAACTCGTTCACTCTAACGTCCCTGGAACAACGCGAAGCTGGTATTCCTGAAGTACACTGGCTCGCCCCTCTATTCGACGGTGATAAGGAAAACCACGCTGGACCCAGCTCCCGCAAGCGGAAGTCCAACAACGCCGCCAACGGAAATGCTAAGAAGGGTGGGTTACTGAACTACATTAGTCAGTGTCTGGAACTTACGGATCGCACGCCTCTTGGTAGTGCGAGCGCTAATTCCTTTACCAAGAGGCGAGCAATGCAGATGAATGACACGTGGGAAATTTTGCTGTGGATCTAGGTCATAATTTCCTAATCCCGCTTTCTGTTAGACAAGCGATGGTAGCAACTGAGATCTGGGCTTAGCTCTACGTATACGCGCTATAGCGGGGTTTCTGGGAAACACCGGTTGGAGGGGAAAATGCGTTCATGCACTCCCGCAGTTTGTGGGGTGTGTGGGATTCTTTACTACCTCGGTCGCAGACAATCCCGCTTTCAAAGGCAGCTTCAAAATGCCTGCCAACAATCACGGTTGCAATGCCCATTGTAATGGTACTGAGAGGACCGAACCGGTCACTACGCACAATACTGACTATTGATACCTAGTATTCATTTCTAGGTCAGATTATTGTTCCCAGTCTTCGACTTCCGAGACTGAGAATTTACATACATTCAAGTTCATTTATAGACTGTGTCCTCGTCCGTTTTCGTCTGCTACCTTCGTCCTGAAATACTTCCACCATGTCACAACTTTGAATCAAGGCGTTCGGACCAACTGAACGTTATCATGTTAAAAACAGCATTTACAAACGAGCACCCCACTTATAGTACTTCAAGATCTCTACTTCTCCACTCGAGCGGCAAAAAAAATTGTTTAGAAGCCAACATGCCGATAAACTCTGCAAATCACTAGTAGCTCGCGCGTCAGTGCCATAAATCATACTGCAGGACTGGTATCAACGCTGAAACGCGACTCACTTGGCAGAAGAGGGGGGTCTGTCATGCCGGTAAGTCATGTGGTTCAATCCGGGACACGAACTACTGGTACTCACGCAATATCCCTGCTTGCATCCTTTGCATTGATCGTCGCGCGTGCAAAAGGTGGAGCATTGTGCCTTCTGAGCAAGCAGAGTGCCATCGTCAGTGGGCATGGCAGATGTCAAAGTGGCAACGACGAAGAGGACGATCGCAGAGGAGAAACGCATTGTTTGTGATGATATGATGATATGTAGGGAAATAAATCTGAAGAAGAGAGTAGGAAGACGGCTTGCTTTTATGTGCTGACAATCATTGTTCAGGGTGATAGAGGAAAGACTTATCTGCCTCAATCCCCTCGATAGTAGCCTGACTGCATGAAACGAATGGCCGAACTCCGAAGGCCCAGAGTGTGGCAATTTTGTGTGGAAAATTTGAAAATCCGTTACTAGCAGTTCGCTGCTCGCAAATGTCTGAATCCTTAACAGGAAGAATCGGCGCTAGAATCATCGGATGACTTGTAGAATGAAACTTGCCGTAGATTTCAGACTTCCTAGTAGCGACGCCGGTTCGACAGAGATTTTATACTGGTTCTGCCAGTGCAAATGAGTTTCCTGTATATTGATAATTGATTAAGAATCGCCGATTCTGCAATCAGCTGTACCCTAAATCATTTGATTATTAGGGCTACACACTTCTAATTGTTCAAAGAAACAATGCCGTACAAGCCGGTTCAACAATATGCAGTGCGAGTGATGCGAACATTCCTCACCATGAAGCGCATTGCCCAGCGCTTCTTGTACATTTATGCAGTACGCTATTATCACACACACCCTATCAACTTGCCGTCTTACTGGCCAATATCATGTAATATGCAATATACATGAAATTCCAAGCACACCCCTGTATAATATAAAAGTCGTATACGGCCACACGCTTACGGGGCCCGCTATCAAGCAAAAATTACAGCATTTCTAACACGTCTAATGCGCAGCCTGTCCAGTTCAATCACTCTTGCCATAGTCCCGCTCTGTTGCAGAAACACGCCACGCATTATTGACCGCGAGGGGAAAAGATTGTTATTTCGAAGGCCGACCAGCGTTCGAGCTTAAGAGAGCGCACAAGCAATTGTGTGAATTTTTTATGATTTATTTCAAATATCTAAATCGTTTGTCTATTTTCCAAAAACATGACCCTAAAAACCCTCTAATACCTAAAGTCGGCGAGAATTATTAGTATTCACACACCTCGCAATCCATAATAATCGTCTCCGCCGGGAAATTTAATCAACATTCAGCTCATTCCTTGGCAAATGGAATCGGCAGTCACGTAAATGTTACTGTGAGTCAAGCACAAGGTCACCAGCCAGTACAGTAACTGCTGTAGTTATAAAATTGAGGTGGGTGTAGGCGTCTTCATTCGAATCGGCCTGGTAAATTGAAAGATGTTCTCATAGATTAGCCAGCGGGTAGCAATGGCCTAAAACGGATATAATCCGACACTTTTAATCTGATCAACCTGTAGCCTACAAGAAAATGATGTTTTGCAAATCCGACCAAAATGAACAGCGGAGCACGACTTCCTATTTTATAATTTTTATTATTATTGGAATTATTGAGCCTACTAATGTGTTTATGCACTGCTTCATTTTCTCGCGTTTCCTCGCAGGTATCAGAGTAACGGTACGTTCTTTCAAACGTTCATGTTCTGATTCTGAACGGACAGGTGATGACGAAAAAGGCGCTTCCGTCCAACTACTACTAGTATGACACAGCTCTATTTCAGCTTGACTTGCCATAATTTGGGTACAAGCCGCGCTTACTCGCACATCATATGGGGCGTTTCAACATTTTACCTCTTGCAAGTTTCCAATAGAAAGCATATCTATACCTGGCCAGAGTATTCCAGACCCAGCCTAGAGCGTTCCAGAGCACTCTAGAATACCTTTCGAATGTAACTTCACTGGCGGCGAAAGGTGGTCGAATGTCAGTTTCCCCGCTGTCTCGCCCGACCCTTCACCATTGTCCAGGTTTTCGTGGGACATGAAATTTTGGACGACAGAACCCTCTGAGGTTTTCCATTTTCACTTTGCCTCCTAGCCCTGACCGATTTTTTTGGCCAGTTCTGTGCTCGCTCGCAGGACTACCAATATATCTATGCAATAAATACATTATGTAGACCCATCATAAATCTTTCAGAGCGCCCAGCATCAATGTAGCTCTCTGCAATTTATGAATATTACAGCAACCGAACAAATTCGAGCTCACTGTCGAGCGTTAGTCGTCACGGGGGAGCAAGAGGTGTGCGATGGAGAAAGCCGAAACACCATCCACTTGCTTACGGTAAGCAAAAACCTTATTTTCAGCCACTTTGGCGTTATATCGTTCGGTCATTTGAACTTCTCAGCAGCGCCGTCAAATCTCAACGAAATCTTTCCGCGACTCGGCGGAGGTGGTGGTTATAGGTACCTGAGAGTAGTTCTAGGTACATAGAATAATAAATTCCTTATGATATTGTTGAATCCCCCTGCAAAATGAATGTTTTTGATTTTTTTTGGCTTCACGTGAGTTCGCGATTTCACGTGACGATCAATTAATGAGCGTCATCGACATATGTCCTGGAAATTCTGGAATCGTTGTATTGTCTATACCCCTTGGCACCAACGGTGTTGTGCATACCCTTGTAGTCTCATTCGGCCAGGAGCCCATCATATAATGTGCACATATTGCGAGCATCTCGTGGCGTAACGAGCATCGAAGACAATCTGAAGGAACAGGTGAGTTCGCGCTATGATCATATAGCCTTAGTGTATTGATTTTAATTTTTAGGTCGGTCACCATCAGCCATGTGGATTCTGCGGACGTTCGGGACACGAAGAATGCAAGGTTCAGATCAAGATCGCATTGAACAGCGGCACTGTTTCGAAGGTCGAATCATCCTGCCCTTACACCCACACATTCCGCTATCCCAATGCCGACATTGGCTCGAACAACAGACCCTGCCGCAATGTCCCTATCAAATGCGAATTGTGCCACCCATCTTTGGCATCCGTCACAGGCAAGAAAAGCCGTACCGCTCCTCCATTCATTGATGCCGTTTGGCGTTACTACAATATGATCCAGCACCTTGAAGAGGTCCATTCACAGTACGCGCACCCAGATAGTGTTATTGGGCATCCCCTTCCTGCGCAGATCCTCGCATCATTCACGCTGACCGCTCTTGAACAAGAAGACGCGAATATTCCGACGTCGCGGTGGCTTATGCCTCTTTTCGAGGGCGAGAAGGAAAATGTCCAAGTTAAGGTCCGGTTCTCGCAAGCGGAAGACCGTTAGTAGCGGTATCAGCACAAATGCTAAGAAGGCTCGTAAATCCGCATAGTCATTTTGTTTGTTTCATTTTCTTCGCATGCTTTTCACGATCGCACGTACAAGACTCTCGCTCGCTCGCTATCATTTTGCTTTCTTACACTTGCTATCTCATGTTCTCGTGGATTTCGTAGGTTGCAATTGCATAGTATCACTCAGGAATCAATTCATGCGTGTTTCTATCTCATTATATTGTATACGACGCGTGAATATCGAGACGCGTCTCCATGTACCAGTGAAATTTTCAAACGTTACAGAATTACTCGATTTGGCCATGTGACCTCACGTGAGGTCACTGTAACGGTGGTGGTGGTTGGTCACCGAACTAAAATGGTTGGTGTCTGGAACTTACCGATCGCACGCCTCTTGCGGGGGAGACCGACATGGTATAGGTAGTGTCTACCATAGGACTTGACCCTAGCCAATAACCAAGGAATCAAAATAAAATAGCTCGGCAATGGTACGCCAGTTTATGTATCTATTATCCCTGCGCGAGAGTGTTATGTGTATCTTATTTAAACGATTAAAGCGGCATATGTTGATTTATACATCAAGTGAACCAAGTGCTGCTGTATGCTTCTAGAAATAAATCATGCATCCTTCTTCGTCTCAGGCGACATAATCACACTACCCGGAGACCCCATCATCATCGCGCCTTCGTCAATATTCCACCCCGCTTCTTTCATGCACCCCATGAAACGAGAAAACTCCTCCCTGAGGGTCTCGTGCGTTGAAAGCACCATGTCATCTATCTCACTGGGACGACCGCTGGGACGCATATCCCGGGCGCTCCACACCGCAGCTATCTCCAGCGCATGCAGCCAAGCGCGTAGTTGGTCCAGGGATCCGTATCCTTCTTTGAAAGACACCAGAATACATGGTCCGCGTCGCCCCCATGATTGAGGTTCTGCCACGAAGAGAACGTACGGTTCTTCCTGGAAGTATTGGAGCATCTTGAGAACGTGCGATGTGTTACAGCACGTCATAGCGTACTGCACTGATACGCCTAATGAGCATTGCCCGATGACTCGGTTGGCGACTGCATCGCGGATGCGGCTGGGGATATCTAGAATTATCTCTCGGTTCGATACATCTCTTGGGGTCAGGATGACAGAACGACCGTGTGCTCCTGCTTTCGGGTTACGGAACGTACTCCAAAGGATGCTAGACCGTTGCCTATTAAACGATCTGAGTACGACGCTGCGCACCGCAAGATAATTGGCTAAAAGATGGCCAAAGACGAGAACAAAAAGGGCGGTGTAAATTGAGGTGCGGGTCGTGATATAAGGAACGATGAGCGTTCCGAGCTATTAACATTACCCAAGTCAGCTATGACCGTCGTCAAAGGGCTTAATTTACCAAGACACCTGTCAAAGCGACCACAGTCGATCTGCTTGCGCCTTTAGCGTTCAATTCGCCTACGTCGCCTTTGCTGTTCTCGGGTGAAGCGAAGTGGTCCGTGAGTGCTGCTTTTGATCCACCTGCTACAAGACTGCAGAGAGATCTCATAGCCCCGCTGATACACAACGCTATGATTTGGAGAGTCGAGCCTGAAGGAATATATGGAGATGTAGTGGATATGGAGATGCTGGTGAAATATGGGGATATAGTGTCTAGTACGATGGAAGTGTCGTTGATGACATCTGCGAGAAAGCGGAATGTCTTGGTTTCGGGGTATAGTGATGTACCGAAGTAATAAGCGCCTATTATGGCTGGAGGGACGTTGTCAGTGGGTGCGAGGCAGATAGGGAAAATTTACTTGTGAACCGCGAACAGACATCTTTCAGTACTGATAAGAGGAGCGCCTGGGTTGCTGATGCTGATGCGTTTCCCACTCCGAAACCTATATCACCGAACTGAGCTCAATTCGTATCTGCATTAAGGCGCGAGTATACCTTCGAGCGCGCCTCTGGAAGCCAGTAAACCTGACAAAGAACTGCAAAATTCCTGCACGTCATTGTACATTTGATAGCTGGGACGAAGGTATGGTCATATTTGAGACCACAACGTTCATGTAGCAGGAGGAGCTACTGACTGCAGATAATCTGCGTGGGTTTAGATGAGGAAGAGCTTGGATGGAATGTTGTGCTGAAGCGCTCACCAGGAGTGACAGTGTTCGGATATCCAGCTGGGAGGAATATCGCTGAGATGGTACGTCCTAGAGCTTGTAAGGGTTTTTCATTGAAAACTCGATTTTGGGGAGGGATTTTGATATCGGTGGTGGTACGTGCGGTCTGTTGCGAAGCTCTGGGATGAGATGAGGCCATGAGATTTGCTACGGTGCGTACCTTTTTGGCTGGAATGTCGGTACTATGTCCAACAGTGGTGTAGAATATACGTCCAGTTTCATCCCTTTCTGCGATTACTGAAGTGCTGGCTGTCATTTCGGGTGGATTCGCAGTTTGATGATGACTGACTCAAAGTAATCACTGGCAACTATCCGGTTTAAATACGGCTACTAGGACCAGTAACTTTGTTTAGTTGAAATCTGTAGAGCTGCAAGTTGCGTTTGGGCGTCCCTTCCTAGAATTTGGCTGACAGCTCCTTGGGTGCGAGTTGGTGGATCCTGATGAAGATTGTGGGACTTCTGCATACGCCTAGCTTACTTGTTTTGGCCGTTTGAATGAAGTTTCATTCAGACTGGCATAACAAATGTCTATACAGTGCAGGGTAAAGGCTGATAGTGTAGCAGTACTCTAACTTGACAATGGAGTCTGAGTCATGAGGACGACCTTCCGAAATTCTTCCTTTTCCTAATATGTAACACGAAGTCTTCCTAATTTCTCTTCACTAAATGTAGTCTGGCTTCCCTACAGGCTCCAAACTATAGAACTATAATAATAAGTGTAAGATTTGTGAATATGGGAGGTACGAAGGCCGAAAGCTAGGGACTCGTGGGCCATCGGCACATGCCGCAGCCTATTTCCTGCCATCATTATGATGAACCATTGCACAGTGATGGTGCAGCAGTGCTCTAAATCTCTGAGATCTGAGCCATCAACAAGCCTTGGGAAACTTTGAACACTCATCTTCCTTCGAATTCTATTAGTCTGCTGTACACCTTCGGTCGGCTCTTGTACGATATCATATCACAGGACAGGAATGAGAACCATGAGGCCCTAGTAAGTTATTACTGCCGCTTTGATTAAAACACTCGCTACACTAAATTCATCAGGCAATTGATGGATCTCTCTACGATGCTGTTCAAGGATCCGGGGTGCACAACTGCGCCAATCCCGCATCAAGGTTTTGGGTGGAATGAGGAAAGCAGCGTATGAGATTAAACGGTAAACCGTGACATCGAGGAGTGTGCATTTACAGCCCAGAGGTGAGTTAACTATTGATTTGTGGCGGTTTCTTCATTTCTAATTTTTATGATGGCTTGCTAAGAACTTCCTGGGGTCATAAGCTTGAGGGCCACCGCGGCCTGGATCTCTTTTCTCCCTGTGCTCTCCCATTCCTGTTTGTAATCTAGGGATGGTGTGATATTCTCAGCGCATTCAACTATGAATATTCAATCAGGATGAGATGGTTGATGCAAATAGAATGCGGTGCGCCTTGTATTGGTTCCGTACTTACCGTTTAATGGCATCCTTATGATACGAATAGCCGATAGTCGAAGTGGAAGGCTAGAAGGTGCGCTTGAACTGGTTGTATAGGTGAGTGATGTGTCTGCCTTGTTTTACATTCTCGTAGGTGCTGTCACGTTCAGGCCCACGAAGCGGAGACTACTGGTGGGTGCCCGTCGGGAGCCATTAAGATGGCAAGCTTTTCCAAGGTCACATCACACCTGACCGCTGTTAGACAACATCATTGGATTCTATTTAATTCAGCGTAGGCGGGTGTGCATTGGCAGTTGTGTGACTGGGGTGAGTCATTATACAATTAGGAGGCCTGGGACGCTGAGGCTTGTCAATCAGGTTTCACGACATCAGCCGGCGTTTAAAGAAAAACGAGTCAGGCTTCATGCGGTCATAACAACGCGTCCGAGTCTTCTTTTTTCGTGTCCTATCTCAGCACCGTCTTAATATATCGTAGAGATGGCATTGTATCTTCACCAAACATCAATCATGCATTCTCAACCAGTATATCTCCGACTGCGCAAACTGATGTATATCATCACCGCAGCTCAGCTAGTAGGTCTCTGGCTGTGCAAATTGACGCCTGTCACCACTGCACCAACACCATGCTGAAAATCGAAGATTCTACGTTCAACATCCCTACCATACAAAAGGCCGATAATCGAGGCAGAGGGAAAGAAGGTGCGCATGCATATTGAAGTTCTTCAGTCCCTGTTCTCGAGTATTCTGCCCGTGCAACTCCTTCACAACCAAGATATACGCTGAGCGCCTGGATAGAGTTCATCTTTCGTCATGTAAAAATATCTACTGCGGCCAATCAAAGCAGAAACGGTCATCCTCCCTCGATCTTGTTTTGGTTATCCAAGCACTGGATGGTGGTATAACTAGCACAAATGTCATCGTCATACGTCCATCAAGTTCGCCTCTCACCCACACCCATTCTCTACCAATATGACCATAGTCTTAAATGATCCCGCATGGTGGGCAAACATTAATGCAAATCGCATTCAAAGCTATTTTGTCGGTTCGTATAGAGCAGTCGGATTTGATGCTGCCTATGTCTCAATCTAACCTCGAGCAGTTGCCGCCATCGTTGGAGTAACATATGATTGGAGTGAGCATGAAAATATCAAAGGACTGCTGATATCTCACAGGTATTTTCAGCGCTTACATTGGGACAAGAGGTATGTCGATGCTATTACCGAAACAGCTATCTCTCTAAAAATGGTTTATAGGTCGAGTTGGTCTGGGTGAGTAGACTCGTGTCAGAGGAACACAATGAAAATACATTTAATTACAGAGGCAACGATGGTCTTTAATGACACTTCTGTATCTCAGTGTATGTAGATTGCTTGTCACGGTCATCCTGTGGTACTGACTGGTAGGTATGCTAGGTGCGCTACCTTGGAATCTTATATGCTGCGTGCGTTCGGAAGGCTAAACAATCGGTGTTATGCTGGTGGTCTATCTCTCATAATCAGTCTGAACATGTTTGGTATGTTTCCTTATTACTTTAATTCGTCTGACCAACGGCATACAGGCAGTGTTCCGACCATCTCGCTGACAGATAGAGTGAGCCTTCTGCGGATGCCTACTATTCCTCACCAGTTAACCATAGTTCACTGTAGGAGTGGGTGTAGCGTCACTAACTTATTGGTTCACTAATGACTACCACGCTACATTGTCATAGATGTGAGTCTGTTTGGAGTGTATGCTACTCAAGGCTTACTTAGTGGATTCTTCAGGTTTTATTACATTCGTCGTACGGAATTGGACGAATGTTTTGGTATTTGCGATGCTCTGGGGTGAGCTTGGCACTTGCGAGACCTCAGTGATATTGACTTTACTGAAACATACTGCAAGTCATTATCATCACTCGGTTACATGCCATGTATGAACGATCCAGAAAGATCCTGATATTTCTTGTTTTCACCTTCCTGGCTGTCAACATTTTTGATGGAGTGGTTGTCGTACTGTTGTCGATATATGTTTCAGGGGGTACGCCTAATTATGGATGTGGACACGTACATGGGGCTCATTGATGAATTCCAGAGGAACTCATTCTCTCCGGCACCTATCAGTGCTCATTTGACTACGCGGAAGGTATCCTACTTCTTCCTCCCATCACTTGGATACTCGGAACTGTGTGGGAGGTCCTCGCAGTATGTCTCGCAGTCTGGATTGCGGCAAAACACTTCCGTGAAACGCGACAACATTCCGCAGGAGGAACTGTCGAGGACTGTTTCAGGGTGTTAATGAAAACTCACCTGGTTTACTTTGCCAGGTGAGCTCACATTGTAATTGTTGTTCTTTTTTTATGCTAAAAGATCGGATGTGATAGCTTTGTTGCTATTTCTTGCCTCCAGCTTATTACTGATTTCTCTCCAACACTCTCAACGGTACGTCAATCTTTCACTTATCTCTGCATGCGATAACGATTCACCATTTCTATAGGACCAGAATCCCCTAGAAACTCAGACTTTTTATGGCTTGCTTGAGATTTTGGAGGTCCCTTGAAAGATACACGGTCAGTTCGAGGGACCCAATGAAGAATGGCCTGAGCATGTCAGATCAATGGCAGGCTGCATATTAAGAGCGTCTCGTGCCAGAACGAATTGTAATGATTCGCTGGAAGACTCGGACTTCCGCCTCCACAGGCAGGACGGGTAGGAAGGAGTCAGAACTAAGAGAATGCGTCTTGTGTAGGGCGGCTGCTACTTTTGAAATGAGTTGGTATATGGCATCGGTTGATAATGCAAAGGAATCTAGTCAGTCCTGGATCCCTCGCTTGAGGCTGTGTTGTTGACTGATGATCACAAAGATGCGACACTACTACTATCGTGCACTGCTAGTAGATGTTCGCGTGCCGCACAGGATATGAATTGCTCTGCTCGGGATCTGAGGAACAGGCGATCTGGTGAAAGCCAAAATAGCGTACCTGCGAGAGAACTATCAGCATCTGACAATCTAATCATGATGGTTGAAACTTTGGCTTAGTAGCAGGGTGCGGAGTCGCCAATTTCCCCGCTTATTTGGACCCTGCCAACTCGAACTCGAACATGTACACCGGTAGTGTCAAATCTAATTTGCATACAACCGACTCTGACAACTGGAGCACTGTTATGTCTGATGAAGATGTCGTCCCCATCAATCACCTGCCGCAGGCACCCAGGCCTACTACACGTAAGTACTTACTGATTAAATTCTCGAGCCATACAAACTGACTGTGTCGGTACATACCTCAAAGTCGCAGATGTAATGGAAGACAATTTAACATGTGAATCGCACTTTCGAGGGCGAACATGAAATATGCTGAACAAGGCCTCAAACTTCGCGCTGAGCAAGACATTACTCTTGGCATAGCTGCGAAGGAGGCTACGGAGGACGAAGCTGGGCCCATTTGCAGTATCTGAGGGCTCAGATTCGGGTTGTGCATGACAAGATAGATCCAGATGAGAGGACTGGGAGACGGCTGGCATAGGGTTTTGTCGTATGATCCTTACAACAAGTGATAGAGACACAGACATTACGGTAGCCGTCTGGGACTTCAAACTACCATAGAGCTGTCCTAAAATTTCCGGGTACCAATTGAGGTGCCAGTCAATTCAATACAGCATCGTGTTGAACAAAAGTGGAACGCACAAGCATTGATCCTCGTCAATTATATGTCTTGTATCATCTGCATGAATGTGCTTCGCGCGCATTGTAAAGTCGATCTTCTTCTGTTAAGCCAGTTGGGCCCATCAGTCAGTCAACAACGTTGATGCGTTGTTTAAAGCATGAATTATTGAGGGAAAAAAATATGGACAAATCCGGACTCGAACCGGAGACCCCCCGCATGCTAAGCGGATGTGATAACCAGCTACACCATATGCCCCACGAAAGAGCAGCCGCCGATGGATGCTATATTCATAATTGAGGAAGGAAGTTCGTGGTCGTCGTGGTCGTCGTGGTCGTCGTGGACACCTTAAGCCTTGATTCTTGCGTGCTGTGATCAGTTGACTGTTCAGTGTCTTAGAGCGTGCACCCTGGACTGGGGCCGGGCCTTGGTTTGATATTCGGTGATGTCTCGGCGAATTCCGGGTGGACCTTGATCGTGTACTTTGTCACTGTCTTGATGGACGCTGTACCCACAACTCCAGCTGTACCGGTGCTGCCAACGGACATGTCAACTGCAGACGTGCAGATGAAAGACGAGACTTCCGTAGAAGACAAGGTCACTGAGAATGTTCAGTTAACCGAGACTGGTGAAACGGGCGCCAGTGAGCAAGGACGTGAAACAACCCCGAACCCAGATGGACCCTGTACAAGCGAAGAGGTTCCAATGACCATAATCGCCTCGGACAACGGCAAGGAAGTACAAAAATCTAACTCGGACCCCCTTCCTGACGTCAACAGACCGCAAGAATCCATCATTACTACAGATATTACTATCCCACCAATATCACGTCCACAATCTCCAGCAATGCCACCTCCATCACGTCCTGCTTCACGTCTACCACCAATGGGCTCTTTCCAAGTTCCTTCTCAGCCTTTGCTAGAGCGTCCCCTCAATGTCACAGATGCTTTGGGCTACCTTGATGCTGTCAAAGTACAGTTCCATGACCAGCCAGATGTTTATAACCAATTCCTTGACATCATGAAGGACTTCAAGAGTGGACTGTGCGTTTTATCTTTTCTTCCTAAATTTAGTTCTCATATTTTCACAGCATCGATACACCAGGCGTTATAAAACGCGTCTCCCAACTTTTTCATGGTCACCCCTTCCTTATTCAGGGCTTCAACACTTTCCTCCCTGTCGGTTATCGCATCGAATGTTCCTCTGACCCACAACAGTCCTCTTTTATTACTGTCACAACCCCTACTGGCACAATGCTTCAGTCCACTCGTGACGATTCTTGGCCTTCTGCTCCTCCAGCCCCTCCAGCTACCCTATTGGCTGAACCCGACGTAAACATGTACGGCAGTCTCGACAGCTCCTCTATAGAACCAGCCGTTCAGTATGTCCAAAAGATAAAGCAACGCTGCGACGAAGCCACCTACCGCCGGTTTCTAGAAATTCTCGGCAAGTACCATAACACCACCGACGCCGTCGACGAGGTAAGCCTTCTGCTTTTCGCATTCAAATTACTCTTGATGCATGTTTCACAGCGCGAAGTATCAGCTGAAATTGCCCGCCTTTTCAAAGACGATCCCGATTTGCGCGCCGATTTTAGGATTTTCATGCCTGAGAAGAGCCAGGCACTTTTTGATGAAGCAGAAGAAAGCTATATTACACTTCCAACAGGACGCCGAACGCGCTCAAATACGCCCTTGGATGGGAAGCCTGTCCGCCGTCGCACAGACCCCCAACCTCCCGTCGAGCCCTCTGTCCCTCAAAAACGCAAGCGTAAGGCCAACGAACGTGACACTGTTTCCACCGCACCCAAAGCTCCCTCCAAGGTGATTCCCTGACTCCCAAAGGCAGACGACTCACTGACCAATCCAAGCTCAAACAGCCACCTCTCCCTCCTTCCCTCCTCCCACCAGATGACACACACTTCTTTGACCGCGTCAAGCGTGCACTTGGGAATCGAGACACTTACAACGAGTTTTTGAAGCTTGTAAATCTCTTTACCCAGGAGCTTATAGATACCGCACGCCTCGTCCGTGAAGCACGGAATTTCTTGGGAGATGCCGATCTGATGCGTCAGTTTAGGGAGATTCTTGGCTGGGATGATAGGCGCGAGAGGGAGCGGTGGGTCTTGGAGGAGAGTCAGCAGCAGCAGACTTGGGCGAGGGCGCAAGGCCAGGGAGGCCCCATGGTCGTCCCAATCCGCCCGGGCAGAGTAAGTGCGGGGCTCCAACTAGGAAGTTACCGCCGAATGCCACCTAGCGTACGTTCTCACCGCTCTATTCATCCCATACTGACCACCACACAGGAAGCCAACGTCGCCTGTGCAGGGCGCGATGAGATGTGCCGCGCAGTCCTCAACGACGAATGGGTCTCGCACCCCACCTGGTCGTCCGAAGACGCAGGCTTCATAGCGCACAGGAAAAACATCTATGAAGAGGCTCTCCACCGCTCCGAAGAAGAACGCCATGAGTACGATTTCCACGTTGAAGCGGCCACACGCACCATTGCCATTCTTGAGCCTCTCGCTGCCAAAATCGCCCAACTCCCGCTCGAAGAGCGATCCGGGTTTAAACTGAAGCCTAATCTCGGAGGCTCGGGCAAAGCAGTGCATGCACGCGTCATTAAGAAGATATACGGACGCGAAGCTGGACTGGACGTTTTGCAAGCAATGCAAGACGCGCCAGCCCTGGCGATCCCGGTCGTCCTCATGCGCCTCAAAGAGAAGGAAGAGGAATGGAAACGCGCACAGAGGGAGTGGAATAAAGTATGGAGGGAAGTGGACGCCCGGAACGCTTCTCGTGCTTTGGACCACGCAGGGATCGCATGTAAAGCCGCAGACAAAAAAGCTCTTTCAGCAAAAGCGCTCGTGGCTCAGATCGAAGCCGCGCGTGATGCGCAGGCGAGCCAGCGGGCTGCGCTTGTGGATCCGTTGTTTGCGCGTGCGAGGGTGCGGCATCAATTGGCGTACGAGGTTGTGGACACAGTGTGTGTTGCAGGATGCTGTGAAGATGGCGTTGTCGTTTTTGGATAGGACGCAAGGGCAGATCGGGGCTCCTGAGCGAAGACGCGTCGAGGGATTCTTGCGGACGTTCATTCCACTGTTCTTTGTTTTGGATCAAGAAGTGTTTCATAGAGCGTTCGTGCTTGGGGAAGCGGGGGAAGTTGACATGGGGGATGATGTGGACGATGGGGAGACGGGGAGTGTTTCGGGTGGGAGTGGGGGCAAGAAGAGGAAGGGTGGGATTTCTTCGGGCGGGGATTTGAGAAAGAAGTTGTTGAAGAGCGAGCAAGCCAAGTTGACGGGAAGGAAGACGCGTGCACAGGAAGCGGCGTCTCCGTCTTCTTCGAGACCTGCTTCGAGACCTGCATCTCCTGTGATACCTGATGCGATGCAGGTAGATGCCGTGGAGGAGGGGGAACGAGAGCCTGTTGTGCCGTTGCGCAAGGCCTCGAGGAAGAATGTTTTCTTTGGGAATACTGTGTTTTATGTGCTATTGCGACTTTTAGAGGCGCGTGGTTTTTTGCTGGTTCCCCACTTTTCCATTCCTAACGTTCGTTCGTCCGTTCGACTACAGGTATTATACTCCAGACTCCTGTTCTTCAAACAGCTCAGCGCGCGCATCGCTGTTGAAGCGCCTAAATCGGCGTCTAAAGCGAAATCAGTCGTTCCACCGCTAGGGATGCCGTCCCTCGTTGAACTCGCTCAGTCAGACGATCGAGCTGCTCATGCAGATCATTTCTATGATCTAATGCTCGAGTCGTGCGAGAGGCTATTTGATAATGAGATCGAGCAATATGTGTTCGAGGAGCAGATGAGGTATATGTTTGGGGTGAAGGATGCATATCGGATATTTACGATCGATAAAGTCATAGGGTCGTTGATCAAGCAGGTGTGTCGTCCTCCTATTCTAGTTGTGAGCATTATCTGATGATGTGGGTGTAGGTCCAGATTGTGTTGGCTGATTCCAGGAGTCAAGAACTCTTTGAGCTTTTGAAGCGCGATCGGGCATTACAAGTGCCGACGATCCAAGATCAGCTCAACAGCCGACGGTTTGCAGAAAATCTGCTTGGACCTGATGAGAACATCTTCCGGATAGATTGGGTGCGTCTTTTCTAATTTCAGATCCTTTTGAGTATTCATGTGGAACTGGAACAGCTCCCAGACACAAAAATGATGACGATTCAATTACTCGGGAAGGATGATTCGAGGATTGATGATTCAGAGATGTTGGCGGAGAGGTGGCAGGCCTATGTGGATTCGTTCGTGTCGGTGCGTATTCGTTATAAGGGTTTCTGTCGCGTGGGTTCATGGGTTTTATGCTTTGCAGAGTCCTGTCACGGAGGGCATATCGCATTCCCGCGTTAGACGTCCATTCCTTCGCAAGTGCGTACATGCTACTCTTCACCTTCCCCTCTCACACATATATACAAATGCTAATACTTGTTTTGCAGGAACGTCCCTCCCTCAACTGCTGCAAGTACCCCAGTGGTGCTCGCACGTAGTGCACTAGAAACGAAAGTATGCGTCCGGACGTACCGCTTGTTTTTCGTATCGGGTACGGAAGACTTTCTGTGGCGGATCCCGTCCAAGGCAGATTTGGTGGCCTCTGGACGAGAAGAAGTGAGGAGTGAACAGCGGACTATGAAGGCAAAGGCAGGGAAGTGGAGTCCTGATCTTCTGGTAAATGAGATCAAGGAGCCAACGCCTGTGCAGGCTGGGAAGGAACAGACCACTGTGTCTGTACTCGTGTCCGTGTCTGAGCCTGAGCCTGTGAGGGTAGTTTGAGGTGAGGCGCCAGTGCTGGTATTGGAGACGTACGCGCGTGGCTATTGTACATATGATTATTTTAATTTTGTTATTGATTTTTTTGAACTTACACTCAGGTGTTGTACAGATATGTGCTACGCCAATACGGAGATGGTTGAAGTGGGAGGGATATTTGGCCATGGCCAAGATACCGGCTCTTCATGGCCAAACATAACTCCCACTTCAGCACACATCGAATATGACCAGGCCTGTGTGGCTCATAACTAAGAAGAGGCGCGAAGCGAGTACATGTGGGTCTGTGGAGGATCTGCGGCTGAGTGGCAAAGGTGCTGTATAGTACATAGGAAGAGGTATGGATGACATGTTTGTCCTTGCTTGTGCCTGAAGAGACCGTATATTCTCCCTTCTGGTCAAATCTGAGAGCATCTGACAATTCTCGAACATCGTTAGGCTAGCAAGCACTGTATACTATCCTGCAGCCGTCACTTCTTCCTAATCGGCGCTCAACAAGCTTAGATTCATTGCAATACAACAGAAAGGACTTCTGAATGAAAATGAAATGTAAACGTTCCATTGAACCATCATGCATTCGAATCCGAACGCGTTTGAAGTTCAATTTGTGTCAATTGAAAGTCTGATACGGTGGAGAATTCGGACTCGGATGAATGGCAAACCTGACTGGTATTGCAAAACTGTAGGTGCATCCGAGTAACGAGGATTGTATGCATGACGACTTGGAATGTCGCGAACATATTCGAGGAGTTGAACTGCGTAAAAGAATTATCAGGACCCTCAGCCGATATCGAGTTAGATTCGGATTTGTACACACCGGCAGCCTTGCAATGAGTAAGAGATTGATCACCGACAGCGCTAGGATTGAAAGATTGATATCGTTTTGACAGCCATAAAGGTACTACTTGCCTAGTCCAGTTCCGAAGTAAAAAATGTTGTGTTGCAGAAGGATATCGAGCAGCAGATACCTTCTTTCTCGGTATTCCCAATATACACGAATCATGGTGAGCACTATGATCTCTGCGGCAAAAGTGAGCACTCGACTATATTTATAGCGTGATCTCACCAAGGTCGAAAACTACCAGAAGTGACCAATCATATGCAGCCGTCGTGTCGTGGGATAGTGTGTAACAACCGCCACCCATATCTGATACTAGTAGTTGGACTGTCATCGACTCACACTGAGTGATTTACATGTGGCTCGTCTTGAAGGCACTCACGTCCTGACTGGCTCAAAACCGTCTGTATGATCACATCCAAAGTCACCAGGCACTGAAGTGAGGCATGTCAGAGTACGAAATGTGGGAATGCAACTGTATGCATACGACTATCGTTGACAACATGAGGCCGAGAATGAATTTCTTTTGTCCCCATAATCCATAGGTCCGAAGAACGAAGATACCTAGAGATCCTGTGAGCATTCTGTGTGAATGCTCTGTAAAAGTAATACCTTCTGCACCAGCTATGCACAATCCAGCAGCACCTGAGGGACGAATTTGAAGCGGAACAGGCAGGTGATTTTATTGTTCGATACTTACAAAACCATATCAAGTGTAGAAGGTTACAAGTCTACATCGGAAATCCTCAGGACAGCAGGTGACATTATTTCTGACAAATACTCACCACAAAATCTTCACTCCGGAGATAGTTCACTTCCGTATCCTGGTCAGTGCAAGTTAACGATACAGCATGCTACTTGGACTCACTGCATAAGTGTACAGAGAGCATGAAGGCTGGCATGTATCTCGCCATGATATAAAAAGTACTTCCTTTCTTCCATTGTGACCAATGAATCAAAGATACCTATGCACATCAGTTAGCCTGTCGACAGGCTATATCTCGCAAAGATGAAGTCACCTCCTGGTCCAATGTCAGGATACAATCGTAGAACTGTGACAATATGTTTGTGAATGACGGCTAGACAAGTGGCAAGAGGACGCACCCAAAAAACCACTAGTGATGCTAGCGCAAAGCTTGTTAGCTATAAGAGATTATCGTGGTCGAATTGATAGCACCAAGAATATACTGTCAGTACCAAGATTATGAATATGGGTAAAGCGAACATGTCAAAGAAAATCAATCGCTTACATTCTGAGACTGCAGGATGGTTGAGAGGTAAATGGAGGTTTGTAAGTCCATGGTTAAGAGACAGCTGGATGGAGACGCTGGTATCGGGGAGCATGACGCTGCGCCTGGTAGGCAGAATATATAGCAAGCAACAATTTCAATCAGCGGGATGACATGAAGTATGACTCATCGGGTCGCAACAGCCCATGGCATGATAAATTGACATGTCAATCAACCAAAGCAAGGGTCAAAGACCTTTGACTGCTTCAAGGCACCTCACTTTCGAATTGCATGAGCATAATAGAATGCAGAGTATCGCACGCGCACGCCACCGACCTCATAAGTACCCAGGGCCGTCAGCACCTCGCGTAACGATACCGTAAATCTCATTCACCATAGAAAAAGTTTCTATCAATTCAAAGGTATGCTCAACTGGCATTGAAAGAAAGTCAGCTATATGCAAAGTACCTATAAATGATGTTTCTTACAAGTAGAATAACAGATGACTTTTGAACGGGAAGAGTGAGGGGTTATGAAGGCGAACGCGAGGGGAGCGAAGTCCTGATATTGTGGTAAGGAGGGTGACGGAGCCGAGTCATCTGTCACCGTGCAGGCCGGGAAGTGTGTCTGAGCCTGAGCTTGTGAGTCAGAGGGTTGTTTCCAAAGCTGGAAGTTCAACTTACTGATAAACGCTGCTTGGTCTACACGCCTGACAAGAAAAACGTGTGCGTGCCAATATGCACAAACGAGCGAGCGACTGTGCAGTGCCCGGGTAGCTCGTGTGGGGTCCATTACGTCATCCCACAAAAGTTCTGTAGGATGCCTGAACTAAGCGTTGCACAATATCATCATTGACCTTCCATAATGTCCCAACGATTCCAACAACGCTCTTGACCCCTGAAAATTGGGTCCGGTTGGTAGTCCTGCCTTGTTCCAACAGCTCAACAGCGCGACACGTATCACCGCTACGACGAGCACACAACCCAGCGTCAACGACAAGTGTACCTTGGAAGAATTTGTGACATTGTGTCGAGATGATACTGAAGCCGTCGTGGACATGTAAGCGTCCAGAAGTCGCATAAGCTAAGCCTTCCTCCAGTTGAGTATCATGTCTGTGTTGATCAGCATGACGAACCCAGAATAGACTTGCTCCCATGCGAGGTAGCAAAACTTTCAGAAACAACATATGCTGCTGCCTTGAAATGATGCACGGCAGTATTTAAACTGTCCACGTCATCGCCCGCGCTGGTACGATCAAGCCCTGAATGATGGAATATCAGATAGACCGTGACTAGCGACTTATAGACCAGTGATCGACGACGAGCATGCTGCGTCGACAGAACCAAGACACAGCATAGGATCTCTTGCAGCTCGTCGAGGTCTTCTCCGTTATGTTGATGCTTAAAGCGGGTAGAAAGTTGAAGCGCACTGGTATTTAATGACACCGATCTGTGTGACCGACCGGGTGGAAGTTCAGCACATCCCTCTGAAGTGCGATGGCTCGATCCAAGTCTTCGTCGTTGGCTCGATGCTTGAAGCAGACGGAGAATCAAATCGCGAGGTTTCTTATTGACACTGACCGGGCTGTGTTGACCGACTGGGTATGAAGCCAGCAATTCCCTGTGAAGCGCAAGTCTTCGTCGTTGCCTCGCGGCTCAAATCGGGAGGAGAGTTGTTATTTGAGAACTTGGGCTGATCTATGTCGACTGGGCGTAAGGCCAGCACATCGAGCAACGGGTACTTTTTTTCATGGTATGCCCAACATACAGGAATCATGGGCGGATACGACTTCCTCCTGCCTTGGCTGAAAGATTATGGTTGCTATACTCGTTGGCATCTGTCAGGCATTATCTGAAATAGACAATACTGACCATGCGATCCAGTAATTCTCTGACGAAGATCTCAAATGTACGCAGGAGTTCTCTATAACAGGACATGGGACTCAATTCAAACGAGGCATATACGCTGACCCGAACTTTAGAAGATGGCTCGCACGGCCTAGAGTCATTTCAATACCCGCAGGACAGATAGGGTTGAGGATGACTTACAGAAGTGCGCGCTCATGCCATTCGATGACAGCCTCGTCTATGTGTACAGATTTATTGCTTGTCTGATATTCGGCATCGCCAGCCTCGACCGTCACATGGAAACCAGCGGGGATTCGGAGACCAAGAGTGAGGTCAATTGCGCGAATGACTTTGAGGAAATCGTCAATACGAGCTGAGTGGAAACAGACATCACATACCAGTAACGACGACTTGTTACACTCCACAACCCTCCCTGGTCCTGAGTGACGACCTACACTTATGTTTTCTCCCTTTCAAGGGCTCGGTACTGGGAGCAGAATTCTCTTGTGGAAGAGTTGGGAAAGATGTCGTCGAATATAAGTGAGAATCAGAGTCTGATTCTGATTCTGATGAGCTTGAAGACTCAGATGTGACATGTCGACGACAAGCCATGATGATGGCTGAAGGATAAATTCAAACTAACACTTGAGAGTCAGATGTGTGCTGGAATTCATGAACGCTACAGTACCTGCAGTAAAGTTTTGAAGGATTATAAAGGAGGGAACCACAGCCTACAGCACGCAGGGCCGATGAGTCAACAGAACAGAAGCGACTTGCAGACATAGCCTCATTTACACAGTGGGCCCGTCAGAAGAATTTGCATAGGCTATATGTCATCGGCTTTGACATGTGGCTGCTACTGCATCAGTCCTGTAAGTCGTTATTGTCTAGAGCTATTATATCAGGACTAGGCCGTCGACCTCATGTTGCAGTGCCTCACCACAAATATATGCCTCAGCCGGAATTCTGGGTCATGGATGCGCTGTCAGAAATCACGTTGCGTGAGAAGGCACGGGGCTGACAAGATGTTATATCCAACTTGTGTTGCTGCAGAGAGGCTGAGAGCACCAAGGGAGGTTTTGATTGACGAAGTTGTGCCACTGCCAGTGGAGTAATTATCAGCAGAAATTACATAATCACATTAGCTTTTCGTTACAACTTGCAATTTGTACACCCCGGGCCAGAGCTGAAGACGTGGAGTCCAGCCAACTCACTCACCCTGGACCTTGAATAGCTTCGCTCCCTTGTATGTTCACTGCAACACACACCGTCGATATAAAAGTTTGACCTCTCGGACGGAGAACCGCGGCAGCACATCACGGACAATACATGGATAAGCCGCGGCCTGGCAAATTGGCAATGGATAGTTGAGTCGATAGAGTATCCCAGTTTTAAGGCTAATGATATATCCACCCACCAATATAAGAATCAAACCCTCGAGGGTAGTGAATAGCATTGATGGCCTGTCTCTTTCGAACGATGATTGAAGGCCCAAGTTGACTCTTGTCTCCATCCTTGTCGCGGTTGAATCCCTTATTTTTGCCTTTAGATCGACACGTGGCTGAATAGGGTATCCCTGACATTCCTCCGAGGAGATGCCATACGTAGTAATAATCGTGACTTCTTTGTCGAAGTCAGTCGTTGTCTGTGATGCTAAATGCTACGGTGCCAGGCATGGTCAGTTCAAGTTAACACGCAACATCAACTTTGCACCACCTACCTCTCGATCTCGAGCTCAACTCATCCACGAACCTTCGGCAAGTTACAAATGTGAATTCGAATCTTCGCTCTCCGATATAAAGTCAAGCATCACAATGTAGCGTCCAGTATCAGAATTATCCTGATGTTGGTGAATGTCTACTATATATTGTAATATATATTTCTCACGTTCCCACCAGTTCACTGATATTGGAGAGCACTCGGCCGAACCAGTACATGGATGAGACCCTGAAATTTCTTTTTACTGGCCCTGGTAAGACTTCATGCTATTCGATTCTGCGGCTGCGGCATTGCCAATTTAAAGGTAGTATCGCCCCAGTTCGAAACTACAATTTGTCACCTACCGAGCTGCAACAGCAAGCTAAAGATATATGTTGGGTTCTGCCAGCCACTCACCAGCCTCTGTATCTCCTCTAGCAATGTTGTCATGGCCTGAAGCAATCAAGACACCGATATCGGGAATTATGCGTGAGTAAAGATGTTCAGCGTAAAATTAAACACGTTCCCTGACCGAACGGTACTTATGCTAGTGAGTCGTGACTGCCACTGACTGGTGCTTAACTTATGTTTGGACCCAAAAACTGTACAAGCATGGGTCGCCTACCGCCTATCTATATGTTAGCCAGGGCCTAGAGTATCGGATATTCCATAACATCTGCGACTGGACCTGCATAGCACTTCCTCAAAAATATCAGCCCGGACCCTAGTAACCTACGGCGCCCCGGGTTTTACCTTTGAACGACCCCACCTTCATCCTCATTGAAGCCTCGTTTTTAGGATCCGTACATTCGGCGGCCTGTGACCTTATCAATGCAACTTCCTAGTCCGAGTCCGTCCTTATCTGTGATGCCAATCTGCCACGAGGGAGTGTGAAGAGCGCTCGACAACATCAATGAGGGTGAAAATTTATGCCAGGGCGTAACAGAGTACCTGCATGTCTGGTTCTTGAGCGTCATCGGTTCGATCAGAAACCGCACTACGGCCTATTGAACCTACCGAGCCGCGGCCGCAGCGCATTGATATGCATGCTGGCTGCTTTTGCAAACCACTCAGCGGCCTTCGTCTCTTTCGTGATTTGTCTACCGTTCTACCAACGCTTGCGGATAATAACGCGATTCTCCCGTACGGATGGCTACAACGCTCAAGCAAGATTCCTTATTTCAAGAGCTGCCACAGAACAATGAGTTCATAATCGACAGGTTTTGGACATCTTATAAGAAGGCTGCAAAAGAGCACGATTGCACTTTTTTAGAGCGGAATGGCAGGGATATGGACATCATACTCATTTCTGTAAGCTATCGAACAATTTTGGAGCATGTATTTGGCTAAGAAGATCTCAGTCTGGTCTCTTTTCCGCTGTCAATACCGCCTTCATTATTGCCATGCAACCCGACCCCATGACCCCCTTGTTGTGGCAGCTCGTTCAGAACACATCCTTCAATACCAATATCACCATATCTCCTCTCGCTGCCTCAGCAGCAAATCCGCCAAATACCATTTGGTTCCAGACCTTTGCATATGTTGCATTGTCGCTCAACCTTCTGGCAGCTTTTGGGGCTGTCCTCGGAAAACAGTGGCTCAGCTATTACCAATTAAACGCTCATGGAGAGGACAGACAACAAAAATTAGACGGTTTGAAAGCATGGCACTTCCAGGCTGTGCTATTGTCATTTCTCATGTTACTGCAAATCTCGTTCCTTCTATTTGGGATTGCTCTCTCAGCCTTCGTATGGAATCGTCAGGGAGCTACCGCAATCGCTGGTATCATATTGATGGCGATCGGCTTATCTTTTTACATCTTCATTGTCTTCGCCTCCTTGAAATTCCCGCAATGTCCCTTTCAAACCCCTGCTTCAATATTCTTTCGCTCCGTTTCGAGCTTCTTCCGAGTCCAAGTCGTGGGAAAGAAAGGGAGTGAGGAGAGTCAAAAGACGCTCTCTCTGGCACTATCAATGCGTTGGATATTCGACACTTGCACAGATCCAGAGGTAATCACTTCAGCTGCGTGGCTGCTGCCGACCATCAAATGGACCCCTGATGTGTACAAAGCAGCTGCACGCTCAAAATTGCCATACAGTTTCGCAGAGTGCTTTCATGCTGATGCCCTGGCCAATCCTTCGGCACGCCAAAGAGCCCTAGTGTGCGGGAGAGCCTTGCACTATCTTACATGCAATGTCTCCAAAGATATCGACATTCCCTCGCATTTCATACACTCTGATGATTGGTCTCAATGGCGTAATCTCAGTCTTCCCTGGGGACTTGAGATGTGTAAAAAAGCTTTTTTCAAGTACACCACAACTCGAGAGCAAGTTCATGAAGATGAAGCACGCATTGCCTTGCGACTCGCGATCGTGACTGGCTGCGAAGGATTTTTGAAACCAACCGATGATGCATTGATCTGGGATGGTGTCTTCGACTGGAAGGATAGCCTTCGTCCTACAGAAGATTTTGATTGGATCGTGGACTTCTTGGTACATTTCCATGGAACGAGGGACTTCGATGCCATGGCAGATGCGCTGCTCGCATTGAGTGCCATGCGGGGTCTTGGAAGCGTCACCAGACGAGACAATTACCTTGACACCCTCATCTTCGCCTTAGAAGCAGATACATCATCCCGGCTTCGTCACGCAGCCCTTCGTGCCCTATTCGATGCCCGGTCCAAACTAGTCGAGGTAGTTGAGCAGGAGAAGGGAGAATTCCGGGAGAAATTATTAACGAAACTCGCGCCAGCTCTATCCACCGCAACCAAACCTGGCTCACCACAGAAATTTGATGATAAACCGGACACCGTATTTGATCCCAGACGTGACGGCTGCTATCTGCGACTAATTTTTGCTCTGGCGAAACAAAGTGATTGGCGCGCTCAGTTAAAGAGAGCCGGTCACATAGATCGATGCATATATCTGCTAGACCACGTCATCGGAAATGCGGACTTGTCCGTCACATCTCACCCTTACTATCTTGCAGGCACATTGATCCGGATGAATGCCTCGGGGGCCGCGGTTCCTACTCCACCAAGTTTGCCGCATAATATATCCGAGAGAGTATGCTGGAATCTGATCAAAGGAGCATGGTGTGCGATGGATTCGAATGTCCTCCACCTTGAAGAAGAAGCAGTCGAGGCATTGCCTGACATGGTCACTTACACTCTCGATCTCCTGAAAACACCGACTGCTTTTTATGACACGAAGAGTCTCGTTCTACCGGTGAATCGGATATCCTTGGCGTTCGGTGATGGTGAAGCAAAGTTGAAAATGAAACGCCTACGGGATGCACTGTGAAATAATTAACGTTCATCACATGCAAGTTGAGTATCAGTTAGTTAGACTATGTACAGTATCACTCTCCTATGCAGACTTATCTTTCGTTGTACTTATATCACTCGATACAGACGTAACTCGGTCATTCATTTTGAGAAATCCAAGCCAGCTCTTGCGTTCGTGTGCAGAAAAAGCATGGAAGAGGGACGTCCGAAATCAATCTAGATGCTACCTTATATAAATCTCTTGTTGGGGGTGTTTGATCTCACTGGCACGGGTGCTGCCATCAGCCTTGTGCAATTCGTTTTGAGGTTGCGAACTCATTTTCAAGATATCAAGGGTGGTATATGAAAAGAAGCAGTTGATTCTCTGACACCGCGTGGTGTCCAAAACTTCCGACGGCTCAGAGTTAGCTGAGAAGCTGGGGGTCCTAATGGTTTCAGCCGCGTTGAAGCCAATACAACAGCCTTTATCACGAACAACGAATGTTTTTCCTCCTCACCATAGGTATCCCTGGGAGGATCTGAGAACTGGAAGCTGTAATATAGAATGACAAGAATGACATCGCATTTGAAAATGTGATGCAACCATTACCATTCAACTATCTTCCATCGTTGCTACTGGCGATGCGCCAGCGCATATCTAGCAGACAAGCTTGTGAAATATTTCATGCTAATCTGGCGTCCAACGCCGGAGAAATTTGAGGCGAACGTGGGGGAAACTTCAAATTAGATTGATGGAATTATCAATCACTGACTCACAACCAAAAGCCACATGCGGTAAATCACTTCAGGTCCCCTGCTCTGCTTGCGTAGCGGAATCCGATCGAAAGAAGTTCTACAGACCCGTTCCTTTAACATCCTCATGACAATCGAGCAATGCAAAAAGATTTTCGAGAATACATCCTATAATGAACATTACGGAAAGGCCCTACTACTCCCAGCGTTGCTGGCCAAGTACAAGAAGAGGGATAAGTCTTCGTCTTCGGCAGCCACGAGCCAGACGAAGACCTACCTAGGACACACGCCTTCTGAGAAACAAATATCGCATGATGAGAAACATTATGGAACCAGCCAGTGAAACGATCTGTTATGTAGTTAATTTAATTGCAGTCAGCGTGAACTCTGGAGAAAATGGTAGTAACGATCGACTCACCCCGGAGAACAGACCCGGTATCCACCAGGTATAATTAGATGTCAACAGAGCGCCACATATGGGTGTTCCTGGATAAAAAATTAGGATTTGAAGCTATAACCGACACCATTGCACTCACCAATCAAACCTCCGAGTCCTATGCAATGAGCGCGACAAGTTTGGTTAACATGGAAATAATAGGAATGATGATATTCACCAGAAATAAAGAGACAGATACCCATCCGTGCACTATGATCCACATAAGACGGTTCGTACGTTCAAATATAAATAATCACTTGCCCAAGCTCAGAGAGGTCAGGCGTTAAAGTAGCCACGAGTGGTGCCGCCATTGCAACATCTACATGCAATGATGAATTCATCTGCAACTTCCATACCGATGAAAGGTGAAAAAATTACTTACTCAAACCTGAAACATAGCCATAAAGAACGCCAAGCACAACGACACCAGCCAGGCTACTCAACCCGATCATCCCCAAAATGAGGATACCGCACGAAAATGACGATATTATGGTTAAATTTAGAACCCCTGTGAATGCCTCAATGAATCCCGACGTGAATCGTCCTATGCAATTGGACCCATTGAGAATCACTAGCTGGAGACTTTGTCAGGACACGAATGACTTGGGTAGTACTGAAACTCACAGAGTAAAACGAAAATTCAACGCTGATACCATGTTTGATAGAATCCAGTTGAAAGAAGAATAATGGGTAGTAGAAACCGACCCGAAGAAGAAAGCCCCTGCAAGATGATTATTTGGAAGAACTTGAGAGAAGGTATGTTGCAGGTCTTACCCTACTATCAGGAGCATGAACGGTACATCATAAATGCATTTTCTAGCTACCACAATGTAGTTCACCGGTGTCGCTGGTGAATCAAGGCGAGTTCGCATGCACAGACATGCAATTAAGAGGAGTGAGCTAATCAACCCTGCGCTCACACGGATGCTACTGGCAAAGCCGAGGGGTCCGTCAAGGAGGTTATTGAGCATGATCGGATGAATGATGGCACCTAGCGATGAACCCGCAGCAACAAATGTCATAACCAATGTGCGCCTCCGTTGAAAGTGATGTGAAATGACAGCCATGCTAGGGACATACAAGAGCCCCGACGCGATCCCCAAGCCTAAGCCTTGACAGAGAAAGATCTGGCTGAGTCAAAACAAAACAAGATTATAAAGCCAGGCAACGTTACTTGGTAGTAGTGGTCGGGTTTTGACAAAGACAACATAAATAGAGAAAAACTCTGCAAGAACGATCCGGCGATCATGAGATGGTAACTAGTGAAGCTCGCTGAGTATCGTGGAGAACTTCCAAGAGGTCTACACTCACAAATATCCTTGGTCGTACAGAAAACCTGCCACGAGGCCCACGATCATGAGCAGTGACGCGCTCGTGCTCCCGATCCATCTACAAGTCTCATGGATGCCCGCCATGAAAATACAACTAGAAACTCACGATATAGCAGACGACGTCTCATTTGTCAAATAATGTTGGGTATAGAAGTCTGAAGTGCAATATATTGAATACTCCATGCTCGCCTTCATCTGCAGAAATACCTTGATAGACACCAAATGAAGTTATATACCTGTTGACCTGACTTAGTCGGAGAGCCATTTTCCGCCAACACGTGCAACATACTCACCCAAACGAGCAAAACTGTACCAAAAATCTGTGTAGAATGAGTAAAAGCCATCTCAAAGAGTTTGTCTTCTTACGCTCCAAAAGCAGTGGCCCAAGCTGCCAGACCACCTTCAGGAAGCTCGTGCGTGCTTGAGGGATGGTCACAGTTCTTGGATACTCGACAAACTTCAAATGTCTCTAAGCCCTCTTTATCCTCTTGGAGGGCGGCCCCTTCTATCTGAATACTTTGAGGTTCACAATCGGCTGCCATTCTAGGTTCAGAGAGCTAACGATGAGAGCAAGGAGAGTGCTTGGGTATTTGTATGCACACACCTTATCACGACCCTACTATGTCCGTCGAGTCGGGCGATAATGCAATATGGAGACATCAACATAAAATTTGCAAACAGAAATTCTTTCGGGCCGTGGTATGGAAAAAAGGAAGGCCTGATAACAATAGCCATTGTTGATCCCAAGGCGGAACGCACTAGTCCATGGTGAAAGCAACCCTGCTGTGATGAGCGGGAGTGTGAAAGTTGTTTGAAGTGTTGATATTATTGTTGTCGTTGTCGGAGCCATACTATGTGTGCCGCTTAAGGTCGAGTTGGACAGTACTGTATGGAAAGCCCGACAGCCGCGCTCGTGTCACGTATCCATAATAGGCCAGAAGACTTCGCACCTGCCTTCGACTTTGTTTTTCCCACTATTCGATATCGCCGCCAAGTCCGCCAACTCCGATCGCAATTGTGTTTTTTCCAGCTTCATTGGCTCGGAAGAGTCAGAGGCACGACCTGTATGTGTTGGGCTGGTCTGAGCGTGAAGTTCAATTTGTGTCAACTGAGAGTGTGATGTGGTTCCAGACTCAGATAAGTCGCCTACCTGAACGATGTTGCAAAACTGTAAATGCGTGCGAGTAACGAAGATCGTGTGCGTGACGATTTGAAATGTCGCGAACGTGTTTGAGGAGTTGAACTGCGTAAAAAGATTACGAGGTCCGTCAGCTGATACCGAATTGGATTCGGATTTGCACACACCGGCAGTCATTCAGTGGCTAGAAGATTGACCACATATAGTCCTAGAATTGAACAATAAATTCCATTTTAACAACCATGAAAATATTACTTACTTAACTCAGTTCCGAAGTAAAAAAACATTGTGTCGTAGAAGGATATCGAGCAGCGGGCACCTTCTTTCACGGTATGCCCAATATGCACGGATCATGGGCGGATACTTCCTCCTGCCTTGGCTGAAAGATTATGGCGTTAGCATCTGTCAGGTGCTATCTGAAATAAACAACACTGACCATGCGATTTTTCGCTGCGATCCAGCAATTCTCTGACGAAGATGTCGAATGTACGCAGGAGTTCTCCATGACAGAGCATGGGACCCAATTCAAATGAGGCATATATGCTGACCCGAACTTTAGAAGATGGCTCGCACGGCCTAGAGTCATTTCAATACCCCAGGACAGACAGGGTCAAGAATAACTTACAGAAGAACGCCCTCGTGCCATTCGATGACAGCCTCGTCTATGTGTACATATTTATTGCTTGTCTGATATTTGGCGCCGCCAGCCTCAACCGCCACGTGGAAACCAGTGGGGATACGTCGGAGACCAAGAGTGAGATCGGTTGCGCGAATGACTTTGAGGAAATCGTCAATACGAGCTGAGCGGAAATAGATATCACATACCAGTAACGACGACTTGTTGCACTCCACAATTCTCACTGGTCCTGGGTGTGTCCTGGGTTGTTTGGCTCCTCACTAAACAATACATACATTGTCAGGCATTCAGATCATCAGTGCTCCATATGCTCCCTTATCCTTTTTTGCCTGGAAACGCGAGATTGAGTTCATATATGTGCGATATAACACAACGACTTTCGACTCGGATCGTGAACGTTTAAAACTCTTCATCTTGTTGTCATTATCTTTCAAGAGCTCAGTGCTGGGAACAGAATTCTCTTGTGGAAGAGTTGGGAAAGATGACGTCAAATATAAGTGAGAATCAGATTCTGATTAGCTTGAAGACTCAGATGTGACATGTCGACGACAAGCTATGATGATGGCTGAAGGATGATCACTCAGAATCAGATGTGTGCGTGCTAGAATTAACGAAACCAGAACGAAACGCTAGTACAGTACCTGAGTCAATTTTTGAAGGATTATAAAAGGACGGAACACCGTGACAGCATGTTTTCTACGGCACGCAGCTGTCAACAGAACAGAAGCGAGATTCAAGTTACTGGAGAGCAGGAATTACATAATCACATTAGCTTTTCGTGACAACTTACAATTTCTACACCGGCACTTTGCGTTGAAAGGTAGAAATCGATCATCGTGCTTGGTATCGCCGTGACTCACTCAGGACAGAGGCAGGGTGACATTGTCCTCCGTTCGCCAAAGCACTATCGTAAGCAGCTTCCCAATTTCCAAAGGATTCAATGCAATATGCGCTGCACTACATCCTCTCAAGCAGGTCCAACACTATAGTTTTCAGTGCACGGTGTATCTTGTCGTGCATTCGATTATCGCGTCCTTCTCGCGCGGGTGGCATTATAACTGATGGTTGTGAGTGTCAAAATCAAAAACACACCTGCAGCTCCCTCCTACTTTCTACTTTCGAGTTTTTTTCTCAACGAGATCTAGATAGATGCCGTGACTCATGTGAGCGGAAAAATTGTTCCAATCAGTTTTTCCAGCCACACCTTAGGCATCTTTGAATCATGTCTTGATTTTGCAGCGAGATTATTGGCCACATGCACACAGTGACAGGCACACAATCGCCATGAAAGCCAGGCTCATGGAATATCTAGGGTCAAGTTTATGATAGGTTCCGGGGACGTGAAAAACAATTCAAGTTACAGCTCACGCACAACTTTCGACTTGTCTTAATAACAGCCATCTTTCTATCTACGGTGCGTCTCTCCCTTCCAAAGAATTTCGAGATGTCGTATAAACGGTAAAGTAAATGAGGTTTAGTAGTGATGCTAAGGCGTGCCGGGCAGAACTAATCTACGCTGGCAGAACTGGTGCGGGTTTTTTGCCACATTCTCAGGACGGAAAAGTTTTGCCATCCACGCAACAGTAATTCCAGAGAACAATATAGAAGTCAACTGTCTTCCTACTATCGCCTTCAGGAATCACTGATCCCACACACACGAGTCGCAAACAATGCATTTCTCCTCTGCAATTGTCCTCGCTGTCATTGCTGCTTTAGTATCATCAAGCTCTGCCATGCCCACTACTACTAGTGATGGAACTGCGACTGACGATCTCAGCTGTCCCGAATATTGCAAGAAAGACTCGGACTGCTCATCTAGATTTTGCACTTTGAGCACTTGTGTGAGTATCGAGTAATTGTCCTGGACTTGATAACATGATTCACCTGCATGACAGAGCTTTGAGGGGTGGTGCTCAGTGAGTCATATACATATATTTGCTTTGAGTATGGCCATTGATACTGACGCGCGACTCATTAGTGATTTGTCGACGCAATGTGCACCAGAAAACATTGCACTCACAGCTCGAATAAAGTCACTCGTTCTCCCAGAATAGTAAACTGTACCTAGCTGCATAGGTACTGCATTGACAAATTCAAATGTCTTGTCTGGCCCGCTCTTAGTCATTATCCGATTGGCCTCTGACCATATGCGTTTGGCCTTTGCGGTACACTTTCAACATACAGCATTTTTGTGTTACATTCGCATCCATTCCAGCGCACGATGTAATAGTATTCAACGCATACACATAGCTCTACAAACATGGGCCCAAGAAGGTACTTAAGGCAATATTGCTCTGGAGTAATATTCAAGTACTACAATGTTCATATTCCCGATTTTTGCTCAGATTCCCGGCCTCCATCAATTTCAACCATCTCATCAATTGTGCCATGCATATAGACGTACTTTTATGACTTCACGCTAAGTACTAGACTGGCGAGCCTATGTTTAACTGAGGCTGACTCTATTAGAATAGCAAACCTAGAAAAACTACTGTGACGTTGACTATTTAGCTTGTTAGGCTCGAAGACAACGGCACAATAGAGAAGAGCGTGTTCAAACTAAATGACAGTTTCAAAGTCTGAATTCTGAGGGTCCAAACTACACTACTGTAACACAACGCTACGAGCTGTATATAAGGTAATGTCTACGTGCTCTCGAAGAGCTAGAAATAAAGGAAAGGATCGTGTAACTGAGGACTCGGCCGGCCGAAGGTGTATATTACGATCGATAGTAAGGAACGAAAGTTAAGGAACGTGGTTCAAAGGGTGTCAAGACAGTATCAATATGAGTAACAATGAGGCAATCACTTAACAGTTTATCCAAGCGGTGACACCGTTACAACTACATAGCACTAATTATTCTAAGGAATCAATAATGAACGTCAACAAAAGAATGGTGGGCCAGGAGAAATGAATGTAGGTGGGCTCTGCTCTATCGCTTACTTAGTTTCCAAGAACGCACATCATGAACTAGTGCTATGAGTGGTGCTGTTTATGTATGGGGCGCACACGTTCGGATCGTGGAGCGCCGCGGGGTCCTGGGTGAAGAACCCGAGCTTTAACCCCTCAAGGTAAGACCTACATAGTCGGCCGCGTCAGAGCTTTCATAAAGCGCTCCAGGATGCCCTGGACTAACCATTGCCTTGCAAGTGCATTCCCATTGGTAAGGGTTGATATCTCAGTTTTGAAATTCCAGTACTGACGTAATCTTCTTTGAGCAACGTGTTGGACCAAACGCAAAGGGGCACGTACAATCCACCCAGCACTCTTACTATATGTCAACTTCTGTGCGTCAGCCCACTTGTAGAGGAACTCGTCCGTGGCATTGAACTGTGTCGGAAGTCCCCACTCTCCGAACCAGAGTGGAGAGTCGCCAACCTTTGCGTCGGCCTGGACACGTTGAAGATCTTTACCAAAAGTGAGTAGATCGTTGCCAAACTAAGGAAGAAGACGCACTGCAGATACTGGTCATGTAAGACTTCGGGTCAGCATCTGCAACTCCCTATAAAGGTGTCAACGCGAAGCAATAAGCTAAGTGTACACAACATACGCCAAACCTGTAGAGAGGTATTAAGAAACCACAGGAATTTAATGCAGCCAACTGTGTACTCACGAGTAATATAAGTGGTTGTCGTAAGCTTGGGGGCCAATCGCCACGTCAGCTGGGTTAGAGGGGTTATCGTACTGCCAGTTCACATCCATAAAGCTATGGATGTCATTGTCAATGTATCCTAACAAGGACCTGTGGTGAACTCACTTCGCCACCAATGAAGTACGAGATGGCTTGAAGGGCGATGTTTCGAATATGGCCTGCAAACCGCACTCTACTCCAATCTCTAGTAAAATCGGAACAGCGTCTAAAAGTGCCGCTTGCACCTCCACCGGGAATATACTTGCTGAAGACGTTGCACTCAATGCAGCAGTGAAGTTGGTTGAGACGGACGGTGATACCGACAACGATAAACCGGACGACGGCACAAATATTCCGAGTATGAGCTCGACTGCACGAATTACCTGGACGAAGTTCTTTTGGACTGTACGAAGGTTCAGGAAGGGCATAAATTAAAGAATGATCAGTGGTACATACAGGTGCCATAGTTAGGTGTTTTAGTCGCGTTCATAATGGGTTCATTGATTGCCTCGATTGCAAAGACACTTCCAAAATCAGGGTCCAGGTGAGAAAGCGCAGTCATGACCGCTGTCCACACCAGTGCACGGTGATAGTTGTATGGAGTCTGTATTTATGTAAGGATTTGTGATCATTAATTTTACCGGCTGCAAAATGGCTCACGTAGAATTGAACCTCGCTAGTGCAACTGGTAAAAATAATCTTAATACGGAAGGGATAGCAATACAAATAAATGGGAACTCACTTCCCAGTGAACATTTGCCCGGGTGTTTGAACCCCGGGTAATGCGTGGTGATCCAGGATCGCTTGGATCCCGGCATCTTTCAGCCAGCCCAAGCCCCGGCGCTACACGCTCGAGTTTAACTGAGTATCAAACTGCAGCAGAACTTCTAACCAAATAATTGAGACCGCCCCGAGGGTATGATTCGTGCGACCTATCGACCAAGGCCTCCACAATCCAATATCCCAGCTATGAATGAACGCGACGCATACGCATGGAAGTTTTCACGGGATGAAAAAAAGGCATAGCAGATCAAACCGTCTGACATTAGTTTGGCCAAGTTCGCAATGACTTCACAATTGACTCACAGGAACCCTGACGGTGTTAATACCGGCCGCCTTCAGCGTATTGACATCGTCCTGTGTAAACCACGTGTCCCAGTGTTTAGCGAATGTAGTGTCGACGGTGTCGGGATATGCCTTTGCAAATGACCTAGGATATCGCAGAATAAATTAAATTTCACATACAAACGGTGTGGAATTGGAACGTACGACTCAGTTGAAATGCATGTCGAACAATTTTGAGCGCATGACTGTCCACCCATATCCAACCACCCTAAAGAAACTTGTTCAGTGAACACGCATTTGCAAAGTTCATGGGTTTATCACCTTGAGGAAGCATCCATGGCTCTAGGACTAACCTGCGTTACCAGTTCAGTCAAACAGTTTGTCAGAGGCGTAGAATAACACTTACCATGAACCCAAATTAACACCATAAATGGGGGTTGCTTGCCCAGCGCATGCATGGGCAACAAGCATGCTCGAGAGCACCAAACCTGCCAGGATACGTTTCATTTATTAGTCTAGGAGAGAAAATATGATTTAAGGTGTCCAAAACCAGCTTCGAAGACATTTCAATTTATGTCTGGTCCAGGCGACGTGGCAGGTCGGGCTGACTCATTGTCGCAAAATTTCGGTAATCCGACTTTCGTGTTGACCTTCAGGCCTCGCATCAAACATAGTCCGACTCGCCGCTCCTGACGCCTAATGGTCGTGCGATAGTGACGTGGACCAACTCTGAGGTGGGCAGCAATAGCATGATGTTTACTTGATCGCGAGTCATACTTTTTCGTGACTTCAAGGAGGTGAGCTGACTTTGGTGTAGTAGTAATGACTGACTTGAAAGGTGCGCGAATTGACTCCTAGTAGCTCCCAGCTGAAAGCACCTCAAAGGCTGGTTTCTAGATTTTATATTTTCAAATTAAAGCATGCTGTCGGTATCACGTATACTATACTTCTTCTCCCAAAAGTCAGTCAAGCTATCAATATATTATGATTATAATGACTATACCTAGTTTCCTCTACCTTTTCCAATCTCCGACTCGTCCTTTGAACGATGCAAGTCATGCAACAGTGACTGCATGCGCCCGGGCCTGTATCAAATACTACATATCCATATGGTTACAGGAACGCTGGGCCACAAAGACAAGGAAAATAATTCAGTGCCGCGAGTGAATTATATGCGCTGCAGATTGAACTGCCACCTCCGGTCATACGGCAATGAAAAACTTTCGGACAAAAAAGTACCTCCTGCGGCAGATGCGCAGAACTGTCTTGGGAGGAAGGGGGACCGCGCATGGAAGGATCTTGCGCTGCGTGTCGAGGGTGATTCATATGGTAAAGGCTTGTGCGGTTGGGGCGTGTCATATTGAGGGAAAGGTTCAACGTTGTGCCTGGACGTTACTTAGTGACTTGGGATCCGAGTTGCAGGCGCGATGATCAAAAAAGGGAATCAGTGAAAAACAAATCGGAACACTACCACGATCACTCAAACTTGAACTTTAGCACTCTGTAGCACCCTGTAACAGTCTGTAGCGCAATCCGTCCTGCTGATCGGCGGGTCGTTCAACGACAATGACTACTACATTCCTACTCATTGGCCTACTTCCTAAATATTCTGAAAACGACCAGTATACTCGTTCTTTTGAAGGAACACATTATCAACCATTCAATTCGGAGCCCGGAGATGCTCTTCAAGTTGCTTTGTTTTAGTTGCACTTCCCATCATGAGTCCAGACCGATGCTACTGAGGACGACATATTGTTTGCGGCTTGACCAAGAACGTGACTCTGTTGAATTTGAAGTGCGTCATTATTAAGATTCAAGAATGTAGTGGAGGAGACGTGATTGACGAATAGGTAATCGACCCTTCAATGCGTATGGTCACTAGTAATGTGGAGGCTCTGTACTCAGATGCGAAGGACACTCAAAGCCTGGTATTTTGAGTACCTTCGTCACACCTACTATCAAAACAAGTACAATAGGGCGAAATAAAAGTCTCAGCTCAACAAAGCTGCTCTATGACCTTCAGGTGTCGTCCACATAAGAGAACAAAAGGTTCCGGATGTGCCGACCCAGGATGTTGAGGCCACCGGCGAGCGAGATCACGGGCACACTTCCACAGATCTCACAGGCGCTTGCATCAACACATTTGTAATAATGTGATTCTCTCTATGTGGATGGCTGGTGCTTTGCCCAAGATACGCTATGAGACATCACAATCGCAAGGTGTGTTTGTTGTGGACTTGTGGTTTCTGAAGCGCCGTAGTTTAAATAGGACGCAACAGTCGAAGGAACGCTGGAATTATTTCCTACTCTCAACCTCCATCTCCAACCTCTCAACCTTCTTGAAGCTTGCGTAAACATGGAACAGTTTAACTCAAACACCGATTCATCAGCAGTGTCAGACACCAGTGCCATGCAGGACATTGTAAGTGCTCTGTTTCTAGAGGTGTTGTGTCCGAATAAACATCCACTTTAGCAGTCAGATGATGTCTCAAGCCAAACAGTTGTTAGCTATCGTCACCGACAACTTGTCGAAGACGCCAGGGTTGTTCAGTCCAACAATCCACATGGTGTATTTTCATCGGCTATTTGGCGCTTGCCCAAGGAAATCCTCGCTGAAATTTTCCTGTACTGCATGCCAGTATACGAAATCAGTACGCCCTCACCACATGTGGCCCCCCTGCTCTTGACAAGAGTATGTAAACGATGGCGGGAGATTGCTTTGGACATGCCGAATCTATGGTGCAGGCTGCGATTGGAAGTCGGGCCCAGTAACTGGCTAGAGAAAGCTGTCAACTCCTATGACTTCTACCTCAAGCAACCGCGAGGACCTAAGCTGTCGTTGTTACTCGATGGTGTTAACCATACTAACTGTTTGGAGCTAGAAAGCCTGCTCCGGTATGTTTTGTCTTTCTCCAGTGCCGACTCCTTGGCGATAGCAGACGTTCGCGGAATTTCGGAGCTGCTTATATGGGCGAACGGTGATGTTCCTACAGATATTATGCGCTATATCGCGCAATTGCCGCCCAGCATGCGTAGTCTCTGTCTAAATGTCTTGTTTCACCTTGCGCTATTACCTGGCGTCAACTCTCTCGGATGGGCCAGTCTCACAAATATCGAGATCGAAATAGAAGGCCTAGATTGCTTCGTCCGCCTACTTCAACTGTGTCCCAACCTATCGTCTTTGACGATGACTGGATGGTTCACGAGGATTGAGACCCCGGAAGCATTCGTGCACCCCAAACTTCAATACTTACGCTTATCCGCGCAATCGGATTATTTGGATGTGGACATCGTAGATTTTGGCTTATTCAACGCCATCACGCTTCCCAATCTACGCGGAATCGAAGTTCGCAAGATAGGCCCATGGCCTCACGAAGAATTCAAGGCGTTCTTGACACGGTCACAGTGTCCTCTGAAGTCCCTGATCTTTGGCGGTGGAGTGATGATCACGGATCGACAGTTGGCAGAATACGCTACACTTTTTCCTTCCCTTTACTTAGTGAAAGATCCTACGCGGAGTTCCAGAACCTACTATGGTACTCCTATACATAGATGATAACATGATTACGCCAATATGTAGTATAGCCTATACGTAGCCGCTGGTCGACTTGTAGTATAAATGATATTCTATGCCCTCGTATGCAACAATACAGGACTGACGTGCAAGATGCATGCTAGTAGTGTGAGCACTGAGGACAAGGAATGTAAATTTAGTGAGAAGTGAATACAACATTATATAGAGCCTGTACGCAGGCAGATACTCATCTGTTGATCATTAATGAGGATATCGGAGGATTGAAAGCAAGATTGAAAGATCTGTATGGGCCTAGAATTTGTTACAGTGCCGCGTCAATTTCACCTGGCCCCCTTGTGTCAAACAATGACATCGTGTCGTGTCTTTTGAACATAAACTACATAATATGGCTTCACAACATATCTAATATCATCTCTCTAATCAGATGGCACGTCTCTCCGATTTCCAGGTTCGTGAACAAATTTAGTAGTGAAAATAGCACGACATCTTGGAAATGTTCAATCTGAGCAGTACTATGCTCGATCTCATCAACCGTAATTGCAGGTCATAGATTTGGAAAACTAGTTCATTGAATCGGGCTGTCGACATCTTGACTAGTAAATTGCATATGGCCTCCATACTTAATGCAACATTTCGGTCGAAAGGGGATCAGTGAGAAATGCACGAGTACGGTTAACAATCCTACATCGTCGATTCGTCGAAGTACAACTGCTCAACAATCTCCAAAACGACCGTATTCTACGTATTACTTTTCATCCTTTCCGCTCGTGTTGGACGGTAAGAAGTGCAAACATTTCCTTTGAGACTAGTTTACACAATGGCTGCCAAGGTTTTCACGCTTCTCAGACAGTTCTGGATCTCAGAACCCTTATGGGAAAAATATACCTCGTGTAGGAGCAAATAAGGAGAAGATAGTGCAAATATAGCGTATATATACAGTGGAATGACACGATTGTGCTAATGAAAGTCGATGACCAGAGGTCTCCGCTTCTTTCCAATCCAGCATGAGCCTCACAGAATCAAATGGAATAACTGGTTCACGTGTCCCCGCCAGCTATGGATGGGCTACCGCTTATTCCTCGGCGGTATATCATCAGGCGCATCACCACAAAAAACAAACTTCCGACGAGAGAGATCAACTAGATGCAATTTCAGCACAGGGCTCGAGCAAGTGCAGAAATAGCGTGAAGTACTCACCCCACTGAAGAGCGACGCTATCCACCATGTATATTGAGAACCAAGCAAAGCGCCCGACAGTGGGCCACCTGAAAATATTGGTTCAATGGCAGATAAAGACCGAAAAGCGACTACTCACCAAGTAATCCTCCAAAGCCTGAGCATTCGCGCACTGTCAGGAGTTCTGAGAATAGAGCTAGATGATACATACCAGTGAAGGCAAAACATATGCCCATCCGCGCTCTGCATATGAGGGTCAGCATCACCAGAATGCAAATGCAAATGTAAAAGAAGCCAACCCTAGCTCTGACAAGTCGGGCGTTAATACAGCCACCAATGGGACTATCAGCGCGATGACTTGGAAAATCAGCGCCGGGAATTACACAAGTTGCAGTCTGAAACATACAAATTCCAGAAAAGTAGCCATATGCAACTCCTAACACAACCACGCTAGCTACGTCACTCAGAGCTATCATGGATATTGTGATGGCACTGCAAGCGACACTGGATACGATCGTAAAGTTCAATACCCCAATATACGCTGCAATTATTCCTGTCATGCAGCGTCCGATGAAACAAGCTGCATTCATCATCACAAGCTAAAGGGAGTTTAGAATTAACAAATAAAGAGAATAATCCTGGGCGTACGGAGTAGAACGAGAAATTTTTGTCGATACCATGTTTGGTAGAGTCCAGCTGCAAGTAAAATATAGGATAGTAAAATCCGATCTGAAATAGTGTTGACCTAGGCATGATCAGCTGTCGAGACAGAGTTCTTTCGTCGTATGCAAGATGCAACATACCCAACGGTCATCAGGATGAAGAGAGCCTCGCGAGAGCATTTTCGCGCCACCACAGCATAACCGACAGTCGGTACTGGCGATCCTCTTGTGCGCATGCATAAACAGGCGATCAATAACAGAGCACTGACAAAGCCCGCGCTGGCGCGAACGCCTCCTGCAAAGCCAACAGTACCATTCAAAAGGTGGTTGAGCATAATCGGATGGATCATGGAGCCGAGCGGTGAGCCAGATGTGACGAGAGACATCACCAACGTGCGTTTTCTGGAGAAGTGTTGAGAGATGACCGCGACGCCAGGACCGTACGTTAGGCCCATCCCAAACCCAGAAAGGACACCTTGAACCATAAACGCCTGGTCACAATGTCTATGTAGTGCATCGACGACGAGATTGGTCGGACTGCTCACCAAGTAAAACTGACCAGGCTTCGCGAAGGACAAAGCGAACAAGGACAGTGATTGGAGCAGCGACCCCACGATCATCAGTCGATAACTATTAGTAATTTTGCGGGAAATTGATAGCCGACGATGCATAGAGATGTAGCAACTTACAACCACCCTCGATCGTACAGCGGACCCGAGATTAATGTGACATTTACTGCGAGGAACGAGGTCAATGCACCAATCCATCTGACACTGGGTGAGACCAAGAATTGCAATACGAGCGCATATTCACTTACGATATTGCAGATGGTGGTTGGTTGGTCATATAAATTCGCGTGTAATAGTCTTCCGAGGTCGTTTATCAACTTTGGATGTGAAATATCATGCGACTGCTGGGTACCTTGGTAAACTCCAAAAGATGATACATATCTTTCCAAATACTGTCAATTTTCACATGCCTCGAACGAACGGAGCTAGAACTAACCCAAAAGTACAAAATTGCATGAGGAAACTAGGCATCGTCATGATTGTTAGACACAGGATGTGGATGTCGTTTGAGACATAACTTACCACCCAAAAACAGTCATCCAGGCCTGGAACCCGCCATCCGGAGGGCCTGGTTCTGAACAAGCGCTTTGGAAATTAGCTGCCGGTAGATGCTCTAGCTCTTTCAGAACATCTTCTTTCTTGTCTGTCGTGAATGTATTATGAATTGCGGACTTCATTGACGAGGAAGCGAATGGGAGTAGAACGGAATGTGCCAATAAATGTTGGGCTTACAGGTTAAGACCAATATTTGAGCCGGACCCTGCGAGAGAGCCTCATGCTAAAGAGGCTATGTGGCCGCAGAAAGCTTGTTGCATCTATGATAGGAGCCCGTCAACAAAACCTTGACGGTCCATAGAATAGCCCGCAGGGTCTCTCAGGGTCCATCCCCGTGATAGTAGACACCTGATGACATGATGACAACTGTCTTATCAGGGATATACTCGTAGGACTGCAGATGATTATTCAGATTGTGTGTTTGACAGCGGAGACGATTGAGTATCCGCTTTGTCACATGGACAGTAGCACGCATAGAAATAACTACTAATATGCCACACTGATAGAGAACTTACTTAATGCCAAGACTGTTCGAGGAAGGATTTAAATTTATTCATCAGATATACAGAGTCACGATGAACGTCCGTTCTTGAAAGGAAGCTGAAGGAAGCTGAGGGATGGTGCTCAGATGACGAAGTTCGAGCCGGAATCAACTAGAGTAATGGAGAATACCTTCCTAAAACCTGTATCCCCAATTGCGTACTAGTAAGTACAACAATTCGCGTCGACCTCATGAGAGAACGCTGGTAAGAGCAGGGTGAGCGACAGTAAATTAGTCAAAGGCGAGTTCCAACTTTCAAGTGTTCTGAGTTAACAATTTGTAATTGGTTGGAGCAAACATGCACAAACATTATATAACCAGAGTTTGTGACGCCATATGTCGTGATCGCCGGCCTCGAACTACTCACAGCTCAGGCAATGCATAAGCTCGGAAATGACCAGCAGGACCATGTGTTCCACAACTTCGGATTCTTTACTCACAAACACTCACTTGGATACCCATGTTTGTAAGACCAACCAGTCACCATGATGTCTACAGCCCCTCCAAGTTCGTGGTCGACGTATGGCTTGTGATTATGAGGTATCTATCCGTCCTGGACATCACGAGGCTCGGAAGTGTGAGTCTGTAGCAGATTAATACTCTTTTTGTGAACCATTTCATGCTTCATTCACAGACATGTCGAACATTGCACGAATTTGCTTCATTACGACATGTCTGGCGTGACGTCCTCTTTCAGCATCGTTTCCTTGATCAATGTTATCCCCATCTGCGTTCATGCTCAGCGGAAGACATTCGTCACCAGCTGAAAACCGCTGCCCGACTAGACCACCTATGGACACAGCCTAGCATTGTCCCTAAGCGTCTTTACACGTTTCCGCTGGATTTCTCTGGTGTATTTCAAGGTCTCAAATTTATTCCGGGTGGGAAATGGTTATTCTTGCTCTTTCACTGTCGAAATTCCAACCCTTCTCGACACTCCAATCTGTGCTTAATAAAACCAAGCACAGCAGCTGGATTTCCCGCTGCATCCACGACCGTTCAGAGCGAGATGTGCTGGCTACCCTTCCTCGACCAAGACATTCCGTATAAATCGTCTCGTGGTGACGACCTTATGCTACTACGAACCAAGTGCAATGACGGGTGCGATGTATTCTCAGGGTTCTAATTCGTCGTATTCACAAACTCGAACTAGATCCAATGCCTTCGGAATTGTGCATTTGAATACAAAGATACCCTCAATCACGATACCCCTCATTTTTCGCACCAACGTATTTGTGCGGAACTATGCAGCATCAGGAGACTATGTTGTTTATGGCTGGATTACCTCCGATAGGAGGCATTTCCTTCGCATCATGCAGCTAAATGAGAATTACGACAGTTTTCGAAAGGATATGACTGTTGAAATTGACTGTCCAAAGGGACACGACGGCAAACTCCGCGTAAGTGCAAAGATGAAAATAATATAATTGGAGAATATCGACGAATTTGTACAGATACGGTACGACTTACGCCTGTCTGGTCGGGTTCCGTGCATCTTGCTCGTCAGCACGCGATTGATGGCTGCGTACAACATTCCATCCACTATACCCAACAACTTCGATGCGAATCTACCACCATTGCTTACGCCATTCTGGCAGCTTCGCCCTGCTGCTGTGACCTTCGGACGCTTCGTCAAAGTGTTTCATGAAGCAGCTATAGTATCTTTGTACGAAGGCCAGATTCGATTCATACGACCTGACCTCGATGCCTCAGAACCCAATGCCCACTTCATCGAGAAGTACGATGTAAGCTTTGCTTCGCATCCCCGCATCCGAGAAGTGATTCACCTTATATTACAGTTTGAGTCCCCACGTCCACAGAGCTCACAGTGGCCCTGCTTGTCGTCAGCGAAGCGCATATTCTGGCGTTCTCCCTTGCATAATCAGAAAGGGACGATATCTCATTGGAAAATGGCTATCGAGACAAGCGCAGTCCCAGAAAATGACCTACCGTGAAGGTCGTACACTTATTGACTTACAGACCTCGGCTCCATCTGCGAGCACTGGAATAGTGCAGGATTGGGATGAGCTTTCGGGGAGACTTTGTATCAGAAGCGTACAAAGTCGCTTTACGCAGGATCCGAGGTGTCGAAAAACTGTTTGGCGGGTTACATTGGTAGATTTTGTTTGAGTCACCCTAATCTAATATGCTATACTATCTTGAGACCAAGGTGCGGGGACACGTTGCGTATCAGTTAGCCAGTTTTTTATATACATGTATGTCCATCAGAGTAGTACTCTATGATTCAAAGTTGAACGTTCAACCGTTCAGCTAGATTTGTACGTTCACAACATTAAATGGCTGGCAGTTGCGAGGTCACCGAAAACAGTAAACTTGCAAGCAATCATTCATACCAACGAACTGTTCAGGCTCGTACAGTATACTATCGAGCACCCAGGATTCCCAGGACTTAGTCGTGTTACAAGACTTTTGGAGTCATTCGCGCGAAAGCATGATTTCGGCTGCATGCCAGTCAGCTAATTCCTAGTAATACAACCCATTCTTTGATCAGTATATATTGTCCATTGACGATACCCTATTGTAGACGTTAAGTATTGGCTGCATACACCTATCACTCCCAACTTCGGGTACCAAACCAGTACCGTATACGAGCGAGAAAATATAGTCCGTGTCCATGCAGAGTATCCGAACATCCGGATCATTTCGTGCTACACACTACAAGTGCTAGTCGCAAAGCTTACAAACGAGTCTTCGAATTTGAAAGCAATCGAGCTCATACATCCTAGGTCAGCGTCAATGGCCTTAGCGTGATATATTCGAACGCTAAGGATGAGCCGTGGTCCCAGCACGAACAATTGCACGAATATGGCGATTTGAAGTATGGCATAGTAAATTTGAGCTCCCACAGAATAGGAGTACTGTAGATAATATTAGGAGTGGTCAGACACAAGACGCCAATCAGAGATCGGCATACTTACTATCATGTTAGGAGACAGACATCCAAGGCTGAAACAAGAAACAGCAGCAAAGCTAGCACACGTGAAACGTCAGCAAAAGAAGGTCGATCACGTTAATATTGGAAGCTCACGTTGCAAAGTAAACCGCGTGACTTTCCATTAGCACCTTGAAACAGTCCCCAGTAGGCCATCCTGATGTAAACTGCCGCATTTCACGGAAATGTTTTACAGCAACCCAGATTGCAAGACAGAGTACGATGACCTCCCACACAAGGCGAAGTATCCAAACACCAGCCAACAGAAGTTCAAGTTGGTTGCTTCTCTGAACCTCGCGAACACATTGATGGGTACCAGAGAGGACGAGCTGATCTGGAATTCATCCTATTAGCTTGATGATTTAACGTCTTTTGTGACAATCAAAATGTACCCCAAGACAAATTGCGGATTGCTAATGCGGCCAGTAGTCCACAGGCGGCTGTAAGAGTTGGAAAGACTGCACCGAGAAAAACGAGGATTTTTCTGGATCTCTGATACATGGCATGTAACCGAACAATCATGATGACTTGAAAGATATGTCAGTCGAATATTGGCAGAGTACGGAGTAACTCACTGCCGAGTATGGTATTTATGAGGAAATATATCCCTACTTGCACCAGGAAAAATACGGTACCTGAAAAATACAGTCACTGAAGAGTCTCAGGGGACAAAATACTTTGGCCGAACTTACAGCTATTTCATATGTTATATTGATGTCTCAAAAACGAGCATCTCACTCACCCCTTAGTAGAAATGTAGTCAATTCTACGGGCATAACAGGCAAGTGTTGGTACAGGATACTTACCATATCTGTTATCGAAACTCCAGGGATACTCGCTGCTTGCTGCTGGTCAAAAGAAATGATAAACAGAGTAAGGAGACATACGCAGTAGGTTGTTACTGATAGTGAAAGACGACTTATTAGTATAGCGCTGACTTGTTGGCTTGCGAACATACATCGAGTATAGTATTCCAGCGTAGCGCACCTAGAATATTCTGGAGTTAGCATGTATAACTTGCCAAGTGCGTCACAACGCATAATATTGGCTACATACAATAACATATAGAAGGGTCATGCAAGACCAGCGTCCCCTCTGCCTCGGATTAGTTGTCTCGTCCTGCTGGTAATATGGGATTAGAATTCTACTCACCCACATCAGTTCAACCTATAAGTTCATTCTGAATGGTGAGATGGCTGCTCTGGTAACGGCATCAACTCATCAACCTACCTCTTGTTGAAATGTCAGTGCTAAATGATACCGGGATATCAATAATCGCCTCGATGAGCACTGTGTTACTCACCCCAGTCATAGAGTATTGCAGTTGAGGATGCCACTGTAAAACCACAGTCAGTCAAACGGAATCGGATTTACTCTGTAAGTTCACGAACATAAAACATAGTGGGCAAACTGATACGTATCGTTGTCCAGCCAACCACTGGGATTAATTGAGAGTAGGATCATCTTCAAGGAATTTGCGACAGAAAGTAGCGATTTTGCCGGTGGAGTCTAACGATAACGTTGGCGCTACATATACCACCATTCAGCGCTTGTGTCGCCGAAATAGGCTGATACATCCTTGGCCGACTGTAGTAAGTGTTATCGTATGAAATCAAGTACAGAAACTTGAAGTCACAAGTGGAAGCAGGTAGTACTGCAGGGGTGATCGAAGTCGGATATTTTTGTAGCGGCAGTAGTGCTACTAAGCAGTGTATCATGAGACCCTTGATTATATACTAATAGTCCAAGGAATCCGAATAAGTTGAATTTGCATCAACGGGTTTTGTGGCACTACGATAAATTGTATTATGAAGTCCGGTGGTTGCAATCGAAGTGCGGAAATGTTCCTTGCGGGGATGTCGATGAAGGCCAAGCAGTGCGCGCCAGGCTGAATCTTCTTATTTGGGGCTGCGCCTCAAATATTGGCGTGCACGTGCTTCAAGAAGTCTTTGTGAAAATCCTTCAGGTGCGTAGAAAAACTTTGAATGCATCTCAGAAATTAAGCCTGGCCAACGTCGTGTCCAAGACGATTCTCGTGCTTCTCGGATCCCACATAACTCTATCGTACCTACGCGAAGAGCGTATGGTGGAAGAATATCTTAGTCGATGCAGAAGCTAAGGAGTTGGCTACACGAAAGCAGGTATATGCCTTTAACTACGTGGTGCGGACTCAACGAAAGCTTGAATATGGTCATTCCCGCCCTTCCTGTTCTCTCCGCCTGTCCTTGAACAACTGCAGGACCCCTACTCCAAGTGTGGGCGTGGACGCCACGTCGGTGCCTCTTCACGGCAGCTACCTCACGGAGTACCAACCCATTTCTCAAGTCGGGGTACCCCACATCCTGATGCACCATCGGCCCCAGTGGCTGCAGTCCCGGGACATGTATCTGACATTATCGCGGCCGCAGATCGTCTCGACCTCGAACAAAAGGCTAGACTACAAAACGTCTCGGAGGGTGAGTTCTTCGCTGCCATCAGCTCCGTGTCATATAATTCAGTACTCAATGTAGGAATCGTATCAAACGATTACTGCCTTGCATCACCTGAAGAATGGTCTCCTCGTTGAATGGACCTGAAGGGCGTATGTAACGCTCATCAAAAGCCATTGTCGAATATCAGTGATGGCAACCAATATCCTCGTTGTTGCCTTTCTCCCGACCCGTCTTGTCTTTTCTCTCATACTACATCTTACTCCGTACCCCACAGTACGTAAACCCTCGTGTACCTACTTGTAGGGCAATCGATCTTTCCCCGTCGAATAAATTGAGCTCGGACTTCATCTGAATTCTCAGTCTATTCAATTCTAATCGACTCTCTCGTGTGAACATGCTCACATGCTCAACGGTCGTGCCACTTGAACATGCTGAAGATCTGGAACAAGTGCCAGCGGGACAGCTCCTGATTAGGATCTGGCTAAGACGCTTCTGAAAGTGAACAACACCTGTGTGCCGTCAGATTGGGGTGGTGTTCGTGTCGTTCGGACAGACAGTCTCTCTCTCGCAGCAAATGAAAGTGCAAAAACACAACAAAAATATTTCCCATTAGCCGACTTGAACGACTGACCTCGTCATTACTAGTGACGCGCTCTACCAACTGAGCTAAACGGGACATACAAAAGTTGCACACGAGGGCACATAATATCATTTGAACTACAAGTCGACCAGCGGCTACGTATAGGCTATACTACATATTGGCGTTATCATCTATGTACATAAGTAGCAAAGTTAAAAGTAAAATTTGGAACGCGTAGGATCTTTCACTAAGTAAAGGGAAGGAAAAAGCGTAGCATATTCTGCCAACTGTTGATCCGTGGTCATCACTCCACCGCCAAAGATCAAGGCCTCCAGAGGACACTGTGACCGTGTCACGAACGCATTGAATTGTTCGTGAGGCCATTGGCCTATATTGCGAACCTCGATTCCGCGTAGATTGGGGAGCGTGACGGCGTTAAATAAGCCAAGATCTACGATCGAGTCCAAATTCAAATGTCCGGATATGCGCAAGTATTGAAGTTTGGGGTGCGCGAATGCTTCCGAGGTCTCAATCCTCGTGAACATTCCAATCATCGTCAAAGACGATAGGTTGGGACACAGGGCAAGCAAGCGGACGAAGGAATCTAGCTTGTCAACCACGATCTCAAGATTTATGAGACTGGCCCATCCGAGATCTTTGACGGCGTGTAATACCGTAAGGTCACACCACAGGTCCATTAGCTTGAGACTACGCATGGTGGGCGGCAATTGCGCGATAGAGTGCATAACGGCTGGTACAGTAGCAGCACCGCCCGTGTATATAACCAGTTCCGAAAGTCCGCGAAAGTCTGCCATCGGCAAGGAGCCGGCGCCGGAGAAAAATCCAACAGACAGCCGCGAGATTTGATCGACGTATGGCTGAAGCAGACTTTGTAGCTCCATCCAGTCACTGTTATGACACTCGAGTGTCAACGACAGCTTACTTCCTCGAGATCGCTTGAGGTAGGAGTCATAGCAGAAAGCTCTCTGTTGCCAGTTACCGTCCCCGACTTCCAATCGCAGCCTGCACCATAGACTTGGCATGTCCACAGCAATCTCCCGCCATCGTTGACATACTCTTGTCAACTGCAAGGGGGCCACATCTGGTGAGGGCACCCAGTTTCCCTCTTCTGGGATGCAGTATAGGAAAATTCGAGCGAGGATTTCCGTGGGCAAGCGCCAAATAGCCGATGAAAATACACCATATGGATCGTTAGACTGCACGATCCTGGTCTCTTCGACGAGTTGTCGGTAACGATAGCTGACACCCGTTTGGCTTGAGATATCGTGCATGACTACATCTGACTGCTGAAGTAAATGTTTATTATTATATTCAGACGCTAACATCTCTAAAAACAGAGCACTTACAATGTCCTGCATGGCACTGGTGTCTGACACTGCTGATGAATCGGCGTTTGAGTTAAACTGTTGCATGTTAACGCAAGCTTCAAGGAGGTTGAAATGTTGGAGACGGATGTTGAGAGTAGGAAATAATTCTAGCGTTCGTCCGACTGTTGCGTCCTATTTAAACTACGGCGCTTCAGAAACCACAAGTCCACAACAAACACACCTTGCAATTGTGATGTCTCATAGCGTATCTTGGGCAAAGCACCAGCCATCCACATAGAAAGAATCACATTATTACAAATGTGTTGATGCAAGCGCCTGTGAGATCTGTGGAAGTGTGCCCGTGATCTCGCTCGCCGGTGGCCTCAACATCCTGGGTCGGCGCATCCGAAACCTTTTGTTTTCTTATGTGGACGACACCTGGAGGTCATAGAGCAGCTTTGTTGAGCTGAGACCTTTATTTCGCCCTATTGTACTTGTTTTGATAGGTGTAAAGAAGGTGTGAAGAAGGTACTCAAAATATCAGGCTTTGAGTGTCCTTCGCATCTGAGTACCGAGCCTCCACATTCCTAGTGACCGTACGCAGTGAAGGGTCGATTACCTATTCGCCAATCACGTCTCCTAAACTACATTCTTGAATCTTAATAATAACGCACTTCAAATTTAAGAGAGTCGCGTTCTTGGTGAAGCCACAAACAATATGTCATCCTCAGTAGGATCGGTGTTGATTCATGATGGGAAGTGCAACTAAAACAAAGCAATTTGAAGAGCATCTCCGGGCTCCGAATTGAATGATCGATAATGTGTTCCTTCAAAAGAACGAGTATACTGGTCGTTTTTAGAATATTTAGGAAGTAGGAGTAGGAATGTAGTAATCGTTGTCGTTGAACGTTCAAGGCAAGTTTGAGTGCATGAAGGTATGACATAAGAGCCGATTTCCAAATAAGTCGCAGAGAATCACCCGCCAAATTTCTCCGACATCAACCGTGCAGCGGTCGTTTGCGTTTTCGACCACGTAGCAACGTATTATTCGACTTCAATATCATTATGTCTATCAGCTATGTTAATTCCATGCGTTAAAATATCCATGCGACAAAGTAGAAACCCTTGACGCTCACTGGCACAACAGCGAAGGCAGCCTGAGACAGCGGCCTACTATGAGCTCCTCTACTGTCCATGTGTCACAGCAGATACTTACTCAAACGTCTCCTCTGTCAACGACGCGACCTGAACAATCCACAGTCCTGTACATCCAGGCTGATGGAGACAATTGTTATCATATGTCATCGAGTGTCGAGTGTCTACCATCACAGGCACTACACCCTGAGAAATCCTACGTGTTCTTCTATGGACGCATTCAATCGCCGGAGAGGTTTTACGGTGGCTCTTCCAGTGATGTACCTTCTACCACGTAGCTCCGTTAGCACGAGACATTCTCGCAGGGTCAAAATCGAATATAGGTCTTAACCGTAAGCCCGACATTTACTGGCACGTAGCGTTTTACTCCCATTTACTTCCTCGTCAATGAAGTCCGCAATCCATTATAAGGTCACGACGGACAAGACAAAAGATAATCTGGAAGAGCCAGGACGCACGACTTCATTAAACTCCCAAACAACTTGTTCAGAATCAGGCCCTCCGGATGGCGGGTTTCAGGCCTGGGGGACTGCTGCCGGGTGGTAAGCCGTGTCTCAAATAATACCCGCATTGTGCATGTCTAACAATCACGACGATGCCCAGTTTCCTCGTACAATTTTGTTCTTTTGGGTTGGTTCTAGCTCCGTTCGTTCGGGGCATATAACAGTCAACAGCATTTCAATAGATACCTAGCATCTTTTGGAGTTTATCAAGGTACCCAGCAGTCGCATGATATTTCACATCCAAAGTTGATAAACGACCTCGGAAGATTATTACACGCGAATCTATATGACCAACCAACCACCATCTGCAATATCGTAAGTGAATATGCGCTTTTATTGTAATTCTTGGTCTCACTCAGTCACTCAGATGGATTGGTGCATTGACCTCGTTCCTCGCAGTAAATGTCGCGTTGATCTCGGGTCCGCTGTACGATAGAGGGTGGTTGTAAGTTGCTATATCTTTATGCGTAGTCAAATCCAGCATAAATTACTGATAGTTATCGACTCATGATTGTGGGGTCGCTGCTCCAATCGCTGTCCTTGTTTGCCTTATCCTTCGCGAAGCCTGGTCAGTTTTACTTGGTGAGCAGTCCGACCAATCTCGTCGTCGATGCACTACATATACATTGTGACCAGGCGTTTATGGTTCAAGGTGTCCTTGCTGGGTTTGGCATGGGCCTGACGTACGGTCCTGGTATTGCAGTCATCTCTCAACACTTCTCCAGAAAACGCACGTTGGTGATGTCTCTCGTCACATCTGGTTCACCGCTCGGCTCCATGATTCATCCGATCATGCTCAACCACCTTTTGAATGGTACTGTTGGCTTTGCAGGAGGCGTTCGCGCCAGCGCGGGCTTTGTCAGTGCTCTGTTATTGATCGCCTGTTTATGTATGCGCACAAGAGGATCGCCGGTGCCGACTGTCAGTTATGCTGTGGTGGCGCGACAATGCTCTCGTGAGGTTTTGTTCATCCTGATGACCGTTGGGTATGTTGCATCTTGCATACGACGAAAGACCTCAGTCTTGACAGCTGATCATGCCTAGGTCAACACTATTTCAGCTCGGGTATTACTTCCCCATATTTTACTTGCAGCTGGACTCTGCCAAACATGGCATTGACAATAATTTCTCGTTCTACTCCGTAAGCCTATGATTATCCTCTTTATTGTCAAATCTAAACCCGCTTTAGCTTGTGATAGTGAATGCGGCTTGTTTTATCGGACGCTGCACGACAGGAATAATTGCGGCGTATATTGGGGTGTTGAACCTCACGATCGTATCTAGTGTCGCTTGCAGTGCCATCATAATATCCATGATAGCTCTGAGTGACGTGGCTAGCGTGGTTGTGTTAGCAGTTGCATATGGCTATTTTTCTGGAATTTGTATGTTTCATACTGCAGCTTTTGTAATCCCTGGTACTGATTTTCCAAGTCATCGCCCTGGTAGTTCCATTGGTGACTGTATTAACGCCGCCCGATTTGTCTCAGCTAGGGTTGGCCTCTCTTACATTTGCATTCTAGTGATGTTGACCTTCATTTATGCAGAGCGCGAATAGGTATATATTGTACCTTCGCTGGTATGTATCATCTAGCTCTGTTCTCAGAACTTCTGACAGTGCGCGAATGCTCAGGCTTTGGTGGATTGCTTGGTGAGTAGTTGCGTTCCAGTGATTATTTGCCATTGAACCAATATTTTTAGGCGGCCCAATATCAGGCGCTCTGCTCGGTTCTCAATATAGGTGGTGGTTGGCGTCGCTCTTCAGTGGGGTGAGTAACCCGCATTTTCCTTCCTGTATTTGTACGAGCACTTTATTAAAATTCATATCTAGCTGGTCTCTCTCGTCGGAAGTTTGCTGTTCGTGGTCATGCGCCTGATTTTACACCGCCGAGGGATAAACGGCAGCCTACCCATAGCTGGCCGGGACACGTGAACTACCGGATTCTGTCGAGGCCATTCGCTCGTGCTGTTATTGTAAATATGTGTGTGAAGTGTTCATGTATTGAACACGTGTACAGAAGTACGAATATTTTTGAACTGATTTATCACCCATCCGGCTTTAGATTAAACGAATAGCGGACAACTTAATCGTCGAGTTTCTGATTCGCAGACGGGCTTCCATGGTGATGAAATCATTGACAATTCACGTACTCTGTTTCCATGTCAAGACAAAGAAACAACTTGAAGACTAGATTTAATTCATCTAGTGCGGCCCACCGTGACTATCATTTATTACTCATGTTAATGAGTATGAAGCACCGCTTGAAAATTCTGATCTTTAGCAATATCTCGCATCAGACGAAGAAGCATACGACAGGGTCAGACGGGTCATCTTAGAGGCAACATGACCGGCGAGCAGCAAAGCCGGATATTACGCACCAATAACCTAACTTTCGCTTCATTAGGTAAGTTGTAGGTGTTCACTTCTGCTGCGGCTCATTATCCCATATAACCAGTGAAATAGCTGTGGGCCATCGTGTGGCGCGCAACGCCACGTACGTCGAGCAAGGTTTATTGTATCAGTGAATATCGCTGGCGTAGTGGCCTAAAACGGTAAGGATATTGTCTGGAAAGTTCGTTTTTGAGGGAATAAAGCGAAGTACCTTTGCAAATTCACCGGAAATGAACAGTGGCATCGCGCCAAGTCCCCTTTATAAGGCAAGCCTGCGGAAAGTCATTCATCCAAGTTCAAGCCCGCTGTCAACCACGCAAGCCGAACAGTTGACTATTATACATTGCCCTAACGGGGCAACTGTGTCCTATCGCAGGTGTCCATCCTCCAATCACAAGAACGCGAACTTTATGGGACCCTGCAGCCAAGGTTCTTATAAGTCTGTGTCATCTATCGAGATGTGACTCGCTAACACCTGTCAGCGATGTAATGCCAGGCAGCCCCTTTAGTATGAGGCTGCACGGCGTCCTTGCAGGGTCAAGGGTAATACCTTTACCAGCAGCAGCGTCCAAGCGCGCGTCACTGTGTAGATCGCATGCTTTGTACCCACTACAGGCTGCACCCAGCCGGATCTCTGGGAATATAGTTTGTAAAGCGCTATAGGAAGATCAATTGACAGCGATTTCGAGCAGACGAAGTAGATCTTTCCAAAGTCCAAGATCGTTCGCCCTTCCTGTGCGTTCTAGTATTCTTCTACCCTCGCCTATATTTAAACAAGTACATAAATGGTGCGTGGATGACTGACTTGAGGCCTCGAGCTCTAGGCTCATATTGTTGCCGCTGTCCGGTCCTGGACCCTGACCATGGTTCGTCCCAGTAACGGTTAGGTTCGGAGGGTACAGAGGTGGTTAGGTTGCACTGAATAAATGGGGGATGTAGTTATTATGTATAACTGTCAAACATCGTTCTGACAGTTTCTCATGCTATGTACAGACTTGGATAAATATGTAATCGACGTGCTTGAGAAGACGTCAATTGAGAGACGATATTTTCCGATTGTAAACGCATAGGATCGAAACGTGGCATCGTTGTCCTTGGAAAGCTGTCGTGCTGCAAAGTCATTGATAGTGTACACATAGGCGCAAGGTGACCACCAGGAGGGATACGTAATGTAATGAGGAGCCCTAAGTAAAACAGGAGTTCATAAGGGTGAGGGAGGTGTTCATGTCGATACTGCCATCACGACAACATTCCTCATGGGAGTAGAAACACGACGAGGCCGGTCAATGATAACCCCTTCAGTCTTCCCAGTTCTTCCTTTCTCTTTCTCGCCACGTGCTAGATACGCTGAATCAATCGGCGGTAAACTCCCAAGTCGATTAAACCTTGATGATATGACCAGAGCTTGGCCATCTTGAGACAGTCCACGACGGAGCTGCGACTCGAACTTCGTTTCGAACCATTACTGCGGTGCGATCAACCCATTGTCTACCGCTTCGGCAGTCATCCTGATCAGTGACTCCAGTCGACGGAGTTTAGCTTTCTCGTCTGCGTTTACACAGGACGTACGAGGATTTTTTGTGAAGATCGAGTTCGATACGGCCCAATTAGATAGGTATTTTACATAAATTCCGCTATATACATTATTATATAATATAATACATACACATTATGCTTGATTACGTCAAGGACTTGTTGAACCTCGTTTTCCACTTTATTTTACTTTTTCTGCTCATTGGTCAAAATTTGGCAGCTGTAGACTCTGTCTGCTGGTGTCGTAGACTCGTATGTCGCTCTGGACAGACTGGTCGCGTCATCACACCCTAAACAAGGGAGAACGCCGGGAAGATGACCAGATTATTTCAAATATCCGTCAGTATATATCTCCCGAGCGAAGAAAACGAAGATCCATGCAGAGGGCCAGCCACGAGTGAATATCTGCCTGAGGGCCAGGGCCTTTAGCACACCTGAAACATGAAGACAGCTAAACAAAGGCTTCATCTTCATCCATCTGGTTCTTTCATTCCGGTTGACAACAAGATAAGCTTGGCTTATAATCCCCAAGCCCAGTGTTGATGTGGTCATAATGTTTTACTCGCCAACTAGTCCCTTCGATGTCTACTATGGCTCAGCCCAGAATTTGTGATACGCTAGTGACACACGAGAAGTCAAATGCTCTAGAAGAGCTGGGACGTGTGCATTCATCTAATTCCTCACCACTTTGTTCAGAATCTCACCCTCCAGATGGCGGGTTTTGGGCATGGGCAACTGCTTTCGGGTGGTAAGTTGCGTCGCAAATGATGCTTACGAGTTGCGTATCTCACATTTACAACGACACAGTTTTTTGATACAGTTTTGCGGTTTTGGGTTCGTTCCGCCACCAGTACTTCGAGAAACGGTATTTTCACAGCACTTTGACAGATACGTGTCATCTTTTGGAGTGTATCAAGGTGCGCAAATGTAGTATGATTGATTGTACACACGGTTGACAAACGAACTAAGATTTTTACACGCGAATTTACCTGACCGACCAATCACCGTCTGCAATATCGTAAGTGAATGCACTTTAGCTCTGGAGTCTGTTGTTTCAGTCACTGTCAGATGGATTGGCGCATTGGCTTCGTTCCTTGCAGATAGTGTCACCTTGATCTCGGGACCGTTGTATGACAGGGGATGGTTGTAAGTTGCTACATTTTGGTAGTAGTTTTGTTGGCATTAATTTCTGATAGCTACCAATTGATGATTGTGGGGTCAGCCCTCCAGTCAATATCCTTGTTCGCGTTATCACTCGCGAAGCCTGGTCAGTTCTACCTTGTGAGCAGCCCTGGTGATTCTGTGGATGGGTTAACTATATGTGGCGACTAGATATTCATTGTTCAAGGCGTTCTTTCGGGAATTGGCATGGGCCTGACCTACGGTCCCTGCATGTTGGTCATCTCTCAGCACTTCTCCAAGAGGCGTACATTGGTGATGTCCCTTGTCGCGTCCGGTTCACCAATGGGTGCCGTTATTCATCCGATCATGCTGAATCACCTTTTGAATGGCACTGTTGGCTTTGCGCGAGGTGTTCGTGCCAGTGCAGGTCTTGTTAGTGGTCTGTTATTGATATCCTGCTTATCCATGCGCACGAGAGCACTGTCGACGCCGAAATCAACTACAAACTATAATGCAGCTGTGCGAAAATGCTCTCGCGATGTTTTCTTCATCCTCATAACTGCTGGGTTCGTCACTTTTGGCGCTCTGCGCAAGTTCAATTAAAGTATTTACAGCTAAGCGTGCTTAGGTCAACAATATTTCAGATCGGGTATTACTTCCCCATATTTTACTTGCAACTCGACTCTATCAAACATAGGATTGACATTCATCTCTCGTTCTATTCCGTATGTCTGATATCTTCTTCATCGTCGACTTCTAACACGATTTAGCTTGTGATTATGAATGCTGCCTGTGTCATCGGCCGCTGCACGGCAGGAATAATTGCAGCATACACGGGGGCATTAAACTTCATGATCGCATCTACTGTCGCATGCAGTGCCCTGATCATTTCCATGATAGCTCTTAGCAACGTAGCAAGTGTGGTTGTGTTAGGGCTTGCATATGGGTACTTTTCTGGAGTTTGTATGTGCCACACTGCATCTTGTGTAATTCCTAGCATTAACTTTTCAAGACATCGCGCTGATGGTACCATTGGTGACTGCGTTCACGCCCGACTTGTCCGAGCTAGGGTTAGCTTCTTCCACATTTACAGTCCGGCGATGTTGATCCTTGAATGTAGGGCGCGATTTGGAATATGTTTCGCTTCCACTGGTATGTAGCATCTAGTTCTATCTCAGAACTCCTGACAATGTGCGGATGATCAGCCTTTGGTGGATTACTCGGTGAGTAGTTGCTTTCCGGTCTTTAAATGCCATTGAGTCAATATCTTCAGGCGGCCCAATACCAGGCGCTTTGCTTTCTTCTCAATATAGGTGGTGGGTAGCGTCGCTGTTCAGTGGGGTGAGTCGCTTGCACTGTTCCCACACTTGCGCAGCCCATGCTGAAATTTTATCTGCTGCGATAAGCTCGTTTCCTTTGTCGGTAGTTCCATGTTTGTGGTGATGCGCTTGATGATATACCGCAGACGATGGACGAAAGAGGCAGTATAGTCACACAGGAAACCAGGTGAATTACGTCTTCTATGCGCTTTCCTTCGGATCGATATATGTGCTTGTCTATTCAACATACTCACCCTTGTGCTGTCGGTGGCACCAGGTTGTTATTGGCAATGTACACCTACGCACGGTTCAAATACATGGATCGTATATGTATTTAATTCTGTAGTCTCTTCTAAACTGTTTTGCTGTCATCATACAGCCACCCAAACAGGTCAACTAAGTACATTGTTTCCAGCACCGTCTCTGCACGGAAACGCCAAAATTCTCATTTCGGCGCCAAGATACAGCAGTCACGTCACGTGAATGTCTAAGGTTTTTACAGAACCCATGACAAATACTGAAGCTTGAAGTCCAGCCTCTTTGCAGCCTTCTCGTCTTGAGTTCTTTCTCCGCTGACGCAATCGAAAAAAAAATTGCTAACATGCAGCTCATCAGCGAGCACGACGATATTGAACTTTGTGCGTTCGGAAATGACGTGCTCACTTGTTTCGTGGTCGACCGCCTGATCCGTTCTAACGATACTGGGGCCGTTACTGTCAGGCTGGTTTTGTCACATATTTGAGATCGGAGCAGATTTACTCCACAGGTGTGCGGTGTACGAGTACGCACATTCCCTCTCTTTTGACCTTGATCACAATGAATGGCCCAAGGACCGCCTATAATGTTTGTATCTCAGGCTCGTACAGCAAGTCGCAGCATCGTCTTGTGCTTCTTTCCAGGTAAGTGCACTTCCCTACGAGTATGAATTGGGTTCAAAGCCAAGAAATTAACTGCTGACATATGAGACTCAGGTGATGCTGGTGACCTCACCCCAGGGATATCTTATCAAGGGTGTGGTTCTGATTTGATTTCCATATTTTCTCCTTCTGTATGCTTGTATATCCCCTTGCGAGTAGATTTCCTGGCTTTGGCATTTACTCCCTAGTACGACTGATCACTAAGTCACATTGGTGACAGGGCAACTATAGGATTATCTCCTTCAGGCTTGCCGTCGGCCACGCGATCCGAAAAACTGTCAATCTCAATTCAAATCTCCAGACAAGACAGCTGTTAGTATACCGTCAGGTCTCTATGACCACAAGGATGGACCCTGCAGGACTCTATGGACTATTCTATGCCTGCATCGAGACCGTCATCAACGACTTGTTGATGCCCTGCTTGATGATGTGATGAACCTCTCTTACCAAGTAACTCCTTTAGAATGAGGCTGCACAGCGCTCCTGCAGGGTCACAATTCATGCTGTCGTTATAATTCTGAATATCTGCATTTGCTAGTGCATTATTCGCCCAACCTTTCCCTCGATAGCAGTTATCATGCAGGACGAATTTCGCATTGAGCTCACGGCGGACGAGAAGTTGAACGTTCTGGAAGAGCTGGAACGTAGACCGTCTGCTGACTCCCCAACACCGTGTTCGGAGTCTGACCCTCCGGATGGCGGGCATGTGGCATGGACCACTGCTTTTGGATCGTAAGATGTTTTTGAATTGTATTCACAGTTTGCGTGTCTCACATTCTCCATGATACTTAGTTTTTTGATACAATTTTGTGGCTATGGGTTGGTCCTAAATCTGTCCGATCGAGATATCAGCTGATATCTCTCAAACAGATACTTAAACTCTTTTGGAGTCTACCAAGGTGAGTATGCAGCAGATCGGTTGTGTGCGTAGTAACAAACTTGAAAGATTTTTACACACGAATTTATCTAACCAACCATTCACCATCTACAATATCGTAAGTGAATCTATTTCTACTCCGATGTTTGTAATCTCAGCCAGCGTCAGATGGGTCGGTGCATTGAGCTCGTTCCTCATAGCCAGTGGCACCTTGATCTCTGGCCGACTATACGACAGGGGGTGGTTGTAAGTTTCAATATTTATTCTATACACATTAACAGTCGGTTGTTCATCACGCTGATTACTGACAGCTACCATTTGATAATTGCCGGTTCGGCGCTCCAATCACTGTCCTTGTTCGCGTTATCCTTCGCCAAGCCTGGTCAACTATACATGGTGAGGAATCCCTCCGATCTCATTGGTGGTATATCCATATTTGTAACCAGATCCTTGTATTTCAGGGTGTCCTTTCTGGGTTTGCGATGGGCCTAACATATGGTCCCTCTATAGCGGTCATCTCTCAGCATTTCTCCAAAAGACGCACGCTAGTAATGTCTCTCGTTGCGTCTGGTTCACCCCTGGGTGGCATCATCCATCCGATCATGCTGAATCACCTTTTCGATGGTGCTGCTGACTTTGCGAGAGCTGTCCGTATCAGTGCAGGTTTCATTAGTGCCCTGCTGTTGATCGCCTGCTTGTCCATGCGCACAAGAGCACTGTTGACACAAACCATCAGCTATAGTGCAGTGGTACGAAAATGCTCTCGCGATGTCCCTTTCATACTCGTGACCGCTGGGTAAGCTCTCTCTAGCATCTGGATAAATTTTTCGGAGCTGATTACGCCTAGTATTCTTCTTGCTCAGATAGGCTTTTTCTTCCCTCTGTACTACTTACAATTGGACTCTATCAAACATGGGATCAATGTACATTTCTCGTTCTACTCCGTATGTTCAATTGTTTCTCCGTCATCGACTTCGAGTCTTGACCCGACCTAGTTTGTGATTTTGAATGCCGCCAGTGTCATCGGACGTTGCACAGCAGGAATAATTGCACCATATACGGGATTGTTGAACTTAACAATCGTATCCACTGCTGCATGCGGCGTCGTCATCATATCCATGATAGCTCTGAGTAACATATCCAGTGTGGTCGTGATAGGCATTGCATATGGCTACTTTTCTGGAGTTTGTACGTTTCACATTGCCGCTAGTGTAATCACTGGCACTAACTATCCAAGACATCGCGCTGTGGGTCCCGATGGTGGGTATGTTGACCCCCGACTTGTCGGAGCTAGGGTTAGTTTTTCTTTATTAACACACATTGTCTGGCCAATCATGTTGACCGTCCTATGCAGGGCGCGGGTGGGCATATTCTTTATCTTTATCTGTGTGTATCAACAACCCTATTTCGGAATAACTGACAGACGGTGAATTTCAGCGTTTAGTGCATTGCTCGGTGTGTCGTTTTTCTTTCGTCCTTATTTCCCATGAACCAATGTTTTCAGGTGGTCCAATATCGGGCGCTTTACTTTCATCTCATTATAGGTGGTTGATACCGTTGCTCTTCAGTGGGGTGAGTAGTCATAATCATTCTCGCGGTTCCCCGTATTGAGTCCTGTGGCGATAAGATCATATATTTTGTTGGAAGTTTGGTGTTAGTGGTGACACGCTTGATAATATACCGGCAAAGATAACTGGAAAACGGCCATAACTTGGCGCGGAAACGAGTAGATTTTTAGTACTTAGTGATGATTTGATTTGACATCATGCCCTGTGCAGTAGTACTCTGTAATATGCTGTCATGCAGGTGAGCCGATACTAATGCACAAGTGAACATCATGATCAATCATCAGATTCATACGACGGATACTGTAACAGCCTACTATTCATTTCTCATTCCTATCCCTACTTCAACGATTCACCGCCGTTCCCGCCCACCTCATGCCTACTACAGCAAGTTGACAAACTGACAATTCCAATTAGGTAGCCCACTGGCAGGCAGGTACAATGCCACACACCGCGGTTGTCACGGTTGTAAGACTTCCACGTGACTAGTTATTACGGTCACACTTGAGGCCCATCGTGTTTTTCTCACTGGCATGGGCTGCACTGACAACAAGCATCCACACCCGAAGTTCAGCATGACATTAGTTTGCAAACATTCAAATCTCAGACGCGTATCAGACCACGGTACAACACGCCCCTCGTGAATGATCTTGGTGCCTGATACATGTACACATCAAGTCCGCTGTCGGGCACGCGAGCCAAACAATTGGCAATTTTACTTCGAATTCCCCAGGCAAGACAGCTGTTTTGATGTTCTTATCACTCATCCAAAGAATTGACCCTGCAGGTCTTTATGGATTTGTGCCTGCATTGAGACCGCCGTCAAGGACTTGTTGATAACCTATCGATATATCATGATGCACCTCTTATCAAGGAACCCCTTTAGAATGAGGTTGCATAGCCAGGGTCCAATAAAGAATACCCTTATAAATATGAATACCCCCACCTGCTGGCGCACAACGTTTCACTCACCCACCATTTCCTTCCATAGTGGCTATGGCGCAGGGCAAATTCCGCAATGAGCTCACGGCGGACGAGAATTTAGACGTCCTGGAAGAACCGGGACGTAAACAGCCTTCTGACTCCCCAACACCGTGTTTAGAATCTGACCCTCCGGATGGCGGGCTTGTGGCATGGACCACTGCTTTTGGATGGTAAAATGTTATCAAATGATATTCAGAGGTTGCGCGTCTCACATTCGCCGTGATGCTTAGTTTTTTGATGCAAATTGGTGGCCACGGGTTAGTCCTAAATCTTTCCGACTGAGACATCAGCTGAGATATCTCATACAGATACTCAAACTCTTTTGGAGTCTACCAAGGTGAGCGCGCAGCAGTGGCATGATCGGTCGTGTGCGTGATATACAAACAAACTTGAAAGATTTTTACACACGCATTTATCTAACCGACCAATCACCGTCTACAATATCGTAAGTGAATCTACTTCTACTCCATTTTTTCTCTCTCAGTCAGCGTCAGATGGATCGCTGCATTGAGCTCGTTCATTACAAGCAGTCTCACCTTGATATCTGGTCGACTGTACGATAGAGGGTGGTTGTAAGTTTTAACTTTCCATACATTCATATTCGGTTGTCTACCATGCTGATTGCTGATAGCTACCATTTGGTGATCGTGGGGTCGTTGCTCCAATCACTGGCCTTGTTCGCGTTATCCTTCGCCAAGCCTGGTCAACTCTACATGGTGAGCAGCCACACCAATCTCAATGGTGGGCTACCTATATTTGAATAGATCTTTATATTTCAGGGTGTCCTTATTGGGTTTGCAATGGGCCTAACATATGGTCCTTGTATAGCGGTTATCGCTCAGCACTTCACCAAAAGACGCACGTTTGTAATGTGTCTCGTCACGTCTGGTTCACCACTGGGTGGCATTATTCATCCGATCATGTTGAATCACCTTTTGAATGGTACCGCTGGCTTTGCGAGAGGTGTCCGTATTAGTGCAGGTTTTGTTAGTGTCCTGCTGTTGATCTCCTGCTTGTCCATGCGCACGAGAGCACTGTCGACACCGGCCACCAGCTATAGTACAGTGGCACGAAAATGCTCTCGCGATGTCCCTTACATGCTCATGGTCTCTGGGTAAGTTCTCTCTAGCATCCGGATAAAGTTTTCGGAGCTGATTACGCTTAGGATTCTTCTTGCTCAGATAGGCTTTCACTTCCCTATATACTACTTACAATTGGACTCTATCAAACATGGGATAAGCAAACATTTCTCGTTCTACTCCGTACGTTCAATGTTTTCTTCTTCGTCGTCGATTACTAACCCGGCTTAGATTTCGATCTTGAATGCTGCCAGTGTCATCGGACGTTGCACGGCAGGAATAATTGCACCGTATACGGGATTGTTGAATTTGACAATCGCATCCAATGCTGCATGCGGCGTCATCATCATATCCATGATAGCTCTGAGCAATATACCCAGTGTGGTCGTGATAGGCATTGCATATGGCTACTTTTCTGGAGTTTGTATGTTTTACATTGTCGCTAGTGTAATTTCTGGCACTGACGATCCAAGACATCGCGATGTTGACCCCGCTACTGACTATGGTGACGCCCGACTTGTCGGAGCTAGGGTTAGTTTTTCATTATCATACACATTGTCTGGCCAACCATGTTGATCTCCTACGCAGGGCGCGGATGGGAATAAGCTTTACTGTCACCGGTGTGTATCGGTTAGCTCTGCTGTTTGAGAATTTCTGACAGACGGTGAATTTCAGCATTTGGTGGATTACTCAGTGAGTCGTTTTTTCGCCATCTCTATTTCCCACTGAACCAATGTACCAATCTCTTCAGGTGGTCCAATATCAGGCGCTTTACTTTCGCCTCATTATAGGTGGTTGATACCGTCGATCTTCGATGGGGTAAGTAGTCGTGATCGTTCTCGCGGTTCCCGTACTGAGTATTTTGTGGCGATAAGATTATATGTCTTGTTGGAAGTTTGGTGTTAGTGGTGATGCGCTTGGTAATAAACCGGCAAAGATGAACGGAAACCACCCACAGCTTGGCGCGGACACGAGGCGAACTGTTTGTTCTTTGAGGACTTTGGTCGGGGCCGATATGTACTAGTATGCGTACTGAGAAACAAGACCGGAACCGGATGGGAGGGAGCTCTATCTTGCGATATGTGCGTGACAGGTGTATGAAAACATGTGCGGAAATACTAGATGCCATCATCTTTCGATTTACTTACTCCTATATCAGTGACCTCAATCTTATCTGCAATCTTGCCTTATCCGCAGTTAAGGGCTTGGGATTTAAGTGGTTAACATTAGCCTGTCCGAAACTTTAACTTCCTTTCGACCTCAAAACAACCCAGACATTACACCAATCGGAGTAGTTCCACCAAGCAACACCTCAACTATCGTTCGCTGGGCGAGTGAGTATTATGGGTGGGCGGTATCACCATTCTTGTAAAGCACCGTCCAAACAGCGTCTTTGAGACGGTTCTTTCAACCACGCTATTCATAGCGTGCTCAGCTGGAGGTGTTCCGTATCTCCGAGGTATCTTCTTCTTCTGAGGCCGTTTTATCAACTTCGGACGGGAAAACTCCCTCACCGTTGATGATCGATTCTTATGCTACTGGTGACTAGCCGGAGCTCCAGAACACAAGCGCCAATTCGATCGACTTTCATTACCGATGGAATGGGAAGTCCTCCCAGCGGCCATGTCACTTTCTCGCGTTGTTCCGCCCCTGCAGTGGGTGTTAGACTCGGCGGAGCTACTACACACACCGCTTCGCTCACAAGTTTGCCTCGCGCTGTCATAGACCGAGGACAGACATGACGAGCGTCGGAGTCATCGATCAAGCGTGCGTGGTAATCATTTCTTCGAATACAAGGAGCGACTCGGGCAGCACCGTCCTTCATTCTATTGGTCCAACCTTCATTGTCCAAGGGGATATCGAAGCACTCACTCTGGCCCGGGGCGTGCTTCCCAGGATCGTCCTTCGAGTTCACATTATCATTCTTTCAAACCACTGGCTGCTGCGTTTTTGCCTGATGATGATTATGATCGCTGGTGAGATCCGAGTCGCTGAGATGAATCATACTGCGTACTGATTGATGCTCTTCTCACATAAAGATCGGTGCGGCGGTCGACGCTCACTGAGGGTTGAATGATATAAGTGGGATCAGTTGAGGTGCTAGACGTACTATTGGCGTCGATATCGTCAGCAATACGAGTTTTATACCACTTGGTCTATCTATCAAATCGTAATCGATCAATCAATCCATCGATTCATCCAGATTTCAGGATAAGGACAGACAACGACCAGGCGAGCCTAGCCTGAGCACTGCCAAGGTGGGCCTGTGCTCGCATGTCAAGTGATCCTCGGATTCGTGCTCGTCATATGAGGCGAGAACTGCGCCAGGTGATCACCACCCTCATGTCAGGTGGGCGGGACGTACGTACTTATTCAAGTCACGCCCTCAGGCTGGACTTGGGGTCGGCGTACGTATATAAGGGCTTGTTCGTCGTTGAAGCAATCGTTATGTATCTTTTTGAGTATTAACGAGTGCTCTTGATGTATCATCTATCGCATTCCCCACTTCCTTCTCCGCATTCTGATCGGCCATCGGCGTGCACGCTCAACAGCACTCTGCCCTAGGCCTCACCCTGGCATATCGCCCATCACAATCTCAAACTCCACACAAGATGCATGAATCCCCTTTTATTGATAGTGATATACGACACAGGTAATGCCAGTAGATACGACAATGGATAAATACTGACTCCGACTTGGCTTTGGAATATATTGGTACATTTTGCGGTGAAGGATGGATGGGTAAACGGTAAGTGCTGTGATATGATATGAGCACCGGGAGAGGAAGGACGCGTCTACCAATTAGTGGACCGATGAGTGAAATGGTGGACGAGGGAAATGGAGGTGAATTGGTGGATGGAGGGACTGAAATGGAGAGCTTCCTGTGAATAATGGAGGGAGGAAATGGAATAGTGGGTAAACGCAAGGGCATTGGCTTCAAGTGTCGCAATGCAGACATCAAAATAGCGTCATCGGGCCGTACTGACGTGATGGGGGTGGGTGAATAAAGCTAAAAGCAGTGTCCGGCGTAGAAATTCCGTCAGACCCCTGCGCTCGTATGGGATAAAGTTCAAGAGGTGGAGGCGTTACGATGTAGTCAAGAACGACGAGAAGACCCAATAAGGAGGAATAACACAGGAAACCAAAGCAAAGCTATGAATGATACAGTGTGCATGGAGTCAGGTGATAAAAGAGAGATAAAACGCAGGAGAAAAACACATGGAAAAAATCGTGCAGGCATAAAGGGACGTGAGCATGAACATGATGGAGTGAATGAGCCAGAGCGTGTGAGTCTAAATCTGCAAGGGGTTTGCGATGCTGCCAGCTGAGACCATTCCGTAGGCTCAGCACGGAGGATACGAATCACTGTCATATCTCCATGTTGTGTTGCTCCCCGTTGACAATATCGTCATCGCGGATTTTTGCACCACCAACGTCCTCTTTCCTGGCACGCACGCGTCCCCGACCACGCTCCTCATCCTCACCCCGATCCTCAATATCCATCTCCCACTTCCTCTCAGTTTCCCATGAGAGTGGTGGCAGGGACGTTTGTGATGATACGAGGGAAAGTCGGGATGATTCTGCGGAGTTTGAGTTTGAGGCGGAGCGGGAAGAGGGAGTGGGGGTTCCGCGGATCGCTGCTAGTTCGCGCTCGAGGGTGCGGTTGCGCTCTTCGAGATCTCGGCCGCGTGAAGCTTGGACGCTGACAAGCTGTTGGAGGTAGCGGATGTATTCCACAGACTGGAAAGTGGAGTCAGTACTTGAACGATTCAGGTCAATCGCCAGAGGAAAGATGCATATATGCAGCAAACGTATGCACGTATTTGGAAAGTGAACGTATGCAGTGCAATACGGAGCATATAATCAGGGAAATGGCACATATAGGCAATACAAAGCACCATCCAACCGCCAAGAAATAAATAGAGGATACCCACCTTCCTCAAAATCATCCCCTTATTCGCCTTGATCATTTGCGGTTCAGTGCCATTCGCGGTAGTGATCCCGTTCGTAGGAATACCACCGTTTACACCACCATTCGCATTACCCCTGCCTGCTCAGGAATATCAGAACGTGCCTTCCACAGCACGCAAAAGACGCACCATCATCTCCATCTTCGCTTGGATCCTTTTTCACGACATTTCCGTTGACAGGAATGCCGGGTATCCCATTTTCGGGGACGTCAGGTAGACCCTCGTCGGAGTTTGCTGCGTCGGGGAGGGGGAGTGAGAAGAGATCATTGTTTTCCACTGCAGGTGAAGTTGCGCTGAGGAGTGTGGGTGATGTTGGAGCAATGAGTGGGGCTGTGGGATTGAGTTAGATCCGAGGATTAGGAACAGTTTTCCGGGAATCAAAAATCAAAAATAGGAAAGGGAGGCCGAGGATTGGGAAAAAAGGAAGGAAAACCCACCATCACATTCAAACAGCACCCCTGGGATTAGCCCTGCTAACTCGCCGATTCTTTCGTTAATGTTATCCCTCCGCCTTCTCTCGACAGCATTGTGACTCTCCCGCCTTCGTCGTCTCTTTTCTGATAGACCATCGCCATCAGAATGTTTTGCCTTGGCAGAGGCAGGGGGAGAAGTAGTGCTGCTCCCGAGCATGCCCAGGGTAGAAACTTCACTGGGACTGATTCCCATACTGGGAGTTCCGGTACGGCCATTAAAACTACCATAATTTACAGCCACATTGTTTTGCGAAGCAAAGGAACCGGGTTGCGTAGGATATGAAGTGGTTGCCGCATTATATCCCTGGAACCCGCCAAAGGAATGAGTGAGACTATCTGGTGTGGGAAGCGAGTATTCGCCTTGACCGGGTACGAAAAAGCCGCCCATAGTTGAACCACCACCCCTACCGGGGATAACGATGGCATGAGGACGGGGAGGAGGGGGTGGGGAAGTGCCGGATACATGAGAGCTAATGCTATTGGCACGGCGATCGCGACGGGATGTTCGGGTTGGGCCGATGCTTGGGGGGCGTGAACGGCTTCGACTGGGTGAGTTGGGGTTGTGCGGGGATGGGGTGTGGCGGTACGCGAAATGTGATGGCGGATCTGGGTGTGGTTCGTACCGCAAACTGCTATTTAAGGCAGGAAGGGTACTGTTAAAATGGAGATCCTGTTGTTGATTGTTTGGGTAGATATCTGTTGATGATGGAGGTCGGTAATGGCTGGCAGTTGGAGGAGCGCTGATGTCAAAGATATTGTGGCGGTAGGGATCTGCGTCGTATGTACTACGTTCGTGTGATGCATGGTGGGGGTGTGAGTCGATGAGTGTTGCAAGATCGTCGGCAAAGTCGATGGCACTGCTTGGTGTCGGAGGTTGATGATGAGAGTGAACTTGAGCAGCACTTGGAAATTTGCGAAATGAGTCGGGAAGAAAAGATAGATTTGGTGGCATGAAAAGATTGTTGGGGGAGGTTGGAGGGGGTGAGGTGGGCGTCTCTGACAGTGATGAAGCGGTGTGTGCAGGTGAAGGAAGCTGAAAACCTTCTTGTCTTACTGTCGTTGCACTATAGCTGGACATGAGAGAGGAGGATACAAAGTGGATGGCTATGTGATTCGATCTGTCGGTCTATAATACTTCACTTTATTATCACTTTGATCTATTTCTCGCTCAATCCGGGGTCTCGGTCCGAGTATGGGAACAGGTACAAATAAATAAAACAAACAAATAAATAAAAATAATTCTTATTACATCTTCATTCTATCCTTAGCTTTCTCTCTCTCAGGCCCTACTACCACCGATCCCTCGTTAGCCTCGGCACCGTCATATTCCTCTCCTCCCTCTATCTTCTCCCGCGACTGTCCATGATCGCCATCATGACACACGACGTCCACAGCACATCGCGACACTTTAAGTTTACTACATCCTCCGACTCCTCAATCTCCGCGATGGCGCCTGCTATTTCACTTGACAGAACACAAAGTCAAACTTCACAACAAAGTCTCCTCATCCAATACCTCAGTCAATCCTTCCTCGCTCTAGAACCACCCACTAGCTTATGTATGATCAAAAATTCGCCTAATGACAATTGGCCCATCAATACGAAGCTAAATCAGTCTTCGTGCGAGCGCAATGCCACCAATTCCTCACCCTCAATCTGATCGAAACGTCATATAGAACCCACCACCTGCCAGATCAGGAAACAACAGTTATTCAGACGAAGATGAGTTTACCTTTGATCTCTGATACCGCAAACAGCATAGAGGGTCAAGGCACATCTTCGGAATTCTCTTCTCTACCACGACGGATTCAGATCCCCCCCGGGACGCCGTTGTCAGTCTTTAATTGCATGAGCCTATTTCACTGGGCGATTGTAATCGCCTCCCTTACAGTAGTTATTAATCGACTCGGACCATGCTCTCTGCTCCCAGCCGCAGTTCGCTCCAGCCGCCACATAAGCCTAACTTTCTTTTGGTATTGGACTGACTCTGAACTCTATGTAGCATTAACCTACTATAGTTGCTTCTGTCGTATATAAGTGGGATTTACCGTAACATTTTATCACACAATACTAGACTTTCGTCGTAATTCATGACGACTTGCTAGACAGGGGTGAGATCTAGAGCTATATGACTGTCGAGATATTGCGTAGCCAGGCATCGGCGGTGGTGGCCCCCTTCTATCTCGGCAAGTGGTGAAAGCGATTAATCCATTAAACATAATATCTCCAAAAAGCTTAGTACAGGTTGCCAACCGCCCAGACCGTAGCTACATCGCACGCTGACAAATGTGCTCTTCTTGTTGACCGGGATACTACGTCCCGTCCAATGCAGATAAGCTGCAAACGGAAAGCCGTTAATTACACACATAATCCGACTGCGGTGGTGCAATCATTGATGATGTGCCAGAAGCAGGTACGAGCAACCAACGAATGCACAGCAGCATGCGGAGCGCGCATTCTGTCAATGTATAATAGAGTCTGAAACGCCAGCGCTAGCGCGATCAATAGTAACCAAATCAATTCCAACGCAACAAGGACCCTAAGCGGGATTTGTTTCGCTCAGAATGAATAGGCGGGAGGGCGTATGCAAGAAAAGGACGGGAAATTTACGTATGCAGGGAAACCGCCCGCACTGGAAAAAACATAAAGCTATTGAGATAAATATGACAGGGTGGTCAAAGATGTTCCACCACCGCTCAATATCAGTATTAATAACACAGAAGGGCCAGCCGGACCGATGGTGAAGACACCCATTGAATTGAAGGTATGGCAGATGTGAGATACGTTGCGTAGATATCGACGGGACTGGGAAAATGATAATGATTCATTTTGGTACCGGTGTTCGCTGAGTGGGTTAGACGCGTCGCATGTATTCAATGTCGACGAACTGGAGGGTGGGTGCCCCCGCGGGCGTAAGGCTATCCCAAGATAGATCACGGAAGCGTAAGATTGGACGCGCCTAGGTCTGTCTGCCTTATCGTGTTCCAAATTAGTTCACGATGATGACGGTGGTCGATGGTTGCATTATTTCATATCATCATCGCTGGAATGATTGGTAGATGCTCGCGGACTAGTGTTCAGCCATCCGATACGTTTTTAGTAATCGTCGGCACCCTTGGACTGACAGATCATAAATAGGTACCAAGAAGCCAAGTATCAGTTCTTAGGGGTATGGCCCCAATTCCCATAAAATAACATACCATAAATAATCACCTGCATATCAGTCGTTCGGTTCCCTTGACATAGGTCAAGAAATTGTCGCACCGCCAATGCGCAACAATGTCATAAACGGCATCAAACACGATTGCGCAAGGCACAATCTTCCTCCACTGGTTACTGACAGTGACACAGGCAAGCGACCCGACTCGGACTCGGATAACATCAAGAACATTATTTAAATGTGCCAAACCATACGACCCTGAAAACGTGCTGTAGGGTCTTGAAGGGGCAAAACGAGTTTAATAGAAAGCCAAGCCGGGGGGATCATCGGAAGCACTACCGCGGTGAGCGGAGGATAGTATCCGATTAAAGCCGATGGACAGGAGTATAGTTGAACCATGTCTTCAAGGAAGTATGTATTAAAGCGCGATGGCACCATTGGTATAGGGTCCTGCGGATCGGGATGGCAGAGACTGTAAGAACGGCAAGGGAACTTATCAGCTGTAGAACACCACCGCGGATAACAGGGGTTTTTACCGGCAGAAGGACAGCAGTACACGGTGTTCATATGTTCGGCCGGCGTCAGGAAATGGGTCCGGCAAGGTAAAGAAGTTGTTGGGGGTTGACAGAACAGCATGGTACACGACACCGTGGGAGGTCTGAAGATCTGGGGCTTGAACCAGTACGAATTCGCACGTAGATCCGCGAATCAGAACGACGGACCGGCCCGTATGTCGCGCTGTCTGAGGACAAGCTTCCTTTGGCTGACTAAATCATAGTTCAATCAACATACGCCAACAATCCGAGCGAGTAAGAAGAGTAAATTTCTAGAAATGAGGTCAATTATCCGGACCATGATGCCGGTCAATGAGAATTTCATGGGTATGACGAGTCCCCAATGACAAATAACCCCGGCCTTCATGGCGAGTTAATTGTCCAATCGATCGATGTGGAGAGGGCAGCGGATACGTGGCAAATCGTGGCCTTGTGAATGTGAGATGTGCAACTTGAGGGATACTCCATAGGTCGATATAATGGTACGCGAAACTTCCGTCGTTTGTTTGAACCAAACGTTCGTCCATAAACGTTGATGGCAGACATGTCGAATGTCCCTGACGAGAAGTTGCAGCTCACCTTGGATTTTTCCGAAGGAAATACCGGCGGCTAGTAACATACGGATGCAGTGTGTCTCCATCCATAAAGGTTGATTTTGAGGTACTAGCACATATCGTTTTCCCCACTGGACTCGGATCCACTCCACCTGCTAACACATGTTCTCAGGTAGTGCTGGTTTCCATTAAATTCGTCCGTTACGGCAATCAGCGCGAACCAAGGAGCAACTCCATGAGTTTGAAAATACAAAACACGTAAATTCAACAAGGGGCGCAACGTATGGTCCGACACAGATGTGCGCTCCGTTTTCTGGAAGTAACTGTCGAACTGGGTCAGCCCAATTGAGATCCCTTGACAACGAGCCATTACACCATATGAATTTGACAGCGTCTTCTAGTCCTAGGTGACGGCGAGTAAAAGGAGTTGGAACGAACCTATAGTGACCCGAAAAGATAGGTCAGTACCGCATTTCAAGCAAGGTTTAATTGCTGACACACCGCTAAAAGGTACTGTGAACTTTTCCTCACGATCGTGTTCCTTTCTTCTCCTGGTGTTTTATCATATTGACAAAGTTAGCTGGTTGAGCCACCGAGGTTGTTTTAAGACGACCGACATCGAAGTTCAAGAGTTGAATTACTGATTGCCTGGGACGCGAAGTGGTGGCGGGATGATAAAGCCAAAAATGGAGTTGTCAGCCAGAAAAAAACTCTCAAACGGACCTTATAAAGAGGATTCTGAAAAAACTGGTACGTTCGGGGGACGGCAAACAACCAGACTCAGTTCACCAGGGTCGAGGAAAGAACTCGCAGATATGCCAATCGGGGACATCGCATTAGGCGCTGAGAATGCAGAATCGTCCATTCGAAAGAGTAGCTCCATATGCAGACATTGGATGCGGGGTAATGTACTTATTTGTGGGTCTGATGGCGGCGAACGGACCGTGTTCACATATAACCTTGTTTTGTTCAGCCCAGCGACAGCTTGAAGGGCGTAGTAAGTGCGATCAAACACGTGACCCCGAAGACTCTGGGGAATTAGAAATCAGCAAACTCACGACTTGACGCATATCCTTCATCTTCACGGAAAGTGATGTTTCAATGGTGGAGCATACCGACGTCACACGAGATGGTATTGGTCCAGTCAACTCCTGGGCCAGGCTTTGGTTCCAGCTGTCTTTGGAGTTTGCCCGTAACCAGGACGTCGGATTTCGTTCTCAGGCGTCAGGCTTGTCTGAGTAGTTGCGACTTTGGCCTACAGACCGACTGGCACAGGCAGTAGAGACGATGGAAGTCTGAAGACTCCAGGGGAGATGTTAGTGCCAAGTATCGGCAGTCCAGTCAACTACTTATAGCTTATTCGCTAGGCAACGACTCCTCAAGCCCACTAAGGCTATATCGACCACCTGACACAATAATCGGTTATTTGGTGGCAAATCAGCTGCTTCGCTTCTAGCCTCGATGACGACTGTTCGGTGTATCTGCTGACGGCGCTCTGTCAGATAGGTGTGCTTGATCGCTGATATGAGCCCTTCTGGGTGAAATGCTTCAGACAAGAAGCCACTATCAGTGTCAGACCATGGTCATCTGCCGAGATTAGTTCCAGGAACAGGTCACCTGCTTCGACTGCCTGACTCTCTGCTAGGCGATCAATCGTCGCATCAACGAGCAAGGAATACGACTGCCAGGAGTCTGTATCACACGGGCGTAGAAGTAACTCTGTTTCACGTTCGTCTCACTTACTTCGCGTACGTTTAATAATTGTCTTAAGGCGTTATTTGATATACATCATTCCATAGTCCACAAACGATACAAACGCAATGGAGATAGCTCACCCGATCAGGCGGGCATTGGATAAATGCACGAGGCACTGCAAGTTCTAAATATGTGCTTGGAGCTGTCGCGCAGTCCATTCTACACCACTGGCAGTGTAAAGCGCCAAAAACTTATTGATTGATTCCGTGGCTAGCGGTAATGCGAGGCTGCGGAAAAATGTCAGTCCCCCTTTTCTATGACGGATTTGATCGAACCTGAGATATTGCAAAGGAACATGGTATGCTAAGTGCCTATCCTGCATCTCTTCGACGGGATACCGCGAATGATGTCACGTTTGGCAGGCAAGCGCTCCAGCTCACCTTCACTCCTCAAGACATCGTCATTTGGGGCGGATGCGTAATGTTCTTTCATGGTCTAATCGGGAGCTTGTTAGAGCAACTACTTACATCCTTCTATCGATATTCTTTAATCAAGCAGTTCCGAGCGCCACCTCGCTATCCCCGATCTGTCGCTGTGAGGTCTGGCCCCTCTCCGTCATGTCCACTCCCCCCTGTTGTACGATTCTCGCAATCCTTAGGTCACATACAAAAGTGAGTAGATAAAAGGTGAACCCGAATCCGATGATCCATTCTATGACTCCTCCGACGTCCGCAGCGTAAAATAGCGTGATGCCAAATGCGATGGCGAGAACGATAAGGATACTTCCAATGACAGCCTTCACCAAGTACGCACGCCGAAGCTTTATGATGTCAGGATGATCCTGAGCTAACCAGCGGTACTCGAACACAGTGGAAATCACGGAGAGAATGACACCCATGGCGAAGAAGAGTAGGCACAAGTAGTGCGCGGTTTGGTAGCGTTTCGTATCAAAGCCAGACAGGAAAACGAGGCCCAGTATTGCTATGAATGATCCCACGATGGCAAGGATCTCAAACATGCGCTCTGTTTTGCGCATAGAGGGAGGGAGCCTGCCTCTGTGCCGTAAAAGGTGTTCTAGCACCAGAGAGAGCGTGAAGCCCACGCCGGTGATGCAACAACCAACAACAAATAGGGGTTTGAGGCATGAAGCGCCAACGTCTGATATGTACGCAACGTTCCCCTCTTGAGAGACGTATTTGGGACGTCCAGAGATAAGCCAGGTAAGAAGCATGGCAAGCAGGGTTGCAAACCAAAAGATGCCAGTGAATAGTGGCACACACATAAGCAGCCGATGACTTTGCGTCGAAAGGTGGAAATCGAACATCGTGCTGGGTGTCGTGACTGACAGAAGGACCGTATCGCAAGGAAGGAAGCTGGAACTGCAGTGACTAGGAGGGCTTTGGAGCCAACAAGCCAAATGACATACTATGGACCGGGCCGTGGAGTCTGGACTAATGCAGCGTGAGAATATCCTGCAATGCGCGCTGCTACGTGACATGCTCTTGAGCAGGCCCAACACTACAGTTTTCAGCGCACGATGTATCACGGTATTTCTCACGTGGGTAGCCTTATAACTGATATGATTCTGTCAAGTATCAAAATCAAAAACACACCTACAGCTCCCTCCTGCTTTCTCCTTTCGAGTTGGTTATCGACGACGCTCGACGAGATCTAGATGGTAGATGCCGCGACTATGTGAGCGGAAAAATTGCTTCAACAGTTGTCCTATCACGCCGTGGGCATCTTTAAATCATGTCTTGAGTTTGCAGCGAAATAATTGGCAACAGGCACAGATACCCTACAACTTTCCGCTTGTCTCAATAACAGTCATCTTTGTGGTTGCGTTGCGTCTCTCTCTTCCAAAGAATTTCGAGATGACGTGAAAACGGTTAAGGAAATGTAAGGTTTAATAATTTCGGCTTTGTTGCGGGTTCATGCTGCGGCTGGGCAGAACTGGCAGAACCTGACGTGCGCGGGAGCTCTGCCACAATGATTCTGGCGGGGATGTTTTGCCATCTGCCTGGCCAGTGCCAGTGCCAGTTCTGCCGGCAATGATTAATCGTAGATATGTATCCATTTGAAGGGATATCCACGCTACAGTAATTCTGGGGAATAATATGAAAAGCCAGCTGTCCTCCTACGATCGCCTTCAGAATTACCTGATCCCACACACCCACAAGCCGCAAACAATGCATTTCTTCTCTGTAATTGTCCTCGCCGTCATTGCTGCTTTAGTATCATCAAGCTCTGCCATGTCCACTACTAGTGATGAAGTTAGCCTCGACCTTAATTGTCCCTCGCGTTGCAAGAAACACGAAGACTGCCAATCTAAAGGATGCGCTTTGAAACTTTGCGTGAGTATCAGCAACGATTGTCCTGGACCTGATAACATGACTCACCTGCGTGACAGAGCGGTATGGATTTCTGCACAGTGTGTCATATTTTTGCTTTCACATCGGTGGAGTATGGCCGTTGACACTGACGCGCGAGTTACTAGTGATTTGTAAATAAACTGCCCTGCTATTATTTGTCCCAATCATATTTGTCGTGTTCTACAGATCAGGTATATGTGCACGTCCTGCATCCACTGTGAGCAAGGCAGGGCCCCATGTAATAGTCCACTCCAGGCCCGTAGCTAGTACTGGAAATCCACGACCAGCCCCTGTCGCTAAGAAAAGGAAGCCAGACAACGCACCCAATGCAACTGCTGTCAAATGAGTGCACCCACTGGCAGTGGTAGTGGTGGCTTTGTACTATACATCCGCTCCCATGAATAAATCATACGCCTTCGCACAGGCTCATGTGGCGATACTTCCTGCATTGGTCGATGTAGTACTACAGCAAGTGATGCAGAGTGGCCGTTGCAGCGCGGGCATCGGAGGACATCTGTCCGCTCGGCACAGGGAGCCACTGACAAGCCAAATAACATACTATGGACCGGGCCGTGGACTCAAATGCAGCGTGAGAATATCCAATGTACGCTGCATACTGTGACTGCTGCCCAACGTTGACACTACAGTTTTCAGCGCATGGTGTATAGCTTGTCGTACATCTGATTATCAAGGTCTTTCTCACGCAGGTAGTCTTATAACTGATGATTCTGCCAAGCGTTAAAATCAAAAACACACCTACAGCTCCCTCCTACTTTCTCCTTTCGAGTTGGTTATCGACGACGCTCGACGAGATCTAGATGGTAGATGCCGCGACTATGTGAGTGGAAAAATTGCTTCAACAGTTGTCCTGTCACGCCGTGGACATCTTTAAATCATGTCTTGAGTTTGCAGCGAAATAATTGGCAACAGGCACACAATCTCCACGAAAACAAGGCTCACGGAAGATCTATGGTCAAGTTCATGATAGGAGATGTCGTATAAACGGTGAAGTGAATGTGAGGTTTAGTAATGGTGCCAAGGGTTCGTACTGCGGCTGGGCAGAACTATTCTATACTGACAGAACTGGCAGAACCTGACATGCGCAGGAGTTCTGCCGGAAAGGATCTGCCATTGGCCTGGCAGCGCCAAGTAAATATGTATCCATTTGAAGGTACATCTACACAAAAGTAATTTAAGAGAACGATATAAAAGCCAGCTACTATCGCGGCTCGCCTTCAGAATTACCTGATCCCAAACACATGAGTCACAAACCATGCATTTCTCCTCTACAATTATCCTCGCCGTCATTGCTGTTTTAGTATCATCAAGCTTTGCCGTGCCCACTACTTATGCAGCTGGCCTCAGTAGCGGTCATAAATGTCCCATATATTGCACAATTCAATCAGAATGCCGAGTTGATGCATGCTCTGAGAAAAAATGCGCGAGTATCAGCATTTTCCTGCACCTTATAACATGGCTCACCTGTATGACAGCACACTACAGAGTTCACTTGCACAGTAAGTCACATCTTTGCTTTCACATTGGTGGAGTATGGCTGTCGACACTGACGCGTGAGTTACTAGTGATTTGTAGAGTGAACCAACGCAATGTGCACCCGCAGTTCAACTAGAGATCACTTGAAAATTACTCATTCCCTCAGAATAAACTGCGCTGCTGTTAGTGTATGTGTCCCATTCGAAGCAATCGTATTTGCCGTGTTTTATGTGCACGTCCTGCGTCCACTATGAGAAAAGCAGGGCCGCATGTAAATATGCCTTCGCAGTCCGATACAGACCCTTGGCTAGTACCAAAAAATCTACGACCAGCCACTGTCGCTAAGACAAGGAAGCCAGACAGCGCACCCAATGTACAATGAATGCACCTACTGGTAGTTGTAGCGGTTGTTAGCTACTTGGACATCTGGGGTTCAGCGTCTCAAGTTATCCTCCAAACGAGCAACGGCTGGGAGCGCTTCAGATTGCGAGCCTGTCCCCCTCGGTCTGAGTCTGAGTTACTTTACATCCACTACCATGAATAAATCCTATGCCTTCGCACACCTTCCACGCAGCTCATACATGACGAGGCAACTTCAGCCAACGTTGCATCGCCTGCACCTGGCATTTCTTCAGCGCAGTCGTAGCACAGGTTTACGCGGCGACACTTCCTCCATTGGTCGATATAGTAGCTGATGCAGAATGGCCGATAGCAGCGCGGGCATCGGAGAAAGACATCTGTCCGCTCGGCAGAGAGGTCGTAAGCCCACACTCTTTCGCAGACACATCACGCCACAACTCACGCATTCCGGGCAGATCTGATCAGACCAACATGTACTGTTGGAGCAGGTCCGCCAGCCGGGTAGTTCGCATTCCCGGCAGAGTTTGTACTTGGAGAGGGTGAACGCGTTCGTGATTATGGTAGGCCATAAGGAGGCAGAATATAGGCTGGCGACCCATAAGAAAGAATTAGACTCGATGTCAACGGGACGACCAATACTGATCCTTCGCGGAGCACCAGGAGTTGTACCGCGGACAATGCTCCAACCGCTTAGAATCTTGATGCTCGAGGTATAGGAAACATAGCACTTCATTTGGATGTGCGGTACACCGCGCGAGTGGGGGTTCAGAAGATCCACGGCAATCATACCTCTCGCACAATGTAACATAGCAGCTGTTGCAGTGAATAAGATCAGAAGCGCATATATATAGCACTTCCAGAAGGCTGGTGGTAATCTGGTGTCTGTTCCACCAGGAACTTGTTGCTGTGAAACACGTTGATGGTATTTCTACCGCAGTCAATTCGCCCGTGTTAATGTAAGAACACACATCAATACTTACCTCCACTTGTATTTGTTTCCATATCCTACATGCAAAGTAATTCTCTGTCGTTGTATCCCACTGGTGAGAGCATACATCGGACCTCGCTAGGGCAAACTCGTATATGTCCATGATGACCGGCGTAAGCTCGCTAGGGACTGGAATGCAGACATTACGCCAACAATCTCGGATCTGCATGTCACGAAACAGGACAGAAAAACGGTTAACATGGATGACAAGGCTTGATAGGTCTGGAGTCCAGGAATTTATTTTGAGAATGCATATTCGATCGTTAAGGATTGTGATGATACTTCGTCGATAGGGAAATGCACGGATACGGGTAACACCGCAGTTCTATGCTAACGGGTTTGGCGAGTACGGGTACGGTGTAGGATATTCATACGCTTGAGCACATAAGATTCTGAGAAAATATTGTCCTGGCAGGCATGCAGCGCAGCCCTGTGGATAGACGATAATAAGAACCAAACATGTGTCCATAATAATAATGTACTACAATCATATTACATAATATCGCAAGCAGCATTAATCTCAGGCTCCAACTCGACTCATACCATGTTTTCGTGCGTAAACATAGTTCAAATCTGTGTTTCCGAATGTGCCACGCCGTCACTCTGCTCAGAGGATATACTGGAACTTCTCTCGTCCATTCTCTAATCACACGAGACAGTTTTCCTTTCAATTTATGACCTACACTCATCCTTCAATACAGGATTTGAATTCCTTACTGTAACCCCAATTCGGCACACGAGCCAATTAAATAAAGCACTTACCATAGTCAAGTCATCGATTGGTGGGAAAGTATCAGTCAAGTGCGTCTCCTACATGCGGACCAACTGATGCGGCTGATAAATTGCTCACACCGCAGCCTTCTATTGTTGATGCACTATGCCATATCGGGAGGCGTAGTAGTTGAGAGTCCTCTTAGTCATTCCGAGCTTTAAGGACACGGGTTTCATATATACTATCTCCACACATGTGCTATATTCGCGTTTAATATCTCCTGCTGTACCGACATGGATTCAGAGGACTTTTATGCAATCTCCGCTGAATGGCTCCAACGCCTACAGGTTGCATCATCTACCGGAGATTCTACATCATTTGTGAGCCAATTCCTTTCGGATGGGTGGCTCAGAGGTCGGTGCTTGTCTAAGGAACTGAGGTGCACTCACAAGCGTTCTCTTCTAGATCTTCTATGTTTTTCTTGGAATTTTAGGACGCTATCAGGTCTGGAACAAATACATGGATTCCTCTCGGAGGTGGTTGATGGAAAGCCGCGACTTGAACATTCTGGTCTTCGTGACTTCAAGCTAGACGATCACACCGCCAATGCGCCTTCACCGTTCAAATTGCCAGGTCCACAAGGCATGGAAGGAGTACAAGGCGCTTTCACATTTACCATTACGAAACCGGCTGCATTCGGACGAGGTTTCTTCCGTCTGACACAAGATGCCGATGGAGAGTGGAAAGCTTTAACCCTCTTTACAAACATGCAGGACCTCGTCGGGAACGAGGAGTCTTCCGCAAATCAACACGGCCTATATGAGGGTCGAAAGATGACATGGGAGGAGGATATTGAGGCAAAATTCCGTGCTATAGAGGCGGACCCCACTGTTTTGATCGGTGCGGTGCAGTTTCTTTTCATTAATCGTGATGAATTGAGGAGTATAAAAAGTTGGTGGTGGACAAGCTGGCCTCATGTCTGCAGCGAGGTTGAGTAGGTTGGGCATCCGCGCGCTCGTGATAGAGAAAAATGCGAGCGTCGGAGACTCCTGGCGACAACGGTATGCGCAAACACAACGATAGCGTGTTGACCTTTGTTATCGATGCGAATCACAGGTACCCAAACCTTACGCTGCATACTCCTGCATACCAGAGCTCCAGTAGGTCTTATCATCTTCCTATAAGAGGCTTTGGGTAATCCACACACAGTGCTTTACAGTCCCTATCCGTATGTGCCTTCCATCATTCAAAGGTATCATTTATCTCAGTAATGCCAGGACGACCTTTCCCAAGTATATCCCTAAGGGGAAACTTGCTAATTTCCTGGATTCATATGCTGTGAACCAGGAATTGTGTATCTGGCTCTCGAGTAGCGTAGCTTCAACTCCAGTGTACAATCCATCATCTGCAAGATGGACTGTGGAAGTACAGCGCGGAGACCAGAAAATATTTCTTAACCCAAAGCATTTGGTACTTGCTATAGGAAGCGGGAGTCCTCGCTTTCCTACTTGGAATGGAATGAATGAATTTCAAGGAGCATTGTATCATTCTGACTTTCATAGAGATGCAGAACAATTTCGAGGCAAACGCGTTGTAGTTGTGGGTGCGGTCAGTAGTATGTCCTCATTTCATACTTGGATGCACACTCACGTGGGCGTCAGGGTAATGCTAGTGCGGACATATGTCAAGATTTCGTGGCGCATGGTGCTGCTGAGGTTCGTGTATGAATTGAATTATCTCAAAGTCTCGACTTCATAAAGAAGAAAAGGTAACAATGATCCAAAGAAGCGCTACATGTGTTACATCTTCGGCCGCCGCAGAGAAAACCCACTTCAGGTCGCCTTTCCCTGACGGCACCCCTATCGAGGAACTAGATTTCCGCAATAATTCAATGCCTCTGTCCCTTCTCCTGCAACTGCAAATCTCAGGTGGGGCACAACACATGAAGATGCTCGATAAGGAACTCCACGACGGTTTGCGCGAGGCTGGATTCAACTTAACTTGGGAACTTTCGCCAGGTAGTGGCGAGGTAGGGCTGGAAGGATTTTTGTTCAAACGACTGTCGTCAGGATCTAGTGCGTTTGGATTTGTTCATGGGATAAGTATCATTTTAAACACCACACAGTGCTTGACATCGGCTGTGGTAAACTAATCGTTGAAGGCAGAGTCAAGGTAGGACTGGAATTCATTGTCAGAGGGCTGGGTCTGATTGTTGCGATATATGCCCAGATAAAGCAAGGCCAATTAATCAGTCACTTCGAAAGAGATGGGATCGCGTTTAAAGACGGCTCCAAGCTTTCAGCAGATGTTATCGTCATAGCGTATGATCCAATTGCTAGTCTCTTGTCAATATATCTTACGGACGTTGCAGTACAGGAAATGAACCCATCATTAAGACCGCGAAAGCTCTCCTTGGCAATGATATTATCGCTCGACTTCTTTCACCTGAGGTCCTCGGCCTTGATTCAGAGGGAGAATTGAACCAGGTATATCGACCCTCTGGACATCCGGGACTTTGGTTTGCGTCTGGTCCATTTGCGATTTCGCGTTTCTTCAGTAAGCACCTGGTGAGCTACTCCCTCTTTCCGTCTATATATCTCTTGACGAATGCGACGATACAGGCTCTGCAAATCTTGGCAAGAGAGCTCGATATAGCATGACAGAAGGGGCATTGCTGTTATACATGATATATCTATATCATACGTCGGGAACACTTATATCGAAGTTATGAAGACCAACCATGCTGCATGACTTACATGCGTGTTTTCCGCTATTAGAAAGACGTTGATTCAATGCTTACAAACAACTAACCATACATATCGACAGTCAAAAGGAAACTGGTGATCATAGATCACTCTCCAAGATCGACCAGTCTGCCTACAGCAGAAATGACGCACGTAGACAGAACACCTGGTTACAAATGCGAATGGTCAGTAATTCCATACCTGCCAATAGACTTTGCTGGCGATATGCTGGCATTCTATATGTGCCATCCATTTGGAGGCACATTCACGCAGCAGTAATTCTAGAGAACAATATTATAAAAGTCAGCTGTCTTTCTACTATCGCCTTCAAAATTACCTGATCCCATTTCACCAGTCACAAATAATGCATTTCCGCTCTGCAATTGTCCTCACCGTCATTTTTGCTTTAGCATCATCAATCTCTGCCGTGCCCGCTACTGATGACACGGCTGACGCCGAAAGTTGTCTCAGCTTTTGCTATAAGCGCTCACAGTGCACACGTAAAAACTGCCATGGATGCGTGCGTATCAGCATTTTCCTGAAATTGAGAACATGACTTATCTACATGACAGACCCTTTTTTTGTGCTCGGTGAGTCGTGTTTTTGCTCTCTCACATAGGTGCAGTATGGCCGCTGACATTGATGCGCGAGTTACTAGTGATCTGTAGAGTTGATCGACCCACATCAGGAAAAAATTGGTTCACTCACAGTTCTTCGTATATTAAAATTAGCGTGAAAGTTTCGTAGGATATAGGGTGTGTTAGACAAGATAAGACGTGCGAAGATACTAGAAGAACACTTTCAATGGGCTTGCAGCTCAGTCCACGACGCAGCCTCTCCGAGTCGACATATAATAATAATATTAATGTTGTCATCGTTCTACTAGTAGGTCACACATCTTAAGAATCATCTCATCTCAAGTGGCTCATAATATAATAGGCTTATATCATTACAAGTCCATCCGCGAGCCATCAAGTTGCATCATTGTTAGTTCTGAAAAGGTTCCTGTAGTCTATGCAATGGTTCCGGCGCCGAGCGGGAACTTTGATGCCTGCTTAAGGCAAAGACATGTTGTTGGGTGGCAGTGCAGTTAAAACGTTGACCATATCGGGGACTAGTGTAAGGAGGAAGGTGCAGAAAATGGTATTATTTTAATATCATATCTGAATTTCTCATGTCCCCGTGCTTTCGCAAAGTATATCGGCTGCAGGAACTACTGACCATTTGCATCTGTAACCAGTCTATGTGCGTCATTTCTGCCGTAGGCAGACTGCTGGCAATACTTGTGCTGGCATTTTATATGTTGCCATCCATTTGGAGGCACGTCCACGCAACAGTGATTCCAGAGAACAGTATAAAAGTCAGCCCTCTTTCTACTTATCACCTTCAAAACTATCTAATCCCATATCACGAATCACAAATTTGAAACAATGCATTTCCCCTCTGCAATTGTCCTCGCCGTCATTTTTACTTTAGCATCATCAATCTCTGCCATGCCCGCTACCAGTGACACGGCTGCCGCCCAATGTTTCAGGATGTGCTTCTGGGATTCAGATTGCGGAAATCCAGATTGCTCTTTTCATCAATGCGTGTGTATCAGCATTTTTCTGAAATTGAGAACACTACTTATTTACATGGCAGACCTTTTTTATGTGCACGGTGAGTCATGTTTTTGCTTTCACGTCCGTGAAGTATGGCCTGATACTGACGCGCGAGTTACTAGTGATCTGTAGAGTTGATCAACGTTCAACGCGTATCAAGAAAACATACGTACAATATTTTATTACGTGGCTCTTTACATATTGAAGTTGCCGTAAAATTCGGCGAGGTGGTTGTGTGGTTGTCCAGGCACATCAGATCGTGCGAAAGAGCCAAACAATTAAGTAATCAATTACTCATTCGTCGTGTCTGCTACTGCAATTGAAATACATCACCTTGCTCCGCAAGTGCAATCATCTCCGCAAAATGGTATGTTTCATATGTCACATACATATACTATTTCAAAGAACTCTTATAGGCCGCCAACAGTAATAATCTCTTCGCGGAAGTTCAAAACACCAGGTTTTAATCAATCAATTGCGAACTTATGCATACTGACTCTAATTTGAACATTCGTGGATATCATTGTTATAGGTAATCTTGCACTTTGTCATGTAATTGGCGTGCTGGGGCAATCAATAGACTCGGATGCTCACGCTCACGATTGGCCCAGTGAAGCAGTTTGAACTTTTCCGCCCATGAGGCCTATCTAGATCTTGTCGAACGTTCTCGGTACGATTAGAGTCGAAAGTCGGAGTATGCGCTGTACGCAGTGTAAGGTACGGTACCTAGGTGTGTTTTTTCATCAGGTCCAACGTCGTGCACATCCATTATTTTAATTATACGATCTAGTACAAGCCTGTCTACGTCATACTGACAGCACAAGACCGCCCCGTGGAGTGACCTGCATCCTCCTTTTGGTGTCGTTACACGTCATATCTATGGACATTTCCTAATTGAACGAAAATTACACGTCAACTCCAATATGCGAAGTTCTGGACCAATGACGTCCTGATGCACGTTAATCAACTCGACCAATCACTAGTAACAGCGTCAGTGCCGAACGCTATATACTGCACCAATGTGAAAGAAGAAACACGACTCACATGACAGAAAGGAAAGATCTGGCATGCAGGTGAGTCAGGCCATTAAATTCAGGAAAACTACTGATACTCACACAAACCCGCAGATATTCAGACTGCGGACAGGTGTTGCATTGCGAATCAAACATGCAAAAGAAGCCACATTTCTCAGCGGCAGCGCCAATGGGCGTGGCAAAGACTAAAGCAGCACCGATAGCGAGGACCATCGCAGAGCAAAAATGCATTATGAGTGAGGATGTGACACAGGATCTCAATCTGGAAGGGTCATTAAACATCTTGCTTATATGTCAAATAATGTTTCTCGCGGTTATCAGTATGCATTCGAATTTCAGGAGGAACCGGTCGATCGTTGATCCACGGGAATCCCCTCAGGTCAACTGATGTCCAAGCTTTGAATGTCCCTGGGATTCTTCTTGCCACTGTATAGTTGTGCCGTATTCGAACGGATCATATCTCCAATGCCAGCAGATTGCCATCCAAGGTCTGTTGGAAATTTGGTGTGACGATTGAAAATCGCTCCCGGGTCGCTGGTGAAATTCTGTTGATGAATCGAACTTTGGTAAGATCGTCCTCGTTTATACATAGCACTGGCTCATCACATGACTTCATTTGTGTAATTCATAACGCTGATTTTAGCAAAATCTGCGCAAGCACGCATCAAAATTGTACTAAACTTCCGCTAATGACCACAGAGAAAAGCATTTTGCTGCTGTCTTGCCACGGTGCAGTGGGCCATTGTGTAACTTGTATTGATGCACAATCGCACCTTCTCCCGGCGGGCATCTCCAAAGCGACATCAAAGAAGAGGAAGAACTTACCTTACCTATCCGAAGAAGTGTGGTTCGACTACGACGAATTGATCTATTGCCAGCCTTTCTTCGCGCTAGCCCGAGATATCCAGATATCCACCCCATCTCACCAATGGTCCTCGAAAAGCCTCCTCCGCGCAAAGACTGACTTTGACACTCCCCGGTCGTCTCTCGATTCTTTTCAAGTAGCCAGTCCGACTCCTTGAGCTCGAGTGAGGGAAGTGTTTCCATCTCTCCTTTTTTTTCCCTTTCCTACCACTCCAAGACCAGAAACCGACATATGGAGCTGCTCCACGATACCCTCGCTTGTTGCTCGCCCTTGCGGGGGCGTCGAAATCGAAGTTGAAGTTAATATTGGGATTAGGGTAAGGGTCCAGATGAGTATATCCCTCTGTTCTGTTGTCTTTGCTGAAGGTTCTTGATATCACTTTTCTCTCGTCAACGACGATGGCAATTCATAATCATTGTATCTATCATCATGATCGCTCGCTCATATCCATATTGTACCTCCGACTTTGCATCTATTTTCTTTTTCGTTGAAATGTGTTTCTAGTCCTGAGTCTCTTATACTTTTTTGTTTCGATCTCTGACGTGTTTCTACACTCTCTAGCATACCGGTTCACACTATGATTCAATGTTTAGATGTTTCATTGCTAGGTTCTTACATTCATTCACGACTAATAATTCCTGATAACTGAAAACACTTAGTAGTACATACAACTGTCAATCCGAAGCTCAAGCGCTCATTTCCTGATCGCCCGAAAATCACGCAGACTCCGCCGATTCTTTCCCTAATGGCGCGTCGGTCGGCTTTACAAATCACTAATAAATTGTACGTCAGTGCCAATGGACATACTGCATCGATTTGAAAGCAGAAACGCGACTCACACTACTACAGAAGAAGAAAAAGTTCTGCGATGCAGGCGAGTCATGTCATCAAATCCAGGAAAGCTATCGATACTCACACAATACTGCTTATTGCATATGTTGCAATCTGAATCATGATTGCAATAATTGGGACATGAACTCACAGCCGCGTCAGCGGGCATGGCAGAAATCGATGATGCTAAAGAAGCAACGACAGCAAGGACAATTGTGGAGGAGAAACGCATTGCTTGAGTCTTGTATGATGTGGGTGGGATCAAAAATTTCTGACAAAAATCGTAGGAAGATGGCTGGCTTTTATGGATTGAACATTTTTCCTTGAAATTCACCTTGTTGTACCTTCAAACAGATGTATCTGTAATGCCAGCAGGATATCTTGCTGGCCTTAAGACCATGATCTGTGTCGCTCGATGGGGCCTTTCTCCCATATCCGTTATTGTGCCAGCTTTATTTGGAGGTACGCAATCATACGGTCGGGAGGTACATATCACCCACAATTAATATCTGACGTCATGGCTAGCCACGCACACCAATATTTAGAGACATCTGGCTGGTCATGTAAACGAACCCAACAACCTTTCGATGGAGCATGGCGACACCTTCGAATTTACGCAAGACCCTCTTGCTCTTATTATGGAAACTGTTCTGACGCTGGACTTGCGAGAGGTGAACATGTGTTGCCCGGCGGGCCCCGAAGCTGAAGGCTCTACGCCAAATTGGCTCAACTATCCAAATGCTGGCAAGCTTGAATTCCCGCCTGCACCTGGAGTCCCGACTGAAAGGGTGCCACCCCACACCACTCCAGTGTCATTGGTGGTATTCACGGGGAAGTTCTGCCGTGTACCACGAGAACTTCGCACCGAGTCTCTATTCAGATATATCATATGACCTTCGAGGCGGATGGGGAACACTGTAGGACGTCGACTAGCTTTTATATCCTGCACGATACTGATCGATTTGCCAGAATTGTTATTGCTCGTGTTGTGAAGATTTCGGTAGAACCTTCAGGCATCGAAATTTCTCTTGCTCATAACCACAGAACGCTCGCTTTCCATCTCGATCGTCCTCGGTCGATATCTCATCTCACTCACTCGTTGCTCCCTTGTACACAATATCAGCACTTTCTTTTTCTTGGTTCGTTGTCACCGATACACGGAGTTTATCTCGTCGATTTTTCACGCTTGAAAGCGCAGTATGTAGTTGACCGTGCGCAAAAGTAATAGTTCTGAGATCTAGAACTGTTTTTCAGAGTCGTCCTTGGCATTGAACGTAGTTGCGAAAGCAAGTCTCAAGGGAAATTGCTTACGATTCACTATCCAGCTCGATCGATGAGAATTGTAATCCGTAGAACGCAGTAGCGTTCGAGTAGCTACACTTGAATGAAATGACGACGGAGCGCCATTATGCGTATTCTTGCATTTCTAACTAATCCCCTTGTCGAAAGCGGAATTGCGTTGTAATGCGCGCAAGAATCTCCAAGAGTCATATGAGACCGGGTGCCGCAGGCCTGAACTGCCCCAGTTGCAATGCAATCGTCAAAACAAAGAGCCAACTCACGAAGAAGTCTGCTTGTCATATCAGTGCATTCTATTGTTTTCTTGTCATGTAAATGGGGTGCAGTTATAACCTCTCGCAAACTGAACGTTGGTATGATTGAAAGCAGAAGTGTCGCATGAATATCATACATAAGACTTCAACGACAAAAGAACCTAGGCAGCGTGAGTGAGAAACATATACGCAGTCAGTGAGGAAAATCATACCGAGATGTAAAGCAGGACAAGAGATGGCAAACATTTACTCCTTTCAATGTCTGCCTGACTGACGCCTATTCACCCAAGGGTAGCGCACAAGCTACTAGTAGAACCTGTGACAAGACAATTCAACATGCCAAAGTGCGATCCCAACGATGCCCCGATGATGAGCAAGGGCCCGATCATCAACCACAGTGCCGGGAGCCCGAAGATGATCACCTTGGCGGAGATGAACGAAACCTCCATCTTCATTGCGATAATGCCTGGAGGAGAAATATATGAATGCAGAACTGACAAACAAAAAGGGCGTTATCGTACCAAATATTAGTGTCAGCGCCTCCGCGCTTGGAAGCAGCCACGAAAACACAACAAAGAAACGGAGGATACCAGGCAGTGTGCTCATATGCCAGCCAATGAGGAATCCCCTGGTAGCGAAGAGGAATTCTAGTGCAACAGCAATAGCCGTCGTCAAGTAGAGAGCGTGAAGAGGTGCCCACGGGAAGAATGCACCGAGAGCTGCAATGGACCACATCCCGCGGTTGATAGTGAGGGCGGCGAGTTGTTGTTGCAGTTGGACGCCATAAGCTTGTTGTTCGAGATGCGCATCATCTGCCCAAATGATCGAGACTGTCACGATACCGTAGAGAGAGCCGACGATTTGAATGAGGAATGATAGGTATGCAAGGTAGCCTGCATTGCAGACGGAGTGATAAAGATCGAAAAGCTGCGTGCTGAGCCCAGGGTCCATCGACATTACGCCGACAGCCTTTTTGGGAGTTGCGGTGGAATGATCTGCAAGCCATGCAGCGAGTACTGTGCGCTTTGCTAGACCTGAGTCCAATAGGGCACCATCGACTTAAACGCCTCGAACGGGAACTCCATGGATGCAAGCACTCACCCGTATACCTTTGCTCTGCGACATAATTACAAGTGGACTGTTCCGACGCACCGGGATCTTCTCTGTCTTGGATATAATATCTCACGAAGGAACTCTGTAGTCGTGACTCTTCAATGGCTTCAACAATCTCGTTGGATTTATCGAGGGAAAGAAAAATAGAGGCGATAACCCAGGTTTGGAACCATCCGATTGCTGCAATGATAGGTGTTGATAGCCAGGAATAATTGAGGATGAACTCTCGAACGCTGTTTAACCACATCCTGCGAGTCTCGAAGCTCAAAGTCGTGCACCTGAGGTCTTGGATAGGCCTTAAGGCTTGAGTATCATTTAGCGCCCAAGAATTGATCGCGCCATCATTCGGTTCAAAGGAAGCTCCGTGAGCGGCAAAAATAAACTTTTGCTATCAGAATGAAAACCTCCGTTTATGACGGACTCGTGTTCAGAAATATCGATGAACCGGACCGTGATATCAATCATGATCATGAGGAGTTCCAGGAAGGAATCAAAACATAACCGTGAAACATAGTAGCTTATGTAAATGTCATATACACGCGGTGTCTGTAGTATGTTACTCGAAAGTGGCCCGTCACTATTTTGCCTGCCAACTCTGCGATACAATTATTGGCCCGAATATTGTTGAGCAGGAGTGTCACGTCCCAGCAGCAAAGAATGTCCATTGTCCTGTTTATCGGTAGATCCCAACGAAAACGTATGGAAAAATCTAACAGACTTCTCACCACCCATACTGGAGGACGTGAAGTCAGACATCGATGCTGAGGTATCGTACAGTGGTCTCTGTTGCAGAAAGACGTCGAGGGCCTGTAACAGGCCTGCGCATGCTTCTGCTGTTCCTTGTACAGGAAGAGAAGCTGACCGGGCGTAGAGAATTTGGTGGAAGGAATCGTTTTCGTTTTTGCTATAGACGCAGGATGCATCTCTTACGCTGACGATGTCTCCCGCAGCGACTGTTGGCTGCAACCGCTGGTCGATCTGGCATTGAAGCTTTCCATATGGAATAATGTCTGTAGGCCTAGTCACGAAAGTTCGCTCGTAAGTTCAAAGAACCTTACGTTCTATGCGGTGGCGATAAGAGAGTTGAACCAGTTGTGCACCAACACGGCAATTGAGCTTGGATTCTTGGAGACCAGGCGAACCAGAAGGCCGAACGACCACCAAAGAAAGGGTAAGTGCCAAGAGCGTGTACAAATCAATGTTGCTCTCATGAGGTCTGTTGAGTGTAAAGAGAGTAGCAGGTTTTGGGAGTAATCAGAGAGCCAAAAATCTGCGACGAGCAGAGTGGTCAGTGTGTTAGACTCATTACAGCAAAGAACTCGAGCAGTGCGGCGTGCGCGACTCCTCGCTCGTCGTTCGAGTTCTTTCAAGTTCATGCAATCGAAGGTTACATAAACCGTGTGAATTTGCTGAACAGTTCGCCAAGCTTGCTGGCCTAACTCCAAGTAAGGAGCTCATCAATGCGGCCAAAGTCACTTTGCGCCACTGCTATTAGCGCTCAACGTTGAACTGTCCACCCACCCACCGTATTCGCAAGATCATGAGTGCTGACACGAACGACTCCTCCTCGGCTCCAAATACCGTCCATATCGAAGATGTGATTCATCCAGAGAGGGACAATAATTTCCGTGCTGTAGCAACTTCCAGTAAATTCCTCAAAGCAAACCAGAAGAACTTCGCCTTACAATGCACGCAATGTCACACGAAATTGGAGAGACCTTTGAAATGCGCAAAGGTGGTAGTCAAATATCTGAATACTGTCGCAGCCGTTCATCGTGCGTCGCAAACTGCTTTTAGTGCAAGAGCGTCTCGTATTGCTCAAAAGAGGTAGGATCTCCGACTGCGATGAAATCGAGATCTGAAGGGCTGACGTACGTCGTGCGCCTTCTTGTGTACAGTGTCAAAAGAAAAATTGGCGAGTATCGCTCATGCTTGATAAATATCGAGTCCTCACTTGATGATAGGTCTACCCATAAACCGACATGTCACGAAGTTGAACGCTCCTCGGGGGTACTCAAATTCATACAAATGTTCAGTGCAAACTCGTCGCTCACGATGTTCCTCAAAATTGGTATCGTTTTCGGCTGTGGCCTGTTCGACGATCCCCGGATCGGATTCGATGTGCCATTCATGGCACGTGTCGACATCGCAGTGGAACCCAGTAACATTCTTGACTTTGCTGGATTGTATTTCGACGACAAGGCTGTTGGAGAGAAGCTTCAAGGGATGTTGCAAGTCAATGCCATCACTCCATGGCATCCAAAGCAAGGTCCCCTTACACCGAGGTGGCTACAGATATGGCGCGAAGCTCGGGCAAAGTTTAACGCAGAAGGTTTTGCCAAAGATCCCGTAGGACTCGTACAGTTCATTGGCTGTAGTTCCGCAGACGACTCAGGGAACTCAGTAACCACTGAGTTGCACATCCCCGCTGCTGTCCTTGATATTGCAAGGAAACGCGAGCCCCTCATAGGTATCTCTGCTGTCACAGGCAAGCAGTTCAAAAAACCCATGAGCGCTGTGACATGTCTAGAGTACGTTCTCCGTCCTTATCATTGGATTCTAGCAAGTGGAGCTTCTTACATTTACATCACATAGGTATATCAATTTGCATATTCGGGCGGATAAGCAGAATCAGTTGCATCTGCGGGCTGAGATGACAGAACAAGACAAGGAAGTCATTCGAGCTGCAGGTCGCGATGAGGATACACTTCCGGCTCGTATCCTCAAAGATAAGATGAAACGTGAACATCTTTATGCTAATGTCACGCAAGCGACACGCGAATAGTCGAATGTGAGTGTGAATTTTTTCAACTTTCGTTCTGTACTAAAACAAGGAAGGATCCTCGTACCCATCTAATCGGAATCTCTTGTACGATACCTGAGCTGTCATTGACTGGACCGTTTGTGACCAAACCGATTTTCCCTTGCAAACCTTAGATGTGGGATCAGAGAAGTATGGTTCACGAATCAATGTTTTGTGATTGTAAGAGATCAGATACCCAAAGCGTCCATTTCGTGCTTTAAGAAGCTTGTACAAGCACGTTCTTTGAACATCTGGCATGTGACACATCTTTGCTTCGTCATGTCTCATGCGTGCATATTCTAAGATACCCTTCACGATCATTTCCGATGCACGTTTCCGTTTCTCCTTTCCCACCATCGAAGGCAGTTCTAAAGCTTGATTCATCGCCGTGATTAGATGTACCACAGGTGAGTATTTCATAGCTTTCACTGACATGAGTTCAATATTTGATCTGTGCGAACACAGGAACTCCAAAACGGAGACACTGATAACAAGATATCAACGTCAAAGCCCATAGGAACCGCCTAATAATATCTACGGATTTGAAGGAGAGATATAGCGCCAGAATATTTTTACGGTGATTTCTTTAAAACACGGCGATTTCTTTGTCCATGTTGAGGATGTCCATGCGAAAATGGAGGATGGGCTGCTTCATTCGCATGTCATGACTTGTGACTACTTCGGAGTTGTATCGTCGACATCCTGTGAAAGCGGTGCGCGGAATGAAGATGCTCAAGTAAATGTGTGTCTGAATGCTAATGAATACTCCACCTGATCTTTTTTGACCCAAGGCACATCAATGATGATGTGTAAGTGCTAGGCCAAGAAGATTTGCTAGCGGCGGGCTACCTTGAATTATGACTGCAAGCCAGTGTCTTTCTCTTGATCTGAAGGTGGTTCAACACAACCTTTTGCACCGGACTGGTTAGACGAAGGGCGCATTTCAGGTACTATGAAGTGTTATACGGAAGAAGGAAAAACCACACTTATTTTAAGCTGCCTGCACAAATTTCGTATCGTCGCTGTCCACGTCGAGTCGATAAGCCCATCATGGAGTTTGGAGGTGATGGTTGGGTGAGTAAAAATGGCAAGTCGTGAATACAATGCGATCTTCGCTGATTCGTTGAAATATATATCCCAGGTTCTATATGCGGAATAGTGAAACAATGGGGCTATGAGATGTGTTTCTCCTCGGACTTTGGCTATGCGTGTGCGAGGTGGAATCATAAGAATACGGTGCGACATTTGTAGCCTGCTCATGAAAGTGACGAGCATGATCAAGTCAATGGTTTCTTTGCTCATCTGCAGATCTCGCTACCAACTCACAACCTTTCCTGGCTCCAGCTCAAGTCAAAACTGAAAAAACATCGATGAAACACAACGGCCATCCATACAAGCCTGTACAATCAGAAATCGGGCTTTTTGCTTGTTACAGGCTTCTTGGCTTACACGTGCAACTTCTTTTTTTACCTACTATGCATGGTGTCTTATTTTCGACAGATATCAAACCCACAGCACGAGTCAAGATGTATCTACCAGTGCAATACCATGGCATCGAGTATACGATCGGATGCACTGAATATAGTACGCCACTATTGCCCTTGTCTGACTTTATGCCATGCCATAGAATGCTACCTTGTTGCACACTGGATCGATGGCTACATGGTATCCATCTCCATCATACTGATTTTGGCAATACAAGCGCTGAACGGTGGTATATCTAGCACGAACACTGTTATTAGACACCACTAACATCCCCCACTCGCTCACACCCATCTCTCGAATATGACCGTGGTCTTGAACGATCCTAGTTGGTGGCCGCTAATCAGTTTTAACATTTATGTCAGCTATTGGACAGGTTTGTCGTATCAAGATCTCTTGATCTAACATTGACTTGCTGTTTCACAGTTGCCGCCGGCGTCGTGGTTGTATACGATCTGGGTGAGAGGGACAGTCTTTGAAAACTGCTGATATTCTCATAATATTTCCAGTACTCACGATCGGAGAGGAGGTAGGTCGATGATATAGCCACAGTAGCAAACTAGCTAATAAAGGTATCATAGATCGAACTCATCTGGGTGAGTGATAAGAGTCCCGTACGAGGAGAAAACAGGAGAATGAAATGAAATCGTGACAGAGACAGCGCTGGTCTCTGATGACTGTGTTGTATTTGGTTGTTCGTACCTCATGTTGTGCAATAATATGATTGGCAAGTTATGCTGACTCCAAAATGTTCTAGATACGTTATACTGGAATACCATTTTCTGTGTATGTGTCGAGGCCAAAAACTTCGGATCTTGCTAATAGTTCATATCTGACAATTAGTATCTATGTTCTGGGTATGTCTCATAGTATTCACTGTGTTCGATTCTTCTAACTGGCAGCACACAGACAATATGCCATTTGTCTCGCTAACAGATGCAGTGAGTATTATGCGACCATCTTACTCCTATTCGATGAACTCACTTTATATGTAGGGGTGAGTGAGATTCTGAACATCGAACACGGCTCAGAAGTCAACGCAATGAGTTAATAGGTGTAAGTCGGAGTGTTTCGTACTAGTACGAGGGTGATCACTAATCGGGTGTTTCAGGCAATAGTATGTACTACGCACTCAGTGCGACAAATATGGTCGTTTCTGTCATGTTGTATGGTGAGTTATCCAGCTGCGATACCCTTTCGATAATGACTCGACTGAAACACAATGCAAGTCATCATAATTGCTCGCTTGTATGCCATGTATCAGGGAAATAGAATGATGCTCATCTTCCTTGTTATTACCTTTCTGGTTGTTAACATCGCCTGCGCAGTCATCGTAATAATACAATTCAAGCACTTTGTAGGGGGTAAGCTTTACTCATTGAGTCGAAGAATGCAGCTCATTGGACAAACACCAGAGGAGTTGATAATTTCTGGCACATATATGTGCAATTTTATGGTTGATGGGGACTCCCAGCTTCTGACTTCGATGCTTTGGGTGCTCAACACCGTTTGGGAGATCCTTGCACTGTGTCTTTCAGTCTGGATATCTATAAAACACTTCCGTGACCTACGACGACTCGGCCCATCGACAGGATCGACTATCAAGGACTGTTTCAAAGTGTTAATAAGATCCCACGTGTTTTATTTTGCAAGGTGAGCTTGTAATGTGAATGTAGTTATCTTTTTCTGCTAAAGCTCCGCTTGTGCTAGCGTTGTTGGTGTCTCTTGCCTCCAGTTTGCTAATATATCTCCAGAATTCGACGTGCGTCAACCTTTTGCTAATATTTGCTTGTAAACCACTGCTCATCATTTCTGTAGAATTCGAATTCTATTGGAGTTCAGATACTCACTGGTGCTTTTCAAATTCTATTGGTCTTGCAGATCTTTGTGCTAGGACCACGGCTCATCCTTAGCGTTCGAAAATATCACGCCAAGCTGGTGGCCATCCCTGACACAGAAACCAGCATGAGATCGATTGTCTTCCAGGAGCATGTACATATATCGACTGGTAGTACTGTGTAGGGAAATGCTTGCCGAGTGATGTGCAGAAAGAAGAGTCGAGGATCCGTCGTGGTATTTATTTGACATATAGTGTTTCGAAGTATATTCAAAAGGTCTAGGCAAACCTGTTTCTTGTTGTATCACTACTGGAACGAAGTAGCTACCACTCACACTTGCACCAAGTAGCAAGCTAGAATATCTGGAACATCTAGCAGCCAGGCCCGGCATATCATGTCGTTGATAGTAGTGAAATAGGGTAAACAGCTTACAGCTGAACGTCCTAAATAAGCCGTCACCAACATCCGTCCCAATTCTTTTGGGATGCAGACTACTATATTGAAATGCGCAGATCAGCACGGGTGCACTGGCATATGAGCAGGCATTATCAGATCGCAAATTTGAAGAGAAGACATCTAGGCATGAAGTTGAGTCGTGGAATAGAGCTATGCCAGCGTGCTGGCTGAAGGTACGTGTAATACTTACATACAGATTTGAACCTAATGCCGGATTGGTGCGAAAATCAGCTGAGGGAAATAGCGGGATGAGTGGTATCGTGAGGCTTGTCACGGTGAAGCTCCACAATCCCTTGCTTCACATCTCGCCGCCCTTCCACAACCACTGTTTGCAAAGGCAATCACATGGCCCACAGTTCCTGTAGAAACATCCCGAGTAAGAGTATGCTTGCACACAGGACACACTCGTGACGTAAAGAAACTGGTAGAAGGTATTGTCGACTGAGTACAGGCATGGGTCACAAGAGAAAAAGTAGAAAGACAGTGGCTGAATGTGAGAGAGGGTGAGGGTGTAGGAGTATGGATGGAGACGAAGTTGTAAGGAATTGTATTTGGAAGCATAACGTCGATTTGGAATGTAGCTATACACACCAAGTCAAAATGCGTGTCTTGCTCCTCCATCTCTTCGCTTGTTATTAATTACTACATCACTCCTACGAATTTCCTAGCACGCGTGCTCTCTCGAGCAAGGGCTCGTATGAGCGGCTGCAAATGTATCATGTTAACCGCTGACGCTAGCTCAGTTTCGTGCGGCAAAGGGGCGACGTGGAGAGCAACCTCAGGATGTAGAATCAAAGTGCACCACCAAAAGTGAGAGAGGTGAAGAGCGCCTCGGAGTCACAAGGGTTACGATACGCTCAGACTGATTCAGTCATGCAAAGCCTCGATCTCACGAGTACTTCGCGCGAGATAGTCATCGTATGAGTCATGATGTAGTGCTGCATGTCAAGATAGAAATACAGAAATTGAGCAATCCGCCCAAACCTGCATCCGCCATGCTTACCAGCATCTTTGAGTTTAGTGCGAAACCGCGCAATCACTTCACGGTTGTATGCGATTGCTGAGAGTTGCGTATGTTTGACGGTGCCTACACGGCGTTTGCAATGCCAGCACTTTGGTTTAGAGGACGGCAGAGACCCACAGAAATGCAAGCCTACCTGAGACATGAATAACACGCGGAATGACCCTGACATCGTGGATGCTAGT